TGGAATGGGGTTAAGGAACAATGGGAGGTAGGGAGAATGCGGGGGGGTTCTTTTGGGGGTTTTTCTTCGGAGGAAGGTGAGCACACGGAGTTTTTTTTTTTTTTTTTTTTTTATCACGAACTTGGTATATAGTTGAGTGAGTTATGATATGTGTAATAGCAATCATTAAAATGTACTTAAATATACTTCCAAGGTAGAGCACGGAGTACTCTGTATGCACAGCCAGCAGACACGTGAGCAAGAGCCTAGACATACAAATGTCCTAGTCCAGACCGAACTAGTAATAAGCAATATCAAATACCTAGTATAGGGCTAGGAGGCCCAGAGCTTTGTGAATCTGGTGTAAGGAGAGGTGCAGGTCTGTGATAAACTATACAGATTGATCCCTAACAAACGTCACTGGACCGAACCTTACACTTGTACTCCCCGAGCACGTTGACGATTCACAGCCATGTTTGACTTGAGCCTCTGAATATAGTGGCAATTCTTTATAGAACAACTTTAGAAGCCGTGAGCAGTGAGCAGAAGAGATGAAGACAAGCTCATGGTCCCTGGTCCCTTGGCCCTAGTGGCTTGTCCAATTGACCAATCAGAAGCCCCTATTGCAGCACGCCTGACCCTGACCAGTGGTAGAGCAGTTCGGCTACTCCCGAGATACCTCATGATCAGCGCTGGGAAACATGGGGTCCTCAAGTCTCTGCCAAGTACTCCCATACTATCATTCAACCAGGGTAGCCTGCAGGCGTAGAGGTGACCCCTCCTGCGAATATCCTTCACGCTTATAGTTCTCACTGCTCTCCTGGCTCCCTTCCTTTCCTTCATCCCCATCCCTTGCAGCTTTCATATTCTCGAGTATTGATCTCCATCATGAAGCTTGCAATTGTGTGTACTCTGGCCATGGCGGCCTGTGTCGTCGGTCTGACAGCCACCACTTCTGAGCCTGCTCTGGCGCAGATCTCGGCGGCAGCGGCTACGACCAAACCAGAGATCACCACCTCTGACGTGAAGGGTCTGTCCTTCGACCGCTTTTACCAGGTCTGGCTGGAAAACATCGTATGTGACGAAGCCCCGACATCATTAAGCGTATGGTGACTGACGTACCTCTAGGACTTCGAGGACTCTGCCGCGGATACCAACATGCAGTGGCTCGCATCCCAGGGAATTCTTCTGTAAGTAAATTCTCAAATTGAGGACATTTAAACAAAAAACAAGCGGGAAAATACTCATCTCAGCCTCAAAAACAGGACCAATTTCTATGCAGTCACACATCCTTCCGAGCCTAACTACTGTGCTGCCGCTGGTGGTGACACCTTTGGCATGGACAATGATGACTTCAAGCAAATGCCCGAGAACATCTCTTCCATTGCTGATTTGCTGGACACTAAGAGCATTTCGTGGGCCGAGTACCAGGAGCATATTCCTCATGCCGGATTCCAGGGCTTCAACTTCTCGAACCAGCATAGCCACAAGCCAGATTATGTTCGAAAGCACAACCCAATGGTTCTGTACGACTCGGTTGTGGCCAATGATTCACGTGCACGCTCGATCAAGAGCTTTGAGGACTTTGAGAATGATATCAAGGCCAAGCAACTTCCTCAGTGGGCCTTCATCACTCCAAACATGACCAACGATGCTCACGATACCAACATTACCTTTGCTGCTAAGTGGGAGCGTCCCTGGATGGCCAACCTGTTCCAAAATGAATACTTCATGAAGGACACTCTGGTACTCCTGACCTTTGACGAGGATTCAACTTACACAAAGGGCAACCGGATCTTCAGCATTCTCGTTGGAGGCGCCGTGCCTGAACACCTTCAGGGCACTAAGGATGATACATTCTACACCCACTACTCCAGCATCGCTACCATCTCCGCCAACTGGGGTCTTCCCTCTTTGGGTCGTTGGGATTGCGGCGCCAACATCTTCCAAATTGTCGCCAACAAGACTGGTTATGTCAACTACGAAGTCGACAAGACCCATCTGACTTTGAACCAGACCTACCCTGGCCCTATGTCTATCGGCGACAAGGAAACCGGAAACACCTCCAAGTTCATTCCCGACTGGCCTATCCCTATTACCGATAGCAATGAGAAGTGTTCAGCTGGACACGGTATCCTGGACATTGTCAAGAGCACCTATGGAAAGCTACACCCAACCTATAATTACACTACCCCCTTCCCCTGGGACTCGCGCTACGGCTACAATGACAAGGTCACTTTCAAGCGTCCTTCCAACACGACTCACACCAACTCAACTACTGGTGTCGATACCCAGCACCGCAATGCCGGAGCTAGTGTCGTTGCTCTCCTTCCAAATGTGTTGATCGGAGTCCTATCGGCCGCTGCTCTTCTAGTTTGCTAATTTGAATAATTAAAGAGCAAGGATATGATCGGATGATCTTCATTCTTGATAATGATTTCTTACGAAAACTGGCTGCTATTCATTTCGTCTTGGCTCTGGATTTCGAACTTTAGAGCCTTGAAATTATGCAAGCGCTCGCCTCCTTGTCTCGCGGTACTGATCTTGATATCTTAGCTATCGAATTCAAACAAATTTGATTTGAATTGTTATCTCCTCCCTCAATCCGTGTGACCAAACGCCAATGGGATAATAAATATGGACCGATGCAAAGGGGCCCAAAAGAAACGTAAAGACAAACATGAACCCGGAAAAAGAACTTAAAGTATAAGCAGGAATCTCGGAGCTGCAGCGGGAAACACCGAGGTGCCTCTGCAGTTCATAGCTGCTGGTACCTGTTTAAGAAACGGAACATTCCCCCGGGGCCTATTGATCTCGTTTTGGGCCGGGCCGGGCCGATGTATCATCTGAAGGACCACTTGGGCAGGTTGCTTGGTGGTTTTCTGCGCAAGTGGTGATTAGAATCCTTGCAATAAATATGTGGCTTGGGGTACTGGGACTAGTATTCCCTACCCCTCCGGGGCCCCGCATCTATTAGCCTTCGAGTGCAGCCCAAAAAAAGGTGTGACTGTGGTTACATCGGTTGAAATTGTGGAGAAATAGGTAAAATTCCGGTGGCACATCCTCAAGGCTTGTCTCGAATCAAGCCTCCCCAAGAGTCTAAGGTTGTACTAAAGCTGTGCTTGTGCGGGGTGCATTCGACACGGCTTAACCCCGGAGAATTAGGACTTTTGGGCGCCACTTCTTCATCTTCAGTACAATACCTTGTACGAACTATGAAAGCGTTGCCTTTTCTGATTCTAACCAGCCAGTTGGGCTAGTATGCTTGGAGGTTAGGGGTTGAATTATACAATTAACCGATTTAATACCGAGTTTCGGGGGAGCCCTAAAGTCGCATAGAGTGTAAAGTAACCAATATCCACTCGATCAGTAATTATTGGAGGAAAATAACCAGATTCAGCACCGCGTGAGCTCTTGATTCCAAAACTAGTCTGAAGACCGGAACTTATGAGACATCCAGAGGAACTATAAAGAAGAGCAGAATACCACACCCATTTCCTTCAACCGCAAGTAAAACAACATGCTCTCAAGACCAAGTATTGAACGCGCTTGGGTATTTGCCCTGGGCCTTTTGGCCGGAGGCTCCCTCGTTGCTGCTGCACCCTGTGACATCTACGCTTCCGGTGATACACCTTGTATTGCCGCGCACAGCACCACTCGAGCCCTTTACAGTGCCTTCAGTGGTGCCCTATACCAAGTCAAGCGTGGCTCAGACGGGACAACAACGACGATCTCCCCGCTCACTGCCGGTGGTGTTGCAAATGCAGCGGCCCAAGATACCTTCTGTGCTGGCACAACCTGTCTCATCACAATCATCTATGATCAATCTGGCCGCGGAAACCATCTCACGCAGGCTCCCCCAGGTGGCTTCAAGGGCCCTGAAGCCAGTGGCTATGACAACTTGGCCAGTGCAATTGGCGCCCCAGTCACACTGAATGGCCAAAAAGCCTACGGAGTCTTCATGTCCCCCGGTACAGGATACAGCAACAACGCCGCCAGTGGTACTGCTACAGGCGACGAGGCTGAGGGTATGTACGCGGTGATTGACGGGACCCACTACAATGGCGCCTGCTGCTTCGACTACGGCAATGCCGAGATCAGCAGCACTGACACGGGCAATGGTCACATGGAAGCCATTTACTTCGGTGACAACACCGGCTGGGGATCTGGCGCTGGCAGTGGTCCCTGGATTATGGCTGACCTGGAGAACGGTTTGTTCTCCGGCCAGGGTTCTAAGAACAATGCTGGGGACCCTACCATTTCCTACCGCTTCGTAAACGCCGTGCTCAAGGGTGGAGCTAACAAGTGGTCACTCCGGGGTGGTAACGCTGCCTCTGGCTCTCTCTCAACCTACTACAGTGGAGCACGCCCAACTGCCTCAGGATATAACCCTATGAGCAAAGAGGGTGCCATCATTCTCGGCATCGGCGGCGACAACAGCAACGGCGCTCAGGGAACCTTCTATGAGGGTGTCATGACATCTGGATATCCAACTGACGCCACCGAGAACGCAGTGCAGGCCAACATCGTGGCCGCCAAGTATGCCGTGGCATCCTTGACTAGCGGAACTGCACTGACTGTTGGCTCTTCAATTTCACTGCGCGCTACCACTTCTGGTTACGACACGCGGTATATCTCACACACCGGCTCAGCCATTGACACTCAGGTTGTCACTTCCTCCAGCACCACTGCTCTCAAGCAACAGGCTAGCTGGACCGTTCGTGCGGGTCTTGCAAACAGCGGTTGCTTCTCGTTTGAGTCCAAGGATACTGCTGGAAGTTACATTCGGCACTATGACTTCGGTCTGGTTCTTGCTGCTGGCGATGGTACCAAGCAGTTCAATGAAGATGCTACATTCTGTCCCCAGACTGGTCTCAGTGGCCAGGGTACCTCGATCCGGTCCTGGAGCTACCCTACCCGCTTCTTCCGTCACTACACCAACGCCCTCTACATTGCGAGCAATGGTGGTGTCCACACCTTTGATTCTGCTACTTCTTTCAATGACGATGTTACCTGGGTGGTTAGCACTGGCTTCGCTTAGGCTGTTTTCTGATCTGCGAAAGAGGAAGCTAGTTGATTGTCTTACGATTGATCAGACCTAGTAAAATCAATGTTCATACTCCAGATTTATAGCCAACCCGAACTCGTGATGGCTGAATCCAACGAACATGTCCATGGAGTAAATCAATCTAGACCTCGGGAAAGAGCCGGAACTGCCCCGAGCAGGTCAAACTTTCGAATCGCTGGCGCTCCACACAGTAGGACATTGCCTGCGAGGTTAGAATCATCGATTATCGTAAAAGGGCATTCATTCCTGTCAACTCTATCTCACGTAGCAATTTACAACTTCGATGTCTTGATAACGATGCTCTTCGTCTCGAGGAAGCTGTCAAGACTGTACAGAAGACCCTCACGACCACTTCCACTCATCTTGTAGCCACCAAAGGCACCGTCCTTTGCACCCGTGGGACTAGTACAGTTCACACCAACAGTACCTGCCTCAAGGGACTTTGCCAAGCGGATCGCCCGATCAAGATCCTTTGTGAAAACAGAGGCGTACAGACCAAATTCTGTATCGTTTGCCTTGTCAATAGCCTCCGTCTCAGTGGAGAAGGGAGTGATAGTCACAACGGGACCGAAGACCTCCTCTCGCATCAACCGCGACTCCGAAGGGACACCCTCGAAGATAGTGGGCTTGACGAAGTAGCCATCGTTTGCATCACCACCCAGGGTGAGCTTGCCATCCTTCTCGCCGATAGCAAGATATTCCTTGATTCGGTTATATTGCTTGACATCGATCTGCGGACCGTGAGAAGTAGTAGGATCCATCGGATCTCCAATTGTAACAGCCTCGAACTTCTCACGGAACAACTTGGTGAACTCCTTTGCAACTGATTCATGCACGTAGATGCGAGAGTTCGCAGTACAGATTTGGCCACTGTTGAACTGGATGCTGAACTGCGTTTGTGCCGCAGCTGAATCCAGGTCTGCGTCTTCAAAGACGATAGCGGGCGTCTTGCCTCCTAGCTCCATGAGAACGTGCTTCAGGTTCGACTTTGCGGCAGCGGCTTGGATCTTTTGGCCTGTGATTGAGGATCCAGTGAAGCTGATGCAGCGCACCTTCATGTGCGACGACAGAGCTGTGCCGGCTGGGTCACCATGGCCGGAGATGATGTTGATCACACCGGGTGGGAAACCGGCCCTTTGAATGAGCTTGGCTACATAGATGGACTGATGCATGATTAGCCTGAGATATTTGGAGATGAACGAAGAAAACGTACTGTCAACGGCGCCTTCTCACTGCTCTTCAAGACAACGGTGTTACCTGCCGCGATCGCAGGAGCAATCTTTCCAGCGAACATGACAAGTGGGAAATTCCACGGGATAATGAGTCCCACCACACCATATGGCTGTCTCACTGTCATGCTCAGTTGGTCTGGTGTGTTCAAACTAGCTGTACCCTGCGCACTCCAGGCGGCAGTGGAAAAATAGCTGAAGTAGTCAGCTGCCATAGCGCCATCGAAGAATGCCGAGACCGGACGACCGATCGATAGTGTCTCGAGCTTTGCGAGTTCGGCATTCGACTCCAAAATCAGCTTAGAGAGATTTTGCATGTATGAACCTCGCTGTTCGATGCTTGTGTCTCGCCAGGCGGGGAAGGCTGCGCTAGCCGCCGCAACGGCATCGTCGACATCCTGCGTTGTTGCTTCTTGGACTGCGGTGGTGTTAGACTGTTGTTGCAGGTGGTTGGGGCTCACCGCTACTGACCTTGTGCGACAACCTCTTGGGTGTAAGGGTACACCACATCGAATGTTTGTTTATTGGATGAATCTCGGAACTGAATTTATCATAAGCATTAAACGATGGTTATGAAATATGACCATATACACACCTCGCCGTTGATGAACAGTCGAGTCTCGATCGGTTCCGTAAGTGTAGATGCCATGCTGGAGGTGAAAGATAAGATGGTCAAGACTCAAGTAAGCAGGAAGGCTTTCAAGATAAAGAAAGAAAGCGGAAATCAGCGGCTTTATGAACTTAGAAGCTGCAAAGCGGAGGTCGATGTTTCAAATAGGCCACCATTGCCCACGCAATGAGTCCCCCTCGAGCCAAGACCAGAACCCCTTGCGACGTCAGGATGCATAAGCTGGATTGGTTGCTGAGACTGGCGCTAATATCACGCATGGTCTGATACGCCCAAGTGCATAAATCAGACGTCTTATCTGGGTTAAGTGTAACTGTACAGTGTAAAGTGATTGGTCTGTTCGTTTATGGGCTGGGCCATATGCGGGGGCGTCGCGAGCGGGGCCGAGCTATGTTCAAGTGGTGCTCAGTCGGGGAGATGTCGCTCCGTAAGACGTAACGCTGTGTTGCCTATACAGTTCGAACTTTCAAGTGTTGGTTTAACCACTAAGAGTAAATGAGAGGTAATAAATTTCTTATGGTTTTGGGACTTGGTGAAAAATGCTGAAACGATATAGATTATCATATAAGTCGTCAGGTATCATTTTAATATACATTTTATTGCGCAACTCCACGACGCTTCAGGTCCTGCAGGTTGGGGACTTCCTGGTCACCACCACGGTTGCTGGACTCGAGCTTGATATCGTCTTCGGGGCCACCGGTGCCATTGAACTGACCAGCAGTTGGGAGGCTGTAAGAGGAGACAGTAGTTAGTGTCTGAATAGATCGGAGTTATGAGAAGAGAGCAATTCATACCGGTTACGGTCATCACGAGAGCCACCCTCATCTTCGGGGATGACGCGGTGGTCACTGCCAGAGGCAGTTGAGCCAGGGCCGTATTTGAGGCCGGAGGGCTGTTCGAACTTCTTCTCAACCATCTCGTCGACACCGGACTCGAGAGCTACATGATGATTAGTATGGAAGACGGTGCGATCATATCATAGTATAGCGTACTGGAATCACTCTTCTTGCCGAGACCCTGCTTGGCCTGGTAGGAGTTAAGGTCCTTCTCGGCGTTGAAGGCAGTCTGCTTCAATTCTTCGACAGTAGGCATGATGAATGTGGTATGTGAGAATCGGAAAATTAGATTTGAGATTGATGAATTGTGTAGACCAAGTAGCTGTCCTGAATTCGCACTTTATATACCCCTTCAAGCTGGTATCATCCATCTTCTCAACCTGACGGTTGCATCATGATACATCATAGGTATGTCACGAGTGGAGGAAGTTGGGGGGCCTTTCGAGGTGAATTGATAGATTTTTTTGCTGAAAACAAGGTTGACGATCCAGTTCGACAAGACCCTGGAATCCAAGTTGGTGGTCACTGACTTCATAGTTCTCCACTTCCCTCTGAGGCTCGGCTGACCAATCAGATGCGATCAGTCGGAAGAATACATAATCCCTGTTCCGAAGTACCCCGCCGGGCGGTGAGAATATTGCCGCGAATTGAGCTCGATTTGATGGATTACACCGAGTTGGTCGAGTCAACATCGCCAGATACCCCTTCGAGTATCGTCTGATGAATGATCAGTAATCCAAGGCATTGGACCTCTGAACTGGAGCTTCAAGCGGAAAAGACTCAGCCACCCAAGGTCTTTCTTTCGCAAGTCAATCATCACCGCCATTCACCATGAGCTTCGCCATTGAATCGCAGGGCGGGACCAACCCGCTCAGCCTCCAAGGTGTATTGAACACCCTGGTGCTTGCAGCAAGCTCGAACCAGCAGCAGGTTCAAGCGGGTACTGAACAGCTCCAAAACTGGGAGAAGCAGGGCATGTACCACTCTTTTCTACAGGTATGTTTATCAATCCTGACTATTGCAAATCAACCCACTCACATCGTTCGATCACATAGGATGTCTTCCTTGACCACTCCGTACCGATCGAAGTCCGTTATCTTGCAATCATCCAGCTGAAAAATGGCATTGATAAATATTGGCGCAAGACAGCAGCAAAGTATGTTCCAGAACCTGTTACCAGACGGCATTCACTGATATGCATGAAGTGCAATCAAGCAGGAAGAAAAGCACCACATCAAGACGAGGGCTTTGGAAGCAGGAATTGTTGAGCCTGCTCCACTATTGGCCCTACACAACTCGTTAATGATTGCCAAGATCATGCGCTTCGAGTTTCCCCAGGACTGGTATGTCAGACGTCCCCAGTAGTTCATTCGTGAAACTAAGATGATATAGGCCCGATGCTATCTCGTCTATCATATCTTCCCTGCGATCCTCAACCCAGCCGGGGGCCAATTCTCTTCAACTTCCCCGGACCCTTCTCATTCTACTACAAATTATCAAGGAACTATCAACAGCACGGATTCAACGAACTAGACACAACCTTCAATCTGTGTCACCCGAGATATTCCAGTTGTTGGGGGGTATCTACGTGGAGAAAGTCAACCAGTGGGGCTCGATATTGGAGCAGGGCGGTGCCGGCGGGGAGGAATTGCTTCACACGCTGGAACTGAGCTTGGTGTCGCTAAAGGTCCTCCGGCGCTTGATCATTGCTGGCTTTGAACATCCGAGTCGGAACCAAGAAGTGCAGAGCTTCTGGGTGCTTACCCACTCGCACTTCAGCCAGTTTTTGTCCTTTGTGAATGGGCCCACCAATCTGCCTGAGCCAGTTCACAAAGCTATCGAGAAGCATTTGCTGCAAATGTCCAAATTGCATGTTGAAATGGCCAAAACCCACCCCGCATCCTTTGCGCTGCTGCCCGATAGTATCCCGCTCGTCCACTCGTATTGGTCATTAGTCGTCAAGCTTGGAGAAACGTATGACAGCCTTGGCGCCGGCGGCGAGGACGAGGACAAGCCATTGATAGAGAAGACCGGCCTTCGGGCTCTTCTCTTGATCCGGGCATGCGCGAAGATGGCCTTCAATCCCGCACAAACATTCAAGTACCAGACACCGGAAGACAAGGAGGAACGGAAAAGATCCGTCGAGCTGATCAAATCGCAACTATTCACGCATGAATTTGTTGTTAATGTGATGGAGCTACTTGTCACGCAATTCTTCCGCTTCCGCAAGATCGATTTCCAAGAATGGGAAGAGGAACCAGAAGACTGGGAGAAGCGAGAGGAAGAGAACGCCGATGCATGGGAATTCTCAATCCGTTCTTGCTCAGAGCGACTTTTCCTTGACCTGGTCATCCACTTCAAGGACCTTCTTATTCCTCGCCTGTTGACCGTCTTCTACTCTTTCGCAAGTATGTTGATCAATCTTACATAACCGCCGCATGATGCTAACTCAGACACTAGACACCGACAACCACGAGGTTGCATTGAAAGACTCGTTGTACTCCGCCATCGGCCTAGCTGCGGCTAGCCTAGAACAACACTTGGACTTCAATTCTTTCCTGGAGCAGACAATGGTGGCTGAAGTTCAATCCCAAGAGCAGGAGTATAGACTTTTGAGGAGGCGAATTGCGCTTGTTCTGGGCCAATGGGTGCCGGTCAAGCCCGGTGAACTGAACATGAACGCAGTCTACCAAATCTTCCAACATTTGCTTAACAGCGGTGATCCTTTGAACGATCTTGTTGTGCGTATAACAGCTGGACGCCAGCTTCGGAATGTGCTCGACCCATATCTGTTTGCACCTGAAGTCTTTTTGCCATTTGCACCTAGTATTCTAGGAAGCCTCATGTCTCTTGTTCAAGAGACCGAAAGCTCTGAAACCAAAATGGGACTTTTGGAGACCGTTCGCACTGTAGTGGTCAAGCTCGAAGATCATGTAAGTCGCAATATTGTGGGTTTATCTTTGCTCGGCTGACTTTTCTAGATTGCGCCCTTTTCTGATCAAATCGTCTCTCTGCTTCCCCCGCTATGGGAAAGCGCAGGAGAAGAAAGTCTCATGAAGCAGGCAATTCTCACCTTGCTATCATCTCTCATTGGCTCACTCAAGAAGGAGTCGGTGAGATATCACTCTCTCATCCTTCCGCTGATTCAAAGCTCGGTGGAACCTGGCTCGGTAAGTTCCTTTAAAACATGCGGCACATTGACTGCCGAATAGCTGACATTTTATAGGAGGCTATTGTGTACCTTCTGGATGAGGCTTTGGATCTCTGGCATGCAATCATGCAAGCTACACCTGCTCCTGCATCACCCGAAATTATATCACTTCTGCCCTCCCTCTTCCCCATTCTGGAGGCTGCATCAGACACCACACCTCAAGCCCTTCATATCCTCGAATCATACGCCTACCTTGCGCCTCAGGATATTCTGAGTGACCGCTTCAGGTTCCAACTCTTGCAGATTCTCGAGACACTCCTCAAATCTACTACCAAACAGCGACTTGGAGTGATTCCGCGAGTCGTCGAACTCATCATCAGAGGTGCCGAGAGTGTCGATGGAGGCAGTGAAGCAACTTACCGCATCGTATCGCAGTCTCTTGTAGAATCATCTTTCCTTGCATCCCTGCTCGAGGGACTATATTCAGCCCATGAGGCTAGCCAGACCTCTGGGCCTAACCGAAAAACCTCTCATGTGGTCGGTGTTGTCGAGACCGATTACTACTCCGTGTTAGCACGTCTGGCATTGGCAAACCCTGCCATCTTCGCTTCATCGGTCGCCGCAGCAACCCATTCGTCCCAAGAACACACACTCACGTGGATTGTGACCGAATGGTTCTCCCACTACGACAACATTGGCAGTGTCAGCCAAAAGAAACTCCATGCCCTCGCCCTTACACAGCTTCTTGCCCTGCAAGATACTCCCCTAGACCCCTCCCTACCCCCACCTCCCCCCGCATATATGATTTCCCATTTGCAATCCTACTTTAGCATGTGGACCGACCTCATCACCGAGCTAGCAGACGGTGGAACCGACGCCAATGCCGACTACCTGGTCTGTTGGAACGCGCCAGCCGGGTCCGAATATGCTCAGCCAGAAACCAACCAGGAAGCCGACTCGCCCGAGGCTATCCGACGCAGCGAATGGCAGTCTGGAGATGTGATTCATCGCTTCATGATTCGAGACTTTGTCCGCCACCGCCTCCAGGAAGTCATCTCTGGCTGCGGTGGAGCCCAGCGGTTCCAAGACGAATGGCTAGTCAACATTGACTCGGATGTGGTTTCTGCGTTTGGAGCTCTGGGTTTGCTCTGAGCTTGCATTCATCTCATTTACACCGACATGATTTCATTCGCATAAGAGCAGCAATTTCGTTTTAGGCGCGTGGTCTGTCCGATTGGTAATCGGGCACCTTCACTGTCACCCCCGTCCAGTTACATACATACCCATATCATCAGAAATCCAATAAAATGCACTATATTTGGCAATCATCCACGTTATGTTCTTCCTGAGCTCACATATCTAAGTCCAAAATTATCAAATATATGCAGGTATTATCGAAGCGATGCAGCTATGTGACCAAAGTTATCGCTTTGGCAGCGTTTTGGGAGGGCTTAATTCGAACTGATCAACAGCCCGCGGGTCAACCCATGTGTACCGACCATGTGGAGCCATGTGGAGCTTAAGGGATGGATCCATGGACGTTCCAAGGCCCCGGAACCTTAAAAGTTGATTTTTCACATTGAGCTGCAACCACAAAGCCACCATGAAGCCACTAGCTACAGAGTAATTAAGAGTCGCAAGAGCGAGTCAAACGAGAAAATTTACTCCTTTCACTTACACATTTGGCAACACGGCCTCGACTAGATGAAACTGGCGCCTATAGTCCAGTGGTAGGATGCCGCTTTCCCATGTGCGATTCAAGCGGTGGCCCGGGTTCGAACCCCGGTGGGCGCATCAAATTTCTTTTTTTTTTTCCTTTTTGCGATTCTCAATCCTCTTCAACCGCTTTGTGATTATATGGTGGTTTAATCTTGCCTACGTACTAGGTTCTTTCAATATGTAATGGGAGCCTGGAGCCCTCAAAACTCGGCCTGCAAGTTAATACTCATAGCTAATGAGGGAGAATGTTTTGCTGGTGAGGGGCGTTGACGACCCACTTTACTCCTAAATTGGGCTGAAATGCATTTCTTCTGCTGCAATTGCTATCAAAAATAACAAAAAAGCCTCGAAAGGCCCGATACCAATGTATCGGCTTAGGGAATAAAAGCGCAAAGCCCGCGTAGACAGACCCAGATCCATGTGCCGCGTTGCCGAACGTCAACGCTCTGGCATCGCATTGATAACCGCGTTATGTGGGGGAAAATGGTGTCATAGGCAATTTTTCGTTTTCATCTCTTCTCTTGAGTTTCACATTCGCCAAGTAACGGTACTGATACCCCGAGGATTAGCAAATAGTCTCAATCTCGCACCCCTGGTCGGCATTGCACCCTCGCGTGACAGGCTTCCGAACCAGGCGTTTGTTGATGGGGTCCTCTCCGCACGTTCAGGAATCGGGCCAAAGCCCAGAATACCGAGATGATACTCGGTTTTCTCATTCCGTCCTAACCGACCATGCGGACTCGCCAAGCATCGACAGCGATAGCGATAGCGACAGCGATGATACCATCTCCGAGGGCAACTCTCCGCCCCTGAGGGGATTGGAGGCCGCGCCGCTGATCACTGACCATCGACGCTTTTCTTCTACAGGACAAGAGAGGGAATATGATGCTGACAGTGTGCTTGAAAATCCCGAGGAGGAAAAGCCTGTTACTTGGAGCTCGTTGCCGAAGAAGGGCCAATTGGCGATCTTGACCTTTGCACGGCTCTCCGAGCCTCTGACCCAAACCTCCCTGCAGGCGTATATGTTCTATCAACTCAAGTCGTTTGACCCTTCTCTGCCAGACTCTAAAGTCTCCGCCCAGGCGGGCCTTCTTCAAGGTAGCTTTACAGCCGCGCAATTTATCACGGCGGTATGGTGGGGTCGGCTCGCAGATGCCGAATGGATGGGTCGGAAAAGAGTGCTGTTGATCGGCTTGATGGGTACTTGCTTATCATGTATTGGGTTTGGGTTCTCTCGTAGCTTCGTGTCTGCCATGATCTTCCGGACGCTTGGCGGGGTGTTGAACAGCAACATCGGAGTTATGAGAACTTTGATCGCAGAAATTGTTTGTGAAAAGAAGTGAGTTTCGCTATCCCGATAGTCAAGCATTTGGTCTTGAGGCTTACGATGAAGGTATCAATCTCGAGCATTTTTGCTTCTCCCGATGTGTTTTAACATCGGGGTGATCATCGGCCCAATCCTAGGTGGTTCCTTGGCCGATCCTGTCAACAGCTTCCCACAGATCTTCGGTCCTGGGTCTTTAATTGGAGGTAAAGAGGGTGTCTGGTGGATGCAGCGTTGGCCATACGCCCTTCCAAACGTACTAAGCGCAATCTTTATATTCGCTTCAGTGCTTGCAGTGTTTCTCGGACTTGATGAGGTGAGTCTATGCCTAAGATTTCGAGGCGATTGATCTAACAATACATTTCAGACTCATGAGACTGCCCGTTACAAAAAGGACTGGGGTCGAAAACTCGGAAAGCGGCTCACAAGAGCTTTCAGACGAAGACCACCACACTACCGCCCCCTCACACGCTCCAGGGACGACGATTCAGTTTATCTAGACGGCAGCGTGGAAACGTGGTCTGTACCATCCAGTCCAGCTCGATCGCGCGTGCAGCCCCGAGTCCATAAAAGGCCAGGGTTCCGGCAGATCTGGACTCGCAACGTCCTCTTGACTCTGCTGGCTAATTTCCTGTTGGCTTTCCATACGAGTGCCTTCAATTCTATGACCTTTGTATTCCTGCCTGCGCCTCGTGCCCCCGAGGATTCTCGACAGGGCTTCTTCCACTTTGGAGGTGGATTAGGTCTTCCATCTTCCCGAGTTGGGCTCGCTACTGCTGTCATCGGATTCATCGGCTTGCCGCTTCAGATCTTCCTGTATCCGCAGATCCAAACTAAACTCGGAACTCTGACTTCGTTCCGCACGTTTCTTCCTTTCTCGCCTCTGTCTTACATGCTAATGCCTTTCCTGGTTATTCTCCCGCGCATTCCTTCGGTTGTCTGGCCGGCTTTCACATTCGTTGTTAGCTTGCAAGTGATATCGCGAACGTTCATTCTACCTGCTGCTATTATCCTTGTGAATAATTGTGTCACAGATGCATCCGTTCTTGGCACGGTTCATGGTGTGGCGCAGAGTATATCCAGCGCAGGTCGCACACTTGGCCCACTCCTCGGAGGATGGGGCCTTGGTCTGGGACTGGAGTATAATATGATCGGGGCAGTTTGGTGGGCGCTAGCGGCCCAGGCTTTGGTTGGGTGGGCCATGCTGTGGAGTATATACGAAGGCAACGGCATCGAGCAAAAGAAAGATGAGGATGAGGATTGATTGATATTTCTGATAATATGGTTCTTGGGCGCTGGCTTGGTTGCATCAGTGAATACGCCATAGATCATGCACAAACAAGCCTTGTTACCAAATCGAATTAGAGATATTTGTTGAAACTTCAGAAGAGAAACATGATAATTCTGATGTGATTGCCTTGAGAAAATTCTTCTTGTATCATCGAGTCATGGAATCATTGAAAACGTAGAAATAAATCAAGCTATGCGGGTATCCATGCCGTTATGCTCGGAAAGACGGGGCAATGAAGGCTTTCATAGCTTTCACGACATCACCGTCATGTGCCTTCAACAACTCTGTGGCCTTGATCCGGCTCAGTTCTAGCTGATCCACCTGTTGAATCGATATCATTAGTTTGTGCAGGATATACCGGGGAGTCAGATCTCACCAGCAAGGCAACATCAGCAGCAGCAACCTTGACCACCTTCTTCTTCGCCACCTCTCCATCGGACTTCTGCACATTCGTTCCCTTCGTGTTTTGACCCTGTCCACCAACTATCTCAAGTCGACTCATTGCTTTGCCCAAGGCGTCTTGGTTTGTATTTGCTCCATCGGAGACGCCATCCGTTGTGATCTCATTTACATTCAGGGAGGAGAGGGCGGCAGCAGCTTTGCGGTCTTCGGCATTGGCGTGGGCTGCATGATCCGAGTCTGGATCAGCAGTTGCAGATGGGATAGGATCAGACATGTTTGGGGAAATATCGAAGAGCAGATGTTGTTTTGACGTCACGCCGATTTGGCAAAGCGCTGACATAATTGTTTGCCTCCGCCTCAGGTGCCTCGCCAGTTGTCCTAGATGGCTGTTTTTGCTTGATATTAACGGAGAAATTAATACTGAAGGAAGGATGATTTCCAGGAAGATAGTCTAGATTGTGTGACAAGTTGATCGGTTCATACTTTACATCTCCACTTTGGACTCCACTCTCACGTTCTTGGTAAATCCATGTCTCCAAAGTATACATAGCCAGATAGAACAGAGCATCGATCAGCCGAAATTACTGCTGTTTGATGCCTTTGCAGCGGGTCTGCAATTATCAAACTATAGAACCGCCTTTGTGAAGTACTTGCTTTGTCCTATCCCAAAATTATCCGTATTTAGCTCATCGAGTCATTGTTGTACTTCGAACGTTGTTTCTGATGCGCTATTTCAGGCCTTCCAAAGAGAAAAACAAAGAGTCCCGACAATAGCATTTGGTCTTTGGTTAGGACCTAAGGAAGTACAATTAGAGCCAAGCCATTCGTGCAAGTTTTTATAAAGCCCGGCTTCACCTACAACTCGAGTATCCATTATCTTCATCCAACTCAATCGGAAACCCACCAAGTATCCCACCAAACACAATCTAATATCTTCTTCATTGCAAATACCTCGAACATTTTGCTGACCAAATCCAAAGGTCATCCTCAACCCCGATTCCTCATACCAAAATGTTCCAAGTCCAGACCCAACCCCAGTTTCAACTCCAGCCAAGCGTCATTTTCAATGAGGATATAGTTTACCACGAAGAGAAATACCAATACCTAACCATGTACCGAGATATGATCATCCTCATCAACACCCCTGGTTTCAGTCATGCAGACTTCAAATCGGTCATTGGAAGGCTAGGTCTGATCAAGCTGCAACTTCACAGATTTCACGATCAAGGACTGATCATGTATAGACTGAATCCCAGATGTCACACTATTCTCAGTAAGCCTGTCGGATACTTCGAGGATGACTTTATCTGTTTCTGCAATAATCTTTCGGCTAGATTGGACTCGCTCACGAGGATGATGATGACCGATGACAGTGTTGAGACGGTTCAGCAAGTCTACCAGACCCTTCGCGAGCTTGAGTTTTGAAGTCATAAATAGTTTTAGAGAACGGCAACATATTTCGTGGATCATTTTAGACTATAGATTCGGGACAGTTGGGAGTTTTACCATTGAGCGATTTAAGATATGAATCATTTCTTTTTCAAATAAATCTCTTCATTTACCTTCCATTGAACATTAGTAGGAAAAAGCAAGAAATGCAATGTAATGTGAAGAGGTTATAAAAATGCGAAATTAATATATTATATCAAGGGAAAAAAGAAGTTATATGCTTGAGTGTCCCATATGTCGGGTATGCAATCGTGTACAAATGAACCATCAGGTAATCCTCTACAGAGCGAGGGCCAGAGCCAACATACCGGCAGCACCGGCAACACCCATGGCAACACCACCGGTAGCCGCAGGGGCACCGCCGGTGGACTCGGTAGGGGAAGCAGAAGCCGAGGCAGAGCTGGAAGAGTCGGAGCTGGAGTCCGAGGAGGAAGTAGACTGAGCAGCACTGGAGGTCTGGCCAGAGGTGGTGGTGACACCAGCAGCGCTGCTGGCATCGGAGCTGCTGGAAGCAGAGCCGGAGCCGGTTTCAACGGCAGTGCTGGAGCCAGTTGCGGTCACAGAGTTGCTGGCAGAGCCAGTCTGGGTGGAAAAGCTGTCGATGGTTGAGGAGGCACCGGCAATCTCATCATCGAAGTTGGAGGTGGCCCAGGCCTTCACGCTGCTGGGCAGAGAGTTGTACCAAGCAGGGTAGGTACCGGCTGCAGCGGCACTGACGATAGAGGAACGAGAAGAGTCGTCCATGAGGTCGCTGTAGAATGAGTCTGGAATGGCGGTTGCCAGGACAGCCAGGATGGAGGTAGGGACATCATCAAGGTCGAAAGAGTCATCACCGGAGCTGGTATCGTAAAGGTCGGAGTAATCATCGGAGCTGCTGTCCGTGGCAGGGGCAGCCAGGGCCGTAGCGGCGAAGAAAAGGGCGGCAAAAGCTTTGTACTGCATGATGATGGGAATGTGAAGGATACTGGGTCAAAAAAAGAGAGATTGATAGGATTAAGTAGGGGTCAACCAACACCAGAATTGGGGCTCTTAGCCAAAACAAGCAAAACCTAAACCTGCTGCGCCGCCGTTTAGCTCTGAGACCTGGCCAATCACCCCTGGCTGTCCTGGGGGCTAGGGCTTACCCACGATACTAGGCACAGTAGGCACTCGGAGTAGTCCGCACTAGTCCGATGGGGGCCATTTACTTTGGGGGCTAGAGCCAATCTCTGAAAGCCTTGCCACTTTCGACATCTTGATTTTTCCTGCAATAATAATAATGATACTAATAAACTCAGCCCCTTTTATCTTTTCCGTGGTCCGATCTGCCAAATTTAGACCCTTGAAAGCCGAGTCCGGGGGGCTCTGCATAGGCAGCATAGGCAAGATACTAACATAAATGGGGACACCGAAATTTTCCATTCAAACTTTGTGATATCCGAACTTTCAACAATAACACATTCCCATATAAAACAATCTTGGCATTACTGTTGCCAATGCATGAAGTCCTCCTGCCTATTTAGATTATTTTGAGCTGATACTCCGTATTGACTGCTCACTTTTCCAGGTTATCCGCACTTGACTCCTTCACCACTCATTGGGCACAATCTCGTATTCCTGCTTATATTGGGCTGTTTCGCTGGGCTTGAAACTTGATGTTTGGGTGACACCTCGACATAGAAAGACCTGTAGACCAAGACACAAACCTAGGCTTTTTGTAAACTCGGTACTGATGCACGTATCCACCTTTTGAACCTTTTACATGTTAGGCAGACGCAAGTACATGTATGTGACCATATCGTGCTTCCTTAAACCTTGGTGATTTTATCATATACGAGTATGGACGACATAAGCGAGTATAGGCAAGGCATTGAGAGGGCTATCCTTTGTGGAGCTGACTGCCTTCGGGGACCTAACACGGAGCGCTACTACAGTCTGGAACAAAGAATCAGTAAGACCATCCAATACGAGGTCTGAGATGGAGAACCTGCTCAACCACGGGATTTTTTCGTTATGAAGAAGGGGGAAAGATCACGTCTCTGTTGATATCATATGAGTGTCAGATTAGATCTCTGAAGATGAATTAGTCCTGATTAGGCAAGCCCATAACATTGGACGGGGCCACATTAGGGGCTCAAGTCAATTCTCACGGACCACGGAGTACGGATACTCCGAAGTTTTGGCGATGAACTGTGGTCTCGAACTACCCAGGAAAGCCCCCTTACAGAATTTTGCCATTGATCGGTTACGATCTAATTTTCCTTTTCTGGAGCTTTCGCTATATGGGCAACAGCTACGGAGTACACGAATTTAAATGATTGGATATTGGCTCATTGCTCTATATCCAACCTACAACGAGCTTATACCTTGAACCATAGCCCTGATTGCGTCAAAGCAGATAGAATTATCCATTTATGCCTTATTGACAAGGCACCAAAGTGAGTCATCTAAATGCCGCGACTAAGCGCAGTGTCACGTTGCCCTTTGGTCCTTTTAAGACTTGCATGTTGTGCGTTAATGTTTTGACTTTTCCCTCGATCGCTGCAATTCTTCTTTCTTAATCAAACACATACAGAGTACTGTGGCTTTCATTGATCCCGTTGGGCTGCCGATCAACCCACCCCATAATCACCCCCACCTTTCCCTCACAATGGCGGAATGGAGCCCGAGCTGTAAGGGCCAATTCTACTTCCAACTGGAGTACGTGTACGGAGTATTGATCAAATAATTCCAGCTTGGACTCAAAAGCCCATCAAACAAGATGTGATCTATGAAGATCTCCAGGGACTGAAAGACTCCCTTCAGAAGCTGCAAAAATTACCCCCACTAGTGACAACACGAGAAGTATGCAGTGTACTCCCGGACCAAACATCATATCATATACTAACTATTCGCTAGATCAACAATCTCAAAAGCAGCCTCCGAAATGTTGCTCTAGGCAATGCATTTGTACTTCAGGGTGGTATGTTTGACAAGTCCCTATATCTGGCGTCAACTAACGACTCCAGGTGATTGTGCCGAGCTCTTTGACTACTGTAACCAAGATATGATCGAAGCCAAAGTAAAGCTTTTGTTGCAAATGAGTCTGGTTCTTATTTGGGGTATGCCACAATCCCCCCAAAAAACAATAAACCACTAACTAACCTTTAAATAGGCGCCAACAAGCCCGTCATCCGCATTGCCCGGATTGCAGGCCAATTCGCCAAGTACGTGAAACCCACATCAACCCAAACCACCAAACTAACCCCGAAACCAGACCCCGATCAAGCCCAACGGAAGTAATCAATGGGGTCGAAATGCCCTCTTTCCGCGGCGACAACATCAACGGCTTCGCCGCAGACCCGACAACCAGACAACCAGACCCAACCCGTCTAGTCTCTGCCTATTTCCACTCAGCCGCAACGCTAAACTATCTCCGCGCCTCACTCTCCTCAGGCCTAGCAGACCTACACTCCCCACTAGACTGGGGCCTCGGACATGTAATCACCCCATCCATCAAAGAGCAATACACCAAGACCGTAAGCGCCGTGAAAGACGCACTACGGTTCATGCGCACGGTAGGAATCGACAAAGACCGCGGTGTGGAAACAGCAGATATCTTCACCAGTCATGAAGGTCTATCACTTGAATATGAACAGAGTCTCACGCGACAATTGCGACACCCCGCCACAGCCGAAACAGGCTACTACGCGACATCTGGTCATTTCCTGTGGATTGGGGATCGGACGAGGCAGCTTGATGGAGCGCATGTGGAATTTTTCCGTGGGATTGCGAATCCGGTTGGAATTAAGATTGGGCCTAGTATGGCTCCTGATGAGCTGGTTCGGTTGTTGGATGTTGTTAATCCGGATCGGGAGGTTGGAAAGGTAACCTTGATTTCGAGGTATGGGGCTGGCAAAATTGCGGACTTCTTGCCTGGACATATTGCTGCTGTGCAGGCTTCGGGTCATGTTCCTGTTTGGCAATGTGATCCTATGCATGGCAATACGCAGAGTACACCTTCTGGAGTGAAGACGCGGCACTTTACGGATATTTTGTCGGAGTTGAAGCAGGCTTTGGAGATTCATCGGGCTGCTGGGTCTTTCTTGGGTGGTATGCACCTTGAACTCACTGGCGAGGCTGTCACTGAGTGTGTGGGCGGTGCAGCTGGGTTGACGGAGGATGGACTGGGAGAACGGTACACGACTTTCTGTGACCCTAGACTCAATGAGAAGCAGGCTCTTGAGTTGGCCTTCTTGGTTGCTGGGTTTTACCGCGAGGAATCAGATGATTGAGAGCATCTTCATCCTTCGGCCAGTCAATGAGAATTAGTGGCATTGGCCGCATGTTCAGCCCTTTTGTGTCAAATCGGGGCTGTTTTTCGGGTCTCCAACCATATTGGTTATGGAGAAATCAAAATGCGAAAAAAAAGAATATAAGAATCGATATGTGGTATCTTTCATTGATGTGATCTGATTCAGTTGAGATTCGAAGAGATTACAACACTAGATCATGCATGAAACCATACCAATGCACTTGGCAGCCTCATGATAGGAAAGCAAGACAACATTTTCCCGTATGTACAACAACTGGGGGGTATTTACAAAGACAAGAAAAGGAAAACGCAACGCAATGCAAAGATCAAGGAGCAAGCGGGCTGGCAACAGCGGGCTTGTAAACAAGGCTCTTTCGGCGGGCAGCCTCCATACGGAAGCGGCGCTGACGCCTAGATTCTTCATCATCCCCATCACCAGGTGAAATTCTCGAGGTCTTGGAGCTAGAGAAAAGACCCCGATTGCTTTGCTTTGGTGGGCAGGATTGTTGAATCAGGTTGGAACGATTGCCAAGGAAACCTGGCGTGGCGGGAGACATGCCAATAGCGTCGAGTTTGGCGAAGTTGTAGCCAGGCGTAGCAGGGAATTGATACTTGGAAGCGGATGTTTGATGAGTAGGAGTAGATGGCACTTCCTGCTGGTGGGTTGGAGGTGTGATTTTCCGGAAGCCATCGACGGCACCTTGTCCAGCACCGCTGCGACGTCCACTGGCTGATGGCGCTGGGGATTCGGGAATGCGAACCAGTGTTCCATTGACGTTACTGAGCGCGCGAGGTTCCATGCTCTTGCGACGCTTAGCACCACCGCGTGGGATAATGGAACTGTCAACCGCGTAGGGTGTTTCATCAAGCCATTGGCGTTCTCTTTCACAACTAAGAAGATGGTTAGATCGCTGAATAGCGTCAATCAAAGAGAGCAGCGACTTACTCGAGAACCCATCCAACACCAACACATTTCACAAGGCCTGCTGCCTTCTTGACTTTTTCCAATGTGCGCAAGCCACCATCCTTGTAAACGACATGAGTGATACCAACTCGCGAGTCCCTCAGGTCTGCCCCATCAACGGGAGAGAGGCTAGAGCCAGGATTCCATGACCATGACTTGACACATCTAGCACCCATTTGCTGCAAAAGCTCGACAAAGATCCCAGACGCATCTTCACCTTCGGTGGTGTGGACATCGACATGCACGACCGCACCTTCCAAGGCCTTTTGCTCAGCACTAATGCTGCGGCGAGCCTTCTTGGAAGGGCTAGCAGTGGGGGTGGAAGTACTTGGCGGGGCCATCGCTGGTCCCCGGCCGCTGCTGCGTCTGCTCACAATGGAACGTCGCTTTGGTGTCGGGCTACCGGTACTGACCCGTGGGGCCTTACGGGGAGGGGGGAGGACTGGCATACTGTCGTTGAGGGCCAGAAGAGGAGGTTTCCGAACGCGTGGGGAAGAACGAGTTGGGGAGGTTGCCGAGAGCGAAAGTCCTCGTTTGCGGGACACCTTGAGAGGCGATATTTCACCTTCACCCTTCAATGGAACCTTGGATACGGTGTGAACGGTGCGCAGGTCTTCAACGCGAGATCGCGACTTGATTGGTGTGACTGGTAGTTTTGCAGGTCCGCGGTTCTCCTTGTCGTCGGTATCTTGTTCCTGCAAAACTTCAGCGGCAGGGATGTGCTGCTTCGTAATGCTGCGACGATTGGTTGATGGTTCGATTTTCTCTGAGACGGGGTCCTCAAATATCTCCGTGTGCTTAAGTGGCGAGACAGAGCTCCGACGGCGCTCGTACACTGTAGATGGTCGCGGGGTCTTGTCGTGCTCGGTGCTCATGCTTGTATCATCACTCTGAGGCTGATGTGGCAATTCGGCAAACAGGGAGGGGGTGTTTGCGAGAGGGCTCTTGGACAAGTCTGGATACGACACACTGCCAGGGGTGGTAGTGGCTTCGGCGGAGGTGGGATCCAGCGGACCGACCAAGGAGAAAACTCCACGGCGACGGGGTCGGAGTGATCTGGCCTGCGAAGGGGTATCTTGTTCCCAGCGACCAAATCTTTGTGCCAATGGCGTCAAGCCCACGCCACTTGCGGTGGGTGTTTTCTGCTGATGGGCAACGCTCGGTGTGTTGAGTAGACTAGGCACCATTGACGCAGGGCTATCTCCCTGGGTGGCTGGCGTATAACTCAATTGGTCCTCGAAGGGGCTGGGGCTGGGGGTGGCATTGGCATTGGCATTCTTCACGCGAGGAGTGGGGTCATTTTCATTCTCGGTGTCGTCTGGGCGATTTGTGGGGGTTGGGGTGGTTTCCCTAATTGCCGGAGAGCTCAAAATTGGGGAAGCGATAGACTGAGCCCTTTGGGCCGAGCTTGTGACATCTTCCAGATGGCTGGTCTCGCGCGGAGAGAGTGGGTAAGAGCCCGTTGTAGACGTAGGCCCACTTTCTTCCACTTGGACGTCATCGCTCATGACTTCATCTCCTTCATCTTTTTCGACATCCGATTCGTCCAGCTCAACGTGCTGCACTGGTGTCGGGCTTGGTTCAGGAGATTCATATGCAGCGGAATGGTGGGCTTCTTCGTCCAACTCAGTTTCCTGGTCGGAGTGCTCGTATTCAGGAGCTTCCCAGTCATCGTTTTCTGAGTCAACCGATTCGACACTTGGATGAATCATTTCATCGCCTGCAAGGTATTCATCTTCCATCATGTCGAAGCAAAGCGTCTCTGCTTCCTCGTATTCAAAGGGAGGCACGTCTTGAATGAAGCTACCTGATTCGGATCCCGATTCGTCCTGGATTTCCTGGTAATGCGGATTGTTCATTTCCATCTGTGCGTCTTCCATAGCGTCGAAACAGAGCGACTCGGGCTCTTCGTATTCGTAGTAGTCCCGTCCTTGAGCCCTTTCCTCATGTTCAAACTCCGATTCTGTCTGTGTTGCTTGATCGTCGAATTCCTCTGGGGCCATGTTTGCCTCTTCCATTTCATCGAAGCAAAGAGTTTCGGGTTCTTCGTATTCATATAGGATCTCGTTCTCAAGTTCTGCGATTTTGAGGTCTTCGGAATGTGTGTCTTCTGCGGTCTCCGTCTGCAAAGCATCCTCTTCGAGATTGTCATCATTCTCTGATTCAGGCGCAGAAGTCTCCTGCTGATTTGGCAGGGGGGATGGCGTTCTGTCATCGCCTGACATCTCAATGTCAATGTTGAAGATATCTCGAGCTACATCCTGGACCAAATCACAGTCCTCTTCGTATGTATCCTGGGCCTGCTGTCTTTGCAACGGTGATGACTTGGGAGTGGTAGTTTCTTCAACTTCCAAATCCTCTGCAGGGGTACCGTCACTTTCTGGAGTCTTCGAGTGGCCGGTTGAGGCATGAGCAGAGAAAATGGAGCTTTTGAATGGAGAAGCTATTCTCTTTGCAGGACTCTGGAACAGGGGAGTCCGGGCGAGGACTGGTGGAGCGGAGGCCTTGAGTGCTGACTGCGAGAAAGATGCTGCAAGATTACCCTTCTTTGGGGACATCTTGAGTGGAGAAGCATTTGCAGGTGTAAAGTCTGGAGCAGAGACAGAATTCACGTTGTCCATGAAAAGCGATCCCGCGCGATTCGGGGTTTCTCTAAGACTGAATTTGAAAGGAGATGATGTCGGGGCCCGTCGCGCCGGGCTGCACATGAACTTGGACTCGCCGAGATTGACGGAGTTGCCAGGCGGAAGAGCGAGATGGCCACTATCGGCAATAGCGTTCTGGCTGCGGTTGGGTGTGAAGTTGATCTTTCTGACTGGGGAGCTAAGGCCGATGCCTTCTGATCCGTGTTTGGGCGTTGGTAGTTTGGGTTCGCCATTTTCGTCGACAAGACTGGCAGCTTTTCTCGGTGTAAAGTTGATTCTGCGTACAGGGGAGCTTAATCCGGTATTTCCCAGAATGTTCTTAGCAGGAGAGTGAACAACGAGCCTGACGGGACTTGAGCTCTCAACCTTGATTGTGTTCAATTCGTCCTCGTCATCAGTGCTTGCATAGCCTGATAGGGACTTGGCCACTTGCTTGTCCTTCTTGGGAGACAAAGGTTTAGCCGCACCCTTCTTAGCTGCAGCTGGTTTCCGTCCACGGGCACCGCCCGCTGCAGGCTTGCGAACAGGTGTCGCACCAAGTCCCGCTTTCGCAGAGCCCGCAGCCTTGGGGGCTGCTCTTGTCCGACCAGCAGCAGGAACTTCAGGCTCACTCGAATCCTCTTCGGAATCGGAGAGTTCTTGGAATGTGACTGTCTTCTTTTTGGCAGGTCCACGGCGAATGTTTGAGCGCATGATAGAGCTTGTCGAAATTTTAATGTTGGTGGGTTTCATATCATCTGCAGCCTCACTTGCCATTCGTGTTCTCCGGGTGTTGGTGGCCGGGGGCTTTGGCGCCGTTGCCGTCGCTTTGGCTCGTCCCCGAGTCTTAGTTGCACTCTCCTGCTTCGGTGCTGGTGCTTCCTCTGGCACTGGTGTTTTTCTCGGCCTCCCGACGCGTTTCTTCGGTGTCTCCGTTTCTGATGAAGGCGCGGCCTTTATTTGGGTATCGGCGCGCTTAGTGGCAGCTTTCGTTCCACGGGTAGCCGCAGGGGCCTTGGACTTCGTCGCTGGGCGGGCAGCCGGTCGGGCAGCCGGACGAGCGCGAGGTTTCGCGGTATTCATGACAAAGCCGAGCTCGTCGTCCGTGTCGTCGGAGTCAACATTGGGAGCTGGCGTCGCGGTGCGTGGAGCTGGAGTTGCCTTGCGAGGTACTTTTCTTTTCGCGTCGGCAGCAGCTGTTGACTGGGTAGAGGTTCGTCCCGTCCGCTTGGCGGGGGACTGGGGGATCACTGCGGCGCGCGCCATGCTGTTATATTTTCCGGAATTCGCAGTTAGTGAGACGCGGCACTCATGTCGAGATTGTCGGTCGAAATATAGAATCGGCCTGTCGCGAGGTTTGTCGAATTAGTTGCATGAAAGAGGAAGCAAGGCAGCGTGAATTATCCACTGTGGAGGTGTGTCGATCCGAGGTGCTTGTTGTGGCGCTGTTCCCACGGCAACTGCGATGCACGTGATGCTCTTTCCTATTCCGGACAATGTTTATGCTCGTTACATCCACCACCAATATGTACTCCATGCCTGTAGTTGAAGTTTAACTGATACTCAAATATGATATTCCTATTGCTCAAGGCATTTTGATCGATTTTGAAGATTCAGGATGCATTACCACGAAAGTCGTGGGTAACACTGTATATATTTGAGCAAAAGCTGACAAGTTTGCAACGTGTAGATCAGGTACATTTTCTAAAGTTCAAGAATCGAAACCGTGGATTGGAATGAAAGTATTCGCAGATTCATTACAATAGCATTAACGAATGCCAAAAAATAGATACATGATTAGATACAATAGTGGCCTAACACCACACCGACCATGTATTTGAGAAGCAAAGTACATAGCGTCGTGCAAGTCTATATCCAGATCGAGATATCAAAACGCGAAAGAGAAAAAAGCTCTACCAAATTATACCAGGGTGAAGAGAGCCACACCAGCAGCAACAACCGCCGAAAGCATGGTGGGCAGCATGGCTGAACCGGCATTGTCAGCCAGGTAGGTTGTGGGGTTGTAGTTTGCGGGCACGGTGGCGTTGACAGTGCCATTCCAGCAGTAGCGGTCGAAGCAGGTGTTGCAAATGTCGGGGAGGGTGGTGCCTGTGCGCTCGAAAGAGCGGCTGAGGATGGCGCAGCCAACACAGGATGTCCAGTTACCATCGAGAGTGCTGTTGGCCATGGTTGCGACCTCGTATCCGTTCAGGATGATGTTGTCACGCTCAGTGTCGTCGGTGCTCAGCTGGAAGGTGGAGACGTTGGAGTGGAAGGAGTATGGAGCGTTAGGGACGTAGACGACCAGAGGGGCGGGGCCGCTGATGTTGGAGCTGTCACAGCCGAAGAAGGTTGGGCGGGTGTTGAGACCGAGGTTGACGAAGGTGTTGACGTCGGGAACTGCAGGGAAGGCAGTACCATTGCCGATACCGGTGTTGTTCAAGCTACGCTCGTAGGTTGCGACCAGAGATGTACCGTTGGGCCAGTAGTAGTCGGTATCGGCTGAAGAGTCGACGGCGAAGATCACATCGACGTGACGCTCGGGCTGGATCAGGGGGTGCAGGGGGACATTCTGTCCGTCCTCACCACCGTCGACAACGTCCAACTCAGTCTGACGGGCATATGGTGACGAGTGGTTGTTGTAATGGTAGAAGGGGTTAGGGTCGTATGCCGCAATATCATTATCAGACTTGTCCAACTTCTCAAGAATGCTAGTGAAGACATTCTTCACAAAAGTGGGAAGCGAGGTAGTGTTGATCTGGAGCAGGAACTGGTTGAAAAGGGTGGAGGAGGTTCCAATCACGAAACCGGCGCTGTCATATCCGCTGATACAGCTCTCATTGCTAGGGAGGGAACCAGCTTCGAAGCGTGAGCCCAGATACTTCAGTGGGACGAAACCGAAGATAGTGGGGTCGAAAGTGCCAAACTCCCAAGGGTTGAATTCGTAAACAGTCGAGTTGCTTCCGACCACAAGTTCACCAGGGTTACGACCATCCGCGACCACCATTGGCATGGGGTAGTTTCCGTCCTTGAACTCAGTGGTATCGGCAATGGATGACCAGGTGTAGCTGAGCGCACCGTTGGAAGCGTTGAACATCTGGTATGAGAGTGCGCGGCCCCAGATATCAGTGAGCGAGGTATCGAAGCCGGCCTTCTTCTTTGACTCGACCGCCTCTGCAAGGTCCTTGTAGTAGCTTGCCGAATCCAAGATCTGGATACCGCCAGTATCAGGACCCTCAATGATCGAGTTTCCAAACTGCCACACGGAACCATCTTTGTGAGTCTGCAGCTTATCGATGGTGGTGAAATTGTTGATGTAGATGGATCCAAGCAGCCAACTGCCTCCGCTCAGACCGGCCAGATAGGTAGCTGACTGCAGCAGACCACCCAAGTGCCCACTGGTGGACGCATTATAGGTTCGACTATCATAGGCCTTGATGGCACCAGCACCGTTCATCAGCGCACGGTATCCACCGCCCGACACGGCAATACCGATATTAGGGATGTTCGAGGTGTTGGAGGAGTGCTTGTCCAGGTAGGAGACCACATCGTAGTCACCGACTTTCACATGTCCAAAGAAGTCTTTCAAGCCTGTCAGGGCCTTCTCACGGCGAGTCTTGAGCCATGAGGTCTCGTTGGGGGAGAGCTTCGCGGCACTACGAATTGTCGGCCGGCTCGCTGGGCAGCTGACGGAAGTTGGCACGTATCCGTCGGGCGCATCAGGGAGCGCACGCGCGAAGACGATATCGTCAGGGTTAAACCCACTGGGGGAAGCAATTGCGCCTGCACACAAAGTCGGTTAGCGTTCACTTGAAACTGCGGGAATAAATTGTGGATCGGCATAACACGAACGCGACCGCGGGGCGCAGGGAGTACTTACCCGGCAATAGGCTCAGGGCAATCGAGCCGATCAGAGCAGTCTTCATGGCGAGGGTGAAAGGAAGACAAAAAAAAACAATTGAAAGGCTAGGCGACCCTCACTCTTATGCACCGGGCCCGCCGGAAGCTTAGCCAAGTGATGGGGAAAGGAGTTCTCGGCATGTTCTTAGTACATTTAGCACATCTGCATAGTGCAGATTTACGACCCGAGGATCGCCAATGAAGGGACAGCGAGTGGACTTCGACCTAGTGGGGAGTGGTGATGTCAAAGGTCGGACGCCGAGGGACCCGACATGTTACAATAATGAAACATTCCATTTGTACAAAGTTGCTTCGTGATGTGGTCCTGCATTCCAGGGAGGCGCAGGGCTGCTAGGGCTGCATAGGGGCTGAGCATTTGCCATGTCTACGGAGTATTATTTTTGAACTACTACGGAGTACTCTATACGGAGTTTTAATTGTACTCGTATGAATGTGCTAAACTTGCGCGAAAATTGCGCCCAATTAAAGCTGAAAACACAGATGCCTAGTTCAATCTTAACGGGGCGCCTGATGCATCTGAGCCCGACTCTGAGTAGCTCAATGGGGCATGTCGTGTTCGTATAGAAGCCCGTAATGAAGCATAAAACAATCAGAGCAGCCTAGAGTGGGGGCTTCGGCTGTTCCGGAGTGGGCCCGATATTTGGGTCTTCATTTCTTCTTCCTAGGCCTCTTACTCGTATACGAGTACTACTATACTACCTTGGCCATGTTCTATTCTATAGAATGACAAGTCAAATGCGTTGGTTTTGATTCCTCCGTGATCAGTCCATCATTATCAGCCTGGTAAAACAATATAAACATGAAACTCCGTACTCCCCACGGAGGACTCCGTCACAACCTGCAGAAATCTCTTTCTTTAGTGTTGGAACTGGCTCGCTGGAAAATTGGGTAAACTATGCCTGTGAAAGCCAGATGTGATTGATTTGAAATTCGCCCCGGTGGATGACAAGACTGGTTTATCCTAACTGGCAAACCTGCTTATGGTTCCACTCGTACCCAGCACCGCGACCAATTCATCCACAAGTTTTACTAAGTGAATATCCAGTCCACGAGTAATCATACCCTCATGTTTCCTGGGTCTTGGCGTCCTGGCCTTGGCCGATTATCCGTTGAGCCTCTGAGACATTCACCGGTATTTCGCTTATTTGATAGAGAGGCCAGTTCCAGGTTATTAATTCCGCTGAAACCCCCAATCATATTGTAATAGAGTTAGTAACCACCCGAGAGATTCCATTTCTTGTCCTCCATTGAAGGATAAAGATATCCTCTTGGTAGCCTACAGATATTCGGAATAGGTTCGATCAATGTGCGGTCAACTCTTTATGGGTTTTTGATTATACGTCAGTCTATGGCTATTCCATAATTTCGTTCCTGCTTTGACATTGAAGACTACTTAAGTAGTAAGATATTTCCCTTCTATCTTTATCTCTTCACTCAGAAAACGTTGGTAGCAACAATACCCTGACTATCCTGGAATCGAAGACCGGCCGTCGAGAAAACCCCTGTCTACTAGAGCATGTACAGACTGTGTAGCCTCATGATTCTCAAGGGCCCAATAGAATCAAGAGACTTCCAAGTTGGAAGGACAGAAACACTAGTGAGTCAAGATATATCCGGTGTTACCCATGGCTACCTCCAGGGCTGAGCATTACTTAAGTACTTAAGTACACCAGGCCGCCCGAACTAAATCCCACCTGGGCAATGTGATTGGGTTCCAAACCCGTTGCAAGTAACCTTCAAGATTGTTACCCCACCCCCCGCATTTCGTCCAGAGTCCCAGATATAGTCCGTCCCATGTAATCAATCATATCAGAATAGTCTTTGGATTATTCTAGCCTGCAGGGATGACGAGTACAGTGTACATCACACGATAGATGTATTGCTCGGTTTACTACATTTGGGACAAGATGCATAGGAAATATCCCTTTGGGCAACTCTTGATCTTTAAATAAGAATAAGTAACCTGTCGATCCATTCTATTTCAAGGTCAGGTGGTGTCGCACACTATGTGGAACATTTCGACTGGATACTTAAGTGAGGGGTTAAGATTCGAAGATTCCATGCCGGTTAATAACTTATTCCAGATGACCCATGGACAAAAGTATATCGAAGAGATAGACAAGGCTGAAATCGAAACAATAAAGGTTCATGTAACCGAGTAAATTATGGGGCTGATCTGCTCGTGTCAAGATCGAGGTGGGTCAGATCTGCACTACACCTACTCTGTACAAACGATAAACGTTCATAGAACCCAGGGTCTTAGCATGATAGAACTGGATTATTACCTAGGCATTCAAGCGAGAGTCTAACATCATCAAAATCCACATACCCAATTATTATCCAAAGCAAGGATCGAGTATCCAAAACAAAACAACGCTTCGCCAGACGTTCAAATTATCCCACAGACGCCACGCAATGAGAGACCAGAACAGAATGATCACGCGCAAGACCTTAAGTCCAAAATCAAGACAAAGATCAAATCATAACCTTCATAATCTACCATGCAGTGTGGCCACCGTCCATGCGGAGGTCACTACCAGTCATGAAGCTGCTCGCATCGCTAAGCAGGAATACCGCAGCGCCACGATACTCCTCCGGGCGGGAAAGACGACCCAGCATATTTTCCTTGGGCCATTGTTCGCGCCGCTCGGGGAATTCCACAAAGAGCTTCTCGACCATCGAAGTAACAATATAGCCTGGGGAGATGGTGTTGACGCGAATATTGTAGGCTCCCCATTCAGCTGCGAGATTGCGAGCTAGCTGGAGGACGGCTGCTTTGCTGGCGTTGTAGGCGGGGCAAATAAGACCCTGTGGGAAAATGTCAGATTGATACTTGGAGGCGAGTTGTGAGGAAATGAGCCATCAAAGCGGGGAACCCTAGTATGAAGGGTCCCGATACATGGACAAGTACGGAGAAAGCACCAACGGCTTATCCACCGCAAGTAACACGCCAAGATATTAACTCGAAAAAAAAAAAGAATTATCTTGCCAAATAGGGGGAAAAGAGATGTGAAAGGTATGTCTGGAAACGTACCCGATTGACAACTGTGCCGCTCATAGACGCGATCATGACGATACTACCCCCGTTCCCAAAGCGAATTATCTGTTTAGCCACGGCCTGAGAAGTCATGAAGACTCCCGTGACATTGACCTCGAACATGGTATTGCTATCCTTTGCAGAATATTCCAATGCAGAGGTCTCTTGCTGGATCCCTGCCGCTGCAACAAGACCATCCATGCGGCCCTCGTCGTTGGCAATTGATTCAACCACGCTGTTGAGAAGCTCTGTGTCACGTACATCGATACTACGGTAGTGCAGTTCTGTGCCGAGATTTTTCGCCTTTTGTTGAATCTGTTCAAACTCGGGGGCCTGGTGTTCTGTTAAGTCTGGTCGAGGTTTGGTATGAATGTGAACATACTGGTTCGCTCAAACGATCAAGTGCGTAGACCTTCGCGCCGGCTTCCAAGAGGGCTTCTGCTTGGGTTAGACCTAGGCCACGAGCACCACCGGAGACGATTATGACTTTTCCGGCGAGACTGAACTCGGGCATTCGGGACTTCTGGCCCATTAAGAGGGGGTTGTTGGACTTGGGGGCGGTTGGAACGTCGGTGACCTCGATGGAGACAGACATCGTATTGGCGATATAGGAATCGAAGGGAGGTGGGGCTGAATTCGAAATAATGGATCAAAAGAGAGATGCTATATGTACTGCTTCTTCGAATGCAGATAGAGAACGGTGAATTGTTGTTGATGAGCCATGGACCGGCGAGATCAATCGTACTTAAATAATGATGGATATCCGGCAAGATCGAGCCGGTGGCATTGAACGCGCCAGCACAAGAGTCTCGTGAGCAGAAAGACCCTGGGAATCCCAAAGAGGAAATCCAGATTTGGACCGAGTGTGCAGCGAAGGTTGGGTCCAGGCCTCCTGGGGTTGTAGGCTAAACGGCTGTGGCGATGGATAGTATCCCAGTACCCCGTACTTGGACTCGTGTTGGGCAACAGATAATATATACAATTATGGAAGAAATGGTTGAATATTCTCGACTGAAGTGCCCCGGTCATTCTAAAATCTATCATTCTTGTATCATCCTGATCTCATCTTTGTGCAAATTTGCCTCCAAAATAGTGAGCAACAATTGCAATAACGGAATCAAAATAAGAAAGTAACCGAAAAAAAAGCAGTGAAATCCCCATCTGCTGTCTGTACTCGTACTCGGTATAGGTCACCAGACTCTGAAGCCACGATAGTTCGGAAGCTAAGAGTCCGGATATCTAGATCGGGAATCCCGTCTGGGGACCCCACGCCACTCGCTTTGTGATTTTTATTGTTTTTTCCCTTCAACTTTCAGGTGACCTGGTAGACTCCCTTAGACACCGCCAAGCTGACACGTCTTCTAGAAGTTGTCAGGTGGTTCGTTACAGATTGACTTTATTTGGCGACAAAGCCCGTTCCTGATCGTCCACGGAATACCCTAAACAAGTAAGATCTAGTTTATTGGTCAGCAGTTATGCTCCTATCAATGAGATTCTGATACCTACTCTACTAGTTATACTCGGTACTCCATAATCCATACCCCATAGCTACCCCATGCCAGTTTATGCGGGGGGCGCTAAAATTAGCATCGGCAGAGCCCAGACTGGCCTGTGTTTGCCGGGACCCAAAACCAATTGCTTTCTCCTTCACTGCGGTATCTCGTGACCGACTCTATTCCAGAGCTCCTTGCTCAATCGGGTGATTCCGAGCTTATTTCCCCTTTGATCATATCTTGTGATGATCTGCGGAGTTCGGAGTACTTCATGTGTGCTCTGTGTTCTTCCTTTACCCCTGGCCTTAAGAGAGACCTTATTTCTTAGTCTGATTGTCTAATTGCATGCTTGGCTCAGCACGGACTCTGAGTGTGAGTAGACTGTTGTTGTGCCCCCAACGTAGGGCTGCTCAAGGTGGGACTTCGGGATTCGCTATTTTTCTCTTGACCGACTGGAAGAATTGATGGTTTGGTCCGAGATTCTGAGGTTGTTTCTTGAGAGGTTCTACATTGAAGGGAGTACGTAGGACTCAAATCGCCAACCAGGCTGATCTCACACAGCCCGCCCCTTTTGCTGTCCTTTGCCACTAAGGACCATACTGATACGAAAGAGAGCAAATGTTTCAACTCGAAATTAGATTGTATTCATCAAATATCTCCAATGCAGAAAAACGAAAACTCCAAGCCGAATCCCTGTTATTTACAATGATCTTCCCCACTAGTCTACAAATATCGTAGAAAAACGAGTCTGGGCCAAACACAGGAGATAAGAACAAAGCACTCAGACATTGCGAAGCAGTGATGAAAATGGCTATCTAGCCGAAAAAAAGCCAAGGCGATTCAAACAGGATATAGAAACTCCTTGTAAGCGCCATTCCGAGATATTGTCGATATCATAACATGGAGAAAAGAAGCCGGAAGTAAAAAATGGAAGAGGTATGCAAAGAGCCGAGAGAAATATTGACCGATTGCTTTTTTTTGGGTTCATTAAGTTTAGGCTTCACGGTAGCCCCAGATGCGTTTTTGTTCGGTGACCCACCACTTGCCGACCTTTTCGGCGTCTTCGAGCCAGATGGCTGTTTCCTCACCGTGCTTGGGTTTGACCTCCTTGATCAGCTCGGGAAGGGTCCATGCTTTGGTGAGGTGGGTTTCACCGGGGTCTTCACCTAAGTGAGTGAAGGTATACTCGAATTCTTCCTTTAGAGGCAGGATCAAGCGGTAGGGCATACCAGCCGTTGTGACGGAGAGCATGGAGCCACCAGCATTGATGAGACCCATGTTCCAGACTGAGCGCTTGGGTGGGCCATCGGGGTGGGAGCGGGCCTCGGGTTGGGAGACATCACGCTCGGGGGGAGGGGGAGGTGGCGGTGGGTGGCTGCCATGGTGGGGTGATTCTTCCACGCTGGAGAGGAAGGGACGCAGTAGAGACTGGCCTTGGTATTCAGGAAGGAGAGCGGAGGCGATTTCCGAGTCTCGCTCGTCCAAAGAGTTGGACTCGACAAGAAGATCGAGGATGGTTGGGATGATAGAGAGGGCGGTTGCGTTGGCGGTAATGTCAACGCGAGGCATTTGTGGGTGATGGAAGACGAGGGGAACACGGAAGTTGCTGATGTGACCGTTTTCGTAGGTTCCGGTCATATCTTTGTTGTCTTCACCGAAAGCTTGGCCGTGATCCCCAACGACGACAACGAGGGTCTCGTTGGCGATGCCGGTTTCTTGGAGCATGTTCATGATATCACCGAGCCAGATGTCGACGAAGCGCGCGGCGTTCAAATAGTTGTTCATGAGGTCGTGGTTGATGCTTCCTTGGTCGCTCATGTAAGGCTCCTTCTTGAAGTCATCTGGTGTGCTCCAGGGGTGATGCGTTGTACTGGTGACGTGGGAAAGGAACATGCGAGTCTTGTTGTTAGCGGCCTCCTCGAAGAGATCACGCACGTATGGCTGCAGTTCAGTCTCGGCATATCCGAAGTAGTTGATTTCCTTGCCCTTGGCTTTGTACTTCGAATGCGAGCTTTGAAGGTCACTCTTGACGACCTTGTGTGTGAAGCCCATGTTCTCATTGAGAACGTCTTGGCGATCATAGTCATCGGTGATCGATTGCATGAAGACTGACTTCCAGGGATTCTTCACGGCCTCAGAAGTACTCCTAGCGGCTTGGCTGTGGTTTCCCTTGGGCTGCTCGGGCTGCTCTTTACCCATGTTGAACAAGTCGAAAATTTGGGGTAAGCAAGGTTGATAAATCTCGAGCTGGGATTCTTCCAAAAGATCCACGGGCAATGGGTGGACACCGCAGTGGCTCCCCAAAATGCTCTTGAAAGTCAGAGAGCTTCCTGTCATGGCTCCACGGACGTTGAGACCACCCATCCCTTCCGGGGTCGGGTTTTCCCATGTAGAGTTGCTCAAGTCGACCTTGTTGCCCTTGCTGTCAATAGCGTATTCACCAGTCAACTGCTGGGCGGTAGGGGTCATAGTGACCAAGCGATCGATTGCCTCCTCGATATTCTGCTTCTTGTGAGAGGCGAGAAGACCATCAAACAGGGGTGTTCCCTGCTGTGCAGGGAATAGCTCTTTGCGACCACTTTCAAGGGTCAGTAGCACCACATGGTTGACCTCAACAGAGTGTTCTTTGAATGCCTTTTGGAGGGGCTCGTAAATCTCACCACCCAAGTTCGAGATCTTGAGTGGATCAGATTTCGGGTTGAAGAATCCACCTTCGTCGCTTCCACACACGAAAGAGAAATGGTTATCCTTCTCTGCGCGATCATGCGGGCTGTTGTCCCAGCGGCTGAATCCCGCTGGTGGGTTTTCGGGCAGCCATGACGCTCTGGACCACTGTTCCACAAACGCCCCGTCCGGTTGGAACAGATGATGCGAGGACTTCAGCTCAGGGAAAGGCACCACTGGTTCCCGGCATCCCTCCACCGTAGCAGTCTTTTTGTTGAACGCCTCAAGCAGCGTCAAAGGCAGCGCGCCAGACAGGTGGTCATAAGGGATTGAGGGACGGGAGATTTCCAAAAAGACGAGCGAGACCGTGATGGCGACTGCGGGGATGATGCGACGGAGCGACCGGAGATCCAGGGAGGCCATGCATGATTGTTTAGGGGACGCAATTAATGTATAGCGCGCTCTATAGCTGCCCACGCACAGATCTCGGATTGCCTGCAACCCGAGTCCGGTGAGGTTGTACACGTGCGAGTGAATCAGCCAGGCTACCAGGCCGAGAACAGTAGCCGCCGCGGAGACGGTGGAGATACCACTGAGGAGGATTTTCATGGCGGCCGGATCACTGAGGAAACTACCCCCAGCGGCCCAGGCGACCTCGGCACCGGTCTGCATGAAGAAGCCAAACTGGATGGAGGAGGCACCCCATGTGATCAGGCTGGTTTAATTGTTAGCACTGCCATCCTCCATTCTGTCGAGAGCGATTGCCCACGGGGGGTCAACATACGATAGCGCCCCACCGAGCGCGGTCGAGAGCCATTGCCAACGGCCTTCCGGCGCATGGAAGCGCAACAGCACCCGCACACATATTATCACGAGGACATCGGGGAGAATGAGCGTAGGCGAATATAGAACGAAGTAGAGGAACGGTAACGAGCGAATATGTAGGGCAATATGTAATGCTTTGGAGGCGAGGCCGCTTACAACGAGGGCCGAGAAAAGGAAGGGCGGAAGTGGTGGAAGAAGGGCGAGAATCGACATGATGGACTCATGTCATGGTACAGACAATGTACAAAATGTCGATAAGGAACAGGGCAGAAGGAACGAGAGAACAGGAACGAAAGAATAGAGAAGAGAGAAATACGAAATACCAGAGCGAAAACAAGACCAATGAGGTAATCCCTTGGAGGGAAATTGTGCACGCGACTAAGCGGCTCCGATGCTTGTTTTTTGCTGTTTAACTCCTTTTGACATGGGACTGTTGTCTCCGCTCACTAAAACTATTCTAGAATCCTACTGTTACGAACTACGAACTACGAACTACGAGCACAGAGCACAGTGTACAGTTACTGTCTACCACGATCCTCCGTACTCCAAATCTCGGATGTGACGGAGCCAAAAGTGAAAAGAGAACAGAAAATCCATAAAAAGCAAGGCTGTGTCGGCCCCAATCCAGGGCTCAAGACCCCCAAAGGCACATAATTTGTGCAAGTGGACCCTGCAGCTCACACCATGTCTTAGCCCTGAGGGTTTTTGAGGCTTTGCCACCATCATGATTCGTCCCTCGAGCCCTGCTGAGACAACTTTGGACCCCGATTGCCTAATATATACGAATATTCACGGACTCCATCTGACTATCGAAAAGGGGCAATGCCACCCCTCGTATAGTTATAATCCGGGGAAGGCTGAATTGTCTGAATCGGACATTCACTTACATCCGACCCGCTGTCTCCACTTCATTCTCTTTTTTTTAGTATCTGATCGTGACCATGGTTGGCATCTTCTGTTGTAAGGGATCACCTGGATCGTCCGAGTTCCCGTGTTGCCCTGCGAGAGACAGCCTTGTGGATACGTGTTGATCCCAGGGTCCAGCACAATTTTGTGGCCATTGTACCCGTGCACTCGTACTCAAGTAATGGACGTACGGAGTACTCCGTACGAAGGACAAGTAGTCCATCACATCACTGTTCCAAGTCTAACGGAATCCCCGTGTAAGCCTTTGCCCAGACGTGACAGGAATAGGGGTCCAAAGCTAAAGGCTTGGCAGACCCTGCATGCTGTTCAAGAGGGTTACGTATAGTAATATCGACCCCGTACTCTGTACGCGCGGTTGATCTGGACATGTGTGCGCCCCTCATTGACGTGTCTACTTAACTGCTGGGCGCCTGATACAAAAATTCACCATGGGGCCAAATGGCCCAAATGGCCCCCAACCTACCAGATTTTCAACCCGGTCAATCTCCGCATAATGTCTCCCATTAACTACTTTGTACCTCGTACATATAATATGTACGGGGTACAGTTAAGTAAGAATTCAAACGCATGATAGTTCCCAGGCTCACTATTTGTGGTTTTGGACCCTGGATCCTTGGCGCCCAGTCAATCCATAGGCAACAATTGAAAGATCTCCTCGGCCCGGTTATATATAGAGTGGAACAAGCTTCTCACCTGAAACATCTACTGCTCAAGTGCAATTGTAAAACTGTCTGAATCACGGCTGCCTGGTGCAATTTACCTCGGCCGCATGTCAACTTTAGAACTTCCATACGGAGTACCTCTACAGCTGAAGGCTATACATACCCACCTCTAGAGCTGGGCAGGTGCACGAAGTACCCCATACTTAAGTACCTTTCTAAAGTTCAAGCCACGACCCTTGTACATCTAATCTATAGATCTCGAGGATGGCTCGATTGGCTTGTGCTGAAGTGTGTTCCCAAGGTCATAGGAAATAAATCTTGGAACCAGCCCTGAGAGTTATGTACAATCCTTCTGAAGTTCCAGAAGTTTATATCCGCAGCTGTTTCATGTTCTTCTGGGATAATCCATGGAGCCCACGAGGCAAGTAGCAAGAAGCGCCCAAGACCTCCGAGGTTGCGTTATACTCAAGCCCTCTAGAGTTGGAGTACGCAAGGCAACACCAAACAACCTTGGAAGCCAAATATACAACGTAGGAGCTACTTAAGTACCAAAGACCACATAAATGCCAAGGTCTACATATTCACGAGTAGAGATTCCCAAACACTGGAGTGGAATAATGTACAGATGCAAGATGCAATATAACGCCAATTTGGAACCCACAAACGCCTTTATAACCCGAGGAGCAAAGTAGAACCTCAAGTAATGCGCGAAACAATATCACTCTTCCCCAGGCGATCCAGAATACCCTTCCGCAAGCCCAAAAAGCGCTCAATCTCGCGGGGTTGTTGGTTCTGCTTGTCGCGCATAGTCAAAACCTGCTGAATGGTCATAGGATCGAGGAACGTTCGGCCAGGATGTCCCGCGCGACCAAAGTGCTCGGATTCTTCGTCAGCGGCTTTGTTGAGGCGCTGGCGAGCAGTGACAACAAGCAGGGCCGGGTTGGAGGACTGGGGGAAGATAGATTGCCCGGGGCCTTTATAGGTGCTTGAGTTTGAGAAGGTGGGGGATGGATCAACAGGGCCAATGGAGCGGAGGGAAGCTGCGAAGTCGGGGTCTCGGCCGTCCATGTCGATTGCTGATCTGGTTAGTATTCGCAGGCTGGTAGTGCGGCGGGATATGACATACCATTGGATTTGACACCTGACGCTCTTTCTTTCGAATGGTATGTAGGGCCTTGGGATGGGGGAGCAGGGGCTGGAGGAGGGCTGGCTTTTGATTTGGGTGCTGGTGGCGGAGGCGTTGAGGATTGCTTTGGAGCTTTGCGCGCGGCTCGGGGCGGGGGTGCTGTCTGCTTGGGATATTGGCGAGCAGCTGCGCCGGCAGCCGACTTTGCGGGCTTGGAAGCAGCGGAGCCCATTGCGATAGTTGGTGGGTGGGATGGAGTGAGGGTTGAAGCTTTTTGCGGCGGAGGTCGGGGAAAAATCGCGGAGGCAGCCTTGGCATCAAAGGTGCTTAGGTGACGTCAAAACAGCCCGCAGATATCAACAAACAATTTATTGGGTATACATTTACGGGTCTAATTGGTATGAGAATGCAGGCTAATCACGAGTGATTTCTTTGAACCTGATAGCAACTGAGGTCTATATCTCAGAATGGCCTCGGGCAACCTCTTTAGGGATTTCTTCACTACTGAGAATTATTCACATAGCTCCTATACGAGAAAAAGAATCGAGCAATGATCCGCTAAGAGCTTGATTGTATAATCTTTATTTTGTAGGTAGATGCTGGATACTTCCAGCTAAGATACAATGCGGTGGGGGTCGTAGGCCTTACAGCAGCATGGACGCACCACAGGAGCAGTCATGGGCAGAGCCCAAAGAACATGCCCCGCCTAGGGTCATTTAACGACGGCCAGCGAGGCGTCGACCCTGAACCTCACCCAGCGCACGGCTACCGCTGACGAATGCGATCGTGCCGATAACTCCTGCTGCGGGTAGGAAGGCGAACAGGCTCCACGATGTGTAGTAAAGGAACAGAAGGCCCTCAAATGCCATCAATGAGCCGAGGAAGGTAGCGTGTGAGAGAGGAGCCGACTCGAATGCGGTGGGGAGGTGGCTGACATTAGCACCGAGGAGGTGCCACTAAGGAATGGATTAGCTATGGTCGCGTCAAGACAAATGATAGTGGTGCATCTTACCAGGCCAGCAAGCACCGGAATGGTAGCTCCCACCATAGCCACGAAGGCCAATGTGATAACAATTGGTGGGCTTGAGGCAGAATCCTTGAAGATGTGGTTGATCACGGGCTTCTTGCCATAGCGCTCAGTTTCGACGGTCGGCACGGCCTCTTCAGGGTTGCGATCGATTGACAGCTGGAAGACAGAGCTGTCATAAGCGGTAGAGTCACCAAAGCCGCCGAGAACAACGCGCGCATCGACTGGGTTGGATAGGGAGAGGAATTGAATTGGGAGGTCTTTCTGGGTCTGGGGTATTGTTAGTTGCGCCGCGGGGTGATTTGACTCGAGGATACATACCAATTCCACTCTTGACTTCCCATTGTCTTTAACACTGAATGGGTAAGAGATGTCCAGTCCAGTCTGGCCATCCTTCAATAGGAGGAATGCCTGGTGTGGGCGCTTCGCTGAGCTTCCTTCTTGGGCTGTCAGAATGACACGTAAGGTGTCGGCACCAACGAGCGAGACGGGATTGGCGAGTGGCTTTGAGGGAGTGAGTCTATTGACAATTAGGAATCAGTGCTATACTTGTCATTCAATCTGAAATGCTTACTGGTCCTTGAAACCTCCATTGATACCAGCACCTTTAGGCTGTACGGCCACGGTGGCATCAGTAAAGCCCCAAGCACTGGCGGCAACACCAGGCACAGCAGTGGCTGCGAGAAGACAGAACGAAGCGGTGGCCTGCCACAGATGCATCGTGAAAACCAAAAACTGTAATCAAAGGGTAAACAGATAAACGTATTGCTGTTAACCGGGTGGTTGCTGAGGATTGCAGAATGAAGGCGGACAGGTCATGCCGATAAGCGCCGATCGTTGATCGACCGAGCCCTAACCCATCGACTTATCTTTTTCTGCCAACGACATCGTTGCGTGTCTATGTGCTGTCCACTGCAAGCCAGCCTCACCCTGCTTGATACTACAACATAGTTCTACAAGTACATTGAACGTCCTTACGTATGGGTGTGCCTTTGATATCGTGAGTTCAGCGCCCATGTGTCGGCAGTCCCTGTCCGTGTCCCTGTTCCTTCCCATGCCCTATATCGCCATCATTGTATATTCAGGGCTTCAATACTGTCTCTGCACCCCATCCACCCTGTCATCACCCAGTTTACCCATTTAAATCAATATCTTGAGTACCTCATCCGGTGGCATTGGTTACCTGGCTGCGTTTGCGCATGAATACCTTAACTGACGATGCAATCTATCTAGCTGCTACTCGAGATGCCTCCCAAAAAGGGCCCGCGTAAATCGATGCCTGGTGGCATCAGTAGGGCTCAAAAACTGGCACCATCCCGGCGGTCGCCCAGGGTGCCTCCGCAAAATAAAAGTCTAGACAGCAGCCCCTCGTCTCCCACCAAAACGCTCCCCATCACAACCTCGTCCCCTCCAGACAGTTCTTTCAACTTCCGCTTTTACACACCCAAGCCCGCTTCTACACCCAAGCCAGCTTCCCCGAGCTTGCGCACACCAGGGAAATCCATTGAAACACCTCCACACCGCAAGGCATTCCAACCACGCCCAACACGTCTCTCGAATGTTTACACCCCCACTGCAGCTGTTCCGGCCACAACCCGCAGTAGTGGGCGCAGCAAACGAACGAACATGCTCGAAACTCCCAAGAAGCAAGTCTTAGAGCTGTCAGAGTCTGAGATACCCGACAGCGTTGAGAGTTCTGGTTCATATCTTGACGTTGGGACGAAAGCATCTTTTGGGACGAAAGAAGATACCAAAGCACTATCAAGCTCTCCTTCCACTCCCGACATGCGCAACTCCTCTCGTGTCCGTAAGCCTACCAGACAGGCAATTGAGTCTCAGGAAACATCCAAGAGAGGGCCCCGTCGTAAGAATACTTCTGCTCCCGCTCCGACTGTGGACAAGAATGCCAAAGTTGCGAAAGGCAGTGCCGCCAAGAAGCCCACTCTGAAGACCCGAACTTCTAAGAGAACAGCAAATACTAGCATACAAAATGATTCCGGCCCGGCCGCAATGGACGCTAACATGAAAGCTGGGGTCATGCTCTTGCGCCAGATCTTCGATGAGATCAGTGATCCTAATTTCGTCCCTCCGCCTGATGCCCGCGAGACTCTCGCCAAGCTCCGAGAGGACTTCTACCGGCGCGAACGGGAAGAAAAAGCCATGAAGCAAAAAGCCACGAAGGAAAAGGCCATGAAGTCGCCTGTGGTTCAATCAGATGAGCCCAATGACATCGAAATGGTAGACCAAGACGCTTCAGAGGCACCTGAGCTCTCTCTCTCGTCGTCTACCCCATCTCTGGCCAGTTCAGCCACGACTGGTATGCTGGGGTTCAGGAAACGCTCTGAGACCACTGTATCTGGTGATGGTTGGGTCGAGACCGGTTATGTCAATCCTTGCGGGGAAAGCCTGACTATTATGCCTGCTGAGTTCGAACCCTTCATTGCTTTCAACTCATATGGTTACAAAGACTTGCCCTTCCCTCCCGTCCGTGTCCAGTCTACTCAACAGGCCGTCACTAGGCAAGCTTTCGGGTTCCCCCCTCCGATGGGTCATCGCAACATCCCTGCTAGCGTAGCTACTCCCTTCGTCATTGAGGATGTCCAGGCAGAGATGGCCCTGTTTTCTAGTACTTCTACTGCAGCTCCGGCTGTTAGTAGCAACAAAAAGCCCCGCGCACGTAAGCGCCGCGCCACTGAGGCCATTTCAACTGGCCAAGTGGGTGACGAGGCATCCGCCTCCACCCCAGTCCAACCCGCCGCCCCTGGTGAGCGCAAGTCACAGCGCCGCCGCCGCCAGACCGATCCCGCTCCCACCGCCGCGGTCTCCTCGCCCTCTACCCCAACTGCGCCAAAGGGTAGCGCCGCCGCCGTCTCCAACCGCGGCACCGAGGGCAACAAGCCCAAGGTGCAGCAGCGGCTTCGGCTCACCCTGAAGCCAGCCAAGGAGGCCAAGTCCTCCCCGGCCAGTTCAAGCGTGGGTTCTCCTGCAAAGCGCCGTGGGCGCCGGAGCTGAATGCTTCAATGTCACGAAGAAGTGACACTCGAGCGAGGGCAGGCCGCCCCCCGATTTGATCCCGGGGGGGTTGGACCTTGGTCGTTTATTGCTGTTCATTTATTGTTTTTGTCTTTTTTTCCCCTGTATGTTTAGCGAATGCATTCTAAGGAGTCTCTTTTTCATATTCTCACTTGTACACTTGTACTCGTGACTTGGACGTTACTTGCGATCCACGGGTTTGTTTTGTGTACTTTTCGGCTACGAAATCTATATAGGATCAGTAACTACACGTTATTTGTACATTATCTGTACGTCATATCAAGTATGTGTCTTATTTCTAGAGCGTTCGTGCATCTTTCAATTATTGCGTCCACTATCGCTACTTGAGCCGTTACTTTGTCGTTACTTTAGTAGGAGTGTAATCGAGTTCATCTGATGGCTCGCTTCTTTCTAAACCTATGAGTACATACCTCTCACCAGTTACAATAGGGCGTATACCTATTACCTCGACCATCTATTGTCTTATCATTTGGCCCCAGGGTTCCTGAAATATGTCCAATGATATCTCTCGATACTGCTCAAATGAACAGAATGAATCGATTGCTCGTCCCAGAGCTGATCCGATACATCTTGATGCCTCAGGCGTCAACACCAACCAAATCTTCCCTCACGGAAATCTACACCCTCCAATACCCAGCCATGTAAGAACAACCTTCGACAAATTCATCCAAACAAAAGCTAACAACAAACAAGAATGTCATCCCTCAAAAACCAACACAGATTCCGGTCTGTGGACCCCAATAATCGCCCTCCACGCCCGGGTCCGCAGCAACAACGGGTTCCCAAGGGGGTCGCGGATATTCGGCAAACCAAGGAGTACAAAACCGCGGCGCGGAGGTAAGTCCCTCTCTCCCTTGGACTTTGCATATTGTTAACATTTGTAGATGGATTTCGGTCATCGTTGCTTTGCCGATTCTTATGGTTTCGTCTTATACCCTCTATGAGCGCCGTAAGTCCGGTTGGAGCTAAGGTTGTGTACGAGTAATTTGAAGCTGACTGTTTTATGGCTAGTTTATACCAATAAGGGTCCTAGGCGGGTTGGCGATCAAGCACAGAAGGAATAAGACTCTGTCTTTGTTATTTGATATCGTCTTGAGAGCAAAATTGCATGTACGATTAATTGGGCCGTCTTAGCTTCGCTGTAAATAAACCCTACATGTGTCTCATCTCATCTTGATTTGTACGAAAGAACCATATATCCATTCTGATGCATCCACTATGAAGCTCCGACACCGGAGTCTTGGTATATATCCATGACTATGTGCTAACAACCCAACGATGAACAAATAAAAGCAAAAGAGGTTGAATGTGAAACCCACCTCCAGTGATCTCCCCACCTCGCCAGCCTGCTGGGGTGAAAAGCAAGAAAAGAAAAAATGTATGTTCAAATGCGGACGAGTATATAGAAGGGATCATCCAAAAAGACGAGACGGCCAACCAGAGCACAGCAATGACGTGAATCAGCTAGCAACACCCTGGATAGGGATGTAATGTTCACCGGAAACCGCCGACGCCGGAATAGACGTCGAAGCACTGCTAGTGCTAGCAGGCTTTGTGCTACGCTCACGCATCCGACGACCCTCCATGAGACCACGTAAACCACGCTTCTGAAGACCAATAACACTGCTCAGATCACCGGTCCAAAGTTCGCGCTGTGGGCGATGCATATCTGCATCTGTGCCACGGCGGTGGTGGCGAGATTGGGAACGGCTTTCATCGCCGCTAACCCACTCCGAGTCTGACTGACTGAAGCTGGCGCTTGAAACGGATGTAGCTGTGCTGGAATTGCTGATGGAGTCTTCGCGGTCGCGGTGGCTGCGCTGGCGCGAGTGTTGAGAGACGTTGGTGTCGATGCGGAGAGAGGGGAGGCCACGGGCGAAGTTTGTGAGGTCGCCTGAGCTGCTGTTTGCTGATGCGGAAGCTCCATGCTCTGTGTCCGATGAGTTGGATGCCAGAGGGCCGTGGGAGTTGCTGCTTTCGCCATTTGTATGGGTAGAGCCGTTGCGGCCGGAGTAGGCGCCGTTTAGAGCTTCGAGCGTGCCGCCTGGTCCACCGGTGAATCCGGTTCCTCGACCACCGCCGGCTGCCATGGCGGCTGCGTTGAAGACAGCTGCGGCATTGCGTCCGTCTAGGACTTGGTGGAGCCTTTCGACGGTGGCTTCCAGAAGCCCGTCTATCTGATAAGGACGGGCTAGCTGGAGGAGCGAACAGAGAATTTGCGGCGTGCACAGTGAAGAGCCTGGTGCAGGGAGAGCTGCCGTGTAGAGGTATTGCACGAGAACTTGAAGAGTCAAGATGGTGTGGGGGAGATATAGCACACGAGGTCGGGAGGTTGGGGCAAGGGAGTGAGCTGAAGGAGCTTCAAGGTTCTCAAGCAGGGACTTGGGAGGTGCGCCTTGGTTGACAAGGGTTGTAGCATCTGAGTATGTACTGTTGTGGCCTACTGAAGGCGTGATGGTGATACTGGAGTTGCGACTGGGGTGAATGAAACCCGGGCGAAGGGTTGCAGTATCTGCAATTCCTCCTTCTGACGACTCGCGTAGAAGTTGAATGAAATAAGGACCCCATCTCCTGGTCAACACACGAGAATTGACGGAGATACGCTCGCCTCCCATGGCCTGCAGCTCCATGTCGGCCATCTCCGGCAACGATTGAGCAAGTCTACCTAGCTCGTCTGATGCAGCAGACAAAGGTCTTCCCCCTGACGTCAACTGGACCAGCTTCTTCTGGAGAGACGCCGGGACAGTAGAAGAGCTATAGGACTTATACCCAGAGGTTGGAGCAGTACGGCAGGGGTTGTTGTAGAGACCAAATGCCTCTAGCTCAACCAGACAGACGTGCGAGAAATTGATACGTCGGTGGTTGTAATCATCGACAAGGCTTCGCTTCCGGTGACCAAGGATTACGAATGAGTTACGCCGAGGCCAGAGAACTCCTCGGTTCCAACTGCCCTGTCCAAAGACAGAGCCCCCGGCATCGATACGGCCCCAGGTCAATGTCTTCAGGTCAAGAGCCCACAGCGCATATTCTTGCTTCGAAGAAGTCAAATAGGTACCACTAACAACAAAGTGGCCATTGATGATACCACCATTCGGGAAACGTAGCCCCGGAGGAGAGGCTTGGCTCTGCATGGGTCGCTCAACAAGGCGCCCGTCCGGCAGGCGCACCTGCAACTCCAGCTTGACATCCAAGAAATTGTAGTTGGAATAGATCAGCATAGGACAGCCGGGAGACTCACTACTGTCCTGGATCGGTTCATGCATGTCCCGATCAGGGGCAGAGGATCCGATTTCGGACACATCCATACCAACCAAGGGAGCCACAACACTGCGATAAGCGCCGCAGCTCCTTCCCAGGGGGCTAGTGTTGGTCCACTTCAGACTCCGCAGATTGAAGACACTGATTTGTTCAATGTAGTGGTTGGAACTGTCCTGTCCGCCAACAACGACCATCTCAGCACCTCCAAATCCATCAATGTCCACGCCAAGAGTTCCTTGATGGGACGAGGTTTCGGGATTATGGTGAATGGCAGATAGGGGAGCACTGGCAGAAGTAAAGCAAGCGCTCGACGGAAGTATCGTAGCGCAGTGTGCATATCGCCCCTGTGGAGACTCATGGGCGGCGACACGAGTCCAAGCCCGCGACGGGACATCAAATATATGAATATCCGACATGACCACGACCTCAGACTGTGTCTGCGAGTCGGGGTTCTCGGGATCCTTGGGCGCACTCGGCGCAGGTGACATACCACCGTAGCATACCAACTTCTTATCACCTAGAGCGCACACACTGTGAAAGTAGCGTGGGGGAGGAACATCTCCAGCAGGCTCAATTTTCGTCCAATGGCGCCTGATCAAGTCCAACTCGTATAAATCCGACGTCAAGTGTGGGCGGCTGCGTGAGAGGATCCGGCCTCCAAATACATATAGCTTATCGCCCAAGATTGTCGTCGTCGCACCCACCAGGGGGTGAGGCTCCTTGCCGGTCGTTCGTCGCACGTTGCACACCAGGCCTGAGAGGTTGATAGGCCCGGAGGCAGATTGTTGGTTCATGGATGGGGAGACACCTGCGGCCGAATCCTCTCGGCCGCTGTCCATATAGCCCAGACTTGACTGGCTTCGCGACATCATAGTGGGTGAATTACCGGTCCCCACCCAACGTTTCAGTCTTTTTGACAGCCGTTAACGCCTCCTAGTTTCGTCCACTCGATTCCGTTCGCATGTGATACTTCGATCGTCCGCTGCTGATGTGTTCGGGGAATATACCGGGCGCTGATCGCAAGGGTGCGGTGAAATGCTATGGGAAAAGGAGGTTCCCCGCGATAGCGACAGTGCCAGGTTTCACAATGCGGGCGATAGAGAGAAACCAGACGGACTGGAGAGGATCGACATGAGGTGACAGAGTAACAAAAAAGTGTCAGACGTGGACGTTGATCGGCACAAAAAAAAAGGCGGTCTCAATCTTTCCTAGACCAAGATGGGTTTGGCTACAATGCCAAGTGTTCGGGATGTTTCTCCATCCTTTCTCGAATTTCCCCCCCATATTCTTAAATTCTCCTCAAATTTGGGATTTAATCACTTGGGTTTCGATTCGATTGACGCAATCACATAATCTCCGAAACTGCTATATTTCCGGAGTATTTAAAGTCCAAAATTTATGAAATTCTTGGTCGATATCCATCCAAATCAACCTGAGCAGGGATAAAGGGGGTAGGTACTTGGCTACAACTTCCACTCCAGGGCTGATATACTCTCTGCGGTCAATTCCAGCGAGGACGTCATTTGGAATCATACACAGATGTTGCTGTATGCTGCCATCAACATTCGAGCCTTGCAAGGTTCCCTACGCTATCATATATATAATCAATAGGATTGGAGCGTCAGAAAACTGCGCAGAGATCGTGTCACATTGGTATCAATTAGAGCTTTTCACCCGGGCCAAAATCTCCCGGCATACTCAGTGTCTATTTTACGTCAAGTCATGAGGTCCCCATTTACTCCTTGAGGCTGGTGAAGCGAAGGTAACTATGATATGTTAGAATCCTGGTCATCGCTGGCCAATGGCTAAGGGGTGGAATAGCTTACGGCTTAACTTCACGGATCTCGCCGAACTTGGCCTTAGCATCAGCGGTGCTGACGGTAGGGGGGATGACAACGTCATCACCGGGCAGCCAGTTGATGGGGGTGGTAAGACCGTGCTTCTCGGTAGTCTTGAGAGCGTCGAGAACACGGAGGACCTCTGAGAGTGATGTTAGCAGGTTGTTCTTGACTCTGAATATTCCTCGGTCCTGGGGCATGTTGTGATGAACTTACCGGCGGTGTTACGGCCAGTGGAGGCGGGGTAGGTCATGATCAGACGGATCTTCTTGGCGGGGTCGATGATGAAGACCGAGCGGATGGTCAGAGCCAGACCCTTGGAGTCGACGTTGGTGGTGTCCTGGTAGTCGACCATGTCGTAAGCGTAGGCGACCTTACGCTCGGGGTCGGAGATGATGGGGAACTTTAGGCTAGAGCCGGAAACCTCATCGATATCCTTGATCCAACGGTGGTGGCTCTCGGTGTTGTTGGCACTCAGACCAATGAGCTGAGTGTTGCGGGCAGTGAACTCAGGCTCGAGCTTGGCGAAAGCACCGAGCTCAGTGGTACAGATCTGAGGCACTGTCAGTCCATTGTCCAGCCAATGCAACCGTGCGGGCTACTCACGGGAGTGAAGTCATCGGGGTGGGAGAAGAGGATGGTCCACTTGTCACCAATGAACTTGTGGAAGTTGATGGGACCGTTGGAGGTCTCAGCATCAAAGTCGGGGGCAGTAGAGCCAAGACGGAGGCTAAGGAGAGGTCAGTACAGAGTATAGTAAGATTGGAAGAGCTCTGGAAGGAGAGAATCACTTACGGAGGAGCGCGGTCAGCCATTGTGTATTGAGGATGAGAGAATTGTTGGACAAAGAAGAGGACGAGGACACGTTCAAATAAGAAGCCAGCCCCTCCATCGAACTATAGAGTCCATGATCGGCTCATGACTGCTCCATGGCGTGATTGGTACACCGCCCGGGCAGAACCCCCCTCATTGGTGGAGCCCCACCAAATTAGTGTGATGCAATCCCAAGGGTTGAGGGGTTGTTCCCGGGGGTCCCACGACTTGCTTCTAAGGTTCTCCGCGCTTCCAAATTAATTTATATGACTCCGTAATACCTAGGTAAACATGGAGATTTTACAGTCTATTTGGTTATATTACTTCTATCTAAACATCGATAGCTATCTACAGACCACAGAGGTTGAATGGCGTACGAAGTACAGCAGCTCTATGTCCAGCCTCTAGCCCCCGACAAGAAATGGCGCAATCCTATATCGGCATGATGAATATACCCTATCAGACATAGGAGCCGAGTACGGACTCGGTGCAGATCTATCCTCTTTGAGACGCTGATTTTCTGGACGCATGTACAATATGTACCTACTGTAGGTACGATGTACCGGACTGAGCAATTGACCCACATGGCGGGGGGTGCCTATAAAGTTGTAAGGTACAGACTTCAGGAATCAACCTTGGATTGAAACCTTGGAAGGATCTCGGAATCAGGGGATTTCCACATATATACTGGGAGTGAATCCCTTCGTACATAGATGCACAATGATCGGTTACTTAAGTAATTCCAGGGTTGAGTGTCTGTATGAGATATTCACAACTAGAAACCAACTCATTCAGACGCATCTCGAGTCATGTGGAGGGGCGAGTGAGGTAAAAGTCATGATGTAATAACCATTTTTAAGACCCTCAACTACCTACTTTAGTACTTGAGTACGTGTAAAGATACTTCTAAAGTTGTTGGATGAGATAAGATTCAATATCACAATGGTTGTACAGATTTGGTTTCCAAAGTTGTTACTTATCCTGCAAGTGAGCTGCCGAGGGAGACAAATTACTCGTTTAATATCTTCGAAAGTGCTCCGTATCACAGGTGCTGATATGGTACCTAGGTACATTGGTAGTCTACTCGATATCTACTCGATAAAAGCCACGTCGAGAAGCGTGCTTGTAAATATAGATGCTCAACCAACCCTACAATGCTGCCTCAAATTCTATATTGCTCATATGAAACAAAGCCAAAGCTTCAAAATTTGAATTCAGTTGCCCGACCTCGATGATTTTTCGAGTATGGATGCACGTCCAGATCACGACTCTTAGGCCATCCCTCATAGGCGTTAACCCTAGGATCTGGGGGAAGAATTGCTTTTCCTGTGATCTCACCTAGGTAGACCTTGTTTCATGATACTTACCTATGATGGATTCAAGGAGCCAATGTGATGCCGTAGAAGAGCGGCCCCAGAATATTGATCAAGCGATCGACGAATCACGTGCGAGGAAAGACCCCACAGCCGCGTCGAACTCCGTTTCGGCATAAACAAGCCTTCATATTCAATCACGCGCTGGGCTCTTACCGTGACTTCACTTACAGATCAAAGCTGTAGTGTTTCATTTCTCAGACGAGTATCTACTCCAGTTTTTCTATCAACCTCCCTGCGTCGCGATCACACCTTGCATTACCTAGCAATCCATTGCCAAATCCGTTACCATGGTTTTCAAGCGCAAAACCTCGAGCGCGATGAGCCCGAGCGAAGCCGCTGCAACTCCCTCGAAGAGAATTCGAACTGCTAATGCAGAAACTCCAGGATCTGCTGGTGCGGCTTCTGCAGTAAGTACATCGTCTATATAGGGGCTGATCGTCGCGTCACAGTCGAGGCTCCACTTCATCCTGCTGGAAACGTGCTGATGATATTGAAATAGTCCGCGACAACCCCCCAAACGGGCGAAAAGAGGGGCCGTGGTCGTCCTCGCAAGAATCCTGAAGATTTGGCTCCCAAGCCGGTTTACGATGGTCCCAAGCGTGGTCGTGGTCGCCCCCGTAAACCCGTTTCTGAGACCGAGGTGGAAGCTGCAACCCCGTCTAGTGCTAAGAAGGGACGCGGTCGTCCCCGCAAGAACTCTGGTACAGTAATATGGCCAGTTTACACCGGGTACCGGCGCTGATCTGGATATACCTTTAGGCGAACCCGCAACCGCGACCCCCCAGGAAAAGAAGAAGGATGGTCGTGGACGTCCACGCAAAGATGCAGGTAAATGAACTCTGCAGATGTGCTGTAGACTGTGTACGCTGACTCGATTCTGCTTTTAGGAGGAGCTAAGCCCACAACCCCTGTGACCAAGAAGAAGGATGGCCGAGGAAGACCCCGCAAGACTCCTCTGGCAAACGGAAAAGCCGAGCCAGAGGCAGCATCGGAGTCGGATTCGCCGACGCCTCCAACGGCTGCACCTCCTGCTGTCAACATTGACACCGACCGTTCGTTTTGGTTGATGAAAGCGGAGCCTGAGTCGCGCATGAAGAAGGGCAAGGACGTAAAGTTCTCAATTGATGACTTGGCCGCTGCCGACAAACCGGAGCCCTGGGATGGTACTTTATATTGATCTACATCCATATAATATCAGCAGTGCTAACGAGTTAACAGGTGTGCGCAACCACGTTGGTAAGCAATCATAACGCAACACTGGACCTACCATCCGAGTCTTCTGCTTACAACATATCAGCCAAAAATCTCATGCGGGACATGAAGAAAGGAGACTACGCCTTCTTCTACCACTCCAACTGCAAAGTTCCCGGCATCGTTGGAGTGATGGAGATTGTCCAGGAGCACTCTGTTGACGGTTTGTGATACCCATGTGGCTCGCCTTGGCCATATTTCTAACATAATTTCGAACAGAATCCGCCTTCGACCCCGAGCACCCATACTTCGACGCTAAGTCCGAGCGATCCGATCCCCGATGGGTTGTCGTGCATGTGGAATACCGTCGCAAACTTGAGAAACAGGTTACTCTTGAAGACCTGAAGACCCATAGCAAGGCTGGAGAGCCGCTGGAGAGCCTTCAGATGATCAAACAGGGCCGGCTTAGCGTGTCATCCGTGACCCCTGCACAATGGCAATACATCCTTGGGCTGGCAGGCGAGAAGCCGCAGGAGGAGTTCACCAAGCTGGAGTCTAGTGACCAAGAAGTTGATCAAGAAGGTGACCAGGATGGTGACCAGGATGATGATCAGGATGATGATCAGGATGATGAACAGGATGGTGACCAGGATGATGAACAGGATGGGGATAGCCATGGCGACCAAGATGGTGATCAGGATGGCGATCAGGATGCCGACAAGGTGGAGCTCCCCCTGGAGTCTACTAATCAGGAGTGAGTACTCACAGGCCATCACTTGGGTCTGATTGCAAATTTTGGAGCAGAGCGTCATATACGGGACTCTGACACAGTTCTCTTGGCGGCGTTGCCGGTTGAATATGGGTTATAAGCATATCGAAAGCATTCATTGGAAACTGTACTTTTATTTAAATGCTGCGAGCCTGCCATCCGACGAAATCCAACACTTGCACGGTGTTGGCACAAACATCCTCGGGCCGTTCCAAGTGCGTTTTAGAGTAGTACAGCCGACCCCAACGCGAACTGCTACGTCTGTTTCACCGGCTTAGTTGACTGCCTAGGGGGACTCCGTATTCCTTACCTGATATGTACTTATGTATCATATTTCTTGCCTCTCCCTGCATCGGATCAGCTTCACGGGCCAAATGGTCTGGATTTGTCTAGAGCAGATCCTTCGCTCCCGTGTGCTCCATAAGCGACCATTGACCCCATCGGGACGAGCTGTCAGAAAGCAATTTGACTCCAACGCTCGCAGATCGCTGCTGCACGAGATATGTAAGGAGTCGCGGAACCAGGTGTTGACATCCGGTGCACAGGATAGGTCAGATGGTGATCTGTCGGCCCCAAGGCCCCGGAGCCCCGGAAATCGTGGCTGAATAAGCTAGCTTAGCCCGCACCTGGGCCCCAGAGGGAATGAGTTCGAGCCATGCAAGGTGGCAATGGGATTGATAATCAAAAGCCACTACTCCGTACGGAGGACAATTTGTATGACCAGGGAAGTACAGGAGCAATATCGCCGAGCACGGCCAAGTAGCCAACCAGAATGGACAGATGAAAAGAACAGTAGTGGTCCAGAGAGTCCACGGAGTCCAAGTGCCTCGGAAGAGTAAGTCTATGCGATAATTGTGGAGCACATCTTTATCGTTATCAGGCGGGGGGAAGCTCACCTCCATCTTCTACCATTTCCCCCCATGTCCGGGTTCTTGTTTCGATCCTTGCGTTTGTACAGAGTTTCTACACCTACTCGCTTCACTCGTGCATTTCATAGTACTCCATTCGTCATGTCTGATATCTCAGTGCAATTGACCGCCCCCAATGGGCGCAGTTACACCCAGCCCATTGGTCTCTTCATCAACAATGAGTTTGTCGCTGCCAAGTCTGGTGAGAAGTTCGCCACTGTGAACCCCTCGTATGTATCCTATCCGAAAGGAGTGTGCAAAACGCTGACAGCTGCAGCAACGAGTCCGAGATTACCTCGGTCTACGCCGCCGGTGAGGAGGATATCGACATCGCCGTCAAGGCTGCCCGTAAGGCCTTGAAGGACCCTTCTTGGAAGCAGCTGCCTGCCACTGACCGTGGAGTTTTGATGCTCAAGTTGGCCGACTTGATTGAGCAACACAAGGAGACCCTGGCCACCATTGAGACTTGGGACAACGGTGCGTGGTAAAAAAAAAAAGATCATTGAGAACAGCCAAGCTAATACTTCTAACAGGTAAGCCCTACCAGGTCTCGCTGAATGATGATCTTGGTGAAGTCACCAACACTCTTCGTTACTATGCCGGATGGGCCGACAAGGTTTACGGCCAGACCATTGGCACCACCCCGGCCAAGTTCGCCTACACTCTCCGCCAGCCCATTGGCGTTGTTGGCCAGATTATCCCCTGGAACTTCCCCCTCGCTATGGCAGCCTGGAAACTGGGACCCGCTCTTGCCTGCGGTAACACTATCGTCCTGAAGCCTGCCGAGCAGACTCCTCTTAGTATTTTGTACCTGGCAGGTCTCATCAAGGAGGCTGGATTCCCCCCTGGTGTGATCAACGTTGTTAACGGTCATGGCCGCGTTGCCGGTGGTGCCCTGGTGAACCACCCTGGTGTCGATAAGGTGGCCTTCACTGGTTCCACCCTGACCGGCCGTGAGATCATGAAGATGGCCGCTGGTACCCTTAAGAATGTTACCCTCGAGACTGGTGGCAAGTCTCCTCTTGTTGTGTTTGAGGATGCGGACCTCGAGCAGGCCGCCAAGTGGGCACACATTGGTATCATGTACAACCAGGGTCAGGTCTGTACCGCAACTTCGCGTATCCTCGTCCACGACTCTGTGTACGATAAGTTCGTCGAGCTCTTCAAGGAGGTCGTCAAAACCACCAGCAAGGTTGGTGACCCCTTCTCCGACGACACTTTCCAGGGCCCTCAGGTCACCAAGGCCCAATACGAGCGTGTCCTCTCCTACATTGAGGCCGGCAAGTCCGAGGGCGCAACCCTCGCCTCTGGAGGCGTGCCACACAAGAACGTCGGCGACGGCCGTGGTTTCTTCATTGAGCCCACCATCTTCACCAACGTTAAGGACAACATGCGCATCTACCGCGAGGAGGTCTTTGGCCCCTTCGTTGCTATCGCCAGCTTTACCACTGAAGACGAGGCTGTCACCCGTGCCAACGACACCACCTACGGACTTGGCGCCGCTCTCTTCACTCGCGACATTGAGCGCGCACACCGCGTGGCTTCCGACATCGAAGCCGGTATGGTCTGGATCAACAGCAGCAATGACAGCGACTTCCGTGTACCATTTGGTGGTGTCAAGCAGAGCGGAATTGGCCGCGAACTCGGCGAGGCTGGCTTGGATGCCTACTCGCAGGTCAAGGCTGTTCACGTTAACATGGGCACTAAGCTTTAAGCGTGCTATCTAAATGTCCAGTGACATTTTTCTGTATTCAATCTCATGTCTTAACGATCAAAATTTTCCAAGTTGTGTTGACCAACAGTAACCATTTCACCTCGTACTTCCAGGTAGATCAATGATCTTCGTGATCTTCTCGACAATCTCAAAGCCATTGTTCCCGTCTCGCTTTCGCTTTTGCCCATACCCACAGCTATCCACAAATACGAGAGGATCCCCCGCAAGAACGGAAAAAAGGAAAAACGGGGCTCAGTCTCCTGCAGATCGCAAGTACCTCTCGAGGTACGAGTACTACTCGTACAAAGTATGCATCACTGACATGGCCAACTCACCATCCAATCAAAAATTGTCGCCAATCGAATTTTCTGATTCCTCTACGTTGTTTTTTTTTTTTTCCAAATTTTAATTCGCATAATTGCTTTTTTTTGCCTTTTTCTCCGCTCTGCTTTTCACCGGAGTATGATCCGCACTGCCAAACTGGACCCGAACACAATTTTGATGCCCAACTTTCTGCTCCGCATCTGCAAGCCTTGCCTCGCAGATCTACACCCTTTGATGCGAGAGCCGTGCGTAACCTGTTCATCATGCCATCACATCTATTTCGTCACACCTATCTTACTGAGAAGTAGGTGCCTATTAAATCTACCGCCGATTGCAATCTGCATTGAGTTTGTTGGATCACAGTGACACAGGCATCTGCATGGCGCCCAATTTTCGAGTCAGGCAGGAATGAGAAACTGTCTGGGATTGGTAGTTTCCCAGGAGCCAGGATCCAGGTCTAAGCGCCAGCACATACAGACATCTCTTGCATCTGCATGCAGAGTTGGTCATGTGAAAAAAGGCCACGGTCTAAGATGCCATTGGGCTGATGCACGACTTGCCCCAAAGTCAATCACTTAACGATTGTACTTACGGAGTACGACGGAGTACTCCGTTTGCTGAGATGGCAATGCGATCATGCAAGTAATCAGATTTGTCCTACCGGTTCGCAAGAGTCTTGGCATATCTCTCCCGTCTCCATAAACTATCGAACTTCACATCTACACCTAACGGATTGAACGACCACCATTCCGACATTGGCATTTTGCTCTTTGGCTATTTTCTTTTTCTTTTTTACCTTCTAGGTTACGGGTCGGGTAAATTCCGTGATCTGCGCTGCCATTTCACCTTCAGGGGGATTTTGAACCGTTACGTGCCTAAAATCTCACCCCTCTTTTCAGCTCAAAGAGCGGTGTCCACCGATCGGCATGTCTGAAATCCAGCGATGGACGGTCAATGAGGTGAGTTGATCGTGTGCTGCGCATGCAATTCGCCGGTAATTGATTTGCTTTGGGATATCATTTGCTTTTTCGGTTTCTCGTGTTGGTCTCAATCATTCTTCCGAGCCTCTCACGGCAAAGGAAACACAGCCGGTGTTGGCGCCAATCAAAAAATCATAGCAAAAACCAAAAAGCCAAAGCCAAAAACCAAAAGCCAAAAACCAAATATTTATGCAAGAAACTGACTATCGCATCAGCCGTACCTGGATATACCGGGAACTCTACTTGAAGGCCCCTTTCACGATGCAGCAAAGAATGAGTTCCGCTTCGTCGATATCTGGGACCAGAAACTTTATCGTCTCGATCTGGAAAAGGGCCCTGAATCCTTGACAGTCATTGACACCGCCGCTTCTGTTGGGTGGGTTTCAACCGTTCCCGTGGGAAAAACTAGCTAGCCTTCCTTGCTGACAAGCTCCATGTGGGATTAGTGTTACCGCAAACATCAACTCAAGCGGGTCCCACGAGGATCAGCTGATCGTTGCTGCCAAGTATGGATTCGCTCGTCTGAATCAGACTACTGGGGAGCTATCCTATATTCAACAAGCCTGGGGCGAAGAAGATGGACCAGGAAAAGCGGAGAGGTGAGCATAAGCCCCGAACCCAAGCAAGAAAAAGAAAAAGAAAAAGAAAAAAAAACAAGGACACCGAACAGAAAGGAAAAAGGAAAAAAAAAACCTGGAAAAACATTTCCAGTGACGCCTGTTCCCCGATAAACGCCGAGTTACTAAATATGTCGCAGAATGCGTTTCAATGACGGCGCAGTCGACAGCCAAGGCCGGTTCTGGGCTGGAGCAATGAACGATCCCAAGATCAAGAATCCCGAAGCAGAGGGTGTTCTATTCCGACTGGATCCAGACCAAAGTCTGCACCGCATGCTTGCACCAGTGACGATCCCCAACGGGATTGGATGGAACCTCACCGACGACGTGATGTACCTGACGGACTCACCAACCGGCAAGATCTATGCCTTCGACTTTGATGCGTCGACTGGCGCGATCACCAACCGGCGCGTGCATTTCGATATCGGTGAGGCGCTGGAGCCAGACGGCTTCGCTATTGATGTGGAAGGATGCATCTGGAGTGCCGTTTATGGAGGCGGAAAAGTCCTGCGCATCTCCCCTGCTGGAGAAGTTATTGGTCAGATCGACCTCCCCACGCGTAACGTGACCTGTCCAGCTTTCGTTGGCACTGAGTTGTTCATCACTACTGCCAAGGATGATACTGATGATGACCGGTTGCCGAGGTCGGTCAGGTATGGAGGTCGACTTTACAGGGTTGACGTTGGAGTCCGTGGGAAACCCAAGAACGAGTTTCGGTTTCGCTAGGCGCTGATTCTCATGTTTCGGGCCGAGCAGGGATTGCAATCCTGCAGCACGCAGCCCATAGCCCATTATGCACTTCAATGTACAAAGTACAGTTCCAAGGTTTACGGAGTATTCGTTTTCTGAAGCTCATAGTTTCTATTTCCGTTCCAACACTTGCGCCTAGGTATACGAGTATACTTCACATGTGAGTCCAGATGGATCGACGATGCGTCTCGGGATCTCACTTCAAAAAAATTGGTCGAAAAGGCGGTAATGGTAGCAGCCCTATTCGTGGAGAGGAAACAGCAGTCGACAGATCCGGATATGCAATGTGGAAGTGGATGCAGGAGTGGAGGTAAAGTGATCAACAAACGGGCGACGGTCCACAGTATCGGCCGGAAATCAGAAATTCCGTCGGTTTTTATAGGTACTTTTGGATGCGCAAGGGGACAAAACCACACTCCCAATCGAGCTTCGCATATCGATCTCACATCATGTAGACCATAGTCACCTTTTCTCTTTCGGTCCGATTTCAAACTCGGCCGGATCCGTGTCAGGGTTAGACAATGTGGACTATTTTATTTTATTTGAGATTTTATTTTTGGGCGCAGGGCATTCGGCAAGTGATAGGTGTGCACATTGTTACGGTGTGCAATGTGCAGACTACTCGTACATTGTACGGACTCCATATCGTATTGTACGAGTACTTCCGGGAGCACTCGTACATCAAGTGAGGGTGGAGAGGGTGGAGAGAGATGGATCTTCCATCGACTCGTACCTAATCGAGTAGGACCTTAGTACTCGTACGAGTAGAGCAGCCAGGTCTGATTGTCCCAGAAGCCAAGATCGTCTCCTTTACAATGCCTTTCACCATGGTCATTTACGAGTATTCCTTATGTACTACGGAGTACTTAGGCTTGACGCGGTTGCAGCGGACACGAGCCAAGTGAAGATCCCGAACACCTAGAAGCCGAGGAAAAAGAAAGGGGAAATCCCAAAGCTTCACAATCGTCAGACTACTTAAACGGTAAAGGTAGAGTGGGGACACATGCATCCTGACAAGAGACTATTGATTATCGAAAGAGTTAGAAGTAAAAAAAAGTACCTATGCGGTGAACCTCGGAGAGATGGGGAAGTTCCCACATTGAATGTGATGACACGCATCCGGGCCGGGGGGTTCTCGGGGATATGAGAAAGAAAAAATAAAATCATCTGTAGACAACCCGACAGTTTGGAGACGGTGGTTTGAGAATGCAAGCCACACGAATTAAAAAGGGAAATATTTCAGAAAATTCGACCCCTGTTTAAACCAGTCACAATCCTTGGAACTATCAGACCGCAATTGCGATGTCAATAAGCCCTATGATTCGCGCAGAAAGGCATTTAATAGGTTTGACAGCTCTTCCTCTGGCACTTTGTACATGATCCATCCACATTTGTTTTTTTTTTGTTTTGTTTGTTTTTAGTGTTATTTTGGGGGTTTATTTGTTTATGTATTTTTTCTTTTTGACGTATAGCTGTCACTCGGGGAATGTTTCCGAGGGAAATAATGAATTTCCAACTTGGGATTGTTGATCATTGACGCCAATCGAACTAGCTCACTGCAAGTGCAACGAGCGCTTCAGCTGCGCCTCTATCTCAGAATCCTCAATTTCCCAATATCCACAGTAGACGCCGTGGAACACTCTCAACAGACTAGGTCGATCTATATTGTTCGATTACCTTCCGGAGTCTTTATCCCCCGGCTCTAAAGTTGCGATCTCAGGAGACGGCAACCGAACTAGTTAGCCAGAACTATCCACAATCGCGTGGATGCTGAGGCTGGGATCCGGATCCCTTTCCGCATGGTCCGATCGTGGAGTATCAATTTCCTTGAGAGATCAAGTGTCAGGTCTTGTTTACCTTTTACCCAATTCTATGACTGACATCATGGTCCTGGCTTCAAACAAGGTAACACGAGAAGGGTATCTGGGGGTTCACTACCTAGGTTTGTAGGTCACTCGAATCTTTAAGATTCTGCTTCTTCCACGGATGTCGGTTGTGTTCTGTCTGCACTACAATGACGTAGGGGTAAAAGTCCATTTAATTCCATCGTGAGATTCTATCATTTTCCCGTTTTGCAACAGTCGCGTAAATGGCATCCCCAAGCTCTCTCCACTATTGACTCGTTAGTGTGGCCTAATTCAGTCTATACATACCGGCGAAGAATTACTCGTAGATTCCCGAGGTCCAGCCAAAAGTTTCCCCCCTAACGGTTCAACCGCAACGGGCCCCCTTTTGAGTCGGGCAAACTTGGCTGCACAACATCATCGATTTGAATTTAGTGCAAATCGATGAGATGTGTGTGCATTGGAAGGGTTTTCAAGACGGGACTTTGTAAGAAGACACTTTAATCTTTGCGCCAAGCCCTGGAGGTGCGTTGTCGTACCACGCCATTGCCTTGTTCTAGTTTGCCTTTCAACGGGGATCTCAGGCTTAGTGGTATACTTCGAGTTTAGTCTCTCCAAGCACCAAACTCTCGGAAATTGACAGGACCAGACTGACTAGGCAACTATCGGGGTGTTGCCTCATCCGCTAGACCCGAGGCGGTATAGATCGGACGGGTGAGTGGGAAATTAAGTACGAGTAGTTCGGTATTCATTCGGGCTTCAGATGTTAATGTTCGAAAGGTATGATAACTACGAGTAACTACTCGTAGTTTGGACTATTCAAAAGACAGACATTTCCTTGCTACGAGTAACTCTCTGCGCCTTTTCGGATATCCCGTGACGTATACTCCGTACTGATGCCCTATTTCACAGCCCAAACCTTCCGAGTCTATATCTTTGCCTTTCTACGCCATAAACAGAGGCAAATGCAGACAGAAAGCTAAGAGAAAGCCAGAGAAGAAACAAAAAACAAGAAAGAGGAAAAAAACAAAAACAAAAACAAAAAACAATAGAACAGGAATCTCACAGCCAGGTCGAAGGCCAAAAAAACGAAAAAAGAAACAAAACACCGGTCTCCACTCGTCCCTGTCCATGACCATGGTGACGGTGCGCACTTGCAGAGTGCTGTGCATGACGATCGCTTTCCCCGGGTAGTGAAATCACTAAGTGTACTATAATAGGGGGGGATATTTATGATTATTCCTTTTTCTTTTTCTTTTCTTTTTTTCTTTTTTTCGAATTTCCCTTTTTAAATCCCACTTTTTTATTATTATCCTTTCCTATTAACGATTTTCTCGGCAGCTATTTATTGCCATACCCACAAAAAAGCAAAAAAAGGGCCCAACTGGCAGATTCCCGGGGGTTAGACACTATATCCTGCCCAACGCTAATCCGACAGAATGGGTCGGACAGAGAGACAACTTACTTGTCTTGGAGCCATCCAGACCAGGTGATGGATCATTCTCTCACCGCTGCTCAACGGCTCTTATTAGAGCTTGTCTTCCCCAATTTTTCCCTTTGACTTTCTCCGTCTTTACTTCCTTTCTGGCTCTAGTCTTCTTTAGGCATCTAAACTTTGATTATATTGACGTCCTCACTCGAGGACATCCAAAACACACCTCTTCTCTTGTACATACCTTCACCGTGGCTGCTCTAGGAATCAGCGTATTGAACGCTCCCTATTCCGGCTCACTGCATTCACCAAATCTGTCACTGTACTCAGATCATCGCTATCCGTCACCAGCACCCTCCCTCTCTCATACTCGAGAATCTGACGACGAGGAGAGAGGGGGGGCTCGGCCATGCCCTAATTTCCGGTCTATCGTGGGATATTCGGATTTCATGTCGCAAGATTCTCAACGAGCAGGTTCCTCATCGAGAGAATCACCTCACAACGATGACCGGGCAATTGACAACGATCGAGGATTGGCCAGCAACCGCAACACATCCCGCCGGCCCCCGCTGCGGACTCGACCCCAGTCATGGCATCCATATGGACCCGTGGAGCCGCCGTTGGAATCGGGGTCGTCCCGACCAATTGGGGTTCATTCTATCTTGAACCCCCCTTCACAGACGCCGAAAGAGCTATCTACCTCGAGTAATCGGGAATCGCTGAATCTCCCGGGTCAATCATCCTCACCTCGACTCCAAGGCTCCTCACCCACAACTCGTTCATCACGCTCTTTGGTGCCGCAGCCATTGTCTCCTCGATCCCACGCACGCCCACTGATGAATCCAGCTTCTCCTTCGGCACGGTTTGTTGGCGGGGGTGGGAGGACTTCTGGACAATCGAGCGTCGCACAGTCACCGCTAGTTCCTCAGGAACATATGATGGGCCCACGTCTTCCCACCTCCAGCTCGCCTTTGCCACTAGAGGCGGGTCTACGCCCAATAGCATCACTCACAGGCACACAGCCTCCTGCGTCGACCTCGCTGCATTCTACACCTAGCCTGCATTCTCGACGAACAAGCGCTGGTCCAGGACCTCTCACCAACCCGAGTTCTCAAGAAACCAGTCCCAGCACACCCCATTCAACCTTTAGTCCATTCACACGGGTATCTCCAGCTGTGACGAGTGTCTCCCTCCCACAAACCGCTACATCATATCCCACTTCACATCCCTCATATATGGCCATGGAGCCAATGAACCGGGCGACCCCGGCCCCCAAAGCGCCCAGAAGCCAAGAAGAAAACCCAACCCGAGCGGGAACACCGCAAGGCAGTTCATTTCCTCCTGGAATGATTCCCTGCGTACTAGACATGCGATCCGGCTCGAGCAGCCAGGCAGAAAAACGCAAAGCGAACAGCGATGCATCACGACGATTCCGCAATCGCAAACGCAACGAAATGCAACTCGAGCAGCGGCTCACCGCACAACAAGACGAGATCACACGCAGCGTAGAAACAGTCCGCCGCCAAAACGAAGAGATCCGTCTCCTCCTCCAGCAAAGAGATCACTACCGCTCCGAGCGCGATTTTTACCGTGAGCATCTTGACCGCAAAATGTCTCTTGGCGCCCTTCCACCAAGACCGCCATCTCCAGGCTCTGCCCAACCCGGTCTCCACGCGTCTGAAGGCGCTACATCCACTTGGTCGGGCGCTGATGCTGCCCGATCTGTGTCAGGCACACAGGCCTCGAGTGCCCCCAAGGGAAGATTGGACTCAACTCATTCCCAGCCTGGCTGGCCTGCAAACCCACCGTATTCGTCGGGGACTATTAAGCCCCCTGCACGCAGTACTGTCACGCCTGCTGCCTCACCGTCACTATCTGGAGGTCCGCTGCCACCACTGCAGGGTTCTTGGCCACGCTCTTAACTTGCTACATATACTTTAGCAACCCCTTTATGTTCTCTCTTGTCATTTGTTTGATCTTCATTTTCTCTTACTCTCTTCATTCCCTTGATGAATCACTAGGGAAGGGAGAAAAAAAATATAAGCGGTCACTGGCTTGACCGCTGGCCAATGGTGTATACACTAGTGATGTGGTCTACTTGGGAAGTACTTTTTCCCCCACAGGCTGGGCCAAATACTTCCATCTACATCGTTACCGAAACCACCATGTCTCTGCTTGGGTCAAAAATATGCAATTTGTCATACATATACTCCTAACCTTTCTTGCCCTGTCTCGCTATCTTCACGACTTGTCTCCCTACTGCTTTATCTTTTTCTGTGCATTGCACATCGGTGATACCTCCATTGGCGACGCATTGAGAACTTAACTTTATTTATAGCCTTGAAGCTGGCTGATATCGGTAAATCAAAACCCAATACTCTCATCAAATTCAGATTCCTGTATTCTTGTACTCCGTACTCCATACATTCAATTCCCATGACCGCCCAACTTTGCAGATGTGACTCTGTAGTGGGCCTCTGTCTAGACCCTGTACATCCAAGACAGCCCTCGGATCCGAGGGACCCAAAAAAGCTTAGCCTTTGCGTTTATTTTGAGACACATCTGCTCCCAGTGCCCAGTGATTGGCTGAGTAACAGGCCCAGAACAAGATGCAAGGGGTGAAATTCCAAAACTGCAGTGTCACAGCACAGCTTGCATGACATCACTCACTTCAGTAATTTAGAGTCGCTGGGTATTGGGATCGACGATGTTCCAATCCGTTGGGTTTTGACACCGGAAATGTCTTGACTGCGTGTCATTCTATGGTATGAACCTAAATTTAGGTGCTTATGTTGATTTCCAAGGTTGTTACAGATCGATAAGCTAATATGCCCACAGAAGCCAGGCGCTCTACGAAGAGAGATAAATTCGGAAACATGCTAAGTTTATGCGCTGCTGGCCTGAGCCTGAGATCATATTTCTCGGTCTTTGCTGAGAATAAAACTGCGGGGGAAACACCAGCATCTGATTTGACAGACACAGCTATGTAGAAGTGCAGAAGTGCAGAGCTGCAGTGTGCGTGTTTATTAACCCCTTTCTAGAACCAGGCCCCACCTTTCTACAGCCCGGAAGGTGGGATCTGTGTGATGGAATGTTTGTCACACGCGAAGTTGATACAAGAGCGATTGGCTCCTGAAGTCTCTCATGAAGGATGCTTCAATATCGGTCTCCGAAAGTGTTGCTAGGCGGCATTCGATATGATGAGGATACATATATCCACAACTTTAGAAAGTGCTGTAAGGTCGTAATGCGTGCGTATTCACGATTTAGCCTGGTGATGCCCAGTCAAACCTAGGGGGCGAATATGAGCTGCAGTCAATCTGTAGTCGCATCGGACTGGCAGGTAATCCATCATATTCCAGGCGAGGGATGTTGGATGTTGCTCTTGACCCGAGGGCCAAAGAGGTTGATAGATAACCATTATTTCTAGAAAGATATGAGCATAAAACCATGTTTCTTCATAAATTTGTGCAATTCCAATGCATGGAATTGTGTAGAAGACCAAACTGCGCCTGTGAAGACCTCAATTTCCGGGGTATAGCATCGTCATGTGATGCTCCCCTGATCCGATTGGCTGGTTAACTTCCGACGGAAGTTCCGCTTGACCCGCTTGACCCGTTTTACCCGGCGGAAGTTGATCGTCCACTCACCCGCTGCAATTGAACCAGAAGCAACCTGCAGACCCCAAGAAAGGGCCTGGACGCAGCTATGATAGCGAATCATAAACAATGGCTCCCAGACCATGTTGGAGTGGGAAATGCGGGGTCTGGTACGGGGTCTCCGATCATAATCGACGGTGGTTTGCGTATCCCCTTTTGCTCATATTGAGCTCAGGTCTCCGACAAGAAAAAGAGGACCTTTGATGTCGGTCATGAAGCGAGTGACCCAAAGAGCATCACAGGCGTGTATCAAGTGCAGAAAATCAAAACTCAAGTGCGAGAGAGATTCAGGTTCACGTGTGTGTCGCCGGTGTCTGTTGACTTCGTCTTCCTGTAGCCACAAAAACCAGTGTGTTGTGACCTCTGCTCCAACCAAGCAGGTTTATCAAAGATACACCAGCACTAATTTACATACCAGGCCCGAAAAGGAATTGCAATCCGTGTCAATGGATCTGTCATACTCGGTCAGTGGGCTTCTCGAGGCCTTTTCCAATGCCGAGGATGTAGATTGGCTTAATGCGAGCGGGGGAAACCAGGGTAAGTCCTTTGCCAAGCGGGATTTGAACCTGATTCATGTGCATTCCAGCTGATGATCCAAGGTCCCTTTGCGGAATTCATTGCCTCAGGAAGTAAGCCGATATCCGACCAACCTCACATGTCCTCGACGCGCAATGTGCCCCAAACATATCCACTCGACAGTTACCTCACAACGATCAATGAGCTACTCTCACCGCAAACCCCGGATTTGGTTCTGGGAGAATGTCATCAACCACCGGAATTACAGAGGACATTCAAAACTCGACTCCCGAATGTCTCCCCAGAGACGGAAGAATATCTGAATTTGAAGGGAGCGTTGAGAATTGTTCCCATCGATCTTCGAAACCAGCTGATCGGAGGCTATATCAAATATGTGCACCCTCTTCTTCCGATCATCGATCTACAAAGGTTCTTATCGGATGTCATGCTTGAAGACGAGTCCCAGTTTGAAAGTCCACTTCTTCATCAATGCGTGATGCTAGCTGGCAGTGCATTTATTGAACAAGGGGATGCCATAAAGGCCGGCTTCTCGTCACGGAAAGCCCTGCGCAGAACATTATTTGGGCGAGCCAAGGTCAGTTCCCAAGCCGTAGTCCGCGCTCGATGGATCCTGAATTAATATTCATTGCCAACCAGATTCTCTATGAGTTCGACACTGAGCCCAACGCATACATCCAAATTCAAGCTCTGTTACTTATGATGCAATGGCACGGAAGCGGGGCAGGCCATAAAGATCCAACATACTGGTTCGATCTTGCATATTCAACAGCAGAGCGTGTTGGCTTGCTCAAGGATCTGGAACCAGGGAGCTTCTCCCACAAGCATAGACTGTGGTGGTGTCTTTATGCTCGCGACCGCATTCTTTCACTCGGCTTTCGTCGGCCACTGCGCATTCCCAACGGTGATGTCACGATGTCATTGTTAGACTCCACCAAGTACTATTCATCTGAACCATACCACGAGCTCATCCTAGCGATGCTAGGAGAATCATCTGCTATGTTGAGCTGGGAGAACCAGGAAAGGATGATGCTATTGTTCATCCAGGAGATCAAGCTGGTCCATTGCATCGGACTTATTATAGAGCACTTCTACCAAGATGTTTGGTCAATATCGCCATCCGGGTGCTCTATTTACTCCCTCGCTCCCAAATCAAAAGTATCACGAGCTGCCATGGTAGGATGTGAAAAACTCCTCAAGACTTGGATACAGAACCTCCCTGCTCCGGCACATTATTTCCCGCCATCATTATTGCAGGACTATCACCCAGGATCCCCAGATATTGTCCTTCTTGTTCACCAATCATTTCTATATCTTCTTCATCTCACTACAACGTCGATTCTCTGCCAAGTCGCGCCGGATGAAGCAGATGATCTCCGAGCCACTATAATGCCGGAGATAGGACAATTGACATCGCGGGTGATCGAGACACTCCATGAGCTCCACGACTGTAGCATGCTTCATCTTCTTCCCGGGAGCACGGTTACCATTCTGTTGATCATTCTCGAGGCAAGTTTGCCAGGGCTGAAGGTGTCTGACAATATTGTGCGAATGCAGGCCATGTCCAATTTATACGGCTGCGAAGAAGCAGCTAGCCATTTATTGCAAACGTATCCAGCCGCTGAGATTGTTCTTTCTCAGGCGCAGACTGCACGTGGACATCTCTTGGGGTTGATAGCCACTTGATGGACAAGAAAAGTAATTAATTTAGCATATCCAGAATGAATATAGCCAGTAGATCAATTTTTTTGAATGCATGTCTCATGCCAAGCGCATTATAGAGTCAGTATTATCAGACGGTTGTTCTGATTTGGAAGTAAAACCTTGGATTAAGCTCGGCTCCCCGCGGGTATTCGGTCATCGCCCCGGAATAACCTTGCACGTGGAATTTGCGGGGACCCCGGCTGTGAGCCAGACCCTGTGAAATTCGTTCTCCAAGGCCGTGGCTTGGCTACAGGACTTAAAGCCGCAGAGGAATCATGGAATCTGATTCTCCGGGGTTGGCTAAGCCACATCGCACACCGCAGGCATGTGACAGATGTCGTCGACAAAAGCTCAAGGTGGGTGAATCCTTTGCGATACCCCTGACCTCAAACTCATCATTCGTTGAATAGTGTGATACCTCTAAGCCATGTGTGCTATGTACTCATGCAGGGCATAAATGCGAGACAAGCCAACGCATAACACGGCGCACCCGTCGACGAAACATTGCTAGAACACTGCCCAAACCTCCTGGGACAAACAAGCCAATCGCACCGGCAACGAAAGCAAGCTCCAACAGTCTGCCTGCTATAGAGACAACAGTTGAGACATCCCACGGCACCGATGGCTCAAGTGTATATGCAGAACGCTCCCCTAAGGAGCCACAGTCAGGCGCCAATGCCTCCGCCATCGACTTTGCTAGACGGGTTTTCAATGAAGAAGAAGCCGGCCGAACTCTAACTGGAGCCTCAATTCCTGGTGATACGGGCCCACTCACATTTGACAACTCATTATGGCATTTGACAGACGTGGAACTTCCACCTGAGGCTGTCATGCTTACATTGATCGACGTCTACTTCGAGCGAATGCAATGGTTCGTGATGTTGTTTCACGAGCCATCATTCCGGCAGACTGCTCGCCGAATAATCTCCGGCAAGGCGTGGCGGCGCCAAGATCTCAGTCCTACCATGGCTGTGTTGGCCGTGGCCATGATAGGGCTGCAGTCTGTGCTACCCGACCAGAATTGGCCCGGGCATGAAGTACTGCGAGCGCATTCCGTTGACGGAACGAAGCTGATGCATGGATTCATCAATGAGATTCGCCGGAATCTACTTGACATCTCGGTCGATTGTCGGATTGAGGCTGTCCAGGTCTGTTTCCTGGTGTCTTCGTATTATGTCTACCATAACTCGCCGAGTATTGCTTGGACTGTCTCTGGTATGGCTGTGAGATCTGCCTACGCTCTCGATTTGTATACGAAATCATCACAGTATGAGAATCCTGTTGTCGATGAGGTTCGGTCTCGTTGTTGGAACCACGCCATTGTTGCCGACACGTTTACGTCCATCATCTATGGAAGACCTTCTTCCATAGATACTGGGCTTGTTGCTTTACATTCCATACGAGATATGGATGACTTGGTCCTCGACCCTTTGCTCTTGAGAAATGAATGGATTTCAGCGAGTGGGAGTCCGACAACTTCGGCAGGTTTCTTCGCCATGAAGTATGAGCTTTACAACATCATCCGACACATACTTTCGCGCCTTCGACGTCTCCAGCTCAGAAACGAGAGGACAGAAGAGGATTTACATGCTATTGCAGAAGCGTCACAAGACTCGGAGGACCAGCTAATGTCATGGCGGAAGAGAGTACCTCAACTATTCGATTTCGAGTTTTGGGCTTGTAACAATCGATTACAACTGTTCGAGGAAGAGATCAAAGGACTGCCCGCGCATGCGAAGCATCAGGCGGAAACTATCATTCTACAGGCTGCTTGTCTCCAGTTAACATACGATGGAGCGCTGATTCAAGCGCGCCGACCTCTACTAGAGCAGAAGATTACCAGTACCTGTTCAAGCTCTGTTGTAGATGCCATCCATCAGTCGTTGAGTGTAGCCACGGCTGCTGCGCTTCGAATATCGCGGATTCCAGTCCTCCGATTCAAGCATCACTTTGCTGAATCCTTCGCTTCCCTACAGCAGTTCACGGCCGGAGTCATTCTCTGTATTCCACCTACCAGTCAACCATTCACGAGCATAGCGCATGAGGCCAAGGCAGGGATAATGAGGATAATCCATGCCAGCACGGCCTTCGGGTCTCATAATCGGATCGCTAATCAGACAGCGCAGCTGTTGACGGAGTTACTGAAGGTTACTGTCGAGCGGGAGATGTCTAGTGCACTGAGAGGAGGGATTGAAACAGGCTCAAGTTGCCATTTGGCGAACGGATTGCATTTCAATGCCGAGAGAGCAAGAACAAATTCTCCAAACCACCGAAGACCATCGCCACAAACAGAACCCGCATCGTCGATCGCTGATGCACCCCACCCCCCGACCTGGTCTAACCAAACGAATTCGATCAACTCGGCATCTATGTCGCGGGTTAGCGTTTCGGAATTTCCCTCGGCAAGTATCTTCGAACAGTTGGACGATACCTTCGGAGCCTTTGGCGAGAGTGAGTGTTCAGCATTCTGTTTCACGAGCCCATGGTCAGCATTCTTGAACTAACAGATCATAGTGATGTTCAATCTCATACCGGACGATGAAAGTTCGTCCTGGAAGTGGGGCAGAGCCTTACCATGATCTCGACGACGTTATCTCCAAAGGAACCGAAGGAATCGGGCTACTGCCATATACACGATGGTATAAATGAAGTAGACGGTGGTCATCAAAAAAATAAAGACGACCCGAATGCATTGGCAGAAAGAGGCGACCTTATCATGGCCGAACACGGAGAGCGCTACGGCAAGCGAAAAGCCGAGGCAAGCGACGACGAAGACCCACTGAATGCAGGCCCTGATGAACAGCGTTACGGCGAGCGAAAAACAAGCGACGATGAGCAGCTTGGAAGGCATTTTTGATGACGATTGGATTGAATTTTTTGACTGTGGATGATTTGTATGAAAAAAGATGGAAAGGAGTCGATGAGGAGAGAAGAAAGAAGACCCTGAGAGGTATGGGCTTTTGAAACCAAATGCATTCTACCTACGTGCTCAGTTTCGACTAATGTTAACTACGGGGATATAGATCGTGAGATTCTGCCACTCGATCCCGCCCTGGATTGCTCCCTCCCTTTTAGGGTTCTCTCTCTTCTGAAGTCTCTTGTGAAGTCTCCTCTGGGGGTTTTTTTCCGAGTATGTACTCGTATATCAATAACCCTTACCTCCTTTTGTCTCTGTACATAAACGGAGACCAAAGCGAATGGTAAAAAACTCACACGATGATCCAGATAACCTGCCATACACTACATTGGATTCCAACGCCAAGCCTAGAAAAGTATACAGAATCTTGGAATTACGACTGAGATCCCAAAGGGGAATAGCCATTGAATTTGCCTTGAGGATATTAGTTTCTTCACAACATGCTGCTCTCTGAAGGAGCAATTTTACGGCCGAGAAGTGACAGATGCCATCTAGGTGGAGCATTGCGTGCTCTCCACTTCAGACTATCATAGGATTTCATAGGATAACCCTGTAGCTTGGCGTAGAAGATAAAACTAAGATAAAGCCAATATCTCGCGATCCAGATGGGTCCTGGCGTGCCACATGGGTTACAGAATAACGTTCCAGCATAAATATCTACGCCTAACACCGATCCATGACAAACCCAGCTCGAAACCAGCACAGTCAAAATGGCCATGGAACGTGTTACACGGATCTACCGATCCTGTCTGCTACAGATCATTCTAGTGGGACTGGTTGCCTTCTGTGAACCCGGTATCTGGACGGCTCTCAACAATCTCGGTGCAGGAGGGAATGCAAAGGTTCGTTACACGTCAACACCCTTCAAATTCGCCGCTAACGTGCTTTCTAGCCCTTCCTGAACAATGCTGCGAATGCCCTGACCTACGGTCTTATGTCAATCGGTTGTTTCCTGGCTGGCGGTGTCACTAACAAAATTACTGCAAAATGGACGCTGTTCATCGGTGCTGCATTCTATACCCCGTATGCAGCTGGCCTCTACTGCAACAACCGATACGGCAACGAGTGGTTCCTTTTGCTTGGGGCTGCTCTTTGTGGCATTGGAGCGTCTCTACTCTGGGCAAGTGAAGCTGCGATTGCAGTGGGGTATCCAGAGGAAGAGAAGCGAGGACGGTTGGTTGACCTTCACTGAATCTTTGATCACACGCTGACGGAAGGATAGATACGTGGGGATATGGATGGGAATTCGGCAGATGGGGCCATTGGTCGGTGGTGCGATATCCCTCGCTTTGAACGTCGGTACCTCAGAGAAAGGCAAAGTCACCTACACCACGTACCTAGGGCTGGTGGCTATTTCGGCGCTGGGAGCTCCATTTGCGCTGCTGCTGTCACAGCCACAGGACGTCATCAGAAGCAATGGCACCAAGATTCCTTACATGAAGAAGACCAGCTTCGCGATTGAAGCACGAGCTATTTGGAAGCAGCTGTCTAACAAGTACATGCTGCTCCTTATTCCCGTCTTCCTGGCAGGACAGTTTGGTTCAACCTACCAAGGAAACTACTTGACAAGTACGTCTTTTACGATCTATCCAGGCTCAATTGAAATGGTGTCACTAACAAACGACTCCAGCATACTTCACTGTGCGCTCTAGGGCCCTTGCATCCTTCCTAACGGCTGTTGTAGGCGCAGCAGCCAACATAATCACAGGCCTGATCCTGGACGTGAAATCCATATCTCGCGAGAACAGATCCAAGGGAGTCTACATTTTCGTCTTAATTTTCGTCACAGCAGCCTGGACATGGAATGCCATTGTCGAGACCAAACTCTCGCGCATGGCCGACCCACCAACCTTCGATCTGGGCGACGGCCCCTTCTTCAACTCGGCTTTCACAGTCTACATGATCTTCAAGTTCTTCTATGAGGTTCTGCAGACATACATCTACTGGTTGATGGCGGAGATCAAGGGCGCACAGGCTGATGGAGATATTGCTCGCACTACTGGTATTCTGCGGTCGTGGGAATCAATCGGTAGTACCATTGCTTATGCTGTGGGTGCTACGCATTGGCCCAATCTAAACCAAATGATACTGGGCTTTGCTTTGTGGGGTTTCACGATCCCGTTCACTCTGCTTGCAGTCTTTGGCAACTGGAATCAACCAGCTGCTGTGGAGGAGGATCAATCGGATGACAACAGCTTGGAGGCGCAAAGGGTGATTGTCGATGCTGACAGCAAATGATTGTTTCTAATCTTGGCCTCAATGGCATACATGGCATGCATGACCAGCTGCAAGGCTCCGTCCCCTGATTGAAAATAGGACAACAAAGATTCAAATAAAATCTGCATCAGAAACCTTTGCATTATTATGACTCCATTGTAGGGCTTTAAGTTCGACTTTAGGACAAAGTCATTAGGAACGAATTCGTAACGTATTACCTAAGTAAGATAGCTGTCCACGGGTTGTACCTTGAACGGGGCAGGATTAAACAGCCAGAGTACAGAGAAATGGTCTGGACTCCAAAGCCAATCAGATACGAATCCAGGCTTAACCTTCCCCGATCTTGACTATTGAACTACAGGGGAAAAAGACATAAAGACATGGACTTCATATTACACAATAACTGAAGTGGACGCAAGCATCAGAAAAAGACATGGTATGAACTGCGCCGTTGACAAACAACGCAATTAAGATATCAAATATAGAGATTAAGCCTGCAAGCAGGCATTATTCCACTTGAGAAAGAAAAGAAGCTAAGTGCCCAAATGCACTTAGATAGCGAAAGCAACGAAGAGACCAGCGAAGACAGCGCCGAGGCTGAAGGTGTTGGAAGCAGCACCGTTGAAGACAGGGGAGGAAGCCGCGGGGGAAGCAGAGGCGGTACCGGAGGGAGCAACGGTGGAGGCACGGGCAGAAGAGGTCCAGGCCTTGGTGGTGACGGGGGAGACACCAGTGGGGACAACCACGGGGATAGAGGTGGCGGAAGCAGTCTCAGTCTCGGGGCAGATGGTGGTGGTCACCTCGGAGCTAGGGATGATGGTGGACCAGGCGGGGGTAGAGACAGCGGAAGCAGTCTCGGACTCCGGGCAGAAGGTGGTGGTCTCGGTGGTCTCAGCGACAACGGTGGAGGGCTTGGCGGTGGCGGTAGGGCCGGCGGTCTCAGTCTCGGGGCAGATGGTGGTGCTCTCGGTGACCTCGATGGTAGAGGCGGAGCCGGAGCCGGAGCTGGCGCTGGAGCCAGCGGCGGCACCGAGACCGAACTGGGTGGAGTACTGGTACTGACCGGTACCCTCGACGACGAGAAGGAGACCGTAGTGGGTGGTGTCGGGGGTCAGGTCAGAGCCAGGAGTCCACTTGAACTCGCCAGAGTTGGGGATCTGCTCAGCGAGGGTCTTGAGGGGCTGAACGTTGTTGGAGGGACCGCGGAGGAGGACCAGAGAGATGGGGCCCTCGGTGGTGGGGGTCCACTTGATGGTGTAGGATTTGCCCTCGGGAACGATCTCGTTCAGGCCGGGAGAGGTGATGGCATTGCCAGAGGGGTCCTTGGTGTAGTCAGGGTCGGTGTAGGCTGCAGCCAGGGCCACGAGGGCGGAGAAAGTGGTGGCGACGGAGAAACGCATGGTGTCTTTGATAAAGAGTGACTGGAGTTGAAAACTGAAAAAGAGTGACTATCGTTGAAGAACGAAGAGAGTTGATAAAAAGGAATGGACTGGAGTGAGAGAAGAAGGAAAGGTTAAGAGGGGAGGCGAAAGCGCATATGGGTCGGCCCCAAGTGCCTCAAAGCCAAGACTGTACCTGCATTGGCCAACCACATCACGTCACTTCATTTGAAGCGAGTGGCTTAGGTCTGACACTAGTATTGTGTATTCTATTTGTGTACTCTGTATATTCTGTATATTTGGCTGGATTTGGCCTGATTGTTTCTGTACTCCGTTTTGGTTCAGTGTTAGTTATATACTTGGCAGTTACTAAAGTATCACAACACTATAGTTCTCTTCCCGGCCCTATTTAATTCTATACTGAAGTAGCAGGCCAAGACGAAAGAACCTCGTGGGCGCAGAGAAAAAGAAAAAAACAACAGAAAAACAAAATAAACGCCCGTGCGGAACCCAAAAAACAACACATCGGCACGGCCGTTGATTGGTGCACAGCCCTTTAATTTTACATGGCCCCCAGGTACACAATGTAGAGAATGCTCCGGTAAATTACCAGCCTGGGAGATTGGAAGGACTGGAAGGAATGTTAGTGGTTTCCTATGTTCTCTCTTCTGCAAATACGAGTACTGCAGACTACTCGTACATAATCCGAGTACTCCGTGTTGCCCTGTCTAATTCCCCATACGAGGACTTCGGATAAAGAACGTTAAGAGTGTTTGTCGGGTTCTCTTGGCGTTCGCGGATACTACCCGGTCATTTCCACCTAAACATTTAGGTCTCATCTATTAATACATTCCTCATAGATCCATTGTGTACGGAGCATGGAGAAGACTGGTATTATCTGCCCCTATTCAACAATCTATTCGGCATATATTTTAAGATTGATCATCTTATTTGCGCCACTTTCAAGGTCGGGCTTAACAAGAGAGAAACGATTTGTTCACCCCACTCGGTCCCTGTGACAAGTGTGATACGGTACGGTGCCCAAACTCAAAAATGGCCTGCGCCCTGTAAGAACAGGGACCAAACAGGGACCAAACAGGGACCTGCATGCAGGTACGGGCACATGTACAAGTATGGTGTCCAGCACATGGGACGGGACGGGATGGAACCCTAACATCTTTTGCTTATTTTGTATGGACGGGGTAGTTTGTGAGTTACTTAGATTTCGATGTTCATGAAGCCAAGTCTACCGTTGAGAGGGGCCGCTATGACGATCCCACCCGTTCATCAACCTTGAATTCAACTTGATATTCAGGGGTCAGATATTCGTGCCTGAATATGGAGGGAGTATGCGTGCCCTGTTTACATTTAGTCTCATGCCCAAGGGAGTCGGAGGTCGGAGCATAGGAGATAGGGATGAACTAGACGTATAAATCGTGTACGGCGTACGACTTTAAAAAACGATGTCTCACCTGCATCGAGATTACATGCATACGAGCAATGAGAGAGGGGCCGGCAAAAGTCGCCTCAAACTTTGGATACGGAGCTCGTCTTCACTAAGGCTGAGTCTAGTTTTTTTTATGAACTAGTTATAATTACACACTTTACTCATAGTTCAAGATTGATTTTTTTGAGCATGGTACTCCGTATCTCGGAGTTGACTAGATCTAGTTAGCCAAGCAGATTCTTTCAGCCGCATGAGAACCCAAGCGAGGCGGAGACCCCCCGAGCAAAACAAGAGCATACCCCCGTATCCTGTGTAGCGTACTCCGTAAATGCATTAGACCGGAGTCATAACTCTAGTTCGTTCTGTATCGGATACGAGTGCCAATGGCAAGGCTCCGAAAAGGTTCAGAAATTCTCCGCCATTGGCGAGGCGACCCAAGCCAGAATAAGCCCCAAAGCAAAACCCGGTCAAAGACCGGTCTAGGACATGTCCAAGGTTTGGGAAATAACACGGGGGCCAAAACTATGCACAAGCTAAGTGTGATGGGCCTGCTAGCCCTACTCTTGCCAGGTCACAGTCTTGGTCTGGAGGAACTCGTCGTATCCCGAGGTTCCTCCGAAACGACCAAAGCCACTGCTCTTCCATCCACCATGGGGCAAGACGGGCTCATCGTGGACAGTCATTGCGTTAATGTGCACGGCGCTAGAGAACTCAGTTAGCCGGCATGTTTTTTGTTTTTTTTTTTTAGCTTTTGATATTGAGAAACTCACCCCGAGTCAATCTGCTTCGCCACCCGCAACCCGCGGAACAGGTTGTTAGTGAACACAGATGCGGTCAGTCCGTATTCTGTGTCATTGGCCAGCGCGATCGCCTCCTCTTCCGTATCAACCGTGATGAGGGACACGGTCGGTCCAAACGACTCGGTCGCATACATGTCCATTTCCTTGGTGACACCGTCGACAATCACAGGTCGCATACCCGTGTTGATAGACTCGTTTGCATTCGCATCACCAAACAGCACACTGGCACCGCGTGAGACCGCGTCGCCAATCAGCTTCTTGTTCTTGGCAACGGCTGCAGAGTTGACCAACACCAGCGCGGGCGCGTCCTTGCCGAAAAGCTTCTCTGCTGTCTCGGCAAGCTTCTGTCGGAAAGCGTCTGCGATTCCGCGCTGCACAACAATACGCTCAGTCGACATACAGATCTGTCCGGACTAAAAAAACGGTCAGTGTCGGTTGTACGAGGTACAATGATCCCGTCTATACATACGTGCATGAATGATCCAATGGCGCAGTTCATAGCAGCCTTGTCCAGATCCGCATCGTCAAGAACCACCGCCGACGCCTTACCACCGAGCTCCAACAACACAGGCTTGATATACTTACCCGCGGTGGAAGCAATGATCGAGCCGACCATGGTGCTACCAGTGAAGTTGACCTTGCGCACGGACGGGTGTGCAATCAGCGCATTGGTCACCGCCGGAGCATCAGCGGTCTGGTTGAAAATGACATTCAAACATCCCGCAGGAAGGCCAGCCTGACGGAAGATATCACCCAGAGCCCAGAAGCACTTGGGGGAGAGCTCAGAGCCCTTAAAGACAACCGTGTTACCGGCGGCCAGGGGCAACGCCACAGCGCGGACACCGAGGATGAAAGGCGCGTTCCTGGGAAAGTGCCGAGTCAGCTGACCTGCTGCACATGGGGACCCGATATGCAAAACTCACCATGGCGCAATCGACAGGATCACACCGTAAGGCTCCTTGTACACAATGGCGCCCTCGCCTTCGCGGTTGATGTTGGGGACCACGCCCTCAATTGTAGGAATTCGGCCCGCGAAATCCTTGATGAAGTTGACACCCATGTTGAATGTGTGCTCGGTGAAGGGACGGCCAGCACCGGTCTCCTCGCGCTGGTACTGGATCAGTTCCTCCTTGCGAGAGGACATGATGTCGGCGGCCTTGAGGAGGAGATCGCGGCGCTCGTAGGGCTTCGTCTTGCTCCATGCTGGGAATGCGGCCTGTGCGATGTCGACGGCACACTTGGCGTCCTCGACGGACACGCCTGAGCAGTAGCTGCTCAGCTCGCCGGTGGCGGGGGCGTAGACTTCGAACTTGATATCGGTCTCAATGGACTCATTATTGATTATAAGGGGGGTTGTAGTGCCCATTGTGAATGTTAATCGAGGGGTAATTGAAGAAATTAAAGAAAAAAAGAATTTCCAATGGAGGGGCTTTGTTATTTCAATAGGAGCTGAGATCGATCTTGACCGAATCCAGAGAGGCGGAGAGTTGTGGGGGCTTCAAAGAGCGGTCATGACCTCGTAGATCGATTTTATCTCCGGCCCTCCCACTTCGTCTTTTACCCCCCTTTCAACGGACTTCCATCAATACCTTCAATATCTCCGGACTTTCAACATTTATTCTCGGATATAACTTCCAACTGCCATGTCCAAGAGCCGTGCGGGGAGATGTACCTACCGCGTCCCCGGGGCCCCTAACGCAGGATGACACACCCGGACGTATTCCGCAGCCTCGGCCTCAGCTCTCTGGCTTTACTTCGGTATAAGTGGACACAAAGTGAAGATCATTTCTCAATCAAAAACTCGATTATTGAACACCATCTATGCTGATCCGAAGGTATTCCCATAAGCCCGCAAATTCCCAAGCGCCCTCAAATGCAAATGTGTCCTTCCTCTCAATTCGCCCAGATCTTGGTTTCAGTGGAGTTTTGCTTCCCCATCTCTGCGAAGGGACAGGTTGATGGCCGGGACTCGCTTCTCGACGGTATCGACGATGGTGCTGCACTGTGTGTAGAAGGTGCCACACCGCTGGAAATACTGGATCGGTCATCGTCATTGGAGCTCCCGGATGTACTGCCAAGGATCTTCTTATCGCCAATGTACCCCTCCTGATCCTCGAAGCTCATCAGCGACATCTCATCCAAGAATTCCTCCCCGTCACTGCAATGGTACCGCGCAAACAGATCGTTCTGAATCCAGAGAATTTTGTTAACGGCTCGTACGAGCGCGATCTTCCGGCGCAACGATAAATGCGGGTGCGACATCATCGCCTCGATCCAAATGTCTTGGATATAACCCATGCAGGCGCCGAGATGAATGTACTCGATGTTGAGGGGAGATTTGCGCACTTGTCCGCTGTGCATCATGCTGTGTGACTGTTAGCGTTGTACAGCAGGAACAGAGAAGCCTCCACTTACCCAACCTTGTTCAGGTAGCGCCAAAAGTCCATGGTGGTGGGGTCCTGGCAGAGTCGGGTCAGATACCAGCGCAGGAACATCTTGCGGCGCTTGATCTGGGGTGTTTCTTCGTCGAGATAATCTTCCTCGGGCTCGACCTCCACGGCTGTGTTGCGTGTGTGGAAGGCGCGTGATGTGATATCGCATTCGAGGAGCTTCTTGTACACCAAGTTGACCACCGCAGGGATCAGTTGCTTGATGTACTTGTGACCGTTCATCAGTGCTTCGACATCGGCTAGAGAATGTCAGCGGCTGTGTCAATACAGAAAAGGAGACACGGAACTTACCGGAGCCAAAGTCGAGCATGTGGTGCAAATACTTGATTCGCTCTTCCAGGTTGGTATAGAGCAACTTGCGGTCGACATGCCTAGGCTCGGGGGGCATACGGTATTCCATGGTGAAGGTTGAAAGATGTGCGACTTGATAGAGTGTTGGAGTCAAATGTACGAACACCTGGGGTATCCGGTTGAGATGGAAAGATGCAGGAGATCAATCGTGAGAAGAAAGAACATAAAACTGGGCCGCCTCGTGGCAAACTCGTGGCAGATCGAGTATTTATACACTCGATGCACGATCCATGCCCAGATGAGCGCTCACCGTTCTTCCACACAAAACAAGTTGCAAGCCATGAAACCTTAGCCACCATCCTATCAGGGATCCGCTATAGGCCCTGGCAGGAAACCGTCAGTGGGACTTTTTCCTAGAAAAGCGATCACATCCGGCCTAGGCCAACACATGCTCGAACCAAGTCCGGGATTATTCCTGAGATATCTTTTTTTCTTCTTTTTCTGAATATATCGACTATATATGGTCGAATCAGAGCGCAGCACTATATGGCGGAGGCTGTATCCGCGGTGGGGCCATAGTGATGTACAGAGGCATGTGTGGGCTGATCCCTGTAATCTCCTCCGTCAGGTTACGAAAGTCGCGAAGAGCCACGGCAAAAGCCACTGGATCCATGACTGTGGTCCTGTCATGCTCGGCAACATGAAACAAGCGACTTGGAGACGCGGAGATAGCCCGGGACTCGTCTCTAACAGGATGGTGCACCATCAGACCTCTCCATTTCATTTATATTCCGATATAAACTTTGGAGGCGTGTCTCCTCCCGAAGTCTTTAGTTTCACACCCCAGACTTTGGAAAAAGGTCAAAAATCAGACATGTCAGACCATAACCCGTCAGCTGTCAATATATGTGGACCGCCAGCAATGCAAATTAGATTGCATAAGAGCCCGGCCTTTGGATTTCGATTTTGCTCTCGCTCACTGGCCGTGTGGGTGTTCGAATCTCCGCTGCGGTCCCAACGGTTTCACTCAGGTTCCGAGATGAAGTGGATTCCGTTCGGGTCCGAAGCGGCTGCGGGTCCTGACTTTTGAGTTAAGTAAATAGGATTAGTTAACTACTCGTAGTTAATGCCCGTAACGGATATGCATGACACCCGTTGACTATTCAGTGCTTAATTGTGAAGAAATGAAAGTCCCTGGGAGTCACGTTCTACAGCTCTAGAGGGGTGAACATCCCGAGGTCTGCCAGGTTAATTAGTATACCTTGCTCATCTCAATCTTCCTCGCTAGGAGCATTATTCCGATCAAACTGGTGGTGCAGTGGGTCTGGAAAAGGAAGAAAAAAGTGCTGACTGGTACGAGTAGTCCTTCATGTGGGTGATTCATCGGAGCCAAGTGACAATAGCGTGGAAAAATCAGGAAACACTTGCATAACAAGTCACGCTAGAACATCGGGAACTGGTCTTCTCGTATTCCGCACTCCGTAGCATCCACTAACGATCAGATCGATCATAGGAAACTCCTATCCGTATCGAATCGTGTGATGGCGTGGCCTGATGCCTGGATTAGGAACAAGTGCCCACCGCTGTGGGGATGGCATGATCAAATTGGACTATTTCGATTAAAAACCCTAGGCAGAGAAATGGGGGCTAAAATCCTGTCAAAAAAGGGGCAAAGGGAGGAAATCTCACCTTGAACTTCAGGAGTTTTCTGTGCGCGGATATCAATCCAAAGTGACAGATCAGAATTCATTCCTCATTTGGCCAACTTCGGGTGCGGCTTGACTTCTCAAACAGCCGCGTTAGACGATCACTGCCGCCTTGGTGAAATTTCCGCATCGGAGGGCCTAGATCAGGGGGTTCGACTATTTTAAAAGTCTGCAGGAGTTTCATGTCAGTGATCATCAACGCCCTAAGACTGCTTTCCATGGATACGTCATGCCAAGCTCATCTAATTGAGTTTCTGGGGGACATTTGACAGCGGCACGACAACATACAGTCCACGAGTGAGAGCGCTGAACACTGCGATCGGGGCTTTGGCCATAGAAAAAAAAAATGACCAGTGTTGCGGGGGAGAGCTCAGATTTTAGACTTCAGGATCTTAATATATTTAGGTTGTCGGCTTCACTGACAGGTCATTTGCAAGGTTCTAAGGTTGTCGGTGAGTTTGAAGTTGAAATTAGGCCAATATAAGGCTACTTAAGTATCTCCAGGGCTAGCTAAGTGCCATACTCATCATGTGGCTGAATGGCACGCTCCTTCCGCTAAAGTAAGCCCCTAAAGGCTGTCCCTTGTCGAATTGCTGCTCCGTGCGGCGGCGGCATCGTACAGCGCCTGAATGTCCGCCTTCCACTGCTTCTCGTCTACTCTAGAGACTCGTCGGTCATAGGTAATCAACCCGTTGACCTCGCCTTCCACATCGGTGGTCTGAGTCCATACACCTCCACTGCATGCAAACAGACGGATTTGATCCTCCAACTCACCGAGAAGAAGGTGACTGCGATAGTTCCATGCCTCGATGGTGGTATCGATCTCGTAAGTCTGGTTAATGGTGTCGATAGCCGCTTGGTTGTTCCAGAGGCTGTAAATACTGTGTTAGTAAAGTATTCCTGAAAGCCGTATTCGGGGAAGATTGCTGCACTCACTGCTCAATAGAGACATTGTTTCCAATGCCGCCAAACTCGCCCTGGAACCCAATTCGGCTAGGGTCGTATGGGCTCGAGGCTGTGGAGTAGAATGGCGTGCCGCACTGGGGGTTTGCGTAGTGGTGGTTATCCTGGTCCTAGTCAGCCACATGGCCCTGTCGGCTGCATGCAATACACGTACACTAAAGTCTCCGGCACCGTGGTCGACCCAACCGGTTGTAGAGTCCACAAGCCGGGTGGGGTCCAGCTGTCTCACTCTGTCCGTCAGCTCAAACTCGGGGTAGGTGTCGGTAATCTGGCCCCAGCCCTCGTTGTAAATGACCTGTCAGAAGATTTTAGTAACCATTACTATCTCCAGGCCGTAAAAAACATACCCAAATGGCAATACTGGGGTAGCTCTTAAATTGATTGACCAGGACATCCAATTGCCGGGCAAACTCGGCTTGCTGCTTAGCGTCTGGAAGAACCGACTGCAATGGACGCAGGGAGGGCATATCCTGGATAACAAGAAGACCAATTTCATCGCATGCTCGATAGAACAAATCTGTTTCAACTTTGATCTATTCCAGATTAGTATGTCATGCACGATCAAAGTCAATTTGGACCTCAATACTCACATGCTTGCGGACCATGTTGAAACCAAGGTCTTTCAACACCTTCAGATCATACACCATTGCCTCGTGGTTTGGCGGCGTATATAATCCATCGGGCCAATAACCCTGATCCAGTGTACCAAACATGAAGATGAATTCACCATTAAGCAATGGTCGCTCAACACCGTCGATCACACCTCGGGAAATAGTGCGGAAGCCAATGTAACTTTCCACTTCATCTTTGTCTAAACTGACAGTGACGTTGTAGAGATTAGGTGAGTCGGGAGACCAAAGCTTTGGCGATGAAACAGTGAATTGGAATGGCTTGTTTGTAGGACCTTCGTGAGTTGCAACAGTCTTTCCGTCTTTGTGGACGGTGACTTTGGCCTGAGCAGATGTGCCATTTGCAGAGCTGTGTACAGTGACATTGACTATGTACGGTTAGAATCTTTCGGATTTCCTTTGTTTTTCGGGAACTGACCTTGGCCGTCCATGTTTGCATCAAGATCCAGCTGAGTGATGTAGTTTGTCGGCGCAGCCTCAAGCCAAACACTTTGCCAGATACCGCTACAGGGTGTATAAAAGATGTGGCTAGGGCGTAAGGTTTGCTTGCCAATGGGAATAACATAGTCGCCGTCATCAGTAGGGTCGTGGACAAAGACAAGCCTGTGGTTCTAGTCAGTATCTCATGCTGCCATTTTTATTTTTTTGGGCTGGATCACACACAGTTCATTTGACTGATCAAACTTCACATGTTCTGTGACATCCAAGGCAAATCTGTAATATCCACCGCGGTGGAATCCAGCTTTTTGGCCGTTCACGAAAACTGTGGCTTCGTAGTCCACAGCTCCGAAGTTCAGCAGAACCTTGTCATTCTTCCATTCAGAAGAAACGTCAAAAGACGTTGAGAACCATGAGTACAAGCCCCAGTCAGTTTTAATTCCTGTGGGCTGAGTTAGTTTTTGGTAGTTGATAACCTTAATCTGATTGTGCACGCTCACCAGACAAGCCACTCTCAATGCAGGAGGGGATCAGCACTTCCTGTGCGAGATCCTTTCCAAAAGGAGGAGAATCAACAGCATTTAGATCAGAGGCATTCTGATATTTCCAGATACCATTCAGATTTTTCCAGTCAGACCGCTGTAGCAATGGCCGTGGGTATTCAGGCCAGGGCTTGGTTCCGACCTTGTCGGTCCAAGGGGTTGTCAAGGGAGGCTCTTTAGGTGCGTACTTCGTACTGCGAGCCATATTATTATGCTTGACACCCTCATTGCTAGGAAGTGCTAGACCTGTGATAGCCAGCAACGCGAATACAAAGCTCTGAGCCAAAAACATGTTGGTTGAACGTGCTCTGAGTTTCAGAGTACAGAACAACGACGAAACCCCTGGAGAAAAGGGACTGACAAAAGGGATTTTGATGGGCCCATCCCTGAATTTAAATGTATTGGGCTAGTTTTTCTACACAATAGGTAGTATTTCCCCTGCAGGCAGCGCAGAAGCAAAAAAATTAGAAAAAGACCCGACACTCAGGCCCCTTTGTCTTGACCAAACGGCACCTTTCAGGGTGTGAGCAAGTGCACTTGGCAGACCCATCTCCACAAATACTGGATCACCCCGCAGGAAGCACGCAGGGTGCCCAGAAAATCCCGATCTTAGACCGCGAGGGTGTCGGTCATGGTCTGCTGCCCGATCACAGGGACTCTCGGCCACAGCTTGGCATTGTTGGTAGTGGAGTTTGCGCCAAGAGTCGACAAACAGCAATGATGTCGACTTACATGTCATTTAGACATGGCATTTCGCAACTTTTGATATGCATACCGATTCCTCCGGCCATTTTCTGCTAGAATCTGACTACCAGTAGAATATCCGGAAGTATGCTAATACTGCCGACATTAGAATGTGCATCGGCAATCTCACAGTTAACTCCGAATCTCCGTCCACGGGTATCGTGAGACTGACAAATCACAGCATCTTGAAGAATGCAGTGGAGTATCCTCATCTAGCCAGTCGATCTTTAAAACCAATGGGGCTTTTGCTCACGCGATGGTACAGAGTAGGTTGAGTCTACAATAAACCGAAAATCCTCATACTGTCCACAATTATCTATCAGCGATCGCAATATTGCAATTCAGAAGTGATAACCATCAGATCGCTCTCACAGGCAGAGATGGTGCAAGGGAAATATTGGTGTTGTCTCACCCAGTCGAGAGATGCAGCCCAGCTGCATGGGGTAGCCAAGCCGGGAAGATGAAGTCACCCTGACCAGGAATTAATCCTGCATTGTTAGCTTGCCCAGCAAGGGTTGCGTTTCGCTGTCCAATCCCTTGCTTCTATTTTTTGCATGGCGTGCCTTTGTTCCGACCAGAGAAACGGCATGTGTGTTGAAAGTTTGTCCTAACTGCCTCAATAAGGGTGTCAAGTCGCATAGTCCCGCCATTTCCGCCGGCGTGGTAGCTTGAGGTTGTATTGAGTGCCGAATATAAGAGTACGAGAGCCCGCCCTTCCCCTCAGAGGCTGACTTGGCGCGATGATCGCTCATTGCTAATTGGCGAGTGCTCTGCGGGCTATTGTCTCCGCTTTAGCCTAAGATTATGGCTGACCGTTTGGGCTTGTCAGCCTTGGGGCTTTGTAGCTTGCCATTCCCCGCGCGGGGCTTATATTGAGCGGAGTCGGAATCTTGATGGATTTTGAGCCCGAGCAAGCCTGGGGTCAGCGCTAGAAAAGCTTTTTAAAAAATGAGTGAGAGAAAAAGGAGGTCTGGGTGGTATGGCCTCCTAAAGTTGGAAGGTTCTTCTCTCCGGCAAAACCCCGGCGGGCTGTGCTCAGGTGTCAAACATGTGCCCATCGGCTCCCCTAGTAACTTTAGAAGGTCTTTGGCCGTACTGCACTCGGAAAACTCGTATATCCTAGTTTTCACGTGTATCCAGCAATATATTTTATCGGGCATAATCCAGTTCCTTAAAGGGTCTTTCAACATTCCTTTCTTGGCGAATGGGCATTCCATATTTGTCTTCTACCTGAACACCTTCAGCGCTGGGAATTCTTGTCCATACTTAAGTACTGTGGGGCTGAAATCTTTTATAGGTCTACTGAGGCATTCAGTGCGAGTATTTCGTTCTTGGATGGAATATTTTGTCTGCCTACCACTCCATTATTTTTGCTTTTTTCCTCCAACACTTTGTCAAAAGCCATCACTTAGGCAATGAAATCAATAGTTGAGATGGCTAAATATGTCCAGGGGCCCAGGTGGTAGCATCTGTAGACTTCCAAGGTCCCAAGGTCGCAACTTCGATTTTTAAAGTTCTAAGGTTGAGATACAAGTATTGCTCAAGTGCTTGCCCCGGGATGGACCCAGAAGTCGCGAAGACTTTAGGAAAACGACATCAACTTTGGAAATAATTTTTTGAAATTTAAAATAATGCACTTTCTGAGATGCAATTAGCGAGTGTAATTAGTAACCCGTGGAGCTTTCATTGGTCTACAGGTGTAGTGCTCAAATGTTGAGGCTATATATTTTAGGGCTAAGGGTATCCAGACAAAGTGATGGCCGAGAGTTCCTCCGGGCTCTGAGTAGAGCTGAAGCCGGAAGCTAACCATCATCTCGAGAATACCTAGATCTTCGGTTAAATTAACCTTGTCAAACACAGCATATATTCATTTGCTATAATCATGCCGGTCTAGGTAGAACAAATGAGGCTACAGAGCCGAGAGAGAACACCCGTAGACGCACAAAGAGCGATCGATTGAAAGAGCAAGAGGTTGCAGAAGCAAGCCCCAAAAAGAAAACACTGGGCGTTTGGACTAGTCAAAAACCATCCCATCTATAGATTTTCTAAACAAGAACCACGAGGAAGGAGTTCAGAACCTTCTAAGTTGGAAGATACCTGTAGACCTCGACGAAACACTGCTCCCCCACGCTTAAGAAAGCAAAAGGGGGAGAGCCACTTAATCTGAAGCCCTGAAAGTATTGACGAATTTGATCATCGAATATATCTCAACTACCGCCTATCTCGATGTTTCTCTTCTACCTTGGAATCTGCCCTGCGTGATTCGTTGATGTGGCCTGCTGCCACGCGCATCAAACCATCCACAAAATGTCGGTGACGGGACTATCAGGACAGGTATTTGAACTACATAGGGAGATATTCTTCTGAGACTAGATGGAGCTTTTAAATTTTTGCATAAACTAATGCGCGCTTGAAGACAATGCTGCGTAGTGAAAAATGCAACAGCTCACCCGGCGTGACTCAAAGGGATATGCTAGTGGTTGGAGTTTTGTATAAGTAAAAAAGACTGATTACTGAGCAGAGTAATTAAAAAATTGAGTATGAATGATGCAATGAGTCAATGGAACATAAGCAGGAGGGTGGGTGCATTGGAGTTTATGTATAATGGGTTCAAGTTGATTCACATGGCTGACGTGAGTCTTATCTTCGGCCTCAGATACTTGAGTAATTCGGTGATGCGGGAAGTCAAACGGGATTCTGACGGAAGTAGTCTATTTGCAAAGAGTTCACGTTGTTTGCTTTGGTTGGGGTTGAGTCGGGATTTGAGTTGAAACGCCCCGAAACAGCCCTGTATGACTTCGGGATTTGTGGTGCGGAGTAGAGACGTTCTTAAAGAGCGGAGACGCCTTTTCATGGCGTGATCTATAATTAAGCAAACCCCAACAGACCCCGCAACTAGATTATTCAGTCCTTATCTGGTTTAGTCCTGCAAATCATCCCAACTACCCGGGATCTAACAGATCTTCCGTGGCCTGACGCAGACCCCGATATCAAGCTCCAACGGCTATCATTGACTCCTCAGCCCTGATAGCTGTTTCTGAGGAGAGCATAGTCAGAAACCCCGAATCCGAGCACATCCGGATCTCATGATGTTTTCGCAATGTATCTCGGGATTTGGGAGCATGGATGAGTTTCACGGTCAATCTACAGGGGCATCTCGAAAGCTATAAGTATGCCCCGATTCCTGGCTTATGATACGAATCATCACTCTACATCTTCTCTTTACAACACTAACAAAGCTTTCAAACAACCCCAAGAATCACAATGGTTCAAGTTCTCAAGAAGTACAAGGCCGCTGCCGTCAACGCCGAGCCCGGCTGGTTTGACCTGCAAGAGTCTGTTCGCCGCACCATCCACTGGATCGATGAGGCTGGAAAGAATGGCTGCAAGCTCATTGCTTTCCCCGAGCTCTGTGGGTTCACTCTCCTTGCGGCATATAATTGAGCATACTAACAGGCTTGACTAGGGATCCCCGGATACCCATACTGGATGTGGAAGGTCACCTACCAGGAGAGCTTGCCTCTTCTTAAGAAGTACCGCGAGAACTCTCTCGCCTCCAACTCGGAGGAGATGCGCCGCATCCGCGAGGCAGCTCGCGCCAACAAGATCTGGGTCTCCCTCGGATACTCCGAGCTCGACCTCTCCAGCCTGTACACCACTCAGGTCATGATCAGCCCTACCGGCGATGTCATCAACCACCGCCGCAAGATCCGCGCTACTCACGTCGAGCGTCTGGTCTTCGGTGACGGCACCGGTGACACCACCGAGTCTGTGATGGAAACCGAGATTGGCCGTATTGGCCACCTCAACTGCTGGGAGAACATGAACCCCTTCCTCAAGTCCTACGCCGCCTCTCTCGGCGAGCAGGTCCACGTTGCTGCTTGGCCTCTGTACCCCGGCGAGGAGACCCTCAAGTACCCCGATCCCCGCACCAACATTGCCGAGGCCAATGCCGATGTAAGAATTCCCTCTTTCTGAAGTGGTGATTTGATCTGATCACTGACAAGACTGTTAATCAGCTCGTGACCCCTGCCTACGCCGTCGAGACTGGCACCTTCACCCTTGCCCCATGGCAGACTATCACCGCCGAAGGCATCAAGCTCAACACCCCTCCCGGAAAGGAGCTCGAGGACCCCAACATCTACAACGGAAACGGCCGTATCTTCGGCCCCGATGGACAGAACCTGGTTCCCCACCCCTCCAGAGACTTCCAAGGTCTTCTCTACGTCGACGTAAGCCTTCAATTTCTTTATTATCCACCCTCATCCAATGATGATACTGACAAAGTTCAAGATTGACCTCGACGAGATCCACCTCAGCAAGGCTCTGGCTGACTTCGGTGGCCACTACATGCGCCCCGACTTGATCCGTCTTCTCGTCGACACTAACCGCAAGGATCTGGTTGTTCACGAGGACCGCATCAACGGCGGTGTTGTCTACACCAAGACCGCTGATCGTGTCGGACTCTCGACTCCTTTGGATGCCGCCGCTCCTGAGAACCCCGCCGAGAGCGAGTAAGGGCCTCACGGGTTGAAGAAACCCATTGTACTATAGCACATAAGTAGCAAATCTCAACTTCTTTATTTTTGCTTGGAAATGCCGTTTCTCAATTAGGCTGTTGGACGCGATGACGTCATTGGTGCACCAGCGACACCGACAGCTGTGACAACTTGGAAAATTAACTAGGTGCAACATCCTCAACGCTGTGTATGATCTGCCCAATCTTGTGCTATTGGAAATTGATCTGCCTTCTAAACTTGTAGTTACTCCAAAACGCTGTCACTTGGGCTAAATCTACACATTGGAACGGAGCATTCCCATGCTGAGTGGAATCTCACCAAGTTTACAGTTCTTGAGTACAACAGTTTCAGGTATCGGGATTGATTACTAGTGAGGGTGTTTAAGCACCTGGGAAAGATGGGAGGAAAATGTCTTAAAATAAATGGAGCCTTGAAAAATGACATCCCTTGTTGTGAGCCAACACTTCACAGTTAGCTCTCCTATGAACATGGGATGATGAATCAAAACACCTATGAAAATGATAAATTCAGAGCCTCCCGAGATATTTGACTGCAATTAGCAATGTTCAAAATCAATACATCCTGCTTCAACCCAGTATAAACCCATTGAGTTAATTGAGTTTAAAAGAAATTAGACCTTGAGGGCCGAGACCCGTGGAACGTGAAGACAGGCATTCCGATCTCGTGTGAATTTTTGCATTCCGAGCGATTGTTTATGTCTTAGATATTAGGAATCCCATTCAAATGCTGCAATCCAGATCCAAGGCCCTCTAAGCCGGAGATCAACCGTGCCCAGACCCATGCTCTACGGGCACTCGTACCTGGTCCGTCAAGGGACTGTACAATTCGGGAAAATTGTGGATGCTGAATCACCAAGCCGGAAATAGAACATATCAAAGAGTGTAACAGTGACCCTGGTGGAGATACAGTACGCGCCACTAGATCTGGGGCACCTGTCAGTGCCGGGTTGGACAAAGCGGTTGTTGTCGGGAACGGAAGTAACCATATGGGTCTCAACTTTAGAACCTCAATGCTAGGTGCTTGCCTGCAGCATTGTACTCGTAACTCCTATAAAGGAACTGGAATCCGAGGTCTGAGACCGCGTAAGCACCAATCCATTGTTTCAGGAAAGAGCCGTGTCCAAGAAAAACGCCATTCTGCGTATGCATCGGAATAGTTTCTAGATATCCACCAGACCTTTCAATCTTAGACTGCCTCCGTGCACAGCTGTCGAAATTACATGGGGTTTTACTATTACCTTAAAGGTCTACGAGGACTGCAGTCTAGTGCCAAGGGATGACATTCCGAAATAGGCGTCGGCCACGTGCGAGATCAAGAATGTGACTGCAAACAGTATGTGATTTAACGATAATAGAATTCAGTGAGTACGTGGTTAATGTAGACTATATGGATCTAGAATTCTGTGGTTATGTGTTCACTTCCAAGGTTTTCGAAAGTTGTTAGCTGCCAAAGACTACTAAGGTTGCTCACCTCTTTGGTTCCGCTGGATTTACCTTGGTTCGGGTTGAAATAGGGTTAACAAGACAGTTTGGGCGCCCAAAGCTTCCAGAGACTTAACTCGAGAAATTGGTTCCCCCAGACCTTTTGGCCGCCGCTTCCTACAGAACACACAGTGACGACATACAAAACTCTCTGGGCAAAAACCTCTGTCATTTTGTCTCCATAGCCACACCTCATTGGTATCCTATTATCCTCTTCTGTCCAGTTTGTCTCAAGACGGTGTCACTCTCGTTTCAAATATCCTTTGTCTATCCTTTACCCCCCGGACCTACAGAGATCAAAGCTCCCCCGCCGTTTTCAGTCACAACTTCATCCGTGCGACCAAAAAGATCGCATCGGCCGCGACAAGGAAGATCAGCGTTTAAGGTATGTGGGTACAGCTTCAAATCGCGTGGGGATCTCTGCGGCTGCGCAAGTAACCTCGCGTTTGCCTGCATCCGGCTCCCCGAACCCCCATTCATCCACCCGAATTTACTTATAGCAGCTGATCTCCATGCCAGACAGCTTATCATCCTTCATTCCTCTGTCCCAGCCTCCTCAAATTCGAGGCCTGACTCAAGATTAGAATTTCAATATGCCTTCTTTGTCCAAATTCGCGCGGCAGTCCGTGCTCGGTCTGTCCATGCTGGCAGCCTTGGTCCAAGCCAAACCGTGAGTGGCGCATGACTATCAAACGCTGGTCTCTCTACGTTGTGTAATGCACAAATTACTAACTATTCCATAGTACCTTTGACTACGGAGCCAACAAGGTCCGCGGTGTCAATCTTGGAGGTTGGCTTGTGCTAGAGCCTTGGATCACTCCCTCGATCTTCGATGCAGCGGGTGACGCAGCTGTTGACGAGTGGTCGTTGTGTCAGACCTTAGGTCAGGACAAGTGCAAGAGCGTCCTATCAGACCACTGGCAGAAATTCATTACTGCCGACGACCTCAATCAGATCGCCAGCGCTGGAATGAACCATGTCAGAATCCCGGTGGGATACTGGGCCATCGAGCACCTCGCAGGTGACCAATACGTGAATGGCCAGCTGGAATATCTAGACAAGGCCATCGGCTGGGCTCGTTCGGCTGGGTTGAAAGTCATCCTTGACTTGCACGGCGGTATGTTATTGAACTTCCCTCATATCCTGCGATTCTGACCAAATTATAGCTCCCGGCTCCCAGAACGGCTTTGATAACAGCGGAAAGCGAGGTGCGATTAACTGGCAAAAGGGTAACACCGTTGACGACACCAAGTCTGCCCTGAAGGCCCTTGCCGCTCGCTACGGCGGAGATAGAGACGTCGTGACTGCCATCGAGGCTTTGAACGAGCCCAGCGTTCCAGGAGGCGTCAATCAGGACGGTCTCAAGCAGTACTACTACGACGCATGGGGTGTCATCCGCGAAGCTAGCCAAGATACCACACTTGTCATGCACGATGGATTCATGCCCACCGAATCATGGAATGGGTTCATGGGCGCGAGCTCCGGTGTCTTCTATGTCATGATGGACACTCACCACTACGAGGTTTTCGACAGTGGTGTGCTTACCAATGATGTCAACACTCACGTCAAGAATGTCTGCGGATTCTCCAGCCAACACATCCAAACCTGTGATAAGTGGACCATCGTCGGAGAATGGACCGGTGCCATGACCGACTGCGCCAAGTACCTCAACGGAAAGGGCATCGGTGCCCGCTATGACGGTACTTTCCCTGGCTCCTCAAACATCGGTAGCTGCGCCGGCAAGTCTACTGGATCCGTGGCTGCACTGTCTCAAAACGACCGCACAAACCTGCGCCGCTTCATCGAGGCTCAGCTCGACGCTTACGAGAAGGGCACTGGCTGGGTCTACTGGACCTGGAAGACAGAGGGTGCTCCCGAGTGGGACATGCAGGAGCAAATCGCCGGCGGCGTTTTCCCTAGCCCTGTCACCGACCGTAAATACCCTGGTCAATGCTAAGCTTTCTGTGTACGTAGCTTGTTGCTTTTTTCTTCTTTCGCACATCTGCCATCTAGCATGATGCTGCCTGATGCTTGTCAAAATTCTTTGCAAACTGGTTGCTGGACTTGTGGGTGATGGCAAATCGCTTTCACTTGGTGTTATGGAGTACCTCTTTGGTCGGGCCAGCTGGTTGGGTCGATCACTATTCAATACATATCATTATACTACCTCCTGAAATATTCCTAGTAAGCTTCGAATCAGTAGTTCAGGGTTCGCATCGTCATTTGAGTCATTAAAGGGGGTACTTGTACTCCGTACTCAGAGACTCATATCTGGACATCTATTGAAGAGGAAGGAGTTACTTAGTAGTTTGGTCGAAGTGAAAGCTTCTAAGTTATTTCTGGGTCGCTCCTTCCCCAAACCCTCCACTTTTCTCGCACTTGCCCTTTTGTGTTTTTCCCTCTCCATTCTCCATGTCTTTTCCTCCTATGATTTTTACACTTATTCGCACCCAGCGTGTCCACCGCGTTAGACCTTCACTGTGTTCGACCCCTGGAGACCATAGATTTTCTTCCTGGGTCATCGAGCTTGTGGCCGACCGAATGCTGCCCTTGCTGAACGAGGACGTTTACACAGTCCCGAAAAGGGAGGTCAGCTTGGCCAAGAATTCAACAATAACAACAACAGCAAGCACGACATTTGGGACGTCTTGGCCTGGGTGCAGTTATACGTAGTAAAACTCAACACGCAAAGCCTTTTGTTGGGCATAAAGTGGCTGTGAAGAGCGCAAGGTGGACATGGGAGATGGGAAGGGAGATGTATGAATTGCAGGCGGAGAGAGCAACCGGCCCTTGCTACCGTATCGAGTGGCTCCGATTGACACCCAGCGGGAGCTAGTTGCTCTAGACTCTTGTTACAGCCCCGATCAAGAACATCATGACTTGAGCCTCCAGGAACCGTGGCTAGGGAAAATCCAAGTCTGTCTCTCTCACAGAGGATGAAGAGCTTCTATACGGAGTACACCTGTTGAGTGGTCGGATATTCCTCCTCCACTGCCCGACCCCAACCCATAAGCCAATCAGTTTAACTCTGACTCGAAAGACAACGACGAGCCAGTGCCACAGTCTCCCGGGCCGGCAACGATCAAGAGCAGACTGGGCGGAAAATTGTGGCAATGCCCCTAGGCCACTTTTTGCCCAGGTGTCTTTGCTTGAGCGAGCCACAGCACGGAGTACACCTGAAACAATGAATTTGACTACATTGAAGCACACGTTGTGCAAAGAATCCGAATAAAGTTCTTCAGGGAGGCGCAGCTCAAACCATGTGAGAGTGTGCGTATATCTCAACTAATGGCTGCAAGATGTGAGATCTCAATTTCTTCGACCGGAACATACTTTGTTCAACCTCGGATATTGCGCGAGTTTATTTTGATGACTACTAGTGAACTCAGCGGGAGCTATTGAGACAGGGCTTGAATCACCTTGCAGATCAGCCCCCACACATCCAATCAGGTCACACCACCACAGTCCTTCGCATCCACTGTGGAATCTGACCTGTCATCCAGTTTGCTGTCAAGGTTGGCTCGAAGATCATCAAGCTATCGGCATCGTGCAGTCAACCTGACATCAGACGATGTGAGAAAAAAGTCATTGCAAGCGATCAAATATGCAAATCATGCTGGGTTGCACTAATTTCGCTTAAACCATCCTCTTGCAGATTGCACTGCGTGGGTTCACCGAGTCCAAGTTGCACAATGTCAAACTTCTGAACTCTAGTACTCGGTACTACAAGGATGCCTCATCGGCCCTTCGCTTTAATGGGCCGAAGGCTTCCAAGACAAACGAAATAGACATGATCGGAAGGACCTCGATAAGATCTACATTCCGAAGTCAACTGCCATCAATTTCGGCGCTTAGAAGAAATCCCTTGCATTTCCCCCATTTCTTCCTTACTTGTCGGTCAACACTCCAGCCTGACACTGACATTTCACAGGCTCGGACGCATGACGCACCCTGTCCTCGGTTAGCAGCAATACCTTGAAGTGCCTATTGATATTGTGGGATAATCTCACCGTCCAGACGAAAGTATCGCTTTTGTCGGCGCAAAGTTCCATTTTTCAATATTGAATTCTTAAAAATATTTTTTTTTACACTCCTCCGATGTCCACTAAACAGGCCATGGCGCCTAACCTATCTTTTTACTGAGGCAGTTTCCCAGCTGCAGTCCAGGAATACTCGCTGGTGCTGTTATTTCTACCTCACACATGGCCATCTTCATTGAAAGCACCCCAATAATCCGCCATTTGCTTGTTTGAGGCAAGGGTCACCTTTACAGGCATAATGGGGAACGTGTCACCCTCTCCACGCCAGCTCTTCACAGAAGCTATTATCTTCTGGGCCATCGGGCTTGTGATTTATGTCGGCAGAATGTGAGATTGAAGGGGCCTCACAAATCGATACAAGGCTGATAATAGAACAGTGTGGCTCGAATAATTGCGAATGGCGGGATTAAGCGTCTGTTCGGTATGGATTTTCTCAACCCTCTGGGTTTGCATCTACTTACGCAAGATGATTTTTACCAGTCGACGATTATGTCATGACAGCAACATTTGTGAGTTTTATTGCATACCAGTGTCTTGCTTGAGCTGACCTCGGATCGATGTAGGCAATCTATACCACCCTCCTAGTCTTAATTCAGATTTCGGCACGTTATGCAACGAACCTGATGGACCCCAATGACTACGACGAAGTACTAGCAGACCCAAAACAAGTCAGCGATCGAATCTATGGGAGCAAGATTGTCATAGGTTTGGAACAATGCATGCTGGTCTCAACATGGGGAGTCAAGGCATGCATGCTGATGCTCTATTGGCGAATCACACAAAACCTGAAATCCAACCTATACATCAAGATTCTTTCAGTATACGTTGCCATCGGGTTCGTCGTCATTATGGTTACATACTACGCAGTATACTGTCGACCATTTTCGCAGTACTGGGCCATGCCCGTGGATAACATGCAATGCGCGACATACCAGCACTACTCGATAACGCAAGCGGTTTTCAACATCTCCTCCGACGCCGTGATGTTTGCGATCCCAATCCCACTTCTCATCAAAGCCCAGCTCAAGCGTCGGAGGAAAGTAGTACTCATTGGCGTCATGAGCTTAGGTCTGTTCACCATCATCGCTGCTATCCTGAACAAATACTTCAATTTCGCCTCGCCGCTTACCACGCAATACCAAATTTGGTACATACGCGAAGCAAGCACCGCAATCTACGTTGCCAATCTTATGTGTTGGTGGCCACTTCTCCGCAAACTCTTCGGTCTCAAGGCTTTCCAATACAACAGCAATCGGGGCCAGCGAGCTGCCAATAAAAACAAGCAAAACAACAGCAGCAGCGAAGACTCTAACAACTCACAATCGCGACCTTCTTTCGCTTTTCCACGATCCTGGAAACCCCCTTGCCGTCGAGGCATTAAAGGCGCATGGACTCGGCGACATAGAGCGCGGCGCTCCAGCACAGAAGCTATCAACCAATCCGATAATAACTTTGTGAGCGACATGCATCGGGTTGAAGCTGTGCCACTAGATAACTGGGATAAAACCGAAGACCTCGAACTGCATCGCTCCACAGCGCAAGAGCCTGGTTCTCACGACAAAGACCCCAAAACACAGGCGCTACAACAGGATATGATCTACTCCGAAGACGAGTTTGATGGCCGGGCCAACCACAATCATCATATACACTCACCCTGTTGACACACGGGTAGGCATCTGTCTTTTGTACCAAAGCCTCTCTTTCCTTACTCCACCCTTTCCTTTATCATGTCATACTAGCCTTCATAATTCAATTTAAATACACAAGAACGAGCCTACAGTGCCCTGCTCCATTCTTGAAATATGGATTCAAGTAGGAAAATCGACCAAGAAGGTTGGAGAGCAAGAAACGCTGTATATTGCCATCTTGCGTATGAAGGTCCAACCCAAACTTCAAATGTGCCTCCAATCCAACAATCGAATCAAAATAGGCATCGTACGTATCGATATTGCGTTTGGTCGTGACATCAATCGTAGGCTTCAGTGCTGTGCAAGTCTTGATAGTCAGATCGTCGGTGTATCGTTGAAGAGCAAAAGATTGTCGATGAAAACATGTTTTGGTTTTGGCGAGAGTGGAATCCGTAAATTCATGCAGAATATTAAGGATCTCGTCGTAATCGACTCATAGGTGTCTCAGATGGTCATCGGGGGTACTGCTTGCTGTGTCGTCGTCACGAGAGGGCTTATCAGGACGATGATTCCACTGCTCAGAGGCAGGTCCATCGACGTAGGCGAGCCCATTGACGTATTTGACCTTTCCGACAGCCTTGGTCTTCATGTTGATCAGAAAACCCTTCACAGGGTCCTGCCTCATTTCCATATGCATGAGAGATCTTGGAGCCAACAATCGAGTAGGCCCAATGCAGGGGTCATAGTACATCTTCACCCATAATCTCGTGGTGCCACCGTCGGGCTTAAAAATCCTGACTGGTATCTGCCCAGAACCCTCCATGAAATGTACATCTCCGTTGATGTTTTCGTATGCAGGATTTCAGTCCTTCCATTTGAACCTTTTGATCTCATAGAAATCGCTGATATTGCCTGCCAAGTCAAAAAGTCAAAAGCCAAGATGGGCGATCAGGGTCTCAATGTCTCCAATGCCCGCATATTAAAGCTTGGAGTAAGATGATAGCAGAACGAAATAAAGTAATAGCACCAAAACCCGAACAATATCGTAGTTCCAACAGTATTTGCGTGCTAATGCTCTCCACTTACTCCGGTTGTGGCTATTGAGATGACAAGAAGCTATAGCGTATTGCCTCTACTAGGCACCTTCGGGCTGAGAATGAGTGCTCTTCGTGTGAATATGTTTGAGTGTCCTTCGAGAAGTGCTTGGAGATGATATGCCCACCTTGTCGCAGTTTGAGTACTTGCTGTCCAGGCCAGTATCGTTGTTCCCGCTTGATACCGTTCCCAGATTGCTTGGCCAACTGGCATATTCCATGTTGGACAATCCAGCCCGTGGCTCCCCTCATGGCGATAATTTCAACACCCTTGTAGACAAATTTCGTGGCCATAGCATCGACAGAGAAGTTTCCCACCCTGGATCAGCGGGTTATGAGGGTCGAATGGAGGGTCATTCTGGGCTTTTACGATCTTAGAGTTCGTTCGGGCTTCGAGGCCCTCATTGGGTTGTGGGCAATTCTTGTAGTATTTCCCTTCCAAGTTCGGTACACATGCTTGATGGTCTGTTTTGGTTCAGCGACGAGATGTTTTGGGGGCATGTGGATTATTTCCATGGCTTTGATGATGCATCTGCCGTTGAACCTGGTCGTCGTATCTGGGCCTGAGGAAGTCGTAAACAAGGTCGGAAATGGAGACAACTGGAAGAAAATATCGAAAAAGGGGCCCATGCGCAGATATCCGATCGCTCCTGTCTCGCAATTTCAAATCATCGAATACAATATCCTCCGTACCTGTATTCCGCATTGATTTTGGATACATCAATCGAAGCCCAAAACCTGTTTCGTCCGGCTTCTTTTGCATATCTGGGAAATCAGCTGCATGTTTATCTTCCAAGGATCAATCACAGAGCCGAGAAAGGAAGTTCGATTGCATGCATATGGGGCAGATTGGATGTCATGCAGCTAACCCCTGACAACGTTGGAATGTACGGAGTACTCCGTACTCCGTCCCAACATATACCCCGAAGCTGTCGAATGACACATATTCAGCCAAACGATGACATGATGACAGTACTTTGCACTCTAGAGTGTCTAGAGTTCTTGAAAAGGACGGGTAGTCGCGAAGAGTCCGGTGTTTCAATGCCCCTCGTATTACCCGATCGACGCCCAACCCTAAAGAAATCATTGAACATCAATGCCCCTTGCGTTGAGATGCATCACCTCGATCCCGATCTTTCGGGAAGGTCATGGGAGAGATGAATAGAATGGTCAAATCACACCTCCAAGATCCTGTCGGTTTATTTGGACACGGCTGCGCGCATCTCATATTGACAACCTACTCGTAAACAGCCATTAGCTCTGGCCCCCGGACTGGAGAAAATCGACGACAAGTCAGTTTCGCGTAAATTTTTCAATGCAGATCTCTTTTACACGTGGCGGCCATGAGGGTATCCTCGCATCTCACATTCCTGTGGCTTTTTTTCCTTTTTCTTTTTTCTTGTGCGCCCTGTACTTTTACCTCCCGAGGGTGACACTCCTTTCTGTTTACCACTCTCTATGCGTTTGTCATGATCCTAGGCATATTTTAAATCGTTATCCCTCATGACGAACGAGAAAATGGTCGTGACCACTAGCCAGGTCCCCGTCGGCCGTGAAAAGACTCCAGAGAATGCCGGAATGGATGAAATGCGCCTGGAGACCGCTCTGGGTCATAAGCAAGAGCTATCCCGACATTTCAGTCTGTGGAGTTTGACCAGCTTAGGAATTATCATTGCAAAGTAAGGCTTTATTTTTTTTAATGACTTGGGCTTCGTATACTAATATATTCAAGCTCTTGGGCTTCAACAGGAGGCACGATTGTCGCTGCGCTCCAGAATGGCGGTCCGATGGCGGTCTTGTATGGACTCATCCTGGTCAGCGTTTTCTACACGGCTATTTCAGCTTCTTTGGCCGAGCTCGCCTCTTCTATGCCTTCGGCGGGTGGTGTATACTACTGGTCGTCAGTGTTGAGTCGAACCAAAGGCCGCAAGACTGGGTTTTTTACAGGATATCTCAATGCTTGTGCATGGCTACTATCTGCCTCCTCCATGAGCTCTATTCTGGGCAATGAGGCTGTGGCGATGTACTTATTGAAACATCCGACCATTGAGTGGCATCCATGGCAGGTGTTTATCGTCTTTCAAATTGTGAACTGGTCATGTTGCGCAATCGTCTGTCTGGGAAATCGGTTCATTCCATTGATCAACCGCATCGCTCTGATCTTGTCCATGTGCGGCCTTGTCACAACTGTAATTGTCCTCGCGGTGATGCCCAAGCAGCATGCCAGCAGTTCTCAAGTTTGGACTAAATACCATAACATGACAGGTGGATGGTCAGATGGAGTTTGTTTCATGACTGGGTTGTTGAATGCTGCATTTGCAGTAGGTGTGCCAGACTGCATCAGTCATTTATCAGAAGAAGGTTGGTGGAATCATTCGAATACAAGGTAAACTGCTAATCTGTGTTGCTTCAGTGCCCAAGCCCGAGGTGAAGGTCCCTCAAGGCATAATGCTGCAAATGCTAACAGCATTCACCACCTCATTCGTCTACCTAATCGCCCTATTCTATTCCATTCAAGACCTCGACGCCGTCTTCGCAAGCAACATTGGGTTCTTCCCAACAGCCGAGATCTACCGACAAGCAACAGGCTCCAATGCAGGCGCCATCGGTCTCATCGCCGTACTATTCCTTGCAACTTTCCCAACATTAATCGGCACTTTCATGACGGGTGGTCGAATGTGGTGGAGCTTAGCCCGGGACAATGCAACCCCCTTCGCTAGCTATTTCGCCCAAGTCCATCCGACACTCAACTGTCCCGTACGAGCAACAGTTGCCATGAGCGCAATAGTTACTTGTCTAGGGTGTATCTATATTGGCAGCACGACTGCGTTCCAAGCACTCATTTCCAGCTTCATTGTCCTGAGCTCGTTGTCTTATTTCGGTGCTATCTGTCCTCATGTCCTGTCCGGTCGTCGGAATATGGTCCCTGGACCATTTTATATGGGACAGAAGCTGGGGATGGTGGTCAATGTCGTCTCTTTAATTTACATTTTGGTGACTGTGGTGTTCTTCTGCTTCCCCTTCATTTTGCCCGCTACAGTGCATAATATGAATTACACCAGTGTTATCACTGTGGGCTTGATGGCATTGACTGCAGTGTGGTGGATGGCGCGTGGAAGACGCCAGTATCAGGGTCCTCAGTATAGCTTTGAGGCTGCTGAGAGATTGGCTGCATTTCAAGAAGGCAAGCAGGGCCGTCGATCCTTTATTGATGTCGCCGGGGATGCACCGGTCGCCTGTGTCGAGCATGGAAATAGCTGAACAATCGAACGATTTAACGCCTGGAAATACGCAAACAGGCGGGTTTGCAAATATATACTGGGTTTTATCAGGTGCCAGGGCGCCAAAAAAGTAACAAGAATATAACAATCCGATTTAAGCTGTTATGGAAAGATCGGAGACTACTAGAAGTTGAAGTCGAGGAGTTGGCATGGCACGAACGGATCTATTCAATGGCATTAAAAGGTTCTGTCTTGAGGTCATAAACTAACACATTTCATAACAGGTCCAGCATATTCAGAGCTCCCTGTTATCTTCACAACCGAGACTTGATGCTCTGACCACCCTCCCAGGCCTCCCCAGCCTCGAGGGTCTGCCAGCTAGACACAGAGCCAGCTTCCACGCAGATCATATTTTTGTAGGCCTCATCAGGACCAAAGTCAGCCATGCCCTTGGCCTTCTCAATCCATGGGTTCCAGACCACAACGTCGCTCAAAGCCTCCCGAGTAATCGAGAACAAAGGCTGGTCGTCCTTGGCGGAAGTCACATCAATTGGAACGGCGGGGTCAAGGTTCTGGTACACGCGATCAGTCTCCTGGGTAATGGGAAGGGCTGCAGATGTTTCGACGTGAGAAGTTCCCTGCAGGGTCTTATCGAGGTAGGTCTTGGACTCAAGACCCTTGACACGAACATCGGAGATATCCTACAGATTTAAAGTCAGTCAGCGTTGACTCGGATATATTTCCCTCGTTCCAGGAGTAAGGAGTACGTACCGCGATGTTCAAATAAGTGTGCATCAGAACCTGGAATTCGAAGTTCTGCTTGCCCTCATTGCGCACCTGCAGTGCAGTCTCCAATGTATCCTTAGTGAGTGTGACACTGTACACCAGTCCAAACTCATACGGCCATGTCTCTCGGAACTCCTCGGTAAGCATAGAGTGAGACAGGCCAAAGTCAAGCTTCACAGTGAGATCGGCCTGGCTATCCTTCCCGGGCGCATCCGAAGAAGATTTGCCCAGGAACTCCCAGTTGGAGTTCCGCGCGAAGCCGTGTTGTGGTAGTGATGAAGTAGCGTGGTTCTGGGGTGGGGGTCCGAAAACCTGAATAAACACGGCGGTTAGCTTTGTCCCAACACGCGCAGTTTAAGTAGACATACTGGGAAGACAAGCGGAATGCCACCACGGATAGGCTTGGAGCCGTCCAGATGAGCCTTCTCGCTGACGAAGAGCTGTTCCTTGCCGTTGGCCTTCCACGAGGTCACCGTGGCGCCATAGAGGTGGACTTGAACGGATTGGCCGGTGGGCAAGGAAGCTTCAATGACATTATCCTTGATAGACAAGGAGGGTTGAGGGAGTGAGGCACTAACGCCAATGGCAGCAGGCTTGTTAGATCGGTCCATTATGAAGGGTGAATATAGAGAGAGAGAGAGAAGAGTAGAAGAAAAGGAGCTGCACAATATGGCGGGGAATCTTATCGGCCCCGCCCAGATCGACTTGTTTCAGCTGCCCACATTTTCGAAAAAGGAAGATGATCTGCTATTCTTTTCTATCCATGTTGCATGAACGACTTCTCTCCCTCGAAGCTAACTTCCTCAATTCGTCTCATCTCATCCTCCGACAGCCGCCACCCAAGCGCCTGCATGTCTTGCTCGGCCTGTTCGGCATCGCGCACACCCACCAAAGGCAACACACCTTTGTTGATCGAGTAGTTCAGCGCAATCGCAGGGACAGGGACCCGTCGCTCTTCCCCAATACTCTTCAACACATTGATCGTGGGCTCCAACAGATGCATGGGGTAACTGCTGAAGCGTCGTCGGCGCGGAGGCTCATTCAAACGCGAATATTTACCAGATAACCGGCCCTCAGCAAGGGAGGCAAATCCTTGGAAGCAAATGCTACGCTTTCTGCATTCCCGGATCATGCCGCTGACTTCGGGCAGCCTGCGAATCACCGAGTATTCGCATTGAGAGACAGACAGTGGGATACCGTGTTTCACCAATTCGTCCGCCATCTTGATCATCTCGTTGGTATTATAATTGGCCACACCCACAGCACGTGCCATTCCTGATTCCACACATTCGGCCATACCCTTAGCCACCGTGGAGATCTTACTGGGATGGATAGGACCGTGAACGAGGTATATATCGACGTAGTCAAGTCGGAGTCGAGCGAGGGAGTCTCGCAGTTTGGACTTAGGTCCGCCGGCCTGTAAGAGCGTATTGGTCATATCTGGGGTTGAAAGCCATTTGGTCTGGACGACAAACAAATCACGAGGCATACCATCCAAGAGGGTTCCGCAGATGAGCTCGCTCTCACCATCGCCGTAGGACTGTGCAGTATCGACGAATGTAAGGCCGACGGCTTTGAGCTTCGTCCATGCTGCATGGATACGCGGTAGATCGTGTGTTGGGTTGTATTTGAAGGTTGCTTTGTCGCCCCAAGACCATGTCCCAATGCTAAGATAGGGGACGAGTACATCTTTGCCATCCACGCCACGCAGAGCGATTCGACTTTGAGAGTTAGGGACCAGATCGTCTGGGAGCATGTTCACCGGGTCGCTGAGCTTGCGATTTACCGGTTGAAGAGACGCAGTGTGCATCTCCTGTGAGCCTGCCATGCCGGCTGCTAAACCGGCTTGCATTAGGTACTGGGTTCCTGGTGTGGCCATATCACAATTGCACCTGCAAGTGACACATACGGCAATGTCGAGTTAGAAGAAGCCTGTAATTATCCAGTGTACTTTTTAATTATACGTAGAACTACTTCAGTAGAACAAAAATCAGTGCCACTCTGCGTCATGGTGACATGTCAAGCAGTGAGCATCGGGCTTTCTCTCAAGTGGCGAGTGTTTACAGAGTACAATGGCGATTATGTGAACAGCTTATAGAAGAGCCAACATGACTTACAGGTTGGCACGTACTATGTTGTTGGTAAACGGCAGTCTCAATAGAAGAATGTTCAATGCCAAAATTTATCATAAGCAGACCAGAGCACGGGAAACATAAACATCAGAATGGAAGGAAAAGACTGGGAACCATGCAGTAAGTGCTGTGTTCTAAATAATACACACAGGGTAAAATGCAGGGGAATAATGATGCGTGGGGTTCCCATATGAAAAAAAGAAATCGTATGTAACAGAAGGTCTCGCTGTAAACGCCGTTCGCTATGCTTAAGTATGGTGTCGCCGTGATGCATCATGTGCTTGGACACGGATATTGAAAAGAAGATCATCGACCTCGCGGAGGGCATCGGGACCCAAGGTCGCTAGTTGCATGTCGCCCAAGATATTCTTCAAGGATCGAGTGATGCCGGTTTCGGTGACATCTGGAAGGGATTGAGTGGCTGATTCCTCTTGGGTTTGGGTGCTTGCAGTGGCAAGAGAGGTGGCTTGCTCGAGTGTATCGTTGACAGTCTCGGCTTCAGCTTCTTCGGTGCCCATCACCAAGTCCAATTTTGTCTCTGGTTCGCTTGGGCCATCTCCAATCGATTGCTCAATCTCAGAGACCTGGGAATCAGTTGCTTCTTCGGTAGAGACAGGAGGAATGATTTGTATCGCTGCCTTTTCGTCTATGAGGCTTTCAGGGACAATGTCCACATCCATGCTCTCGTGTGACAGATCGACGCGTCCCTTCCTTTCTTCCGGCGAGGAAAGAGAAAATTGAGGCTGAGCCAGGGGCTTGGAATCAATCGTGTCTTGTTGAGAACGCGTTTTGCGCGAACTACTTCGAGAGGCACTCAGAGGCTCGATCTCCCCATGGAAGCCTGAAATAGACAGATCCCCGATACGGGAAGATTTGCGTGATTTCTTGGATGGTCGGGGTGTCTCGTCATTGGCAACCTCCGTGGCAGGGGACTTCTGACTCGTGGAAACAGGCTCGGGTTGGGGATTCATGCTTTCCTTTCTTTGAGAATTACGAGCCGACCGACGCGTCGCAGCGGGCGACATTGATTTGATAGACGAGACGCTTTGACTGACAGTAGAGGTTGCGGGACTGTGTGAGCGCTGTTCCTCGGTTTTTGGAGCCTCGACATTGAGGGTTTCTTGGGCGGTAGACAGTCGCGTTGAGCGACGCCTGTCGTTTCTGGTAGCAGATGTCGGGGGTTTGTCTTCATCTCGCTTTCTCTTCCGCAAAGAGGGCTCCTCCGGTCTGGTGGGGTTTGTTTGAGGTCTATCGTCCACTACGACGGCGAGCTCAAGGTCTAGTCCAAGTTGAGACGCAATCTGTGTTTCCGTTTCCTCGCTCGAGTCCATGATATCAACTTGTGCGTCAGAAGACTCGTCCATAGCTTGCGGAGTTGGCTCTTGTGCAGACTTGGGACTGTTCTGCTTCTTCTTGGCACAGGAACCGGGGCCAGACTTGCTGTTGCGGGGTTTCGGAACGGGTGTTCTGTCAGGGGAGTCGAGTTGTTGTGCAGGCGATTGCTCTGGAACTAGTTCCGACTCCTTGCCCCTTGCAGATCGGAGGCGCCTGCCAGGAGTTTCCGTGTTCGGCCGAGGGGTTGAGTCGGCATTCTCTTTATTGTTGTCTTCACCATTGACATCGTCCACACTGGTGCTTGCAGTGTCGTGTTCGGTGGCAAGGCGAGAAGTAGCCGGGCTGTTCACCGTTGACTGTATGGCCGAATTGCCGATAAGAGCCTTCCTTGCCTTCGCAGCCTTCCGCCGTAATTTTCGATTGAGATTTTTGCTCTTCTGGGGGCTTGGGCTTCGAGAGCTAATTTCGGGCGGAGAGGAAGGAGGATCGGCCTCTTGGCTGCTTGTAACATTTTGAGAAACATGACCGGGCAAATTGGACTTTGCGGTGGGGGTTGGATCCCTTGTTCCAGGCGTAGGAGACGAACCAAAGAATCCATCTTCATTTTCAGCGGGCGCTAGAGTGGGCGTTAAGAGAAGATCCGGTGCCGATTCACCAGGGTGAATTCTGCGCAGATGGGGAGGGGTATTGAAGCCCAGCTTGCGAGGGGTGGCTGCTGGGGAGGACGATTGGATGGATTCAATCATAGAAAACATCTCTCGGCGAGTGAGGCGCTTACGAGATGCTGTGATAGCATTCTCGATTTGTCCATCAGCGGCTTCTTGCTGGAAGTTGTTCGGCAACTGAGGTTCAGTCACTTGTTCGATTCCTTTGGACATGACGGTTTCAGTCTGCTCGACAGGAGATGAGCTAGGTTCTGAATCACGCGCCGGTTGAGCCACATTATCGAAGCCATTTGCTGGAAGATCGGTCGAGCCTTGAGGAAGATTTGGAGGTACTATCTCAATGTCCATGTCGTCATTTTCAACAGGCGAGGCCAGACTGTGAATCCTAGAATCGGCGGTTTGCACAGCTTGCTTTAAACTGTCCGGGTATAGGGAAAAGTCCTGTGAGGCAGAGCTGGATTTCCAGAAATCAACGAACTTCTTTGTGACCGCTAGGTGGGAAGACTCAAAACCGGCCACGAGAATAGGTTCGAAGTTCTTCAAAGAGGCCGGATCATGAGGGGCCAATGTTTGTAGAACATTGAGAGTAGACGTAGAGAGCGCAAGACGTGCGTGGTCGATTTTGCTGCCAGCACCCTGATTCATATCAAAGATGTTATCGGGAAGCTCATCTCTCAACCAGGCTCCCATGGATGCTTGAAGATTTTGGAGCACCTGGCACTGGAACTGCGGGACACCAGTTCCCAAGAACGAAGCCAATGCCTCAATGAATTCCGCAAGATTGCCGCTTGCGGACGCGCCAAACTCATCGTATGCACTATACAGCGTTCGGGAGACTGATTCGAGGAACTTGTAGGGAAAAGCGGCGGGGCCAGGCAACTGACCGACCCCGGGATTGATCCCCAGTCCAGTGCCTTGGAGGAAAGAAATTGATGACGAGTGGCCAAACAATGATTTTAAAGGCAGATAGGTATTTGCAACTGGGAGGCGCATGATGCGTTCGGCCATGGGCTCTACGATCATCGCAGCAATAACCTGAGTTCCCTTCTCGGTTCGCACCACATGTACGAAAGAATCGAGCAACTGGGACCACTCCTCGAATGCAGATGGAAATGCAAGACCGGGCGAGAGAATCTTGATAACGTTGTCGAAGTCACGGGATACAGAGCCATCGCGTTCACGAGCAGATTCTATTGGGAAGGACTGCAGAGCATTCGATGCTGCTTGGGCAGTGGCATCCCAAACAAGTTCTGATAAGGAGAGATCTCGTGGAAACACACCAGTGTCTGCAGTGCAAAGTTCTGCACACTGGTGCAAAAGCTCAAGACGGGAACCCCTGAAGGATTTGCTCTTGCAGGCCGCCTCAATTGTGCTCATTACCAGACTTTTGTAAGATTCACTTGGCGATATACAACCCCCAGCGCTGCTAATGGATCGAATGAGATGCAGAAGGGGGCTTTCGGGGCTTGTGCCTGGCTGTCGGGCGCGATTTGTTGGATCACTAGGAGTGGCGGATGTTTCATCCGCATATTTCATGAAGAGTTTTTCAGTGACTGGAATCCCTCCAATCGATGCAGTCATGGTGGTGGATAGGTATTGGAACCTTTCCAGGAAGGTATCCGAATTGTTGGCATTGAGTGAAGAAGGGCCGACAAGCCAAAGGCGATGCAGTAAGCCGAGAATTCCGGCAACGGCCTGCATTGATTCCCCAGAGGATGTAATTTCTTTGCTGGATGCCAATGATAATGCATTGCACAGATTTCTCCAGGCCAGTGCCACGTTGGATGTAGCCACTGCACCATCGATCCAAACCGAGGTTTTGAACATGTTCTCGAAAACCTTCAGGATAGAATGACATCTTGATCGGACCCATTTACTATCCGCCGATGGAAGTTCATCAGCGTCCATCTTGTTGGGATCGTCAATCCGACCCTCAGTCCAGATTTTGGCTTGCGTGCTCCAGAGCAAGCTCGAGACTACGCGCGAGAGGCAGTCGCTGAGGACCGGTGCCGATGAAAAGATGCCCGAGGATGGATTCAGGACATACTCTTCCCATATGAAGTCCAGATGTTGGTAAGTCGCCGAAGGCCTGAAAGTGTAGTACAACAGGGTGTGGTAGCTGTTCAGGGCGAGTTGACTTGGCGGTTGGCCCAACTTGTCCGATTTCCTGCGGTCGAATTGTGAAAGTACTGGTTTCCCCAGCATCTTGAGTAGCGAGCGGCTCGTGCATTCCTCGGGTCCAACAACCGAGACGAATCGATTCCACCCAATGATTGCCTGGGCCTTAATGAGTGGCTCACTGCAGTTGAAACATTTTTGGAGCACGAGGAGCCACTCCTTATAATGATGCCAATGTTCCAAGTTCCATCTTTTGTTTCTCAGGAGAAGGATAGTGACACTCCATATTTGGGGAACATGTACGCCGCTCTCGGTGTAGGTCATCATTCGAGTCATGCGCTCACGGATCTCCGCTACAATCTTTCGATCATGTTCAAGTGGGTGATCGAAGAACTCGCGGACGCTCTTCGAAATGGCCGCATTCGGGCCTACCTCGGCCGCAATCCGAAAGCCAAAAGTGATTGCTTTGTCCCGAGTGTCCTTGACATGATGCAGCATCCCACGGAACAGGTTCTCAATCCACAAACCGGGCTGGGAGAGAAAAACTGGTCTCGCTTGCGCCCACAGGCGTTGATATGCGTTAAGTCGATGGGAAATGATACCGTTGCCAGATATGCGAGTGCTGATGTGCTGCAGCACAGTCAATAGACGGGTGACCCGGGCATGGGTCATGATTTTGGGGGAGAAGTTTTGTGTAGATATTATGGACATGTAATGCGTCAGAACGGATTTGGGGGCCTTGGACTCGTGAAGAGTAGTGATCGAATGGTCGACCACAAATGTCTTAAAATCGTCGGGTATTTTCGTAGAGATCTGGGGGTGCCAGATAAATGCCGCTGTTAATTTCAAAGCCTGGTTGGCAAGATTGGTGTCCTGAATTTCGGCATTCGTGAGGTCTCGGTTTACGTCTCGCTCGATAAAATCGGTTATGAGGTTCAACTTGTCGCCAACTTCCTGACCCGCTGGTATCCCGTCGTAGGTTCGGAGCGCACTGAAGAACTGCATGTAGGCGTCAAGCCGCGAAGTTGTTGACTCGCCGGCCAACTGTTGAATGACCGATTCGAGCAGCATGGCGAGTGATTCGGCGGTGAATGTATCGACATTAGGGGACCAGACCGGGATGGGCAGTTGTGAGGTTTTGAGGATGGATTTCGCGGGCTTTGAGTCTGTGGAAGGGATATTCTTGATGTCGCTGGCTGGTTGTGAGGCGCTAGCAAAAGTGGGTGGTTTGATGTATTTGGGCCATGGTGAGAAATTGACACGCTTTGAGCTGCGACTTGAGGTCTCTGGGCCTGTTTCTAATGATGTGAATGGCGAGGCTTTCGGCGTCGACACGGTCAATGGCGATGCGATCTGGTTCTCATCGATCACGGCGCGCGGAGCTGTCCTTGGAGGTGTGGGCGGACGAGCAGAGAGGAACTCCACCATGATTAAACTGGAACGCAAATCGAAAAGAGAGAGAAAAAGAAAGAGCAGTCCAGGACCATTGCTCGATGAGTTCAGGTAGGTCAGGTCAGGTCTCCAGACAGCCGAGAAAACTAAGTTCCGACGCGCGATGCGCGTAAAGTGTCACCGCCTGAGGCGACGAGGCATCCACACGCGAAGTTCTTTTTTCTTCTTGAGCCTACGAGGTACAGAGGACAGAGTATTGATACAATGTACGTACCATGCGAGATAACTCTTAGAATAATCCCATGGTTACAAGTAATTATCTTTTTTCCGAACGCAATCTAGAATCGCATTGAAAGAGCTCAATGTGGTCATACTCTAGATGTACACGTAAATCAGTATAGTTGAAGGCATATTACATACAAAATCAATTATCCACAATCTCTAGACATTTCAATATTCTCGATTATCCATAACTTCCGAATTTTAGAAATGTTGGAGACGCTGAAGTGGGGACTTTTACTGCCTTTTATGACGATGCGCGCCTAACTTTCCCCGCGTCGCCTCTCCTTTTTTTGATCTGCTCGTGATTCGGAGCATCGCTATTGCATCAATATTGCATTGTCTCCAGAGCTCAATTGCTCGCGACACAATTCTGAAGCTTGCAGTCTCACCGATCTGAACGGTTACCCCTCAGCCCACGCGAGCCGATTCAGCATGGACTTTCTTCAGATGCAAGGAACAGGTACATCGTGGCACCTGGTCAAAATGCCCGACATAACAGCGAGCAGCTGGGCTAATCCGATCCTTACTTGAATACAGCAAAGCTGCAGCAGGTGACGCAACTGCTGCAGAGTCTTGAGAAAGACCTTCAAGACCGCAATCTCACCTCGACAGGTAAGTCCAATCCTGTTCAATTGCGCTTCAGAAATTGACACTGACGTTCTCTTTTGCAAAGAGAGAGTGCAAACCCTACTCCAGCTCCGACAGCACGGCACGAATCCCACGAATGCAGGACCGATCTATTCACAAAATGTAGGGGAAGCGCTGGATATGTTCGCCAAAGTGACCAACCGTGTTCTGATGATTTTCCAGGGAATTACCACTCTAGCTCGGTATGGAGTTGAAGGAGAGACCCCCGATGTTCGGCGGGCAGCCTTGCGCTGTGTTGCGAACGCGCTGTTGCTCGATGGTACAATGCGTCAGGTTTTCGTGGACACAGGATATGGAGCCAAGCTGGCGGATATGCTTAAAGTATGTCTGATGCGTACTCTCACCGATTACGAGACTGACAGCATGAAGCAGGCCGAGGACTCAGAAGATGAGATGGTAGCAAGCCGAATCCTATTCTACACAACTTACGACACCACGATGGACTTTGGGGAGTTGATCAAGAGTCATGGATTGGCAGATAACGTCGCCTTTGTAGGTTGGAAATCCCGTCCCCAGCTACTCGATATACTGACACGCACAGCAACTCAGCCGCCATGTGAAACAGTTCCCCGAGTCGGGAAGGAAGCCATTGTCGCAAATGGACGAGCTGGCACTCACTGATACTCTCAAGCTGATATATAATATTTCGAAGATTTACCCGGATCTCGCCGTTTCTTTCTCGACCTCGATTCCCCACATTTTGAAGATCGTTACTGCCATTGACGTTTCGGATAAGCCTTTGGATGGTATTCTTGGAGGTTTGCTCAATGCACTGTCTATCCTTGATCTGGACGAGAAGAAGAGCAAGGTCTTTGAGTGCAGTCCGATTTTCCCCGAAGCAGATCTGAACTGCAATGTGGCCAAGTTAATCAGTATCTTGGACCAGGCTGTGTCACGATACAGCGCAGAAGAACTTGAGGCTAAGGCAATCCCATTGCTGTACACCTTGATTACCATTTACGATATTGCACCAGAAGGTCCCCAAAAGCACATGCAAGAACGTCTCTTGCCCGAGGATGGTGATCGCAGCTTGCCCATCGGTCAATCCGACACTCTACCATCCAAACTGCTCAAACTATCGACCAGCCATTTCGCCAATCTCAAGGTTGCAGTTTCCGAGCTGATGTTTGTTCTGTCCGGCAAGGATGCCGAGGCTCTTACCAAGAACATAGGCTATGGCTTTGCGGCTGGGTTCCTGGCAGCTCGTGGCATTCAAATGCCCCAAAGTGCTAGTGAAACATTCCCCGCAAGCGCAAGCCCGGACTCCATGGTCAATCCCATCACGGGACAAAGGCTCTCCGCGGAGCCGAATGATGATCTTCCTCCAATGACACAGGAAGAAAAGGAGCGCGAGGCAGAGAGGCTCTTCGTCTTATTTGAAAGGTCAGTCTTGATAATCCGTTTACTGTCAACCAACTCAAAGCTAACAAGGAATATAGGGCGAGAGCAAATGGCCTGCTTAATGTTGAGAACCCTGTCACCCAAGCTCTACACGAAGGAAGATTCGAAGAATTGCCAGATGATGCTGATAGTGACTAAGTTTGCATTTGAGATCCTTCAATTTTGAGCATGTATATACAGTCGATACCCTTCTATGAACATACTGGATGTCCCTTGGTAATATGTCTTGTCTGGACATACAAGTTCAGTTCCAAGAAACTCATTATAATGTAGACCAAGAGAAATCGGAATATTTGTTACGAGCACAGGGCCCTTGATGCACTGTGGGCCAAAATGACGTTGCGCCGACCGCCCGAAAAAAATTAGGGCGGGGCAGTTGATTTCCACTTCACTCTTCTTCTCGAATTCACTTGTACCCATTTCAAGTCTCTTTGTACAAAACCGCCAACATGTCGAAGCCATTCAACCCCGAGGAGGCCGAGAACCTGGAGGATGTATGACCCCTCCGCCTCCAACCGCTGTGACGATCGCTAACCCCCGCCATAGATGGAGAAGCAGTTCGCTGTGAAAGGTCAGCCGCGAAACGATTTACATGTCTTCCACCGAATGTGTGAGATTACGCCTTGCCGGATGTACGCTGACAGTTCATCTTCCAGCTGTGGAACACCTCATGACATACTGGGCTATTCTGGAGAAGGTCAAGGGCTCTCAGCTGCGCCTGACCAAGCAGGATAACGAAATCTACGAATCATTCATGGAAGCCTTCCCCGACTTCGACCCTGCTGGAACTATCGTCGAAGACGACATGAAGAGCAAGGCCGGCAAGGAGAAGTGGCGCAACTGGATGAACAAGTGGCAGAAGGTTGAGGACTACAACTTCGGCACCATCATCCGCACCCGCGCGGATGCCGAGTACGACCAGGACACCACTATTTTCGGTGTGCGCATGCAGTTCTACGCTGTTGAGATCGCCAGGTATGTGTCGAGTGGAGCCGGTTGAGTCACGGTCGCATGGAAACTGATCGGATGTTCTAGAAACCGCGCCGGTCTGAACGATTGGATTTACGAGAAGGCTTCCAAGGCCAGCTCTTGATTTCAAAGCATAAAACTTGCTGCTGCTCTTCAAGTCAAGACAGTTCCACATCCGGGTTGATTGGCCCACGGCATTTGCCTGCTTCTTTGTGGCGCGGATGGGCGGCTCCAACATCGGAATCTGATGGTAGGGACTGGCATCATCGCGTTTGGGGATCGGCTGTTACGATACAGGAGTGGCCATATACCATAGACATATTGGGTTCGGTTTACCATCGAGCCATCGCGACTTGAATGTGGGTCGGAAATGCCGTCACCACAAGTCACAATATACCCAGAATACATCGTTCTCCTTACTATTTGTTTCTTCTCTGTGGGGGTTTTGGTCACACGTAGGTTTTGTCGGTTAATTGGTGTGGGTGCCAGATTTTTGGCTGTGTGCCCATCACACCGAGTAAGTGCTCCATAGGATCGAGTTTCATGTTTCAAATTATCCATTGGCGACAACTGAAATCACAATAGGCGAAGGTCGAGACTTCGAGGGATTTATTCGTCGCACGTGATTGGGAACAATGTAAGAGCAGGGTTGTCTTTGTTCTGCTTCAATGATACCCCATTTGGCAATCCCTTAATATTGTTCTCTAGATCATTGTCTCGGAAGCCATATCATCCAAGATGGATATCCTAGTGGGTTATGGATCATTAATCCTCTTAGCTTTCTGCAATGCTATGATAGCATCGGAAGAAAAGTCATTACAAGCCAGAAAGTTCCTTTTCGAGGCTCAAGCCTGTCACGATGATGAACCAAGGCAAAAGCTCCAATGCGGATGAGAACGACGACAGTAATGCATCTACCACCACAAGCCCGAGCTGGAAGTCTTTATTCGGTTTCACGTCACGAAGGCATCTACCGACCCTTGTCTTGGGATCAATTCTCGCCCTGATTGCTAGCTGTGTGACGCCTGCCCTGGCTATCTTTCTCGGCAATGTTTTCGACTCATTTACGTCTTTCGGAGCAGGGCTCACCGATCCTCAAAGTTTGCAGACATCCATCATTCAAAACTGCTTCGGGATGATCGGATTAGGCGCCGCAGGCTGGTTATTGAATGGAGCATACTACGCATTCTTCGTGGCGTTCGGGGAAATGCAAGCTTCTGCAATTCGAAGTGACATCTTCATTGAACTCTTGAAGCGTGACGTCCAGTGGTTTGAAGCTCAAAGCGAAGGGTCTGGGGCGTTCTTATCGAGAGTCCAAGCGTGAGTATTTCCCCGTGTCTAGGAGTCCGGAATGTACTCAAGAAACTAACGTGTATTAGGAACATTCACGAAATGCAGATGGCAACCTCGCAGCCCCTAGGGCTTCTTTTGCAATACTCAGGCAGATCGCTGGCATCCCTTGTGCTTGGTCTCTATACCTCATGGAGCTTGTCCCTGGTTACCCTTGCAGGATTTCCTATTTTCTCATCAATCATCGCATATATTTCCTCGAGGATGAAGTACAGCATCCAGGCACAGCATGATGAGCTCACCGCGGCTTCCAAGGTTGCAAACAATGCTATCACCAACATTGACACAGTCAAATGCCTCAATGGTCAAGAACTGGAGCATCGAAATTTCCGTGAGCGGATTGAAGCTTCTGCCATACACTATCTTCGACAAGCTCGGCTCAACTCACTCCAAATTGCCTTTATTCGCTGGATGATGTTCGGAATGTTCGTTCAGGGATTCTGGTACGGGAGCTCACTTGCCCGATCTGGCAAACTTACATCTGGTGAAGTCCTCAGGACCTTTTGGGCTTGCTTGACAGCAGCCCAGTCCATTGAGCAGGTCTTACCCCAGATGATCGTGATGGAGAAAGGGAAGGCTGCTGGTGTTGCTCTCAAATCGATCATTGAAAGAACGAAAATCCGGGCTCTTAGCGAGATCAGAGGACGATATCCGCTACATTGTGAAGGTGATATAGAGGTTAAGGATGTGAGTCTATAACGTTCAACTTCATATTTTTAACGGCGAATGTGAGGCTAATGGGTATGAAGGTTTCATTTGCGTACCCTAGTCAACCCGATCACCTTGTTCTCCACCCCTCTACCTTTTTCTTCCCAGCTGGTGAAACAACATTCGTCATCGGAAAAAGTGGCTCTGGCAAAAGTACACTTAGCCAATTACTGATGCGCTTTTATTTACCCACGTCAGGCGAGATCTTGATAGATCAAACTCCGATGCAAGAGCTGGACGTCAACTGGATCCGAAACAATGTCACTCTCCTGGAACAGAAAAGCGTGTTGTTCAACGAGTCTATGTTGACGAACATCGCGTTTGGTCGTCAAGACTACGAGACAGTCACAAACTACGACGTCCAAGATTCCGTCGATCTAGCCATGCTTCAAAACACCATAGATGGCCTTCCTTCGGGAATCGACACTAGCCTTGGCCCTGGTGGCAGCTTTTTGAGCGGTGGTCAGAGGCAGAGGGTTGCGATTGCCAGAGCAAAGCTACGAGACACACCCATCCTGATCCTGGATGAACCGACTAGTGCTCTTGATCACACCAACCGGGTTGCTGTGATGAAAGCGATCCGCGAGTGGCGCAAAGGAAAGACGACCATCATAATCACCCACGATATGTCGCAAATCATGGAAAAGGACTTCCTGTACATCCTCGAACAAGGCTCTATCGTTACCTCAGGCTACAGGTACGCGGTCGAGAGCAGCCCAGAGAGTGAGAAGTATTTCCACTCCAAAGCTAGTGGCGGATCTGAGCTCAAAGTCCAACTACCCAAGCGAGCTGTGGATGATTTGGACATTCGACTGGGCAACTCTGAGATTTTAGAGACCCTACTGCCCCCGATGGCTCTGCGTGGACATCGCCGCTCAAGAACATCCTGGGCTCAAGGTCACATTCCACCCACCCTGCGCTCCAGTTCATTGGACTTGACATCAAGAGCAAGAAGCAGCTCAGATACAATGGTCAGACCGAACGGGTCACATGCACTCCCCTTGCGTGATTGGAGCCAACGTGTCTCTGTCTTCTCAGAAGATCGCAGTCCCCATCCTGACTCAAAAGAAAGTATGGCCCAGTCGGCAACGGAGGATTTTGAGATGAGAACGATCGATATGGATGACAGAGCGTTCGACAAAGATCTTCATAGAAACGGCCAGACTGTGAAGGATTCAGTGAATACCAAAACCCGCCAAAGACACCGAGGTCGTTCCAAGAAGCCAAAAAAGCCGTCATCCATGAAAGGTGGAATGACACCACTCTCGCATATAATGGGGACTATCATACCCAGTCTCACCACAAAACAGCAAGTGCTTCTCCTCCTGGGTCTCTCGGCATCACTTGCTCATGCCAGCGCCACTCCAATATTTTCATACTGTTTATCGCAGCTATTCAGTACGTTTTATGCAGGAAGTAACAGTGGGTACCTGACAATGAAATGGTCTCTTGCTGTACTGGGTGTCTCTTTCGGTGATGGTGCCGCGTCTTTTTTCATGCACTACTTCCTCGAACTATGCGGCGAGGCTTGGATGGATAGCTTCCGGAAACGCGCATTCGAGCGTATTCTCGATCAGCCAAAGGCTTGGTTTGAGAAAGCTGGCAACGGGTCTCTGCGACTCACGTCGGCCCTTGATCAGAACGGGGAAGATATGCGGAATCTGTTGGGCCGCTTTGCCGGCTTTGTCGTCGTCGCTGCGGCAATCACTGTTATGTCTATCATCTGGAGCTTGATTGTCTGCTGGAAGCTGACTCTCGTTGCTCTCTCGTGCGGACCGGTCATTTATATCATCACCCGAGGTTTCGAGGGAACCAATGGCTTATGGGAAAGGCGATGCAATGATGCAAATGCTGTCGCAGCTGATGTATTCACAGAGACGTTCTCGGAAATCCGCACAGTGAGGACATTGACGCTGGAAGGCCACTTTCATCGCAAGCAGGCTAATGCCATCGCACAATGCTTGTTGCTCGGACTAAAACGTGCCATCTATACGGGCATGCTGTTTGGCATGGTAGAATCGACAGTCATATTCTCTACCGGTGAGTTATCTTCATATACTTTTTTCTTCAAAAGACTTGCTAATTCTTTTCGAAAGCACTGATCTTCTACTATGGAGCGGTACTTGCGGCATCTGGGGAATTCAATGTGAACGACGTGATGATGGTGTTTTCGATGCTGCTTTTCAGCATTGGTTACGCGGCACAGATACTGTCGTGGAGTTCGTACTCAGTTTACTCGCGAGGATATGATAGTTTGCTGACTTTGACATAGTTCCCCAAATCAACACTGCTCGCGAGACAGCGACACAGCTCATCCGCCTTGCCAGGCTCCCCCGCGACGGATCGCACGAGCACATTGGCTCTATGACAGCCTCAAGTCTCACTCCAATCAAACTAACCAACGTTGAGTTCAAGTATCCGTCTCGGCCCAAAACACTGGTCTTGAAGAATGTTTCCCTTGAGATTCCTCGCAACTCCTGCACGGCACTCGTGGGACGATCAGGATCTGGCAAGTCGACCATTGCATCTCTCATCTTAGCACTCTACGAAGCCCCAGCCTCTGCGACTGGGGGGCCAACCGTCACACTGGGCGGTGCAGACATCCTCCGCTTACATGTCCCAACCCTTCGATCCCAGATCTCCGTAGTGTCACAACAACCTACGATCTTCCCTGGGACAATTCATGAGAACATAATCTATGGCCTTGATCAGCATTCTCCTCTTGCGACCTCACATAGTGTTCGTACAGCTGCCGAAGGAGCTGGTATTGATGAGTTCATATCTTCCCTTCCGCAGGGCTACAACACCATCATCGGAGACGGCGGAGTCGGCCTGTCGGGCGGCCAAAAGCAACGTGTAGTCATTGCCCGGGCGCTCCTGCGTCAGCCCCAAATCTTGATCCTTGACGAGGCCACTTCCAGTCTTGATCCTGCTGGTGCGGAAATCGTGCGCCACACTGTCCAGCATTTGGTCGCGACGCGTCGCGGGCTCACTGTCATCATCATCACACATGCTAAGGAGATGATCGAAATTGCCAGCCATGTCGTGGTTCTTGAGCAGGGAATCGTTGTCGAAAATGGGTCATATTCACAGCTGTCGAAGATGTCTGGAGGAAAGTTGCATTCTTTACTGAGTGACCCGGAGGAGGTTGCATAAATGTATCTTCAGAAAGATTATTCCTGGCCTATCTCTCACTTTGCTGTCAATTTTCTTGTCCTTTGTTTCCATAATTCTAGAGACACGGAATATAAGGCCAATTTGACGATCACAACGTAAAAGTCTTGGCCCGGAATACCTTGGCCCGCTTCACAATCTGCAACACCCTCAGCCTTACAGCCTTACTCGAATTGTTTTGATCTCCAGTAACTTCAGAACGATGTCAAAACCCACACTGATTTTCGCTGCGGGCGCGTGGTTCCCGCAAACCGCCTTCGACCCGATCATTGAGAAGCTCTCCGACTTCCGCAGCCACAGTGTTGCGTTTCCCTCCGTCCACGAGGCAAGTTCAGTCGTTGATCTCCAGCCAGACATTGATGCTGTCCGATCTTTGGTCCAAAAAGAAGCAGATGCTGGCAACGAGATCGTCATTGTCGCACATGGCTGGGCCGGGTTACCCGTCAGCAGTGCATTGGACGGTCTGAGCAAGTCGGAACGCGAACAGGCTGGTCATAATGGCGGTGTTGTGAAGCTCATATTCATCACTGCTTTCTTGCCCAATGTGGGCGAGAGTTTGATTGGTGCTTTTGGTGGAATGCCTCCGCCGTGGTATGAGCTCGATGTATGTGTGCTTCATTCTTAGAGATTTCAATGTTCAAATCAGCTTACAGCCATCACAGGAAGAAGATGGAACAGTGATCGCAAGCGATCCACACGTGTTATTCCTCCACGATGTTCCAGATGGCGCAGAATGGGTGAAATCGCTCAAACCCCATGCCTGGGTAACCCAAACAGCGCCTGCTACTGGGACTGCGTATTTCAATATCCCCACTGCTTATCTACTGTGCGAAGACGATCGGGCCACTCCATTGCCAGTTCAGCAGGTTCTGGTCGAGCGCGCCCGTAGGAAAGGAGCAGCGATTGAGACCGAGAAGATTAAGTCTGGACATACGCCGTGGTTGGCTTTGCCAGATCAGTTTATCGCCTATATCAGAAAGCATGCTGGAAACTAGATTCTTTGGCTTGTTTTTACAGGGATGCAAATTGTCCGTTTCATCAATTGGTGTCAATTTCCCCTATCCGTCGTGAGACCAAGGCAAATCCATAATACGTACTCTGTCAACTAGACCTCACCAAAGAAATCAAATCTCAAACTTCAATATGTACACAAAATCAATGTTCACTGAATATACGTAGGGTGTTGAAAACGAATGACATTCTGGGCATGGCCTGTCCTCCACAGGCACCCAGGCTACCCAATAACCTCCAGGTGATCTGTTGCGTTTGTATGGCCGGCTTTGTTTGGCTGTCCCTCGACAAACGCTCCGACAGAGCTCCTTGTACCTAGTAAGTGCCACCGACGGTGACAGTCAGGAGACGCGGATTGCCGTCGTAAACACTTCCAGACTGATCCGGACCACCATTTGGTGCCACGTCATCATAGGGGAATGCATATCCTCGTTTGTCAACACTCACTGAATGACAGATGCGCGAGTAATGGTTTGTGGGCCAGGCATTATAGTATTGAGAGACGGTTTCTCCATTAGGCTGGCTCTCATTCAGCAGTAAAGTCGAACGATTGAATGCAGCAGCGAGGCGAGCAGTGATGGCGTCTTTTGTACTGTTTCCAGTAGCAGCGAAGGGCCCAGAACTATTGCTGAAAATGTCGGCAGTGGATGGCTTGGCGTACGAGATTCCTGGAACTGAGAAGTACATCACACCCCAGGAACATTTGGCAGTGACATCACCGGCTGCGGCTTGGGTGTTGACAGTCAAGAGATTGCTGGTATTGTTATCATAATATCCCCAGACTTGGTTGACGTAGTCTTCATAATAATTGTTGAACAGAGAGTTGTTCAAAATCTTCCCCATGTTTGGAGACAGAGCGCGAAGATTAACACCGTTGCGCTGGACCACAAGTTGATCCCAACCAGCGTGGTCTCTATCATTCTGGGCCCTGAGCTCATTGCAAATCCGATCGAGTCCGTTGCCTGGTAGGCCATGCACAGTCTGAGTTCCACCAGATGCATTTGTCAAGGTCATGGCGATAGGCAACGAGACAAAGTCGACATAGCTCAGGTTGGCATAAAGCTGAGCGTTGTTCCATGTGAACTCACAAAAGGCCCAATTCAGGTTGTAATTGGGGTCCGAGGGATTGGATACCGAAGGCTCGACCAGTGCAGCGCCCGTGGGAGTGGGGTTGAGATAAAAGGTCAGTCTGTTGTCTCGCACAAACCACAGCCGAGCACCCGCGAGGTGCGGGATGGTGATGTAGGTGGTACTTCCAGGTGCACCCAAGTAGATTCCACAGTCTGCCTCGAGGTTGCTCAAGATGCCAGATGGCCTGGAAGGGAAATATCCCGTCCTGCCATCGGATCGCAAAAGGAAGAGCGCATTGTTTTGGTCAAGTGCCAAGCCTGTGACGTAGGCAAAGGAATTATTCGATCCGGTGTTGTTGACCAAGGCGAAACTCAAGGTTGCCATTGTGAACTATATAGATCAATGTAGGCTTAAGTTGAAAGGTTGGACTTCAGAAGAAGTTGGGGCAATGGGGGCTGAAGTACTCCGTAGCTGCCGAAGTAGTTGGGGACGGCAAGGGTAGCCCGACTTGGAGGATCAAAGTTGGCGAATCGATATGAATTTCAGGGAGAAATAAAAAAAGATGTTCTGAACTTAGCCTGTACCAAGACACTTGAGCACAAGGTTAAAGTGAAAGGAGTCCAAGAAATAAGTGAGTACTGAGTGCAATTGTAAGTGGCGCCAAGTCCCAATAAGAAGCCAGTATAAGGTCCACAAATGTGTAGATGGGTGATGGAAAGCAGGTCTTCGTGCGGAATACTTCATTATATAGATCTTGGACGTCTAAAAGACCCAATATCTGAATACCGAGGAAGGGCAGGGTGACAGGGCCCGGTGATGTGAGGTGGCGGTCCTTAATTCTTCGAGTCTGGCTTTAAGAGAAACCCGATCATTGCCGATGGCCAGTATGAGTATAGAGTAAGAAGCCACAAACTACCTTGGAAGTAATGCGCAACGGCGCGATCATGCCGTGTCTCCAGGTGATCGCATGGCTGATCATGTCTATGTGTGGGGGCGCTAATGAAATGGCAAATCCGGGGTTTCTAATGCAGGCTTGATTACTTTCACTACTCAGGGTATCAGGGGACTGCTATTGGCATCTGCTCGTCCTTATTTGGATATATCACCGTTGCATATACCAACCAAAATCATTCAACGCTCTCTTGGTAATTAATGCAATTTATACTTAAGTATCACCTATCATATTCCACAGAGCATACTTGCGCTGTTCCAAGGTTGCATAAAACGGGATTTCTGAGGCTGAAATAATTTTTGAGGTCCTGCAGACGCCGCACGCCCATCAGCCCCGGCAATGTTACACCATGGGCCTTAAATCAAGAGCATTTGAAGTGACAAAGCCACCTCAACATCCAATAGGTCAAGTCAAGTGCTCTGTATCATCCGATGGCGATGATAATCTGACCTAATATATACTCCTAAGTTTGCTTTGCGGAAATTACATCTCTCTCCGAAGCTCGCTTGTAAATGAGGCACCATAATGAAGTCTACTGTATCCATCCAACCTCTGGAGTCAGCATCGAAGCCCTGGGACTAGCTAGCTCACCACATGCCATATAGAGCCTGGCATAGATCCAGTGGATGACAGACTCTTGTGCCTCAAAGGAAAACCTTCCGAAACCCTAAACCTGCAGTGCCAACTCCAATGTTGGAAGGGCGCCCGTTCTCGTCCAAAACATCTTCAAATCAGGGTAAATAGTATGGAATATTATGTTTAAGTCCTCGGAACTATCGAGGGACATTAGCGAAATTCAAACGCCACGGCAGGATGATTCGTAGAGGATGCGCCTTTCTAAGATTCGATGCAAAAGTTCGTTAAAGTTCGTTACTGTGCAACTAAAGCACACTGATGACTATGGCAAGGTTTATGATCACGTTCAATGTTATTTTGTAGGGTCAATTGCGCCGAGGCGTCAATAGGTGAAGATCTTCGGTTGTCGGCGCCGACAGCCGTAGCACCATATCGCCATCACCATCAACGATGAGCAATTCACACTTTGTTTGGCTTAGCGGGCCCACCTCAGATATATACACGACTTAATTGGGACGACACGACGATGGACAAGATAGTAACAGGATAAAAACAGTTTGACATGTTCTCTGTTGTATCAAAACTATTAGGAATTGAAAATTACTAGGTGTCAAATAGCTGATACAACGTGTGGAAATCTCTTGGAAGTAGTGCAAGTGGTGACTGAATGCGAGAGAAAGCTTTCGGTATTCACTCAGGGCTTCTCGTCACAATCAAACTTTGGTTAACTCTTGTTGGATCTCAGTTGACGTTGAGTCGCTGTCAGCGCCATTTCCTTGCCATGCTAAATCATTCAGTTAGAGCTGGTTTCTCGTGTTTTCTTTGGGTAATCAGAGGGACAAACTTCGGAATTGACGCGCGGGGACTTTTTCAGTCCACATGACCTCCAGTTCTTCTAGAGAGCGCCCTGACATATCTGGGAGGCAAAAGTATGCCCAGATGATCCCAGTGATCCCAAATCCGCCATAAATAAAACCGACTTTCGATTGAAGATTGGCGTAACCTGCCTTCAGCAGATACGGCAGAGTGTATGACACAACAAAGTCACAAATAAATTGGGTCCAGTAAACGACCATTGAACTTTTGTCGCGCAGTTGCAGATGCGGAACCTCTGCCGCAGTAACAGCACCGCTATAAAGGCATGTTAGCAAGTCAGAGGAACTGCATATTAACACGAGAAGAACTCACATAGCCCCGAATGACATGATATAAAACCAACCGAACAGCACGCACGCCGTCAATATCCCTGTTTTGTCACTGGAGGTGACATTTCCAGTCCCAAGCCCGCCGCAGATTAGAAGCACAGCGGTACAAGCACTTCCTGCGGTTAGGTAAAATTTCCGTCGACCAACAATATCGACGAAGGAGAACGTTATGATAGGACCCAGGCAAGTCACCGCGGAGGATATGACTTTGAAAGTAAAGGGGCTCATCGTCTCGAGACTCTTGATGAATATGGCCCCGTACTGGCTCATGAAGCTTTGACCAGTCAATTGATTAAACATTGCCACTCCTATGGCGATTCCGAGTCGTCGCTGAGAAAGGATCAAAGGTCAGTAATCAAACCACATAGACGGGGAAGTTGTCGCCCTTCTTACCCTGTTTGAACCCTTCAAGAAGTCCACCCAGTGTCCCTTCGTTTCCAAGTCCGAGTGAATGCTCTCGTGGAGACTATGAACTTCGTCGATTGCCTCCTGCTCTGAGACAGATGACCCTTTTAGCCAACGCAGATGTTTGACAGCCTGCTCGTCTTGGCCTTTCCGTACAAGCCAGCGAGGACTTTCAGGAATGAACCAGAAGAACACCAAAACAAACAGCGGGAATGAAAACATAGCTGCCAGTGGTATCTTCCACGATGAATCACCCTCGTACGAAGACGTTGCGAGGGTTACAAAGGAACAAATCAGTGAGCCCAGGATGTGTGCAAAAACATACACGACGACGATACCACCTCGGAGAGCCGTGGGACTGATTTCGGCCAGAAACATCGGTGCCAGGAAGTTGTCCCAGCCCACGAAGCATTGAACGATAATTCTACCACCAAGTGCTTGTCCGAAGGTTTGCGCACTGTAACTGACGGCAATACCGATAATCACAATGAACTGCATTGCGATGTATGAGGGTCTTCTCCCAAATCTCTCTGCTATCAATAATCCCAAAACGGCGCCGAGACACTTGGCAGGGAGACCGAATGAATTCAAAAATGAAAGATGCTCTGCGGTGAAGCCCCATGTTTGGGTCGAAGGGTCATAGGTGCCGAATCGCTCTTCGTAGGCTGTGGTAATTCGTATCAGATTGGTGCCAAATGGGGAGTAGAGGGATCAATTACCGTCCATTGCCTGGATTGTAGAAAAGACACTTTGATCAAATCCAAAGCTGAACACACTGATATTAATGACTATAATCGCCAACAGTAGATTCCAAGAGACCCGACTGAAGGATCGCAAATCCTTGAGGCTTGCCATCGTGAGAAGAATGCCAGGAGTAAATCAAATGCTTCCCAGATCGATAGAGCTGGCAATACTCATCTCCATAGAGCTATTTATACAGGAATTCTTCATATTTCTCAATCTATCCTTGCTATGTCGTGACCGGGGTCAGATCCACTGTCTTATGTGGCTTGCAATACACATGTACTTTTCAATTTCAATGCAAATACGATTCTATAAGCATCGCCTAGACTATCTGCCGAGGGATAGAAGGCCAATTCCCTAAGTCTAGAATGGGCTCTGGGATTTAAGGGGGTGTGTGTATACTTAAGTAGAGGGGCTAGTTATTTTCAATCTACGAAACAGACGGCTTAACACCGCATGCCCACCCAGCCGTTCTCTTGTCTGTTCTAGAATTTCCGATACATGATCCTCCTACTTAGTAAATGGGAAGTCTACCATATCAATCATTCCCCATAAGCCAACAAATCCATGCATTTTGGTGATATAGTATATGCCTTGTTCAATTAAGTATAAAAGTCTTTAGCTTTTCAGGCCGAAATCAGGATCTTTTCGCACACCACAGTCATGTCTATACATAATGTCACGCCAGAGACACGGGGATGAGGAGGTTCAAGCCTACAGACTATACTTTCATAGCAATTTGAAGTACAAAATGTAGTGAAGCAACTGTCGCGTGTGCTAGTACTACACAGCAGCCCTGGAGAGCTTACCAGGGCTTTAGAAGCCGCTGAGTCAGCGCCAGGGAAAAGAAAAAAGAAGTCGAGAGCTTTGACTCATTTAAGAATTGGCTAAGAACCTAAGAATATAACAGCTCTAGAGATCCCACGGGATCGTCGTCAAAGTGAAATACTTCAGGTGCCTATTGCGGGCCCTACCAACCCCGCGCCAATCGTTGACACAGATCCGTGCCCCTCGATTTTCTTTTCTTCCACCAACCCCTCCACGCGCAACCATGGCGACTGCAGCTGCTCCCGAGTCTTCTCTCCTCTCCCTCCTATACAGGTCCTACCCGACCGTCATTTCCTCCAATGCGACCGAGCCCGATTACCTCCACGCCTCCGCCAAGGTTTTCCCTCAGGTCACCTTCGGAGAGGCAGAGGAAGCAGACATCAAGCAATGGCTGCACACCATTGACGGTCTGAAGACCTCCCTTGCCAACGGTCAAAAGGATGCCTCCGAAGGCATCCTCGGCCAGCTGAACATCCACCTGGCCACCCGCACAACCCTGCTTGGCGCAAAGCCCTCGGTCGCCGATATTGCCGTCTACGCTCTCCTCGCTCCCCTTGTTGAGAAGTGGACTCCCGAAGAGCGCACCGGCGAGAAGGGATACCACCACATTGTTCGCCATGTCGACTTCGTCCAGAACTCCCGTCTGTTCTCCCTTCAAATCCCCGAGGAGGAGAAGATCGCCATTGACGTGACTGACGTCAAGTTCGTGCCCAAGCCCGTCGATCCCAAGGAAGAGAAGGAGCGCAAGAAGCGCGAGAAGGCCAGTGCCGCCAACCCCGATGCCAACCCAGAGAGCAAGCCTCTGGTCATCGGTCAGGCCAAGGCCGACAAGGCCGCCAAGGGCCAGAACCAAGCTGGTGCCGATGCCGCCGCCGCCGGACACAAGACTGCCAAGAAGGAGAAGAAGGAGAAGGCTCCTAAGGCCCCCAAGGCTGCTCCTGCTCCTGCTGCTCCCCCTGCCCCCTCACTCATCGACCTGCGCGTCGGACACATCCTGCGCGCCATCAACCACCCCAACGCCGACTCGCTGTACGTTTCCACCATTGACTGCGGTGATGCCCCAGGATCTGATAACACCTCTCTTGACGAGGAGACCGGCAAGACTGTCCGAACCGTGTGTTCCGGTCTGAACGGCCTGGTCCCTCTGGCTGAGATGCAGGGCCGCAAGATCGTCGCCGTCTGCAACTTGAAGCCCGTGACCATGCGTGGCGTCAAGTCCTGCGCTATGGTTCTCGCTGCCTCCCCTCGCGTCGCTGAGGGTGAGGACTCTCACGCCGGCCCCGTCGAGCTGGTCACTCCCCCCGATGCTCCTGCTGGTGAGCGCATCGCCTTCGAGGGCTGGAACGAAGGCCAGCCTGAGAAGCAACTCAACCCCAAGAAGAAGGTCTGGGAGACTTTCCAGCCTGGCTTCACTACCACTGCCGATCTTGAGGTTGCTTTCGACAGCAGTGCTGTTCCTTCTGTGCACGGCCAGGAGGGCAAGCCTGCCCTTGGAAAGCTGGTCGCTGCTTCCGGTGGTGTCTGTACTGTTAAGAGCTTGGCCAACGCTACCGTGCGTTAAGAGATGGACGGATTAGCGGGTTTTGATTGTTTTTTGAAAATAAAATGGACTAAACGCATACCCATGAGAATATGAAGAAATCAAAATTTCCAGTTTCGGTGATATTATTGGTATTATTGTTTCAAAAGACAGGTTTTTGGCATCCTGGTCTATTGAGAAAAAGCTAATGGTTTTGTGTTTCTAAATTTGTACAATTATTCACACATGGCTCAGAGCTGATAAATCTCAGTTCTTTTTTTGTTTCTTTTCTCACGCAGGGGCTGCGAATCCCAGAGAAGGTCCACGGTGATCGAAGACCACGAAGAGAGCCTTCAAGAACACATCACCATAGATTGCAAGGCTGGAGCCTGCATTCGATTGGATACCGCCAAAGCACACTGCAAGAAGGTTAGTGAAAGGGCCAAGCAAAAATGAAACAAGAAAGACTCACCGGTCTCACCAGTGGTGGTGTTAGTTCCAACCTCAGAGAAGTTGATCAGGGACCCAGGCACAGTGGCCGAGTAAGCGGTGCCAACAGCAACAGCCAGGCTGGGCAACTTGGCAGTGCAAGGGTAAATATAGCCACCAGCATTGTTGGCATAAATGGCACCCTCAACCTGCTTGTAATAAGCCTTAGCAACGTCAGGGCTAACCAGCATCAGCGAAGTGCCTGTATCAGCAATAGCCTCAGGCACTTCTTTGATGGGATTGAATGAACCACCATCGACAGAGTACTGTGCTGAGCCGAATTGCCAGAATCCCTTGGATGAGTCGACAGTGACATTGGCCAGGACACCTTTATACTTGGAGTGATCGATTGTGCCGAACTCGTACTGGCCCACGCCGTCGGCGAGCAGACGGACTGAGAAGACGGGCTCGTCGAGGGTCGAAACGACGTTGTCGAAGAAGGTCTTTTGAGGGCCTGGGTCTATGGTGTTGATTGAGGAAAATCCAAGTCCGACAAGTCCGTTGGAGTCTTCGTCGTCGGTGAATGTCTCGGAGACTTTGGTTGGGATGCCGATCATTTGGTTTTCGACTTCCACGCCACCGATTGAGACGGTGTCGGTGCCGACTCCACCTGATGCGAAGGATGAGTCTCCATAGGAGATCTTGAAAGTGCTGCCGTCAACGTCCTTGTATGTCTTGGACTTGCTGGGCTCAAAGACAGTTCGGTTCTTTCGCTCGGACTCAGGAAGTCGTGAGTTAAGAACCCAACTATATGAACATGGTCAGCTTTCATGTAGTTCCAAGAGGTGTTGGTAGCATTGCAGCTGGGAAAGCACCATGCAAGCGAACTTACAAATCAGCAGATCCAGTATCAAAATCCATGTTCAGAGTCTGTCCACCAATACTGACAGGTGAGATGAACTCAACGTCCCCTTGAACAGAAGTCGCCGTGACAGAGCCCGTCTGGTCAGATTCCACCGCATCCTCCTTGGCGTTCTTTCCAGAGATAACTGTCTTGGTGTCGAAAGGCTTGAAGTCACTCACGTCAATACCAGTGAGAGTGGTGGCATCGATACCGAACTTGCGATACGCTTTGCGCAGTGCCGCGGGTCCATGGACGGCATAGTCACCACGTTTAGCATGCTCCACCTTGAAAGACCGGCGTCCAAGGCGATTGCCAGATACCACGGGCATAGCGAGAGCACTCAGGCTCAAAGAAAATAACATAACGATGAAAAGAAAGGACTGCATCTTGTCCAAAGTCCCAGTCGGGAAGATCAACTTCAAAAAAGAGCGATTAGGTCAGGACCAGCCTGATAGTTGATACCAGCAAATGCAATGGTAAGAAAGAAGGAAAAAAACAAGAGGAAGAGAAAGTCGAGATTGAGATCAGGCCTTAAGGGCAAGCTTAAGGATCTCGTACAATGCCAATGGAATGAATGTCAGCGGGTAGTACTTCGTAGTCCTGACTCGAATACCTGCAGGCAAGAATTGAAGAAATGAATGAGAGAATAGGACAAAAGAACAAGACAATAGACAATAGAAAAGAACTGAACAATAAAAAAGAATCTCAAAAGGCGAAAACGTAAACAATGGGGTCGTCGATCTATATGGCAGGCCTATCCCGCACAAAAGTAGCCACAGAGGAGAAAAAAAAAAGGAAAGACAACTCCTTTATTTTGAACCTATCGGAGTCGAAGCATCAGTGCAAAGCCCTTGGCCTATGCTGGGCATGCTTCACAATAGACGCCATCGGGCCAAGACCAGACTGGCCTACGAGTGGATAAGTCACTAAACCCAGCGCAGGGAGAAGGCCGGCAAACGGGTCTACGTAAGTATATTATGCAGAGACGAGCCAGGGACCTCTTCATTTGTCTGCGACTGCGCGGCGTCTTAGATGAGTGGGGTGGCTGGGCCCCCTGAGCGCGTGGGTTTGACAGCTGAGACTACACCAGTCGGTGTTGGGCGTAGTTGGATGATCATGAAACAATGCCGAGCGGGTAGGTAGCCAATCATTGTGATGACTCCTTGAAACGCAGTGCAAAAAAGGCCATTATTTCTGATCTGTGAAATCCAAGCGTTGGGTTACTTGAGCTTTTCTTGGACACTGCACAATGCCATTACGTTGACGGAAGGAGATGGTGGTGACGGACGTAGGCAAAGTCCGTTATGGGTGGCTTAGGTGCCCCCCTCACATTGATCTTCTGGCGATCAAACCGTTGCAAGTGACCAATGCGAGATATTGATCAGATCAAACCATATGATTAGTCTCATAGCTGTGGTTCTGTTAGGATTTCCGAGATGCGGTTCTCCAGCCATTTCCCTAGCCAGTTCCTTTCCTTATATCTTCCAAAGTTCCTGTCCTAGCATCCCAGCGTCGAAAATTCTTCAATTATCCCAGTGATTGTGGAACCTCAGCCCCTGGACCAACGATGGGAAGCGCCTGAAGACAATTGCCGTTTCATAATGGCACAAATTTTCGGTTTGACGAACCTTGGTTACCTGCGCTTCCATCTGTGTTGGCACAGTCGAGATTTTGGGAACACGAAGGTGATCTTGCACTGCAAGGCTATTAAGAGTGCGTGTGGTACAGAGACATATAGTATGGATTGGCGTATAACGTAGCAGAAGTACGGAGTACTTGTACGAAGTATACAGCCCCATCAGTCGATTTCCAGCACAATCTAGGAGAGCCTAGGTACGTCATTGAACATATGCAGATCCAATATCGGCAGTCAGCGATGAATCATCAGTCAGGTTCGGAGTACACAGTGACAAGACTAAAGAGTAGAGAGAGGAGAGAATGAGAAGAGAGTAAACAATGAAGCCGTTTCAAGTGCATATTTTGGCCTAAACTCGCACAGGCGAGAGACCCCCAAGGATATCGATTTCAAACAGAAACAACTCCGCATCCCATGGTTTCGCTCGCAACCAAACCCAACCAGCCACATACCAGTGGCAGGGAGGTGCGTTGTTCACCAATCCCCGAATCCGATGTACAGAGAAAACAAATCCGTAAAAAAGATGAAAAGAGAAAAATAGACGGAGAAGGTAACCAGCAATAAAACACAACCCAAGATATTCAACAGTGCCCAAGCAATGCAGACGTGTATCGTTTCCGCCTCTAGATCCTTGATAAAATGATATCCATTCCCGCCCCGGTAAACAAGAAAAAACAAAGCCCAAAAGAAATCATAGAAAAGAAAAAATAAGGAGAGTCAAGTGTGGCAAAGTCGTTTGCAAAAACCTCCCATAAAAGGTAAATCAACTCCAAAAGTCGTAGACATGCAACATCAAGTAGCAATGTCAAAATTCACATGTTCTGTACATCATCGGTGGCCCAACCGGGATAAGAAAACAAAAGGCCGAAGAAAGTATTCGTCCCTCCCTGAGAGACGAAAGAGGTATCGTAGAAGGATGCAAGGTATTGAATCGCAGGCGCCGTCGCTCGCAACAAGCCAAAAGTCGCAAGGAGTCTAGAATGTGAGGCGAAGGTGGTCGTAATCGGCGAGAGATAGAGAGGAGGTAAGTGGTATGTACAGGTCGGTTTTTTGTTTTCGGGTTTTCAGAGTTTTTTTGTCGCCGTGTTCGTAGAACAATAGGTTTTCCAAAAGTAATGTCGTGTCGAATGCAATGTGACGTATCAGACAAGAATGCAATGAAAATAGAAGATTATGACCTGCGATTAAGGGACCCCGATGATGCAGAACAGCTGTGATGGGACGTGCAAAGAACAGATGGAGACGTAGGGAGCCAGCCTACGACTTTGACAGACGACTTTACCATCGGCGTTGAGCAGTCTGCATCATCGCGGGGGAGATCGATGAGGGCGGGCTGGTCATGGTCATTCCGGTAGAGGGGTTGACAATGGGGATGACTTTGCGAGTCCGGTTTGCAGGCTGTTGATGCTGCTGGTAGTTGACGTGATTAGGGTTGCCGGCAACACCAGGGTGAACGTATGAGTTGGTTTGAGCGGGAGACAAAGAGATGGACGGAGTCACCTGCTGCACCGGTTGGATTTGGTGCTGCAAAGGCGAGGTGTCCGGCGAGCCACTGGAGAGGGAAGAGCGGTCGGAGGCGGAGTGAATTGAGTGAAGCTGGAAAATAACAGTCAACAGGCTGCTCGAAGGTTCGTGTGCGATCTTCGATCCGAGATGAAGATTCGCCGATCACAACATACATCATCCTCGGTCAGGAGACCGGGGCAAAATTCGAGGTCGTCGTCCAGATCAAATGAGCGACCAGCCTCAAATCTTGCCCGGAAAGCAGTCACTGCCGGAGCTTCCGCCAATTCCCGCATGGACTTGACTCCTCGGAACTGACGAGCGTTCTGGGAAGCCATCTTTGGGGCACGGCGAGAGCGCCCGTGGTTTGCGGATTGCATGTGTGCACCGTGGTGCTGCTGGTTGTAGAAGTAGGCGGACATGATGTGAAGATTGAGAAGAAAGTGGAAGAGAAAAAAAACGTTGAAGAGTCAAGATGAATACAAGAAGAGATAAAGATCAGAAGATTGTGTGGAAAGGGAAGAGGCGAGGGCAAAAAGAGGGGAGTATTTTGGTGGGCCGTTTAAGCTCCATTTTGTCTCTGGTTCCCTCCATTTTGGGCGGATCTGCGTGTGCTGATTGGTCAGTGGTCTCTTGCCACTTCGTTAGCGCTTCACGTTGGTTGGTGCGAGCCGCTAGTGCGAACCCACTTGACAATACCTGACCGTACCGTCTATTTCTGTTCTCTCGAATTTAGCGGAAGTTGGTATTATTTACCCCTATAAGTGTGCCCCTAACCCCCCGGGGGGCTGAGTATGAGGGTGGTATGGTTACAGTATCGAAAACAACGTGACGTCGACAATTTTCAGACAATGACGGTCCTCACCTTTGCACCTTTACATACCAAGGGAAGATTATCTACGAGTACAGGTATCCCACGCAAATTGCGAAAATTGCGACATTCTACATTGCTATGCCCAGATCTGATTACTTTATACATACACATGTGTAAGACTTAAAGATACTGTAGAGTCAGAGTGACATCAAACCCGGAATCGGCCATATGTACTAGTCATGGCACTGGGACCGGCTGAAATTTTCCCTATGGGTCCCCTTAACTGCAGGCTGTGCAGGACATGGCGCCTTTCCAGGCACATTCCCTCCCCAGTCTCCCCCCCCCCCCTATAGGGTCCCCGAATCGGGAGTGGCTGCTGATCTCGCTTTGATCGGCTCCTGCGAATTCCCCAATCCTTCCACACGCAGCGAGAAAATGAAAAACCTTGTTGGTCGCGAGACACCTATATTCTGAGCTGCAGCTTAGCTGCATATGACCCGCCCCCTGATTGGCAGACCTTGAGATCTTGCCTTATCGGCTCAAAGCCTCGCGAATTCGGCTTCTGCGAATACCGGAGGGGGTTAGGCCTAAGGGGCGTGCTGGGTAGCATTGCCTACCCGTGACTCACGGACGTTATTATGGGAAAATGTGTGGCGGATTCCCGTAGGTGGGAACACTCTCGATGATGCCCCATGTTTTGTTTTGTTTTTCTTTTTCTTTGTGCACGGTTTCTCGATCGGCCTGGTCGCTGTCGGCGCTTACTGGAACATATCTTGCATACTCTTTTTCAGTCAAAGCTTTACATTGCACAAAAACTCAACTTCAAACTCTACAATGTAAGAAGTACCTAAGTGTATACAGTACTCGTACTTCGTGCAGTCGAGTCTCCAAATTTGGCTTCACCGCCCCTTTGTGGACTCACGAGGCGCAGTCGCACGGGCTTCGGATATATCACAAAACACGTTGGGACTTGCAGATGATCTAGCTGTGCACAACAAGATAGTGTCTGCATGCATTTCTACTTTAGAATTCGCAGGAATCTGTGAGGGACTGCAATTCAATCGTCAGTAGTTAAGCAAGGGGACCTTCACGATCTGTTGGCCTGGGTTCAATTTCGACCTCAAACTGTCAGATCCATGCAATCATGCCAATGTTGTGTTGCAAATCGGAGTCCGGTCTCAGTTCTCGGGCGGCTTCTGAATCATGATGTCGAGTACTCTGTATAGTCTATAGGCTACGCAGTACTCCGTGTATGTACGGTTCCCCTTTCCAACTTTAGAAGGTTGTAATGCCTTTTGTTCTACCCCATAGTACTCCTGAAGTCCGTAGTTGGGGATACCCTTACGACCTTGGGAGGCACAGTGTTGGTGTCGGGGGTTTACAGGAACTTTAGAACTGGGTTCTAAGTCCGCAGATGCTCCGATAGTGATGGTGCCCTACTTAAGTAGACCTTCGAAAGTTTTGATGGATCACCTTCTAAAGTTCTAAAGCCGAGAGCCTTGGAAGTATCGCACCAGCCCTGGAGATTGTGCACATCTTTCCGAGGTTAATAGAGATCCTCAATTGTCTGAACTCTGGGTCCTCAACCCCACAAAACTGCTGTACAAGAAACGTTACTTAAGGAGCTTCAACCTCGAATTGAAGACTCATAAGAACAACATCCATGGATTTGACTTGTACAAACACATCTAGCCTTGGAGATAAGCCCGGCTTAACTTAGAACTTCGTTGTGCTACGAGTCTATGGAAACCAATACCTAGGCACTATTCAACCCTGGAGACTGCCTGCCAATAGCAAGAACATTAACTGTATCTATAGATGCAGTGAAGGTGCTGCTCTTTGTTCTATGACGTCATTTTAATCGTTGCTTTTCCTCGGCGGAATTACTCCAAAGGTAATTTTTTCTTACCTAGGTCTCTACAGAGTACCTAGGTATGTAAATAATCATGTCTAGTACTTAGTACTTACTTGACAATGGTTTGCGATGGTGCACAACTTTAGAAGTACTTAAGTACTCCAGGGGTGATGGCCAAAATAACGTCTCGGAATATATACCTCCGCCCGGGCGCTTCTTGATCAGATTTATAAGAACTTTCCAAGGCTAGAAGCTTCTAAGTTGCGATGTTATTGGTATATATATAAAAGTCTCCAAGGTTCCAACTTTAGGTTTACTCAAGTACAATTATTGAAACCATGGGATAAGCTTTAATGTGCCCAGGTCGCTACCAGCGTTGTGACATCGGAAGCAGACTGATGGCCCAGCTCCTGAAGTCTAGTGGTAACGCCATCCTGAAGTCCTGAACACAAAGACACATGTGCCCAAATGTGCCCAGGCAGCAAGTGGTGGCAGAGGGCCCATTTAGATGAAGCTTCTAAGGCTAGAACTTTAGGAGCTCCAGGGCTATCTCACATCTGGATAGCTCACTAGATCTATAGATACTTACTTGAGTACCTACTTAAGTATTCTAAAGTTCCCGACTTTCACCAACACAGTGTGCATATTCCCAAGTTACTTTCCGTACTTGAGGATCATCGATAACACCACGAATTAAAGGTCTCTCCAGGGCTCTCCAAGTGCACAGTGTCACACAATCGGGTCATAAACACACGAAGGATCGAAATCCTAAATCCAAAGCCACAGAGGTTCCCCTCGCGTTTTAATTTCTCATATCAATACTTGAAGTTCCAAGTTGTATCACTGTGTCCCTTTCCCGGGTTTACCAAACCCACAATCGAAGCAGCATGACTACACCAGCCCCAGAATACAGACAAAGCAATGGGAACGGGCCGAAGCAAAAAGGTGGCAGTCTACAGGTGGCAGTTGCAGGCCTAGTCGCTGGGTTTGAATAGAGAATGCGTCGAAAAATGTATACCATTTGTCCCGGACAGGATAAGTAAAAATCAATGTGGCTTGCTAATACTCAGATGCGTGTTAATGCATGAACGCTATGCAAAACTATACATCACTTGTCCAGATTCTTGCTCTTGACCATCCTTCCAATAAGTTCCTTGCAGGTCTTCTCGCTGTATTGCTCCCACACCTCGTACAAAGAGACCAGCTCTTGAGTACATTCAATGACGGCTTTGATATCGATTTCACTTTCCGCGAGCCAGCTCACGAGCTTCGTAATCTTTGGAGGGGGGCCTGATCCTGACTTATCTGATAAAGCGGATAGCATCTGCATGCCTCCGCCATCTCGCATGGAAGCCGCCAGGGCGGATTGCCCGGAGTTAGTAAAATTGGTTGGGTGGGTAGGTTTGAAGACCACAGCGACAATGATTGCCATGATCGCGATGACGTGGGGAGGATGCAGTAACGGGAGATCTGTCAGATAGTGATCGTTGATCACCGACCATGCAAGGGCGACTTCATCCGATGTGAGCTGGAGTTCGGTTTGCAATTCTGACAAACTGCGGTAAGGATGATGCACGATGAGTTGGGAGCTCATTTCAGAGATCAGAGCAAACTCGCACTCTCCCAGCTTTGCGACATCTGGAGTAATGAATTCTGCCGATTGTCAGTAGTGTCTTGGTGGCCTCATCTTGCGATCCATACCTGGCCATAGACCGCGTGCCTCGCTAACCACGAATCGAATATGCTGTGGACACTCCTCCATCTTGCAGGCCAGATAAAAGGCGGTGGTGAGCACCAGGTATGGATTTGTTTGGCGAATCTCATTTTTGGTGTAGAATCTCTTCAAATACACCTGTGCCGTCGCAATGGCCTGCTGTCTAGTGGACATGCGCTTTCCAAGCTTGATGAGCTCTAGTGTTCATCAGTCTTAAACTCCATCCATATACCCCGCAAGACCTACGTTGGTTGAAATAGATATTCAGGAGGCGTTGATCTGGCAACGGGAACTGCGAATGGGCAACCTTGTCCTTTTCCCACAATCCATCACGAATGTCTGCTAACTTCTCTCTGGAAAACAGCCAGTGTCGACGTTGGGACGATGCCCAGTAGTTGGCGGCCATGGTGTTGATGGTTCAAACCGACCGCAAGTCATGACATGGCCCTGACTGAATGTAATAGATGCTATTGCACCGCCACCTCGAATAGGGAGTATCAATAGAAGATCTCTAAAAGCAGTTCAATGGGATACAATGAAGTCAGGTTGCAATCCCAATAAGGGATAGTAGGGCTTGGCCCTGCCGAAAGATAATCCGGAGTTTGAGGTCAAATCGCCGGGCGTCTATTAATCATTAGCTCCTCCCGACTTTGACTTGCATCCAACGTCATATGCAGGACTCTCCGATTCTCGCTTTCTATTTCACTTGGGTTTTCTCGACCTCGTCGACTCTCGCCTTTCTCACCAAACAATGAATGGAGCTCGGTAACAATTTTCACCATGGCACCGGAGTCAAAGGACGAACGCGACAAACGAGTTGCTAAACTCTGGGAAACACTGGATACTCGACGCGAAGGACATATCGACCTGCATGGCCTAAAGAAAGGTCTCAAAAAAATCGACCATCGTGAGTCTAGACCTCGGGAGGTATCGCATCCTCTAGGGGTCCCAACCGGACTAACGCTTTCTTCCCAGCACTCAAAAATGCGGATGAGATGGTAGTCAGCGTTGTCAAACAAGTCGATACAAATGGTGATGGGCGTATCGATCAAACCGGTAAGCCTTCGGAGACCTATTGAACCAAGCCGAGCTATGAGGGAATTCCTTTAGCCGCGCGCCAATACTTCCGATCCTAACACCACCAGAATTCCGCACATTTCTCGACCACACCGAGGACGGCCTGTGGAAAATGTTCCAAAGCATTGATCGCAACCACAACGGAGAAATCGACAAGGCGGAATTGCGGAATGCGTTTGCAAGTTCCGGGGTAACAGTCTCTGGCGCCAAGCTCGACCGGTTTTTCGCCGAGGTGGATAAAAACAACGACGGGGTCATCTCCTACGCAGAGTGGAGGTATGACTATCTGGACACATGGGAAGGTTGTCAAGACGGGACTGACTTGTTTTTGTTGCTTTCTAGAGATTTCCTCCTCTTCCTACCCCTCCATTCTCCGACCGACCTCCACGCAGTCCTCTCATACTATACGGCCACGGGTAATCTAAACCCGGAAGGAGATGTCCACATCAATGACCTGCAGGGTTTAGGTACAGACCATCCGTTTCTTAAACCTCTTTTGGCCATCCAGCACCTCATGTACAACATCTTATCACTCCCCGCCTTGGCCTTTCTCCTTCCTTCAGCCCACGCGGAAGCCATCCTCATCTCAAAATCGGGTCCCGTCCTCGAGAATAATCATGTCTCGTTAGACGGCGACTTCGAAATGGAGTGGTTGACTGTTCCCCAGACTACCGCCATGCGGATGTTTTTCCGATATTATGGACGGAAGTTGACCGAAAATACCCCTCAATTAGGCTACTTTTTCGCCGGTGGAATCGCGGGCGCTGTGTCGAGAACAGCTACCGCACCGCTTGATCGTCTCAAAGTCTATCTCATTGCCCAAACCGGGGTGAAAGAATCAACCGTTCGTGCGGCGAAGGAGGGAGCCCCACTGGCTGCAGCAGGCAATGCTTCCAAAACACTTTTCGATGCGCTTAAGGAATTATGGCGAGCTGGTGGAATACGGAGTCTGTTTGCAGGTTTGTTGGAGATTCCTTCCCCCAAAGAAGCAGCGTCTGACTGAACAGGCAACGGATTGAACGTGGTGAAGGTCATGCCAGAATCAGCTATTAAATTTGGCGCCTACGAGGTAGGTGCTGTGGATGAATCCTCCCTACCAATATGATTCAATGCTGATCTCGCAACAGTCCGCAAAACGAATGTTTGCCCGACTCGAAGGACACAATGACCCCAAACGACTCCTGCCTACCTCCCAATTTATGTCCGGTGGCTTTGGTGGAATGGTTGCACAGTATGTCCTGTGCTGTTGGATCACTAAATGCTTCAACTAACAGCCGTTTAGATGCTTTGTATATCCGCTCGACACCCTCAAGTTGTAAGTTTGGTGACACATGTCTCTCCTGGCACTGGGCTAACTGTCTTTAATAGTCGCATGCAATGTGAGACCGTGAAAGATGGCCCGAAGGGAAATCAACTGATCGCAGCAACTGCGAAGAAAGTATGGAACAAAAATGGTCTTTTCGGCTTTTTCCGAGGTCTTCCTCTTGGTCTTGTCGGCATGTTCCCGTATGCCGCAATTGATCTGTCAACATTCGAATACCTTAAACGCACCCTCATTGCCAAAAAGGCCCGCGAACAAGGCTGTCATGAAGATGACGTTCCCCTTGGGAACTTTGCAACAGGCGCAATTGGCGCTACAAGTGGAGGGTTCAGCGCCTCCATCGTCTACCCCCTCAACGTTCTCCGCACTCGACTCCAAACTCAGGGTACCTTCATGCACCCCCCTACATATACCGGCATTGGCGAAGTTCTCAGCACTACTTTGAAAGCCGAGGGGCCACGGGGTCTCTACAAAGGCCTCACACCCAATTTGCTGAAGGTGGCACCCGCCATGTCAATCAGTTACGTTGTCTACGAAAACGCGAAGCGTACTCTTGGTCTCCGCTGATCTGTCCATCCTTCAAACTTTGCTTCAACCCTCCTTGCATGCCCCTGCGCACACACCCCACTGCGCACGCACATCATCTGCGAGAGCGGCATGTCATTCCCGTGCCCCGGGTTGACCGATCTCTGATCTATCGCCTCGCGTGTCATTCAAAAGCGTCCTTAAGATACCCACAGAAGCCACCACTGAACTGGCTCATCCCTCACCGAAGACTGCATATACATGCGTCTCATTGCTATCTGATGTCCATGTGACAACTTGAGATTTCATGTCATTTCATGCTATTTCTTGCCATTTTATTTGCATTTGCCTTGAATATCAAACCTGGCTTTTCAATCTGTAATATTTATTCGTTTTTCACTACTCATGTTGCTCTTTGAGACATCTGTGCCCTTCACCTTCTTTTGACATCAGGGGCACTGGAAACTAACCACATCAGCATGGCATGGCGTCGATATAATACCACGGGACTGAATTTATTTTGTCAATATCTACGCAGCTAGAACATTTCCAACCTTAGACGAACAAATGCGTTTCATTTCAAAATTAAATTGGATTAGATCATATCATTCTGAAAACTCGACATTTGACCGTTCGCAAATCTCAGTTTGTAGACTCAGTGGGAACCATTGCTCATTAACCCATTAATCATAGCCTATTTGGCTACCTGTGCAACAGCCACCTCCTCTTCCTTGGGAAGGATATCAGGAACCGGTCCCAGGGGCGTGATACCGAACGGGTTAATCTGCTTATGACTCTTGGTATAATGGAACTTGATATGCTCGAATTGAGTAGTATCATGGAAAGCGGGCACATCCCAATAGAGCTTCCTGACCCAGCGATGAATAGCCGGGAATCCAGAGCGGATATCTTTGAGGTTGCACTTGAAGTGCTGCACGTAGACGGGATCGAAGCGAATGATGGTAGTGAAGAGTCTGATATCAGCCTCGGTGATCTCATCGCCGAAGAAGTAGGGCTTTGAAGCAGCCTGCTGTTTAACGAGGTGAGCCTCGATTTTGTCGAGGGAGGTGAAGAGGGTCGTGACGGCCTTTTCGTATGCTTCTTGGCTGGTTGCAAAGCCGGACTTGTAAACGCCGTTGTTGACGTCATTGTAGATCCAGTCGTTGGAGGCGTCGATTTCGGCCTGTAGGGCCTTGGGGAAGGGGTCTACTTTTTTGAACTGCTCTGGGAGGAGATCGTCAAACTCGTGGTAGAGCATGCGGATGATTTCGGCACTCTGTTTCTGTTAGCATTGAAGGAGAATCTTTAGTGAGTGCTTTCTGACCTCGTTGCTGACGATTAGCTTGGTTTTCTTATCGAACAGCACTGGGACGGTGAATCGTCCGGTGTAGTCTGGGTCATTGGAGAAATAGACTTGACGGATGTGGGTGAAATCAGGGTGCAGAGGGTCAGGAATGGTGTTCTCTCCTGGAATGTTTTCCTCCGCAGTAGCGAAGCGCCAGCCTGAATTGGTTAGCAATTGAATCTGTTCCATAGCATATAGCAGGTGCTCTCACCATGTTCGCCGAGATGCCAATGCACCGAGGAGAAACTGATAAAGTCCTCAAGACCCTTCAACTTCCGTGTAATCAGAGTTCGGTGGGCTACAGACAATTGTTAGTAACTCAGTGTCAACCAGATGGAACCATTTCATACCCCATGGACAGGCATATGAGACGTAAAGATGGTAGCGGCCCTTCTCAGGAGGGAACTGGGCACCAGCCTCTCTAGAAATCCAGTTGCGGAAGACCGATTGCTGGCGCTTGAACTCGCCCGACTTGTCTGCGGGGTTCACCCAGTCAGTGATTTTGGCGGAATTACCGGTCTTGAGACATGTTAGCGGGTAATTGTAGCCGACGGGGGACGATTGCTCACAGCCATGTTTCGAGAGTGGATCAGAGAGCTTTGAGATGTCAAAAGAGCTCCACGAAGAATTGGAGGTCGTGGAAGATGCTTTAATGCCTGGGATCTGAGTAGAAAGAACATGGCAGTGGCGGAGGTGGATTTTATAGTTGCGTTCCCAGTTGAGGCAATGCTGAGTAAGAACCTGCTTATCGAGACATCGATCAGCTTTGACAAAGCTCCATTTTGCCGGTCTTATGTACTTAAACTTAATTAGGCCTTAATTAGGCCCGGAAAGGACATTCATCGAACACCATTTCCCCAATTCAGTTGCTACCTCTAATTCCTTGTAAATTAGTCAAATTCAGGTCGAAATGTAATATAGAATAATTTATAAGACATATTATTTCCATTCTAAAGTTATGGTCATCTAGTGTCTAATGTCTGATTATTTGGCGCATGAAATAAGCCACCAAAGACCCGGAGCTGTAGAGCAGAAGAGAAGAAAAAGAAAATCTGGTAACCGCAGACCTTGGGATTGAGGAATCACTCCGTCCCAGTCCCACCCTCTTCAAGCTGGACATGAAAAAGGACTCATACTTAAGTACAGTGGGATCAAGATACTTGACCTTAAGGCGTGATTCTAAAGTTTTAGACACCAATCGCCTTAAGACTCGGGTTGGACTTTTGGTTTTCGGCGCGTGGCTCGGCTTGGTCCAGTAGGCCTCAAAATGCTTGAGAGTTGGGTCTATACGCTCGCCATTCCTGTCGACCTGCTGGACAACACTATTAAGTACTTCGAGTACTTCTTCGCATTCAGGGCTGGACCCAGCCACTTGGTGCCATGCTAAACCTTATATACGAGTGCTATTGTGGCTGCTATTGAATGCACCTGATATTGGCAGCCGGGGCCATAGATCCAAGAATTTACAGAATAAAATGGTATAGGTGAATTCTAGCTACTGTACTAGCACTAACTTGTAGTCATCTGGCTTTTCATAAGTTCTCAATAGCCTTTATTTGGCGAGCTTGACCATCACGTAAGGGACTTCGACATCCTCTTCGGTCTGGTCCTCGGCGGTGACCTCGAAGATGATGTTCTTTTGGTGGGCAGGGATGGGCTTTTTGCTGACGTGCTCCACCAACTTGCTCATGCTGTGGTTGGTCGTGTTAGTATTTTGATCGGTATGAAGGAGGGAGGGAAACTTACGGAAGAGGAAGGCGATCCTTGACCTTGGATGGGGGGTAGAAGCTTGCATACAGCAAACTGACCCCGGAGCTGACCATGGTGATGTCCAAGCCCTTCTCGGCGAAGTAGTTGATGAACTCCTGGAGAGGAATGTCGTCCACCTCGAATCGGTCCCAAAGATTGTCAATGGTGACCTCACCTTCCTTGCCCTGGTATTTGCTCTTGGCGCTTTGAATAGGCTCACTGAAACTGAAGAAGGGGAGTGCAAGGTTGACAAAGCCGTTCTTGTATTTTTCAATGTCATCCTGGCCATCGACAACCTTGTAAAGTTCGAGAGCAACGAGACCAGTAACCAGAGCGGTGGTGGTGGCAATGGCGGGGATGATCTTTCCAGCAATGAACTTAGTCTTGTGGCGATCGGACTGGGGGATCTCATAGTTCTCCGCACGGAGGTTGCTAGCAGCCGTGATGAAGTCGATATGGTGGTTGGTGTCGTCATCCTTCTCGAACTCAACAGGCTGCAAGCGGAAGCCGGCGAGAGACTTGGGCGACGGGAGGGAGGAAACAAGCTGCTGAATCTCATCCTCGTCGGAAGAAGCCCCAGCGGGCTGAGCATTGGGGTCAGGGTCATTGTCATTGGCCTGGATCTTAACGTTGGAGCTTGGGGTAAACTCAGGAATGATCATGTCGTCGACGACTCGGCGGTAGTAGCCCTTGTCTGCACCAGGGTTCTTGATACCGTAGTTGAACGCGTGGAGATTGGCACCAGCAATAACAAATCCGAGATGGGTGGGGCTAGTGCTGTCAAATTTGAGAGGTGTTGGGGCGCGCTTAGGTCCAGACCAGAAGAGCTGACCGGAAGATGTCTTGGAATCCCGGGGGAAGTTGTACAGGAGTTGTTGAATTGCGTTGTTGTACTGCGCCTCGAATTGCTGGCGAGCCCAGACAATACAATCGTCAAATGTCAGAGGCTTCTCGGTGACCAAGAAGTCCCGCAGATGCTCCAATGTTTGCTTCTCGTTACCCGCCTGCTTCAGGGTTTGCTGGATGTAGTCGGGCTGGGAAAGGTACAGGTTGACCGATTCAGGGGGACCAACGAAGTAAGTTTGGAAAATATCACGAGCCCAGGCAATGGTGTGCTCGATACGGTTAGGGAAACTCTTCAGAGTGCACATAGGGAAGGACTTCTCTGGGGGATCCTGGGAGCTAGAATAGGACTCTGTGATGAACGGAAGGATAACCTGAATGTTGCCCTTGGTACCGAGGGTGCCACTCTCGAGCAAAGGCTTGCGGAAGAAGACACAGCGGCGATCAACATATGTGCGTGCCTCGAGGTTGTCGAGAGCGTTGGTCACACCGTCCAAACTGTTCCAGAATTCCTCGTTGAACACATGTTCAGTGTCCGCACCAACACGGTCCCGAAGAGTGACGATTTTGCCATTCAACTCCGGGTTCATGGCCTGGACAGCCGCAGAAGCACATTCACTCTTCAGTTTACCGACATCCTTGGTGCGGAACAGGAATTGGCGGTTGAGGTTGCTCTTCTCGATCTGGTCCATATCAGTGACCAAGATCTTTCCCTTCGGGCCTGTGCCCAGACCAATCATAGCCCAATTCTTGAGTGTCTCGCAACCAATAGCACCGGCACCGACCAAGAATTGAGTCACGTTGGCAATTTTGTCCTGGTACTCCTTTCCGAATACGGCAATTTGGCCATCGTAACGGGTACCAAGTGGCTTGCAACTTTCCTCAGATCGAACGACAGATGGAGGCAATGACTCCAAGGAGTCGAAGTACATCCACTGCTGCACAGGGCCGAACTTTCCAGAAACAGCCTTCAGGACCTCCTGGGCAGCAATACCACCGAAGAAAGCGGCCAATGGGTTCAAGTCACCACGGGCCTGGTAACTGAGCTCCTTGATGAGCTTCTCATCAAGCTCAACCTTATCTTCGCCAGCCGCAGCGAGATCAGTAGAGATCTTCAAAACCTCCTGTGCGTCACTTTCATTGTGAGGGCGAGGCAGCTGACCCTCGTGAGTCTCGGCAAAGCTGTGAAGAGCTTGGATACCGATGTGCAATTGTTGAGGGCGATCAAACTTGGCCCAGTCCGACATCAAAAGTTCGGGGTTCTTAAGTTGCTGCTCCAATGGCTGGAAGTCAATGAACTTAGGCATCTTGACCTGTTTGAAGATACCACCACGCTTGTAGGTACCCAGACCGGAGACATCGCCGATGGTGAAAGTGTATGGGCCCTTGACGGTAATCTTGCGGGGATCACTGTTGTTAAGACCATCCATACCCTCAACTTCGGTAAATGAGACAAAGTCACCGTCCTCGAGGCCGTGTCGGGACTCGTCCAGCGCCGATACTAATCCCTCGTCGTTGATGTCGGCAACAATTCCCTCGGCAGGGTCCTCACCAGTGGTGTCACCAACAGTGAAGTTCTTTCCAAAGTCGTTGAAGATATAACCAAACAGACCGAAAGTGTCCGTAATGGTAAGATAAATGCCATTCTTGTGGCAGAAGTCGGCAATAGCGAGTTGTTCTTTCAGCGGTGTCTGTGTAAGAACCACAGCCTGGTAGCGCCTAAGTTGTTCGAGGTCGCCCACAAGATTTCCACCCTCATGAATTGTGGTTGGAACGTAGGAGTTCAATTCAGCCACTCGGGGGGCGGTGACTTCGGCACGAGGTTTGCCGACATCCTCTGGTTGGAGGAAGAATTGGGAAGACAAGTCTGAGATGGCGACGGGGGCGGGATCGTAGAGAGTGAGAGACTTGACACCGGCGAGGGCAATGTTCTTGGCTGTGTGGTTATTAGATCATGCAACTAGTCTTCAGCAACCAGTTTACCTACCGATTTCGACACCGAGGCCTTTGAGACCAACAACTAGAACATTTGAAGAGCCCATGCGCTTCATAGCCTCGTGACCAAGAACGTACCTCGAAGGCGTCAGTATGTACCCGGGGACTCAAACGCGGCGGGGGTTCGCAGGAAACTCACAGCTGTCGACTGTACAGGGATTCGTCGATCTCCCCGCTCTTGATCGCTTCGACGGTCTCTTGGGGGTTCTCGACCTGCATCTTGACGTCCTGTCATGGGATTCCTTAGCGACAATCTTGTTTGGGGAGCTAAGATGATGCATACCGCCATGGTTCGTTTCTCTGGCCGAGCTCCGACGGGGTCTTCAGAGGCTCTACGCTTTTCCGGCTTAGCCGCGTCTCGAACAGGGATATTTGAAGGAATGATGAAAATCAGGAGGTGAAAGCCCCGCAAGAAGCAAGACCTTCGAGAAGAGTGATGATAAAGCAAGTAGTAACGCCTAGCGTACCAGGTACCTAGCTCAACGAGCACAAAAGTAGCAATCCGAGCACAGCCGGCTTTTCTCGAATGGTCCGCGGAGGAGGAGGGTAATAGATAGTGAGACGTGAGAAATAAAAAAAGTAAGTATGGAAGTACAAGAGAGAAGGTCGAGGAACGACGTAAGAGGGGACCTGGAGGCGGACAGCTAAGATGACTAATTAAGCGGTGAAGATTAGCCCCGCGATATTCCCGAGGCTTGTAGTTCCGCAGTCGCGTCTAGACTTCAATACTTTCTAGATATGATCGAAGATACTAAACAATGAACTGTGTTCTCTCTTGCCCATTTTGACACTCTTGCGTTCACGTTTCACGATACTGGACGCGTCTGAATACTACTGCGATCCCTAGCTTCGCCTACTCATACTCGATTTCACATGTGTCGCTTTGAATTCGTGGGGCGTGGTCTATTGTATTGGAATCGCCAGCGGTATCCAGTGGAGAGAAATCAGTTTTCGAAGTGAGCGGTCCGCGGATGTGCCCATGAACAGCTGCTAACTGAGTTTCATAGCCAGATTCCGTCAGAATGCTCCACGAGATCCTCCTCTCCCTCTCCGGCCAACCCTCGCCCCTGTTCAATACCCGCAAAGGGGAAGAAAACGAAATCGAGGATGACTTCCCCCTTCTCGCACCTCCGGAAAAAGCCCTCCTCGCCTCCGTTGGACATTTGAGTCGACTCCATGCGCAGCTCCGCAAACAAGCTACTGAGATATCTTCCACAAATTCTTCCGTGATATGCCGTGCGGTTTCTTCAGCAATATTGGGAACACAGCTCGGTGAATTTCAAAAGAAAATTCTCGAGGTTGAACAGGCGATCCTCGCCGAAGATAGTGGATATGTTGGGGGCTACGGCATTGTCCCATTATCGACCATCGTGGGAGAATTCGGACCTTGGACGCGGCGCATGGATTGGCTCTGGGGGGTAATACAGTTCATTGAACCGGAGCAAAGGAGAGAAGAACGCTCCCAAAACGCCTCGGGGGCATCGCTCATCGATCATTTACGGATTGAAGCCCAAACAGGATATCTTGATATCAAAGAAATGGCACTGAGCTTGGAAAAGGCTGCCGAAACCGCATGGATGAAACAACTCTCAATGTGGCTACTCTATGGGAACCTGCCAATGTATGGCAAAGAGGACTTCTTCATCAAGGAAGACCTTGATAATACGGACGAGGAGACACAATTCAGCATGCATCCCAGATTGCTCCCAAAATTCGTGACCTTGCAGACAGCAAGCTCCATATTATTCATAGGCAAGTCGCTCAATCACATACGGGCCAAGAGGAAAACCTCAATCGCAGGGGCTTCCACTGCACCGGTGACTCTGTATCAGGAGCACATAAAGCAACTTGCGAGTCTACAGTCCCCAATGTCGGCTTCGAAGCTGACTACGGCTGTTGACTGCATTCGCCTCTCGCTTTCTCAATCGACCCTGTCGAAATTATTGCCACTCCCCAAAATTCTGGAAATTCTTGCTTTGCTTCACAACTTCTTGCTGCTGAGACGAGGCGAGTTCGCAGTGGCTTTAGTGGTGCATGCAGACTCAAGAGTCGATGAAAGTCGACGCCGTGGCGCAACAACGGCCAGCGGGGCTTCTGGAAAGCTCGAAGGCCTTACCATCAAAGAAGGAGACGTCACAGCCGCGTTGACTGAAACATGGGCAGAGCTTACTTCTTTGCAAAAGGAAGAAGATCCCACAGATGAAGAGCTTGAACTTGCCCGAGAACTGATCTGTCTCTCTGTTAGCAATGGAAAAGTCGCGCGACCTATGACCCCTGCTCAAAACCCCAAATTTATCTCAGATATCTCGAGCGTCTCGTTCGAAGACCTTCTTTTCCCAATACCGACATATCTCACCGCCCAAATCCGCGCTCCTCTGGATCTATTCATATCCAGCTCCGACATTACTATCTATTCGAAAATCTATTCCTACCTATTAGGGATCAGGCGAGCTCAGATTAGACTTGGCGATCTTTGGAAACGCACTCCGCTGCGCAGAACCCACCCCACTCCTTGGGGGCCGCCAAAGAGCAATAGTCCCTTTGGGCAAGCTAGATTGAAAGCAAGCAGAGAGAGAGAGAACACTCGCATTCGTCAAATGCGTCCTGTCTGGGCCACAGGAAGCGCATGTTTATTTATGCTCTCGGAGATTGGCGGGTTTTTCCAAGGTGACGTCGTCAACGAGTCGTGGCAGCACCTTCAACAATGGATTGAAGGATACTCTTCCGCGCCATCTGCCCCTAGCTCTCGACCTGGAACATCTTCATCCTCAAAACTACAAATGGGTTCAGCCACCAAAGACTCGTTCGAGGGTGGGCAAGAAACGATGGGACGTCACGACCCAGAGGCCCTGACTGTCGCTCACCGTCGGCACTTGTCATCCCTCATTCATTCCCTTCTTCTCAGCGAGATTCCGTTTACCAAAACCCTCCGAGGCCTTCTCGCCAACGTTGATCGTTTTGCTGCACTTGTGATTCGACTGGAAACAATTCAACGCAACATGGATCTCGAGGCAGACGAAGGTGTTGAGGATGCTTTGGTAGACTACGCCTCGGAAGAACGTGAGGTGTGGGAAGAGCTAAGTATCACTCGCAACGACGTCGACACTGGAATCCAAAATCTTGTCACGAGCCTCCGGGACATTGACGATAATCGCTCAGGGGATGACCGGAGACAAATGGACTTTGCTCCAAACTTTGGTCAAATGGGGTCAGGCGGCCGGAATGAACACAACTCCCCGGGCTTCAAACACTATGTGCCCCCCAAATCGGTTGGAGTGGATCGTTTGCTCATGAAATTGGACTTTGGCAGCCTCTGAAGCGGGTTTCGTTCTGATGCTATTTTGGACCCAGGGCATCACGGCTAATACTTCTCATTTTCTTTCTTGTCGCATGGCCTATTTATCTTGATGTTGCTTTTGCATTTTGCTACCTAGCGAAGGATTGGCGTTTTATTCCCAAGGCAACAGGTGAAACGGATCGGTTCAATGGAGTTTGAACAGTTTGCGCAGTGCTTACCACTTCTGTTCTTCTTTCTTATCATACAGAGTGGCTTCAACTAAACTTCTTTTTTTTTTTTAATTCTATTTTTTCATTCGGAATACGAAGAATTCAAATCATTCAGACCGAAGGATGGGGGCGTATGTTGTGACGCAGTTCAAATGTACCCCGTATACGAGCATTGTGTTGCTGACTCTTATTTTTCTTTCTTCTGACGGATCTACCATGCACCTTCTACATCCAGAGATCATGAAAAGACCGGCGACATGGTTGCGAAACGTACATTCTTCTACTCGTACATGACCGAGATCACTGTTGATCTGCTTCGCTGGTACCTGTATAACCTTGGGCCAGGTGAACAACTCTAGAGTGGATGACTGGGTGAAAATGCGGGAGGATGGTCCAGACTGCAGCCGATAGCTCGGGCTCCTTGCGCCACAAAAGAATACGGGGCAGACTACGGAGTAGTCTTGCATATGTGCAGCGGGTCATCCGTCTTCTAACACTTTTCCTTCCCGGCAGGTGGCGGAAGCTTGATACTGGACTTTGAGTTCTGAACTCAGCAATACGGTGCTCACAAGCACTCCGAATTGTTGCGATAAAAAGAAATCATTAACAAAAAGAAACAAATGTTTTAGTATTAAGCTGCCCCTTGGAGAGTGGAGTCGGTGTGAGAAAAAGGATTACCCGATTAGGACATCCCGAGCTTCGATGTATGTGAATCGATTAAGCTTAGATGGCCCATTCCTACTAAAAATAAGATCGAATAAAAAGAATATTAGCTTGGGATTGGATCAGCTGCGTGCCCATGGGGTCGAAGTGGATTCCAGGTGGAACTCGGGCGTCCAGCGAAGACCGGGACACCGAGAAGGGAGAAGACAAGCGTACGGAGTATCAACTGACCTCTTGTTCGGATCTTTTTCTTCTTCTGTGGTACAGTGAGATACAAGTTACTTGGCAAGTTCCAACAATGGAAGCAATACGAGCAGATTTTGCCCTTCCAACTGGCAATGCCGAGAATCCCATTGGTGCCGGCATTCCGCGTCTGCACGGGCAGCTTCGATTGTACGGGATCTTCTGACATCTCCCTAGCGATACTACATCCCTCGCCCCGGAGCGGGATGATTGATCGACATGAACATCGGGTTCAATGTTCCGTACACCAATCAGGTCCCATTCAGCCCAGCTCTGATATTCACCTGTGCATACCGTGATTGGCCTTATATGGAGCATTCGATCGAAGCTCTGATCGAAGGATTGCCAAGGGTCACGATGTTCCAGCTAGATGATGCAAGCCCCTTCCCCCGGCATACTTACAAAGCTGGCTAATCAGAGCTCCAGTGGCAAGTGTGGAATTAGTTACCGTGGATGCTCTCGGGCAATGGATGTGCCTGGATCGAGCTGGATCATGGCGAAAAGCAGCTGGAGTGAATCCACCAGGTCACACGCATACCTGTTATTGATGATCCTGCTGACTTCTTATGCAAGATGGGATTTTGCTCGGAAACCCCTCTAGGGAAGTACCGTTCTAGCTCCTCAGAGGTATAAATAAATCTGTAGCTCGTAAAGCCTGGAATAAATCATCGTGGAACTCATTTCATTGTATCGCATCTTTTCCGATCTCAGGTCTATTGACTACTAATATCATATCCTAAGGATATTTCCTCGTTCCTGAAGTCTTTTTCTTTCATTCCATATACCCCACTCTTGCTGAAGTCTCAGTCATGTCTTTTACACGAATGTTGGCTCCTGCGCGCATTCGGCTGGCTAATGCTACAAATACCGTGCCTCGAATTATTTCATCTTCATCTCGGCTTTACTCTAATTCAAAGAGCTCATTCAACCCACAAGACATCCACAATGTCTCCCATAGCCCGGAGCACATCCAGACAAAGCTTCCAGAAACGAAGCTTCTGAAAAACCACCACCGATTTAGCGAGTTTGATCTTGAAGGCCGGGTGTACGCCATCACTGGCGGCGGCGGAGGTCTGGGACTATCAATGGCGGAGGCATTGATCGAGGCCGGGGCGAAAGGTATATCCAAGACATTCTGTCCATGCTCGAAGCGAACATATACTGACACAAGACCGAATCTAGTATACTGTTTGGACCGTCTTGAAACTCCACACCCAGACTTCTCGGTTGCCAAAGAGAAAGCCGAGAACGAATATGGTGGTAGTCTGGAATACATTCGCATCGACGTCCGCAACGTCACCGAGGTCAACAATGTCTTTTCAGCAATTGCCGCGCAGCATGAACGACTGGATGGCCTGATCGCCGCGGCCGGAATCAATCATCTCCAGAGTGCTCTCGAGCACTCCCAGCAAGCATTGGATGATGTGATGACCATCAACTTCAATGGGGTATTCAATTCGGCAACCGCTGCCGCCCGCCAGATGTTCAACTATCAGCAGAAGGGCTCGATTCTGTTGGTGGCTAGTATGAGCGGTCTCATTGCAAACAAGGGTATGACCTCGCCAGTCTATAACTCGTCAAAAGCGGCTGTGATCCAGCTTGGTCGCTCACTTGCCATGGAATGGGGCCGTCATGGAATCCGTGTCAACAGCTTGTGCCCCGGTCACATCATCACCCCCATGGTCGACAAGGTGTTCCAGCAGAACCCTGCTGCTCGAGCCACCTGGGAGGCTGAGAATATGCTTGGTCGCCTGGCCTTGCCTGAAGAGTTTCGTGGAACAGCGCTATTTTGTCTTTCTGATGCTAGCAGTTTCATGACTGGGAGCACGCTGCTCATTGATGGTGGTCACACTGCCTGGTGAAGTTTTCTAAATATTTCAATGTCCGTGGATGTTAGCTGAGCCAGGATGAATATATTTTCGGTCTCTGGATTTATTTGTGCATATACCCATGGAGTGTTTGCCTCCAGCACTCCCAAATATATTAGGATGTGAACAAACTTGGGACAGTCGGTCCAATTAAAGTGGACTTCTAATCGTGGCATGCGTGTATGCTGTATGTGTTGGCATCAACCTTGGAAAGACACGCTGTCAAACCACCCCTGCAAGCCTTGGAAGTACCCAGGCGGCTTGAGCTGGATATTGTGTTAGCGCCCATGGTGCAAAAGCACCCAAATTGTTCTGGGTCAATTTTAGGGACAACACAATATCAGACAATATGTAGATCAACATAAAGGTACTAGAGGCTGAAAGAAATTAAGTCCTGGAGGTCACTGCCAACATCCATAGTTTACAGAGAACATCTCGGGATGGTTTACAAAGGTAAACAGCGGCCAAAAACAATGATGCCTAGATGCCTGGATGCCTGACTTCTTGCAGAAAACAGACAGGAAATATACTCCGGAAGCGCCTTTAATTTTCCAGTTGTTTGCTACACGTGAAGTACGAAGAGTACCAATCTAAAGGATTAAAGGCTGCACCTATAGCCTTTCCCATATATCTGTCCTAGTTTCGCTTTGGACATATCCCCATCTCCCGTTCTTTCCAACTTTCTCAACATCCATGAATATCTTTCCCACACTGACATTCACCTGGGCCCTTGAGCAGAAAATTTGTTGGTTTGCTGAAGAAATTGAGGAGATCACCAGATTCAACTCTTGAAAAAGGCAAGATCTGTCTAGCTTTTGCAGGAACATCATGGAGGACGGTGTACGGGAATGGTGAGTTCCGACTGATACTGTTCAACGCGTGTCATACTCTTGGATAAAGGTACCACAGGCTCGACTCGCGGGTAGTTGACCTTGTCGGAGATTTTGCTGGCAGTGAGCTTTTCATCATCGAGGGCGACTCACTCCTACTGCACTGCTTTGCGGACCCCAAACTTGACTTCAACCCAGGTCTACAGATGCTACATGCTACGTATCTCGTTGAGCAGGTGATACAGAAACTTAGACAGCGCAAATGTGTCTTTGATATTGTCTTTTTTGCTCAAAATGCGCGATGTTGCATCCCCCCAACGGCCAGCAGCGACCTCCACGAGAGATATCTTCTGGCCCGTGAAACAATCATACAGCATCTTGTTTCCATTGGAGATCAAGTCTCGCTGCCATTGCAAGTTCTCAAATTTCAGAGCATTCGGTCTGAGGCCTTCACTACCCACTTGAGCAAGTCTGGGGTGTAATTTATCATGTGCCACGATGGGGCCTTTGCTGGAATGGCAGGGGGCAGTGGTATCACTAGCGACGCAGAGAGCGAGGCACAAAGTGATACCGACACCGAATCCGATGAAAACCAAACAAAATGCGACCAAGACGAAACCTGCGTACCTTCGCATGCGAATAACTCAAAGTTCCAACTCCGCGCCATGATTTATTGGTTCTCTGCCCGTGGATGCAACACTGCATTGATGAACAGCATGGAGCTGCGTGACACCAAGGTATGTTCTATCTCAATACAATCGCCCCTGTGGTTATGAGAGTTGCTAAAATTTGAAAGGTCATGATCATGGTGATCGAGGGCTCTGCCAGGCGCACTACGAATCGCATTCTACCGGACCGTTTCGATACAAACATTAATGCCCAAAGCGAGAACCGGTTAAATGGGGGCTTTGAACTTCACATTGTGAATGAATCCCTCGCTAGGTTCAAGCTAAACTCGAACCCAAGACGCGCTGCAGATACCATAATCGACCCCAACGACATTGTGCTGAGCCAGGAACACATCAACGAGCTTTTGCAACGGGTCATGGAAGATCAGAATTCAATGACACAACGTCAATGTCTTGTGATTACCACACTGAGCGTCATGCTCTCAGACCTTATTGAGAAAAGCCCTGAGAACAAGACAGAAGCACAGGCCATGATATTGCATCTTGTACTTCTACAAAAAACTCAGCTGTCTGATCGGGGCATGAGACCCCAGAAGGATCGAAGTTCCCAATTCTTTGAAGTGTTTGTGAGTATAGCAAGGGCTGTCCTCACATCCACCTGTTGGACAGACATCATGACAAAAAATGGTTCAAGTTGTGATATTTCCGATTGTCTCGATGGAAATGTGTTCTTCGCAGCCCATGCGATGCTGAGAGCGTATGGTTTGAAAAACGTGCTCTGCCCAGCCACATTGCCGTCTTTCAACACCATCGCGTCTTGTGTGGACAAGATTTGTGGAACGAGTCTGCAGTGCAAAACCGTGAAAAATGAAGTCACCTCCAGAAAAGCCCCAACAGGCAATCCGAAGAAAGCAAAGAAAAGCAAAACAGAGCAAAAGAAGAGCCCTTCAAGTCAAGCACTTGGTACTGTTCTGCCATTCTCCAACTCAGTATTCGATGATCATCTCAAGCCTGTGCACCTCGAAGTTGGCGAGTCTACTGAACCAAAAAACAACCAAAAAGCACCAAAAGAGTTCATAGAAGAAAAGCATTGGCATAATTTTAAGCCACTTGAAGAGAAGGGAAGAACCGTGTTGACACCAAAAGAACAGCAACGTTATCGAAAAAGGAACCAGTTCTTCATGTCAGAGATGGAGAATTATGCAGCGAGTTTCGCAGGTTCTACAGGGTCTACTTCCCCGGAAATCATCTTGACTGGTGCTCCCCTTAAGTCGAATCAAAGTGTTCGCACAAAGCCTCATCAAAAGTCTACTCCAAACAACAATCGGTCTAGCGGCGAGGCGATGAATGGTCTAAACAAAAAGAAAAATGCCCAAAACAAATCTGGAAATCCGGACGTCAGAGCCCTTGCGGCTGCTTCAATTCAACAGAAGGCAACAGAAGCAGCACAGAGGCAGAAACAGAAGTGGAAAGCAGTGTACCAAGAGCAATTTGCGTGCATTGCTGACCTTGAGATTCGGTTTACCAAGCTCAACCATTACCTCTCAACGATGTCAAAGGAAATAAGATGTGTGCTAGAGCCTGATGCTCTGTTGTGTCTTATTCATACCTTGGTGCAGTTGATTTTCATCGAACGCCAAAGTATAGACGAAAACAGACATCTTTTCATCGTGACGCGCATCTGGGAAATCATTTCTCGCCTGATCAAGATAAAGGAAGGAATTTCTACTGATATGTTGCATTATGTCAATAAAGTATGTCAGATGCTCGGGTTGCCTTCTGTTCAAATCGAGCTTCAATCCAAGGAGCCTTTGTCTTTCAAACCCTTCGAGCCTCCAACGGAATTTAGTATGCGCATCGGGATCTCCCCAGTTGAATTTCAACTTTCACACGGTGGTCATTGCATGGAGCGTACAATTGAAGCTTCGCCTGATCCCCGAACACCTGACTTTGACCCTGATCTCTGGCAGCGAAAAGTTCTGGACCAAATTGATCTCAAAAAGAGTGTTTTCATAGTGGCTCCAACCAGTGCAGGAAAGACGTTCATCTCGTGGGTCTCTTATATTATTTTCAAGCACTTCTACTAACATAACATAGGTTCTATGCAATGAAACAGATCCTGAAAGAGGACGACGAAGGAATCCTTGTTTATGTTGCACCCACCAAAGCTTTGGTCAATCAGATTGCAGCCGAAGTACTTGCCCGGTTTTCCACATCATACCCACCAAAGGCAACCGGAAAGTCAGTCTGGGCCATTCATTCACGAGATTACCGCATCAACGACCCCAAGGGCTGCCAGATTCTAATCACAGTACCGCATATTCTTCAAATAATGTTGCTCGCTCCAACCAACGCCAATGCATGGACCCCTCGGATCAAACGAATAATCTTTGATGAGATTCATTGCATTGGTCAAGCCGAAGATGGTGTTGTCTGGGAGCAGTTGTTACTCCTGTGCCCGTGTCCAATCGTGGCCCTATCAGCCACGGTTGGAAATCCTCAGGACTTTTATGATTGGCTACATCTCACACAAAAAGCCAATGGATTGGATCTGGAGATGATTCAACATCGCCATCGGTACTCGGATTTGAGGAAGTATGAATACCAAACACCGGAGACCTTTTCCTTCAAGGGTTTCTCATCCCCAATTGGGTTACCCCGTTTGGGCTTGGATGAGACGAAGGATATGAGATTCATACACCCTGTCACAAGCCTTGTCGATCGCTCCAAGCCAATGCCCGATGACCTGGATCTTGAGCCCCGTGATTGTTTGATGTTGTGGAAAGCAATGAACAATCTTCAAACGGAGAATTTCCCAATGAAAGCTTCTCTAAACCCCTCAGTCTTTTTCTCGGAGATTGTGATAAAGAAAGCGCACATCATTGAATGGCAGAAACAGCTCAAAACTCTATTGGCAGAGTGGATGAGAGATCAAGACTCTCCATTCGACCAGCTTTTGCTTGATCTGGGAGCACCAACATCGGAATCCATGCCAAAAGAGGCAGAGAAACTATCCAAGGCCCCAATCCAGTCAACTGATGGTGATGCCAGTCTCATCTACGATACGCTTCCTTTGGTGTTCTCGCTGCACTCCCAGGGCGCCCTGCCAGCCTTGTTCTTCAACTACGACCGCAGTAAATGCGAATATCTGGGTCGCAACTTGTTGGAACAACTCCAAGTCTCCGAAGCCGAATGGAAAGCGGAGAGCTCAGTGTGGAAGAAGAAAGTGGAAAAATGGAACGCATGGAAAACTGTCCAAGATGCAATGAAGAAAAAGACTTCAAACAGCACGAAAAAGAAAAGAGCTGGGAACGATGGCGATGACGATGACGATGGACCAGGATCCAGAGGAGATCAAATCAAGGATTCGGCCTCCAAAGAATCCACAGAATTCGAGAGATTCAACCCCGAGCAGCCTTTGGATAACTTCAACCTTGCAGATTCAAGGAAAGTTGGGCCCCAGGAATTCTCCGAACTTGCGAGTGAGTTAAAGGCACGCCTTGTACCCCAATTCTTGATAGACGGCCTGGAGCGCGGTATCGGAGTTCATCACTCTGGGTTGAATCGCAGATATCGCTCTGTTTGCGAGATGCTTTTCCGCAAAGGGTATTTACGTGTCGTTTTTGCCACTGGAACACTGGCTTTGGGTATCAACATGCCTTGCAAGACGGTCGTGTTTTTAGGTGACTCAATCTATCTGACAGCTCTCAATTTCCGACAAGCGGCTGGTCGAGCAGGACGTCGTGGATTTGATCTTCTGGGAAATGTGATCTTCCAGGGTGTTCCATCCTCAAAGGTGCACCGGCTCATCAGGTCAAGACTTCCCGACTTGAGTGGTCATTTCCCAATAACGACAAGTCTTGTTCTACACTTGTTCATCCTCCTCCATGGATCTAAGCAAGCTGGGTCTGCGATCAAGTCTATCAATTCGCTACTATCAAGCCCGCGGATCTACCTAGGAGGTTCGCAGATGAAAGAGACAGTCCTACACCACCTCCGTTTCTCCATTGAATATCTCCGGCAAAACAGTCTCTTGGATATGAAAGGCGTGCCTTTGAACTTTGCAGGCTGTGTCTCGCATCTATACTACACCGAGAACTCCAGCTTCGCTTTCCACGCCCTGCTGAGCTCTGGATATTTGCAACAGCTGTGCAAAGAAATTGTGTCATACCCCAAAAGGACAGTCCTAAATCTCATGCTGGTGATGGCACATCTTTTCAAGCGACTTCCACTGCGACCGGCAGTATTGGAACGGTACCAGACCGTGGAGAAGAAACCGTCCTCAATCGTGGCTCTCCCTCCACTGCCCAGTGGAGCAACGAAAAGTTTGAGGAAACACAACAAGAAGGTGCTTGAGATATACACAGCATATGTCTCTAGCTTTGTGGATCAGCATATTCAAAACCCAGACTGTCATCTTCCGTTCAGTGGAATGAAATGCGGCGGGGACAAGTCTCTCGCTGAACTTGGGTTCCCAAAATTCAACCAAATCTCCCCCAAGATCGTATCCCCATTCTATGCTCTATCAGGAAATGGTGACAAATGTGCTACGATCTCTGATCTCTGCCAAATGATACGGAGTGGAGTGTGGATTGAAGAGTCCGTTATTCCGTACTTGGCTGCATCTCCGAACATCAACGCCTACCTTTACGATTTCTTCAAGCATGGCAATGTTTCACAGCTAGAGAGCGCCAATAGAATTCGCCGTGGAGACATTTGGTTCCTGCTGAATGATTTCTCCTTGGTATTGTCGACGATCAACGCCAGTCTACGCGCGTTTCTTGATCCGACAGGGAAAATGCAGACCGATCAGTCGATATAGTTGGCGGAGGCGACGCCCATGAAAGTCTGATGGAGATGCAAGCCGTTGACAGCCAGGTCGATACAGAGGGTCCCGTGAAGCCCAAGGTTGGAGGAGTCCGCAACAACCAAGGGGGGATGATGCATTCCGCCCCTCCGAAAATGGGTTCTCATCCCCGAAAGAAGGCACCCGTCGATAGCTGGGAAGATGAAATGCTAAGCGAAGATGAGGAGGATGTTGAAAAGACCGAGGACAAATGCGATTCCCGTGAATCAAAAGTCCAGACAAAAGGACGTCGACGGAAGGCCGGATCGGAGAAGAAGCAATTGGAGAAGAAGGTGCCTGCAGACAAGTCCCAGGGGTCTATGATTCTAGTTTCTCGGGCCTTTACAGAGCTCCAAGCAGAGTTTGAGTCCAAGTTCAGGGCAATGTGGGCCTGAGACACGGGAATCCATTCCATATTTTTCGTTGCAATTGGATCATGGTACTTTCCTTTCATAACCATGCTTGCTCTTACGCCTTTTCTATGATTGCCCAAGTATCGGTGCCACTTAAGTCATATGTACTTGTAGCCCGGCTGGATAAACCGGAGTTATTTTACTGTCCACCGTATCAATGTCCTGGGAAGTCCGTGAAGATGAATCAAGGAGGACTGAGCATGGAAATTACGCATGCAGAAAATGTCAAATAGAGCCTTCAATGTTTCAAGGCTTGGGTAACTGTATGACTTGGTGTGGAGTGCGGAGTAGAACCACAATGCTATAGTCATTGCTGGCGGAACCACTAGGCTCAGCTTCTCAGAATTAAGTTTATGCTACTTCTTTCTTTGATTTGATTCTATTGGTGGAGTTTTAGATGCAACGCCCTTTCCATGCTTTAAATGTTGGGGTTTGAGAGTGGCAGGCTCGTGCGAGAAACACATGCAGTCGTGTCCCTTGCAGTGGCATCGTAGATCAAAACTCACATGCAATCTACGTCTCAGTCGAAAACCATTAAACACACCGCCATGTTCCATCATCAAACCATGAGCTATTGTATGTGTAGCTACAGGGGTTATTTTCAGCTAAATCGAAATTCAAGGCAGTGCCAAATGACTCTTAGACCCCAAGTTGCATCACTCTAGTATGCTCGAATGATCTTTCTTGAGACCAAAAATCAAATCGCCTCCTTGATCCTACTTGATCTTTTAATGGCATATGCATTGGGGAGAGCATAAGGGCTTTGCTACTTGGAAGCAGCTGTAGACGACCGAGCACCAATGCACTATGACCTCGACAAGCTGAACGTTGACTTTTACCAACCTTCAAAAATGGGGTTTTTGAAAAAGTAAGGAGTCTTCATGGCTGCTCGTCTCTCCTGTTCTCGTAATGACGCACAGGTAGTGTAGCTTCCAAGGTTGCTTCACCAATAGCTATGCGGAGTCGGCCTGTCGTATCTTCTATAAGAACCGTGCCTTTCCTCGTCTGATGATACTCTTTTCATCACAAAGAAAAAAACGATAGTGCTCAGACCAGATCCTCCAATCGAATTCCAACCAGATCACATTTATTGACACACCACAATCACCATGCTGTTCTCAAAGACCCTTGGACTCCTCCCCTTCGTGGCTATGGCTCTAGCTGGCGCTTCCAAATTCGCCAATACTTGCCAGGACATTGACGGTGAAGGTACTACACTGCATTCACAGTGCCGTGATAGAGAAAATGGCCAGCTGCAATCGACCACATTGGACTTAAACCGATGTCTCAAGAACGACAAGGGCAAGCTCAAGGTAGGCAAACTATACTAGATTTCGCACTTGGCATAGCTAACATTCTACTAGTGCGGAAAGAAGTAAGTGAAGTACTTGAAGTCTAACCAAACGGACAATCTAACTCATCAGTGGCAACTACTCTAGTTCGTGCATCAACTGTGCCATGCGTGGAACCGCCGAGTTTTCCTGCCAGTGCCGCAATTCGGAGGAAGATCATCGCTATGTTCATACTGTCATTGATCTGAGTGAGTTGAAATTTCTTCATGATCTCCTACCCCCACACCGGAACCTCCAGGGCTTGGAACTAACACATGTGCCCTCAAGACAAATGTGTTGCCAACAACCACGGCGACCTTGGTTGCTAGACTGCAAACTGCTCGATTGTGCCGATGGGAGAACATGAGAATACACGGAATTGAAAACGCGCTATGGGGATCAAGAATTATGATGTGACGAAGTTGCCAGGACAAAGTATGACTGGGAGACCTAGAAGGCGAGGAACGATTCAAGCATACTGGTCAACCTTGCAAGTTTGGAACGTGTCTTGTTATATACAATTGCTTCTAAAGTTTGACTAGATGATATAAACAAGTGTCTTCTCACCAGTAGAATGCTCTAAATCATTCCTCCTACCACCGCCCATAAGTTCATCTCGCTCCTCGCCTTCATCCGCAGGACCACCCTGTTCAACAATGGTATAAGTAGTTTCCGCAGCAGCACGGTTCAGTCGCTGCAACATGACCCGCAAGATTACAGCCAGCACCGCAACAACAACCATGAAAAATGAACATGTGGCCATACCACGAACATACCACGGGCCGTCGGACTCGGGGTAAAGTCTTGTTCCAAGGAGCGGTCCACACTGACCAATGATATTGAGAATGGCAATGCTTGCGCCCTTGCCTTCCTTTTCGACTCGATTGTCCATTGACCACGTGATTACAATGGTGATGGCTGAGAAGAAACCGGCTATAGCTGGATACACGCATAGATAGCGGATGAGTGTGTGGAGCCATGGTGGCAGGTGTGAGTGGAAGTGGCCTGTGAGTGCAATGGTTAAATATGAAAGCGACGAAATCAAAGCATGACCGATAAGATACGGGCTCCGAGATCGGCTGCGATCTGAGGCGTATGCAGTGATGAGAACCACGACGAAAGCAAAAAGATAAGGCGGCGCTGAGAGAGCCTGGGCGTGTAATGATGAATAACCCATACTATTGCAAGATGTTAGACGGGGCCTGACTTGATATCTTTTGGGGCACACACTCTTGTAGAATTGTTGGTAAGAAGACCGGCATCGAGCTGAAAGCAACGTTACAGCTGAAGAACATGAACTGAATGATAGTCAGAAAGTTGTGATCATACACAGCGATGGGTAAAGCTTACGGCAGCAAGATAGGCCTTTGGATCAGATGCAATTTTGAGGATTTCGCGCCATTTGAACTGACTGCCACGGGATTGTTGATAATCAACCGTGCTTACCTCCAGTCGTTGCTGAGCCACCATCCTTTGACGACGAGTAAGGAAAGCCGCTTTGCCTGGAGAGTCAGGGATCAAAAACCAAGCGAACACAGCGACAATGACACTCGGAAAGCCCTCAACGAGAAACAGGGTGCGCCATGGCGAGATCGGGCCATCGCTGCTGAACCTAACAATCAAGTAGGCCAAACTGCTTGCAAACGATGTTGCGAGTGGTGCTGCCGAGATGAACAATCCATTGCGGAAAGCCAATTCGTGGCGCTGATAGAACAACGACAAGTAGAACGGAACACCCGGGCCAAAAGCAGCTTCGGTGATACCAAGCAAAGCCCGGAGAATCACCAATCCCTCAAAGGAGGTTGCCAGACACTGGAACGAGGCGATGAGTCCCCATCCACATACACACAGAGATATATAGATGTGCGGGGGCACGACGCGATACAGCAGCGTCATCCATTCAAATAAGATGTAAGTAATGTAAAATGCTGTAAGAAGCCATTCATATTGTGAGGATGAGAGTTGGAGATCATCCTTGAGACCTGCTATCTTCGCATTCCCGATATCTATACCAATGATCAGTAAGCCTTCGAATAGACCGCCTGTTCATGGCGAAAGCCGTACTCACTGGAGCGATCGAGGAAGGAGAGCAAGTAGAGAAGGGCCAAAAACGGAACCAGCCGTCTGTCAAACCTCTTCACTACCTCGCTCTCCTCCTCTGATGTGAATCTCAACGCCGACGCGACATTCGGAAGCTTGCCTTCGAGCTCCTCGCACTCATCATACGCGTTCTCGTTTATGTCTAACGGGTCGCCGACGTCCTGATGGTCTTTGAAGTTTGTTTCCAAGCGCAGTGGAAGGATGGGAGATTTTGCGGGACCGGCTTCCGGGTTCTCTTCCTCCGATCCGTAGGAAACTGGGGTAAAACGCGGATTCGAGGACGTGTTGGAGCTCGTGGAGGACGGGTGACCTGGGGATGGGTGAAGGCCTGCCATGCTGGGGTAAGCACAGCTGAGTCGGTTCAAGTGCGGGGTCTGTGGGACAATCTCTCCATGGGGATCTGAGTTGCTATAGAGCTCCCCCTCGATTCCAAGGTTCGCAGGTGACCGCCTGGCCGTTGATCATCTGCGTCGGATTACGTCAGCGCACGTGGGTAGAAACGCTAGACCAGGAGAGGCCTAGCGTTGAGCTTGGATCTATAGACCCGTGGACTATACTTTAACATCAATGACCCTTTCTACGGGAACAGGACGTGAAGACCGGAATCTCATTTGATTGGCATAATAACAAGATCATCTCATCCCCTGTTTTTTTATTTCCTATTTTTCATCGGTCTTGTTGAAAAGTAATGGCACACAAAAACCTTTCCCCGGTTTTGGACGCATTCCGCAGATGGAGCGTGCGCACGATACAAAACACTTAAGGGCGGTAGGAGTCAACTTCGCGGTTGCGGCCATAATTCTGCGGCGGAACATATCGATCCCAACGGCTGTCCTGGTCCCGGCCTCGGTAAGTCTGTCCATAGTATCCGTAAGGTCGGTAGGGGCTTGGGCTAGGGCTGCCTCGGTCACGAGATTCGCTTCTTCCACGCTCGAACTTGCGCTTGCGGCCGCCAGCGAGCTTGGCTGCGTAAGCCTTGCTAGATGCAATGGTATCTTCAAGTTCACTGATCAGGTAGTGATCCTTGTCAAAGTTCTCGAGGTATCGCAGAAGGTTCTCGGCAGTATCGCGAAGGAAGCGGATGTTCTCGGTTTGCTTGCTGTGGCTTTCCATCACGCGCAGATCGGCATACTCGTTCTTGGCCTTCTTGTAAGTCTCGATGAGCCTCTGAAGGTGGGGAGGCATGGGGGCCTCCGAGCCATCAGGCGGGTCGCTGGTTTCTTCCATCTCATTGTACTCAACGTCCATCTCTTTTTCATCGTCGGCATCGGAGCCTGAAACTGGGATGCGAGCAATTGGGCCTTGTTTGGGACGTTAGATCCGATGCACAAATTATTGCTTGGTCATTAACATACCGCCATCCAAAATACGCTGAGCCGCGATTTGAGCTGCGATGGTAGCCTTGACCTCGCCATCCGATTTGCAGTTCTTGGTTCCGAGGAACTCGGCCATATAGAAATCGAGCAGTCCATAATCTTGCATGGTGTGTCCGTGTTCATAAAGTCGAACAAGAGCAGCATCGTAGACCGTGATTTCGCCATCGTCGGATCTCTGAGATCGTTTGCGGATAGACCTGACCTGGCGCCTCAATCCATGGAAAAAGGCACGACAATTCTCCTTGTCTCCAAGTAGCTCCCGCAGGGGGCCAGTTGGGATCACATCTTTGCTCCACTCAGCAAATAAGCCATCGATCTTGTCAAGAAGACTGCGTGCCATGGCGAACAGACTACTCGGGTGGGGGGCTTAGTAGAGTATAACAACCGCGGTATGTGAGAGGATGTGGGCGAGGAAGTGAATATCAAGTAAATAGCCCAAGAACGCGTCGGAATCTTACCTTTATTTGAAATATGATTAAGATTCAAAACCAGAGAACCCCCAGCGCGTCAAAGCCTTTGCAAGATGTTGGATCTTGCAAGACGAAAGCTGCTGATGGGGAGGATGTGTAAAACACGGGGTAGAGAGGAAGTGAAAAGAAAGAGAGGAGCTCGAGCTGTTCAAAACCGAATGAGCAAGACGCGAAGCCGATAAGGTACCCCGGGGTCGGCACCCCAGAGTAGACCTCCCGGGATACCGCCCACCGACACATAGACCACCGATACTTGACTTGTCTACACCTCAGTTTAGCATGATAGGTGAGCACACCAGATGAAATATAACTTAGAAGCATCGCAGATGAGAGGATTCCCTAGGCAAGTCACGACTGGGAAGGGAAATCGTGTGTTGGTGATTCGCTAATAGTATTAAATCTCATCATAAGGGATCGTCAGTTGCATTGAGCATTATGTCCTATTGTATAAGTATGCGCGGATAACAGGTTCAAGTCTCAGTTTCGCTCCTTGTAAAGCTTGTCCACCTGCTCAATCAGAGAGGAAGGCTTGCTGCCCTGGTTGTCCTGGCCACAGTCTTTCCATTCGTTGTTGTCATGGATGCACCAAACAGTGTCGTCCAGGCGCACTGTGCAGCTGGTTTGAACACCAAGCTGTTCACTCCGAGCAGCGCTCTCACGCAAAAGGGCAATACCGCTTAGGGGTGGACCACCATGTCCTCCGTCGCCTGGGTCATCGTTCTGTTGGCTCGCACATTTGTTCAGGGCATCGAAGTCGATCCCAAATTCCATGGCACATTGGTGCACAAATTCCCTGTCGGGGATCTGGGAGAAATCGTTGATCAAACAATTTGCAAATCCTAGTGAGCGAACAATTGGGGTCCGGGGGTACTGAGGTGGGAGGAGTGATTCATCCTCAGTCGCAGGGAACGGAAGGTTGGCTGCACAGAGCAAGAGCATGTCACCGATGCATTCACCTGGACCGTGCTTGCACTCTATCTCTTCAGTGTTGGGCGAGACACTAGGGATGGATTGTTAGCCAAAGACCCTGGGTGGAGGGTGTCCAGTATGATCTGATATGACAGAGCCTGGTTGAAGGAGTGTTGCTTACCTGGCGATAAAGGAAAGCTTGAATGAAACTTTGTCATGAATTTGCTCCATCGCAGGGAGAACCAGTTTTTGTAAGCAAGCTTTGGCATCTGGACATTTGCTCATGATGTGAGCTTCCAGCGGGATCTTGGTTTGCTCCAGTGTCTTCTGTGCACCTGGGATAGAGAGTCCCAGTCCTTTGTCTTCTGTTACAGCATCGCCAACAGCTCCGGTGAAGCTATCCGGCTGGAGATGGGTGTTGTGATGGCCATCGCATGTGGGTGATGGCTTCAGCAGCAGTAGGTAGTAGCCGACGAGGAAGAGCACGGCGATACCCAGGCGGCGCAAAAAGGTGGCTGTGGTTGGCCGTGTACGTCTTTCGTGTTGATCGATTGAATCCGATCCATCACCAGAGTGGAGAGGTAGTTTCTCCATGATGTTGTTGGAGGTGACGTTTGATAAGATCATGTGGAGCGATGGGGACCCCCCTTGTCATTACATAATAATCCTCAGAGCCTCCAATGAGATCATCTGACTTTTGTTATTACTGTCACGATTATGGTTGGAGTAAACTTGAACACCCGGTTCCCTCCTAAATGCCTAAATAAATGGAGTCAAGTTCTGATCACTCCGGTGTCGGAGACGGCTCTTGTTTCAACCTCACTTGACTTGGCTGCGTGAATGAGCCAAGGTGAGAATGGCGTGCCCGAGCTAGTTACAGATTCAAGAGAAGTGCCAAGAGTCAAGCCATTGCAATAATTCAATGAACTACTCGTAAGAGTAGTCGAGGGAGCTTCGGGACACCTGGGCACGGGGAGCAGGTGACCAAGTCCGGAAAGGTAAGCAAAGGCAAATCTCACCAGGCGTAGGCCAACTTTGGTAGTTTTTGGCTTCCAATGACGGACGTAGGCCGAATCACTCTCGGTGCACACCTGTCCGGCAGATCAGAACTGATTCGCAGAATGTTTCTCTGTCTGGATACGGGTATGTCCGGCCCCATCACCACGCGAGCGCCACGAGTATATCAAACGAGGCGACCGTATCGAGCGAATGATATTGAAGCTGATCGTTGAGCGCGGTGTCTAGGCCAGGGATCCTTGGCCCCCGCCATTCGGTTCCTTGTCGTATAGGGAGCACTCTGACCCTCCACTCGTGCATTTCCAAACGCCTCGCGGCCTCGTGTGTTTCGTTTAATCCTCAGCCAAGAATGGCGTCTAGACTAGGATGGGTTCGGAGACGATCGCGCACTAAGGGCGTGGAGGTCTGTATTAAAGTGGTCGTCTCAAGTACTTTGTAGTTGTCTCGAGTACATATGCCCTGGTAGGGTTACATAGGATATAGGTGTGAAACACCACACACCGCGGCTGGAAATGATTTAGCTCGAGTAGAAGACGCCTAAAGCGGGGGGAGATGAGATTCAGGAATTGTCCATAAAGTTTCAACCTAATGGAAAGACAACTGCCGGGATTTTCAACTTGTCCCGCGCAAAATGAACAGCGTCGCATCGCCTTGTCTCTTCCGATGGTCGCATTTCGTTCTCGCTCATCTTACCCGTTAACTCATTTTCCTTCTTCTCGTCTTGTCTTTGATATCATCATCCCATCTGATATGGGCCTGCTCCACTTCTGACTGTTCTCGTCCCGATCAGCACATAACTCAGTTTAAGCTAAAAAGGTACTCCGTACCTTGGGAATTTAATTATCGTCAGTGATTTTATTAGAGCTCCGGTTGGCCTTTGGGTTTGACCCTTTTCTTTTTCTTTTTCTTTCTCTTCTCGATCTGATCCTGTCTTAAGCAGGGAGCTATACACTCCCATTCTTGAACAACTCTCCCCGGGCATCTAGGGATATTTCCCGCAAAAGCTCATATATAGTCCGCCTCCCCCCCAAATCTCCATTATTTATCTCGGCACGATCAGCGCATACCAAAATTCCAGGGTACGTAAAAAGCTGAGATGGCCAGATGAGCATGATCAGCGTATTTTCTGTTTTCCCCCGCAGCCGGATTATCGCCCTGCAGACCGCGTCACCGAAATGTTCCTTTTACCCTTTATTGCAACCTCACTAACACAGGACCCAGTTGCGACTTTAGCTTAGGCGTTATAGTGGCCCTAGCCTCAAGTCTCCACAATTGAAGGATTTTAAGGATATGTCTATGCCCCGATCCTAAACATTCCAAAGCTTCCACGTCATTGAAAACATAGCGGCTCTGTCCGCAAGGGAGCACCGGCAACCAGACTTGAAGGAATTGAATTCGACTGAACATCCCCAATCACTCACCATGGCGTCTGTCAATTCCGAACCATCAAGGAAGGACGATGATGAGGAACCGGATGTTATACACGACGATGTGATTGAAGATGAGGAGCATGAACATTTCAGCTCGGAGTTGGATGCCGCGCAACAAGAATACCTAGCGCATCATCAACAATTGGAGGATTTCTTATCCCCAATTTCCCTCGATGAGAGTGTGCTGTACCAATTGGCCCGGCGGTTTTCCACAACCTATCGAAACCTGGCCTTAACATCAGGCGAACAGTTCTTACCGACACCTGTCACTCAATTACCTACCGGGCGGGAAACGGGTCGCTATCTCGCGATCGATGTCGGAGGAAGCAATCTCCGGGTTGCATTTATCGAGCTGTTGGGAGATGCCGTGGATTCGGATGTTCGTCCGACAGATGCAACCGAGAGGTCGCACGACACGATCCGAAAGGCACAGCGACAGCGAGTGAAGCGAACCTTAGAGAAGGCATGGCCCATCCAAGAACATTTGAAAATGGATAAAGCGGAAATTCTATTTTCTTGGATTGGTGATTGCATTGCAGAGGTGGTCGCTGAAAGTCTATCCTCGGATGCCACCAAGAAAGACATTCCCGCTGAATTAGACATGGGAATTACATTCAGTTTCCCCATAATGTGAGCTTCATGATGTGCTTTTCTCTTCTCGTTTGATATGCGCTGACCCTACTCCAGGCAAGAGTCACTCGCAGAAGCTACATTGATGCCCATGGGCAAGGGCTTTGCCATCTCATCGAATCTCAATCTTGGAGAAATCCTTTTGAATGGCTACGAAAAACACACAAGGCGACCGGACGATGATGATGAGCCATCTTCAAAACGTCGGAAGCTTTTCGCTCTCCCTAAGTTGAAGATCCAGGCCATCACCAATGACACGGTCGCCACTTTGGCCTCACTTGCATACAAGGTCAAATCCCTGCCAAACAGCCGAGTTGCTATGGGTATTATTGTGGGAACTGGCTGTAATGCAACCATACCGATGAGATTGGACTCATTGCATGAGTCAAAAGCCAGGGGTGTCAACGCAATGGAGCCCACTGCTGTCGAGACAGTTGTCAACACAGAATGGACCATTTCGGGCGCTGCGCCACCACTAAAGGAGCTCAAGGTGACTACAAAATGGGATGAACAGTTGGATAAAGCTTGTGCGCGCCCTGGTTTCCAGCCATTTGAATACATGACTGGCGGTCGCTACATTGGTGAACTAGTTCGCTTGATTTTGTTCGACTATCTGACGACAGTGACTGGAATATCAAGGCGCGCCTTGCCTGCAAACCTCATTCAAGAATATGCCCTGACAACCACTTACATTTCGGACAATGTTGCAAAGGCCCGATCCGACCCTGAGCTCGCCAAGGTCCTCAATGCAACACTCCCTCCCCCGGAGAGCAGCGACTGGCGCTGGAATGCCCGATCAGCCGGAGCGTTCCGCAAAATCGCACGTACAGTGCAGAGGCGATCAGCCGGACTGATTGCCGCTGCAGTCGTCGGCCTATTAGCATGTGCTCGTGAGATCGAACTGAAGGAAGACAGCAACACAAATACACCCGATGTCGTTGCGTCACCCAAAAATGAAGACGGTCCTAGCTACGAGTCAATGGGTGCACTGAATGCCGCGGCTGCGAGTCTGCAGTCTGCTGGCAAGCATGCCGCCCATGAGTATGTCGTCCCAGTCATTGAACCCATCAAGGTCGACTGGCATTCTGGACCCGAGGAGCTGGTCGTGGCATACACTGGTGGCATTATCCAGCACTACCCTCAATTCAAGGAGATGTGCCAGCAGTACATTGATCGCCTGATCATGCGGACAGGCCCACAGCGTGGTGCCAAGTCTGTTTTTCTACGGGAAGCGTCGGATGGCGGTGTCATTGGGGCTGGTGTTTTGGCTGGCATGGTCGTTCGCAAATGAGCATTGTTCTCGGTCTTCAATAAGCTTATGATTTTCAGTTAATTGGGTGGAAGCTATATGAGAGTAGGGTTCGGGTTCAAGGCGTCCGTGGATAATTCCAACTCTTGAATGCAATTTGGGGCTCGTGGCATAGAAATGAACTTCTAACCTAACATGTTACTCCGGACCAAAGCTATCTGAGCTGGATCGAAGTTTACGCAAGTTTTGTCCCTGTGCATGAGTCACACGAATGTGGCCTGGCGTAGTGGGAGAATTATCCCGTCAGAACATGGCACCTTCAGGTTCTGGCTGAACTGTGCGCCCGGAACGCAGGGTTCTGTGATGAGAACGGGCTTTGATGGACATGTTGGAGGGATGTCGATTGCCTCGATCATGGAAGACATGTAAGACATGTGAAAGAAGAACGCCGCGTCAGATTGCGCGGCTCCACTTAAGTCATCGTCATCGGAGAATGGAGAAGGTCCACGAAGGGGGATGCACTTGCTTGCGCATGGATCTCCTACGTGTCAACGTAGTCTCACACAACGCGTTCCAATGCCGCAATCGCCCCCTGTGTCGAGGATTTCCAACGAACAAAATGGTCCGCTTCACCCAAGATACCAAATCAAGACCACAGGGCGTTCAAGACATATAGCTTACACTGTTTCTGCCTCGCATGGCGGCAGGCGACGCAGGTCAATATGCCAGGTCCTATGTTCTCATCTCGAAACGAATTGGTGGTTTTGTGGTTTTGTGCCTTTGCTGTTGATCCAATCCGACCATTTGTTCAAATTAATCGAAACATGTTGTTTCGAACTCCACGCTTCATGGCATTGGGTTTGCCGTCTTCGTATTCGATGCCAGAAGCTCCCCCTTCTCCAGACATTTGTTCAAGTCGTTCACGAAGCTCGGCGTCGGCTTGAGAAACTGTTTTCGCCTTGGAAGGGACGGAGCGGCGCTGGTTGTCATTTTTGGAAGCATCATTGGCCCGTTGATCGTGCTTCTGGGACAGATCAGATTTCGGAATATCTGGGGTCACTACTCCGTACCATGAGCTTTGATCTTTCCTGCAGGTAGCTATATAACTTACCTTGGCTCTTCGATAATTGGGGCGAAGTCATATGCAAGGGCCGCCCGCAAGGAACAAGCCATTGTCGGTGTAATGTATTAGTTCCAATAAGTCGGGATGTGGTGTGTCTGTTTGCCAACATTTTCAATGTTCAAATGCTATGGCTCATTTGTATGAAGATAATCTGGTCGATCTTCCTCTGACGCCATTCACCTTGATGGTCAGTACACGTGATCGGTCACGTGGCGTCGAGCGCCCCCGCGATTTCACGGAGATCCATCAACTTACCCTTATCACTTCCTCTGCTTTTCTTTCAACAGGCTTGCCACTCATAATTTCACGATGGCATCCGTAGCCTATTATGAGCTTTACCGTGGGAGCAGGTATCATACCACTTGAAGCATATCGAAGGTCCTGGAGCTAACTGGAGGAACCACCAGTCTCGGGCTGTCTCTCACCGACACACTCGATGACCTGATCAACGAAGGACGCATCGAGCCGCAGTTGGCCATGAAGATTCTCGGAACCTTTGATAAGGTCGTTACCGAAGTTCTTGCCGACAAGGTTCGGGCGAGACTGACCTTCAAGGTAATAACAGCTTCCCAACTGGGCATTGATTCCAAGGCGGAAAACACATAGTATCTTTGCAAGGCTGACCAGGGTAATCCATTTTACTTTGCAGGGCCACCTCGATACCTACCGATTCTGCGACGAAGTCTGGACTTTCCTGATCAAGGATGTCTCATTCAAGCTGGACAACCAGACCACTGTCTCCGCGGAGAAAGTCAAGATTGTGAGCTGCAACAGCAAGCGACCTGGCGAGGTATGAGCGGCCCTTGGAATGGATAAGGATATAGGCGTTTAATTGTTTTCATCAAATGGTCGCATGGGCGTTCTGGCTGTGCCATCTTTGATTGCGGGAAGAGGCGTTTGCGGTGTCTCCAACTCATATAACTTTTGCATTTGCAATGTCCTCGGTGGCATTAGATACCCAAAAAGAATGAGGTTACTACTCAAAACGTTGTGATTTTGTAGTTGATCTTGGGGGCGCTGCAGGTACGCCGCACTCCGTAAGCGGGATGACCTCACTAGACGCTTATCTTCCGATCTGCACCTCTTCCTTCTTTGGGCTCCGGGGGCTTAACGACCTTTTTTTCTGCTCTTGTCCTTCAGTCAACGAGGGCCTCATCATGCCTAGAACACTACCCTGGCAACGAGTCCCAACCGAGCCAGTCAAAAAAGAGGAAACTCCAAGAAAACGCGTCAAAACTGAGTCTGAGCTCGATCGCGATACTACTCCCAGAAATCCTCTGGGCTCACCAGCAAAGCGCAATTTCTTCAGATCTTGTACGCATTCCCGTACATCAGTTCATGTTCCCTTCCAATCGCTGATCACTTTATACAGCTCAATCCCCACCAACAAGCCCCGCGAAGCAATGTCCTCCGGAAGAGTATGATCGCGACCTCATCCATTGACCCTGGCTCAAAACTAACGCGCGTTAGGTTTCTAATACCAGGGCTTCATCGCGATGACAGATGGGTCATGGTCGAGGACGAGTTTTACGCGGTGGCGCAGACATACACCCAACATCTGCACTATGCGGAGTATGTCAGGCGAAGAAAGGAAGTCAAAGAGAACCATGGGATACCTGCAGAGGATATTGAGAGGCCTACAGACGATCGCACTCCACTTCCGCAAAGAGTCGAAACGCAAAGAGAGCTTAACACTCTCCGGGAGCGACAAACATCCGGGCTCGCACACCTGGTCGAGGAGAGGTCAAACGAAGTTGAGGGAGATGATGATGAATTATGGGTTGGCACACACCTGCATGGCTTTATGTCAAGTCCACGCAAATCGCGCTCTCTGGCCGGTCATCAAATCCCCAAGTCATCTACTCGAGCCGCGGCAGGATTTGGGCAGCTGCCTGTGGCGCGAGCCCGAGTCAACAGCATCGGCAGCTTCACATCGGAAAAGAAGCGCGCTGATGTCGAGACGATCGACCTAGACGAAGAAACGGCATCGGGCTCTGATGACGACCTGGACAATAGGGGTCCCGCGCGCATGGCACCACCGCCCAAAAGAGCTCAGTCCGTGATGCAATCCGGAGGCACACCTCGAGCCCGCTATCAATCAGAGCTACAAGTTACGCCTACGCCAAAGGTCAAGTCATCACCATCCAATGCACGATCCAGCCAAACGCCTGGATTCAAATCTAAAATTCAATCGCTTTTTGATGACCTCGATGACCTACCAGAGACACCTCAGACTAATAATAGATTTCACGCCGAAGAAAACACCAAGACCCTGCGACCCGAGACATGCAAAAGAAACAGTCTAGACCCAAAAAAGCCCGGACACAGCGAAGTGCCTATATTTCTGGGATGAATAACCAATACAGCGACCTTGTATCAGACATAGCGCATCACTGCCAACAATCATATGCCGCGTCTGTTTAATACTCCCAAAATTTCCCTATTTAATCTGACCGGATCTCTTTCATCCCGATCAAATCGTCCGAAGTCTTCTTCTCATCGCGTGATGTCGAACTCGGATTCCACCAGCGAGAGACATTCATGCGCTTGCAGATGCGCTTTGTGATAGCCGCGCGCTCATCCGGCGGACATGACTTTGGACCCTGTCCCTGGTCGACGGCGATAGCGGCGTCATCTCGATCGTTGTTTCGTCCTTCTCCACGGTCGTTATGTGACTGTCTTGTGACGTCAGGGTCCTGTGATTGGGTTGTCAGATCTGATCGCTCTGTCGTATCTTGGTTGGGCGAAAGGACTGACTCGGCATCAGAGAAGCAGGCAGGCAACTCTTCTTTCCGAAAGTTGGTTGGAGGACCCTATTCCGATATGTTGATTAGCAACTTGCTCGATTTTTGTACGATTGCCAGGTCATGCATCACTCACGATTTCAATGACTCTTCCTTTCTCGCGTTTGAAAGGCGCTCTTGCGCACCGGAATATCTGTCGGAAGCATTCCATTTTCAGTCGGTTTTCTTCGAACGGATCTGATGATCAGGTGCGAGCTTTTTATGCACAGCCGCGGTTTGTGGAGGCTTGTAATAGCACCGACCTCACCCGACACTTTCTTAAATGCGAAAAGGGAATCGGAACAGGACAAAGGCGATTTCCTGCGTGAAACAAATTTTGGACAACGAGTGACAATGCAAAAAGAAGGAATAGGGAGGAGAACACCCAAAGAAAGCAAATAATAAATGAAATGGGTACCGATAATCTACACCATGAAGGCGTGTTGAAAGAATGAAAGAAGCAAAGAGGCCGGGCGAGAATTCATATATGAATGTAAGTCAATTTACCCGCAGCTGCAGTATGCATATCAAACTATTCCCGGCGTGTCAAGGATTAACCGATCCACAGTCTCGCCCAGGCTCAACTAGGCGACAGCCGGGCCTTTGGCATGGACAGGACGGACAGAATTTGTGCCATTGGCTACGGATTTAGTCCCCTTCTCAGTCTGTGACACATTCCAATCTGGCAGTTCGCTCCTTCGGCGGCACCTGCGGGGCTTCCCCTGGACGGCTGAGCCACCTGCGATTGGCTACAGGGGATACTCGTTCGAGGTCAAAGGGTTGAAGTACTCATTTAACCTATTCCGGCTACGAATGGGCATACTATTCTTGGTCGATTCGATCTCCGCTGCAAGTACGGAGTGCTGTTTATGGGTCTACCGCCTCGCAGTACCACGATCCCCTGCAAAGCGACGGCTGCAACACGCTAGATGGAGATCGGAATTACACAGCCTGCAGCATGCAGGGAAGAAAATGTTGGTGTTGGAACATGCATACGAGGTATTAGGCACTGGGTCCTCCGTGGAGCTCTGGGGTGGGGGCGCACTAGACCAAAGGGGCAAAAGGAACTACTTGAGGAAGCCACACGAGGATACCTTTCATTCCTCGGGTCCCTTATGAGACGAAAACGTTCTGTATAATGGTTTTAACTTTGCGAACATGATGTATTTCCAAACTCTGCCATGATGATCGACCGCAGATCTAAAAAGTACCCGTTTGACGGGTCGGGAATATGCATCAAGAACCCTGCGAAGCTCGGGGGGAAGACAATCTTTGACCCCCTGTGATTCTGGGGAGAAATCTATTCCATTCCCTTTCATGCAAGCCACTGCAACTAAATTCGAACGCCTCTTTGCCTCGTTCATGTTCCCTTTGTCTCGGAACATGGGCGTTGAATAGAACCCGGCTCCCGGCAACGTAATTTCATGTTGGTATTTGCAGCCCAGGTCGTGGCTCCATCAACGATCCCTTATCCTGTAGCCGTGCCGATCGATCAGGGACACGTCGCTGACAGGGATGATCTCAAGGGTGATCTCAATGCCCTGCACTAAATACGAATTACTTTGTAGGAAGTATGTAGGCGTAGCCAAATTGACAACAGCAAAAATCTCACCATGTCGGAGATCACTCTTCAAGACCATATTTTGAGTGTTGTGGGATTGTTTCGAAAACAATTGAATTCTGTTTGTTTACACCATTACTAGTGATCTGCTACTATTGATCGTTCGAGTGGACTTTTTTCTCATATAGTTGTAACACATGTTCCAGCCTCATTGGCAATTCCGAGATAAAGCGGACGGTTCGACTCCGAAATTATTTACTTTGTCATTCTATAGAATCTCATTCGAAAATTCAATGGAGTCCGAATGAGACCTTGCGGGTGCCTGCGAAGCCCAAGAATGAGTCAGTTGTGTCTCCCTTGCGTCGGAGTAATGCTGAGTCAATAAATTCTAGCGACTTACAGATGTCGCAACAAAACGGTTCATGTTTGGCGCACATGTTTCACATAGGGGCACATTCCGGCTCCCCCAAGATGGTCAGGGGCAGATGGGAAAAAGGTCCCAAATTCAATACTATGGCAACTGAGGTTCATCGTTCGGGTCGTTTGCGGAATTATATTCCCGTCCTGACATTCGCAACAATTGGTCAATGGAATCTGAACCGTACTCGTACATGCACTGCCAAGGTTGTTCAATGGGCCACAGGGATGAAGAATTCGACACTATTGTGTTCGCCCGGGGTACTACGAGCATGTTCTGGGCTGATCGGAAGTAAAAGCAACTTCCTAGGTGAAAACCCGTGCTCTAAGAAGACTATTCCAAGTTTTGAAAATGTGCTTTTTGGTCGAACCCGTAGACACTCATACAAAGACCAAGGTAGCTGCTTTAAAGCCACCCCTGCCACATGCAGTCGCTCGATCGACCTTCAGGGCTGCCAGGCGTGTTTGAGTGGAAACGTATCTTTTCCCTTCGTTGCGAATTACTGTACCTTGCTAATGCTCAAATGGCATCAATGTCTTGGAGCATCCATGATTTCCCCGAAGCCTTCATTGAACTTGAGAATAGCTATTACCGATTTTGCCTACCCTGATATTTCAAAGTTCCACGGCAGATACCTAAATAACATCTCCAACTGCGGGAAGGGGCTGGTCAGCCTCATATATCCTTGGACCTCGGGATGCGGGCAAATCTCGATCAATAACTAGACACAACCGGACGTGAGACTTCTAAAGTTAAAGGGTGTTTCGATACCATCATCTTATTAAGACTTCAGGAATTCAGAGGCTTCTGTTAATCAACAGTATTCAACCTTGGAAAAACTTAAGTAGAAGACAAGCCCTGATATCCTACAGGGTCGTAGGTGGATTCTAACTCGAAGTAGGGAGTTGTGATCAATACAGTCTGGCCTTTTCATCTTCCTGAAGCTCAATTAACTAAGTAATCACTCACCTGCCCAGGTGGGTGGTCCTGGCTATAGAGACATCTACTTAAGTACCGATATTTGATTATGATAAGGACAAAACCTGTAACAAGTTTACAAGATATTGCAACATTCATTCCAACTTTAGAAGGCTTGCTCGGTATTCCCCTTCAACGTTAGAAATTACAAGTTTTTTTCTCGCCAATTTTCAATCCCCATTGTGAGTATTTTCCTAGATAGTTTGCAGGTTGTAGCTTCTTGAGAGAAGTAAACTACTGTTTATCCATATGGGTGCGGATGTATATTTAAAGATCAGGAACCTTGGTCGGCAAACCTACTTAAGTACTTAAGCAGAAGTATAGGTACTACTCAAGTTATTGAGTACACCGCATCCTGACATAAGTTATAGCTCATTCGAATGTTCATTGGAAAGTTTCAATTTTGACCTTGGAAAGCGGCTGGGATACATGTCCACTCCTGGGCAGGATCTAAGAGTCTCGCTTGAGTATCTCGGAAACGATTCACACACTTTCAAGGTTGATAAACACAGAAACTATTTAATTGTCCAGAACAAATCAAGTACAAAATGGCTACATTGGCCGAGATTAAACCTCCTTTTGCAAGTGAGGAACTCCATGCAACAATGGTAGCCCGCAAACCAGCTGGCCATCTTGGCTCAAACGAATCTCTCATGTTTCTACCTCCAAAGCCAAGATGGCCGATGGCAAATCTGCCGCATTCATAACAAAGGTTCTTTGCAGAAGCTGAACGTCTCAGAAATCACACAACTTCAAGATTAAACACGAGTAAATCCGATCATTGAGGTTTTGGTGCACTCTGCGTCATTGGTGGGCGTCAGCGCCTCCTTACCCCCAGTGGTGTACATCTTGCAGTGAGAATGATCCATGATGACGTAGTTGACCGACTTGCACTGTTTGTCCTTGGAACACTGTGCAAGGCACTCATCAACACCAACAGCAAGCTGCTTGTAGAACTTGCCTACTGCAGCTTGTCGCTGGCAATGGGCACGGTAGGTGTAGGCACCGGCAGTGATAGTCTTGCGTCCACCGTAGCCGCAGATCTTCATGGCTTCCTTGCGTCGCTCCCAAACAGGGTCAACAGGGCAGACGGTCTTCTTGCACACACCCAGATCCTTCGAGCACTGAGCAAGCTTGTCCTCAAGCAAGCTCACTTTGTCATCACAGGACTCCTTATCGGACTTACGGCCCTTGAGACAGGCGTCCAGGTCGTCCTGGAGATCGTCCTTGAGGGCTGAGCAGGTTTGAAGGTCTTTGTCACATTTCTTCTTCAAATCTTCGCAGTCACTGGCATCTTCAGCGGGTGTTTCATCCTCGCTTTCTGGAGTGACCGGACGGATGAGGACCGAGCCGGGAACGTCATCTCCAACGTGTTCCGAAGAATAGGTGTTGCAGATGGTGCTTCCATAGAACCAGTCACTTGCTTGACAAGCACTGATTGACTTGCAGTGGAGGGCACATGCGTCAGGCGATTCTTTGGTTGTACTGTCGATCAGGTCCTGAGAATCTCCGGCACTATCGCAAGTGTATGAGATCTCGTAGCCATCATCGAAGGCTTTTCCGTATTTGGGAGGCTTGCAAAGTTCTCGATATTTGTCTCGGGGGGTGGTTTGAGCGCCCACTGCCGTCGAGAGGGCAAGGAAAGCGAGGGCGATGCCTTTCATCTTGGGTTTCTGGTGGACTTTTATTTGGATTTTGAGATGAGTAGCAGAGAATATTAATGAGAATGAAAACTATTTATCGTGCGAGGAAGCAGACGGTATCTATATTCCAAAGTCCATGGCATGGGCGAAGATTGGAGTCTACCCAGCTGGTCTCGAGGTCCACACTCTCTTCATGCAAGCCACATTTTCTATGATGCAGTCCTACAGACTACTGCTCTGTTGGTCATAGAAGTTCTATGATAGAACTTTATCTTCCTCAGCTAGCAATGAGTGTGGATACCACCGAGATGTGATCTGCCTTGCTTGGCCGTCGCATCAGTGGAGCTTTTGAGATCAATAGCCGTAATGTTCTAGCTGAATGTGATCACCCTCACCAAATCGATTTCTACTTATCACAGCAGGTTAATCTTATTGATCAGTCGCTCCAATGACTGACTCCATTTTCAGAATCGCCACCAAGCTCCATCCAGATTACGTATCTTTTGGCAGTCTCATGGATATACATACGACCAGGGATGTTTCATGCAAATCAACTGAGCTGGTTGCATGTGAGGTGTGCAGTGTACAGGCGTCTTAAAGGAGCTGCGGTGTTCTTCTATCCAAAACATGAGGTAATAGGATCAGCTATGGACCTCCTTCCACATGCAGCACTGGAGCTATGTTTGATCGAATCTGTACCTGAACACGAAGAGAAAATGTCTTCGCTCAATTTCACAAATGTTTATGGGTAAGAGAACAGGGATAGTCCAGTCTACAGGTTGCGTAAACGTGCAGAAAGAAACGATCTACATTTATGCTTCCGCGAGGAGAAAGCCCCACCCACAAGCATGTTGGGGTTGATGCCGGCAACTGAAGACTCGGCGCCAATCTCAAGAACTACCTGTAAACCTGTAAGTACTTCATACAGAATGCATGTGAGCAGTGTAGGAAGCTTCCAAGGTTCATTAGCTACATATGTTACACAAAATGCGTGTGTGCCTGAGGTTTGATAATCAGGAATCAATGCCGTAGCCTCTGCAAGGGCCACGGGTTCCCTCCGATCCCAGCAAAACAAGAATCATACTCAAAGCAGGGACACAGAATGACATCTGGCGGTGTGGGATTGATGTCCAGATTTAAGATGAATGGCCATACAGATGTAACGTAGCTACTCCATACTCTGCACTCCGTAGCCCGACTTCAGGAGTGCATAGAGTTTATGCCAGGCATTGGAATGGTCAAGGTAATACCCGGTCGATCCCAACACCTCAAGTCTTCACATCTGAACCTTATGTTGTTCTGTGTAATATGTAACATATATTACCGCGATAGTGTTAGCCCGTGTCACTATCCCATGCAAAAAGTTGTATTTCGATGTAACGTGATGTAAGGCGCCAATCGCCCCATCTATCTAAACCGTACGCTGTAGACGGTAGGGAGTAGTTATTAAGGCAGTAGCTACTCTGTACAAAGTACAGAATATATATGTTCATTTTCACCGTCCTTGATGGAGTTTGGGATTATCCGGGTCTTACCTGTACGTCGTGTCTGCATGTTGAGAAAACCTGGTGGATACTCGGTATTCAGATTTTTTTTTTTGAGACTATTGATCATCTTTGCTTTTTCTGTGTTACACGCCCTCCGAAATATTTATCTACACTACGAGTAAATCTGTACCATAGCATAGCTAACTACTCCTGAAGTCCGTACGAGTAGACAAGCTCGCTCCAAATGTCCATAAGACTAACTTCAAGATACGTTTCCTGTAAGGAAGCGTAGGACAAACGGAATCTATAGATACGGATTACCTAGTTGACCAATTGAAAATCTAATAAATGTCAGACTGTGTACGGAGGAGTTCCGTGAAATGGATACATTGACAAGCGATCTGTACTCCGTACCTAGATGATCAAGGTGATGAGGTGAGTTTGGAATTACTCTTTCAACTTGAGAGTACACCGTACTCCGTATAGAATGATGTGACACCTGTGTACGGAGAAGCACCTGGGAGCACCTCGTAGATTTTAATGGAGTTCTTCGCCCTCGAGGTCGAGGTTGGCTAGGTAGAAAAAGCAATTCAATAAAGACATCACTCCGTGGACATTACCCTTCAATCATTTCTTCTTTCTTCCCATAGAGACCCGATCTGCAAATCTCGCTCAGCGCCACGGCCTTGCATCGAGATAGGGAGAACAAGAGCAAATGAGGGTGTGATTGTACGCATGAAGATCAAAATTTATATACCGCCAATATGTAAGTAAGGTTTCCAAGGTTGATGTAACATCAGATGCACCTATGGAGTATGGAGTAATAAACAAGCACCTGGGCATATAGATGGGTCGATCATCCAATTTGTCATGCATACATGTTGCTTTTTCAGAGACCTCGAGGGTAGCCATGAAGTACGGATAAGTGGAATTGATATCAAAGGGAACGAGGGGTTGGTGCACTAAGCTCAAGTGTGCTTCTGCTACATACGTCTTCGAGAAATTCTGTCACTGCGATACCGCTGGGGTTTCAATGCCTTCTGATGTGGCTATTGGCGACCGACTCCACTGTTCCTGAAGTCAAACAACGAATGAAATAGGTAGAATGTCCAGATATCGGCGTCGAAAGGGATGGGACCCAAAGGTCATTTTCGAGAGTTTCTACTGGGGCTTCACCGAGTTTATAGACGTAGGACTTCAGAAATGCTTCGCATTCTGAGCCAGCGGGTATAAATCCTTGAGATATGTACATACAAGAGACTGCCCACGTCGTGGATCAATTAAATCCTCCTCTTCAGAGCTCTGAAATCGTCCACCAAATTGGTACCTCTAGTTTCTTCCATATTCCGCGATCATCAGCGCCAAATGCAATCTCTTCCGGACTGGCAGGTCGATGATACCACACATTTCCCTTCAACTTATCAGGCGAAGGGTAAACATACATCATGTCGATGCGTGAATGTATAGGAATCACATCATCGGGACCCAGACCGATAGACTCTTCGTTGATGAAATGTGACAAGACAACGCTGGCCCCAGCAGAGGCCCAGAAGCCTTCTCGCCGACGTGAAGATGAAACAAGGCGTAAAGATTCACGACGTGTGTACCAGTCACGACACCTATGGGCGGAGAAATAGATTGGCGGCAAAAGCATGACTTTGGCGCAGAATATTCCAGTCTGGTACTCTGCTTTCAGAAAGAGGGCCGCTAATTTATTGATGCGTTGGAAATTTGGAAGATAGGCATCATATAGCATCTCGTTTTGAGGACTGTTGGCGTAGATAGCCATGAGGTAAATGAACTCGGTCCATATCTCAATGAGTACGAGCGGAGTGAGCTCAGCTGGCGTGAGCTTGCCCGCTGTATCCACGACAAAGTTATTCAAATGACTCTTCCATACAAGCAGCCTTCCCATAACTGTGGTTGGGACACCTTCCTTGGATTCGGCCAGTAACTCGGTCGCGTTTTCAATCAAGGAATTCAATTTCGACATTTTGCCGCAGTGAAGTCTGCGTGGGAAATTTGCCCGAACCACTGTCCCAAGAATGACTAACAGCTCACTTGCAGTTCCTTTTTCTGCATATCCATGGGAGTATGTCTCGCAGGCTTTTGTGAAATTTTGCCAAATAGGAATGTGGACCTGGCCTACACTGGTCTCGCGACTGGAGAATGTCATTCGGTGGAGTTGCAGGTCTTGGAACACGCGCATGAGGATTGGCCCCGACGAATTTCCGTCATAGTCGACCTTTTGCCACTCTAGAAGCAGGCGGTGGCCTGATTCTAGGTGCTTCATTACGGCTTTGACATCTTCTTGGAAGAGGGCAAGTGACACCAATGCCGCACATGTAACAAGGACCGCCTCTCGATGCGCACTACTGGTCACATGCGTATGCACTTTTCTCAGGTTCTCTCGTAGAGAGGCGATGGCTTTGTTACATTGCTGGAGAGGAAAAGAGATGTCACCCTCGGAATTGGGAGATGAGGGATTTGACAAAGAATATGACCTGGGTGTTGATTGGGAAGAAGCATTTACTTCACGCAAGAATAACCAATGGATCGCACTGATCGCAATCGTTGCATGCCGTACGGCGGGTTCCTGCTCGCTGACCCGGTGAATGAGTCGCTGCCAAAACTCATCCACTATATTCCCAGCACATTGACCAGACGTCGCAGCGCGGAATAACTGGAGATAGTGACGCTCGGTAGGCGTCAAACCAGCTTGACTTGGATCGACTAGCCGTCTTGCGATGACATCGACCGGCGCACCTCGCGCTTGGCGCATATCGCGCGTCCGCCGGTCAGGAGTTTCTTTATATTCGCATACTCGACCAACCTTAATACACATCAGACAGGTTGGCCGAGTCTCATCGCACTTTTTGCGGCGGGCCCTTCAGAACGCAATACATCAGCCATTGCTCCAGGGTTCCACCAACGGGTGCTCAGCACCCCTGGACACGTACTTGCATGTCTGACAGCCCGTGCGCACTTTCGGGTGGCTAACCCTTTTCCGCAACTCCATCACCGCTAGATCCATTTCGACCTTCACGAACCGAGAGGTGAATTTAGAGATGCAAGTTCCATCTCCATCGTCACCATTGGTTGTGGGTGGGGACTCACCGCCTACACTTTTGGGGCTTCACGGCTTTTTGACCTCCTTTACTCCAACATTCTCATATCCTCTGCTTCCTATTGAAAGGATTTCTAATATACTGCTGCAGATCTAGCGACAGTGGATTTGAATCGAACTCGAGCATTGCACCCAGCATATTTCACTTTTTTTTCAGCTCCAGCACCCGGGCAAGCGAGCAAGTTGGGGGCCTGAACTAAATGATCGGCTCGATCTAACCCCGACGAGAGAAGCTAAGCTTAGTGACTCATTTAACCTCCGGCTACTCCGGCCCACAGGTTCACAGGCGGTTTGAACTCGAGTAGCAGTGGAAATACGGACCGGGGCGTGGCAAGATCTGGGGTTTGAAAAAAAAAGAAGAAAAAAAGAGTATTATTGTAGGTTGTATTCTAGAATCACGCCACCCCACTATATACTAACGATCCTCGTGAACTGTCTCGTTCTTTAACCTTTGTGCTCTCTCATTCGAAGCATCGCTCGAGTCTGAAACCCCGGATCCGTGGCGTGCCCGGCGCGTATCCTCCACATTTTCAAAGCTCTCGTGGAAGTGGGATGTCCTGCTAGTCACGATATCATCGATTGAGGACGATCCGAGTGAAAGTGAGGAGGGTCGCCGATGGTGCCCTACAGGCCATGACCATTCGGAATCGGTCTCGGGGGTCATTGGCGAAATCGGGTATAGGGAACTTCGTTTGGGGCTGAGCTGTGGAGTCATATTGGGAGCGAAGTAGGAAACGTTGAAAGCAGTCGGGAGTTCGACAGGCGACGAGTCTAAAAAAAGACCATTAGTATTCAGCAGTGCAAGCAGTGCGTCGAACGCATGTGTGGGGTATCATACCGTGCATCTCATACACCTCATCCCCTCCAGCCTCCACTGTCCCGGGGGTGATTGGCGAGACAATAGAATCAGGTATAGTTTGTACAGTTGAAGGCTCTGTTACTGATGAAGGTGCCACCGAAGCATGGGCTACCGATGGCTGCACTGTTGACGGCTGTGTTCTCGATGTTTCGGTTGTCTCCACGCCTGTAGACGTTGAGACTGGGCCTGGTCCAGGAGAAGTCGGACCACCACCATACATCCATTCCGGGGAAGCTTTGTTGTCATCTTCCTTTTCCTTTCCTTTTTCTGCTGCCTTAGCCTGGCGCTGCCTCTGGCGCCGGCGCCAAAGCCAAAATCCTACAAGGAAAGCGATGATGAGCAGACCAAGGACCACACCGATGATTGCACCAGCCCATCCAGGGAATCCGCCCCCTCCATTATCATCATCTTCCTTCGTCGAGGTATCGGTGTTGTAAGGCCAGTAGCTGTCCACTTTTTTGGAGTATTTCTTTCCAAAAACACCGGCTAGGGAGCTGTTTGTCCAAGAGGATGGAGCTGTAGTAGTTGCACCTCCATCGGAGCTTGAGAATGTGTTAGCAGTATTCCAATGGCCCATAAGACATTGGAATGTACTCACTTGCCACCAATCTTGGCAGTAACCAGGTCTGGAACTTTGTAGTCACTCCATTTGGCAGGGTCATATTCACCCTGGAACTTCAGGGTATTGAGATTGAAGTCAACAATGATTCCTCCCTCCAGGCAGTGGCTTTGATCGACATGTAGACCCCCAACTGCAAGCATTTGATCAGGATATATCTTGAGACACCGATGTCCACGGCGACTGTGGGTGCTTGTCCCGCTGTATGCTTTGATCCACTTGAAGGATGGCAAGGACAAGATATACACATCGTCTGAAGGGTTGGCAGACTTCTTGAGACCACCATAGCCCCCATAGATATAGATATTGTGGGATGAACCATCTGCGGCACTTGCAAGAACGGAACAAAACTCTGTCAGCTGTGGAGGTGTATCTCCTGTCGTGTTCTGGAGGTACCAAGTCTTGCTCTCAACATCGTACACAGAGACTGTCTCCATGAAAGTTGGGCTTATCTCCTTGCTCTCGTCTGTTTGTGTGGAGTTCGATTTCTCATTTCCAAGGATACTGCTCGGGTTGATGACTCCGCCTATGGCGACCAAAACCCCAGACTCCGATACAGGCACCCAGACTAGCTCCGCGCTCGAGCGACCAGGAATATAGCTCGGTAGCGTGGTATTGCTCCACTCCCCTTTGCGCATCTCGGACATATCCACGGTGATGAGCGTATCGGCGGTTTTGTTAGCGTCGGCATCATCATAAGTGAAGTCACCCCAATCTGATGCACGCATGCCACTGAAGTAGAAACCTAGATTTTCGCTCGGGGCAGATGCGCCGGCTCCGTTGGTGATGCGTTGCGTGACATTTTCAGAGAGCTCCTCGTTCGTCCAACCAGCAGCCCAAATGCTCTTGTGTGCGCCATACTGATAGGCATTGTATGAGAGAACCCGATCCTCAGAAGGTGGATCGGTACTACTGACTCTGCGCCTCCTGCCTCTGGAGTTATTCCGTAGAGTCAGCAATCTGTCTTACCCAAGACAGTAGAGAAGCACCAACCCATAGAGATAAAATTCGTTGTCATTAGACAGCATCGCACCGCCAACATAGTTTGGTGCGATGTTACTTGCAGCACCGCTGGTGATGGACATATTGCTGAGAGTATTTATGAAATCGGAGCTCGTGTTGAACGGGGTGGAAAGATTGAGGTAATAGAGATTGGCGATCAATGCTGAACCTGTTTAGCTTTGCATGAAATTCCTTCAAATTTAACATACTGTCACCTTCCACATAACCAGGGCAACCATCGTCGTGTCCCCTGAGTTAGTAGTCAGTTAGTCTGAATAGCGGACAATGATGCTTTTCTCATACTGTTGGTACCAAATTCTCCCTCCATCTAAATATAACGTATCGCGCAAGACAGTGGCTATGAATGAAGATCAGCACAAATGGCCCAGTGAGGAGGGCGAGGCATTTTCGCATTTCCGCCAGAAACACGAACGAGTGCGTACCACGAAGCCCCTGCCAGTTGCACATGGAGACATTGACTTGCGTTTGAAAAGTGCTGCATTGTCCTACTACACCGTTCACCACAAGGGCCAGCACTGTCAGAGCCGTCACCAGGAATGGACGCATTTTGAGACCGCCAGACTTGCGACTGTATTCATCACTGAGTGGTTGAAGTGAAAGGTCTTGGAAGGTATGTCGCATTAGCGAGGGCGCAGTCCCAGAAAAACACCACAGCTGCTGACAGGGCCAATTCCGTATGCAACCGGGGGCGAGTCCGAGTCATCAAGGTTCGGGCCAAGCCTGCGGCTTTGTGCTCATCGTGTTGTTGTATTTGCTTTCTTTGTTGTCACTGCCACGGCACGAACGCCCCGTGCGAGTAAGACAGAACCAACGGGGAAGGAGAATACATCCATGACAATAAGTCATCTAGCCTCACCTTACGATCATTACCATAATCAATCAAGGTGCATGGGATTTTTGGAGAATCGATGCAGCTAAGGATAAGCGGAGGGGGGGGTAAAGTGACGATCAGTTGAGGGGTTCTATTGTGCGGCTGAATAGGGCCCGATGAGTTCCCATTCAACAGCCAAGCCCCAAAGACAACCTTGTAAAAAAGACAAAAAGACCCTAAAGAAAGGCCCAAAGAGACCTAGACCAGCTGTAAACGGAACGGGATATGCGGGATACGCGGGATATGCACGATGCTATGACACCGTATTCTCTCGAGGCCCAAGCCATCCACTCGTGGATTTTAAGCCTCGCCCCATTTTCTTTCATCGCCTTTTTAGTCGGACGGATTGGATGTTATGTTCTCGTGGCCCCCCTGAGCTCGATTATCGTTCTTTGTTCGGCTTCCTAGCCTTCTCAAATCTGCAGCTTCTCCTCTGCTGAAGAATTGGAAAAAATAAATATACCAAAATGAGGAACTTAGTCGTTTGGGCATCGCTTTTTGCGACGTCGTGGGCGGCTGTGGGCGTGCCGGCCACAACAAGCTGCACGGAGACTGATAATATAATTCCTCCGGTACCTGCAATAACGAAGGGCCCGGCTCCTGTGGGACCAGCATTGACCGTCACAATCACCGTTGGAGTCACGCTTTGGCTCGGTGATGGGGAGACCTGTACACCAGAAGGAGCTGATACCATCACTCAAACCGTGACCGACACAACTACCAGCACTGTCAATGCCTCACCAAGCCCGGCAGTCACAGTGACAGTCACCGATATCAGTACAAAGACTGTACCCGGTCCTTCAAGCGCCATTCCCACCACTGTCACCGAGACGGTAACAGCTTCGGGAAGTGGCATTACACAGACCGTTACAGTGTCAGGCACGAAGATCACGGAAATCTCAACAAGCACGGTGACAATTGGATCTTCAATTTGTACCGATGTCTCAACAGTAACAGTAAGTGATGGTCCATCGACCGTTACAGAGACATCGGCCGTGCCGACTACCATCAGTGGCCCAGTCATTACTGTCCCTGGGCCTACCGAGACAGAAACAATCTCACCTTCTCCAATCGAGCCAGCTACGAATACTGTGACTCTTCCAGGGTCTACAGTTACGGAAGTATCAACTGCTACACCTAGCGTCCCTGTAACTACTCTCCCAGGCACCACCGAAGTGACAACTATCTCGGAGCCTGGGACTGTGACCACAGTAACAGATGTTTCGACAGCTACAGAAACCTTGCCTGGAACCACCCTTCCAGGCACAACCGTTGTGACTACTGCTCCCGGGAATGCAGTCACTGATGTTTCAACCGCTACTGTCAGCGCTCCTGTGACAACTCTTCCAGGCACTACTGTTGTGACGACTGTCCCTGGATCCGGGTCTGTGACTACCATTCCAGGGGAGACTGTAACCCTCCCAGGAACGACAGTGCCAGACACAAGTGTAGTGACCAGTGTCTCTATTTCTGAGTCTGTTACGACTATACCCGGAACCACTGTAATCATTCCAGGAATAACACTTCCTGGAACCACTGTTGTCACAACCGTTCCTGGATCTGACTCTATAACCACGGTTACTCTTCCAGCATCGACACTTCCCGGCACCACTGTGGTGACCACTCTCCCAGGGTCAACTGTCACTCTTCCAGGAACGACACTTCCAGGGTCAACAATCGTGACAACAAGGACAGTTTCCCTTCCCGGCTCTGTGACTACTTTGCCGGCATCGACAATCACGAGTGTCATTACCGTGTCTGCTACCACACTCACCTTAGAAGATACTACAAGCACTATACCGGCTTCAACAATCACCACAACATTCACTGAGCCGGGGAGCACAGTTGTCGTTGGTGGATCAAGCACAGTAATTGAGACAATCACTATCCCAGGTAAGCTGCAATAACATTCCAAGGACGATAGAGCAAGACGCAAGTTAACACCATCAGGTTCTCAAACGACCGAAACAATTTCCTCTACCAGTACCGCCATAGTGACTGAGAGTTCCGGTAGCAGTACCACCATCTCTGTCTCTGTTTGCTCCAGCCTGATCACCAACCCAACCTATACTCCCGCCACCGCTTTGCCGAGGGACTATACTTGGGGTTGCCCACCGGGTTATCTCTGCAAGCCGCCTCATACCGGTGATCGCTCAAACTGTAATATTGAGGCCGGCCTTCCTGATGTTGGATATATCTGTTCACCCTCAGATTGCATTCCCTCCCCGCCACCTGTGATGAGCAACATAAGCGGTTATAACGTCTCGAAGAACTATTACAACCTCAACCCAATTGACTTTGGCTTGAATTACTCCATCTTCCAGTTCCCAGATGATTCAGCCATGGATACTTACAAACGTGGCATTTCTCTACGGGACTTGATCGCCGGCCGAAAGGCCAAGCGAGTGGACATCACAAAACTCCCTCCCATTTGTTGGGATGATTGTGGTGACGCAGCAAGAGAGCCGATGGAGAATGGAAAGACTGCAGAGCTATGCAAGAGTGATTCTGTATTCAAGCAAAATCTCGAGAATTGTGAGAATTGTGTGACGAACAATGGCGATTCCGACTCCGGCTCGGAAGCCTACTCATCCCGACTGTTGCCAACGTTTGCCCAATGGTTGAACTTCTGCTCTGATATGCCCACGAGTACCACAACCAGCAAGGCTTCGACTACCACAGAGTCTCGTGTCACAACGACGACCACATCCAGAGATGTTGAAACCACTCCTACTAGCACCGACACAACAAGGGCTACAATCACGAGTACTGAAGAGACAAGCACAACCAAAGCGACAGCGACAGCAACAACCACGGCGAGATCTGAAACTGAAACTCATGCCGAATCTTCTGTTTCTACCGTACCCGAATCCACCGATGGGGTCAAAACAAGCAGTTCAACCGGGGAGTCTTCGAGCTCACCGGAAGCAGCTCATTACAGTAGCTCGTCTACTATCTCGGTGCCTGGCTTGATTGTGACCACATCGGTTTCCGGATCTCTCATAACAACCTCTCTACCAGGTTCAGTTGTGACCAGCGTCTTTTCATCGTCAGCCTCTGACTCACCCATAACAACCTCCGTGCCGGCATCCGTGGTGACAACTTCGGTCTCTGGTTCGCTCGTGACAACTTCTGTGTCAGGAACACTTATGACTTCCTCAGTGTCTGGCTCGTTCGTGACTACCTCTATACCTGGTTCGATCGCTACCATTCATGGCACTTCCAGTGCAGATGATGGCGGTGAAAATGCCTCCTCAACGTCAACTCGTGGTACCGGTGACGGCTCATCGGATACACTGGGTGGAAGTCGCACTGCGTCAGCAGGACCTTCTTCTTCATCTCCGGCCTTTAACATGGCAATTTCCATGAGCGCTCCTCACTTGGGTGCTTTATCCTTGTGTTGGGCTGCTGTTGCCGCGCTTTTCTAGAATATAATTGTTTGGAGGATAGCTTAATACTACCATGCAACGGTTTTTCGGGTTTCAGTTGTTCCAAGTTTAAATAATGGCAATGAATATGTTGGTTTTCTTGAAGATTGTCGATTTTGCGGTGAGCTAGCACTTGAGCTTGGTTTCCTGGTCCCTCCGTGCGGTCGATCAATGTAGTAGCGCTAATTCCCGAAATTGGGACATCGAAATCAAATGATCGGTGCATAGCAGGAATTGAGACTTCAGCCTTGGCTCTTAATGGCCGTTGTGAGACATGGACTCATATAATATGCCTGCTACCCGGGTGTTGTGCGGAACCTGGAGACATTTGGTAGCGAAGATGTTGAGCGGGAATGTTGTTGCAGCCTTGGAAGTTTGATAGCATATTCATTTACCCAGAGAACACACAATTAGAATGCTCCAAAGCATTTGACTATGTACCATGCTGGGAAGATAAATACAAGTAATTCAAATGCAGCGTTCCCAAGAGGAAATATGTCTGGTCCGGCTTTATAGCTGTGTCATCAGGTTGACCTCATCATCGATTATGTATGTCGCATCCTTCTTATATCATGTCGCAAATCGGGTAAAAGGCAATTTAAAACTGGGCGCAGGTCTAAGAGAGCTGTTAGCATTGTGTATAGATTTCAAGGGAGACACAATGTGGTCATGGCACTTACACCATTGGATGAACAAGTAAGCCCCTCGCAGCAGCATCCTGCGCCAGCACAGCTATCAGAGGTGCATGACATGGTTTCCTTGGTTGTATTAGCAGCCATCCAGGCCCCGAAAATTTTTAAATTTGGAAGTCTCGGGTGGACTCACAGATTGGCATGAAATTGCGGCCTCGGGGCGTGCTTCTGGGAGTGCGACGGTGAGGGTGGCGAGGAAGCCAAGGATGATAACGGAGGCACGCATGTTGGAATGATTCGATTTGGCAAAGTATATAGAAACGGGGTATCTAAAGGACAAAGGCAGTTGTTAGCGACCAAGTTGAACAAGAAGGGTTGAATGCTGACTCGGCAAGAGTGCAGCAACATGAAGCTTGGGCATTTGGCCAAACGCAAGGGCAGAAAACCGGTGTAGAAGAAACGAACCTCAGGCGATAAGAGCAGAAATGACAAGAAGTTGAAGCAAAATTGCAGAATTGGACAATGGGGTATCTTGGTATCAGAATCAGAAATGCAGAATCACTCGCATATCAGGGCCCCATCGCAGGTCTTATAGCTTCCCAGTCATGGCTTGGTGGAGTACCGCAATGACATAAACGACGCCCCAGCGCGAGGGCCCATCGTAGCATCCATTGCCTCGCCTGAAACAGGGCCGGAGGATCTACAGGGGCGACGTGGATGAACTCGCACTGATTGGGTGGAAGATGGATATTTGTGGGCATGCCCTATAGCGGGGTTAACTCGCGTCGAATGCGTACAATCTCCCAGTATGTACGAGGTTGCTTCGTTCTACCCCATAGTTAGCTCCCTGTAGTTAGCTGGAAAATCAAGCTTGGGGGCTATATCGATTTTGCGTCAGGGGCCGAACCAAGCTTGAAGCTGTGCAACGCGACCTGATGGTGTGAGACGTCACCCTTCGGTATAGCCCGTTGTCATTGTGTCACCGGGATACAGTCTGCAAGGCCGTTCGAGGGACAAGCAGCGCCCTAGCCGTGATCCAGCTACGGAGCATGTGTATGGAGTACGCGACGCGGCGACGCCAAGCTCTTGGCATTGAGGATTGAAGAGCACGGTCCAGGACGGTGTACATAGTGGCTTGGCAGTGACAGAGCTTGCGTGGTCTGAGTGCGGAAAAGATATGCTGTGGGTCTCTGTGAAGGGGTTCAAGGGAGAGTTTTGAGTGGATGAAGAGAGAAGCGAGGTGAGATTGATATCGCGAATTACTTGGAAGACGCGGACATGGAGCGCGAAAATTTCGATCGCCCTAATTGAGAACACCTCAGGGGGCATTGGTTCATTTCGTTGTTCAACGTGGTCAATCCGAGCGTTCTAAATAAAGAAACATGAAGATCAGAGTGCTGTTCTCACGATAAACAGTACTGACAAGAATACGGAGCGAAGTGCAGGGTAGGTATGAAAATCATTGACTACGCTTCTAGTGCCTTGAGCTAAACTTGAGATAAACTGCTAGCCAGCAGCAGTATCCAAGACAGGGCTTTGGTCATACTTCTCCCCAAGGCCCTTCAAAACAATCTTCACCAAGCCTCTCAAGGTACCCGCTCGGTTGATCTCCACCGTGGGAATCTCCACTCCCAGCGACCTGCGCAGCCAGTTTCGAACTTCAATTGCCATCAGAGAGTCCACGGCAATTTCTGCCATAGCCTCAATATAGCTGGTGTCGTCAGAATTATCCTGGGATGGGTCTTGAGTCTGCCCCGTGAGATTCAGACTCACGAAGCGACCGAGTTCCTTGATCAGTGCGATTTCAGTTTCCTGTTTCCCTGTAAGCGAGGGATCACGCTGGATTTCAGCTAGCAGGGCCTTTAGCGCGTTGACTTGACTCGATTTGTCTCCCCCAATCGCCCCGCCGGTAGATTCAAGGTTGGGATAAATGGCAAATCGAGCATCCCGTCCCCCCAAGAATATTTCCTTGGGGAGATCGGAACGGCGTTTGGTGTGCGCAAGTCCGACGGCTATCGACCCTGAGGCACTAGCAGAGTTGGGTGGTGATATGTTGATAGCTGCTGCTAGTGCATCGACAACTTCACTCTCATTAAGCACATGTAGTGCGATTGACTGTACCCTTTGGAGGAAGCGGGCATTGCGACTAGCAACGCCCACATCTCCAACGACTCCAAGGTGCAAGACGGAGGAAGGCAGACCTCTTTGCCGCCGATATCGTGTAAGAGCTTCAAGATATGTCGTCGCGGCCGCATAATTTGCCTGCCCAGTGTTACCGCACACACCAGCTATGGATCCAAACACGACGAAGAAGTCAAGAGAGTCCTGCTCCGTAGCACAGTGCAGGTTCCAGGTGCCGATAAGTTTCGGGGCGATTGCAGCTTCCCACTCTTCATAGCTCATCTGCAAGAAGAGGCGATCCTAAGGCAACAGTAAGCGTGGCTTGGATAACAAAACATTGAAACAACAAGAAACAGCACTCAACTTACCTTGAGATCAATTGCCATTTGTAGCACTCCAGCTAGAGGACGAGTTCGTCTATCGACCGCCGCTTCCACGTCCTTTCTGTTGGTGACATCGCCTGCTGCGCAGATGACATGACAGCCTTGCGTCTCCAGCTCATGAACGAACTTCTGATCATCGTTCGATATTCCAGCTGACCGGGATAAAAACACAATCTCTCCAGCGCCCTGTTCAACTAACCATGATGCCACATATCGGCCAATACCACCCAGTCCACCGACTAGCAAGTAACTCGCATCGGCTCGGAAGGATGGGAACTTTTTGACAACAGGGAGAGGCAAAGTTTCAGAGTTGGTGGGCAGGTGGACAAGGATCTTACCCATATGGGTACCGGCTTGCATATACCTGAATGCACTGACAATATCCACCGCTTCGAATACTTTGACAGGATGAATAGGACCGATCGAACCTCGATGATACCAGTCCGAGAATAATGTCAACATGCTGCCAATTGTAAGCGTGAAAGTGTATACAGAGTGCGACCTGGGACAAACCTCTTAAGAGATTCAGGCGCTTCTTTGCCAACTTGTGCAAGGTCAACACCAATAAATGCGCGATTACATTCAAATGTGCTCATGTCAAGAACACCATGGCTGATGAAGTCCCTCTTGCCCAGCTCAATCATTCGTCCGAATTTGGCCACACACTGCCATGATGCATGGAGAAGATTACCAGAAAGTGAGTTAAGAACGATATCCACGCCCTGACCTGCGGTTGCGTGCATCAGGTCCGCTTGGAAAGAAGTGTTGCGAGAGTTGTAAATACGGTCTCGTGCCAAGCCATAAGTCTCCATCAGGTAGCTCACTTTCACATCGTTACCAACAGTGGCATATATCTCACAGGATGTTAGCTGGAATACAAGTTTGACCAAGCGCTATGAGAGCTTACCTCAGCACCAACGGCCTGGCATACTTGAACGGCGGCGAGACCAACACCGCCACATGCAGAATGGATCAGGACGGACTGGCCATTGTTAATCATCGTCGAAATCAAAAAGATCAATATCTCATACCTGGCCCTTTTTGAGGCAGCCCACTTCTAAGAGTGAGTACATCACAGTGACATATGCTGTCAGCATCGTTGCGGCATCAGCCATAGACAGGCTCTCTGGAAGGTGGATGCAAGTGTCTTGCGGCACTATAACCTTCGATCCCAACGCCCCGGGATGCATCAGTACAACACGATCACCGACGCTGAAGCCTTCCACTTCAGGTCCGACTCGAAGAATGCTTCCACTACCTTCGAGACCGAGGTCTTCCTTGCTCCCGAAAAAGCCCATGGAAACCATCATATCCTAATTATTTCCTGGTTAGCGGATAGATAGAATCAACTTGAAGCGATAGATTACCTTGAAATTCAAGCCGACATATTCCATCTGGACTTCCACGTGCCCTGCAGCTAGCTCAAATTGCTCCTTTTGAATCCACTGGAGTGTGTCAAGTAATCCATATGCCGTAAGATCGAGCTTCCGAGGTGCATTCGGGATAGGCGGGCTGGCAAGCTCTTCCATCAGTGGCGTCCAGTGGCACCGGCCAATTTTTGTTTCCCCTCCATCAAGCACAAATTCATACTCCGGGTCTGGAAGAGACTGTGCTCTCGAAATTTGAATTTTCTCGCAGACCTGTGCCACTGCATTTGCGTTGCAACCATCCCACGAAGGGACTTCAAGGACAGAAAAGTCAAGTAGCAACTCTGCCCTTAGGGTGCGAGCAAAGCCATGGACTAATCCATGTAGCGGCATCGAACAACTGAGAGTTGTTGATTCGGTCACCCAGAGAATCTGGCACTCCCCCGCTTTTTCTACATAACTTTGAAGCAAAGGATATGTATCTTCAAGTTTATTGAGCGTGGGACCACATTCCGAATCCAATAGACAGATTATGAATTTGCCTTTGGGTGGTTCTTCGTGCAGAGTGGTCAGATTGGTTGTGTATCCGTTGTCGCCGAGTGCCGACTGAACGGCGTTTATCCATTGAGACGGAGTGGCACTTTTTGTAAGTAACCAGATTTCATGGTCGATAGGTGTGTCGCACAAGGGACGTGAGATATAGCTGGCCGCAACATTGTATGGGGGCTCAATATCGTAGGCTGTGACGTCGGCCCCGCTGAATCCTGCTGATTGTAACTCACGATGCCACCTCGCTTGGGAGACCCAAGGCTTGTAGACTCGATCATCATCTTCACCGAGCCACCAGCCTGGAAAGGGTCCCTGATATAAGTCAGTATTGGGTATCCATGCCATGTGTTTGGACCGAGTCTCACCATGGTCAGCTGTGCAACCGATACCTCTATAATTCTGTTAACTAGCTTTCTTGGGCCTCACGGCAATAACATACCAGGACAAATTTCGTGAAGTAAGAACCAGCCTGTGCGTTTAAGAAGGCTGTGAACATGGCAAAGTGATGACTGAAGACTCGGAGTGGCGTGGATGACCTAATTCAACCCTTCAGTAGATGAATATTGTCTGAATGAAGAGAATACTGACATTAGAGGCAATCACCAAGTCGAAGCTGTGAGCATCGAACCCTTGTTCCATCGGGTCTAAGGTTATGTCGAGAACTCTATACTCTATGCACTGCTCTTCGGAGAACCTTTCCTTTGCAGCGGCCATAAATCCGGATGAAATATCGGTGAAAACGTACTCTCCATACAGTCGAACTCCGTGTTTTGTTCTTAGATGCTCTAGGACCATCGCTGTCGCAGAACCTGTTCCGGCGCCGATCTCAAGGACACGCATGCCTGGTATCGAATGGGACAGCAATGACAGGAAAGGACTCCAATCTGCATATTGCGTATGCGCACCGTGATAATCGTGCAATAGGTTGTTCTTCATGAGAACTTCTAAAGGTTCACTAGCCCCGGAGACGAAGTCCTTGCAGTTTTCATAGATGGTTTGCATGCAAAGCGCAAGTGGGGCATCAAAGGTAAATTTGCTTTCAGCCAGAATGTCTTTAATCAACATCTGCCTGCTGGCTGAATCCAAGTAAGCCCAATCACTTGCATGTGGATAAATCGGCTTTTGGGCTCTTGTCTTGATGTCGGAAGCGTCAACCAGCATGGAATTCTTCCATTTGATCATGGTGGTTGACGAGGGATCAACACTGCGAATCTGATCTGCTGTCTCCAAAATATAAAGTGTGGATAATTGTCCCAATGCTTTCACGTTTTCTGCGTTTTGGGTATTACCCTGTGGGGTAGACAGAAGCAAAGACGGCGATATCAGATCGATGTCAGGTTTCCACTCAATATGGCTTACCAAGCTGGCTGGTCCACTTCCATAATCCATTTGGTCGCTTTCAAGTGGGAACAAGTAAGCATTTTCTATGTTGAGGACTGTTTGGTCATCAATCATTGCAGTGGTGCTGCCCAATTGGCCGTCTCGAACACTGAGTTGTGTTTGGGCAGTTGCCCTGAGACATGGTCCCCCGGGTTTGACGACCATGTTTTCTATGGCGGCTGGAACATAAATAGAAGTGAGGTGTCTAAGGGATCCCCGGGAACCGGCAATTCCCATCAATTGAAGACATTGATCAATTGCAGCGGGATGTAGTGTATATCTGCTTCCAGGGATTCCACGATTGCCCATGACTGTGGCAGTTGCCCTCGGACCAGTGGGGTCAGCTGTTATATTTTCAAGACCCCGGAATTGAGTACCATACTCTATACCACAGCGTTGAAGAACATGATATACTCCTTCCGATGGAACCAGTCTTGCGTAAGAGCATATTGGTGAAACTTTAGGTGTACGTTCGATGCCAGCTCTGACTTGGCCTTCACAGTGCATCTTCCATCGTTCTCCATCATGAGTCATGATCTTGAACCTATACCAGCCAGATGGAATTCTGTCGGCCACTTCGATCGGACTGAGACTTGTGACCACCTCAATCTGCTCGCCTTCGTGGAACAGTATTGGCATTATCAATGCCACATGACGCACGGAGTAGCCATCCTTGGTCGTTTCAAGCTGCTGGACTGCTTCTCCTGCCATTGCAACAAAGCCGGCACCGGGGAATGTGACTGTCCCCTGAATCACATGGTCCAGAAGCCATGGCACGTCATCTGTTGTGAGGTGGTTGCGCCAAGAAGGATCATCATCAGTTGTTTCAACGACACGAGAACCAAGAATCTCATGGTGTGGATATTTGCGTTGCCTCCAATCTCGACTGGTCCGGCTCTCGGTCCAATAGGGACGGTCATGCTGCCAAGGATAAGGGGGGATGTCGGTTAAAGTCTTCCCTCTTCCAATAATGGCGGAAAGGTTGACAGGGATTCCACTGGCAAAGGCCTGCCCGGCAGTCCTGAGTAGCTGGCTCTTGGCGTTGTCGTCATAGCGAAAAACGGTGGGAATATATATTGGAGACCTTCCCGCCAACGTTCGGAAAATTTGTCGCAGAGGGGCGGCAAGGGCTGAGTGTGGGCCAATCTCCAAAAACACAGAGGCTCCACCAGCAGGCACACTCTGTATCGCCTCAGTAAATAGCACTGGTGACTCCAAATTCCGTCGCCAGTACAACGCGTCGAGCCCACGAGGGTCAGTGATTATTTGACCGGTGACACTAGAGAAAAACGGCAGCATGTCTTGTTCATGTTCAATCTGGCTAGCTATCGAGAGCTGATACTCGAGTCCGATATGCTTCATGTGATCTGCAAATTTTGTTAGCAAGTGGTTGCGGCTAGGGAGGGAGGGAGGCAGGGGTTCGTACCCGAGTGATACGCGGTTTGAACAGGCAATTGCCGACAAAGCGTATCCGAACTTGCTGCCTTGATTTTAATAACCGCTTGATTCACTGATTCTTTATCCCCGGAGAGAGTGACACTGTGAGGACTGTTGTGGCAGGCAACGACCACTCCAGGGGTGAGGAAAGGGAGCACTTCCTCGGGGGAAAGACCAACTGCCACCATGGCACCCAATCCCTCCAACGACTTGGCCACTTTACCCCGATAGTATGCCAAGATTATCGCCGTTCTCATCGAAATAGCCCGGGCGGCATATGCAGCCACAATCTCCCCGCTGGAATGCCCGACTACTGTAGAGGGACATATCCCCCAGCTGGCAAGAATGTTGACGATACCAATCTGAAGAGCGACACAAAGAGGCTGAGAATACTCGGCTTCATGTATTCTTGAGTCCGGGCCTTCCTTGCTAAGCTCATCTGGAGGATGCGGAGTCAGTACATGACCTTGGGTATTCAAGGGGTCATTCTTACCGTAGATTAGCCAACTCGGATAATCTCGCAGCTGTTGCAAAGCTTCATCCATTGACTTGATGGCTTGCTTGAATTTTGGAAAGTTGGAGATCAATCCTTTTCCCATCCCCGGCCACTGAGATCCCTGGCCAGTAAACACGAATGTGACATGGGGCGCCGTTGAGTTGAAACTCGTGAATGCTGTCTCCTCCAGAACCTGGGTATCAGACTGCAAAACCGCAAACGCTCTGTGTGTTAGGTGTTCTCTTCGACAGCCTAGGGTATGGGCTAGGTCACACAAGCGGTCAGGGTGAGTGTTGGTGTACGTGGTGACTTGGTGAATCCGTTTGCGAAGAGTATCGGCAGTATGCGCAGATACAACCAGGAGTTGTGGGTCATTGCGATAGTCCACAGATATTGGTATGGGCTTCGAAATGATTGTTGAGGCAGACTCTAGTATCACATGAGCATTTGAGCCACCGATGCCGAAAGAGTTGACGCTGATCCTTTCAGGTCTGTGGTCGGGCCACGGGATAGGCTCCACGGGTACATGCAGCTTTCCGTCGGCGAATGGAATTTTGGGGTTCGGTGTCTGGAAATGAATATTAGGTGGAATTGTTTTGTACTCGAGTGATAGAATGGCTTTGATGATGCTGGTGATACCAGATGCGCCCTCCGAGTGGCCGACATTGGGTTTTACCTGAGTGAGAAGGTGAGCATAAGATTTAAATGTTTGAAGAGGCTAAAAGCAAGCAAGATTGACTCACTGCGGAGATCCATGTCTCTTTTTCTTCTGTCAACATTGCAACAACCGATGTTTCGATCACGTCGCCAACCGCAGTCCCAGTACCATGACATTCGAAGACGGGTGTTGAGTCGATAGATTCAATCCCTGCAATCTTATATGCATGGCGGATCAACTTCTCTTGTGATATCGGACATGGATTAGTAAAGTTCGGGGTCTTGCCATCGTGGTTAGTGACTGTTGAGCGAATGACAGCACGGATCGGATCATTGTCGCGAAGGGCATCCTTTAATAGTTTGAGATAAAGGCAATTGATTGCTTCACCCCTCCCATATCCATCGGCATCGACATCAAAGGTATGAGAGATTCCACTTGGGGATAAGACCAAGCTTTTGTTAAGTGAATCAGTCATTGTTGGACTCCATATCAAGCTTGTCCCACCCACTAGGGCTGTTGAACATTCATTGGACAGGAGTGCCTGACAGGCCTCATGAAGGCTGACCAACGAGGAGGAGCAGGCCGTTTGTATTGTCATGCTTGAAAAAGGTCAGAGCTTTCTCTTGCGAATTTTAGCATAAAGGCAGGCATCTGCACTCACCTCGGACCATGCAAGTCAAATCGATACGATATTTGATTTGCAAGCGCGAATCCACCTGTTGCAATGGGATAGATTTGGCCAACATCCTGCAAGTCCTTATGCGACATCTCCAGCCAATCTTCACCAAAAACGCCAACAAAACAACCCACTTTCTCATCACGCCACTTGGTCTCCCCAGCGTTTTCTAAACACTCTCGGACAACTTCCATCAAGAGTCTTTGCTGTGGATCCAGTTTCCCAGCCTCCTGGGGAGGAACAGAAAAGAAAGACGTGTCAAAGTAAGCAGGATCTTCCTGCAAGAAGAACCCTTTTCTGACTTCATTCGAACTCCCGCGATCGGGATTGTTGGATGCCTCCCTCGAGCAGCGCGAGGGAGGCACCTCACAGAGACCATCACGTTTTTCTACCAGCATTTCCCAAAACTCCTCGCCACTTCGGACACCCCCCGGCAATCGCATGGCCATCCCGATGACTGCGATTGGTTGATATGAGTGGTCATCTCCGCAGCCTCTGCACGATGCTTGCCCTTGTCCAGTTGTTGAATTCATTTTTGGTCGAATGATGTGCAAACAGGTACTGGATCAAGGAGGCAGCAGAATATACGAAGGAAGTGCGGCCTGAGTTGATTACTGGTGATATTATCTGTGACCCTATGGTAAAAAGTCCAATGCAGTGTTAGATCCGCTTTCTTGTTTCAATCTACACACCATATGTACCTGAAGACTTCGTCTGTATGATTCACAATGAGTTCATTCACGCCGATATACGCCATTTGACTAGTACAATGAATGAACCTGAGCGATTTATTGATATCCAGGCCAGAAATCGTAGTCAGAGGTAGCTCTGAAGTAGATCTAGGCCGAGTCGTCATTTTCGGCGCTTTGCTTCACGCTACTCCAACCCAGACCTGCATATGTGTAACTGTAACATGCTTAAGTACTCGGTAATGCCGCTCATAGCTATAGCTTTCTTGCCGAAACACATGCCTTGGGATTAATACCACTAGGAATTTACTCATCTGCATTAGTACTCTCCACATGTTCTCATCGTGAACTTTCCGAAGCTTGGGATTGGGAGCAGATGAATGAACCCTGACTCGCTTGCGTCGAGCTTACCAAGGAGAATATTGAAGTGTTTGGTGTCTACAATACTCACGCCAGGAACAGAATGTGTCACTAAATTATGAGATGAAGTTACCTGATGCAACCCAGATCTTGCGGTTCAAGTTCTCATACTCTCCGGGTGTTACCTCCACCATCTTAGCACGAGTAACACCGATAAGGTTGGGCGTTAAAAAATACCAATGATAAAGCTAGATCTCAAACTTTGACAACTTGATCCTTTCCTCCTGAAACCGGAGCGCTTCGCTCGCTGCTTCATGCTTTGCTCGAGCCTCTCTGGTGTGTCAATCCATATCCGATAGCCGGATTTAAATTCACATGGACATGATCTTGTCCGACGCCCGATATCAAGTTCTTCTACCGAGGGAAAGTTCTGTTATCTACGTGTTGTTTCTGGTCTTTAGTGGGAAGCTCTCCTAATGTAGAATTGTTGAACGTTGCACTGACGCGGTAGTGAACCTTTGAGAATTTTGGCTTATGATACTGATTCCCAGCAGGCCACCCACCTATTTTGCACCATTCTCTACAACTCTGATATAGAAATATCATACTAATATGGATGGCAACTGGTTCAAAGATCATGTGGTTTTTCTTACAGGAGCGACCGGAAATCTTGGGGGGTGTTTATTATACAAGCTCGCGATCCAACTTCCCACAGCCAAGATATTCGTTTTGATCAGAGGGTCAGTTCAACAGGCAATTGAGTCATGGGAGCAGTCAATGCCAGAGCACGTGGATAAAATCATTGCAACTGGAAAGATACAATTCCTTTTGGGTGATATGACCCAGCCCAATCTCGGTTTAACCCCGTCGAATCTCCTGCGTCTGCAAAATGAGGTTACGCTGGTAATAAATTCTGCAGGGGATATCTCTTTATCTCGTGGGCTTGCGGAAACACTCCCAATCAACTGTACCGCTCATCTCACATTAGTCGCTCTCGCAGACAGCTTCACTCGATTGACACACTTTTTACATGTATCAACCACCTTTGTGTCGAGCTTTCTTCCAGATGGCACAGTGAAAGAGAAAATTTACACTTTGGTTGAAGATCCAAAAGAAGAATTGGCAACAATTCTTGCCACGGGCCAGTCGTCTTATACCAAAAAATTCGCCGCACCTTACGCACTGGCCAAATACCTAGCCGAGCGTTTACTTCTGGAAGGTGATCATTCCTTCCCAGTTCTCATCGTGCGGCCGTGTTTCATCTCGCCAGCAATCGAAGAGCCTTACCCATTTTATGGAAGTGACGGCGCAATACCCGTACATTCATTTATCCAAGTTTTGTTCGAAGATTCAGAGTACGGGTTATTCAAGCTTGAGCAAGTCGTGCCTCGGCATGTTGCCTGCAATGAGATCCCAGTTGATCTTGTAGCACGCACATGCCTTGCTCATGTTGCAAAGGGAACAAAGGGCGTGATCCATGCCAGTTCTGATCTGTACGTGAACCGAACCGTTGACGAACTGTTCAATCGCATCCGTCTCTATGCCCCCAAGGGGATCGTCGAAGCAATAAAAAAAGCAGGAATTGACCATGGTGACGTTCCTGCGCCTGAGCTTTACAGCATGATTAATCAGTTTGCTCGAGACTGGAGAATCGAATGCACAGGATCCACTGATTTGAAATCTGTGAAGGGACCACTGGGGCTTTTGCTTTGTGATCATGACCCAGATGCATTTTTCAAGCAACGCATTGAGAGACTTGCTAAGTCTATCTTGGATAAGCTGGGAACTCTCAATCTGTCCAACAACAAGTTTTATCAAAGTCACGTTGTCTGAATTCTATCCAACCTTAGCCTCTGCTATAAGAGTTTCTACTTGGCTTAATACTGTATTCAAGATCCGGATGTCTTATTCACTTGGCTAAGAGCAGCATTGAAACTCTACAAAAGAACCTTGGAAAAAAGTCAACAACCAAAATGCTAAATTTCTTGACTGGACTAGTTTAGTAGAGAGTTCTCAAGTTAGCGATTGAAACCTCGGAATTGGCTTGAGATATTGAGCCAATAAATCTCAAAATTGGTGCTCAAGATCAAACGGATGGTAATTGATTCCCTCAATCCTGCAATGATTATAAGAGTTAGCAAAAGCAGCCCGAAGTACAGGAGAAATCTGCTCAAATGGCCCTTTAGTAGGGAGGAAGTTGAATTTACTCAAAAGGATACCTTGAGCCTCTTTTGGGATATCTAGAAAATCGGCTTCGACGAGAAGACGAATCACTTGGGACCTGCTCGAAGAGTTAGTAAACATCAAGACTTCTGAAAATTAGCAAACTCGACGAAAATAATAAAACTCACTGGAAGTCTCTGCATCCGAACAGACAATCCTCAATGCAAATGAACTGACAGGTATCAAGTCCAGGCGTCCCGAGAACACGAAGAAAGTCCTTTACTGTCTTCTTCTCAGTTACTGGCAGATCTATCACTTTCATTGCATCCCGGTGGCTTCCCTCATACGTACATGCTTTGATGAAGATCTTGACGGGTACCCATTCTACGGAGGCTGTAATGGGAGGGGCGTTAGGTTCAGTGACATCAAGAACAAGGCTCTTCGTGCCGATAGGCGCAAAAGAAGCATTAGACGCCTGTGCGTGCTTCAGAGTGAGCCTGAGAATGCAGTGAACAAGCCTCTCTAGGCATTCAGGAGCAGATGAGGGTAGAGGCCCTGTGTCAACGAACTCCAGGGAGCACTTGGAGATCATTTTTCGTTCAAGATACCGGGGAAAGATCGATTCCCCGTCCATGATCCATGTCTTACTGCCCAATCGAGCGGTTCCGAATGTTGTATGTCCTTGTTCGAAATTGTAATCGCAGCTCATTTTTGAAAATATTTTCTGGATTGCTGGGATAGTTGATGGTTCAAAGTTGGATGGACCCTCGGCTGTGGTCAAACGGCAACATTCATCGATACCTACGATGGTAATCTGCCAACCAGGATCATTTAAATATCGAGGACTACTGGCCCTTGGTCCAGCTCTGAAAAACTCAAACAATCTCTTTGAAGGAAATTTTCATTCAGATGCTCTTTGAACCATTGTCTTCGGTGCCAAAGATCTTTATAAAATCATTTAACTAAAAGGCTTTCAAACCGCCAGGACGAACAAAGGAATTGTCAGAGGAAATACTTGGCTGCCGGGGAAAAAGAGACTTTCCAGCGAAACAACCTAGACGTGGAATGGGGAGCTGAATGGTGATTAGGCGATGGTGGTCATCTTGAGATAAAATGATGCTGTTGTACTATTGACAGGCAAATCCAGTGAGGCAAATAACCCTCAATGCAATCCACGGGACACTGCCGTGACTAAGTCACGCCCCGGGGCCCGGGGCTCCGGGGCTCCGGTCCTCTCCCTTCGGCGTCTCTCCGCGTTTCTTCCTCTCTTTACCCCAGATAAATTCATCCAACATGGAAGAACCAGTCCTACTATCTAAAAGCATGGAGCCTTTTAGCCCGCTGATCGAAGAAGAGGCCTTCTTGTCACCGGGAACATTTTCCAGTGCAGATGAGTACGCCGCCAATCCCCGATTCCTGGAACTACAGGAAGAGCTCCGGTGCGTACTCTTTTCCGCCGTCGCAAGCCTTGAGCCAGCCGACACATCACCGCCCCTGGAGCCTGAAGGGCCCCAACCCCGAGCGCGACAAAGTCTAGACTTCACGCGCGTAATCTCAATCCCCAAAATCAAATTGATTTTCTACTTGAAAAATTGGATCACGGAATGCGCCCCGTACCTCGATAAGTTTGACGAGGCCCGCCACTTTGGCGTCCACATCCCCATTCTGGCCCAAGGCTCTCCGGCCCTTTTCTACGCCATCTTGGCATTCTCAGCGCGTCAAACGGAGCGTAAGGCCTGTCTCGACAAGGCCTATGACAGCCTCGAATTATACCAGGAGTCCATTCGACTCCTCGCCCCCTGTCTCCAAGCGAAAGATCCTAATGTTCTAGTCACGGTGTGCATTCTGGCCGTCATGGAACTCATGTCCGTCAGTCCACGCGACTGGCGACGACACGTTGAGGGTTGCGCAGCATTATTCGACTCCTTCAATGTAAACGGACTTTCGGGTGGTCATCTCCAAGCTGTGTTCTGGTGCTACGCGCGAATGGAGCTATGCGGAGCCATTATCTCGAATGGTGCAGAAAGCACTGTCCTCCCACTGGAAAAATGGGTCCCAGCAATGTCGCAGGCCACATCAAAAGAAGCCGAAGAGGACATGATCCGAGATCTGTTCTGCGAAAACGGTCGCGCCTCTGCCGATATGCATGCCAACTGGGCTGTTTATTTGTGCGCGAAGGCGTGTGATCTTTCGTGTCGGCGAACGCGGTATTTAGAACTTGGCGAAACGACCGGCGATCGGCGACCGTTCTCCGAGCAGTGGAATCGACTTTGGGACGAGTTGCAATATTGGATCGAGACGCGACCTCCAGCGATGCTGCCTATCAAGACGACAGGTATGGGCAGTGGTCAGATTTTCCCAGAGATCTTGTTCGCACACTGGGCCGCTATCTCCGGCAACCAGCTGTATCATGCGGCTTCTATAATGATGCTGGATATGCGACCGGTCGAGCGGGGCCCTCCGGCGGCTAAGCCACATTTTTCGGCCATTTGGCATGCTCGTCGCGTTTGTGGGATTTCTTTGACGAATCCCCACTCGGGAAATTTGATCAATGCTATCCAACCCCTCTATATTGCAGGGAAGTTGCTCAGTCACCATAGTGAGCATGTTGAAGTGGCGAAGCTATTCAAGATCATTGAGCGTACAACCGGTTGGGGTGCGCTTTGGCGATTGAAAGACCTTGAGCGCGCTTGGGGATACGAACCCGGAGAAATTCTCGGGGTGATTTGAAATTTTTGAATGAGAAACGTTCTACTTGGATCAACAACAAAGATCTCCAAACCTACACTCAAAAGGGCAATTCCCAGAACTTTCAATTGATCATACACATCGATTGGTTTCTATTTATACACATGATCTGGGGATTTCTGTGTTCGATTCGAACCCCAATATTTACAACAGATGTTGACAAACACCCGCCATCCGCCCGGGCGACTCATTTGAAGTCAGCACACGACTTCGGATACTGCAGGGCATGCTTGATCCTGTTCGTGAGCTTCTCGGCATCCACTTCGAATACATAATTCACCTCCCGAATACCTTGAGGCGCAAGTGCCTTTTGGTACACGTGAATGTTGCCGTAGTTGGGGCTGCCATATGAAGTATCGACATCCAGGAATACTGCTATGGTTAGCAATGCTCATTACCACTCGCATGCTCATCCCATAGCGACATACCTGAGGTCTGGTTGACAGAGAGAGAGGGGTCGACCATCAACGCAGCAGCTGTCTCGTCCCAGAATGGGAAGGACAGGTCATAATACTTATAGAAGAGCTCACTGTAGGGGTTCGGAACAGATCGAACCTCTTCCATGAACTCCTTGGTCGGGAAAACCTGGTTAGCAACATTACCAGCGATGGTGATGTTCGGGAAATCCGCCGTCAGGGCGATCTTCGAGGCTTCAGGGTCAATCATGAGATTGATCTTGGTGGTCAGCAATGAAGTGATAGTTAATATGGTTTCAGAAAAACTCACATCCGACTGATAGTCTGCCAGCATGATACTCCCAGTGGCTTCAAGCATATTCAGATCAACATATCCACCCATGATGACAAGATCCTTGGCAAGGGACGCAAACTGCGGGTCCATACGCACAGCAAGCGCAATATTGGTCAATGCACCGGCCGAGTAGATGGATACCTGCCCGGGATACTTGTGCACCATCTCAACCATGAAGTTAGCGGCCGAGGTGGAGTTCTCCGGTCGGCCCTTGGGGAATCCCTCCTTGAAGGCTTCCTTGACAATCCGATTCGGGTCCCCAGAGGTAGGATCATTACCCGCGGCCTCAGCAGTCTTGTTTTCCGGTGCAAAAGCGCCTTCCCAGGGTAGCTTGCCGTGGATTGTCTCCCATGCCTGGAAACGAGCGGGTGTATTGATCAGCGGCCATGTGGCGCCCGGGTAAACTGGAATGCAGCTCAAATTTCCAGCTTCCAAGGTCGCCACTGCGTGCAATGCACCCTGCGGCTGCCAGCTGTTGGCGGTATCTATGAGTAAAATCTCCGATTAGCGCTGGCGATGCACAATGATGTGAGTACCCACCCGAGGCCAATCCAAGGATCTCCACATCACCATCCAGAGCAACGAGGTAAGGGACAAACCCCGCTGTATACCAATCGTTATCCATGATGGCGTAGTGCTTATCCGCCCGGGGCTGCAGCGCAAGCGCGCCCGTGACGAAAGTAAGCATTGAGCTGCAGAGCAGCGGAACCGAGGTCGACCAATGCATTGCAGGGATGAGGGGTGGTATTGCCGAATTCAGAAACCAAGTATATACAATATTGTATACAGAATAGAGTCAATTCGAAGAATGATCCTCGTTCACTCACCGGTCCCTTTATACTTCACCATGCATCTCAACCCCAGACTTTCCCCAAGAAGATCCTCCGCTTGAATACCACCTGAAGATTCCCTTTACGTCAATTATAATCCTTTTCAGGTGTCCCCGCTCGTTGTAGCCATCGATCAGCATGGACCTCGCCAAGTCAGCGAAGCAGTGGCTACGATTTCCCAAAATGGACGCAGTGCCTGGACCACCCCACACTTCTAGCTGCAGAGTTTAGTGTCTGACGAGGAACTGAAACCAGTTGAGCCCTAGCAGCGTCGGGCTAAGCCGTTCATGGACCCATTTCTCTCCCGTTTCCCCTCCGAAGATGGGTGGAGCCAGCTTTTCGTCCCGAGATTCCCACACTTTTCCGACTTTGCGGCCGTTTCCAGCCGTTCTGGGGAATCGTAGGCTACGGCTCACCCAAAGGGGCTTAGTGGTCGGGTTCCTCCACAGTTTTGCCTCCACAAAATCCAAGACTTTGGGGTTCCGGGGCTTCGTAGCGAGTCGGGACGCCGAAAAACTGGGGGTGAGGTTGAGTTTTTTCCCTCACGTGGTGCCACTCCGGCGATGAAGTATGACAGAACTAATGCATTCGCGGGACTAACGCCATTGTCTATATATGGGACCCTCTTTCCCCCATGTTTGAGATTCCCCAGATTTTCTCTGACTATCGCCCGGCATGACGGACTCCGACGTTGAAGCGCGTGTGCACATTGCGAAGAAGTCCATGTGGCAGTCTATCTTTGCTAACCCTAAAGTCCTCTTCATTGCCTTTTTTGCTTCGTATGTTGATCCTCATCCCAAAGTGACCGGGCTTTATGCTAATTGATCAGATTCGGTGGTTTTGAATATGGCTACCAACAAGGTGTCCTTGGCCAATCGCTGGTCATGACCCGATTCACAGAAAACTTCCCTACTGTGGTCGCTTCATCAACAGCGACAGGATGGTTGACCTCAATTCTTCAATTGGGTGGTGTTGTCGGTTCTCTCACAGCCGGTGTCCTGGGCGAGATTATCTCTCGCAAGTACACCATGTTCATCGCTTGTTGCTGGGTTATTCTCGGCAGCTATCTCTACATCGGTGCGACTGCCGGTAACCCAGCTCTCCTTTACGCCGGCCGATTCTTCACCGGTATTGGCGTTGGTCTTTTCAGTGGTGTTGGTCCATTATACAACGCCGAACTTGCAGCTCCCGAAATGCGCGGACTGCTGGTTTCTTTCTACCAGTTCGCTACCATTCTCGGCATTATGATCTCATTCTGGGTCGGTTACGGAAGTAACAACATTGGCGGAACCGGCGAAACTCAGACCGATATGGCATGGCGTTTGCCTTCTATCATCCAGGGTATTCCCGCTGCTGCGCTTGCGTGCGGAATTTGGTTCATGCCCTTCTCCCCGAGATGGCTGGTTAAGCAGGGTCGGGATCAGGAAGCACAGGATACTCTTGCTTGGATGCGCAAGCTTCCCGTTGAGCATGAGCTCGTTCAGGTTGAATACCTTGAGATCAAGGCTGAGGCTGTCTTCGAGCAACGCGCTTTCGCGATCGCCTCCCCCAAGCTTGCTGATCGTGAGAAGAAGAGTGTCTTCATGAACCAGATTGCGCAGTACGCCAACTGCTTCCGCAGCATGGATAACTTCAAGCGTGTCTGTATCGCCTGGTTGGTTATGTTCTTCCAGCAGTGGAGTGGTGTTGATGCCAGTAAGTTTTGCCAATCAATCTCTCAAACCGGATCATTGTTAACCTGAGTACCAGTTATCTACTACGCCTCCAACGTTTTCGTCAGTCTCGGTCTGACTGGTGGTACCATTGCTTTGCTGGCAACCGGTGTGACTGGTGTCGTCTTCCTGATCAGTACTATGCCCGCAATGTTGGTCATTGATAAAATTGGCCGCAAGCCTATGCTCCTTGGTGGATCCATTGTCATGCTTGCCAGCATGGTGATCGTCGGTGTGATTGTTGCTAAGTTCCAGCACGACTGGCCAAACCATGTCGCCGCTGGCTGGACCGCCGTCGCTCTGATCTGGCTTTACATTGCTGGCTTCGGCGCCACCTGGGGTCCTGTTTCATGGACATTGGTCTCAGAAATCTTCCCACTCTCCATTCGTGCCAAGGGTGCCTCAATTGGTGCATTCAGCAACTGGATCAACAACTTCGCTATTGCCTTCTTCGTGCCGCCTATGCTCAAGAACTGGCAATGGGGCACTTACATCTTCTTCGCTGCCTTCCTGGCTGTCGGTATCGTCTGGGTCTGGATCTTCCTCCCCGAAACCAAGGGTGCCTCTCTCGAAGATATGGATCGGGTGTTCAACAGCAAGGCTGGTGAGCAGGATGCGGAACTTCTCCGCGAGGCCCAGCGGGACGTTGGTTTGACTGCTTTCCTCGAGCGAATGGGATCCGCTACCGGCCGGGATATGGAGAAGAAGGAGGATTTACACTATATTGAGAAGGTTTGAGGGAGTTTTTCACTCTCGCAATCCGCCCTAGGGGATAGTCAGGGTGGACTTTTGTCATCAAAATCACATTTAATCTATTATGCAATGTCATGAAATATCTTCTCTCAACTCTTTCTTCCTCATATCCACCGGATCCACATTATTTCCCCAGACTCGGGCCACGTTGGCCATGCATCGCCCCATTGATCTTTAAATCTCGGAGTCTCGGGTGGCGTCCGATCGGTTTCCATAGACCCAAAGCGGCTCGTAGCGCTGAGGCAATAATGACATGACACCTGTGGGCATCGGTGGTCTTGTAAATTCCGTAGAATAGTGGCCGTCAAGACATGGCTCTCTTGTTGATAATACCTTATCCATACAACAACTTGGATTGCTTCAAGGGAAGATAGAATGTTGGGCTGAATCAATTGTCAACGGGTGGTAGTACACCTGCTAACAGGACCTCGAAGTTGGTGTATCCGAAATGAGGCTTGAAAAAAAAAACATTCTTCAATATCCTTCAAGCGAATGAAATTTAGACGCTCCAATACTGTCGAAGGTCGGAGACAGTATCATCGCCAGTTGGTCAACACGGCAGAAAACTTACCCCCCGCATTCCAGATCTCCAACCATTGCCCTTCTCAGTCCAAGTGCCTCAACACAGAGTCAAATCCCCAGTTTTATTGTATGTTGATACCTCGATGGGGAAATGACCAAGCGGCCGGAATCGCCCACCATTCGGGTCGACTCTCCCGATTGGAATGGCCCCACGACGGACCCGAAGCAGCGGCCGCCTCCGGTTGACCACACATCGGGTTTGCAGAGCCTCCGATCATTCTTTTCTAGCATCCCGTCCGTCTGGGGTGCATTGTAGACTCAACATCATGCCCAGAAAACCCACGCCAGCAGCCAAGCAGCGGGTGAGGACCGGCTGCTTGACGTGTCGAAAACGGAGGAGAAAATGTACGTGTCACGTGTGATGTTGTTTTTTCTTCCGCAATAGCTGATCGTTGTAGGTGATGAGCAAAAGCCCAGCTGTGCGAACTGTGAAGTGAAAGGATTCACCTGCAAATATGGCTCTGATTTAGCGTTCGTGCCACCGCGCTCGGGGGCGGTTCCCAGTGCCGGACAGGGTTATGGCAATATCACCGTAGGTGGATATCCAGCACTATACCCCATGATTCAGGTGCTGACAGGGGCCAGTTTGTCGACGACTCACCACTTGCTGTTTCTAAAGACAAAAAGGACCAGAAGCCCGACGAGTCGCACAGCTCTGCCGAGTTCTCCCTGGACGGCCTGCAGTCTTCAACCGAGAGTCATGATGATCCTTCAGAGCCGCCTCGGGCTTTCGAGTTTCAAAGCATCTTATCATCAGCAGTGCCAAATGTGGATTTCTCAGATCCTCCCATTCCATTTATCGGCGGTCGGGGGACGCCACATGCTCCTTACCTGAACACTGTTTCATATCTTGGAAACCCTATATCAGCTGCAAGTGACCAGGCACCCGATCGGCGGGTGCAGCTTGCAAGCAGCAATCGAGAAACAGACCTGCTTCGACACTTCAGATACCATCTTGGGCCGTGGATTGACATAGGAGACCCAGAGCTGCCATTTGGGCTGCAGGTTCTGCTCCTTTCTCGGACGAACCGAGCCCTTCAAGCTGCCGTCCTTGCAGTCTCTGCCGGCCAGAGACTGCTGATGTCATGTCCAAGCAGAACTGACCTCGACAGCAGTCACGTCTTCCGAACGGAAGCAGAAGGCAGTCTGGCCCTTGAGTGTGATTTAGCCAGGCATGCTGGTCAAACCCTTCTCATGCTCCAAGATGCTCTTCCTTCAGGACCACAACAGTGGAGGGCTTTGCTTGCTCCCACAATCGAACAGGCTTGTGATTTTGCATCACGGGCAGGTCAAGGAGAGGATGTGGGAGAAGCATTGCTATGGCTCTACTTCAGACTCGGTAAGGCAATCCATACTTTTGTTATACTATGCGCGAGCCTTTTAACGAACCTTTCGTCTCAGATCTTGCCGGGTGCATTACCCAATCAAAAGCACCACTCACGCCGTTCCGATCACTATTACAACGCGATGGCACATTCATTCTGCACCCACAGCCACAAGCCCAACCGCAAACTGTTCACCGCGCATACAAGCACATCCTGTGTCTACTCGGCCACTGTTTGGCCTTGATACACGGAGATCCTGAAACATCCTCCCCGCAAACGGTCTCCTCGCCAGAACTGGCAGCATTCCCTTCTCTCAGACAATCACATTTCCTCTCGCAGTGGACATTCCTTTGGTCAGACTGTCAAAAATGGTACAATGATCGACCCGTGAACGTCCAGCAGATCGTGGATATTCGCGGAGGTGAAGCCGACCACATTGACCCAGACCACGACTCCTCATTCCCCATCCTCATCTACACAACACCAATGGCGCTGGTCGCCAATGCTGTTTACCACACGATCTCTCTGTTGATGCTGACCCACAAGCCACGCCTCTTGAAATCACTACCCGGGCCTAGGTCCGTCACGTCTCATATCTGGCATGCGCAATCAATTGCCGGTATCGCGGCAAGCAATGACTCCCCCGAGCAATGGGACCCGGTACTTGTTGCTAGCCTTCTCGTCATTGCAAAGGAGATGACTCACGAGTCACAGCAGACAGTCATTCTGCAACGTCTGGCGAAAATCACCGCCACAACTGGAATCAAACTTGATCGGGAAAGGGAAGCGCTCCAGGCTACGTGGAACCTAGCTCGCTACGAGGAGGAATTTGAAGATGAACCTGATACTATAATTTCATGAATATACCCAAGCCGCAAGTCTATTTTTTGTGTGATATATTTACATCTCATCATTACAAATCGTAAGCAAATGGAATGCTCTGCATCGCGCCTTGCCTTTGCACGCACATCGCAGCAGCAGCATTGGCCTTCTCCACGGCACTCTGGACATCATCAAATGCCTCCAGACTCTGTCCTGTTGCCAGAAGACGCGCCACAGCAGTCGCAAAGTATCCGACGAACGTATCGCCCGCAGCAGTGGTATCCACCACCTTCGCGACCTTCACTCCAGGCACAGTGCCTGTCTTCCCAGACCGGGTGGAGTAACAAACTCCCTGCGCACCAAGTGTGACCAAAACAATCTCCACACCAGCGCGCTCATGGAAGACCTTTGCCGCCGATTCAGGAACCAACTCTCCATCACTAGGAACGCCAATGGATTCCATCATCTGCACGACCTCCGTCTCATTCATAATCAAGACAGCCGTCCCCTGCAGCGCCGAAAGTGGGATTCCCTCTGGAAACACAGGCGCAGGATTGAAAACAACCTTCGCCTTATTGCCTGCATTGAAATGCTCCAACAGACCAAGTGTAGTGCTCCGCGGGATCTCACCCTGCAAAACAACAACGTCAGGCTCCTCCTTCTCCAGCGCAGACAAAATAGGCGCAACAGCAGTCATCATGCCAGCGTGGTTTGCGCCCGGGACGACCATAATGCGATTCTCGCCATTCATTTCTTCAACGACAATACTCGCTGAGCCTGTCTGGACACTGGATTGCTCAATGGCTGTGGTATTGACGCCTGATCTTTCCAATGCGGGCTTCAGAAGAGAGGTGTAGTATGGATCGTCTGCGCCGACAGCGCCAATCATGCTGACTGAAACATCTTGGGTTGACTCGGATGTGAAGGATGAGCGACCACAGGCCACAGCTTGATTTCCGCCTTTTCCACCCGCTGATACACTGAGTGATGTGGCTGTCAGGGTCTCGCCGGCGACTGGGCAGCGGGGTGTTGTTGTTACGAAGTCGATGTTGAGGGAGCCGATGATGCTGATTTGGGGGGTTTTCGTCGCAGCCATGATGTGTTTGTGTCCTGAGGTGGTCTGTAAAGGTCGTGTTTCGTGTTAGTGAAGTTCAATTGAGATGGGATTGGAGTGTGTTTAATGTCTCCAATTTCTTATCCCACACGGTTTTCCTGATGCGGGGGACCGTAGCCTACGGTCGTCCTGATTGGGTTAGTGTCTTGGCATCCCACCTTTGCTCGCGGTTTCTGAACACTCTGCTTGATTGGGAACCTGTGTTTTCAGAGGCAAACGAATATCTTCTTTCTGCCGGAAAACTGGGACAGTTCATTTGGATTTTGGTCTCACAATTGTGTTTGATAATCGCGTTTTCTGTTGGATTGTGATCCAGAACCTGACGTACCCCGCCTACGGAGTACATTCCAAACCCATGCAGGTACGGACTATTCTGTACAGTCCATCGGGTTGATATATCTCATCGGCGCTGATATCTGAAGGTAAGGCGATATTGTTGGAATGTTTTTCACCGTCCAAAAGTAGGCCTGGTCTGTCCACAATCCTTTGTGTAATCACATGATGGGTGGATACCTTCCATATGTGGCATCTATATTCTAGTGGTCAGGTGGTGATGCTATTGTTTTGCCCTGGGCTTTTAATTTGATCGACATATTGGAGTAAGGAGAGTCAGGTTGAACTTGAGAATTTGATAATAATTCAATCAGTCCAATGTTAGTGAGAATTCTATCAGTCTTACAAGTACATTTGCATCTGGAATTCCAAAGTTTGATTCCTTTGTCGCTGGCTATGCTGTGATGGCGTCCGCGGGTTTCAAAAAGACTGATCAGCCCATTGAGCTGTGGAGTGAGTGTTCTGGAAATAGATCACGCTGCGATTATCTGCATACATATCCAATCTAGAATACACGCATGTTCTCCTGAAGTCGGGGTTGAGCTTCAGATCAAGGACAGTGACCTCACAGATGTCCCAATTCTGAGACCATTCATGAATATGCAGGCAAATCGATACTTAAGTAATGGTCCTTTGTCCCCGGGGCCGCAGGTAGATCACGTCATGTGCTGACGATCATGCGGTGCCTTCCCCGCAAAAGTCGGGGTAAGCTCCACCTGTAGACCTTTAAAGTCAACTCTTTTCTCTCTTGACTCACTCTCCATAACTTCATCATGACAAAAGGATTTGCAGCTTTCACCCCTCAGGTTGAGGAGGTATTTGACCAGATCAAAGAGACCAATACTCTTGACTACGTCTTCTACGAAGCCTCTGCACACGACAAGAAGATCAGCGTTGCGGAATCCGCCAAGTACACAGACTATGCCGATTTCATCGCCCAATTCAAAGACGATACCCCCCGGTATGCGATCGTGAAGATCAAATACCCCGCTCCGGTCGGTGGTGAAGAGCGACACAAGATTGTTCTCATTACATGGTATGTTTCATGCTCCCGTGGACGCTGTTGTGAGCATTGCTAACGAGGTCTCGTGATCTGTGACAGGGTCCCAGAGGCTGCGAACACCCATGACAAGACTTACTACGTCGCGAACAAGGACCATGTTTACTATTCCCTCGAGGGTATTAGTCTCCATGTGCAGGCACATGACCTGGCAGAACTGGCGCACGCGACTAGTATGATTCCCAATGTATACTCCCGTTCTTCAAGCTTGTGAGCTGACATTGTTTCCCACCTAGTCTTGAAGCAATTCAAAGTTCTTTGAGCCTCCGTTATCCGTTGATACTGAGATAAATCCACATGTATCTTGGATTGATCTCACAATCCCAGAGGCTATCGTATGATGGTGGCACAATCAATCTGCAACTTGGATTGCACTACTTCATGGGATCCTTACCAAGTAACACCTTGAATTACCCAGTTTATGCAAGTTTCAGAATGAACCCGAACAATAACATGGAGCAAGCAAGAAGACTTGCACCAACGACATGATCAGTATGGTGGGGAGAAACCGTAGATTGAGGGACCCGACAGAGCCTAGATTCGCCCTCTTTCCTTAGATATCAGAACGAGTCTAGCTTCGCCCTCTTTCCTTAGATATGAGAACGAGCCTAGCTTCGCCCTCTTTTCTTAGATAACAGAACGAGTCTAGCTTCGCCCTCTTTCCTTAACTATCAGAACAAGTCTAGCTTCGCCCTCTTTCCTTAACTATCGAAGCTCGTCGAGTATAGCCTCATCAGAACGCGTCTAGTATAGCCTCACACCTAGACGCGTTGTTATAGTTGTTGAGGCCCTCTCAATCTTCCTCTCTTCCTCTCCCACCGTCCTAACATCAACTCGTTTCACGGTACCATTGAGATTCATTTCATCATGGCTGATAGATTAAAGTTCAACCAGCTCGTCATTGCGTTGAGTGGGAACTTCCCTGACACGACCCATGGTATGTATAGTCGACGTTGATATTGAATTTCCCCCATATCTGAATCACGCTGATCTAGAGATATACAGCCGAGCTAAAGGAGAAGATCGAGAGGAACGGTGCCACATTCAGCGCTAAGGTCGATGAGGATTGCACTCACCTTGTGACCACGCAAGCTGAGGTAAACAGAAAGTCAAGCAAATGTGAGTTCTTGCCCGACACTTACATATAGCCAACTCACACATCAACTAGACGTGAAAGCCAACAGCCTTTCCACTTGTCATATTGTCTCGTTCAAATGGCTTCAGGCCTCCATCTCTATCGGAGCGGCATGGCGGGAGTGGCAGTACGAGATCAGGGATCAAAAGCCGAAAAAACTAATCAGAAATCGTGTTTTCCCTTTCGTCATGATCTGGCCTGACTACACCCAGCCTGCCGACACCCAGCCTGACGACACCCAGCCCCTGGCTGTCGAGACGCCGCTTGTCTATTATGGTGTCCCACTTTCTAACCGTTTACTTAAACTTACAATCCTTAAGCGCGTCAAACGGTTTCCAGCTGATGACCCCGAGGGAGAGGCGCACAAGAAATTGCTCTTTGACCTAGGGGAAACCACGCCATTTACCCGGGTTGACGCAGCCTTTAGCACGGAGGTCCCTGACTTCGCGAGTAAGTTGATGAGATAGCCCATGTCTACGATACCTTTGAATGGAACTCCGCTGACATAAATTCATAGACCCCGAAGTTTACATTGATTATAAGGGCGTGGTGTTTGATGCAATTTTGTACGACACACTCCTCACAGGGCAACAAATCTTCTGCCGCATCCAACTGCTGGTCGGCCAAAACGGACATGTCATGACCTTCATACGACAGGGCACGGTTGATACAAACGGGGAGTCAACTGCGCAAAACCACGCAGATCTACAAGCTGGAATGAATTTCTTTTTGAAAACATTCTTTGATGAGACCGGCTTAACCTGGGACGATCGGCTTGCTCATCCCAGACACAGGAAGCTGGATTTTCTTGACGGCGACTACGCAGCGGATAGTCCTGTGTACAAGAGCGAGGAAGAGGCACGCCTGGAATTCGATGCAGATATTCCGCCGCCACTGCAAGACTTGCTCTCTTGTATGTTCGACCGCCCTTTCTTCAAAAAGACTCTTCAATGTGAGATCGCCTTTGAAACCAGCGCGCGCAAGTTGGAATTTATCCAGCTGTCAAGTGTCAACTCGGCTTTTGATATTCTAAAGGAAATTGCTGAGGGCATTACGCTTTCAGTCGGCCAACGAAGGGAAGGCATGTGCTCATTTGATGAGGCACTTGTTTCGCTCACTGATCGGTACCGCGAGTTTATTCCGGCTTGCTGGGGGCCTCGCCCAAACGTAATCAGAACGATGGAAGATGTCAAATATGAGATCGACACGGTCATGACCCTGCTCGATATGAGTGCCGCAGAGGAAATCATGTCCGGTATTGTCGAACTAGCCGGTCCAAGGGCTGCGATGGAGATGGAGATCGAGAACCTCCCAATGAAGGAAATTGTTGCCTGTAAGTGTTCAAAGAGGTGCATATATATGCAGCAAGCTAATAATTGATAGTGGATCATTCGTCAACTGAGTTCAAAGAGCTGGAGACCTATTTGCAAGCGTCACGTGGCATCACACACGACATTGAATTCAGGGTTCTAAACATCTTCCGGATTGAGCGTCGGGGTGAGGAAAGGAATTTCAGAAAATCCAAATTCGCCAACCTCGAAGGCAGCGACCGTCGTCTCCTTTGGCGCGGCTCACGCGTGGTCACCTATGGGGGCATCCTCAAACACGGCCTTCGCGTCCCATCTCTCCACGCACCCGCCAACGGGTTCTTGTTCGGACAAGGTCTCTACCTATCTGATTGCTCCAGCAAGGCTGGCGCAGACACCCAGTACAAAAACGTCAACGTCAGGAAAGACGGCATATGGACGGGTCTTCTTCTGCTTTGTGACGCCGAACTTGGCCCTAACATGCTTGAGCTTGACAGCAGTGACCCTACTGCTCAAAAGACATGTACGTGGTATAAGCCTTGCACGGGGGGTGGCCCCATCCCTAAAGATGATCGCAAGATTCAGAAGATTTCCACTCTTGGAAAAGGTCGCTTCACTCCTGCTGGGTGGAAAGATGCCAGTTGTGTCAATCCGGCTTTGAAGGGTGTGAAAATGCCAGATGGAAGACCCCAAGTTGTCGACGATTCTGTCTCTGGTGAGCTCCAGTACAATGAATACGCCATTTATGATGAGGATCAGATTCGTCTGCGATACTTGTTCCACTGTGAAATGAGACGGGGGTGCACTTCGTAATATCTAGCCATGCGGCTTTTGATATCCAAGCTTCTTTATCTTTTTGTTGCCGGTTCCCATCTCGTTTTTTTTTTTCTTTTCCAAAGTCAATGTCCGGTTTTCGTTTGTTTCGAACGTGTATTCCGGTCTCGTTTTCTCTTTTCCAGAACAAATGTCCGTATTTTTCGTCTGTTTCGAACACGCATTCCAGCCATGGTTTCTTTTTTTCCGGACCGAATGTCTGGTTTTTTCCGTCTGTTTTCGAACACAGATTCCGGTCTCGTTTTCTTTCTCCTGAGTGAATTTCCGTTTTTCGTTTGTTTTGAAAGCGGATACCCATCCTGTTGTTTGTTTCCAAAGTGAATTGCCATCTTTTTCTGTTTGTTTCAGAAGCGACTTGTGCTACGGAGAATGTGATGTGTGGACAACCGATTTCGGAGATAGTGCGATGGCGTGCGAAGATATGTTTATGTCGTTGGAACTAAGGTGGGGTTGTAGGGATCAGTGGTGAAATCAATCAGTGATGAGATAGTCAGTTGAGAAATGATATTTTTCCTTGTAAAATTCACAATTCCTTTTTATTGACAGATTCTTAGCTTGGGATAGTTCCAAAATGGACTATTCTTCTTTCGCGCAAAACGTTGCTAAATCCATTTTTTTTTAAAAAAAAAAATGCTACGCATCCAGTATGACCATGGCATCTCCGGAGGAATCCTCAAATACTCCGTACTTCTAGATATATCCCGTATCGACAAGCCTATATCGGGTCGTCGCCTATTTCCGACACTGCTCCATAAACCCCACTGAATCATGTTTAATGACCGGAATTTCCAACATCTCGAATGCATTTCACCTAACAGATCAGACATCTCCTAGTCAATAAAAACAGTAACCATGACAGCAAAGCCCTCTTTCACCGACACTGCCGACTTTACCGCAGCAGAGAGAGGATTCATCGCCGCCCTCAGCCCGGGGATCATCAAAGATGCCACAGGCAAAGAAGTCTGAAACATCGACGCTTACAACTTCATGAAGGGCGAATGTCCACCAACAGCACATCCAAACCTCTGGCGCCAAGGCCAACTCAACTCCAAGCACGGTCTCTTCGAACTATGCCCTGGGATCTACCAAATCCGCGCCTACGATCTGTCAAACATGACCATCGTAGAAGGCAAGGAAGGGATCATCATAATCGACCCTCTCATCTCATGCGAATGCGCAGCAGCAGGACTCGCTCTCTACGAGGAACACCGCGGGAAAAGAAAGGTCACCGGAATGATCTATTCCCACTCCCACGGCGACCACTACATGGGCGCAGGCGGGGTAATCTCCGATGCGGAGATGCCAATCATCGCCCCAGAAGGCTTCCTCGAAGCAATTCTCAGCGAGAGCATTCTCGCGGGCCCAGCTATGCGTCGACGTGGCGCATTCATGTACGGGAATGCCCTTCCGCGCAGTTCGACTGGTCAAATTGGGACGGGACTTGGTATGGCCTCGAGTGTAGGAACTACCAGTTTGATACCGCCGAATATCCTGATCCAGGAAACGGGCGAAAGGCACGAAATTGATGGCGTGGAAATTATTTTCCAGATGGTTCCTGGGACAGAGGCACCTGCTGAGATTAATTTCTTCTTTCCTGGGTTCAGGGCCTTTTGTGTGCCTGAGACTGCGACGAACTGTATGCACAATATTGTGACGCTTCGCGGGGCTCAGGTGCGTGATGCGAAGGCTTGGTCTGGGTATTTGGATGAGGCTATTGTTTTGTTTGGGGGAGAGTCGGATGTGCTTTTTGGGAGCCATAATTGGCCGACGTGGGGACGGGAGGAGTTGATTCGGCGTCTGGAGGAGCAGAGGGATTTGTATGGCTATTTGCATGATCAGACTGTTCGTATGATGAACCTTGGAATGACTGGTGTTGAGATTGCGGAGAAGATGCAGCTTCCGCCTGCGATTTCTAGGGCGTGGCATTGTCGGGGGTTCTATGGATCTATCAGTCATAATGTGAAGGTTTGTTTCATTGCACCAGGTGAATCTATTTTCTGAAGTTGAATGAGGCTGACAGTACCAGGGCATTTACCAAAAGTACATGACCTGGTTCGATGGTCGTCCGGAGCATCTTTGGCAATACCCACCCACCGAGGAGGGACAGCGATATGTGGAATGTTTCGGCGGTGTTGATGGTCTCTGCGATCAAGCCGAGAAGTTCATAGCGAAAGGAGACAATCGCTTCGCAGCAACGTTGCTTGCACACGCCGTGGCTGCGCAACCGGAGTCTGCAGGGACCCGAGAAAGGCTTCTTCTCGCCTCGGCATATGAATCGCTAGGCTTTGGTGCCGAGAATGCGACTTGGCGAAACTTCTATCTGACTGCAGCTCAGCATCTGAGATCGGGAAAGCAGGCAGGTATGGTTGCAGGGGGTGGAACTGCCTTGGGTCAAAGCTTGAGCATCGATCAGTGGTTTGAAATCCTCTCCGTTCAGCTGAATGGAGAAATGGCTGCAGAAAAACAGTTCACCATTGATTTCGAGGTCACTGATGCGGAGCAGAAGTGGAGGTTGATTATCAGTAACGGGGTTTTGACACGACGATTGCTCAATACCACGAGCTCTCAGCGGAATGCAGAGCAGAATGCCCCTGATCTGTGGTTAGTCCTGACCAAGAAACAGCTTCTTGAGATCATTCGAGGCAACATCGTGGGTGTTGAAAAGAAGACTGGCGATTTCAAAGTGCTGGAAGAATTCCTTGACTTGATCGCTGTGCAGCAGGGATCCACACGGGGTCCAAGTCAACTGTGAGGCTGAATTCTACGCCTCCAGTGAAAGATAAGTCCATGAGGGGAAACACGCAAAGCGCATTGGGACTGTTGGCCGCAGCATCAAAGGTTTGAGTGAGATTTTAGACTCATGTTTGATTGGACTTTCCGGATAAACGTCTGTGGATGTTTACGTGGTTTTTTTGGTCTGTGGGGTTTGCGGGGTCCATCGAAATGGGCTAGGCACATTCAAATCAGCCCGTGTTTTCCTAAAAGAATTAAATGTGATCTCAGCTTGGCGTTTGGTTTCAAACTCTTACCCGCCAACCTCAGTTGGAAAATCTCATTCCCTGAAGTAATATCGCAATATTCCTCAAGCCAAGAAAGATCACGGAGTACACCATCCCGACTATCTTCCAAGGGCCTCTATCAACTTGGCATCAAAAGGCCAGTCGTGGCCTTTAGACAGGTATGATCATCGTGCTATATCTCTTCTACCAGGTTTCATACATGCAGACCCGTTGGGACTTGAGACCACTCGTACGAGTACAACTAGCCTCTCGAAGTTTACTTCGACTTTTCCAGCAATGACCCTACATACCTCCACTCTACATCTCAGATGCCGCTCCTCCTACGTCACAAACCCAAAACAACTGTACCATGGGTAAGAACTTCTTAAACAAGGGCTGGAACAATATAATTCAATCCAAGGGGAAATACCAGTCGATTGGCTACTTGGTGAGCCTTCGTGACCTGAAGACGAAATAACTTTACTGGGATAAAGTGTGCCGGAACTTGGGTCAACCAATCCCACGCCTAGTCCGAAGCCGCCCCCACGTTTACACCGTACTATAATGGAAAATTTACCATGGAAAAGTGGGATCTTCGCTTCTACAAACTACGGGTGGGCGGCGGGTGGGGTTCACACACCATTCCCTTGTTTTGTTTACGAGTAGAATCATGAGCCTCAGATGAGTTTTGCCTCGTAGATGGCTTGTCATCATCGTATTCCCAGTTTGTGCCTAGTCTCGGCAATCCCATCTCGTCATTCGCATCTATTGCCCAGACTTTTACGGAAAGTTTGGGGATTCTACGATGTCTAACCAATCATTAGGGGGAATAAAAGAGCAATGGGGAGATCACCCCTTCCGTCCCACACACGGTCAGCCGTCACTTAAATGTCTCGGATCAGGGTGTTTGCGGGATGTTGGCCGAGCCGTGATAGTACATCCCCCGACTCACATCCCTACCGGCCCCGATGCTGGGGTTTTGGTTGCTAATCCCGATCCGACCTTCGGTCAAGTTCCGGCAATTGAAGGGAGGTCTCCCCTGTGGCTTGGTGACGTACACGTTATTGGCGCGGGAAACCTTGGCCCAAACTCTAGAATCTACCCCAGAAGGAATGGAAGCAATCTATAGAGGGGAAAGCTTAAATTATGATTGGCTATGGAACGGAATCAGATCAGATGAGCGTCTAGAAAAACGCATAGTCCAGCAAGAGGCCCTCGAAAAAGAGCGAAAAAGTAGGGGAAAAACAGAGAAAATAAGCGAGAAAAAGTATGGGGAAAATAGCACCCCGGAAAACCCCGATTTCCCCAGTTTCGGAACACGCGAGGCAAGCCTGGCGGAGAAACTCCGATAAAATATCGGCGAATATATCGTTTCGGGATAAGGCTTGGCGGCGGCCCGATCTCACTGGCCGAAATCTCTGTTGCGATTTCTCGGCTGCGAATTCGGCTTCGTTGGTCTTTGTGGATTTTTCAACAGTTCAAACTCGGCACCCCATCGGAATGAGATACTGAGGGGGATTCCGTCGCATTTTAAGTCCTGAGATGGTCTTCTCAACGTTCTCGGGGAAACCTCGCCTGTCATTGCCTGTATGCGCGAATAACCCAGACCCACTCTTCGGGCAAATTTGACTTGGCTAGCATGCTGATTGGACAAGCTTAGGGAATGGGGCCATGGGTCTCCATGGAATGGAACCTTGGAAACCTTGCAGGCCCCGTACCCCGTGGAGAGTTTACCCCGACTTGTGGTCATAGTTGGCATTTCTGCTTTTTTCGCCTATAAAGATGACTTTTCCCACACTGGTTGATTCAGTTTAACTGAACTCCCTATCCATCGATTTCGGGCTACTGAGTCCTCCGCTTTTATACATATAAAATTCCATTCGGTTTTACCCAACATGGCGGGCCTTGAACTCAATGTCGACTGGAAGTCGAATCGATGGGCCATCGCCTACTGCCTCGTGGCTGCCATCGGTGCGCTCTGCTACGGATACGATACCATCTACTATACCGGAATTCAGGGCATGGAATGGTTCGCTAAGGACTATGGTGTGAAGACTGCAGATGGCTGGGAACTGTCAACAACGTTCCTGTCCCTCTCTGCCAGTATCATCTACGTGGGAGAGTTGGTTGGAGCCATCGCTGCCGCTCCCATCAACGACTACTTTGGCCGACGTGTCGTGTTCCTGTCTGCTTCTATTTGCATTATCGTTGGAGCCATCGTGCAAGTGTGCTCCTTCGGCTCTGACCCTGTCTTCTACGTCAGCCGTGTCCTGATCGGTCTCGGTATCGGTCAGTTCACTGCTACCTGTTTGATGTACATTGGTGAGGTGGCACCTTCTGCCATCAGAGGTCCGGCTCTTATGTCCTTCCAGTTCATGCAGTCTATCTCACAACTGGTCGGAGCCTGTGTCAACCAAGGCACAGAGAAGATTCAGAGCGCCGAATCTTACCGCATTCCCATGTGTTTGCTGGTTGTCCTTCCCGGCATCATGCTTCTGTGTCTTCCTTTCACCCCCGAAAGTCCCGTCTGGTACATGTACAAGGACAAGCGTGACAAGGCCATCAAGGCTCTTCGCAAGATCAACCGCAGCGCTCGTGACTACGACCCCTCAATGGACCTCCAGACTATCGATGATCAAGTCCAGATGGAGCGCGAGATGGCCAAGGATGCTACCTGGATTTCCCTCATCACCGATCCCGTTGAGCGCCGTAAGCTCTTCTACGCATGCGGTGTCATGTTTGTCCAGCAGATCAACGGTATCCAGTTCTGGTACACCTACGGTGTCGTCTTCGCACAGTCCATTGGCGTTGCGGACCCCTTCACCATCAACACTATCATCTACGTCCTCCAGATCATCACCGTCGGTGTCTCTGTTGTCTTCGGAAACAAGATCAAGCGTCGCACCAACCTCCTCGTCTGCTCAGTGGGTATCTTCGTCTCCCTGATTGCTGTCGGTGGCCTCGGTACCACCCGCGCTGCCGACGGCTCTTTCACCCGCGGTGTCGGCATCGGCATTGTCGTCCTCGCCTACCTCAACATCATCTTCTACAACTTCTCCATCGGTACCCTCTCCTACTCCATCGCATCAGAAGTCTCTGTCGGCCGCAACCGAAACAAGATCACCTCTTGTGCCATGGGTGTCTTCTTCCTTACTGTCTGGCTCATGGTCTTCACCAGCCCCTACATGTACTACGATGGCAACCTGGGTCCCAAGATTGGTTTCGTCTACGGAGGAACTACACTTCTCCTGATTGCCTTCTCCTGGTTCTGTGTCGGTGAGACCGCCGGTCGCAGCAACTCAGACATTGAGAGACTCTTCCAGGACCGTGTGCCCGTCCGTGAATGGGCCACCTATGTTATCCCTGCCGACGATGTGACCTATGTCAAGAACAAGGGCACTGAGGACGAGCAGATTGAGATGGCATGAGTTATGTTATACGAAGTCATTGAATGATATATTGCATTGCGTTACAGCTTTTTTTTAGTTAAAAATAGATATTATTATCAAGTCTACTTAAAGTACTTTATCAAGAACATTATTTCACATTCTAGTTTTTCAACTTCTCAAGTTCATATCCATGAATCTTCCAAGATTGCATCTTGACAGTTGTTGGGTCTCATTTCCCAATTCAAAGTCCTCCCATTGCCAGGTCCTTTAGATATATCTCTTGAATCATGATCCTATACCATGGCAACAAGGATTTCTCGATTCTGAATTCTGCTGTATACTTCAAAATCAATTTCGTACGATTTAGAAAGCTCTATGGCTGTCAATTGGGCTCTCTACCTCACTCGGATTGTTACAGATCTATTGAACAACCGGCCTCATGCACAGAAGTAAATTTCTTGGATGTCTGGATATTTAAATCTTTGCGGTAGCGATGTTTCACTGAGGTGATTGGTTATTGTTGTCCACAGGATAGGATATGTAGCAAGTAGCCAAAGTGCTCAGATCAGTTGAAGTCTTTTCTGTTTGCATCCTGTGATCTATGGAGACTGTATACGAAGAGGCAGAGCGGTCAGATCTGAATACTTTATTTGCCTTTTGAAAAGAAAGAAAAACGAAAAATGAAAAAAAGAAGTGCCCGGTCCTGGATTCGACCAGGGTCTCTCGAAAGGCAGGCCACCACACGGTTCAGAACCGGGATGGCTTAGAACCGCCCCCGCAGCGCCTTTTCCACTAGGCCAACCAGGCTTTTTATATTTATTACAGGTGGATCCTGTTACATAACCTACATTTTACATTACTTTTCAGCACTTATTAGCTCCATTTGACCTGCTCTGCCCTTTGGATATATTATACCAAACAGCGATGCGAATTTGAAATACGGAATATTGCTTAGCCCATTGTATTTGTGGATATATATTCCTCAGTCTCAATTCAAGTAGCACCAAACCAGTCTCCAAACAGCCTCACGGTCTCCTCCATCTGCTCTCGAAGATGGTCAGCCGTAGCTGGAGAAACCATGTTTTCCATGAATTCGAATTCGCAAATCGTTCGTTCCTGGGTTTCCGTAAACTCGATCAGCAATGGGAATTTAGCACCGGTGGGTTTCAACGGTGTCTCCTCGACATAAACACCGGGCATGCAAAGCGCCGCCCCGACCGAGTCATTGCGCCGATTGTAAACAACCATAACCTGGAATATCTCGTCCAAATTCGTGATGTCACGAATAGTCTGGAATGAGATGGCATGGGCCAAGGCATCTCGAACCGAGATACGCGCCAAATCGACCAGGTTAGAAAAAGAGTCCAAAGCAGTTGATTTCACATTCAGTCGGACTGGCAGACGGTTTAGAAACACGCCCAGCATTGATTCTGTTGCTGGCTCAGTGCGATCGACATGAGGGATGCCAAGAATCATGTCGTTGGTCTCTTGGCATTGGGCGAGAGTCACCGCAGTCAGGGCCAAGTACAGCTCCATAGAGCCATCGACGCGTCCGTTTGTCTTCCATGAAAATGACGTCGACTTCCCGATGAATTTCGATGCCTGACGCGTGAACAACTGCGCCGGCATCTCCGAAAGTTGAGTGTGCCAGAACACGGCGTTGGGATCGTTCATCCCTACCCGAGGCTGGCCGGCCTTCCACTGCGCCCAGACTGCATAGTCTGGCAAGTGCGTCAAATGGGAAGCATCATTTGCTTCTGTGTAACTGTTGGAATTGCGAAGATACTGGGCTTTGATTTTGCCCAGTAAGAGTTGAATCGCAGCTTTGTCTGTCACTGTATGGTGCTGCAAAAGGAGGATCTCCGCTCCGGAAGAACTGGGGCTAACATTTATTCGAGTCAATGGGCCTGTTGACAGATCAAACGGGCGATTAGTGAAAGCCTCCAGATCCTGATTTTGGGCTTCGAATTGAGTGACCTCACACGCTGATGAAGACTGGCCCCGTCGGACCTCGTCGTCTGAAACATAGAATCGACTTTTGAGAACTGATTCGTGTGATGTGACATCCACTACCAATTTCACAAGCTTTTCAACGTCCACATTACCCGTCAACGTGAGTTTGTATCCAACATTGAAGGTTTGGGGTGGATAATCAAGCGACAGCCGAACAAATTCTGCCTCGGACTCCGAGACAGCGTTGAAGGGTGGCTTGATTGACTTCCAAGCCACGATGAACGGCAACTGAGATTGTTTCTCTGTTGATGTCAACCAGTCCTCTATCGCGTCGCTGAGTCCTGAAAGATCTGTGGTCCAGATAAATAGCTTCAAGGGCAGTTTGAATCTCAGTTTCCGTGAAACAATTTGGGCCAATTTAATCTGGCTGAGAGAACTCCCACCAAGCTCCAAAAATTCCGAAGTGGCGTTGATGGTCACATCGTCATGGAGACCGATTGCTTCTCTCCAGCCCTCGGCAACCAATGCCTGAGTCTGCGTCAATGGTTGAGTTTCTTCGTTCTGCGTATGATGGGAAATGGAAACCAACGCTTTACGATCAAGCTTTTGGTTTGGCATTACCGGTAGACTAGGCAGTACCACTATTGCTGAAGGACACGCATATCTGGGCAACTTGGTGCGAAGTTTTGCCTGGATATTAGCAACGTTCACCGTATCAGGCTCGACGTAGGCGACAATATTATCCGATTGAACGATTGCTGCTGCCCTTCGGACGGTCGGATCAACCGTTTGGATGACATTTTCAATCTCAGTGAGCTCGACGCGATGTCCTCTGACCTTGACTTGGTTGTCGAATCGACCGATGAACTTTGGTTCTAGTTGCTCGGTCCAGACTGCGCAATCTCCGGTGCGATACATGCGCTGTCCCGCCACGAATGGATCTGAAACAAACTTTTCTTGCGACAAGCCTTGACGGTCAGTCCCGATATACCCTTCTGCAATTTGAATCCCACTCAGGCAAATCTCACCAGGCACCCCGATGGGGACTGGTTGACTTTGTGAGTCAAGAAGATAAACGCCCACGCGAGGGATTGCATTGCCGAGCGTCACTTCCTTCATTGGCTTTAAACTTTCAAACAAGCAGCCAATGGTGCACTCGCATGGGCCATACGAGTTGTATACTGTTCGTGTACCAGCCCATTTATCGGCTAGTGCTTGTGGAACAGCTTCTCCGGCGAATAAGATGGTGTCAATATTCGGATATTGGTCTGGCTCGCACACTGACAAGAATGATGGAGTAATCATGGTTGCGTTCACTCGTGTCAAGTGTGCGAACGGATCCACGGGGTCGGCCAGCACAAGTGTGGCGCCATAGCAAAGCGTCCCGAAAATCTCAGCCTGGTTCACATCAAATCCGGGTGAAAACATTTGTGCATGACGTCTTCCTGGGCGGGCATCCATTCGAGCTGGTCCATACGAAAGGTATGAGACGACCGACTCGTGCTTGATGCGAACACCCTTGGGTGCACCGGTCGACCCAGATGTGAAAGTGATATATGCGACGTCTTCTGCATTTGGTATCAATTCAGACCTGGTGCACATTTGAGTACTAGCTTGCAGCTCCAAACAAAGGGACCTTGTTTCACCCAACGCATCACCATATTGGGCGAAATATGCTTCATTTGGAAAGACGCAAAGCTCAACTGATGCGGTCTTCATCATGACCTGAATTCGTTCAATCGGCAGCTTCGTGTCCAGTGGAACATAAATGGCCCCGGCTTTGATAACACCGATGACAGCCACGAGCCACTCGAGACTTCGATCACTGACTATCCCGATGGCACTTCTTGGTGGTACTTGGGCTAGAACAGCTTTGGCGACACCATTTGCCTGCGAGTCGAGGTCTTGGTAGCTCATTTTTCGAGTCCCGGACTCAATTGCTGTTTCATTCGGCCACCGATCAACTCCCTTCTCAAATCTCTCTTTGAGATTAGAAGGCCCCATGTAAGGGCTCTTTAGATCAGATGAGGCCGATATCAGAGAAAGAGCTTCACAGGGGTCAAGCATCCTTTCCCGAACCCTCAAAATCTTCTCGCATGCAGGGTCAAGCAATGCGAGGAACAAATTTCGGAAATGAGACATCATCCTCTTTATCACCGGTTGTGTGTAAAGGTTCTCGTCGAATATGGCGTTGATTTCAAGACCACTGTTTCCTCGTCGAATAATTGTTGTCAAGCCAAATTCGGGAACATCCCTTCTGGAGAATCTCCACTTGTCCTGGTTTGGAAATTCGGGAAGATCATATTCCAAGAAAAGCATTGTCTGAAATGCTTGAGATTGTGTGCTTGGTGCTGCTTCCTGGAGGGCTTCTGTTGCAAACCATTGTTGTGAGCTGACTTGCAGCATCAAGTGTTGGACATGTTTGAGAAGGCAAGATTTGTTTCGCAGACTAGACATGCATACAGGCAGTGGACAACTATTGATAAGTGGTCCTATGGCTGTTTCAATACCTGGAAGATGCAAATGGCGCCCAGATACCACAGTCCCAAAAACCACCTGGTCTTGCGCTGTATAAGCCTTGAGCAGAAGAGCCCACGCAGTGTATATAACACTCGCAGATGACACCCCCAAGTTCCGACAAATCCGCTCAATTTTGCCTATCTCAAGATTAACCGTGACTCCTGTCCCACCAAGCCGAGTATGCTTTGTTTTCTCTCTCGGTTTGGGAAGTGTCAATGGAGTGGCTTCGGTCACCTTTGACAGTGCTTCACACCAAAACTTCCTTGCCTTGGCGCGTAAAGGACTTACATGCTGCGGCAGCTCTCTCGCGATTTCCAAAAATTGGAAGGGGTCCGACGAAAGTATCTTGCCGTACAGAAGATCTTGGACTTCCTGCATAATGAGACCCATGGACCAGCCGTCGACGCGTGTATGGTGGACAAGCCATAGCAAGTTGGCCTTTGTTGCGGATCCATTCACTATCATTCGGAAGGCGTTGAGTGGCCTGTACAGATTATCGGTGACATTTCGTTGAGTGTTTTCAAAAAGTCGATTCGACTCATTCGTCACCGCGACAGAGATGGCTTTATCAGCCGACGTGTGCTCTTCCCAGTCATGGTGATATTCTGTTTCCGTCTTTTGCTCTCCGGTATTCATGTCGAAGTATGTTGAAAAGATGGTATGTCTCTTCATGACGGTCTCCCAGGCTACCCTAACTCGGTCGCTATACCCTGTTTCTGCTTTCCAGGGCAAGTCGATGATAACCACCATGTAGCTCATTGCAGATTTTCGAACAGATGATCTGATCATGCCCATCTGAGTGGTCGTAATCGGGGCCGGTAATGACCGTTCATCTGCTGTAGGCGCAAGAGCTCTTGGGAGATCGAAGGCATCGGCTGGCTTGACTCGATCATACAACGCCGATAATGTTGTCGACGTGCAGATATCGTGGAAGCAAAGGGACACTCCTTTCTGGTGTAGAGTGGACATCAATTTGATGGCCAAAAGAGAATTGCCACCTAGTTCCCAGAAACTGCAGTTCATTGGAACTGTGTTGGCGGAAAGGCATAGTGTCTCTGCAACTGCCTCTTGTATTATCGAGCAAGGTTCAGCAAGAGCTTCGGTGGGCTCGATATTGAACGACTGCAACTGCCTAGAGATGAAAATCTTCTGCAAGGCTTTTGTGTCGACTTTGCCGTTTGAAGTCAGACACAATTCGTCGTATGCCAGAATCTGATCAGGCACGACGAACTCATCGTGTTTCTCGGACAGTTGTCGACGTACATCAACTGCATCTACAGTCTGGGGTGTCACCACACCGACCAATTTTCCTTCATGCATGAACGCCGCAGCAGAATGCACAGTGACGCATGATTCCAGACTGGGAATCACATCCGTCTCAAGGTTGATGAGATAGCCCCGGTTCTTGACTATGCTGTCCGAACGACCGCAAAAGACAATGCCCTCGTTGGTTCTGCGAGCCCGGTCGCGAGTCGCGAAGATTCGTAACCCTTTCCAGTCGAAGAATCTCTCACTCGTCAGTGTCTCATTCTTGTAAAAGCCAATAGCGAGGCCTGGTCCGCTGATGTGAAGTTCCCCCTCGTCGCATACCTCCAACTCGTCGTTCAGGATCAGAAGGCGAGTATTGGACATTGGCTCTCCCAAAGTGATTCGACGATTCGGTCGTAGCTCGGCCATACTCGCACAAATAGTTGCCTCCGTCGGACCGTAGCAGTTGTAAATTGACCTTTCTTCGCTCCACCAGTCTTGCAGAAGTCTCGGACTTGGGGACTCTCCACCAAGAAAGACATACTTGATATTCCTGTACTGCGCTGGATCGCCGAGAGTCGCTAGAAGGGACGGTGTCGCAGGGAGAATGGTGCATCGTTTTGCATCCTCCAACACAGCTCGGGGCTCTGAGAGCACCAAATGCGCACCATGGCAAAGAGTGCTGAAGAAAACTCCCCATGCAGCTATCATGAATTTCTGTCAGCATTATATCCTTGATCAAAAGGAATGAAGACTCACCATCGAATGCCAAAGAAAATAGAAGTAGGACTTTGTCGTTGTTTTGCACTCCCAAATTGAAAGGCATTCCATCATCCCTGCCTTGACTGACATAGTTCTCAACAGACGCGCGAGATATCACAACACCCTTTGGGGTTCCGGTCGTCCCAGAAGTGAAGATCATGTAAACCACTTCCTCTGGGTTCCGGTTGCAGTCAATAATCTCCCTTGACAGGTCGAGGGCTTCGTTTGTCGATTTGCCTCCAACGGCATCTTTTATCTCCTCGAAAGAGATGGACTGTATCTCGTTGGCTTTCAAATTCGTTTCCTGTGCTATGACAACAAGCTTTGGCTCAACCGCACGCAACACAGAGTCGACCCTAGATTGACTCCAGGATTCTCCATCGATCGGGACAAAGCAAACTCCGAGTCGCAGAAGGGCAATGATCGAAACCACGCTCTCGAAGTTCCTAGCGACGAAAATCGGGACTGCATCACCCACAACAATTCCCTGCGAAGCGAAGAGCGTGGCTAGCAACAAGGAGGATGACTCGACTTGGCCATAGCTAAGCGTTTTGTTGTATTTTGAGCAGGCAATTGCTTCTGGTCGCTCTTTTGCGTGCCTCTGGATGAAAGACCAGAGATGGGGGTGTTCTTGTGCCATCGAAACCATCAATTATGGTCACCTCTTGATTGAAAGTGAACAATAAATTGCACCAATTCTGAAGACTATACTATGATGAATGTCTGTGAAATTATCTCCTGGTGCAATCATCTAGGCTGGATTGCTATCAACCTTGGAAGCTGCTGTCTGGCCGGTGAATATTTTCGGCGACTATGCTCATCTCGGATTGCCGAGGGCGCCTCTTACTGAGTTGATGCTTTACGTGGTTCAAGCTATCTTGCTCAGGAGTACTAGGTAGCTTGGCGGGTGTATATTCGATTAATGACATGCTTCATGGCCCTATGTGTATGCTATAATGCATCGTTGCCGCAGAATCCATGAATGTAAACACATATCAGCGTGAAACTATACAGCGATCCATCTATCCAAACAACGACTGCTGTCCCACAGACTCCGCAGACAACTGGAATGAAGCACCCATACCAGCCAAAGAGCCGGAGAATATTGCGTTTGGCACATTCTTCATCAACCCACAGCTATCGCCAGCAGCAAAGACACCCTTGACACTGGTTTGGAAGAACGGTGGACCAGCCTTGATATCATTCTTAGGAGTCTTTTCCAATCCAAGATCATCAATGAAGCAGCCACGAGACTTCGTTTCAGGGGTATGTGCAAGGAATCCCTCAACCAAACTGGTGCCGTCTTCCAGAGTAACCTTTGGGTTGACTTTAGACACAGAAGTGATTTTCCGAGCTTCTGTTCGGAACTTGCTCTCTTTTCCAATTACCGTATCGATCTTCTTGGCAAGATCATCGGAGCCATTTGTGTAGATCGTGACCGATTTGCTGAAAGAGGAGGCCTGTCGTGCGACGTGCAGTGCGAGAGGGACGTTGGCGACACTACCGATAGCAAGGACACCGACAGACTCGGCATCCTTCTCTTCGTACCCTTTACAGAAAAGACAGTGGAAGCTACACTGTATCAGCTTTGGCTGTGACACCAGTTTGTATGAGATGAAATCGAAAACTCACATTCCAGTTCCCCATGCTTCGGCGTAACCGTCGATCTCAGGGAAGATATCTTCGACTCCGTTGGCCAAAATGAGCTTCTTTCCAGACCAAGTCTTGCCAGTTTCATCAGTAAGGGTGAAACCACCCGACGTGGCAGTTTCTGCTTTGACGATGTTCACATTATGTATAGCAATCTGATTGTATCGGGCGAGGATGTTTTCCAGAGCCTTGCCACGGTATTCGGATGGCTGGACGTGGTCGAATCCGGGGATTAAGTGCATGAAGTTGGCAGCATCGTTGCGGTAAGTTTGAGAATCGAAAATAGCGGAGCTGAAGTCTTGACGGGCAAGCGTCAGAGCGGCTGTAAGGCCGGCTGGGCCGCCGCCCACAATGAGAGCATCGACGTTGTGGGTGGGTTCGCTCATGTTGAGTCTTCAAAAAATTAAAGTCACCTTAAAGAAAACTTGGAGGAAACTTGAAGTGGAAGTTGTTTCTTTTGGGTCGTTGGAGGAGATTCGGAGAGACACAAATTGAATAATCTTGGAGTCTTGAGGCGAAGGATGGTAGCTGATTCAAATATTTGCATAGAATATCATCTTGAATTTATCTGCTAAGCTTCTTAGTCGCCGAAATATTCTCCGTCGGCTGCTATATTGTCATTTCCATCAAAGTGTAGTTTAATGAATTGTATTCGAAACTCATACTGAGAGAAGAGTATACAGACTCAGAGGAACCGGAGAACACACTGTCTCAATGCATGAATTCACTCTAATCTACTGAGCAGTCTCTGGCTTCTGGCCCCAGACAAAGTAAACCTTCAACGCAACCTTGTACTTCTCCATCTCCTCTGCAAAGCGCTTCGGCAAGTCTACCCACTCTTCCTGCGTCAAACCGATCATTTCAGGCCTATAGAATTAGCATCGCTTCATGCAACCTCAACAATAGTGCAGAGGGGAAAGAAACATACTTAGCAACAGATTGGAAAAACCCAAGAACAGAGAGCATATTACGAGCTCCTCGCTCGCCCATCTCTTGATTCGGGTTCGCCGATCCAGCAATCATATCAACAGCCTTATATCCTACATTGACAAACCCATTCTCCTCCAGTCTTCCTGCAAGCTTGGTCGCAGCAAGAGGATCCGAAACCACCCCGCTGGTCAGCTTGTGGACCGTCTGAACTGCCTTGCACGACTCAAGAGGCTCGGAGACGGGGGTCTGGAAATCCATCTCAACTAGCTGAATCCACCCGCCAGGCTTAACGCATCCGGTGAGGTTGGAAAGCACCAGAGGAACCTCCTCTGATTTGAACAACGGGATAACGAATCTTTGATGCACAAAGTCAAATGCATCTTTCCACTCTGTGGGAAACTCTTCAACCAAGCTTTGTTGGACGATCTTAAGAGGAGGTTTGGAGTTAAGTGGTGGGTATCCTTCCGGTCTTGGAGAACATTAGCTTGGATGTGAATTTGATAAACTGCTAGCACTTCGAGTGTGAACATACGCGTTGTCAAATCCTAGGAATTCAGTATCCTCTGGGAAAATCGGTCTTGCATCTTGCATCCAGTAGCCTTGTCAAACGTTAGTGTCTATTGCGACAGTCTGGAGATATTGTCACTTACCATCGGCAGTAGCAGCATCAAGAACACGCAGTTTCTCTCGCTTCGGGTCAATAGGGGCCAAGACAAGGCCATTTGCGCCCCCTTTCAGCCATTCATGCTGGTTTTGCATGCGTTCTGCCTCTTCGACATTGCGTGGCAGAAAGTATCTGCCTGTGGCGTCGGCCTTTTCTTCGGGAGACATGTTTTCGGGATAGATTGCTTTCGTATAATGGTTTCAGTGTTGTATCAAATCGAATTTGATCAATCCTCATCCTCGAGTATGATGATAGGACTATATAATGCTATACCTTCAGTTTGACTCCACCACTGGAGAAGGGTTTGGAATATCCATCGTCAAGCATACAACGGAGACTAAATTTTGTAAATTGTTTATGTAGAACACAGTGGGTTTTCGTTGGTCAGTTCTTCATTCCGGCGAGTATCTTCGGGGGGACCTTGGGGCGTTGGCGGTTAATCAACTCGTTCTAAAGTCTCCAGCCACAAGGGAACATTGGAAACATTGGAAACAAATCCACCTTCCCATTCTAATACTTGAGTAATTGGCTAGCAATCTTGTCAGTAAGTCAGACCATACAATAATCTACAAATATCCAAAGTGAGGGTAAGTAGTTGGTAAATAAAATTTTGAGTCTATGTCTATTCGGCTCTAATACCGAAAGTGGCACATGGTTGAAGACAAATCAAACGCCAGAGATGCGGAAAACAAAGGGTAAAAGAAATGGAGGTGCCAACCGCAGCAAGAGTATCAACAGGAAGAAATAGATGCTTGAACGCTTTTCAGTGAAGGAAACAGGGATCAAAGGGGATCGAAATCGAAGGAACAAAAAATATGCAAGAAAGGGGCTCAGAAGAATCAAAACATGATGTGCAAGAAGGAAAGATAGAAAGCATGGTAGAGGCCTAATAAGGCTGTTTGATCAAAGTGAACGGGGGAAATTTAGTCAGAAACGTCCTCATCCTTTCCAGGATACATGATAGCCTGACGATAGATAGCCCGAATGTGGTTAACAAAGACAAAGATGAACATGCAGAGAATACAAATAGACATAGCTGTCCCAACGCCCTTGATAGCGCTGCTGGAAAATGCATTGCCAAGGGTGATAGTAGCGAGGGTGAAACCAGTGTTGGGGAAAACCATAGCCCACCAGCTAAGATGGAATGCGGTAGGTGGAGAGCGAATGACAGCGATAGCTGCGATACAGAAGAACCAGAGGCTCAACGCCCACAGGAATGCACCGGCGGCAAGAGCAAGTACCTCCAGCATGCGTCCATCAGCGGCGGTGTCTTTGCTGTCCATGATGGTGAATGTGGATGGGAGACCGCGCGCCATACCGACTAGGGCAAGGGCTGTGAAAGCAGGTGGGCCAACACAGATAAACATTCCAGGACGGTGTTCACGACAGGGAAGACCCGATTCCATCAGCCGGCCGATGTAGTGGGAGTACATCATGAAGGAGATGCAGAAGCCGAGACCTTGGAAGGTGATGCCGGCTGTGACGATGGGGATGGCAGAGCGGTCTGGTTGGCGTTCGGCAATGACGGAGGCAATGGTGCCGCTGAGCATGACGGGGAATGCGGGGAGAATCCATGATGGCATCATGGTTTGGAGACGGTAGGTGTGGGCGGAAAACACAAAGGAGTATTGGATAACAGCGACGGCGAAGGTGCAGGCGCAGTAGACCCAGAAGAGAACCTCGAGGGTAGTGGAGAAGGCTGTTTCGGGGTTATCGCCAAAGTATTTCTCGAGACCGGTAATGATTGTTGCGACTGTCAGCCAGAAGGTTGGGAAGAAGAGGCCTTCACGTTCGTGGGCCAGGGAGCTCATGAATCCACCGTGGATGATGAAGCGAGCGGCCATGAGAGAGCACACTAGTGCGAAGAGAAGGATGTTGATGAAGTATACAGCAAGGCCAATTTCTAATAGACCTTTGAAGGCGTTGGGTTGGTTGGCTATCAGGAGAGCGAGACCTCCTCCGCTCATGGTGAGAGTGTACCATGCCCAGGTGAAATGGCGGAGACGCTGGCGGAAGTCCAGGGGGACATGTTTCTCGGAGTTCTTCACGTCCATGAAGGGGGTATCGGAGTGAGAGGAGTTAGGTGGTGGTGACTGATAGCCTTGGGGGTAGGCCTCTAGGAGGATTGGGTTGGACATGATGGAATGCAATGTGAGGACGCCCTAGGGCAAAAGATACAGAAAGAAGGAATTAATCTAATGACCTGTATGGAGTAGGTCTCAAGAAATTGGAAGAGTCAAGGCTAGAATGAAGCTGTAGGATGAATGATGAATAGGAGAGAGAATGGATGCACAAAAGAAGGCAATAGGAGATGTTAATATAGTTCACATGGGAGTGCAATGGCATCAGAATTTGAGATTCGCCAATGGCTGGCATGCTTTGAAGATCAACCAGCCAAGAAAGTTCCAAGACCACGACGCTTAAAAGAAGGCAGACTCAGGATATAGACCTGATGAGCGGTTTCGATTGGACCTACCACAGCCCTGAACGTTATCAGAGACCCATAAATTCGGCAAAATCCACAAGAATAGATCGGCCCAGGGTGTCGGGGACGATGGAAGACTGCATCAGGGGTCAAGCGCAGGGGGATCCGCGGGAGAACGGTGATCCACTGTGAGTCTGGGCAGATGTGGCATTCAGAAAACTGCGATGCCTGAACTCGAGTACGTGGACATTTTTTGCCAAGACCGTTGGTTGAAGCGATGCGTAACCCTCTAGCTGTGCGGCACTAGATGTGATCTGCTCTGTAGATACACAAGACCGGTTGGGAATGTGGGATCTGATCAAGATCTCATGTCAGTTGTGTTCCGCCGTAGATACTCCGTCCGAGAACTCGTACCAGCTAGGATGACCCAACGGCATCGTGCCGTCATTCGGGCCGACTTGGACCTCCAAGCCATGTTGAAGCAGCCCGAGAGCTCCCGATAGGAGACAGATGAAAGTCTAATACGCCAAACGCCAAGACGTTATGATCGACAGCGCATCATTGACGGTCCGCTGCCAAGCTTCAATTCGGTGGCTGTGAGGGCGCGCAAGCAGCGGATTGACGTCGATCGGCAGGTTACACCATTGCGTGGAAGCTGGTTTGACAATCGAATCCTGGGCTTTATGCAACGTATCCACGTAGTGGCGAAGAACACGAAAAAAAGAAGAAAGTTAAGTTGATGACTTCGATTTTGTGAAGTTCCAGAATCAAGTCCGGGAAAGGTCTTGGCACTTTGCCCCTTATCGTCTCTCTCCTCTTCACAGCCTCTTTGCCAATCCAGAACTACATCGAACTATTGACATTGGGTCTCTGCCAAGCGCCTGTGCACTAAGTCGATCTGTATCATTTTGAAAGGGGTTTCATGCTGATGATTTAGGCACTTCGCATTGGTTCTCACAATGATGTGATCTCCCCCTCGGCTCGAGGAAGTTGCCAAGATGCCCAGACTTGATTGTGATGCTCTGCAAATAGGCGCTGAAACATCTCAAAGATGGGCCTGATCACACTTTCCGATGAATGTTACCTTGTGCAGCTCCACTCTACAATCTGAGCTCGAGCCTACACGAACTAATGCTATGGATATTCCAGATGTTCGGGTATTCATTACTCTGGACGGTATGGGGTATATAGGCACTAGTACGGAGTACGGGGCAACAATCTGGGGATCTGAAAGATGTTCCACATTCTCAATTGCAAGGGGAAGAAGAAAAGGAAGCCAAAAAAGAACAGGGAAGAACGCTCAGCCGGATCGAAAACAGATTCAACAAGATTATGCGCCTCGGAAATGACAAATCCTATGCAAAGAACTCAAGAGGGTAGCAATGCAGGAAAACAAACTTCTGCAGCAAATTTCTGGGCACTCCTCCAACACACCCAATCACGCACTCTCGTCTCACATCATGCGATAAACAAGATCCGACGCCAATTCCGTCGTCATATCCAGCAGGGACCGAAGACTCTTTGGTGTTTCACCCCCCACTTTATCCACTGGCCGAAGTTCTGGCGTGCCCGTCGCGGACTCCGCTCGATACCGTGCCAATTCCTTAACCTTGCACGCTGCATAGTGAACAACCAATCTGCGGAGCTCGTTCTCGCGAAGCTGCGTCGCGGACGTCGGTGAAATGGGCTCCAACCGGGCCGTTTTCGTATAGGCATAGTGCACCAGGTCGAGAACGATCTGGGCCTGCGCGACAGGCTCCTCCGGCAGAGTGAGGAGGTCGGCGTGGAGCTTGCGGAGACACAGCTGCGCTAGGGCCGGGATGAGGTAGCGAGTGGCGAAGACGTAGACCTTCGCGTGGAAGGTGAGGTAGGGGAGGGTTGGGAACGTGGGTGGTTCTGGATCGCTTTCGTCATTGTATTGGAGGGATGTGAATTCGTCCCACAGACTGACGCCGGGCTCACATGGTGAGACGGCGCCTTGTTGTTGGGCGAAAGACATGTCAAGCATTGGTCTTTGGCGGTTGGCCCGGTCTTGGGCCCATGGATCTTCTGTGGGTGCTGCCCTTGGCGACGGTTCGCTCTCTGGCCAGTCTTGCACATGTGGTTGTGCCTCGGACTCTGGTGCTGGCTCTGCCGGCTCTGTCGCCCACTCGGACTCTGCAGGCCATTCAGAAGTTGCTTCCGGCTCGGGTTCTGCAGCAGATCTTGCTACTGGAGAAGGTGTGGATGGTGGTGTCAGATTGACTGGCTCGCAGGCGGGAGCTTCCGCTGTGGGCGGCGCCACCTCGTAGCTCGCAGTCTTGCCCACTTTCTTGCCCTTCTTCCCTTTTTTCATTTTCTTTGATTTCCTCGGTGTGTCCTCTAGTTCCCATTGTGCGGGCTCCTCGAGCGGCATCGCAGTCGGCTCTTCCGCTACTTCAGGGAACTCCTCAGCAGGGGCCTCACACTCCAGTGGTGCTGGGGGTGCCGACTCGGCTTCCTCATACACAGTGATATCATCCTCATGCTCGGGGGGAATCGCTGGCTCTTGCTCCGAAGCTTGAACATCCTCGCCATTCGGCGCGGTGGACTCGGGTTCAGGCTCAGGCTCGGCCACAGGCACGGGGGTAGAGCATTCTGGTACCAGTGTATCGGGCTGCGACTCCTGATATGTGGAGTGTGCAACCGAACTACGACCGCGACGGCGCTCCTCTGGAGGTGGCGAGGGAGCAGGCGGAGGTATTGTGGAGGCAATCGAACCAGTACGGTATGGCTCTCTCCAATTGGAGCCGAACGCATTGTCCGCTACCCCAGACTTGGGATCTTCTTCCTCTGTCTCGAGGTGAGGGACGCTGTAGTCGCCGGTATATGCATACTCGCAGAACGCCACGAAAGTTTCGACGTCTTCATCTTCCAATACGGCGATTCGGTGTTTTGATTCTCTGGTGTGGCCGTTCATCAGATTATGCAGGGGCTTGGAGACATGCTGGGCAAGACCCGACTGGATTGTCAGCTTGGTATGCTTTGGGCCGACAAGGAAGGTAAATGACGGTGAGTGGATAATACTGGTTTTTGTCAGCGACGCTTTGGTTCCTGACGGCGGGATACTTTACCTGCTATAGTCGCGAACGGCGGCCATGGTTGCTACGGAGTGAAAAATTCTCCTTCGGCGGGAGCTCACCGTTAAATAAATCACTTGAAAGGGTATCACCGCTACGTGTGCAGCTCCTATGGGGAACAGATTGACGCCCCGTCTACTCTGTACGGAGTACACTAACACAAGATAGGCGGTAGCTCAGACAGGATGTTGATATCCCAGCCATCCCAGCCCTCGTAGTTCCTATTGCACCTTTTCTCACCTTCTGTTCATCCCAGTAGATAGCCAGCTGCGTGGAATTCCCATATCCGCTATCAGCGAGATAAATCAACTTCCATGCAGCTATAGACCTGTGAGGATGTCGGCTGACGGTCATTTGTGCCCAATCCCAGCCTGTCAACAACCCAATCTGCGGCCTCACTGGTTGATTTGCTCTCGGGCTCCATAACGTCTTTGTGTGCTGGGATTTTGGAAGCTTCACTTTTTCGGATTTGTGGAGTTCTGAATGTGGCGGTCAACAGCTGTCCTTGGCCGCTGGTCGGGGGCCTGTACGGTGGACTATATGTCGGGTTTTGACGACATCGTGGACCTCGATTGCCTATGAGATTGCGATTGCGACTGATTTCAGGTACACAATCTGCCACTCTTCTCTGACTGGCTGAACATCTTCGGGCTCTTATGGTGTACATATCGATACTCTCAGAGTACTCTGTACTGAGAACCTCTGTCCTACGAATTCTTGGTACATGCAGACACCCACCTGACTTGATATTACAGAGTAGGGTGAATTCGGATATCTCGGGTCGAAAATGTGGTGTACAAAATGCACCGATTAACTCGTGTGCATTAATCTGATCTCTGTGTTGCCAGGCTCCCATTCCCGCAATCCTTCGCCAACGCTGTACCAGAAGCGAAGTCGAATACATTCCTTCCTTGCAGCCTCAAGGTCACCGCTCTCAAATGCTTTGCCCAACACCTCCACACACTCCAACACCCGAATTTCATTCTCCTTCTTCAACGCATTGATTTGTCCCTCCCCTTCAGCAGTAGCTCCAACCTCCTCAATAGTCTCCTGCACTTCCATAACCTCCATCAATGTCTCAGGATCGAGCGCATGCTTAGTCGCCGCATCCTCTGCCGTCACGTCGATTCCGTGCCATTCGCGAAGAACGTACTGCGCGCGCTGAAGCGGGTCAATCAAGGTACGGTAGGCTTCATTGATCCGGGCAGACAGGCCTTCTGCGTGCTGCTTTTCTGTCCCGTTGGGATACTTGTCCGGGTGGACTAAGCTTTGGAGTTGTAGGAATTCGCGTTTGAGGTCTGCAGTGGGGATGGTGAAAGGTGAGGCTGGTGGAGGGCCGCCAGGTAGCGTTTTGGCGAAAATTGTGTAGTAGTTTGTGATATCGGGCGCTCCTGTGAGGGCTGGCCCGCTTGGTTTGCTCGAGGACTTGGTTGAGGCGCGTCGGGCGCTTGTGATGTTGGTTTGTTGATGAATGCCGGCTTGCACGGATTGGTGATACCGAGCATTTTGACTGGATGGTAACAGGGATGCCCTTGTGAGGGATCCCACTGGGCCATGTAGCTGCGCTACTTTTTGTCTTAACGCCATGCTTGTGTTGGACAAAGAGCTAGGCTCTCTCTTTCGAAAACAAAAAGCCCGCGGATGCCATTACGTCATCTCGGCTTCGTTGCCGATGATCACGTGCATGTATAGATGCCCTACATCTGTATAGATTCGAATGTTGGATGGACCTTCATTTGCATATCTAGGCCAAAATAAATTCCATGGGATGAGTATCATAATTCCCTGTAAGCATAAGTAGACTTGTGTCTGTCTCCCTAGCCCTAGAGGACTTGGATCTCGGGAGGACTCCAAAATTAAACCGACGTACTCCGTTTTCAATGGACTATATATATATAGTTCATGTTCGAAACACAGCCCCCCTCAAAATGAAATTACCTGCAAGCCTGCGATTACTACTCATGCAGAATAGGATGGCATACTCCGTCATAACAATAAATGCCAATAAATGCCAAGATAAGTACTTATCACCCTGCATCCATGATTGCGTTCGCTACATTCAGGATAGCCCAACTTGCAACTTTAGAACGGCAATGAATATCTTTAGATTGAGGTATCATCGTGAAATCACACTCATTCTAAAGTTGTAATTCTGAATTTAACCCAGGTCTATCGTTTCTTGTTCGAGAATCCAACAGGTTGATTTTACAAGTATCATTTGAGCAGCTCCAGGTCTTCACCTGGGCAGTTATCAAGCTAAGTGTCCACAGTGATACTGGATCTGTGTAATGTTGGATATAAACCAAGGCAACTTTGCCTAGTATATTTGGGAGTAATTCAAAGCACAATACAAACAATGGCACTTCATGACAAAGACCATGAAGGCCAAAAAATACAGGAAAATGCAAAGCGAGTCTAGAAGATAGCTATCTACTCGGTTCGCAGAACACGAGGACCCTTATGTTTGGTAGCACGCTTGCGCTTGAGGCCCTTGTCAAAGGCAACAGCATGGCTGTGATCACGACCGAGGTTGTCTAGGTCCTTGACCTTATAGAGACGAACGATCCAGTTCTCACTAGTGAAGGCCTCCTCCAAAGTGTTGAGCTGGGGGCTTTCCTTGGGCAGCTTGGTGCCACGGACACGGTCCATGGCCTGACCGGCGGGGAATAGGCTCTGGTAGTTGTGGTAGGACATCTTGTACCTGTTCAATGGGTTAGAAATAGCTCAAAATCTGGGGAGGGAATGCTTACATCAAGCTGTTCTTCATGGCGGGGGTAGCCTCCTCGTCAACACGGTACTCGCCACGAGCAGTGAAGTAGTCACGCTCCTTCACCTCATCGGGCCAGATACCCTCAGCAATGCGAACCATCCAGAGGAACTTGTTCAGGTCATCACCGGAGTAACCGAGAAGTCCACCGAACACGACCAGAACATAGTCGACGTCATGCTGGCGGAGGATGGGGTAGCTGACTTCCTCGCGGGAGCTCATAGCCTTACCGACAGTGGCAATGTGAGTGTTGTTCCAGGTGTTGTTATCAACCAGAGTGGGGCGATCAGCCATGCCACCAATCTGATATCCATAATCCCACCAGGACATGATCTTGGCATTGTCGGGGGTGTTCTGGCGGAGCCAGTAGTAGGCCTCACGGTAATCGTCAATGATGAACTGGCTTCCATCGGGAAGCTTGCTCGCCAAGACGACGGATGGGGAAGAGTATGCGTTGGAAGTAACCCAGGTGCAGTGTGCAACGAAGAGAAGCAAGTATAGAGTGACCGATCCAGTGACAACAGCCTTGGATAGGTAGGAGTAGATACCGACAACGGGTTCCCGAGTCGAACGAAGCGACTTGTCCTCGGTGCTTGCCTTGGCCTTGCTCTCAGCGGTGGGGCTGGGGGTTGACGCAACCAAGAAGTTGTCAAGAATTGCAGACAAGGCCAGAGCAGCAGCAACACAAACAATGGGAGTCAAGGTAAGCATCAGACGAACCATGACACCAGCAAAGTAACTAGCAAGAACGGAGTAGATAACAACGAACACGTGCTCATCCTTGAGCTTCTGGAAACACATGAACACACCTGCTGGGAAGAGCCAGATCAGGAAGTTCAAGTCAAAGAAGAAGGCGGGCCAGGCAGTGGGCTGGTGCTCAGAAACGGAAGCAATAATCGGAATATGAACCTTGGCGTAGCCAGTGTCCCACAGGGAGTAGAAACGACCGCTCCAGGGAGCAATCACTCCGGAAACAGACAGCAAAACAAGACCACCGAGTCCGAGACCCACAGTAAGCAGAATCATAGAAGTCAGGAGCTTCTGGAACTGCTTGCCAGGGAGGTAGCTGCGGATGAAGTCCGCAAATGCCACCAGCTGGATCAAACCGAAGACACCAAGAGCGGACATGTGGTCACTGTTGCGAATGGGCAAGAATCCAACGAAGGGAATCTGCATACTACCCAATGTTCCCAGAGCATACCAAGTGGTATAGCTGATGTAGACACGAGAGCTGTATCGGCCCATGCAAAGCAGGACGAAGACATGGAGAGGAATCAAGTTGGTGATGAAAACATATCCACCCCAAGCTGAGACCATGTATCCATAGAACAACGCAGTCAAAGCTCCCCACATGATAGATCCATTCTTGACAGCCTTAATCCAGAGGTAGAATGTGAACACCAGGAGGAAAATTGCAATGGCTTCGTTATCGTAGCTTCCTGCGACGGAACGCGAGATGTAACCGGGAGTGATTCCCATGAAGGCAGCAGCCAAAAGACCCGCCGAAGGAGAGGTAGACATCTCAGATGTCAGAAGGTACATGGCCAGGGCTGTCAGCCCGGAGAAACCGGGGGCGAGCAGCACACAGACGTTGCGAATGTCGACGGGGATCGTAAGGAGACGAAGGACGTGGTAGATAATTCCACTGGTCACCATCAGACCAGGGTACAAGGTGCCACCAGTGACACGACCCAGAGGGTGCCATGTTCCTATATAGTGGTAATTCAATCAGTATCGTGCACGATATCAATTGAACTCGAGGACGCGCAATCAGGAGGAGACGTACGGTCATCAAACCAGTCCCAGAAGCTATAGAAGCCATTTTCGACCAAATATTTTGTTGCACGGAAATTGAACCACGGATCGACTAGAAGATAGGTGTTAATATCTCATGCATGTCGCAAAGTTGAGGTGTAAATGTGCTGCCATATCTGGCGCAGGGTAGGACAATCGTACATTCGTGGATAATACTTTCAAAGCCTGGGAAATAGTCAGTATGTCAATCTTCAAGAATCTCAACCAACACATACGAATAACACTGAACAATCGGCTGGATACAGCGGCGGCGGCAATGGTAACAAGAATGATCACCCGCAATAGACCGCGCGTGTTCCGGCCGGAGCTGCCTTTCAGCAGAACATCAAGGGAAGACGGGGCCATAATGGCCAAAGGGAGCAAAGTCCAAGATCAGAAATCAAGAAAGAAACATGAAATCAAGAAACTAATTGGGCCGAGATGCCAATGGTGAGCGTGAGTTGAGATGGGAAGAGTGAGAGCTGCGCAAGGTGGTCACTTCTGAAGGTCTTGGCACCGGCGAGAGGCGCCACCTCCGATTGCTCCCCGCAATACTGCGAATCATTCTTTCGCTTGTCCCAGTCTTGGTTTCTTTGTTTTTTCTCTATCCAAATTACTTCTGTGGTCTTGTCACACTAGAATCTCCCCTTTTGAAACTACACCTTCAACTAAACCGCCCTTTGGACACACCATGGAGCTGCCCCGGCTGACGATTGAGCAGCTCTCAAAGCTGGTGGCCTCCAATTCCCCACCTTCACAACTGTTTGAGGCCTTGACAGAATATGAGCAAGAAGCCTGTCTTATGACAGAGGGAAGTGGCAGATCGGAAGGAGCTATCAGCAATCCTGAGCTGCTCAGTTTATTCTACTCGAGCTTCTTTCTTGTCCATCTCCTCACTGACCAAATGTCAGTCACCCCCAATGGTGCTTATACAGTGATTTCTATATTAACAGACCCGAACAGATCCGAAGCTCATGCCTTGACGAAACGAATGCCCACAAAGCTCAAACACGAGGATCCCTCGCTCCAGAACTGTTTGGCTCTACTGCGAGCGGTATGGCAGACTGAACATGGTCAGGTCTACCGAATTCTCCAGGAACTGCCATGGCCAGAAGCTGTTCGGCCACTAGTACAGAGATATGAAAGTATGTCTTCTATGCGTGTCGAGTTGCTCTTAGTGGAGGCTAACATCTGTGGTCTATTGTTTAGGTTTTTTCCAAGACAAGACCTTGATCTCAGTGAGCAGGTCTTACGAAACCATCAGACTGTCTGTCGCCGCATTCTACCTCGGTTTAGATCAAGATTCAGCGGTGCAAGAGGATCCAAACATCATAGCAAACTTCACAAAGTGTGGATGGAAATGGGACCCGGATACAAAGCTGTTGCATCCTAAACCCATTGTGGTACGCCCCGCGGAAGATCAACCGTACCACGGCATCCGTGAAGCAATGGCAATGCTCGGGGCCCGCGCAAGTTGAGACGCCGCGGAAACGCTACGCAACACATGTCAATAGACGATATCCCTTCCCCCATGCTACGCGGCTCTGCCCCCGCCCTGAGCGTATAATTGCAAGGGCAGAGAAAGCCAGCAGCCGGATGGAACTGGCACATACAAGGGACTTTGGAAACGCCGGAATGCATAACACGATCTTTTGCTCTTGCTTTGGTCCAACTGTAGTGTACAGGCGCACGACAGCCCAGGGTATGTACAGGACCCAGATAAAACGTCTAAAAATGAGAAACACAAATCATTCCATCTTTCGCTCGCAATGCCACGGCTCGGGGGCATATTAAACCCAAACAATCGTACAGAAATATGGTGTGGAGTCGAACCAATCGCGTCTTATACCCTGGGGGAGGTGCGATTCCCGCAAAGAGATCATTGCGTAACATTCCTCCTCAACAGGTTCCGTCAATTTATTCGTAGGACTTGAGGAAAGCCTCAAGGTCGAACTTGGGGTCCTCGAAATTCGTGATGACTAGGTTGGTAGTTAGTATTGCGAGAGTCTTCGGGGCAATGCGGCTGCTTCGGGTATCCTGGAGAATATCGAAGTGGCAGAGTCGTAGGGGGTACACATACGTCCACCTTGTGTCTTGGTCTCCTGCTGGGGCTGGGTCTTCTTCTTGTACTCGGCCTTGGCCTGCTCGATCAGGCGCTCCTTGCGGGTGTACTCATGCTCGATCTCTGCGCGCTTGGTGATGGAGTTGAGCGAAGACTGGTGGTAAACACCGTAGACGAGACCGGCAACGAGAGCCGAGTAACGGAAGACCTAGGGGTTGGACGTGGTTAGCGGTCGTCGGAATTGAGGGTGAGGTGACCCTTAGCTGGGACTCACATTAACACCCTGGGAAGCCATTGTGAGAGGTTTGTGAAAGAGAGGAAATTAAATAGAAGATCAAATGGCGGTATAAGGAAGGTCCGTTTAACAGGTGTCAACCGTCAATGGCAATGAATCTCCGAGTTGGTCAATGGCGAGGTTCAGTTCATGTTCTGCGCGCGCGAGTTTTTCCGGGCCGCTCCCCAACTTCCGAAAAGTTGACACCTCAGGCCACAGTGAGCTGTTAGTCATCCCGATAAACACTCCACGGGTGATACTACTGGCGCGACAGCTCGTGTCTCATCGATTCATGATCGCCCAAGATGTCGATGCAGCAGCGAAAGGATGAGATCCTTGCCAAGCGGGCAAAGCTTGCCGAGCTAAAAAAGCAGCGAGAGCTTCGTCAGAGGGAATTCACTTCACGGACTAGCGTCGGGGATGCCTCAGAGGTAAACAACAGCGCATACATGGGCAATGGAGCTTGAGTCTAACAGCATGGCCAGATTGTTTCACCTGCGCCTAGTCACCCGGGCAATAGACATGAGCTTGATGACCTGATTGCTCGTCTGGTCGACCGCCCAGCGTCGGCCTCACTCAGTCAAGGTGCCGATGGCCAGTCGCGGCGAGGAAGCCGACCAACCTCCGTTTTGAGCGCCAGTCAATTGAGTGGAGAGAATGCCGACGCCTATACGTCCCCCTCGCGACCACAATCCCAGTCTATTGCCGTTCAGACTATGGGCGAGGAGACTTATACCTCCTCCCCAACTGAAGCCCCACCTCCCCCTGACCTTGAATCCGGTTCCAAACCTAAGCCAGAAGTCGTCACGTACAGCAAAGCAGTACAAACAGATGGACTGGACCAACAACCAGAGACACCCGAGGGATCTGATGTTTCCGACAACGAGGATGCTCCTGGTACCACGCGATCTAGCAAACGACTTAGTCGACGGGAGAAGGAACGAGACGAGGAGATCTTACAAAAGCTTCGCAAAGAAATCGAGGAGGAATTACGTGCTACCAACCAGCAGGACGATAACGATAACACACCTGCGCAAACCCAGCTACGGTATCCTCTACGCACGCTCGATGACGACGAGCTGAAAGCAGTCACGTCGTCCGACGACTTCCTAGACTTTGTCGAACGGTCTTCGAAGGTCATCGAGCGGGCCTTGGATGAGGACTACGATGTTTTGGCAGACTATGAGCTTGGTGGAACTGATGGGAACTTGCAAGAAGACGACGAGAGTGGAAAGAAAAAGAGAGGCATGCAAGAAGTATCTCATTTCTGGGACGAAAGATGGAGCAAGAATCGCATAATCAGCGACTTGAGTTTCTCTCCAAAGGTGAGGGCGTCGAACCAATTGAATTCTGGCTTATTGCTGACTTTTGTTTTAGTTCCCCGAATTGTTGCTGGCATCATACACTAAAAATACATCAGCTCCTCATGAGCCTGATGGCCTGGTCCAGATCTGGAATCAGCATTTGCAATCTCGTCCAGAATATGTTTTCCACTCCACCTCCGACATTCTCACTGCCAAATTTTCTCCATATCATCCAAACCTTGTTGTCGGAGGTTCCTATTCGGGACAAGTACTCGTATGGGACACACGATCCTCCCGCGCTGGTGGAGGCTCCCCTGTCCAGAAGACACCCCTGACGGGCACTGGACACGCCCATCCGGTTTATAGCATCTCGATTGTTGGTACACAGAATGCGCACAACATCATGACTGCCTCTACAGATGGTGTGGTCTGTGGCTGGACAATGGATATGCTTTCCCACCCGCAGGATCGCGTGGAATTAACCACACCACCTCCATCTAAAACGGAAGATCTTGCTCCGACAACAATGTCATTCCCTCACACCGATCCTACCTTCTTCATCGTTGGTACCGAAGAAGGAGTTATTTACCCCTGCCATCGGTACGATCGAGCAGGAGCCAAGAGTGGCACAGACCATCGCCTAGCCTACAAGGGCCACACGGCACCGATCATGTCTACTGCATTCCACCCTGGTCGCGGACCCGTGGATCTGGGAGACCTCATGCTGAGTTCCAGTCTTGACTGGAGTGTTAAGCTTTGGCGTGTGCGGCCCCCAGCGACCACCGCGTCAGCCACATCCATCTCAGCTCCTCAAGTCATCTCACCAATCCTTGATATCACCCGTGATGATGTGGTCTATGATGCGCGCTGGCACCCAACCAAGCCCGGCGTGTTCTCTCTTGTCGATGGTGCTGGTAACGTCGAAGTGTGGGATCTCGCATCAGACACCGAGGTCCCGGTTGCACGTGAAGTTGCCGACAACACGCACGGCAACATTATGTCACGCAGTCTTAACAAGGTTGCATGGGATGAACGTGAAGGCCGACGCTTGGCGACTGGTGGACTCAATGGCGTTGTTACAGTTTATGAGGTGGGTAAGGGTCTCTGTGGTCTACCCGAAGAGGTTCCCGCAGATGAGTGGACTGGTATGAAGAGACTGGTTGGGAAGCTGGAACAGAAGGACAAGGATCGGGTGGCTTGAATTCACCACTCTACGAGCTTGTGTTTCCAATGATTTGTCGATGTAGTTTTCTTCCGGCCGACTTCCCCGTCTACCTTTTTTTCCTTTGGGAGGCGTACCGTCTTGCTTGCCATATACCCCTTTCCCTTCACACAATTTGTGCATGTGCATGTATCTCATCGTCAATGTCATTGTGGTTCAATCATTTCGTCTGCCATATGCACTATGATACCCGTGGGTCCAATACTCAATTCCTCCATAATGCCATGTTCGCAATGGCCTAGTATACGACAGTGAAGTCAAGATCTCCATCACCCAGCATGGTCTCGATCTTGTTAATTCAAGACCCGAAGGTCTCGACTAACCGGTGATGTCAAGCCGAAGACCCATCTGAGCTATCTTGGGGTTTGGCCCCAAGAGATCCATCGAACAACGTTCTATTTTAAATATCGTAGCAAGCCAAGCTGAGGGATATAGTAATCATATGAATAGCCATATTTACGTTATGTCCCAAGGCACCGATATCGGGCCTGTGATCGAATTAGCTTCCAGGTCCAACCAAACATAGAAAGTTTGCTTCGCCGAACCAAGCCTGATCAAACGTGGAAACCAAGCATACGACCACCTATATCCATTTTGCCTCGGTGTTTGGCATTCTTCACGTCCACCCCTACAGCTAAGAGCTAGCTTTCAATTGTTCCCGAGGTCACCGTCGGCGCCAAGCGGCCACAACTTATCACCGAGCCAGATACTTGCAACGGAAGTCCACCGAGATTCCCCGAATATACGAAGGTTTCAAGAAACCTTCGGTCTACGGTGATGTCAACCGTTTTAAGATGGCGAAGACCCTTCGGAGCCACTGATATCCCGCCGATCCGGTTCCACGGGTATGCCAACTCTATTTGGATAGACTTCGAGCTTGCGTCTGATAAACCAATCAGAACGATCAATTCTTCTTTGTCTCGTGGGCTTTCTTTGTGTCTACCGACTTTCGTGGCCCTCGTCCCGCGAGTCGGCGAAAGGCCTTTCCTATCTGGGATTCTCTAGTGGAATCTGTCCGTCGCCGCGTTCTTTATTACTTCACCCCATATAATGTACGGCCCGCCTCTGCGGTGTTTTCTGTCACAGTATCTCAACACCTACTACTAATGGGGAGGTCTATGCACTCTCTTCCATCATCATCATGGGTTTGGGTTGGGTTCCGGGGGATAGAGAGCCGTATGGTGGCAATGCCCTAGTGGGAGCTGCCATAGGAATTTCAGTTGTGCTCGTTCTGTTCGTTGCTGCGAGGTTTTGGACTCGCTTTATGCAGCGGGTGAAGATTGGACTCGATGACTATCTGATTCTCCTTGCCTTGGTATGGAATATCGATTTCGTGTGGCGGAAAGTGTTAACATTTCGTCTAGGCGGCAAGTCTCGCAAAATGTGCCATCTACATTTACCGTATGTGTTTCTCTATACAACGAAAGATAAATGCTCACATCATATCCAGTGGCCAAAGTCGTTGGAGTCGGATATCATATTACGCAAGTGGCTCAGACGCCCGAAAATCTAATATTTCTAAGAAAGGTATGTGCCAAAATGAAACACCTACTGTGATCCCAAGCCAACCAATGAATCAGTGCGTCTTTGTCCTCGAAATCCTGGACTATCCCCTCAGCGTGACACCGGCCAAATTGGCCCTGCTATTATTCTACACCCGCATCTTCACATTTCGCAAATTCCGAATCGGTGCCTACGTGGTAGGATCATTGGTACTTGGGTTAGGGGTTGCAGCTCTATTCGCAACCTTCTTCCAGTGCCAGCCTTTGGCATTTGTCTGGAATAGGGCAATTGCCGGTGGAAAATGCGTGTGGAGGCTTCAAATCTACCGCATCTTATCACCCATCAACGTTGTAACTGGACTGTTGATCATTATCTTGCCCATTCCAGCAATTTGGAAATTACATGCACCCAGAGGGCAAAAGTTGGCATTGACTGGCGTGTTTCTTTTGGGTGGGCTGTGAGTTACATATTCTTGTTGAATCTGGTCATGACAGATACTGATCCATCATAGGGGTACTGTTGCCAGTATCTTAAGTATGGCCATCTTCTTCGCCGAAAAGCAGGTGGCCATGGATGATCCTACATGTAAGAGCTCACTACATTCTATATGATCACTTGTCACTAACACAGTCAAGTGGGATTCTCCGTCGAACTAGGCATCCTCGTGGTTCTCGAAAGTGGCATCATAATTGTCGCAGCTTGTCTCATGAGTATCTGGCCTTTATTCACCAGAATGATCCCCCGGCGTCTCCAGGCCTTGTGCTCTCGTATGCCGCGTGAGAATCACCACCAGCATTGGTATCTCAGAGATAATTGCGCAAACACCAAAAATGATGGGAGAATTGAGCGTCATAGGGAGATTCGCTTGATTAGAGAGGAGGCTTGGAATAGCTCGCAATCTTCTCCTTGTTCGTTGGCGGATTTGGAAGATCAACGGTTGTCCATTCTTGTTGATGACACTGTTGGAACTTGTGGGAGTGACGGGAAGCAGTTTCATACTAAAAGTACTTTATAAATTAATTATATCATTAATACAAAATTCGAGGACTTGTATTGGCATCGAATACCGTCATCTGGTGAAGTATACTATAGACTGCAATACTTTAGAACAAACTATGTATTCACAATATAGACTGTAGCCTTGATGGTGCGATTGATGATATCTGGTCTCGTGGAATCTTGTGAATGTGGTGTCCTACAGATCCTGAAGTCATACTGAAGACCGACAATCGGTCGATCCTGAGATCAAAACGTGTATCGAAAGCCAGGCTGTAGCTCGTATGTTAGTTTTCCTATATCTTAGGTTGGACAGAGGATACATACCACACCCTCCAGTATTTTTGCCCCGCTTGCTTGCTGTCGATTCGCGATGTAAAAGTAGATCGTGAACATGCCCAAGATACCAATCATCAGGATGTGAGAGCTAAATAACATTAGTATGGAGTCCGGTAGAATTACCCAAGTACCATGGATCAACCTACCCAATCGACACCCAAACTGCGGTTGAATACTGCGGTGCTTCTTGCTGACGCACAATATAACTACCTGCCACGCCACCTAGACCATTGAAAGCAGTGATAGTCGCTGCAGTAGCCACTCGCTTCCATTGACCAACGATATTATTGGCTTGGAAAGCATTGAGGGCAGCCCAGTTCGAGACATAGGCACCGGTTGCCAAGAACGTCCCAATATACCGCACAGCGAGCTGTGAAGAGGAAGGAAGTCCAAACATTAGGAATCCGGCTATGAGCATAAGAGCATTGAATGTAATTAGTGGACCTCGAACGCCATAGTGATCTCCAATAAAGGAGGTGAGAATGACGGGGATAATGGCGTAATAATATGGCTGTCAAAGATGTTAGAATAAGGAGGTCAATGTCCCGAGCTAACTTACCGGCGTGGCAAGCAAAATTGACTTATTTGAACTGAACCCCATTCCAGATTGTAGGATTATTGGCAAAAAATATGCCAAGGCAGTGGTAATAGAATTCAGCAAGAAGAACATGCATGCGAATCCGTAGATCTTCAGATCCTTAAAGGCAGCCAACAGCGTTCCCCACGAGAACGGCTCAGGCACAAGATCTGCACGATCATCTTGAATACGACGAGAGGCAATATGCGCCTCTTTTGCCGTCAAGAAGTAGAAGCTGTGTTGGGCATTCTCTGGAAAGTCGACCATCCACCAATAAGTGACGAAGCCCAAAAAGCAGGTAATCAGACCCTGAACAAGGTACATCCAACGCCATCCAGCCAGCCCAGCCTTGCCATTTAGATGGTTCAGACCAAAATTCACTATGTTGCCTGTGGCAAAGACGAACACCTCCCCAGACTGCAGATACGCATATCGGAGCTGCTGCTCTCGTCGGGGATACCAAGTGCTGATCAGGTAGGTGAGACCAGGGTAGATGCCGGACATGGAGATTCCCAGCAAAATTCGCAAAGCGATCATCTGGCCCCAGGTATGAATGAACGCGGTACACATTGTCAACAGCCCGAAGAGAAATGTGATTGTCGCGAACCACAGCCGAGGTCCGACGAATCGCACGGCTAGTGTGCATGGTAGCTGGAATGCAACATTGGCGATTGTGAAAATGAAGATGGACACTGAGTATCGGTTGCCGTGGTTTAATTCCAGGTCTTCTAGCATGGTTGTTACCGATGCAGAGGACAGAATGCCTGAATCTAATAGGTTGAGACTGCACAGTAGGCCTGCAATGGTGCAGAGGCGTAAATCGACTTTGAGTCGAATCTGTTTTTCGAGCGCATCTCTCTCATTCTCGTTTGCTTCCGTTAAGACTTCAGACGGCAAGTCCAGTTGGGCCGAAACATTAGAGGGTAGTAACGCGGTGACTGGCAGGAATTGACCCTTTTCCGAGTCGGCCATTTTTGAAGAATCCAAGTCGCAATCGAGCATTCAAGGACAAGGACTTTGAAGGAGGGGTTTGGTTTCTGCATACACATATGTAAGCACGCGATCTAGTTTAGGAAGTGGATTCCCGAGGCTCCGAGATCCCGAGATTCAAGCATTTGATCGACTGGCGATTATTTGAGAGGTTTCAGTGAGCAACAATTGAACTTGAGAGGTTCGTATGTGTTGCTGCTCTTGGAGTCTCGGGGGATACGGGACTCAGTGGCCAAGGTTCAGATTTGGCTTGACACCAGGCTCACTTCAACATAGTTGTCCGCCGTTTGAGCATAGTGCGACCTTCATGGAAAGCTTGAGTATGTCTGAGACTGACTTATTCTGTGCGGACTACGTAAGTATGGATTATTCCACATGTTTTGATTTGGACACAATTCTCCAGAGCCGGAGGCTACTTATATTCCGTGATCCTTCTGGGGTTTACTTTACTATAGTTTATACTCCGTACTCCTATCCAGGTTTCTAAGCGAGGTGTACATCTGTCCGCGAATACTCAAAATTCCTTCTCTGCGATCAGTCCGGATATGGATGCATAATGTCTGTCCTCGTCTCCTGGAGCTCGAGCACGATTCAAAGGTCGAAAGTTCTAGAGCCTCATCGTCAATTTTACTCTCCAAGAACCCGACCTGTTTCATGTCGGCTTTAGTCGCCATTGTACTGAGCCGAAGTCTGCATATGATCTGTATGACGAGATGGTGACTGCCACGGCTGTCACAAAGACTCATCCTGGTATGAAGATGCTGAGAATATTGCGCTATAAGCATCCATACTTGGAAATGATTACTACTTGAGCAGTGATTGTATTCAACACAAAATGTCCATGCTCAACCTACTTTACCAACGTAGTTCGTTGTACCCACCAGAACGGCGTACTGAGTACGTAGTACGAACACCCAGCGAACAACACATAAGCACCTCGGCAGTTTAGCCCTGGCCCAGTCTTGGGCGACATCAACATTGGTTTGAGGCTGTAAACGGAATGTGAGCCGTCTGAATCTGGGATTGTACACGAGTAAGCTTGAGCTTTTCCATTGCGGTGAATGCACGGAGCACTCCATATTGGGTATCTTCCGCACCTGTACTCCGTAGTAGTACTCGTAGGGAGTAGACTAGCCCATGGGGTCTATTCGTATGCACTCTAAAAAGCAATATATTGAGATAGTTTCCACTAATCCTGTATCTCGTTTCTTTTTGTTTTATCTGATTCAATAGTATCACAATGGTTCGGTCGGAGATAGAATTCTACTCCGAAAGCACGTCGGTCCGACGATACTGAGCATACTGGTATATTACAATGATACTAGGTGACAGCTCCATTGAGCTTTCAAGATCGAGGCCAATAGGGAAAATATCTCCGTAGTTGGAGGGGAACCCAAGAGCATTTGCATTAATTCGTAGAGACAATACCCAATGAGACTAGGATATCATACAATTTCACAATACCCAACTACTTAGACCTGGCTAATATACAAATATACCAAAGAGCAAACAGCAAACAGCAAACAGCAAAGTGGAAGCCCTCGACGGACCCACGGAACCTTGGAGCTTGGGTGTTTTGCCCCACGTTCGGTCGAATGGAGCCGAATGGAACAAAACACGCTCTTCTCTCCGCATTTCTCTCAACTACGAAAACATGGTCGAACTCATTCACCCCCCAGAGACTCGTCAGCTTCTCCCTCCCCTCCTCGCCTGCCTTCCACTCGCCTTCGTCTCGCCCCGCGCACCTCCAGCTCTCCTCCCGCTCCTCTCCCCCATTCTGCGCCAACGAGTCGGTGTCCTCAGCTCGCTCTCCACATCCGCCACAGAATCATGGTTACAATTACTCTGTTGGGATACCGAGAAGGCAGAACGTCTACGGGCAATCATTGACGGTGCCACTTTCGAACCCCACCCCGTCTCAGGCGAGATCGAGCTCCCCGATGAGCTTCCCGTGACATACAAACGGGTGGACGATGAAACCCTCAAAGCACAAGTGCCTCTCCATGACTACTGCATTACAGTAGTTTACCTCTGGTGTCCAACGGACGAAGAAGGTGGCGGTCGTGGTTGGCGAGTCGCTGAGCTTCTGCCACGGGAAGGCCCCGCGGACGATGAAACCTGGGCAATCTCTATCGGCGAGGCAAATCTCCAAGCAAGGGAGCAGTCGGGCACCAATGTGCCGGAGGTCAAATTCCAAGACAACACCTTAGAGGAAGAGGACGATGACGATGACTACTGGGCTCAGTACGATGCTACACCCGGATCCAAGACCCCAGCACAGCCTGCTGGCTCCTCGAAGCTGGGACCCTCAGGTCTATCTGAACAGTCATACTTCTCACAGTACGGGGACGTCCAGCCAGCTATGGACAACCACGACCCCGGCGAGGAGCAGCCAGAGGTCGGTCCGTCCTCTCTCAATGGGGACATGTTGGCGAACTTGCTGCGACGACAGGTCAATGGAAACTCCACAGACGAGGCCCGCACCAATGGATACTCACCTGGCCAGGTTCCCGACAGTGCTGCGCAGGCTTTGAATCACCCCCGACCGGCGTCTGTCTCATCTGGTGGCTCCGTAGCCAAGTTGGAAAAGGAAGCGGAGAGTCAGTCCACGTATGAGGTTGGAGTGAAGCAACATATCGGTACGAGTATCAAGAGTTTGTTCCGCCTGGCCAAGGCCACTGGAATGCCTCGCGCGGAGTTCCAGTCGCTGGTCTCGACGGAATTGGAGCTTCTGGACATTACGGATGACGAGTAAAGCTGTGTTCTTGATACCCATGAGCCGAAGGATTTAGTTGGGCTCACAATTTATGTTTGCATGTTGAGGAGCATCTAGGGAGTGGATATGTTTCCATAAAACCAATACATTCAAAGTGAAGAAATCTGACGTTATATCGCAAAGGATACCCGATAAGGATGTCTTGGCGTCATCCACAGTAAGGAATGTTGTACTTTGTAGGGCTGACACTACATGCTAAGTACTCAGTACTCCCTACAGTATCCCACGTCTAGACTGTGGCTCAGTCCTTATCTGACCCAAAGGAGCCACCATCGCGAGCTCGGGAGGCTGAGCTCACCCCACTTGGGAGTTTAAAAGGCCTTTGGCCCCCATGTAAGACGATGTGAAATCCACATTCTCACATGGCCGACGAAAAGAAACAGAACCCCTTTGAGGCCTTGGGGTCCTCTGAGGCAGAGGTAGAGCATCCCCCAGCCTACGAAGCTGAGACTTCGACACGCTCAATCGAGCCCTCAACACAAGCAGGCCCATTCGGTCCGCCTCCAGAGCAATTTGGTCCCTCTCCAGGGCAATTCGGTTCCTCTTCAGGGCAATTCAGTCCCCCTCCAGGGCAGTTCGGTCCCTCTCCAGGCCCATTTGCTGCCCCTCTAGGAACTCCGCCATCCAAAAGACCAATCGCCATCCCAGCCATAGCCAGCCCATCTGATTCCCCCTTCATCCGCGCCTATCCTCCAATTTTACAATCGCACAACCTCCCCAAAGAATCCTTCCTCAACTTCCTCGACCAATTGAACAAAGACATAGCCAGCAGCCCACCCCTCCAAGTCCTAGATGCAACAGGTGGGATCCTCAACTCCGTCCCAATCTTGTTCCCACTCCACTGGATTGGAAGCGCTGTCAGTGGGCTCGCCAATCTAGGTAGCCAGGGCATGTCCAAAAGCCGGACCGACTCGTCCCTCAAAACAGCTAATAGGGACATCTTTGGCCCGCGCGGATTGAAAGTCGAGGTCGCCAAATTGGATGCCCTGGCTCATCTGGCCAATATTCCTATTCTGGATTCTCAGGGAAAGATCAGTAGACAGGCTCCTCTGTTCTTGCAGCTACAGGATGAACCCGTTGAAGCTACCGATGAGCGTCATGAGCTGGAGCTGGAGCTCCAGCGTAAGATCCGGACTCTGCAGCCTTGGATTGCGGATCTGGAGATTGAGGTTGTGCCTTGGTCTTCGAAGTCTAAGTTGACGAGGTTCAATGCTGCTTTGAAGAAGAGAAACGACCCAAAGGAGTATGAGAGAAGGGGACGAAGGGAAAGGAGGGAACGAAGGGGGCGGGATGGCTCTGATAATACTGAAGCTAGTCCTGATGACCAGGAGTCTTTCCGCAAGGCTTTGTGGCTTGTTATTCGAGAGATTGGGCCTGAGGAAACACGCTGATTTAGACCAGCATGCTTGAGTGGAATAATGTTTAATTTATACACCTATTCAAAGGAGATATCTGGGCGTAATTATGGTAGTCTTGTCTCTCTTAGCCTCGCATTGACCAAACAGAGTCCAATTAGCCAATTCATTCATTACTCTGTACTGTGTACCTCTACATAAGTATCGACATGACGACCTTCCCTATATGTCTTCAACCGACTAAAATCGACACCAAAAAAATAGTCCAATCCAGATCACATGTATCTCTTCAACCTCCAATGAAACTCGAAGACCTCGGATGAAACAATCACGTTAAATTTTCAGACGATTCAAACAAGGAGGTTCGTGTTTCATATACTCCCGAACTCCCTTTGAAGTGGGTTTGTATACGTAGATCCGCTTTGGCCACCGCCCCGAAAGAAGACACGCAACGTCTGCCCCCTCCACCTCTCCTTTCCTTTTTCTTAAATCTCTTGGCCTCGTTCGGTGCCATGCTCTATTGGTGATTCTGGTAAGCTTCTGCTTCTTCTCCTTTTGACATAGGCCTTCTTGCTGACGCGACCTAGTCTATTTAGCTATAGGTAGTCTCTCGGTCGCTCACTTCCTTTCATTTTTATCTCAACATGTCGTCCCCTTCGCCCTCTTTGCGGAAAAGAGCCGGAAAGAAGGAGGCTTACACCGCATTGCCCACTGATGATGGCTCTTTTATTCCCGTCGCGCCGGCTAAGAAGTCGGAATGGGACTATTGGCTGGCCATAGTCATCCTGACAGTTCTGGCTTTCGCGACGCGATTCTATCGCATTGACTACCCCAACGAGGTTGTTTTTGACGAAGTCCACTTTGGAAAGGTAAGAGCCTCAATGGCTTGGGTGGCACGGCTGCAGAGAAGGGGACCCCTGGCTGACATGCACATTTGACTAGTTCGCTTCCTACTACCTCCAACGTACCTATTTCTTCGACGTGCACCCTCCCTTTGGAAAGCTGCTGTTTGCTCTCGTGGGCTGGCTGATTGGCTTCGATGGAAGCTTCCTTTTTGAGAACATTGGCGATTCCTACATCGAGAACAATGTGCCATACCTGGCTCTGCGTGCGCTCCCGGCTACATTGGGTACCCTGACCATTCCCGTTGTTTTCCTCATCATGTGGGAGTCTGGCTACTCTTTGCCTGCTTGTGTCCTTTCGGCTGGTCTGATGGTCTTCGATAACGCTCACGTGGGCGAGGACCGACTGATCCTCTTGGATGCCACTCTCGTGCTTTCCATGGCGCTCAGCGTTCTGTGCTACGTTCGGTTCTACAAGCTGCGCCACGAGCCCTTTGGCCGGAAGTGGTGGAAGTGGCTTCTCTTGACTGGCTTCTGTCTGAGCTGTGTTCTCTCCACCAAATACGTCGGTGTCTTCACCTTCGTCACCATTGGTGCTGCCGTGATGATTGACCTGTGGAACCTGCTTGATATCAAGCGCGAGCAGGGACCTCTCAGCATGATCAGCTGGGGCAAGCACTTCGTTGCGCGCGCTGTTGGTCTTGTCGTTATTCCCTTCCTTTTCTACCTGTTCTGGTTCCAGGTTCACTTTGCTATTCTTACTCGGTCTGGCCCTGGTGACGACTTCATGACTCCTGAATTCCAGGAGACTCTGAGTGACAACCAGATGAGCGCCCAGTCCGTTGGTATCCAGTACTTCGACACCATCACTATGCGCCACAAGGACACCAAGGTTTTCTTGCACAGCCACTGGGACAAGTACCCTCTGCGTTATGATGATGGCCGTATTTCCAGCCAGGGTCAGCAGGTCACCGGTTACCCCCACAATGATACCAACAACCAGTGGCAGATTGTGCCCGGTGTGCCTCTCGCTGACCCCTCCGTGCCCCAGAGTGTGCGCAATGGCGATGTCATCCAGCTCCGTCACCTTGGTACCGACAGCTATCTCTTGACTCACGATGTTGCCTCTCCCTTCTTCCCAACTAACCAGGAGTTCACCACCGTGTCTCAAGAGCTGGCTGATGGCGAGCGTCACAACGACACCCTGTTCGAACTCAAGATCGAGTCCGGCAAGGCCAACCAAGAATTCCGAACTCTTGCCAGTCTCTTCAAGTTGGTCCACGTTCCCACCCGGGTGGCTCTGTGGACACACACCACTCCTCTCCCCGAGTGGGGCTACAAGCAGGCTGAGATCAACGGCAACAAGAACATTCTCCAGTCCAGCAATGCTTGGTATGTCGAGAACATCGAGAACTTGCCCGAGGACAGTCCTCGTCTGGTTAAGGAAGAGCGCAAGGTCAAGACACTGCCTTTCCTCCGCAAGTACTTCGAGCTGCAAGGCGCCATGTTCCACCACAACAATGCTCTGACCAGCAGCCACCCCTACGCCACCGAGCCCTTCCAGTGGCCATTCCTGCTCCGCGGTGTGAGCTTCTGGACCAAGAACGACACCCGCGAGCAGATCTACTTCCTCGGTAACCCCATTGGATGGTGGATTGCCAGCAGTATCCTTGCCGTGTTCGCCGGCATCGTTGGCGCCGACCAGCTCTCCCTCCGTCGTGGCGTCGATGCATTGGAAGAAAGTAAGTGCAACCAAACACCCTCCCACCGCAGTACCTAATCTCGAATTTCTTTATAGTCTGGGGCCCCGGCACCCGCTCGCGTCTGTACAACAGTACCGGATTCCTCTTCCTGTGCTGGGCCGCCCACTTCTTCCCCTTCTGGCTCATGGGCCGCCAGCGTTTCCTGCACCACTACCTGCCCTCCCACCTCGCCTCCACCATGGTTTGCGGTGCTCTGATTGAATTCATTTTCAACCTGCAGCCCCTCGACCCCCGCACTGCCCTCCCGCCCACCGACGACCCCACCGGCAAGTCCAAGGTCTCCCACAGCCGTCTGGGCCGCTTCGTCACTGCCCGCGAGCGCATGGGCTGCAAGTCTCTCATTGCCGGCTGGATCGCCACGTTGGTAATCCTCGGCGCCACCATCTGGGGCTTTGTCTTCTATGCGCCCCTGACTTACGGTACCCCTGGTCTGGACGTGGCGGGCGTGACGGCCCGCAAGTGGCTGAACTACGATCTGCACTTTGCCAAATAAGCACCCGCGGCGGCAGACCGAGTTTAGACCGGAATGAAATTGACTGCATCTTATGTACGATACAATCTAGAGGGGGAAGAAATGTGTGAAGTGAAATATAAGAATCTTTCGAATGCACCTTATATGAGCATATCATATGCATACTATGTATGTACTACTTGTAGATCCATGCCCATGTGGATGCATCCGAGGGTGACTAAGACCACGTGACGTGACAGGTGATCACTGCATTCTTTGGCGTCCTCAGTAACCCGCCTGGGTAATAAGTAAATACACCACACTGACAGTTCTAGACCTCTTGCATTCCGTGGGAATATTCGTTGTTTTTGTTGTTTTGGTTACTTGTTTTTTTGTTCTTTTCCATTGACTTTTGGTTTTTATTCCTCTTTTTCCCTACCGAGTAGATCGGGTTATTTTTAGCCGTACGGAGTACTCCGTGCATCCAGAGCCACTTACTATGTATAGTACGAGGTTTCACATTCTTCGTTTAGATTAGAAGCCTGATGAGATCATATTCTACTTGTAGATGCAGATTCTAGATCCATGTACTCTGTACTCCGTACTCTGCAAGAATGAGACCTGTTCAGTATACTGTACCAGTACCTGTACACCATCAAATACACTAGACCTCAGACCATCCCCCATAGCGTGGAAATTTTGCCTTTCCATTCCTTTCCGGTTGTCATTCTTGGACTTTCGTCCTTTGTTGCACCTCTGCTCTATTCTCTATTCTCTGCTCTCTCTCTCTCTCTCTCTCTCTCTCTCTCTCTCTCTCTTGGCAGACAGGGTCCCTAAATCCCGTCTCTCCACTCCCCACAAGGTCTCCATTTTTAAACTGTTTCTTTAACCCAGCGGAGCCTAAAACCGAAACAAGCGATCCTTTTTCCGCGCTGGTTTCACATGTGGGTTCAATCGTTCATTTTTTTCTTTTCTGCGTTTCCCAGGGGGTGGAAAATTCAAGATTTCCCCCCCATTCTGTCGTGTCTGCAAGGAATTTGGGAATTATTCTCCAAATCTGTTACGAAGTGCCAGCGATCGCGCAGACGCAGGACAACCCACTCTGTGGATTCCTGCCGGTCTCTGATCGGCCGCTAGACTATCCGTGTTGCTTCCCTTCAAACTGACTCGGCTCAATTCTTCCAGTCCTCCCTTCTTCCCCTCCCCCCTGATCAACAAACGGGTTACCGAGAATCATCATCCATACACCTGTCTATTTGGACTAGTCGCTTTTATCCAATTCAGTTGCAGTCGACACGTCAGGCGTCGGCCAAATCCTCCAGGGATCATCCCAAACCTTAATGAGAGCTGACTCGCGCTTTCAAAGGGGTCCATAATAAATTTCCAGTGAAGTGCTTGGCTGCTTCAACCGCGCCGATGCCTATCAAATTACCCAAGAGCTTCGCTCGACGAAAGTCGTCCGGCAACGTCCTGGAAGACGTGGAAGCCCCTCAATCCTCCTTCCGAGTCTTCGAGCGCCCGGGCCCCCATCGATCTATGACAGACGGTGAAGCCCTGTCCAAGCATCACAGTGAAGGCAATGCGGTGCCCTCGGCGCTGGATGATGATAACATCTTTGCCGAGCGGCCTCAGGACAAGCGGTATGAACGCCCCTCAACCATGGATTCTCTCAGGAGACGGCTGACGGGAAACCACGAAAGCGGCAATTACGAAAGTTCTACGTCAACCCGCCTCAGCTCTTCCTCTACCATTCCATCCTCCACAGAGGTCCCCGATGAGAATCAATCCCCGCATTCGAGAATCCACGATGTCCCCGCTCCACCACCCCTCTCCAGTGCCTTGCGGCAAGCCGCTGGTCGGACTTTCTCCTTTGGTGGACGCTTTGGAAAGTCCACGCCTGCTGTCCCTCGTCAGCAAACCCCAGACGCGACCAAGAACCGCCCGCTGACGGGCAGTACTGACAGCACGGCTACTCCACCCAAGTTGCCAGATACCAATTTTGCCATGGAATCTCAGGATGATTTCAATAAAATGTTCGAGAATCTAGGTGGTTCCTCTGTTCGTGATCGGTCTCCGCAGCCGAAGAAGGTAAGCTCTATTGCTATTGCTATTGCTCTATAGTCATGTCCACTAACGGTCTCGTGAAGCATTCTTCTCCCCCAGCCACCCATGCTGTGCCCGAGTTCCAGACCAGTAGGGCTGGGGCCCCCGCCCCGATTCACATCGACCGATCGGCCCCCGTCGAGTCCCCTCCTTACTCATGGGGTCGTCGCCCGTCCGAGGAAGGTCTGCTGCACAATCGGGATGCATCTCTCGATACAGTTGGTTTCCGGAGACCCTCTCCAGGCCCGAACCACCTCAGCGAAGCTGCCACAACGTCGCATCGTTCCTTGGAGCGACCTTTGGGGAACAAGAGCGACCGTGGAGGACTACGGAGAAGTGGGATATACTCGCCATCAGGGGACGCCCTGCCCTTTGATGATGAAGATGCGAAAATGGTCCGCCAATCTCTCATGTGGAGTAAGGATTCTACTTCGCCTTGGGCTGAGGGTGCAGCCACCAGTGGCTCATACATGGACAAGGGCAAAGCGCCTGTTCACTCTGGGAATGCCAACCCAGAGCCTGATAATATGTTCCAGTATCGTCGCTCGCCGCCACCCGCCGAGCGACCGGATCCTGCTATTGCGGCCAACGCGCGGCTGGCGGCTAGGTACGCGGAGAGGCTGCCCAAGTCAACCTCGCCGGGTAACAAGGTGATGACGCCATCTCAGTTTGAGCACTATCGTCAACAGCAAGAACTTCGACGGTCCAATAGCAATGCTTCGAAGAGTGACGCAGAGTCTGACCACGATGAGTTCGAGGATGAGGAAGACGAGGTGGAAAAACAACGCGAGACGGAACGACAACGGCGAAAACAAGAGGCTCACCTCTCTGTATATCGCCAGCAGATGATGAAAATAACCGGTCAGCAGGCGCCGATGCACCAAATTCGCCCAGCCATGACTGGCGCCAGCAACAGCACGCCCAATCTGTTACCCAGTCGCTTGTCTGTCATGGGTGACAAATCTAACAGTGGCAAGAGTAGTGAGGAAGAAGACGATGATGTGCCCCTAGGCATTCTCGCAGCGCACGGATTCCCCGGCCAGAACCGCCCTCCTACTCGCCTGAACAACGTCAGCTCCAACCCCAATCTTCGAGCTTCCATGCAACCACCCTATATATCGTCCGCTAGCTCCCTCTCCGGTGCCGAGAACGCTGGGAATCGGGGGAGCCTGCCTGCCTTTGCACGCAACCTGCCACAAGACCCTTACTTTGGCGCAGGGTTGGTGAACAACCCCAACCGTGAATCACTGGCACTTGGAGGTGGTTCTGGCTCGGTACATGGAGGGTCTTCCTCTCCTGCGCCCACTCCAGGTGGCTTGGTAGGAGTTATAGCGAATGAAGAACGCCAACGCGCAATGCGCAGGGGAAGTCCGAACACTCAAGCTATGCACAACGTGCCTCGGCCTCACTCCATGATGCCGCAGATGCACCAAATGCCCGGCCCACAGCCTCCTGTGACCCCAGGAGAGCAAGCGTCGATCCAGCTGTCACAACAGATGACGAACATGATGCAAATGCAAATGCAGTGGATGCAACAAATGATGCAGATGCAAGGTGGACAAGGTCAAGCCATGATGCAGGGTATGCCAATGCCTCCCATGATGATGCCTGGTGGACACATGCCTCCGATGGGCTCACCCTCCGGAGGACCTCCTTCCATCAGCGGCAACTCGAATATACGTCCAATGTCTATGCCTGTCGGCTCCATGCTTAATGTTCCAACTTCGTCTCACCCCGATCAGCGCACCATGAGCATGCTAGACCCTAACATCTCCACTCGCCGCACTGGCTCACCAATGCCAAATCTTTCCGGCAATGCATTCCGTCCCCAGACCAGCTATGCGCCCTCCATCGCACCTTCCGAGCGTAGTAACGCCGGCATGGCACCTCGCTACCGTCCTGTCTCCGTGCTTCCCCCAGACACCAGCCACTCCGCTGGCTCGGCGAACAAATGGGGCGACGAGAACCAACCTCCCTCTGTGTTGAATTCCCAATCGCACAACCTGCCCAAATCACATCTCGCCACCGTGACCGTCCGCCCCGTCTCCCAAAACAGTCGTCTGGGCTCCGGACCAGGCCACAAGGCCACATCCGACGACGAAGATGACGACGAAGCCTGGGCCGAGATGATGAAGAAACGCGACAACAAGAAGTCAAACTGGAAGATGAAGCGGGGCACTTCCTCATTCGGCGATCTTCTCAGCGCCGTGCACTGAGTCCACCGACCCCTCCCCTGCATCCCTTAGCCCGTGTATAGTCCTTCCGGCTCTTTTTCTCCCCCTTTCTATCTCTAATATTTGCACGAAATCTCACGCACATATCATCGGGCCCGATGCCACCCCCTATCCTATTTTGCTTTGCATTTGCGGATCCCTGGGGGACAATGAATAAATATCCCTTCTTGTTTTGCGTTTTTCTTTGGGGCTTTCTCTTTCGTTATGGCATTGGCGCGGGAAGAGGCGTTTTTCTTTACCTTTTCGTTTTTGCATCTTGCCTGAGCGCTTCTCGGCCATAATATCATTTTTTCGGTCCTTGGGGCCGTTGTATCGGCTCTTTTTGTGCTTTTCGAACCTAGATTTTTAATCTTAGATGATTGAGTATAGCTGGAGATCATGTCATCCACGGCCTTAGAATTGGAGTAGGGCTCCTTGGTATTGGTATCAAGACTTGGGTTGGATTTCATTCTGATGTATATATACTCTGTAGCCTGACGGGGGATGTCGATTCCTCTGAAACGCCTGTGGATCTAATTAAGTATAGATGTCAGGTTACCAATCTTCAAAGTCGGCCTTGGAATCCTCAGATGGTTGTTCGGCTTGAACCTGTTGTTAAGCATAAAATATACATCCGTTTGAGGCAGGAAAAGCTTGGCAGATACCATGAGTCCGACCCATCTATTAAGTACACTACCCACTGGGCATATTTGATGAGCACAGAGCAATATATGCATCATTTGATTTATTTGCCAACAACTGTAGAAGAAGGGACGATGATGTGAACTTTAGAACGCGATACAAAGAGAGGCGAGGAGGACGGGAAGCAACTTTCACGTTCACACAAATGGGGAGGTTTCTTGATCCAGCCGATTTTTCAACTTACTTACCCAGGTATGCATTTCATATGGAATGAGCAGTACTCCGTAGACTGCGCAAGTTACTTAAGTATAGATGCATCAAGAGCTGTACCTGAATTTCTAGATTGGGTTAGACTAGATATCACGTGCTGATATACATATCACCTGACCGATATCAGATCTGCATCGCGAAGCATCACGAAGTGCTTTCCATCAAAGACAACAGACACAATTGGTATCACGTCTCATTTGTTAATTCAAAGTGAGCTGCCTGATCGAATCTATCTGGCACGGTAAATCTGGCTTCCTATAGATCCAAAAGTCTCCCCTGAGTCGATATTGATAGGTCACTGTCGTGTCCCGTGTCCCGAGGCCGACGACGACCCTGGAAGGCTGCCCTGAGTGGTTACATCTGCATCTGTAAAAGGATCTGTGCGTGCCCTTACCAACAGTATTGTGTCCTGAGGCGACAACGATTTGGGAAGGCCTCCTTGAAAACGCTGGTCTCGTTTTTCATCATTCTTCATCATCTCTTTCTCTTACTTGACGTCTGCAACATCTTCCTTTTGGCAACCCCGACAAAATGAACGCTCCCGATCGGTAGGTGAATGTGCTTCTTATGCCTGTGATCTTATCCCATCCGCAATGCATCCAGTCAATACATGTCTGGTTCCATCGCCATTTGTCGTTTCCCTCTTTTGGCTGGAGGGAAGTGAGCGATCCTTGAGCCCCATGAGCTCATAGGAAGCTATGGACTTGAATGCGTTGGGAGTTTCCAGGCTTTGCACCCGGGAAAGGTCAAGTTTGTCTTATACTTCGGCTAAGGCATCCCGAGGAGCCTTCCTTTTTGGAATTGGAAAGAGGACGCACAAGATGCCTCGTTCCTTCTGGATTAGGGTGTTGTGCCTGCACCTTGGGCTGTTCAATGCTTTTCTCCCCATGAACCATCTCTCCTTGTCCATTCCATCTTTCAGAACATTCCACTTCCTGCTTGTCCTATGTCATTTGATTCCAATATGCCCCAAAGGCCTGGTATCACCACGGCCAGTGAAGCCTGTGCCAAACATCTCGCGCGCCGTCGAGGATTTCAAATTCCTCCTCGCGCCGGCCACGAGCCTCCTTTCATTCCGGACGATGCTCCAGACGTGTCAGTTGTATTAAATGGCCATCTTGCAGTAGCTTCATTCATTTTCTGCTTTCTACACACCATGTTTGAGCGCGAACATTTTCTGTTTCTGAAACTGACTGCGATATCACAAACAGCTATGAGGCGATTCTGCTCGGCCCCGGCGAGAACAAGATCGACGTTGAAGTCGACACTCGTGAGTATCATGTTTGACATGGCAATTTTTTTGAACATTCTCGCTAACCGATCATCCTCAGGCCTGCCCTCTGCTTGTATCTTCACTTTCCACAAGGAAGACCACACTTTGGGCAACATGCTCCGCACCCGTCTCCTGAAGACTGCTCATGTCATTTTCGCCGCCTACCGCGTAAGTAACACTGGTCGATGCCAGCGAAAGATGTTTGACCGGTCAATTCTAGGTCCCTCACCCCCTCACCCCTGAATTCCAGCTGCGGGTTCAGACCGATGGTGAGATTACTCCTCGCCAGGCAGTCATCAATGCGTCCCAAGCTCTCATCAAGGATCTTGGTACTCTGTCCCGCGAGTTCACCAAGGAGTACGAGCTTCGCAAGATGGCCAATGCCGCCAACGCACAACACACCGAGTAAATGGGCGTGGGTTCTCGGCCATTCCCTACCTCCGATTCATGTGTCTTAGCTTCTGTTTAGACCGCTGATGTACGGAGCAGTGATGAAGTTATGCTTTGCGTTTGTTTTCCCATTTGTTCTTGCAATGCCCATACACCATTGTTGCTGAGAAATTATCGGCCACGGGAAGAAACATTGGATGATATTTAGTTGTTGAAGATTGAAGAGAAACTGATAGAAGTGAATCAATACATTACCCTGCTACTACTTCCTGTACTCCATAGAGTCCATACTCCATAGTTCCAAAAATATCCCAGAAAACCGGGCCTGGCTGGAACGTTACTAAGCACCAGATCAGGTTAGCGTGGACATGGGGCCGCGTCCATCGTCATTCGCATCCTCCTGAGACCAACTCACTACTTTGCATTTTGTCTTTGCTTGCCAATTACTCAGGCTTTTGCATTTGATTTGCTAATGCGAGCGTGAATTTGTAATGTACTCCTCGTCGAATAATTTCCTCGGGGGTGGTGCCACTGGCCGTCCCGGCCAGGCACCATTCATGCAGCAGCAACAACCCCCCTACTCCCAATTCCCCCAGGGTCAGCAACCATCAATTCAACAGCCTCAGCCCACCGGATTTGCTCCACAGCAGACGGGTCTTGTTCCACAAGCTACTGGTTTCGCTGGTCAACCCTCCCCGTTCGGTAACTCGCAACTGCAGCCTCAAGCCACTGGATTCCCCGCGGGACAACTCCAACAGCAATACACCGGCTTCCCCGGCGCTGCCCCCCAGCAACCCCAGCAGCCACAAGCGCAGAGCTTCCAACCGCAATATACTGGATTCCCGCCCCAGAACCAGGCGCAGCAGGCACCACCAGTGCCTCAGATCCCAACTCGATTCAAGACCTCCACCGATATCGCGAACTCCTTCCAAGATGCTGGCTCTGGAGCGCCTCCCCAGGTGCCACCGAAGACAGGGTCCAAGATCCCGAGTATCCGTTTGTCTTTTATTACTGCGCAAGACCAGGCGAGGTTCGAGCAGCTCTTCAAGTCTGCTGTAGGCGACAGCAAAACAATGGATGGTGAGCCTGCGTGAGATAAGCATGTACTGCGACAGGTATACTGACTCAACAAAATAGGCGATAAAGCGAGAGATCTTCTTATGCGCTCCAAGCTCGGAGGCCCTGATCTTTCCAAGATCTGGGTGCTGAGCGATTCAACCAAGTCAGGACAACTGTTCTTCCCCGAATTCGCATTGGCGATGTACCTCTGTAACATCCGCATCACCGGCCGCGAGCTTCCAGCCTCATTGCCTGAGACAATCAAGAACGAGGTGTCGAGCATGGTCGATATTATCTCCTTCGATGTTCCCGACACACAACCGCAGGCGCCCCAGCAGCGAACCAACGTACCTAACTTCGATGCCCCTCTCATGGAGAACAGTGCTACCCCGCCGGTTGTTCAACAGCCTGTTCCCCAGCAACCCAATAATGCACAGCTCTTGTCGCAGTTGACAGCACAGCCTACCGGGTTCTTCCCCCAACAGACAGGCATTCAGCCGCCTGCTATCCAGCAGCCCCAGGCCACAGGATTCCCAGGACAGAACCAATCCCAATTCCTTCAACCTCAGCAGACTGGATTCATGAGCAACCCCCAGGCAACTGGATACACCGGTCCTCGACCTCCAATGCCGCCTATGCCCACCGGTTTTGGCTCTAGCCTGAGCCCTGGTCAAACCGGCGTGGCTCAGGGTCTTGGTGTGCAGCCAACTGGTTTGACCGCTCAGCCTACTGGTATGCCTGGTCAGTGGGGATTCATTAATACTCCAGCGCAGGGTTTGCCTAATATCGACGCCATGAAGCAGCAGCTTATGCCGCAGCCTGGTCGCGAGGGCGGATTCAGTGCTGCTGGTTTGTCTGGAAATGCCACTGTTGCTTGGGCCATCACCAAGGAGGAGAAGAAAATCTACGATGATCTCTTCCGTGCGTGGGATGGTCTTCGCAAGGGCTTTGTCAGTGGCGAGACTGCTATTGAAATTATGGGACAGAGTGGTCTGAACCGACTGGATTTGGAACGCATCTGGACCTTGGCTGATCCCCACAACCGTGGTCGTCTGAATATGGATGAATTTGCTGTGGCTATGCATATGATCTACCGTGCTTTGAACGGATACCCCGTTCCAAGCCGTCTACCACCTGAGCTTGTTCCTCCTTCGACACGCCACTTGAACGACTCTATTGGTACAGTCAAGTCTCTGCTTTCCCAAGATGCCGAGACCCGCAAGGCTACTGGTGCATTCCTGCAGCCTCAAAAAACCGGAGTCAGTTACCTGAAGGATCACTCTTTCCGGGGTGGCGCAGGTGGCTCATCAGCTGCCAGCCGCAAAGATGCGACCATGTTCAAGAACAATGACTCTGCTGGAGGGTACCGATCAAGTGCGCGCCGCCGTGTTGGCAACGAGGCTCGTACCCCATCCCCCGCTGCATCTGGCGCTTCAGAGGAAGAATACTCTGTAGATCAGCTCCACAAGAAGATCCGCGAGACCAAAATCATGCTCGATGCTGCTGATTTCCAGGACGAGAACCGGGCTGAGGACGATGATGCTTTGGATCGTCAAGACCGCCGCGAGGCAGAGAGTCTCATGGAGCGTATTCGCCGCGTCCAAGATGATCTTGACACCCACCCCAACGCTTCATTCCGCCAAGTGGACAGTGGAGCGGACCGGAGGGCTCTTCGTCGTCAATTGCAATCCTTCGAGGATCAAGTTCCTCAAGTTGCGTCTGATGTGCGTCGTCTTGAGCGTGATATTTCTGATGCGAAGCTTGAACTGTTCCGCCTCAAGGATGCCAAGGCACACCCCGGCGGTGCTTCCACTATCATTGGCACTGGGCCCGGCGGAACTGTGACCGAGGCGGACCGTATCAAGGCCCGTGCCCGTGCTCGCATGCAAGCTCGGGCTGCAGAGCTCGCTGGCCGGCCCGCTCCCGCGTCAGCGGATGATGATGGCCAAGCCGCTCGTCGTTTAGAAGCCGAGAGCAATAACATCAAGAGCGAGCGCGAACGTAATGACACCATGACGCGTGACGTTGAAGAAAGTGTTCGTGATTTCGCTCGTAGTTTGGAAGACAGCCTCCGAGACCAAGGTTCAAACTCCACCCGTGAACACGAGAAGCGTCGTTGGGAAGATGCATTGGGCGTCGAGGATGTTATCCGTGACTTCATCTATGATCTTAGTCGTAATGCTCGGACTGCAAACATTCGCAAGGAGGAGTACGTCGTCATTACCCTAACAAATGACCTATCACTAACGAAATATAGGCGACAACGAGCTTCACCCGAAGTCCACTCTCGTGGATCCCCTGCACCCGAAGCCCCAGCCGCGCGCCCTGCGATGCCTGCTTCTGTGGACTCGTCAAGCTCCATTCCTGGCAATACACACGAAGACCGTGTGGCCGCTGCCCGAGAGCGCGCCCAGAAGCGCATTGCTGAGCGCATGGCTGCTGCTGGTTTGAAACCAAATGATTCGAGTGAGACTCTGGTGCAACGCCAGGAGCGTGAGCGTAAGGAGCGCGAAGACCGTGTTCGCCGCGCCGAAGAAGAAGATGCCAAGCGTGAGGACGAGAGACAGCGCCGCTTGGCTGAGGAGCGAGGCGGTCCTAGTGCTGCGGCTCCTAAGCCAGCAGGCAAGAAGCCACCTCCCGCGCCGCCAACCCGCCGAGCCCGCACAGATAGTGCCGGCCAGGCTGATGCAAAGAAGGCAGATGAGTCTGCTAGACTTGAACAAGCTGCTCGTGAGCAGGCTATCAAGGAAGAGCAGGATGCACAGGAGGTTGAGACTCAGCGTCTTGAGTAAGTTCCGCCACGAAAAAATGAAAGAAACATGGGCTAATCGTATACAGGGACCAAGCAAACCAGAAGGAGTTGGAATTCCAAAAGGAGAAAGATGCTCAAGCAGCCCGCCTCCAAGCTCTTGAGGAGCAGGTCCGCCAGGGCAAGATCAAAAAGCAAGAAGAGAAGCGCCGCCGGGAAGAGGCAAGCCGGCAGTCCAAGGAACAGGAAGCCAGTCTTGCCGCTCAGCGCGCAGAGCTCGAGGCAGCCAAAGAACGCGAGCGACAGCTCCAGCGTGAACTGGAGGGTCTTGATGATGAGAGCTCGTCTGATGACGAGGGCCCTGCTGATGTCACCCCTCAGCACAGCACTCCCACACAAAGCCAGGTGCTGCCTACGCCGCCTCCAGTGCCGACGATAGCTGTTCCTGAACCTCCAAGCTTCGCACCCGAGCCCGAAAGGTTGCCCAGTGAAGCTAGCTCACCTGAGAGTAGCCGCGCAATTCCCGCTGCTACCCCTGATTCCGAGTCTAAGAACCCCTACTTCAAGACCATGGGCCATTCGTCTGAGCAAGTGGCCTCACCTCCAGCTTCAGCTCAGTCCACGAACCCCTTCCACCGCTTGACGCAGCAGGAACCTATCAAGCCCACTTTCACCGGTGCTGCTCCCTTGGAACGCAAGACCCGCGCTCGCCCTGAAGCCGATGACGACTGGTCTGCTGCTGGCTCCGACGCCGACTCATCAGATGATGACGATGATGAGCGCCCAGGCGGTGGAAGCGCCAAGCAGCTTGCCAGCATTCTCTTCGGCACCATGGCCCCGCCCCGTCCTCTGAGCGCCATGGACGAGGAAAAGCCTGCCTCCAACTCTGCTACTCCAGTGCAAGACACCCCTATTGCGCCCCCGCCACCTCCCCCAGCAACCCTGCCCCCACTCCCTGCCCTCCCAAGCGATGGTGCAACCCCTCCCCCGCCATCTGCGGTACCCCCTCCCCCTCCACCACCTCCCCCCGGAGCTGGTGCCCCATCTATCCCCCCTCCCCCACCACCCCCAGGCGGAGCCCCATCTGCTCCTCCTCCACCACCCCCAGCTGGTATCCCCCCTCCACCCGCACCTGCAGGTGCAGGCAACCGTGGTGCTCTCCTTGCATCGATCCAACAAGGCATGAGCCTGAAGAAGACCCAGGTCAATGACCGCAGCACAAGCTCTTCTGCCGGACGTGTCTTGTAAGTTGATATGGGAGACGTCTTTGTTTTTGGTGTGCGTTGAGAGTACATATTGTACAGATGCGAGATGAAGAGAACGAGACACCGTGGATGATTGAGGTCAATGATAATTGATAATCGCGAGGACTCATTAGTTAACTGTTTGTGCCTTTTGAAATAATCATTGTTTTTTGTTCATTATACTATCATCGTGTATTTGCTCAAGCCTGGAGGTGAATACTAGTAACGAACCTTGGATAGAGCAGCAATCTTAGAACCACGCATTGCGTACGGAGTACAGGTTGATCAGTTGGCAATGAGAGGCTGTTCTCCAGGGCTATTAAAAGCAGTAAATACTTAAGTAGCAAAATAAAGAACCCATTTAAAGTGCTCAACGTGGGGAACGATCCGGAGCCCTCGTGAAGTCGCAAAAAGCCTCAGGGCACAGAACCGCTAAGTCTTATGCCCTGAGTGCTACCAAGCTGGGACTTGAAATGAAATAAATATGTACTTAAGGATACTTAAGTATAGTATATCATGAGTCTTTTGCTTCCAACATTAACATGCAACTTTAAACTTTAGAAAGAGAGACCGTTTAGTCTTGCCATGCAACCCTGGAACGAACTATACATATAGAGACAGGAATGCGAGAACCTCAAAACACCATAAGAACCAAACACCAAGACCCCCAAATTCATGAAAAACCACCACTTCAATTTGTTTAAAGTAAAGAAAATACCTCAAGTGAGGACTTCGGCAATGACATTGCCCAGGGTACTTACACACCACACACCAACAAGACCCCAGCCTATCCTGCGGTCCATTTTCCAGTTGTTTAATGGGACAACAACCAATAGACCAACAAGGATAGCCAACAGTGTAGCACCACTGATGACAAGGACCTTTGAGATGGCAATTTCATAAGGAACCTGGATTGCAACGGCGTCTCGAAGCTGCACGGCCTGATCCTGTCTCTGGTTGCCATTGAGAGTCATATATAGACCACCCAGTCCGATACCCAGGAGGATATTGAGCATTGGGCCACCGAAGCAAGCACTCAAAGCCATAACGGGGAAACCAAGCCGGGCAACTGTTATATCGGCGACTAGATCACCTAGGGAATTGCCGACTGCGAAGACGGTCAGTCCTAGTAAGGAGTCTGAGATGTTGAGGATAACGCCTAGGGTTTTGAGGAGGGAGACGACTTCGGTGGCGATTGTGGCGATCCATGAGATTGCGACTAGGAAGCCGAGGAGGGAGAGGAAGGGTCTCCATTGGGGTGGGAGGGTTGGGGTGTGTGGTTGTGGATCGAGGGTGAATTCTGCGCTTGTTCGTCTGGTTTGGTGACGACGGGTGCTGATTATGAGGAATGTAAGGCAGATGGATGAGAAGAGGAGGGAGAAGAGGGTGGGTAGGATGAGGTTGCGTGGGTTGAGCTCTTCATCCAGTGTTGTCCAGGAGATCAGCACGGCAAAGAAAGGACCCGTGAAAAGTTGGATTGAGACCAGCCAGCGGTTCCAGTCTTTGGCGGCTATGGGGTCTGTCGAGCCGGATACAGGCACGGGCGGTAGTTCGGAATCCCAGCGAGGGCGTCCTGCGGGTTCGTACGAGTACTTGCGGTGGGGATGTGTTGGGCGCAGATCAGGAGAATGAGGTCCGCCGTTTTCGTGTTCCTGGGGTAAGATGATTGGACTATCGGCTGGAAGTCTGACGAGAGGAGGAGGGTTTTGTCCATCTCCAACGTCTTGAATGACGACAGAAGGAATGGGGTCTGCTTCCATGGGTTCCGGGGGTTGTGGTTCAATGACTGGGACTGTAATGGTAAGAAGCAGCACGCTGGGGGCTGCAATTATACCAAGAAATCGCTCCCAGACGTTTTTGGATTTCCAGCCTGCCAAAGTTGGGAAGAGTGTGCAGCCAATCTGTTTGGGGGAGGGAATCGAGTTAGGCCACCGATTTCTCAGATAATTCCGCAAAGGAGAGCCTACATGAGCAAAGTGGTCATAGTCGTCCTGGACATGGAGCCTTTCTAACGGACTGGTAGGGAATGGAAGTCGAATGCTGGGTGCTCGCGAGGATGTGAGGGAGGGCAAGTCTGTATAGGACGGGAAAGGTATCGAAGGACTTTCCAGGCCAAATCCAGAGTGACGACGGCTTGCAGTACCTCTGGGCGAGACTGTCATCGGAGAGCGTTCCTGTACTCCTAGGGATTGGTAATTTGGGGGAGTAAAAGCGTCCGATGGGGCAAGTCGATCCGGGGTCTGAGGTTCTGCTATGAGGGGGCTCGCACTGGGCGACTGGTGGGCAGAAGATGACTGAGACACAGCCAGGGCATTGCTAATATCGAGGCGAGGGAGCTGGCGCGCCTGCATGGCGTCCTGACCTGGGGTATCCTCAAAAGAAGGCTTGCTTACAGTGAGAAGTGGGCCTTGGTTTTGCCGAGGCTCCAGGACACTAGTGTCTAATTTCAGACCCTCGGCATCATTAGCAGATACAGCTCGCACTCGGGATGAGCCTGCTGCACTTGAAGGCGAGAGTCGATCATTGGTACCGGTTGGCCGACTGGCACGAGGATGTGACGCTATTGAGCGTCTATCGAACTCAGGCTCGCCGTCATCCGAATAGCTGTTCAAGCTTATGGTTGGGTTGTGATGTGTGCTTCTTGACTTTTGCAGCGAATGAAGCACAGACTGGAACTCCAGTGCACCAACCAGACTTGGCCGGATGGGGTTCATAGTGTTGCGTCGCGATCGCATGGGCCGGTGAAGGTGCATGTTGTCGCGAATCTCAGCCAAGTATCGATTCCGGGTTTCATCGTCCTCGTTATCTTCATCGTCCTCGTTATCATCTTCCTCTTTCCAAACAGGAACAGCCTCGGTGCGCTCCAGAAGATCAAAGTCTTCAGTTGATGCGCCACGAAGGAGGCTTCGCGACTCCGATGCTACACCCGGGTCATCATCATCGGCTGTCTCTTCAATTTCCAACTCCTGGTTATCAGGAATATGGAAATGGGATCGTGCCGCGAGATCTCTCTCGTTCCTTCGGCGTCGTCGTACGAGAAACCAGTGCCAACTCACCACTGTGATGACATAGAAAGCATAAAAGCCCACCATGGTAGCTGATTCCCACGCGTGGAGTTTCCCGTCTGCCAACATGAACATGCTGAAGACAACAGCCACGATGAAGAACCCCACGTCTCGAACAAAACTTCTGCGGGCAACCTTGAATGGCCGAACCAAGGCCATAGAGCCCGCGACCACCGAGGTAATGAACGTGGCGGCCCCGATCAGCTCACCAATTGCCAGACTTCCACTGTTCGATCGCATGGCGGCGAAAGTGGAGAACACATCCGGACTTCCATTGCCAAACGCGAGGAAAGTGACGCCTGTGAGACTCTCGCTCATTCCCAATATACTAGCCAATGTGCTCAGATCGATACACAAGAAATCGCTGGCCGCGATTCCGATGGTACTAAAGAGCAACGACAACCAGACGATCAAGATTATAAACGCAAATAATTTGGCATCGGCCAGTCCACAGTAGTAAAACTGAAGGTAGGAAATCAATCCATCTTCGTGATCAGGACAATTGGTGCGGACGAAGGCACACTTATCATGGGCTTTGCGAACTAAACGGCACTATATCAAGGTAAGACAGAACATGGATTAGCCTCTGCATATCTCACAAGGGTGGGGGCTTGATACCTCTAGTTCGCTCTCTCGCTTGAACAGGCCGATGCCTGCTGCGGGGTCCGCCTGTTTAAACAGTCCATCCCTATTCCCGGTGATGCTTAGGAGCCAGCTCGCACTGGCAAGAACCGAGAGCAGGATCAACGAGGTGTAGAACGGTCGAATTGAATATCGAGGTTGCCGACGGGCGGCAGGCTGCAGGAAGTACGGCAGCTGATTCATTGCGACGAAATCCACGATGGCATTGTGGGCCGAATTAAACGGTTGATATAGCAGAATCTAACAAGAATCCGACATTGAAGGCACCAGCACCAGGTGGTAAGATGTCAAGATGTCAAGCTAGTGCGGTGAGGGCGGTGATGTCAGCCGGCGCAGTGGCCTCGGGGGAGGGCCAATGCGTGCCGATCGCTGCAAGATCCGCTAAGCAACAGAGGGGCGGCACACGAACAATCTCCGGGGTATGAAGTACAGAAGGATAAGGAGGCTGTGCAAGATGACTCTGTCTTCATCCCTTCAAACGTTGGTTCTGGAAAGCTAGCTACCGCCTACCGTTTCTGCCTAACAATTTCCAAGTATGCGAAGTATGCGAAGTACATCGTCAGTGCTCGTGTATATGCTTTTCAGCCATCTGCTTTGGGGCTAGAATCAATTGGGATGATCACACTGAGCTACTGGCAAAGTTAGGCCTTGAGACTGATCTCGTGCCCTGCAGCCCTAATGGCCCAATGCAACATATCTGAATGCTCTGTGAGCCAAAGCGGGGATAATCTATTCTGTTTGTATTGTGTAGCAAAGAAAGCTGATTGAGAATGAGGCCAGGTCAGCCTGGAGGCAAATATATATAAAAGCTGTTTAAACCGAGGATATCAGAATCATGTAATGTTGTCCGCCGTCTGGAGTATGGAGTATGCAGTGAAGCGTCCTACGATGAGAATATGTGAATCTCTGGTATGTGATAGGCTGATAATCGCCTGTTTTGTCAGGCCGAACTACCATTACGTAATATACTGCGTCACTGGTGCCTTCGGATAACCGTATGTTTGTTGACTTCCCCATTTGTTTTGCCTCATCGCCCCTCTCGCATCAACCCTTTCATACGCTGTTATCGTCATCCCCTATCGGGGGCAGTCGCAACCATGCCCCGCGTCGCAAATAAGGTGCACCGCCGTTCCAACGGCACTTCTACACCCCATAAGAACTCTCCAGTCAAGTATGTCACTCGGAGCAACGTTCCGCAGACTAGCAGCTGACAAAAAAACCAGGATACCCCTCAATGATGATGAAGGGGAAAAGGCCGCGCGCATGGAGGCCCGTCAAGCGCTTCATGATCGCCAAATGAGTCAAATCAAGGCTGCAGTCAAAACACCCATGCCGCCCCGCCGATTTACTACGTACGACCGCGAAGGAAGCGACAGCCCGGCAACCCCGAGAGGCTCAGGTCATCGGGGTCGAGTCAGCGACGTGAACGGCCGCGCAGTGACGCCGATGAAGCGTGTGCCCATTTTGGCCAATTTTGAAGAGTGGATGAAAATGGCGACCGATAACAAGATTAATGCGAACAACTCATGGAACTTTGCGCTTATCGATTACTTCCACGACATGTCCTTGCTGAAGGAGGGTGATGGTGTCAATTTCCAGAAAGCCAGTTGTACCTTGGATGGTTGCGTGAAGATCTATACCAGTCGAGTGGACAGTGTCGCAACCGAGACGGGCAAACTTCTAAGCGGTCTAGCTGATAGTCGCGATAAGAGAGGACGCGGCGAAGAGGAGGCGGAAGATGGGGAAGAAGACGAAGAGGGTGAAGATGGACAGCCCCGCAAGACCCGCAAGAAGGTATGACCAACAGAGCCGAACGATCTATTTCTCTGCTGACAGTGCCAACTTTTAGACTCGTTCACACGAAGCCACTCTCGCCCCCTCATTTGCGTCCCTACAACTGAAGAAGTTTGAACTCGAGTTTGCCGTGGACCCACTGTTCAAGAAAGCTTCGGCAGACTTTGATGAAGGAGGTGCCAAGGGTTTGCTCTTGAACCACCTCGCCATCGATGGCCACGGAAGAATTGTGTTTGATAGCAGCGACGATGCTGTAGATGACAGTGCCAAGACAGCTGAAGACGACCGTCAAGAATCCACAGAGCCAGACCAAGAGACCGAAGACCAATCGAAACAAACACCGCAGCCCGCGAGCGATATTTTTGAAGACAACAAGGAGATCGACCTTGGCTCACTGGCAAGCCAGTTTTTCCCGGATTTGGACCGTCTGGGCGAACAAGACATTTGTCCCTCGCTGAAGAACCTCGACTTGGGCGATCCTAGTGGATCACTGGATATCCCTCTCCTCAAAGCGCCAGAAGACTGGCGGCAAGACAAGCTGGACGAAGAAGGAAGGGCACATGATGATCCATCTGGCATCATGCTTGACGATGACAATGCGGTCGGATTCGATGACGATGATGGTACCCTTGCCGGCTTTGACCTCAGTGGTGATGCTGGGTTTGGTGAGGGTGGTGAGGTATGGGCTCGGGAAGCAGCCCTGGAGCCGATGCTGAACGTCCATCGCGTTGCCCACGCTGGAGACAACGAAGGCGAGGGCGAGGATGACGATGAAGATCCATATGCCATCTCAATGTCCCATCAACCAACAAACCAAGACCACGAGAACATCCTCAGCTACTTCGATAATGCGCTACAGAAGAATTGGGCTGGCCCAGAACACTGGAAGATTCGGAGAATCAAAGACCATGCAACAGCAGCTACTGCGGCCCCTAAGCAGCGCAAAGAGAAGGAGCCCTTTGAGATCGATTTTGCAGCCCCTCTGGATCCTGCCGTTGCAGAGTTGATCTACACTCCTGCTAGCTCTAACTCGGCCGTCTCATTGCCAAAGACACAATGGAAGACAAAGGGTCGCAACCTGCTCCCCGACGACAAGCACTTCAACTCTCGCAATCTCCTCACCTTGTTCCTAAAACCGAAGGCCAAACTAGGCTCCAAGAAAATCTTAGGAAGACGCCGTCGCCAAGATCTAACAGCTGGCAACGGTGATATGGACGAGGCATTCTGGGCTAATCGCAAGCCAGAAGAGAACGCTGGCGAGGAAGGTGCCGCTGGTGCCTACGATGCCAACTTCTTCGCCGACGATGATGGCCTTCCTTTCTCGAACGGCATGGATCTTGACGATGACGACGACAACCTACCGTTTGCAGATGCCCGGGAGATGCTGTCTCCAGCACCAGACGGTGGCGCCGGTGCTTCCTCTGGGGAACCCGGTGGTCAAACTGGACTTAGTGCGCTCTTGAATATGGTTGGTGCTACGCCCAGCAAGGGCGGCTATGGATCACAACTAGTCACACAGGGTGGTCGCCGCGCAAGACCCGACTACGTGGCATATGCGCGTGTTGCGAAGAAGGTGGATGTTCGTCGCCTCAAGACAGAAATGTGGAAAGGCATGGGCGAGCGCTTGGTTGATGCTGTTGATTTTGCGTCAGCCTCACAGCCTGGTGCTGTTTCTAGCGAAGCTCCATCAGAACCAGACAGTGGAGCAGAAACCCCTGTTCCTCCCACACCCAAGGCTGAAAGTCCAGAGCAATCTGTTGACACCAAGGACGCTGGTCGACTGAAGTTCACACAAATCATGAACAATCTCAAGTCTGTTTACCCCGCAGAAACGTTACGGGATATCAGTACCTCATTCGGATTTATTTGTTTGCTTCATCTTGCCAACGAACAGGGTCTTGTCCTTGAGAGTGACCTGAGTAAGGTTGGCGCTGATGCAGCTACCCTGGAAGAGATCTTCGTTTCCAGGGATGTGCACGCTATCCTCGAAGAGGGTGGGATGTGAGCCTTTTTTGATTTAGTTGCATGTACAGTTGTTACGGCTAGAAGTACTACGATATGCATGTTGGTCACGAGTGATGGACAGGGCAATTGTGACTCGGTAGATCCTTGCGGCGTTGGGGTTTTGCTTTTTCCTGTTCGCAGTGAATGGTGTTCTAGGTCTTTGCGGGTTGCCAGCCCTTTTTGTTTCCATTTGATGAATCCAAATAACTTCACACTCCATCCTTTTGTAATTTGCTTTTGGTGACGCTGCCCACCTGGGCTGGGCAGGTAGTTGACGATGTCCAATCTTCGAAGGGCTCTCCCCTGGGCAATCTTCGAACTTGGAGGTTTATACTATATGAAGATATAAAACTTTAGAATAATCAAGCCTAGGATATCACAAGCTATATTCATTGGACTAGCAATAAAATCAAAGAGAGTAAATACACGAAAAAAAAGTGTACCAAAGCCCAAATAGGTATCTGTGTCTCAACCAAAACGCCCCGGGTGTACATTAAACTCCATAGAAAGGAGATTTGACAAGACCGGACAGTTCTTCCGATCTTGATGATCATTCGAGATGATCAGTATGGCAATTTTCGAGTTTTCGAGTTTTTTTTTCTTTCTTTTTCATGTTTTTGTTTTAGGAATTCACCATTTGTCTTTTCGCATGTAGCTCAAAGGACTTGATCCCGAAAGAACAAGCCAGCACGCTCAAAAACATCCAGTCATATTCATTTGTGTACAGGGGCTGGGAAAGTAGGACCCATGGGACTCCCGTAAGCACCAGGAATCGGCACAGCATCATAAGTGCGCTCACCAGGAGGGCTGATGGCATGCACAGGCGGACTGACACGCTGACTGGGAGGTGGTGGTGATGGTGCCTGTGAGTAAGGGGTGAATTCCTCCTGTGCAGATTTAGGAGTGGGCTGTTGGACTTTGATGGGTGGGGGCTGGAGCTGGAATGATGGTGTAGGACGGGTAGGGGAGCGCGGGGACGCATACTGCGTTGGCGCAGACTGGCCCTTTTCAGCAGCAGAATAAGGGTCTACCGGGGCAGCGGCAAAGAATGGGGATTTGGGCGGGTATGAGCTGAAGCCTGCGAAGCCGGGGGTGTTGGGGGCTGATTGGAGACGGAGTTGGGCGAGGTAGAGGTCTGAGCGGGCGTTGTCGCGGGTGTCCATTGATTTCATGAGCTTGCGCTTGCTCCAGACGCGGTAGAAGACTACGACGTAGATTGCGATGACTAGGACTTCGATGACGACTTCGATGATGGCACAGACGAGACCCCAGTCTTGGAGACGGCAGAGGAGTGCGTAGTCGACGCTGTTGTGGTAGATTTGCTCGCGGGTGTTCTGGGCGCAGGACCATCCCCACATGTCTTTGCTGTTTCCTGAGGATTTGGAGTGTTGGTAGATTGCTGCTCCGACAATCCACATGATGAGATTGAAGGCAAAGAAGGCGATGGAGAATCCGGTGTAGTAGACTGCGGCCTTCTCCGCTCGTCGGTGTCCACCCTTTCGGTATGCCCAGAAGACAATCAGACAGGCTGCGAGGGAGACACAGGCCATGGAGAGAAGGAGATATTGGGCCCATGGGTTGGTTCCCTCCGCCCAGGCGGGTAGGTTGTTGCGAGTGGGCAGGCTTTTGGTTGCATTGAAGACGGTCAAAGTGACAGCCAGGAGAGAGAGCACAATAAGACTGCAGCCAAAGTTGACAAAACGCAAGAAGACCTTGGCGATGCGGACACGAAGCTTGATTCTCTGGTGATAGTTAGTACATTGCATGGATTCAGGTTCAAAGAGAGTTTCTCACAATATCTCGAGCATTCTCAACCTCCGCTTTCTTTTCTTGCTTCTCAAGCATATACTCTTCGCGGAAAGTCGGGCTGAGCGGGTTCAACGACTTCGCTGTTTGAGGCACTTTCAGGTCCGGTCTGAATGGCGACATTGGTACTTGATCGTCTGTATGGTGGCTTCCCGCCCCGACATAGCCGAAGCCCACGTCGCCCACATTTCCTTGGGACTGGGATTTGGGAGGGTCGGCGAAAGGTGACCGTTGAGCTTGTTCAATCGGGGAATGGATTGAGGTAGCTTCGGCGAATCTGGCGGTACGTGGGCTCTTTAGTGACGCATTGCTGGTCTCTGATGAGCTGCGCTCCTGCACAGTGTGCTGTGGCGGGGGACCCATTGCACTATGGTAGGAGGAACGGGTAAGATCCTCCGGAACAACAGGCTCGTAGGTCTGAGGAGAGTAATCGCGGTTGTCGTGATGGTCCAACATTGAAGCGACAATTTCCGGCAGTAAACTCGTGCGATTAGTTCAAGAGGACCAGCTCTTGGATTGAAGCCCACAGGACTGGGATAGAACAAGCGACTCTGCAATTGAGTTGATTTCCTACGAAAATCACACAAAGGTAGGACAATGATCGAGCTGTATCGGATTTTGCAATCGATCACCAATACCGTGTGCGAAGCCTGCGTACACGGGGTATAACGAGCCGAAGGTGACCTGAGACAGACAAAAATTGCAGAAAAGAAAGGTTGCAGGAAACCGGGCGCTTTTGGATATCAATACTGTCCAGAGGCGGGGACGCAAAATGCAGGCTTTTGGCTCTCATCACTCGAGCCGGGTTCGAGTAAGCGCCGGGGGTGATTTGCAACAGCGACCAGGGCCATGATTGGGAGATCCCCGAAGCGTCGAAGCCGTTCAAGTGCACTGTACCTCGAGGCGTTGAGGGGAGAGTGTGACTGGACGGCGGGAGTGATCAGCCAAGCTTGTCACAGTGGAGCAGTGGGCCAGTCAGATCGTGGAACGGCCCTTTCTGCTCCTCACGATGCACCTCTGGTCACCCCAACCGGCGCTAATCCGCCGATCGTCTGACCAACCACAGGCATTGCAGAACCGCTGGAGGGAGAGTGGAGGCGAGTTTCGAATGACTGGAGGTCAGATTTTCATGCAACTTGGTGAAGGGAAGTGTCTGTGCACTTGCGGGAATTATGTGGGAGACCGAATCACGCTGTGATACTCGTGCCTCGCATTTGTGTCTTGGCAGAATACTTAATAACGATAGTTAGCTGACTTCTGTGATTTGAATGCTTTCTACTCTGTATGTACACTTGAATCACGGTGTGCTGCTTAATTAATTGGTACTGTGTCTTCCTGGTCGTGTCCACAGCTAAGCTAGTACAGCCCTGGAGAGTATACTACAAGTAGGTCTACCTAACAAGGGGGATCTAGTTGGTTATTGTGATACTATAACTAGCACGATTTTCCAAGTTATTCCGAGCTTGGAATAACCTTGTAAGAAAAGACCAGCCACCCGTGGAGACTTCAGGAATACTAGTCCCTCGGGGCCAGCGGAATATCTATAGGCATATAAGCATCCATCCCGCGTCTCGTCCTCCACTGCCTCCTCTGCTTGATGACTGGCTAACTATAACCGCTGGAAGACGCCTCTCGATTCAGCAGAAACTATGATCAAATTACAAAATCTGCCCCAATAATCGCAGAGACGACTATCCACTCTATCTATAAAAAAAAGGGCCAATGGAGGCAATGTGTGAGCCTTGACGCAATGGGCCTGCAACAAATCTTCCGATTCAATGGTGGCTTGCTTCCAAGGTTCTAAATTTCCCGAGGTCCAAGTTGCCGATGCCAGTATGTCACTTCTTAAGATATAAATAGCGATATCATATTGACAAGCCCGAAATATTCCACAAGAACCGTGGACTTCGGACGAGGAACTTGAGGAGACTTCCGCCGTCAATGACCTTGCCGAAATTAACTTAGAGAAGCCAGGAGTGATGCCCAAGGACACCCGTGGACTTGACCTACCCACCTTCCAAGGTTCAATGCTCAATGGATTCCTTGTTGGCAGATGACTGATTTGAGTTCGGGATGAAACCAGTTTCATCCTCAAGCCTTGTTTCAGCGCTGGCCTTTAACTCAGTCTGTGCTCGCATTCGATCGGCCATGGCATCTAATTGGCGAGAGGACTCAGCGGCATAGCGACATCTTCGGCGAATAGCGGGTCCATATTTGTAGAATATCCAAGGGAATGGCAGGCAGGCAGCAGCAAGGAAGCCAGAGATCGAAGAGGCCCAATGAATGCCGAGATTTTTGTACATTGGAGTAGTGAATAGAGGACTGTCCGAGTGATTGGTCAGTGATATATAACTGGAAGTGGATGAAGACCTTATCGTACAATGCTGCGCCAAAAACGGCTCGAATAACAGCGTTACCTGCCAGCGCAGATGCAGCGTAGATAGTATAGCCATCGACAAGGTAGTTCAGAATACTCAGGAAGATTGAAACGTGCGAGAATCCAAAGAGAACCGTTCCGATCTCACATACGATCCAAGGAATGTGAGGGAAGTTGGTCCAAGCAAACCAGAACAGACCGATTGGAAGGGTTACTGAGCCGACCATGGCTGGGATCAATCGGGCTTCTGGGGGTGGTCGGCCATAAGGAGTGTTATCCGCTACTTTCTTGTAACGGATGTCATCGAAGGTGGAGTAGATGCAACCGAGGATTTGCCCGATCATCATTCCTAAAAATGACAACCCTGAAGTACTCTGTGACCATTTGAGGGTATCTTCAAAGACAATAGGGAAGGCAGCAAACTCCATGTACATGGTGCCGTAGACTTTCGATCAACGCGTTAGTCTTGTGCTGTATAGACTTAATATTCAGGGACTCACTTATTGCCATGTAAATAGACAGTAGCAGAACGATCGGAACCAAAAAGAGCAATATCCATGGCCGGACCATAGTTTTGGCAAAGATCTGTCTGGCTGTTCGATGGGAATCACCGACATCGAGACGACTTTTGTACACAGCTCCAGTAAGTTTGCTAAGCTTTGCGGCTCGCTTCTGCAGAAGAACTGGTGAAAAGGTCTCGGGAATGCAGATGGTACCCATTAAAAACACCACTCCATTGAAGATAGTAATGAGACCCTGCACCCATCTCCAGCCCTTATACACAGCGAGGAAATCACAAGCTACTGGCCCAAGACTTGGACCGAAAAGTGGAGCTCCAACATAGGCAATTGTAGCTATTCCTCTGTCGCGGGCCACATACATGTCCGAAATCACAGCGCCGGTATTAGAAATTGCCGAAGAGCCAAATGCACTTGTTAGAAACCGGAGAACAAGAAGTACAGTGATGTTTGGGCTTGCAATCGTTGCTCCAGCCAAAACTGTAGTGAGGCCATAGGTTAGGATATAAATGATCTGACGACCGAAGATTTCAGACAAGGGGGCCCATATTGCTGGCCCAATTGCAAAAGCAAGAACAAAAAGCGAAGTGTCTGCAACGACCAACTCAGCGCTAGCCCCAAACTCTTCCCGGATTTGGGGATTTGCCGCTGAAAGAGCAGATGAAGCGAATGTGATGGAAAGGAAAGAAGCAGCTTGGAGTAGAGTGATTGACATTTTCAGCCAGCCTTGCATCTGATGGGGATCTCTAGAATCTTCAACTAGCCATTCAACCAAATATGGGTCTTCTTCTGTACCACAGCCCTCCCATTGGTGATGAAGAACGTCGTCGGTGATAGTTTCTTGCGAGAGTACTAGCTGATATAGCGGAATGCGTTGTCGGGAATTGGGCTTCCCGGGGGCTGACATTTTAGCAGAATCAGTCTTGAGTTTTGAATATAAGTTATAATGAATGGAGCTGGTAATGGACAAGGGTGCAAAAGAGTGAGCACAGCGAGTGTCAGGAGCCAAGTGCAGCTGAGAAGACAACAGAGCCAGATAATTCAAGGCATTGAAGGGACATGCAAGTGGGGCGATCTAGAAGGGAAGGCTAGGGGCTTGACAACTATAAGACCTCGGGAGTACTCCGTAAGCTAGCAAAAGACAGGATATATACTCCGTATCTCTGTAATGTCCATAGGCTGGATATCAGGCTATTAGGCACAGGAGGCAAGGGGGTGTGGGGCCATGGTGAAGAACTGATCATACTCGTGGGCGATAGTACGGAGTAGTTTTGAGAAGAAATGGGTCAAGAGCAATCTAACTGTGAAATCCAGAAAGGAAATCTCTGCTTGCTTGCGTTTTCTGAAAGGTACAATGTGGCTACCCAAGCATTCCAATACTGCTTTCCTCAAGCAAGGCTCAGATCGAGAATAGGGCTCACTTGGTACAGAATACTCCATGCCCAGGGATGCATTACTTGATACTGCATAGTTCATCCAAGCTCCCAGGGGGATTTGCCGATCCGATCTATAGCTTTAATTCCCGAAGATCTCTCGGGCTCGGGCTCGGGCTCTGTCGTGCTTCGGATTATCTTTGGAGTGATAATTGAGAGAAATAGAAATATTTCGGTTAATTCGCATCTACAGATTGCTTCTTCTGATTTTCTTCTAATCATAAGTCACTGAGGTTCTGCTACTGGACTTTCTCCCACCTTTCAGAGCACATGTCCTCATTGCTATGTGGCTATTTTCACATCATCAACGGAGTACGGAGTAACTGGCAATTGTTTTTTTATTTCCATTAAGGGGAGACTCATGATACGTTATGAGCCTGCCGATTAAGACACTCGCTCATGCTCTCTGCTTTACAGCTGACTAGGGTGACTTTTAAGGGTCCATCGTTTTGCACAGTGTATCAATTTTTATGGAGTCCTTTTTCAATTGAAGATTTTTTTTTACAAAAAATCCAATGTTTGGCTAATGCTTGCGTCGTATCTAAGGAGCAATAGACTGCTACCTAACAAGAACTGGTAAAAGCAAGATGACCCAAATTGAGTTGCTGTCAAGGCCTTTGGGTCGTTTTCTTGCTCTAAACGCAACAGTGTCAGAAACCAGAAGTTTTTTCTTAAGCAATCTCGCAGGATGTCCGGGCAACACAGGTCCACGGGTAATATCTGAATTTCTCGTGCCACTCTCCTGTCGGAATTTTCATGGAGAGTGCCATCTGTCCGCGGCAACCTGGGAATTGTGGCAGTGTTGCATCCTTGAAGATAAGCAATTTCCCGTATACTCCGTCCCACAGGTGAGCTAGAGGATATATTCCATCACAGCGTATGGTAAATGTGTGTTCTGGAAGCCAATGCACTTTGCCAGTACGGAGTCTACATATGAGCTTAGAGCAATCGACTATTTTTGGAAATTTAGTGGAGAAAGTAAGGGGAGCCCCGAATATCCACGGGGTTCCTTGTTTCGCGCGTGGCAATGTGTGGCGGAAGGGTTTCATTATGCGCTTACGAGTCAGTCCTGACGCCTCAACTCACGGAGTATACACCCCCAATTTTTAATTAGACCCCTATTGTATGCATTTGACATTGCATCGTACCTACATTCACTTTTCTTTTTGTAGACTAGTTAATCCGTACGGCGTAGTATGTACGAGTAGAACTCGTAAAGATGGGGCTCCGCCTTGTAGATCATCCGGAGATGGCGCAGTGAACGCCATCTGTCCTCTACCTAATCCTGTGAGCCTGTAAGCATGGTGTGTTAGTGATCTACAAGTACTCTGTCTGATTTAAGTGACATCACGCCTATTATACCGGTTTAACGAAACATGACCTCATAGTTGTGTCTATACAAGTATATGGCCTCTCTCTGTGCAATTGACAGGAGTCACTCCAGTACATCGTCGTCTGTAAGAGAGAAAAAGAGAAAGAGAAGAGAAAGAGAGAGCCGCAACCTCGTGCCCCCACAGGGTGAGCCTACACAGCCTCAATCTTAATCAGGTACCAGGTACCATCTAATAGATAAGCCACAACATAGTGAATGGAAGTACCCAGTACCTGACTCTATCCAGAGCCTCGACTGTCCCCACCAAAACGTATCCCTTGTCAGGTTTCTTGATCTGCGAATATTCCTCTTCCTAAGTGTATTCTTGATTATCTCCCCACCATTCAGCTTCTGTGCTTTATAGGATTCAATCCCAGCCACTCATTGCCATCGACAGGTCCAAGCCCCCTAAAGATCCCTGGTGGATCGTTATTTGCCTGGACAAGTTCGAAAGCTGAAACCACTCGTCAGCTTGCGCCACACTGGGAAACCGCCCCACACGCCCTTCTCGCTCTCTTCCCCCCAAACTTCGCCTTTGACATCTGTGACAAAAACCCATGAACGTCAGTCCATTCCCTGCCCCCTCAAATCTCTTCAATATCCTAACATGGCTAAAGTAGCTGTCGCCTATACTCGTCCACCCTTTGAGGCTGGTGCGAAACCTTCGTTCTCCATGGCGACGTTGATGTCAAATGAACCCATAGTCTCTAACCCGCGATCTGCAAACTCCAATCCCAGTTCCGACCCTCTCTCTTTATTCAAACCTCAACCAAAAACCGATAGCCTGAGCTCCATTGCCAGTGCCGGTTTACACGTCTCGCGATCCAGTGATCAACAACCTCTGATGACAAGTCCGACCTCAGTCCCGGCGGATCGTCCGGAGCAGGAGAAGGATGCAGAACGAAATAGTTCGCAGGTGGCCCGAGAGGCATTAGGTGCAAGCGAGAAGTCGCCGGGTGCCACAATCCACGAGTCTTCGGTCCACGCTTCCCCGGAGCAAATGCAAATCGACCACGCGAACGGATCACCATCAGACCCCTACGGATCGAACGATCACCACGGCTCATTGATGCACGCCTCGACTGTCGCGAGTCCCGGTCCCATCGAAGAATCGACATCGCAAGATGGCGATCGACGGCCTCGGGATGACTCTGAAATCGATCATGATGGCAAGGCATTCTCGTATCCAATGCCAACCATGAACGACCCGCGTCGCGGGCTGAGTCTCCCGAATGCAGGCTACAATCGAGGCAGTCCTCGCTCCCCATCCGCCAAAAAACACCGATGCCCCTACTGTGCGACCGAATTTACGCGCCAACATAATCTCAAGAGCCACCTGCTCACCCATAGCCAGGAAAAGCCTTTCGTGTGTCAAACCTGCCAGTCGCGCTTCCGAAGACTGCATGATTTGAAGCGTCACACAAAGCTTCACACGGGGGAGCGACCGCACATTTGTCCCAGATGTGGCCGTCGCTTTGCCCGCGGTGATGCGCTGGCCAGGCACAACAAAGGACAAGCAGGCTGCGCGGGTCGACGCTCGAGCATGGGTAGCTTCGCTGCAGATGATGAATACGGGGATGGCGGTGCTGGGGGACCGGACGATATGGATGGCCTGATGTACACTGCAGAGCCTGAGCGCATGGATGAAGAGGATGAGCGACGATTGATGCCGAGCATTCGCAAGCATGAATCCGACCCCGTCGCTCGCTCCGATTCCATCACCTCGCGCCAGTCCAGCACCTACCCCCCGATAGCAGCCAGCCGTCCCAGCCACCTCTTCCCACCTCCAGCCAACCACGGCGGAAGTCCATCAGCATCAACTTCGCAGCCTGGCAACATGACATTCCCGCCCGCAGGAATTACCTCGGGAACGTCCGTCTTCCCATCCAATAATCTTAGCGATAGTCCTAAACCATTGTCTCCGAATGCTTTGTCGTCGCAACATGATAATGCACCGCCACACCGCGCTAACTCCCCCAGCATGGGACAGTCTCTGCCACACCCGCAGGCTTCCTTTGGTCGCGCGAATTCATTGACTAACCACGCCCCTCCGACCCTAGGCCTGCCACTCCCTCAGCCAGGTGCCCCTCAACTGCCTCTCCCGCCGGGTATGACCTCACCGGATGCTCGATTCGGCATGCAGGCAGCAACCAAACACACCCCTTCGCACAGCCACTCCAGCACCCACAGCATCTCCGCCTTCAAAGGACCCGAGGCATCCGAGGCCACTCCCAACGACTCCAGTCAGATCGACAAACTTTGGGCACATGTGCGAACCATGCACGACGAGATGACCGGTCTGCGCTCCGAAGTTGCCGCTTTGCGAGCACACATTGCATCCACCAATTCAACCGCGCCCCCAGCTCCTGTCGAAGTGAACCTCAACAACTCTGGGCGATAACATGTGCCTGAGTTTTGTGTACGATATGGCGACCTGTTAGCCTTCCAAGCTGGCAGGAAAATGCCCCCTTTCTCCACTTTGTCGATACGTTTTGAATGTCCCATTCTACCCTGGGCGTCAAGCTTGATGCCCCTTCATGATCACCCGACAGTTTGCCGGCGTCGGTACCTTTCCCTTTTTTTTTCCTTCCCTTACTGTGTCTCCCACTTTCCTTGCCCCATACCAGGGACAACCTTTTCGTTCTAGCCTACTTATTATACATGAGGCGAGCTACGCCGCGCATTTCTTTTCTCTTTCTGGACTGGCAGGAGTTTGGCGCACCAAAATTCAAAATTGGTCCCACGTTGCGAGGAGAATCATGCTCAGCAATGGGCATAGCAATTGACTTCTGTCTTTTGCCTCTTCAATATCTCCATCCTGCATGTGCATGGGTTACGCTGGTTTTGGAGTTGTCTCTTATGAAGCTTTTTTTTATAGTGATAATATATACCCTTTTAACTGATTTCTACTAAATCGTACTATGTAGATCTTCACAAGAACCAAACCTCGGACTTCTCCACCTTATGTACCGAGGCTTCCGTGGCCTTAAATGTACTCTGCAACATCACCATTTTTCTATATTTCACTACTATAATTTACTCAACATGTCTCCCTCTCTATTGCAAATCTCCGCCGGTTCATTCGTGTTCCTCTCCGTAGCCCACACGGTACTCCACACATCCTCAATTCACCCGCAAATACGTGTACTAACCTCCCCAGTTCATGGGCCGACAATGGACCTCCGACCCCAGATTCAAGGCCATCAAAGGCTCTAAGCCCTGGGCCTGTGGGACAGTGGGCTGGTACCAGGTGCGTCTCAGTCCGAGACCGAATATTCGGACATGAATGCTGTCGCAGACGCTAACGGAATGTCAATTCAGGGGAGTGGATTCATGCTGGTGGCTGGTAAGTTCTCTACTGAAGTCTGAGGTGTTTTCTTCGGTTTTACTAACATTATCAGCCCTCCTTCACTGGCAATGGTCGCGCGACCCCAGTCTGCTTCAAGAGCCAGTCACCAAGATTATTGCCGGTCTCACCAATGTGCTTCTTTGGGCTAGCTCGGTCTGGTATGCTAAGAATGGCATCAATGACACTGCGTCCGTTGTGGGATTGTGTGCGGTGCTGCAGGCTTGGGCTGTTACAAAGGCCTAGGTGGATTGATTCTACTGCTGGAATTTGGTATATTGTCTGTTCCCGTGTTCTCTATACGAGTCTGGAGGGCGATTATCGATTTCCCTAATGTCCCGGGTCAGGTTGTACAAATTAAACATAAAGCTAGAGCGCGGTTTCTACAAACCGCGCTTGAATAGGCTCACTCTTCCAATTCACCCTCCCTCTGTCCCCTCCGCTTCATAACCCACCCAATAAACAATCCCACATCAGCAACAACAGCCTTAGGAACCCCTCCCAGCGTCCAATTCCGCTGAACCCACTGGGGAATCTTCCCACCAGCCTCTGACGTCGTCGCCATAGTCCACCGAATTGTCCGATCCTCAGACCCAGCCAGCAACTCCACATGCTCGAGACTGGCATAGTGAGCGAAGATCGTGCGCGGCGGAACAAAGTTCCAAATTTCTGCATTGAGCTGCTCATACCCTGGCTCTTCGGGATCCGATAGACGGAATGGAATCTGGACAGTCAAGAAGCCACTCGGCTGGATAGTATCTTCTGATACAATCTTGCCCAAGGCTGCTGATAGAGTCAAAGAGATAAAAGCTCTAGGTCGAATCAGGGCCTTAGGATGGAATGTATGGACAATCAAATTGACTGCGACACATTAGTTCGATCATTGAAAATTCCAGCAGGCAATTCCATACGCTCAATGATAAAATCCCAATACCGAGTCTGATCCACATCAAGTCTCATCTCCGGATCCCAATTATCATTCTTATTCCAATTCACCAGTTGTTTCAACCCCGTCACACTGGGCGTATACTCCATCTCATGCTCAGCATGATCATGACGCAGACCGTCTTCGAATTCGCGCCAGGACCCTGTTCCGTCTTTGGTTGCGTCTTGGTGGTCACTTTGGCGACAGACCCAGAATTCGAATGAGTGCCATCCTTGCGATAATGTGACTTGTGCTGTTGAGGGATGGGAGGGGCGAGGTTTGGGGTCCTTTTGGAGGTTTGTTTGGAGATTGGTTAGAAGGGGTGAGGCTTCGTGTAGGATTGAGGTTATGGAGGATTTGAGAGCTTGGGGATCTGTTTGGCTGGGGAGGTCTTTGAATGGGTGGGGGTCGAGTCTTATAAATGGCATTGTGGTGTGTAGGTGTGAGGTTCATTTGGGGGGATCGGCAAAGCTTGTTTGGGGTGTTTTATATTGTTTACATTGCATTGTCTGATCTTTTACTCTGTTCCATGTTTGAGTTGTTACGTAGTATGAGATACCATTTGAAGCCTCCAAGGCTACTTCATTAGACGCAGTATTTCTATTTAAGTAGTTATAGATGCAATGTCGTTTTTTTGAACTCGTCACGACAACAGATGCAAATGACCAGTCCATTTATGCTGGGTTATTCCAATTAGTATTGCCAGAAAAGACCTTCTTGTGATCGAGCATCATGAACGGCCCCAGGGCGCATAATGTAGAGATCCCGGCACAACGCTACAAACAGCGAATCCCGGGTCCTACACTGCCAGTTTCAAACATCTCAACGAGTCCCGCCCCCAAGGCTTCTTCCAGCACCCATCGAAAATGCATTCCATTCAAGTCTTTCCACTTTTTGGTTTTGCCAGGGAGTACCCCAGCAAACTCTCCGCGGGCCCGCTTAGCCAGATGGAAACTTTTCTCCGTTTCAACGGCTCCATCCCACCGGTCTTTTACCAAGCCCACAGGAGCTTCGCCAGAGGCAGACCGCTTGAGCAGCGCCATAAGATGCGCGCGACCCGATCCCAGCAAGCGAAGATATGACCCTGTGTTCGGAAGAGATAAGAAAAGGGTCGCGGCACGGGCCTGAGCATCTGATTGCACAGCACGCTCGGGGTTGGAAGCGGTGCGATCCGATCCCACTCGACTTGCTGACGAAGCTGCCATTGTTGGTAAATTGGGGAGCGATGCGATGCTGAGGGAGCCTTGCGTGAAGGAAGACGAAGATACTATAAATCCAGCACGCAACAAGGCTCTGTACTCATCAGTGGTGAAGACCCCTTGCGATATCGCCGAGGAGGTCCCCATGCGCTTGAGGATGTCGAGGAATTTCTCTATCATCTAATCAATAACGAGGCCTTTGAGAGCTGTCTGATTGTACTCACCCTTCACTGGTGTATCCAAAGCGGGACTTTCCTGCACTAGTTTATCCCAGTCCGCTGCCAGAACCAAGCAATCACCGAGTCCTGCTGCATCGTTGCCTCGACCTGGGATGATGAGTCGCCGAATCTGACCAGTCTTCACTAACTCAACGATTTCTCGCTCCACCTGCGTGGGGGCCTCCAACAATGTATGGACGTGGGCGACCGAAGCCAGCGGGGGTAGGGAACGGCGGAAATTGAGGAGTTCAGCAATTCGGGTACTGTTCATACCCGCCCGTGCTGGGAGCTCCTCAAACATGCCATTGCGGATATATTGTATAGCCTGAACAACATTCTGCACCGGGGCGGTCTCCGATATGTACTGCGACCCACCTACGTCTGGGAGCGGATCATGACCCAAATCCACAGATTTCAAATGGGGGGTGCTGGAGGTCGGTTTGCGGCGGGCATGACCGGCGAAGGGCGAGGCTCGGGGTTTGGGAGCGGACTTTCGTTTCTTGACGCCTGATACCGAAGCGGACGTGAGGCGCAATGTCATGGCATTAGTAGATGAGCTATATACGAGTCAAGGACGAATTCAGCCGGAGACATGAGCCCTGTCAGGTGATCTGAAAGTCTAAGAGATTCCGCCAATCACAGGTCTGGGGTCATAGTTCGGTCACGGTATTATGGTATTATAACCTGACTATGCGGCAAATACCCGTCGGTGTGGGGTAAAACCAGTAAGATCCGGTACTGTGTCGAAGACCATTGACGATGGACTCCAATTCTGCCCTGATTCTAGTTTATTTTTTTCCATTGAATTGCCTTGTCAGACGAAGCTAAATATCTCAGATCTTCCCGTGTCATGATGGGTGTTCTGAGAGATTTTCTTTGGGCGAAACTTGCTTCTTCAGCCCACTTTGCGCTTTCACATGACGTAGTCATGAGAAACCACCTGAAATCGTGTAACTGACCTTTTTTTCTTTCCCCTTCAGCTTGTGTCAATTCCAACCCTCCAGCTGCCACTCGATTTATAATATTTGAATACCCATTCAAGGGTTCAAATTTGATTCGCCTTGTGTTTGGACTTCTGTTTCTCTACAGAGACTAGGCCCTGTCGATCACAATGACGGTATTCATTGCGTCTTTGTATGTGAACTAAACACTAGTCTGGGAAGCCCTACTAAATTAGAACCTCAGGTTTCTCCCATATACAGTGAATTTCCATGTCGATAACTCACGCAACCGCCATACCCCGGCGGGCCCCCCGTCTGCAAACCCGATTGTAGAAGGGATTACCCCCATCCCCCAGGCTCCCCAGGCGCAGCCAACCGCCAGCCTCTTTGGGCAGCCAAAACCCGGAAAATCATCTGGGCTCACCCCCGGAGCCACCACAGACCATGAGCGCATTTTCGCATCAAATGTAGCCCAGGCAGAGCAGGAGAAAAGCGGATATCCATTCCCTCCTTCGGTTGAGGACAACCGATTGCTCGTCGAGAGTGAGGGTCATTCGCCGGCATGGGGAGCCACGACTTCCCTCAATCAACCCAAGCCCCAGGCAACTTTGTCGCCAGACCCTTCCATCCTCAAACACCAAGATCCCCAACCCGCCAAGGAATCCGTACCACCGCGGGTCCCTCCAGCCCAGCCTGTCGCGCCCTACACTGGACTGAGGAAGGGCAGTGTGGCGAATCGCAAGGTGTCATTTTCCAAGGCTGAATGGAGTATCGAGACTGCGGAACAAGGGAATGGTGGCCTGCGCAATGCGGTTCGGTCTGCGACAGACGCGGGAGTTCTGGAAGAAATGATGTGGGTGGGAACCCTGGGTATGCCGACTGACGCTCTGGCGAAATGGACCCGGCGAGACATTTCAGAGAAACTGGAAGACGAGTACGAGTCATTGACAGTGTTTGTCAATGACGGTGACTTCGACGGCCACTACACTCATTTCTGCAAGACCATCCTTTGGCCAGTATTCCATTATCAGATCCCGGATAACCCCAAGAGCAAAGCATACGAGGATCATTCATGGATCTACTATGTTAAACTCAACCAGGAATTTGCGGAACGCATCGCTAAACATTGGAAACGAGGCGATTCTATCTGGGTTCAAGATTATCACCTACTTCTTGTCCCGGCGATGCTTCGCAAGCTGGTCCCCGACGCGCAGATTGGTTTCTTTTTGCACATCGCCTTCCCATCATCCGAGGTATTCAAGTGTCTAGCACCCCGCAAGGAACTCCTAGAGGGAATTCTGGGTGCCAACTTGATTGGCTTCCAGACTGACGAATACTGTCGGCATTTCCTGCAGACGTGTAGTCGCATTCTCTGTGTGGAGGCAACCCCCGAAGGAATTCAACTGGAAGATCGGTTTGTCAACGTTGGCACATTCCCGATCGGTATTGACCCAACTTCATGGGACAAACGTCGCCAGTTGACAGACGTGGAGCGATGGGTCGATACAATCTCGGAGCGTTACCAGGGAAAGCGACTCATCGTTTCGCGCGACAAGATCGATTCTGTCAGGGGTATCCGCCAGAAGCTTCTGAGCTATGAGCTGTTCCTAAACAGTAATCCAGAGTGGGCAGAAAAGGTTGTTCTGATCCAGGTTGCAACAAGCACTACGGAGCAACCTGAACTTGAAGCCACACTCTCTGATATCGCCATGCGGATCAACTCCACTCACTCCACTCTTGCCCACCAGCCTTTAGTGTTCCTTAAACAGGACTTGGCTTTCTCGCAATACCTCGCTCTGATCACCGTGGCAGATGCCCTTATGATTACAAGTCTGCGCGAAGGCATGAACCTAACAAGCCACGAGTTTGTCTATTGTCAAGATGGTAGCTATGGTGACAAAGCTTACGGATCTTTGATTCTGAGTGAGTTCACCGGCAGTGCATCTGTGTTTGGAAACCATGCCCTTTTGGTGAATCCCTGGGACTACCGCCAATGCGCCGAAGCTATTCACACTGCATTGACGCGTGATGAGAAAGAGAGGAAAGAGGTTTGGGAGCAGATGCTTAGCGCGGTGCTGCAGAATTCGACCGCGAACTGGGTCAAGTCATTCAGCGAGACTCTCACACGCGTATGGAATGAACAATCATCGCGAGAGATCATGGCAGTACCCAGACTGTCTGTGTCTCGATTGACGGAACGCTACCGCCAGTCAAAGCAACGGCTGATGATTCTCGATTACGAGGGCACCCTTGCCTCGTGGGGCTCACCGCGGAGCATCATCCTAACCACACCTCAACGTGCAATCACGACGTTGACAGAATTAACTGAAGACTCAGCCAATGTTGTCTACGTGATGAGCTCTCGCATGCCCGAAGAGATGGAACGTCTTTTCCGCCAGGTTCCAAACTTGGGATTGATCGCGGAGAACGGATGCTTCGTTCGGGAACCACAATCTGATACTTGGAGCCATCTTGCAGACAAAGTCCATGTCAAAGCATGGAAATCATCCGTCTCTCATATTCTGGCCTACTTCAATGCTCGCATCGAAGGAAGCTGGATTGAAGAGCGTCATTGTTCCCTGGTGTTCCACCACGGATCTGCCGAAGATCGTCACATTGCAGCCCGACTCGCTGCGGAGTGCGCTGGTAACATCAATGATGCCTGTGCAGACCAAGGCGTGCACGCCATTCCAGCTGAAGGCGCATTGATTGTGGAAACCACTCATACTAACAAAGCCTCAGCCGCCGAATTAGTCTGGAAATGGTACTCGACGAAGGCTGAAAAGGAAGAGGAAGTCATCAAGCCTGACTTCCTACTGATTATCGGCGACAACCGCGAGGACGAGCCCGTCTTCCGCTGGGCAAACAAGCTCCAGAAAGCCAAGGCCGCCGAGAATGTCATGACTGTTACACTAGGCTCACGCAGCACGGAGGCCAAAGCAACCTTAACCCAGGGAGTGACAGGTAATTTCCCCGAGAGGCTCATCGATCTAATAGGCTAACTTTGCTAGGTGTGCTCTCTTGTCTGCAACAGTTGGCAGCTTCCCAAGACAAGACAACGCTGCCCTTGCGGCAGTGATGAAATATGTTTTATGACTTCATGAGGTGTTGAAGATGTGAACGTGACGACGAAGACATGATAAAAAGACGGAATCTTCCTGTTGGATCCATCATTGCTAGCTTGCATTTCTCGCGGTGCGTCACCCGTCTTAACATGGTAGATACTTTGCATGAGACATAAACTGCATTGGAGCCAGATCTTTATACTTAATTCCAATATCCATTTCTGCTTCAGTAAAGAAACCTTGAAATTTTCGCCCTCGCTTGGATAATTAGGACCTCGGGGGACAGAGTCTCTTCTGTTGCATCTGAGTTCCTCGTATATGGCTTGGTTCAATATTTGATTCAATGCCTATGTGTAGCTCGAGCTAGGCATATCTCATGTATTTGATTTGATTAAGGAAATAAGTAGTGAATGTAAAGTTGACTTTCATTTCCGCAGGGTCCAATACTAAGTACGAGTAGATCGGTCGCGTCCCCTTGAGGGCGCCCGCGACCCTTTCAATTCAGCTAACCAAGAATTCACGGCTAGACAGTAGGTTCAGACAAAGCTGGTCATCTCAGTGCTAATTCGACCTTCACAAGCACTTGCAGCCCTGGAGTATTGGGCCGATGACAAATCACGGCTATTGGCCCGCGGGCTGGTTGAGCCGAGGCTCGGTGGTCGCGATGTACTCGTACATCTTGAGTGGACATTTACAACTTCCCTCCTCCATCTGTACATAATACTATCAAAATGTCCATAAACCCCTCCTTCGAGCAGGCCATCAAGGTCACACCACAAGGTGCCAACAAATACAGCGCCCACCTCCAACCAGAATGGTGCATTGGAACCGGTATACTACACCCGAACATCACAACCTACACAAAGCTAACAATCCCAGTTCCACACGGCGGCTATACAACAGCCGTAATCTACAACCTAGCACTAACACACTTTGCACACGCACACCCAAAGCAACACAAGAGCCCCGCAACCCCGATCTCAATCCAGCTCTCCTTCCTCCGGCGCACAGCCTCCGGCCCCGCAACCTTCGAAGTAGAAGATGTGAAACTGGGTGCGCGAACCAGCACAATCCACATCAAGCTACTGCAACCATCTGAGAAGAAACCCGGCACTCTCGAAACCATGGTCGTGGGCTATATCACCGTCAGCCCAGCCTCAGCCGAGGTAGGCATCAGCGCAAAGACAGGCTGGAAGCCGACACCTGCACCAGCGGCTGGATCCCGGGCTGACGGGTCTGTTGATCTGTGCTCACTGGCACGGACGGGGTCAGACGGGTCCTGGAAGAAACTGAATCCCCCGTTCCCTGAGTTCAGGAAAGCAGGGGCGCAGCTTGAGTTGTTTGGGCCTGTTGGGGGATCGTTGCAGAGTCAGGGTGGGGGATTGTCGATTGATCAGTGGGCGCGGTTCCGGCCTGGTGGGGATGGGAATGGGAGGTGGACTGATGCTGCTGTTGCTTATTTGATTGATATGTTTCCTTCTGCGTTGGGTGGGTTTGATACCATGTCTGCGGAGGCGGCGAAGGCCAATGGGGAGGATGGGAAGGCTAAGAATTGGTATCCTACTGTTACGCTGAATGTGGATATGAAGAAGAGGCTTCCGGTTGAGGGGGTGGAGTGGCTTTATAGTCGGGTTGTGACTAAGGTTGTGAAGGATGGACGAACTGATTTGGAGGTTACTGTTCTTGATGAGAGGGGGGAGGTTGTTGCGTTGAGCACGCAGGTTGGATTGGCACTTAGTGCGAGTCGGAATGTTGGAACGAGGAAGTTGGGAAAACTATAGACTTGTGGTTTGGATCGCAGTTCAAAGTGCTTAGAGTTTGGATGTTCGCATAGACAATATTACGATCCCTCAACTCGGAGGTATGCAATTGCATCATGGTCAGTCTGGCTAGCTTATTGGGAGCGACATGATGTGCAGCAAAGGACCGGGGAGATGGATTAATCCCTCAGGAAGTACATGAGAATCATGCAAATATCATATCCCGTGTGCATTAGAGTCGTTTCATGATCGGAGCTAGAGGTAGCCCTAGCGTCTCAATGTGATGAAAAGAAAGGTATCTGAAGCAAATATGAAACGATTGGCAAATTGCATCTGATAGGCGAGATTAGAACTGATCAGTAAGGTGGGTTCGGTGGTTGTCAATAATCATTTGAGCTGGCGGAAAATTGGAGATCGCTGCAGGGGTCAGAAGCATTGCAGGTGTAAGCATCGTCTCGTTCAATCGGTCAATATGCTCTTAAGACATTAACAGGGACGAATAGATAGGCAACACCAGCTTGATTGTATTGATACCATCGAGGCTCAATTCTATAAAGTATTTATGCAGTGAAGAACTATATACGAGTACGGATTGGCGATCGCGTGGGTCACTGTACAGATGTAGACCCAGCGCAGACCATCTTTACATCCGATGCGCCGCATTAAGCAGCGAGGAATGCACTATATACGGTATCTATAGATCAGAGCTTTGAACCAGAGGTAACAATCCAGAAAGCCATAGCATCAGCCTTCACGACCTTCCGCTTCGCCCACTCCAGATGTCCCCCATTGTCCTCATCCTCCTGCAAAGCCTGTGCTCTAACCCAGAACTTCCGACCAACCCTGCCAATCACCCGTGCCTTGATGACCAGCAATGCAGGCGTGATCACCCTCTGCTTATAGCGCACATCCAGCTGGGCAGTGAAGATCTCTCCCCGCGGATTATCATCCATGCCTGTGTTGGGGGCATTCGTGTGCGCCGCTACTGCCAGGGACATTGCCTCGTCGATTAACGTCGCGACGAGCCCACCGTGTACGGTGGATGGGTGTCCGGACAGACCTGGGCTGCCGAGGTCGAAGATCATCACGATATCCGCGGGGTTCGGAGACGGGGTCGGGGGCTTTGCGGCATCTTGCTTGGTTGCGGGCAGCCAGGTCGGGGTCTCGGCTGGGGGTGGTTGGATGGTATTCCGTTGGAGAGTGAGGCAATGCGGGATCGTGCTGGGTGTACTGAGGGTTTGGGCGAAATAGCCGTCCTCGCCCGTGGAGGGCTTCAGGCGCCGTGAGTCAGTGACAATTGGTTTGTAGTCTGGTGAGGAGATGAGGTTTTTTGCCCATGAGTGAGAGCGAAGATGGGCGATTTCAGAGTCTGGTTCAGCCATGGTGATGTCCAATGTGTTTGACCTGGAGAGCTGATCGTCGGTAGTACTATGTACTCGTATACATTGAAAGGCTAACCTCGGCACTTGTCCATTTCCTAATCGGGTAAGGCGTGAAGGGGAAGATCACGGGGTTAGCACGGTCCACGTGGAACCGAAAACGAACATCTTTGACTTCTCGTATTTGGCAGAGTATGGAGAACACTGCATCTGGTGATATAAGGAGGCTGGGGTTTCAATGCTGAGAAGTTAAGAAGCTAAGACAAGAAGCTTTCACCATGTGTTGAATACCGAGTCCATTGGCATGTGGAGAACAAAGGGGTGGGAATGCGAAGGGGGAACGGAGCACGGCGGAAGTAAACATCAGATTTATCTCCATAGGAACCCCTATGCGGTCCTGTGATTTGCGCGGAGCGAAGCGCAGTAAGGGCAGGATTACCGGAAAGGGGTTAGTGGCACGCAGCCAAGGACCCTTAACCACCTTAGCATCTTTAGCCAGGTATCTTTGCAGAAAGGGTCGCTCGATTGGACCTCGTTTATCTTCAATGGGAAAACAAAAAAGGTCAAGCCATACAAAGTAAAATGGAAATTGCTTGAAAAAATAAGGAAGTGCAATATGCTCCCTACGGCCGGTGCAGGAATAATTGCTCACTAGAGCCAAATACACAATAGTCAAGGAGGCACTAAAAGCAAATATCCACCTCGGTATGCGAAAGGGTAAAAACGAGAAAAAAAGAGGGAAAACAGAAAAACAGAAAAACCTTGGAACTTGCCAAAGCCGGTGTTACCCTGCAGACCGTACTTACCCCAGTTGGTTTAGAAAGCAAAACAGAAATAAGAACTCATTCCTCCTCTTCTTCTTCTCTTCAACATATTACCATACCACATCTAATTCTCTAATCATGCGTTCCTCCATTGTTGCTCTGTCGGCTCTTGCCACTGCTGTGCTCGGCGCTAACTCGACCTACTCTTACACCTTCCCCGCTGGTTGGGATATCGCCCAAGTTGAGAAGGGCGAATTGAGTGAGTCCCCCGGTCTGGCCTGATTCCTTGGAGCTCCTGCTGACATGAAAATAGGCTCCTGGTGTTCTGCTCAGCGTAACACCTGCCCTGATCTGTGCAAGGGCACCAAGCTCAACTCGTGTGACCCCGTAAGTATTGTTCTCTGACGCGCCGATGCGCAAACGACTAACCATCGAACCAGGCTACTCTGAAGTTCAGCTGTGTCTGCAGCGACGACTCCACCCCCGATGTGTCGGAGTACATCCAGACTGTTCCCTTCTACGTCTGCCAGGATGCCTACGGCCAGTGCATCAGATCGCACCCCGATGACGCCGAGGGCCAGCGCGCTTGCAAGAAGGCCATGAACTGTGGTAGCAAGAACGCCAGCGCTAGCAGCACCACTTCTTCTTCTGCGTCCTCCAGCGCTTCTACCACCCTGTCCGTCTCGACCACGACTGACTCTTCCGCCTCCGCCACCTCCTCCGTGGCGGCCGCCAGTGCCACCACCTCCAACGCTGCCGCGGCGCTTGGTGATATGACCCAGTACTCCACTGGTCTCATGGCTGGCCTCATGTTTGTGGCTGCTCGCATGGTCCTGTAAAGGATTCCAATGGCTGTCTGGGTTGAACCCTCTATGTTGGGTCGCATAGCGTCCTCTTTTTACCTTGTTTTCTCGCATCGCGATGCCATTTGCCTTGTTTTTGATTCTTATACCAGAACGTTCGATTCCCCCATCTTATGAACGTTTTGAGCTGATGTTTTGTTCCACATGTTTATGAACGTGGCGCCTGTCCTTTCTTGAGTTGCTCTGGGTTGGAGTTTTATCATATCTGCGCCGGTTGATTCCGCGCTCTTATTCGATTAAAAAAGTAATACAACCAATTGTGGTGAGCTGTTGAACCCGTAGTGTTTTCAGTAAAAAGAAATTCAAGTTTTCCAAAGAATTGAAAGGTCAAAGGGTAAAGAAAGCGTCGAGATGTTTGGTGTTCCCTTCGCCAAGACTTTTTTTGGCACACACTGAAATTTCTCATTATCGATAGACTCCACCAAGAACTTCACGAGTCTCTCCTCCTCTCCTTTACACCACAACTACCGCAATCATGCCCGCTCCCTCCAACACCCTTCTGATCGAGGGTTCTTTCTCCGAGCTCGCCGACGAGTTCGCCCAGTACATCGACGCTCTCCGCAAAGAGGGCAGCCTCCAATCCGAGATCGCCCCGCTCCTCGAGCCTCTCCGCCAGCAGGAACAGTCTGAGGGCGAAGCCGACCTCAAGCAGCGCGATGAGGTCCTGAAGAAGCTGGTCTCTTCCGCTACTGCTCTGAACAGTGCCCCCGAGAAGGGTGAGTCGTGACCCGGATCGACAGAGTCGGGAAAATATTGGGAATATTTGGTGGGATCAATTAGGTGGATGAAAAAACTAATGACGGTCAAATTCGCAGAAATCACATCCGCCTACAACCTGCTGGTTCACCTTGTTCACCAGTCTTCTGACGCCGATGTCTTCCTTCCTCGCATCTGCACTTACCTCGCTAAGCCCATCACCACCTCCCCTCAGTTCGGCCCTACTCTCGCCATTTCCATCCTCACCACCATCTTCAACACTCTCTCTTCCAACGACTCCAGCCGTTACCACGTTCTCCTGGCCGTTGTTGCCGTGATCCGTCAATCTGGCTCCGGAATTGCCTTTGAGGCTCTCAAGTCCCAGCTGGCCTCCCAGCTCCCCACATGGCTCGCATCCTGGGATTTGGAGAGCGACGACGCCCGCAAGCTGCACGTTGCTATCGCCGAGGCTGCCACCGCTGCCGGTGACGAGGATCTCGCCCAATCCCACATCATTCAAGCCCTGGCCACCATCGACGCCGCGGACGTAAGCAAGCCTGAATCCCGCGACCTGGCTGTTCGCGCTCTCGCCACCGCTCTGCGCCGTCCCTCCGTCTTCGACTTCACTCCCCTGACTGCCTCCGACGCCGTCCAGGCTCTCCGCACCAGCGACAGCACTCTCTTCGAGTTGCTCGAGATCTTCACCTCCGACTCCCTCGAGGCCTACGAGACCTTCATTGCTGCCACTCCTCTCTCCTCCATCTCCGGTGGTGTTCTCGCCGAGTCCGCCGATGCCCTGCAGAGCAAGATCCGTCTCCTCACCCTCACCTCGCTGGCCTCTGCCACTCCCACTCGCTCGCTCCCCTACGCCACCATCGCCTCCGCCCTGCGCGTCCCCGCCTCCGATGTTGAGATGTGGGTGATCGACACCATCCGTGCCGGTCTCGTCGAGGGCAAGCTGTCCCAGCTCAAGTCCGAGTTCCTTGTTCACCGCGCCACCTACCGTGTCTTCGGTGAGAAGCAATGGTCCGAGGTCCAGGGTCGTCTCATGGTCTGGCGCCGGTCCCTCGAGAGCGTTCTGAGCGTCATCCGCTCTGAGCGTGAGCGTTTCGCTCGCGAGGGTGCCCAGGCTGCCATTGAGCAGGAGGCTAACAAGAGCCGTAACGCCAACGGTGACCGTCGACGGACTCAGGCTCGGGAGGTCGAGGCTGCCGAGTAAATGTTTTATGAGAAAAGCTCACTCAAAAATTCTTTGGATTAATAGAGGGGAATGGCTTTTTCCTCATGCATTTGTTTTATTTTGTAGGGTTGGATTCTCTGGCCCCCCGTCGGTTGTTTGGGACCCCACGAGTCATGTCATGTCAATCTTCGTCTTGTTTATGTTTTCCGGATGGATGACTTTTCTTTTGTTCTATTTTTTACCCTATAAAGAATCTCATACTTCTTTGGATTGGCCTGTGATACTTGATACTAGACGGAGACAGCCTGGACCTTCTCTTCTCAGGTGCCACACGTGCAGACTGTTCTGAAGGCTCAAGTCTCTACAGATATGATGTGGTCGACTAGATGAACAATCAATTCGGAAATGCTCTAAGCACCCGTAGGTGTGAACAAGTAGTCAAATGCTTCTGTATACTCTATTTGCAATTTGATCCCCTCCAATATACAACCTAACGACGGTGAATGTTACGAGCCTCAATCCCAGCCTGAACCTTAGCAAAGACCTCCTCAATAGGAATATCCGCCCGAACCTCCACAACCCGATCCTTCTTCCGGAAGTACTCAACAACAGGCATAGAAGTCTCCACGAAAGTCCTAAAGCGCTTCCGAATAGACTCCGCATTATCATCCGCCCGCCCACTCGTCTCACCCCTCTTCAACAGTCTAGACTCCATAACATCCTCAGGACAATCAAGGAACAGCACCAGCTCCGAGGGACAAACAGTGTCCTCGAAGAAGTGAGCCTGGTCCAATTTCCGGGGGAACCCATCAATCAGGAAGCGGGCTTTGGTGCCAGCAGGGGGAGGAGAAGAGGCCAGTGAATCGGCCATGGCATTCGACAGAAGTGCAACAGTCACTTCCATGGGCACAATCTTGCCTTCCCGGATGTATTCCCGGATCATGTCACCGTATTGGCTTCCTGTGCGCTCTTGTTCGGCACGAAGCAGATCCCCTGCGGACAGGTGCACGAAGCCGTAGGATGAGACTAGGTTGGCGGATTGGGTGCCTTTGCCGCTTCCTGGGCCGCCCAGGAAGAAGACGACTGTTACGTCGGTGGGGGAGAAGCGGGGGGTGGTCATTTTCTGGGGTTTTGTTAATGTGGGATTTGGGGGTGGGGTGGTTGGGTGGTGTACTGGTTTAGTTTTGGCGGGTGGTTGGTTGGCCGGTGCGAGACTTCACGAGGAGAATGTAGGAGCCGGAACTGATGGCTGTGAGGATGACGATTGGGATGATGGGGAAGTTGGAGCGGCTTTGAGGGGCTGGGGGGCGTGGTCGGGTTGAGTATTGGCGGGTGGGTCGTGCTAATTGAGAGAGGCGGGAGATCCCTGAGAGTTGACGTGGTGAGAACATGGAGATGAAGTTGGTGATGAAGAAAAAAAGGAGTTGGGGTTCCGAAACGGGATTAGCTGCTGATCCGTATATTGATGCTCCCGTGTCCGGCGACGTTTACTCGTATGTCTGTTTATTTCGGCAATCGACTACACAGAGATTGTATATTTATCCACTTGATAGACTTCTGCAATTATCTTTATTTCGGACTTGCTTCTTAGTACCTAAGTACTTAAGTAGCAAGTCATATAGCATTTGCTGGAAAACGTTGCGCTTATCCGGGCCTAAGTAGCTCCTACGGAGGACCCTTATATGGAACTTTCGTTTGGGCTCAATGTTATATGGCGTAGAAATTTTAAGTTATAATAAGGGTTTGAAATGTCTCTGTCGTACTTGGGTATGTTCGATGATAAAGGACCTTGTTACTTGCATGTGCACGGAGTAGATCTTGACCTGTCAAGTATATATAGTGGGCTAAATTTAGAATACCTGAAGACACTTGCAGGACTTTCGAGCCTTACAGCTCAATTCGTCTGTTTATTTGCGCACTTTAGTATTTTCCAGCCAAGGAAATTGAACATTGCGTATTTCTAAAGTTATCTGCTGAAATCTTTCCCTTCCTGAAGTCTCTACGCAAGTATAAGCCCCATTTGTACCCCAAGACTCCAACAAGTTTGGGTAAGTCTTTAGGAGATCTATAGATATGTGCCCAGGCGACTCAGTCCAGCTTATATCCTACCGCACTGTTTATTAACGAAACAACCTTCAAGGATACGCCGTACTAAGTCCAGTGATAAATATAGACGTTCAAGGTTCCACGATTAAATACAACTATATGCTAAGTCCGGAGTAGACAGTCCATAGATTTACTACTTAGTAATCTACCTCGAGGCATCTCATCTAGATCCATGGATATTGAAGTATCACCAGAAACTTCGGAACGCTCTCCATTGATAAACAGAACAGCGGATCTATACTCAAGTAGGATACGGCTCACAAGATGATCATAAACTTTCAATCCTGAGTTAACCTCATAGAACCTTGGAACTTTAGAAGTACTTAAGTAATTCGTCAGATGCTATCATAGGACGATAGGGAGTATAGATCTCTGGAAGATCTACTTGAGTATCACCTGGGCACCTGTGTGCTATAAAAGAAACCAAGAAGCCAATATGCCCAGGTGGACCTCTAGAGCTCTAGAGCTGTAGACTCGAATTCTCCAGGGCTCTCACATAAACCTCCAGGGCTTGGAAGTACTCCGCACTAACAAATTGGTTAACACACTTAGTTATTGAGAATATTTCATTATTCACAAGCTCGGACCATCGCTTTCAAAACCTCCCACGTAACTACTTAAGTAACCCCCGTGGCCAGGACTTGAATATCTTGCGACCTGTACGGCCCCGCGGTGTACCTATCACCCTTGTAGTTTTCACCGAGCCTCGAATGATATATCATATTGCATATGAATGTGTCATGTACCCCAATAATTAGAATGGGTCTCACATTTAAGATGCCTCAAAATTGAGTCGTTTTTAACGGCCGTTTCACCCAACGGGGATATAGTCTATTTTGATTAAGCTCAAAAATCTGGCACATGCGTTCCTTGATGTATATTCGAGTTGAGCCACCAATTAGCCTAGTATCGCCCACATGGCTCAATTATTCGATGTCGCAGGAACATGGAAAACGAAGTCTGAGATAGATCAGGACGCAGGGGCGAGCCTATCAGACTCCAGTGACGCCTCTTTGATATAATAATGACAGTTTCGGCCCCCTTCAATAAAAAAACAATTGGTCAAAATGCAGCAGATCTGTACTCGTAGTCGTACTCGGACTGGTAGTCAAAACTAGATCAGCACCTTCGAGACCCTAGGGGCATATTTTACGAGTAGCAGCTTGGCCCCGGTCTTTAGGGCTGGAGCTCGAGACCCATATTTTCGGCACCTAATTTTAGGACCACCTAGACAAGGATTCCATGGATGGTATCCAAGACAGGTCCGAGGAGTAGCTCCGAGATGCATGATCATTTTCGACCTTGGGGACTTTGGACTCCGGACAACCGGCTGGGCCTGTCCAGGCTCGAGAATGGTGTTGTATCACTACTTAAGTATGGGCCGGGTAGTACTTTGGATATTTGGGGTTCTCTAGCGCCAGGCATTTGATACTTGCGTTAGCGTGAAAAACAAGGGGTCACTATGGGAAAAATACACGCTCAAACAAGTTATTGACATTATGGTTTCTCAAAGAATACAAGACTAACAACCACTTGGTGTATGTACGAGTACGAGCGGAAACCCTTGGAGCCCTGTATTTCTCCACTTTAACCTAATTACTGAGCATTGACGTCCACAACGGTTTGACTCCCGAGGTCGAGCTCAAGATCGTCAATTTTTTTGCTCGCGCCAAGGTAACTATCAGGAACGCCCGACGTGATGTGTGCAAGCTCTATTGTCCGGAACTCTATAGTGCGAGTAAGCTGTGTATGAAGTATGAATTACAGCCTTCACCTGTAATTGACTTTCCCTTTATTTTGAAGCTCCTATTTGTCATTCCCATTATTGTGAGCGTGAGATTCCCAACCTGCGCCAAGTCGAAGCTTGATGAAATCGACCACGTTTTGGTTGTATTTGTGCACGTAGTTGTGATGTGCGGCGTTGCCGTCTTCTGGATAGGGCGAGCAGCATTGATTATCACCGTAGTCGCAATAGCTATGGAGCGATTCACTAAAAGGTCCACACAATGCCGAGTTCATTCGAGGAGTGACCTTTTCGAGCTATATTAGATTGTATTATTGCGGATGAGTGTTGCTCACAAGAACTCACCCCTATACCGAGTGTGCAATTTCCTACATTCCATGGCATCCCAGGATTGTAAGTCTCGTCTCCATACGCGATCGCTGCGATGACTAAATCTTCGATCAGTGCTAGATCTTGACACCTGATCTCGGGTTCATGTACTCCGTACCCGTCTTGTTGTAAATTGGTGGAAGTGGCGCGACGAAGATAAATCCAACCTGACTGGTTCCGCACAGGGCATCCATCATGGCAACCGCACCCTAGATGATACGAAACCTTAGCAGCTGGCGTGCTACGGTGTCATGCGAAACGAAACACCAGGGCATGACATGTTGAATTCAGCACGCACCATTGAATATCCCACTACCACAATCTTAGTCTTGGGACAGGATGCGGCGTATTCCTGTACAAACTCCTGCATCAATACGGCCCCGTCATGAACTGTATCCCGCTTTGCAGCATCCGTCAAAACATTCTTGTGGTCGTAGGGTAGGCCGAGGGTCGTCGATCCAGGGATCTCCTGCAGTATCAGGTCCGAAAGGGTACTCATCACGTTAAGATCATCGCCCCCTCCTTGGCCCCTGGCAATGATCGCGTGGACTCTAGTCGCACATTCATCCTCTGACACAAACTGTGCCTGAGATCGGAGTAAAAGGATTGAAATGACGGCTAATAACCAAGTGATCTTCGTTATCACGTCATACATCTTGCCCAGACGGTTTCAGGGCTAGAAAAGATCCGAGGGTCAGTGTTGATTTGCCAACCAGATGGCGCCACTGGATGAAACTGTTAGGCTGATTGTAGTTCTCAAGATAATGTATTTCCCGCGCTGCTTGAAGAAGGAAAGGATCGACTCTGTCAAGCGTTGCTTTCCTAACCCCCCGAGACCTCCTATGTACCACCATCCCGTCCAAGACCTCGGCATGCAGCCTCGTCTATTACGTGATAGGTATGCTCCAAGTTTAATTGTGCAGGCAGTTGCTTCAAGATAGCTATCTGAGCTCCTTTCCATACTCCAGTGTAGGACATGGAAAGGTGCATCAGGACTCTGAAAGTATACAATGTTACAGCCACCTCAAGATTCAGATCCAAAATCTCGAACTAGAGCCTAGACATGGTCCGCTTTTCAAGCCTATCAGCTTGATCTTTGGGGCTTCGATTGAGAAATCCGGTCCGGAGTTCGTCCTGGCGATCTATGCGCCGAGCCAGAATTTCCAGAACAATGGTACATCGTACAGCAGCATACAGTGGAAACTGTGTGTCGCTTTTTATCCGATATCCTTGAGACGAACGTCGGTCGTGCTCCGGTTATCGGGTGTAGCACTATGTTTATCGGGCGATACAAAAGGCGAGCTTCCATGAAGAACAGTGATAACGCTATAAAAACAATTGAATAATGTACTATGTATGGAAATGTCAATTCTATCTCCTAGCTGTTGGACAATCTGGAACCCCCCGGCTCCGTGTGTATTGCGCAACGAACCTTGTGTAGTCGCACTGCAGTGATAACAGCCACAGAGCTCAGTGATTCCCACCCCATCATCACTTAAGCTTCGTACGCTTTGTCCACCAGGTCCCGCACGGCGTTTCCGAGCTCCAATATAACCTGGCCGGACCGAGGAATGGTGTGACCTCGCCCGGTATCGAACATAGCGGCGGTATCGGGATCACAAACGTTGAACAAAGCTAGTGCGCCATATCGATACGGATCTGTTCCGATGGTGAGTACCGTTCAGATTGATATGAGGGAAATAGAGATCAAAGTTACCATTTGCACCGACCACATGGAGGGTAGGAACATCCAGGATATAGTCACTCTCGTCCGCCAAAACCACGTTTTCTTCAGGAGAGAGAGGTGGCCATCCGGTGATGAAAACCGCGCATTTGATACGACGGGGGCGTCCCGTCTCTTGGGCTTTCCTTTCTTCGTCCATGATGAGACTGGCTGCCATGGTAGCACCCTCACTATACCCGATGATACCGTCGATGTCGGGGTTCTTCTCCAGCGTGTCATAGAGGTAATCTATGACCTCTCGATGGTTGTTCCAACGACCATCCCAGTCCTTGCCCAATGCTCTCATGACATCTTCGGGGCTTGCTCCATGCGGGGCCTTTCGTACCCGAGAGATCATAGATTCCTCCGCTACTCCGCCGTCTTCCAACCATCGATAATGCGGCCCCACGCCAAAATATTCAGCAAAGCCTAGATGAGAACAGTGAGCATCTGTACTCCAATCTTTTTTTTCTCTCTCTTTTTTTTCGCGAACACGACGTACCATCTGGGGGCATTACTGGGACAGGGCCGTTGAGATAGTGGAAATCAGCGGAGCCATCAAGGCTCAACTCTTTCACCAAGGGAGCTGCAATATAGTAAAATGGTGAGTAAATATTTCTCCCAAAGGGTCCAAAGGGCCAAAGTCAAATGGTATTACCAAGTTGGATGCTAATATTCTGCGAGAAGAAAGTCAGTATTGAGCCCTGGAGTAGATGGATCTTCATAGATATCTCCGATCACCTACGTCGATATTGCCAATGGCACCGTGTAGACAAAGGAACTTCATTGTGCGGACGAGATACAATCAGAAAGTATGAGAATCGAGAGAATCGATTTAAAAAAGAGCGAGAAGAGGGTTAAGAGTATAAGAAGGGAAAATTATAGGACTGTATAAATTACTCGGGCTGTACAAGGGATGTAATGAAATACGGGGATATGAAACAAAAGTCCGAACATTCGAACCCCCAAAAAACGAGATCAATTTCCACCGAAGATCATCTCTCTCAAGTCCTAGACAAAACCACAAACTTAGATCCAACTCAATTCCTTTCGAAACATCTGCCCTTTTTGCCCTTTTTGCCCTTTTGGTCATTTTAGGCCCTTTTGCCTCCACGTGTGGGACATGTGAAAGAGATCCCGAATTTGGTGTCAAGATGTGGGACAGTACAACATTTCAGTCAAAGTCACGAATAACCACCGATCGCCCAATGCCGGTCAAGTACCCTTATCGTGCCAATGGAGGGGAAAAGGCAGTGTTGATCCCTTCTGATTATTGCCTAGGCCATGATCCCCCGAAGTAAAGACAGCTCCAGGGAATTGTGTTTCCCCAAAAATCGACAGAAAAGAAGGACCGAGGGAGTTAAGTCAATTGCAACGCTATATAACCCTCCATGGCCTGTTGGTTTCCCCGATATCTCTGCGACCCTCCTAGAACTTTCTAAGACTCCTCCCTTCTCCCCCCAATACCTATACTATTCGCTATGACCAACACGAACGGCGCGGATTCGGCGCCTCGCCTCGAGAAGGACGCCCCTCAACCCATTGCCATTATCGGTTATGCCTGCCGACTTCCGGGCCAAGTCACATCTCCCTCTGATCTATGGGAACTATGTACTCGAGCCCGAAGTGGATGGTCACCCATCCCGAAAGACCGCTTCTCCGTCGACGCATTCCACCACCCTAACCCATCTAAAGTGGGATGCTTTAATCCGAAGGGAGGCTACTTCCTCGATGAAGATCTTGCTCGTTTTGATGCGCCCTTCTTCAATCTATCGGTCCAGGAAGCTACTTCCATGGACCCCCAACAGCGCATGTTGTTAGAGTGTTCGTACGAGGCTTTGGAGAGTGCTGGCATTCCCAAAGAAAACCTTGCGCGTCGAAAGGTTGGCGTCTTCACTGGCGGCAACTTCTCTGATTATGAACTCAACAATGTTCGCGATATGGATACTATTCCCATGTATCAAGCTACCGGCTGCGCTCCTTCCCTTCAATCCAACCGCCTATCATACTTCTTCGATCTCCGGGGACCAAGTATCACAGTGGATACAGCTTGCTCTTCTTCACTTGTTGCACTGCATTATGCGGTGCAGAGTCTACGAAATGGAGAGTCACAGGAAGCCCTTGTCGCTGGTTGCCACCTCAATATTGTACCAGATCTGTTTGTCTCAACATCCATGTCACAGTCAGTATCCTTCAAGCTCTTACCTTTTTTTTTTTCAAGTAAGTTTAACTGACATCGTCGAACTATACAGGTTGCTCAATGACGATGGTAAAACATTTTCCTTTGACGAAAGAGCAAACTCTGGTTTTGCACGAGGTGAAGGCGCTGGCGTCGTAATTCTCAAACCCCTTGACGCCGCTCTGCGTGACAGAGATCCTATCCGAGCCGTCGTTGCCAACTCAGGAGTGAACCAGGATGGCCGTACAAAGGGTATTACTTTGCCCAATGGACAAGCCCAGGAGGAGCTTATTCGACAAGTCTACAGAGACGCCTACCTCAACCCCGAGGAGTGCGGCTTCGCCGAAATGCATGGTACCGGAACAAAGGCCGGTGACCCAATTGAAGCTGCAGCAGTTCATGCAGCTCTCGGAGGAGGTCGGACTGCGAGAAACCCGCTTTATATCGGATCAGTCAAATCCAACATTGGTCATTTGGAAGGTGCCAGTGGTATCATTGCTATTATCAAGGCTGCCATGATGCTTGAGAAAGAGCTCATGCTTCCAAACGCCGAGTTCAAGAAACCGAATCCCAATATTCCACTAAATGAGTGGAATATGAAGGTTTTGACAACGACTCGACCATGGCCTGCCCGCAAGAACTACGCGAGTGTTTCCAACTACGGCTTTGGTGGAACAAATGCCCATGTCGTTCTTGCCAAGGCGCCCCTTCACTCCAAGGCACCCGATGAAGCTGTTCAGGATGTCGACGTTGATCCCAAACTGAAGCTGTTCTTGATTTCCGCCAACGATAAGGAGTCACTGCGGACTAGGATCAAGGACTTCGGTATTTACTTTGAGCAACACCCTGAAGTCTTTGAGAAGTCCTTGTTTGGAAACTTTGCCTACACCCTTGGCAACAAGATGTCGCAGCTGTCATACCGTGTTGGTATTCCTGCCACTTCTCTTGATGAACTTGGAATCCGTCTCGCTCAGCTTAAGATCAACCCGCAGCGCGTTCTCGGTGCCCCAATCTACTCATTTGTCTTCACAGGACAGGGAGCTCAATGGGCACAGATGGGTATCCCTCTCATGGACGACTATCCGATTTTCGAGTCGGCCATCATCCGAGCCGATAAGTGCCTGAAAGACCTTGGTGCTGACTTTTCTCTCCTTGAGGAGTTGAAAAAGGACACTCTCACTTCTGACATCAACTCCCCCCATCTGAGCCAGCCAGCCTGCACAGCACTTCAGATTGCACTTGTGGACCTCCTGGAGTCATGGGGAATCCGCCCATCTTCTGTCGTTGGTCATAGTTCTGGTGAGATCAGTGCGGCTTATGCTGCAGGTATATATGATCTGGAAGGAGCTATGGCTCTAGCATACCGTCGAGGTCAAATGACCTCCTTGCTCAAGGCCACGTTCCCCTCCCTGAAGGGTACCATGATCGCAGTGGGGGCTAGTCGCGACACTGTTCAACCGATGCTCAAGACTCTGTCTGCGTATGCCACTGTCGCCTGTGTCAACAGCCCGTCTAGTGTGACCGTCTCAGGAGACGTGACGGCAGTCGATGAACTGGAGAAGATCCTTCAAGAGAAGCAGCTCTTCAATCGGAAGTTGAAGATCGATGTTGCCTACCACTCCGACCACATGAAGAACGTTGCGGAGGCATACCTTGAAGCAATCAACTCCATCCAACCCTCCTCCTCGGGCAAATCTGCCTTCTACTCCTCTGTATTTGGCCGTCTCGCGGAGCCTTCTGAGCTTGGACCAGCATACTGGGTTGCCAACCTGACATCCCCTGTGCTTTTCCCTGATGCTTTGAGCAAGATTGTTTCAGATGATGAAACAAGACCTAACCTTTTCGTTGAAATCGGCCCGCACTCCGCAATGAAGGGTCCTATCTTGGATACGCTCAAGAGCTTGGGTCCCACGGCCTCCAAGATTGGATACACTCCTACAGTCCTTCGCAACGCTGAGGCAGCTCAAGCACTTCTGGCTACTGCTGCCGCTGCCTACGTGCGCGGTGCTACCCTGAATACGACAGAAGTCAACTTCCCAAAGACCGGCGCGGTCAATCGCTGGTTCTTGAGCAATTTGCCTCGTTACCCTTGGCAGCACGGTACCAGGTATTGGCATGATGGCAGAATTGCTCAGAAGCACATCACCCGAGACCGTGCTAGGAACGATGTTCTGGGGGTTTTGGCAAACTACTCGAATGATCTGGAGCCCACATGGCGAAATATCGTGAGATTAGATGAGATCCCATATCTTCGTGATCATAAGATGCAGGGAATGGCAGTTTATCCCCTGGCAGGCTATGTGAGTATCCCCATCAGACAACTGTCTCAGTAAAGTTCTGAAAACTAATGTTTCTTAGTTGGTGATGGCCATTGAGGCTGTGCGGAGACGTGCAGAGCAGCTTGACCTCCAAATCTCGCAATTTGAGCTGCGCGAGGTCATCGTTGGCGCGGCTCTTGTGCTCACTGATGACACGGATGCCGAAACCACCATCACCCTTCGACCATACACTGAGGGTACGCGTGGATCGTCTGATGTCTGGGACGAGTTCCGCGTCTGTTCGTGGACGACCAAGCGTGGATGGACAGAGCACTGTACTGGCCAAGTGCGAGTCCGTTCCGATCCGAAGCAACAAGCTGCTGCAATCGCAAGCCCATTCGAGACTCAGCTCAACTACACAAAAGCTCAGATCTCCAAGATCCAAGCTGCTGCTACAAACCACACAGACGTTCAGCACATGTATCAGGTCCTGAGTGACCTGGGCGCCGGATATGGGCCCATATTCCAACCCCTTGAGAACTGCTACGCCAGCCCGCACCACTCCCTCTCGGATCTGCATGTTAGTGACACGGCTAGTGTCATGCCCAAGAACTTCGAGCCTGCACTTACCGTGCATCCATCATTCCTCGATGGACTGCTTCATCTTGTCTGGCCTATTCTTGGCCAGGGTCTGGGCCGAATGGACCTGGACACGCTTTACATGCCAACCATGATCAAACGCGTGACAATTGATATCAATGTTCCGACCAAGGCTGGTGAATTTGTTAAAGCCTACTGCAACGGCAGTCCCAGCTTGCCTACCCCTGAGCCAACCAAGTTTGATCTTTTCGCTACACAGGAAGGATCTGCTGAGCCTTTGATCTTCATGGAGGGTCTGATCATGACACCCCTCAGAGATGCTGATACTCGCCGTGAGGATGTGCGAAAGATTTGCTACAAGCTTGATTGGCATTCTTTGGCTGATGCCCAGAACCCAAGCAAGGCAAATGATCAAGAGTCCGATGAGCCCGCGCAAGCAAATGGCGCCCCTCAGGCAAATGGTGATGCAGCCGCCCACGGGGAGCCAGAGACCGATGTCCAGGAACATGTGAACGGGCACACTGCCAAGCCCAAGCGTGATATCTACATCTCCCACTTCGGTAAATCCGATGGCATCGCCGACCACCTGAGTCAGGAGCTGTCGAAGACACTGACCTGGGAGCCTTCTGTGAGAGAATTCAGCGAGACTGATTACAATCACAAACATCTCCTCCTGCTCCAAACCGGTGACAGTTCGCTCCGTCATCTCACCGAGGATGTCTTCGAGAACCTCAAGAAGGCTCTGCTCAATGCCCAGACTGTGCTCTGGGTTTACCGAACTGACTCTCCTGACAATCAAATGACTGTCGGTCTTGCGCGTACCTTGCGCTCGGAGACTTTGGCAAAGATCGCTACTCTTGGACTGGCCCCTGAAGACATCGAGGCCCCCGAGAAGCCAATCCAGGCAGCAATTGATGCTTTGTGGCCATCCGATGGAGCCGAGCCTTCCAAGGACTTCGAATTCAAGGCCAAGGGCTCCGAGCTGTTTGTTCAACGTGTGGTGGAAGACGATGTTGCCAATAACTTCGTCCACAACGAGACCAACGAGGTTGTCATCTCGACGCAGCCATTCATTCAACCTGGGCGACGATTCAAGATCGAAATCGGTCATCTAGGTGCATTGGACTCTCTTTACTTCGTCGATGATAGCCTACCACCATTGGGCGAGAACCAGATTGAACTCGAAGTCAAGGCAACTGGCCTCAACTTCAAGGATATCGTTGTTGCAATGGGTCAGCTTGCTCAGCCTTACATTGGAATCGAATGTAGTGGCATTGTCTCCAGTGTCGGGTCAAATGTCACAGATATCAAGGTTGGACAGAGAGTCATGGCTATGCCGGAAGGCTCTTTCTCGACATATGCTCGCTGCCCTGCCACTAGCGCTACCGAGATCCCCGACAACATGTCATTCGAGGTTGCTGCCACTATTCCTGTCGTTTTCGGCACAGCATACTACTCACTGTTTGATCTTGGTCAGCTCCAAGCTAACGAGCGTGTCTTGATTCATGCGGGCGCTGGTGGTGTCGGCCAGGCTGCCATTATGGTGGCGCAAATGATCGGTGCCGATATTTTCGTCACGGTGGGTAGTCTTGAGAAGAAGCAGTTCTTGATGACGGAGTACGGAATCCCCGAAGACCGTATCTTCTACAGCCGTGATGCCTCATTTGCTCGTGGTATCCGCCGAGCTACTGGTGAGAAGGGTGTTGACGTTGTTGTCAATTCCCTGGCAGGAGATCTTCTCCGTGAAACTTGGGAAACTCTGGCTCCATTCGGTCGCTTCATCGAAATTGGTAAGGCAGACATCACCAAGAACACACGTCTCGATATGCAGCCGTTCGAGTACAACGTTACATTCTCGTCGGTCGACATGACAAAGGTCGCCAAATTCAAGCCGCAGCTTATGAAGCGTCTTTTGGGAGATGTATCCCGACTTCTCTCTCAAGGTCATGTCCATCCCATCTTGCCCATTTCAGTCTACGGTATCTCCGATATCGAGAAGGCATTCCGTACTCTGCAGACGGGTAAGAGCAAGGGCAAGATTGTGGTTGTTCCCCGTGAGGGTGACCAAGTCAGGGTAAGTAAACTCTCACACATGTGAAATGAGGAATGAAACTAACCAACTTGTTTTCTACAGGCTGTGGCTCCTAAGACTAGCGCTACTTTGCTTCGCCCAGATGCATCATACATTCTGATTGGTGGTACTGGTGGCCTTGGTCGCAGCATGGCCAAGTGGATGGCCTCCAAGGGCGCAAAGAACATCGTTCTTGTGTCGCGTCGGGCGGCCATCAATGACAAGGTGCAAGCTTTGATTGATAGCCTAGCTCCCTTGGGAGTGCAGATTCTCGTCAAGGCTTGCGATGTCAGCAGCCAGCAGTCGGTTGAGACTTTGATCAAAGAAGAGATGAAAGATCTCCCCCCTGTGCGAGGTGTCGTTCAGGGTGCAATGGTTCTTCGCGTAAGTTCCCCATTGCCCTCACATCTATATCTCGATATTTCCATGTCCAAAATCTGACCTTATCTAGGATATGCTATTTGAAAACATGTCTCTCGAAGACTTCACGGCTGTGGCTTCCGGCAAGGTTGAAGGAACTTGGAACCTGCACAACACACTGATCAATTCTCCCCTGGACTTCTTTATTGCCCTTTCATCTGTTGCTGGTATTGTTGGCAACCGTGGACAGGCGGCCTATTCTGCGGCCAACGTGTTCCTGGACGGATTCATGGAGTACCGCCAATCCATCGGTCTCCCTGGAACATCAATCGACCTTGCAGCAGTCAGCGACATCGGCTATCTAGCCGACAGTGACTCTCAGCGCCGACAGGAAGTGTTGAAAAATATCGGAAGTCAGACAATTGACGAATCGGAAGTGCTGGCCCTTGTGGCGGCCGCTCTGACCGGTGCTCTTGACCAATCCTGCTCAGGACAGTGCGTTACCGGTCTAGCACTCGACTCCCTGGAAAACAATTTCTGGGTTCAAGATGCGAAGTTCAGCGTCCTTCTAGAATCCGCTAAAGGTAGCCTGGGGAATAGTGCCCAGCGCGATGACCCATCCGTTCCATTGCAGGTCACTTTACAAGGTGCTTCTTCCAAAGAGGAAGCATTGCAAGTTTGCTACGAGGCGCTGGCCGCCAAGCTAGCTCAAGTGCTTGTCCTGTCTTTGGAGGATATGGATCCCTCAATTACGGTCTCCTCGCTGGGTCTTGATTCGCTGGTGGCTATTGAGATCCGGAACTGGATTGCCCGTGAGGCGGATGCCAACGTCCAGGTGCTGGAGTTACTTTCCAGTGGTACCTTGATGGCGCTGGCAGAGATTATCCTGAACAAGTCTCAGGCATATACTCGTACTGAATAGGGGAATCAGGCGCGGCGATATACGGGCCGTTAGATTTGTATATTACTATGTCATGTTATGTGCAGAATGTTTTCTAATAAACTTGATTTCCTAAATTCAACATCAATCTGAGTAACCTTCAAAAAGACTAGACTACGACTTGCCAAGCAAGCCACGCAACCCCATGTTCTCCGCTAATTCGAATGTTGCGGACTGAAACGACATGATCGGCGCTCACCCACATTCGGTCCGAGTCTTGCGAAGATCAGTCAGCGGATATAGAGGCCCCGAATTGCTCATTCTAACCCTCTTCTGTTACTGCAACTCACTAGCCTCGCAGATTGACCAGGCACCAGCCAATTGTCGTCCCTGTAATATGTGAACCTTCCAAGGTCTTTCGTCAACACCATATGAATACTCCACAAACATGCTTGTTTCCAGAATGCCATGGCCTCGACTCTGGTCCAATGAGATCAGGCTTGTTACGCCTTGATTCTTCTCATTGAGCCATATCCTCCCAGTGGATCTATTCAACAACCTTCTGCAGGCTATCCACAGCCCCTTAATGATCCCAAAAATGCCCGTCTCAAGGTCGGGACTCATCCAAACTCATAAACTAGATGATGCCAAGGCCTCAATCACCCACAGCTTACGCAGACCACGACAAGCAATGGACTCTCTCCCGCTGTCCGGGGAAGATATAAAGACAATGTTTCCCTCTCAAATTCCAACCCCCCAAGCCCATTTGAGCATTCTCCCAATCCAACCATGCAAATCTCCAAGCTCCTCGCAGCAGGCCTACTCACCCTGGCAGCAGCCCACCCAGGCCCGCACCACCAACCCAGCAAACGCGAGATAACCAGACGGCACGAGCTCTCCTCACGCTGCGCCTCAAACGTTGCATCCTTCAACTCCAGACGAGTCAAGCGCAACCTCTCCAAGCGTTTCCCAGGCTCGACAAACACAACCTACCAGATCCAAACTGAAGCCCCATACTACCAGACCATCCAAAATGACACCTGCGTGCTCACACCAGAAGTCACAGAAGGACCGTACATCTGGCCTCAATCCCAGACTCTCCGCCAAGACATGACAGAAGACCAGCCCGGTATTCCGCTTTGGTTGGATGTTGGCGTGCTGGACATGGAAACCTGCGAGCCACTTGAAGGCGTGCTTGTTGATTTCTGGCACTGCAATGCCACAGGCTCGTACTCTTCTTTCACGGGATTATCGCCAAATACCCCCTTCGCTCAATTACTTGAGAATCTCAATGTCACAATGACCGATGACCTGGATTTGCATACCGATGACACAACCTGGCTTCGTGGGATGTGGCCAACCGATAAGAACGGCATGATGGAGATGAAGACAATTTTCCCTGGTGAGTATACCCACTTCAAAATATGAAAAAGACACTAACAGGCTAGGCTTCTATGTTGAGCGAGCCATCCACATCCACGTCCAGGTGCACACTGACTGGACTATCCGTGGCAATGGCACTATGGCCTATGGCGAAACAATCAGCACTGGCCAGATCTACTTCGATGAACCTCTGTCGAAGAAGATCATGGCGCAGGAGCCTTATGTTTCGCACACAGAGATCAACCGCACTACCAATGCTGTGGATAGTGTTTTTGAGGGCGATACCGATAATGGATATAACCCGGTTGTCTCTGTTGTTCCTGTTGATGGAAACGATGTCACCAAGGGTATGATTGGATATATCACTATTGGTGTTGATAAGACCAAGGTGGAGTAACTTGTGTTCTGCTTGGAATGAGAACCAAGATGGCAGGGAATTATTGAAACATGTATGCATATTGTATGTAGTGAAGAAAAAGCCCCATCGGGGCAAGGGTCAACAATTGTGGAAGACAAGAGAACAATGGCCGGATTCGAAGGAGCGAAGAAAAGAAGACCCAGCACTAATTTGACTACTTGTCCACTAAAGTATTAGAATGGACGTTTCATTGAAAGGACTACTGGTTAAAGGAGACGAACAGAGACGGACGAGATGAAAGTTGGAAGATTTAAATCATGGTATTGTTTCAGAAACAGCACCAAGAGTTAATACATTAGCGTGAGATGACCATAATAGATGTAAATGAGGAAATCAAAAAGTGTCTGCTTGAATTTCAAGTGAAAAAAAAAAGATGAAATAAGTGAAATTCACAAAGCAGAATGACAATGAACATCAACCAGACTCCATCGAACAAGAGTCGAATCCAAAAAAGAACACACCCCGAAATAAAAACTCCATGTAGATGCCAGCTGAGATAATGATATGGAGATAAAAAACAGAAAGAAATGATGCCCTTCCGGCGACTCCGATCCGGGGATGCTCATGCAGACGGAAAAGGAAGCCCAAGGGGGCCAGCACACATGCACCGATGACCGAGTAAAGAAAAGATAATCACAAGAAGACGGCTCGAACCCAAGCTCGAACGTTTATGCATCAGTCGTATCAGGGAGGACCTCATTTTGTAGCGGACTTTTCAGCCACGGCTACGGCCACGGCGACAGCAGCGCCCAGGATGGCGCTTTCAGGCGCTGGGTTCAGGCGGATGGAAGCGCCGGTGCCAGGGTGTGTCTCTTCGGTCAGTTTGTTTAGATAGGCCTGGCAGACATCCTGGAATCCGGGGTATCTGTTGATGACTGTTCCGTCGCAAGCGATGGAAAGGTTCTTGGATGAATCTTCGCTCTCGACGACGGTGATCTCAGGGGATTCTTTATCGAGAGAGTCTGTGATTGGTGTACTGGGGAATTCAACCTCGTTGCGCAGGCACCACATGCTGTGGATGGCTGTGGCCAAGTAGCCTGCTGCGCGGTGGGAAACAGCCTGGCAGATGCGACGCAGGAAGCGGAGGTCCTCCGCAGTTGGGAGGGTGGGAAATGTGTGTTGCTTTTGAAGGAGGGTTGCAGAGGCGGAGAGAGATGGTGAGGAGTCTTCTTCGATGAAGGCGACGATGCTGGTGTCGAGAGAGTAGGGTTCACGCATGGAGTGTGGCAGCTCGCCGTTGAACAGACGAGACGTTTCAACAGCCTCAACGATGATCAGGCGGACGATTTCGCCCAGGTACCGACCTGTGATCATATACTCGAGAGGCTGGTAGTCGGGACGCAGATGGGTACGGTTCAGGTATTCGTCCCAGCGAGTCATAGGCAACACGCCTCCACCGAACATGCTCATCTCGCTGTTGATGATAACGTGTTTTGCGTAGTCGAACCAGCCCTCGGGGCGGACGCCAAATTTGGACATCCCAATCTCTTGTACCGGGAAATGGATTGCCATGTTTGTGCCGGTGCCCAGGATGAGAGACATACGGGTCTTGGGGTCAACGTAGGCACGCGACAAGAGAGCCGCAGAGCCGTCGTTCACAATAGCGGCGACCTCTACGTTCAAATTGCGCTTGCGGCATGATTGGACGATCAGATCACCGAGCTCCAGACCTACCGTACCGTCTGAAGCCTTGAACCCCTTGCCCATTTGCACAACCAATCCACTACCGTGCGAGGTCTGCTCGATAGGGAACGACCAGGACAGACCCATCGCCAACGGCACATCACTACGCCCGTAGTCAACTCCCACTTCCCTGAGGACCACCTCGATCTGTCCGGCCATCCAATCGAAGAACTTTGTTCCTTCCAACAGCTTCACGCTATCATCGATATGTGCCGAAGACACCTTCAGGATCCGCACTTCCTCGTCTCGGCCATTTAACTCAATCAAGGAAACTCGGAATGTCGAGCCTCCCACGTCCAGCGCGAGATAGGTTCCTTTCTCCGTGCCAGCGGGGAGGGTCGTATCGTAGGAGGGTAGCATGCAGCACGGGCTGTCTTGGAGGCAGGTCCGGAACTGCGCGCGAATCTTCTCGGACATATCGGCCATGTTGCGAGTGGACAAGGGGACGGAGCAGGCGATTTCGACTTCCTCTGCGAAGTCGTCGAGGGATCGGCGTTTCCAATGGGCGCCCAGGAAGGGCTTCCGGCGGCGGCGCGAGAATCCGCGGAATAGGGAGGGGAAGAGGATCATGTTTTCGAGAGCGGCGACCACGTTGTGAAAGAGTTCTTGCAGTCGGTGCAAGACCTTAACCAGCGGGGCCGACATGGTTAAAGAGAGTAGACGAGAAGTATCGGCTCATGGGCAGATAAGACCAAAGAGGAAATAATTGCACGGTTAAAAGGGGGTTAATGTGACCCTCCCAGAGTCGTGTCTGGATGGGAGTGTAGCAAGAGAAGAAGTGGGAGATGGGTCAATACCCGGGGATCAACACCCATTCTTGAGTCGACAGTGTCACCGCGACTGCGACTGTTTGGAAGCCCTTGCGGTGTCGCAATGCCTGTATGGTCACGTATGGTAATATTATGGGGCCCGCACTTCAAAGTCGACAACTGCGGAGTAATTAGTATACAAACTACGAGTCCGGAGTACTCTGTACATTGCAGATTTAGATCTTCTGCAGGGACATTTGGCGTTCTCGATATGAGCTGTCATACTGGTCTGTTTACAGTTACATGCAGTGCCAGGCTCTGGCTCAACTATCAAGGTACCCAAGTAGTGCGATGGTGATTATAATCACCCATACTACAAATACTACAAATACTTGAGTAGTCTGTAGGAGTAGCATCTGGGAATATTAAAATAAATAGTATCTATAGATAGTACTCGTATATTGTAATTAGAATATTAGGAAATACTAAATGTAAAATACCAACATTCCAGTACCGGTACATACCCAATGACCCCCTTGGGTGCAACGGTGGTAGTCGGGCCCCAGGACCGTTACACTCAGGTGGAACTACTTAACTGTCGCTATTTCGCTCCCTTTTTCTTTGGTCTGAAACCTCCGGTCCCATACGGTAAAGTAACATTATAACTCCGGAGTAATGGAGATGATTTAAATGGGCCATTGGTTAAATAGACATCCATTGGTTAAATAGAGATCGCAATACACTTAGTACTCAAACACTATGTGGTCCGTGACAGGGTTGTCCTTGGAGCCTCACCCGGCTAGCCGCGATTTGTGGATGGTACGCTTGGTACTGTACATACTCGATTAAATGTGACGAAGTACTCCATCTCCGTACATCAAGCACGTTAAGATTGTGCTTCTAAGTTCTGGGCATGTGAGGTTCACATCCTCACAGCCGAGATCATGACATCACTCTGGAAGTTATGCGCAAAGCATCACATCATTGAGATAGCGGGAAGTAGTAGTAACTCGGTATATAGTTCATGAAAGCAACGGACAAAGTTCCTTCAAGATTTCGACTCAAAAGGTGTAGAGGAAACATGGCTGCCATGTTCGTGGGTGAGGTCCACGATAAGAAGGGTGACGATATCCACGAAGGTGATATTGTTTTTACAACGCTGCAAGAAGGGTCGCATGAAGGCAAGGTAGGATCCACCCGGGTGAATTCTTCACTGCCTGGCAACACACTGTTGACTGTCAAAAGGTCGATACGATCGTCAAGGATGGAGCCACTGCGCGCGAAGAAGGTGTCGCCAGCTACCCACAGGCAAGTCTGACTATGCTGCCATGTCATGGTGAACGACGGATCTCATTCCGGCGTTTCAACGCCCTCTCGGAATTTCTGACTGATCCACGTCACCCCCTTTAGGTGATCTACACAGATCAGAATGGGGACCGAGTGGCTCACGCTCTCTGCAAACTGCTGAAACAAAACAGGAGAGTTTTTGAGTAAGACGTTGTTGAGTGGGTATATCAGAAGCTTCTCATTCTTGCAACTGAATCACTTTGTCAACTCTGCACGCAGGTCTGAGTAGCTGCCAGTGTCAAAATAAAGCAAGGGTCCTGACATGCCATGCCTTTGACCCTTGGCATGCTCCGGTCTCGGATTTGTCAACATTGCCAGTTCCGAACATTGTGATTAATGAAACGCATGTAATCGTACGAGTATTCGTATGTCAGTACCTCCGGGGAACGAAATGCTACTCGTATTCACTCAATCCCTGTATGATTGGAAATTCTTACATATATCGGCCCAGCAACTAGGAAGAGGCAGGAGATCGGGCTCCGAACCTGCAAACGCCACTCAATCCATGTCAATCGCGTGAGCTATCATTAAAGCCCCGTTGCAAAGTATCCTAGCGATGGTCCAGCAAACTCGGGAATAGTCCGGCGTCAGCTGCTTGGCTGCCGCCGACAGCCAAGCTTAGCCGGTAGATTTGAAATTTTGATAACGTGGCTCGAGAATTTGATAGATCCATCGCCCAACGTTAATTTTGCTGACCGCAAGTGCGGTATGAACCAAAAATGATAGCTCTTGATCTCGCTCGCCATATATTGATAATCTGGCACAATTGTGCGTAGCCTTTGGGTAACTAAACGTGGTACTTTCATCCGTTGTGTCTCAGTGCTGTAGGATCAATAGTGATGGAATCGGTGTCTTCGGAGCTAAAGGGTGTCAAATGCAATTGGACTCTCTGGAAAAACGGAGGCGTTAAAAATGATGAAATAGACGGTCAATCAAAACCTTGGAATTCAGGCAGAAACGTTCCAAGGTTGAAATCAGGCAAAAGTCAGGCATCAATCAGGCACCATCGGCCCTCGCCAGGTGTCCAACCGCTTCTTAACCCTCCCCTCTGGGTACCCCTCCCCTCTAGACAGGTGCCATCCCAAAAGCACCCCAGTCGCTTTGAACAACAGGGAGTTGGGTTGCCCAGGTCGCAATCTCCTTTCCGAACAAACTTCGGACGATACTGTTTTCAGGTGCGCATGGGAGAGCAGATGCATGATTTATTAGCTGATGAAGTCACTATGTGAATCGGAGGTTATCAAATGAGTTAATATCGTGGAAAGAAGGACTTTGGATGTTGTTGAAAGGGCAAGCTTCGTTTCTGAGCCTTCAAAGAAAAACCACACGACAAAAAATTCCCAAAGGCAAACTTCAATCAAACATTCAAAATTCTCCTCAAGCTTGACGGACTTATGAAATAAATTCAACTGATCAACTAGAGAATTAACGCATTGATCTTGAAAATGATTAGAATTTCGAATACAATCATTCTTCATGGAAACAAGATATCGTTGATCTCCTTCTCAAGGTTGTTGTTTCTTCCCTTCAAATTGACTGGATCAAGACCCATTGCCACTCTTCCGGCCTCCGATTGAATATCCTTAACATTTGCTCTGTCGGGGAAGCCAGTCTCACCCAGACCACCGGGGAAGTCGGGAGGTGGAACACCCTTTAGAAAGGCATCACGTTGTTGGGCGATGTATTGCTGTAGGAAATCAGTATAGGCTCTGTAAAGGAAGGCGCACAACAGGACATACCGCATTGTTTGGGGTCAATGGGACAGATGGAATATAGAACACACAGGCATCGTTGTCTCCAGCGTTGACAGTCTCTGTGCCATGAATAGTATCCGCACTCCAGAACACTTGGAAAAATCAGCCTTGACTCATGCAGAACTCCAAAAGATTTCCTACCTGTGTCACCTGGCTCAACTGTAGGATATGGAATCATGGTATCCTGGAGTCTGAGGTGAGGATGATGGTCAGGTGTATGTTCTTGGGCCGTTCCTGGATTAGCACCGTGTAGATAATTCTGTCCCTCCTCATCATCAAAAGAGAATTTCCATCCATCAAGAGACCCCTTGCGCGTAGGCTTGAAGAAAGGCCGAAGCATCCAGTAGGCAGTGGTTGGTTGTAGGATGGGATGGACGACGAGAGTACCTTATCAGATGTAAGCATTTGCAGTTCACGATATTCATACACCAAATGTTTGCTGCTTACCTTCCTGGGGTCCATGTCGAGACAGACCGAGCCAGCTCTGGAAAGCTCTGAAAACAGAGCACCCTCCTGGGGCTTCATACATGTTCATGTTGGCATCTAGACGACCAGTCAAATCCCATGGGTCATATTCTTTCCACTGGTTTTTGTTTTTCTCGTCAGCCGTCCACATTCAATCCGCAGGATGAAGATTTTTTATCTAACCTTTCCTTGGAAAATTTTGCGGTACACATGGTTGTAAGCCGGATCCTCCCATCGCTCAACTCCTCCGCCATCAACGTGAGGGGGAAGTCCAAAATGAGTATCTCCGGGTGGCCGGATCTGGACACGGTCACAGTAGGTCAATGGAACCGACAGGTCAACTGTACAAAGTTAGTTCCTCATAATAATGAGATGAGAACTTCAATGGAGATATTCTCAAGTCGTGACTTACTCTTTTGATCTGGAGCCGCAGAATAAAATTGGTTCATCCAAGATTGCGTGGCAAGCATGTTTGGATGCGAGCGTGCCTTTACCTGAGAGGGACTCCAGTACGATTCGTAAATGACCTGGATCATTGTCAATCACAGCTGAAATTATCATCTCCGTATACAACATACCTTATTGGCTGCATCGGCTGGGAAGCCTTTGAAGGGATGTCTCTCGAAGTATTTTCGAACATCAGCGAGGAGCGCTTCAGCGTTTTTCTGTGGTACGACACCCCTGATGACAGCAACACCAGTCCGTCGAATTGCTTCTTTGTTCGCGGCTGATACATTGCCGGCTTGAATATCCGCAAAGTTGAGTCGAGGAATAATCTAATGCAATTAGATTTGCAATCTTTGACGATTTGAGATGAATAGACCTCAGGAAGCTTACAGATTCTCGCTTGGTAGCAACCTCTTCAGTCCGGACCTTCAGAACTTCAACAAGTTCATCCCATGACTTTTGAATCTCCTCTTCAAAGCCAGCAGTCAAGTTTCGCTTCAGATCTCGGAACCGGTCTGGCAGCGGTGGGCTCTTTCTGCCGGAGAAGGTAGAAAAAACAGACGAAATATCACCCTCTTGTTTGTCCTTGCGAGTGAGCGGCGTTGCGTCTGTCTTCAGTGGTCGCTTAGTAGCCGCAGAACATTTGCCTGCCTGAAAGGTCGGGCATCTGAGGCATTTCGGCGACACAAGTCTGTTCATGATGCAACTCAAGCCACGGAAATGTCGTTTTATAGAGGAATTGGGCAGGCTTCAGATGAGACAACTTTGCTAATCTTGCTTTCGAAAAGATATATCTATCAGTGTTGTTATATACTCGGCCATTGTGGGGCCCCGCAATAGCATGGCCCTCTATCAAAACCGGGGTGGGCGGTACTCTGCCTAATCTAGTAATGTCCCCGTTTTTGATGAAGATGCAAAAGATAGTGCATAAGTGGGGAAGTAGCTTTGTATGAATGGCTACTTATTGTTCACCATAGCTTTGCGGCAATGTTGAACAAGATAGTTTGCGGATATACTTCCTATTCTGGAAGCTTCCCGACAATGCTTTAGAGAGGGATACTGCTGGTCGGCTCAAATTAATACCGGTAATAGAATCCTGATATTTGAACGGATTTCTAAAGTTAGCTATTAAGCGCCACAACTACATTGATGCAATAAGTAGTAGATATGTCTAAGTAGCATGCGGTTTACTTTCCAAGGCTGACTCTAGAGCTATGGAGAATATAACTTTAGAAAGGGTTCTTTGTCGGGTGTTCTTGGACCACTGCCATCAATAGCTTCTGAACTCAAGAAAACGAAGAATAATTACCAAGACCTATTGTCTAATGAATATGACGTTCCGTTCCCATGGGGTTGACTTCAGGAAGTATCTCAAGTTGGTCGAGGAACCTTTGAGCAATTTTGGAACACAAGTGCTTGTCTTGCAACCTTCTGGATCTGCTGGGCAAGGTCACGGGTGGGAGCAAGGATAAGAGCCTGGCAAGCCTTGACCTCAACACGAAGCCCTTGAAGCCAGCCCTCATAGGCTAACGCCTATGCTCAAACGTTTTCTTTCAATCATGCAAGTTGTAAACCGACAAGTCCTGACTCATCCCAGGAAGCACATAGACAGAACTTTCCTTGTCTCCAAAGACCTTCAGCTTCTTCTCGCCTCGAAACTCGAAGCCGATCTTCTCCAACACTCGCGCGCTGTGACGGTCCTCTCGAGCACAGAATCCGAATACCGAATCCACTCCGAGTTCTTTGCGCGCATACTCCAACAATGCAACAGCCGCTTCAGTGGCGTATCCCTTTCCGGTCTCCTCGGGCAGAATCGCATACCCGATGTCAGGTGCCAGGTAGGAATCCGGGCTATCGCCCTTCATGAGCGACACGGTACCGATGGGAGTACTCTCTGGCAGGGTTGCGTTCTCATCCGGCTTGAGCGAGACCAGGAAGATGCCGTAGTTGTTTCGGGCGTAGTCAGCGTGGACGCGATTGCGAAGGAAATTCGAGGCCTTCTCCGGGGTGTCAATTCCGGTACGACCGGAAGTTTTGATGAACTCCTCGGTGTTCCATAGCTTGACAAGGAAGGCGCAGTTTTTGGGAGAGTCAGGTGAGAAGTAAGAGATGTAGAGGCGCTCACTGGGAATTGAGAAAGTGGGCGATACCGTGAATGGGACTGAGGAAGACATTGGTCACCGATTTCGTGCAGCACCGCAGCGCTGTGAGCAAAGCAGTCTGGTGAGAAATATGTGAGAGGATATTCATAGAGGAAAAGCTGATCGTAGAAACGCGTGCTTGATCTTAAGGTGTAACGACAGCAATTGATTGAACTTGGAAATTGGAATTGTTTGTATGAGTCAATCCATAAGCCCCAGCTCAAATCTAGATCTTCCCATAGTGTAAGAATACTAGAAACTGCGAGAAATTAACCAGTTATCCTACCCCGTTATCCGGCTAAAAGTCGGGCCTCCGGTGAATTGCAGGGATGTTGATAAATGGTGAGATCTCGCTGTCCAGGTGACTACTTAAGTATCGGCTCGTATCATGTCGAGTGAACCCCGCAGAATGGCGTTTTGGGAGAAACTAAGCGTTCTTGGCCACCTTTCCAAGAGGCTAAACCTTCAATGTAACGTTGAAATCTTAGTGAGTCATTCATCGTCTTGCTTCATCTTTGAAATGCCGATGGAGATCATCGAGGCTCGGCTCGGGCCATTCTCCCAATTCAAAGAGATCTTACTCCCCACTCACAATCTGTAGATGCGCTTCAATTGTCGAGTATAGGAAGAGGTAGAATGGAATGATGCGAGATATCTCATGATGAGTGGCGCTTTATCTTTGGCGTTTTGTAGAAGCACTCCAGGGCTGCCTAGTACCGGGCTGCGGTACTTAGTTTAACCTTTCGAGCCTTATCAGCCACAGGAAGACTTATGGCGGTGTTGTATGGGGTATTCGCCCCAGCCCCCATGTGTAGATAGCTCGCAGGCTTCTAGCTTCTCGCTTCTCTCTCTTTCTCTCCCCGCAGTGAATTCAGCCGGTTCCCTTCCGCTTTCTCTTGCGGTCCAGTCTCAACAATACTACTGTTTACTTTCCGGTACGGTTCACCGGACTAACGTGCAACGCGTCAATCTTCTTACTTCTATCGACGTGCAACGCGTCACCTCACTTGCTTCATACCTTCTTATCCCTCATTATACACCCACATCGTCATCATCGTCGCCGCCATGACTACCGAATCATCGATCAAGATCGGAGAATGGTACCCAAACTGAAGGGCCCCGTCAATTGGAGGACTTGGTATCAGCGGATGAAGTCGTTTATGGTTACTCATGAGGAGAATCTCTGGCGCGTCTTCACTGGTGAATATACACGTCGAACGCAGACAGAGTGGGATTAGCGAAACCATGACTGCCTAAAAAAGCGTGGGGTCACGGATCCATATATTGGCTCCTCTGCGCAGATCGGAAGATGGCAGAAGGTTGGGATCTTCCCCGAAACCCATCCAGAGGCTTTTGACTGAGGTTGGACAACAGACAATCTGGTGTGAGCCGTCAACCGGAATAGACTATGTCTCTACGGCTATTGTGAAATACAGCGGTCTCTCAGTCAGGCGGGAGTTTCCCGTACAGACGTTCGACGAGGATGACCCAGGAGATCCTTCCGCTCGCTCCTAGGCTCGATTCGATCCGTGCAGTATTTGACAAGTTCTTTTCGGTGCATGACGGCGATGTGCGCTTCGCCGAGCCAGCGTCCCATCGTTTGGTGGGCGCCGTCGAGCAAGGTAGACCCGCCTATGACGCTAGGCTCGCTAACTGGTATCAATTTATCATTAGCCGGGCCTTCCAGCTCGCGGCCGTTGATTCACAAACCGCTGTCTCGGCCGCTGCGCTTGACGCTTTGAATCCGGCAGAGTTCCTTGCACGGTTGGAGCGCGCGTTCGGGTATGAGCTGGACACAACCCCGGAGCTTGAGGCCATGTTCAATCCCACGCGTGCCGAATCCTTGACTGGAGTGGCGCTGGGTCGGCTCAGGAGACATCCTAGGCTCCGTAAGTTAGTCGCTGGCAGGTATGAGGGTCTCGTCGACATGTGCGTCTACGCCGATCCTGTCACCAGCGACGATGTGCTCGTGCTCATGCAGCACCCTTCCTCGGGAGTCCTATGCATGGCATTCGTTCCTCTTGTACCTTTTACAAGACTTTGATGCCAGCCACTCTCTCTCGGCGTATCGAGTTAGGACCGAAGAAACCCCGCGTGCGGATGAAAAACTGGATTTAGCGCATCGAAACTTCGCCACTGGTATGACATGGATGACATAGAAGAAATAGCATACATGCTGATTACGCTGGGGCCTGGAGAATATGTACGGAGTAGAGAGCGGCCTTTGTTTGTTGCTTGCCGAAGCCAGTGGATTCTGGTAGAACGCCTTGTATCAAATTGCTGCTTCATTAGGTACTACTTAGGAAGCGACAACTCTTGAAATCAAGGCTTTGGCCAACCATCTAGATTTCCAAACCATCGTGACCTGTATATCTCATCGCCGATATTGATCTTTCGTCTTTTACCTTGTTCGACAAGACTCGTATGGAACCCGCGAAACTTTGTCCACAGCGACTGAACGTATATAAAGCTCCCATCGGGTGCGACATTGAAGCTTTTCAGGTCTGATTGTGGGAGCTCCTCCCACTGACCGTTACCGGCATACCCGTGACGATCATCAGTGGTTACCTCAAACCCTTGGAGATATTTCTTGGTGACGTTCTCGTAATGCTCTGTGAACTGACCCGTTTCGATATCAAAGGCGTGGAGACCGCGATCCTCTGACACCAGGAATTTTCGCTGACCAGGAATAGGTACGAGATCATGCAAGCCAGCCCACCAAGGGTAACCTTTGCCCCATTCAGCCTCAATTGTATTCGCCTCAGGTAGCTTGTAAACAAAGCGATCATCTTTGTATAGTAACCCCGATGTGGCGTTCCAAGGATATCCCACAATAGTGCCATAAGCGGGCACTGGGTCGCTTCCGTCTGCTGCAGCGTCTGTACCAGCTGCCCATAGCATCTGCCCTTGCTCGTCCCAGATCAGACCGTGTATAGCTCGTAGACCGGTGATATTCTGGAGGATAGGGGGATTGGCAACAAGATCGTTGGCTGCGCTTGCATTGTAGACAAGGATACCATCCCAGGCTCGTTGGCCGGTCGTACCAACAGCCAATAAGTTACCGGGTAGGGGCTCAAGGGTGTGCGCATTCCACAAGACTTCGTTCCTTCTGCAAAGTGCAAAGGTTATAAGCTTATCTGTGGCGGGGTTTTGGGGCGTATGGTTGACAACCAGGGCGAGATCGCTGTAAACAGCACCGACACTAGTGCCATTATTCATGTATTTCAGCTCGGTTGCGTCGTTGGCGTGAGCAAAAAGGCATTTGTGGACATCTTCTGGTAGTTGTTGCGTGACATTGTCACGGTGAAACTTCCAACTGACAACGCCATCACGGTCATGTATCTTCAAGAGAGGTGGGCGACCATAGACACCTGTAATGATCTGCTGCCAAGGTCGCTGTTCAGACTGCGCCCGCAGACGCTCTTGGGGTTGTATAAGAGGAACGAAGTCGGCGAGGGGCTCAAAGAGAAGAGGAATCCAGCCCAGAAAGTTGGTCAGCATGATATATATGAGGTTGTGTCAGGCTCAGCGTACTTCATGAATGTGAACACGATTTTATTCCCTCAAAACATCCGGTTCGGAGCCCTCTTCAAATGAATTCTGCCAGTTCGAGAACAGAAGTACCCAAAACCCTGCTAGTATCATTGATTCGCGGTTCTGTACCCCGTAGCGGAACTCGTTCCACTCCTCGTACTCGTTCCTCCCCATCAAACCGAAATTACGAGTACGGAGTGCTTCGTACTTACGATCGGTTTACGCGCTCCTACAGAGCCGCAATCATTGGTAAAAAGCTAAGGTCTCAGATCACTCGGGCGCGTAACCCAATGGCTCAGTCGCTTGTAATTCGTACGGAGTAACTCTATGCAGCCAACTCACTTCTGGGCTTTCCTTGGTTAGGCGCTGTGTACTCCGTAGTGAGTACGAGTACGAGTAGTACTATCAGGTACTCTGGTTTTTCAAATGTTTTCAAGTGTGCTGGCAAATTTCCTTCCATGCTAGTGGGTGACGCAAACTGATCACACCTGTAGACGTCAATTGATTGGCTCAACCTTTGGCACATCCCTGTTAAGCGCTACGAGTAGGTACAGGTAACTAGAGCACCCGGGTTATCGGAGGCCCGTCCACGGGTGGGTCCATGTCCTTGACTCGAATCGAGATGACTTGTATGCGACTTTTCTACGTGGACACATATATGAGCTCGCTTTGCAATTCCGCGAATAGAATCTGGGCAGGGCTTTGTTGTAAACCATCCTCAACCTTCCTGCGATCTGAGATAAGCGCCTCGGACGTTTGCTTGTTTGGACGATCATTTCGGGCCGTGGAAAATATAAAATTAGTGCCTTGGCATCCCTGCACTAGTCCGTCTAGCCCGCGTTGCCGCGAGACCATCAGCCTTAGTTTCTAATCTCCTCAAAAATCTGAAATGAGCGACAGGAACCTTGGAATGACCTGTCGTAGTGTCATGACCTTCTCCCTTCTCCATTTTTGATTAAGCCTTGTGTTCACTGAGAGAATAATTGATGAATTAAGAGAAAAGTGCCCTAGGTATGCTACGCAATCGAACGGGGAAATCTTGACATCGAACGTATCCATGAATATATCCTCCACGGTATCCCGCATGACTCGCCATGCTGTCTACTTAAGTAACATTCTAGGTACGGGACATAGTAACAATTATCCCATGTACCTTTGTACTTACCCTGGTAGGTATCTGGATTGTATCATTGATGGATTTCAGTTAGCAAACACGCTAATATCGCAATTTGCCTCATTACACATGCTATATTAGCGCTGAGGCTGGGGCCGAAACACAAAGTCGTTATAATACGTGCAATACATTACATAGTCCTTTGAAATCTTCGCAATCTCCTATATTTGGAACAGAACCAACTGTATTGCTTTGGAATAGCGGTATAATTAGCATTCAGCAGCTCGAGCGGTGTTTGACGATGTCGAAAATATAGCCTGCGACCCTTGGAAGGGTTTCAAGAGCTCCCTCTAAAAGCTTCACTACTGGCCTACTACAACATATACTTTTCCATACATAGTTCCAGTCTTGATTCCCTTAAACCATGTCATTACTCGTCCTCGCGGTTATTCTGGGGGTAGTTGATCTCGCCTGTGCAGATGTATCAACTACAACGCTTCCCGCTACCCAGCAAGGCTGGGCTTCAATATCCAAAACCTGTGAGATGATGCTGATTGCTTACTCGAGTCACCGATCTCTAATCTAATTATCTTCCACAGGGTCTGCGGTAACATGTGACTGGGGCCAGAACTACGTGACCAGTACCATAGACGGTGTTGTCTTCGGGCGGTGCTGTGATAATATCTTTTCCCATTGTGGATTCGGGACGAGATGCGATGCAAGCACAATTTACTACCATGGCACGGGCTATTCCACTTGGTGAGATGCCCCCAAGTCCAATCTCAATTGCTAATATGATTTTTCTGATCTGACTAACACAAGAGTTTCTCAAGTAAAACGGGCAAGACGTGCAATGTCATGAGCATATATGACTATACGACAACGGAAGCTCCAGTAATAGATATCTTTTGTTGGGATAAATGGCCGGCTTCCCAAATTTTTCGCCATACGACTACGGAGACAACGACATCGAGTAAGTGAACTCCAGCTACCTTCCTAGGTTCGAACCTGCCCATGTCAGGAAGTCGCTGACTGAATTCCAGCCACAGCCCTCGAAACACAAACTACGCCCAGACCGGCAGCGACTTTGACCACGCCCTTTTCCAAGGCTACAGTCAGTACCACCAGAAACCCGACACCAACAGCGAGGCCTAGTACCTCGACGGACAATGCCACAAGCAATGTGTGGATTGCTGGAGCAGTCATTGGTCCTGTTGCAGGATGTGCTCTAGTTGGGGCTCTTCTGTTTTGGCTGATACGCCGTAGGCGTACCCAAAAACAACTCGACTCGCACAGGGAAGGACATGCGGCAGAGCCATATGGATCTGCGACCAAGCTCTCGACATATACGGGCAACCAACGCTCTCTTCCAAATGAACTTCCTGCCTACAGTCCTCAAACTGGGCCTTTGGAGCTAGCCTCTCAGCATTACCGGTGAAACTGAATGTTGGAAAGCAAGAAATAGTACTCCAAGGCTACGGGATCGTCGGTCAGCCAATGCCAGCTGGTGACGCATTGAGTCTGTACGATGTACAAGATTACCATAGATTAATGTTGAGACCAAAAAAAACTTGAAACGGCCTCAAGACTGCGCAGGTACCTCAACACACATAGTCCATTTCTTCTGTGTTTTTCTTTTTACAAGCACCCTTGTCACATCATTGCGAGGTCACTCGTTAGAACCGACCATTTTTCATCCTCCAAGATAAGCATTGTGTTAAGTGTAGTATCGCAACGGTACAGCTGCGAGTTCCACAACTCTACCCTGCATAACTTTAGACGGCGTAAATTCATGGTGTTTTCATTGTCGAGATATCCTGTGGACCAAATCTCTAAACTTTAGAATCTCTTTTTTAGGGAGATCAGTGACTAGTGCCCAAATACCATATATATGTGATGGTTTGCATCCATCATCATGTTTACTTGCTCACAGATATTAAAGCTGCTCTCTCTCTCTCTATAGTCTTTTCTTCCTCCTGAAGTCCTTGTCCATCATTGATCTCTTACTTAGTAGTTACCTTCACAATACATACATTATCACACAAGCTATAGAATGCCCTCAAGTGCTCCAGATATTATAACAAGCTGCATTAATAAAAAAAAAGACCAAGAGCCTGCAACCCTCATTCATGTTGGGGTGTGTATATCTCTGACGGTACATTTTTGGAATTTCCGGGTAATTCTTGTGGATAGTTAGTAATTGAATGACCCTCTCGCCCTCTCGGGGTCTCTGGATAGGTGTTGTCGTGTGCTTCGGTTTTTCCATCTCGTCCACTTTCGTCACGCGACCGCCGTGCTAGCCAGAAACCTAGACACCCAAAAATAACGCATCCAGCCACGGATCCAATAACTGCCCCCGCAATCCAAGTTTTGTTTTGTCTTTTTTCAGTTGATGTGCTGGCGCTGGTAGTCGAGGCAGGAGCATGCGTTGTAGGAGAAGCGCCAGGTGTTGCTGAAGTCTGCAATTGGGTCCCTGTAGTCATACCAAGTCAGAGAAAGGAAATCTATGTCGGCCTTATGGGTCTTACCGGAACTTGTGGTTACCGCAGTGGTTCGAAAAATCTGAGATGCAGACCTGGGCCAACCTGCATCACAAAATATGTCTATGTAAGGAGTGTCTGTACTTGCGTGGTCGTATATTGTCATGAATGCACAACTTTGACCCGATGCACTACCGAGTGATTTTAGCAAACGATAAAGCGTTCCAAAACAATTCACATTCGTCACATGGTCTTACCAAATAGATGTCCCTTTCTCGCCCTTCAAAATAGTGGAACCTCTGGTGCAACTAGTTGCAAAATCACAATCTGAAAGTGTGTTTCCGCAACATCGCGCGAATGTGCTGGACATGACATAGGTCTGACCAGCCCACTGGCAATTCACCTCAGACCCTATTGTGAGGTATGAGCAAGTAGTCTGAGAATTTGAAGAAAGAATCTCACAGTCATTGCCGCTCTTAGCCCAACCTTGCAGATAATACGGAAGTGTTCCATTCGCAGTAAATATTTCATTCGCCAAGGCGTAGGCAGCGATAGTCAATAGACAAATGACTCTTAATCCCATTTTCAAAGAGAGAGCTTTGGAAACCCTTTCGGGGAATGAGGATGCAGAAAGTAAGAAAGCAAGTACGCGAAATTCGTTTATTAACCATTTAAGTGCAGGGGGCCCCGTATGGATGGTTAGCCAAAATACAGGAAAGATTCACCCAGGTTGTTTTTCATCAGCCCCACCACAGCCCCTGTTCACTTGCGCCGTTTTCTCTTCTGATACGAGGTACTAGCCTTGTGCATACATCGAGTCAGTGTTTCCGGCCCATCCTTCCCTGGATCGACTCCCATAGGCCACAGTGTATTTCCCCTGTCAGCCACATTCTTGGCGCTACATGATCAGGCCCATTAACCAGCGCTTACATTGTTTTTACCAACATTACAGTCTTTGATAGAGGCCTGTTGATCGATTGCAAATGGTGCAAACAGAATCAAGTGCAAATGGTGCCAATGGTGCAAACTTCCAGTGTTGCATCTCTCGCCTGTGCGGGGCAAGGAATGTTACCCCGTACAGATCTTTGCCCAGGATTCCACCCATTTCTGTGAACAGGATCCGATCATATCCCTCCATTGCAACTGGGGCTATAGATATGCCAGTACTATGCCGAGGTCCCGAGATGGATGATAATTTGGACACCAAAACTGAGCCCTGGAACTGTTTAACCTTGGAGGGTTAGAGCACGAGAAAATGGAAGTAAATTCGAGGGATTTATAGTAGTTGATGTGCCCTATCCAAAGACACGCCTCTCTATTAACATAATTGCCACAAGAACCAGTCAACGATGCCATGTGGACTTGAAACAAAAAAAAGACAAAAGAAATCCGGGCATGATAGCACCAATTGACGATATTGTACAACTCTTGCCAAAAGAAATAGGAAGAGTAAAAGACGAGACATATTTCCAGTTTCATAACGGCCCAAAAGACCACACTGGGAAGATATCAAGGCATGGACATACCAGGTGGCGCTTGGTAACCAGCAAGCGCAGGCCGCGTGCGTAGTTCGATCTCCTTCTCTTCTTGAACCAAAGCACAGCAGCCACACCAAAATGAGACACAGCAATCGCCACAGCAGGAGCCTTCGATGCCGTGCTGTTGTCGCATTTCGCCTCGGCTGATCGTTTGTAGAATCCACTGCGAAGCGCCTAAGCTGAGGAAAGTCCAGATTGCGCACTAAAATTGCATTATGATTAGCTCTTCTTCGTCAAAAGATGATTCTAGAGTTTGTAGGGTTGACTATCGTACGGGGCCGTTCACGTAGCTAAAGCTTTGCATGCTGGGGTCGTTCATTCTGCTTTGTGTTTTTCCGTAAGTCAAGCATGGCAGAAAGCAGCTTGAGAAACCTAGGGTAGTATATGAGATCAGTGTCGGTTCTGCTTCATCAGACTGGTGTATACTAACAAAGCGTGCTAGGAGAGCAACAGTCGAAGAGAGAGTGGTTCCATTCTCGATTCTGAGAGAACTTGGAATGATCACCATATCCAGGATATGGTGGTGGATTGGCCGGCCAGGCACGGTATTCTTTCTCTGAAGAACTTCCCATCGCTAGGTAATGGACGCCGTGGATTCCTGGATGTAGGTATTTGTGCAGTGGGGACAACCTTTAGATAATGATTTTGGAGAATTTGTAGTTCAATTTGGCTACCTGGGGCACTTTGTTGGTTTTACATTCTAAGAGCGAGTTATTTGTGGACTCTTGGAAAAAAAGAGAAGAAAATATTTGATACCAGATGTATGTGCTTGATCGACATATTCGCCCGATTGGGAAGTTCGCATTCGTTTTATCAAAGCCAGCCAATCATGTAGTTTTGTTAGAAATTTCAATGTGGGGAAAGAGGGTCCTCGGAACTTGAAAACGAGCTTATCCCGTACGGAGTGGAGTATGCAAACAAAAGCTATAAGAATAAGAAGCATAGTTGCTAAAAGAATCACCCCGGATCTCAACTACTAGACCAATTAGTCTACAGGGACTTATGGTTCAAAAACATCGAAACACAGCCAAAAAACCGTCCCATACTAGTTCGGTACAGCTCCTAGAAATTATCAAGTGCGGTAAACATGTTGACCCGATTTTCAAATGCATTTGTATGCTGAACAAAAGGCTAAGACATGGTACCAGTGAAGTTTATCACACAGACCGTGGGGACCCTTCACTCTCCTTAGCTAGACTAAACCATGTGTAAGCGTAACTCCAACGGGGTCGTTCATATAAATCTGATTCTGATTCTGGACCAGCCATTGGAGCAAACCCACTGCGAGGCTGTGGCATAATTCCCATTTGGTTCAATCGCCGGTTGTCCCATAGAGGTATGCCAAGTTTTCGGAACGCTTTGAAATCCACTTTCCAGAGAGGGTGAGAACCACGCCCATTTTGTCCACCACGAAGCATATTGAAATAATCCCCCACGTTGTTTCCGGTGCGGGCGAAATGTGGAGCTCGGTGCCATTTTGAATTAAACGTCGCATCTTCTTCGACTGTCGGTAACGGCCAACATGCCTTTAGCATCAGATCGTTGGGTGGAGGAATCGCAGCAATCAATGAAGGTCTGAGTATTATTGGTTGGGAGGAAGATAGATCGATCACGCACTCCGAGATCGTCTCGAGCTCTTCCAATCCCCCCCAATGGTCACACCATTTCAAGTATGTTTTTTCAATGAAATCGTTCAGCTCGGGCACAGACCACATCCAGCGTTTTGTTGCGGCATTATGGATCTCGCCAAGGAGTTCAAGTGTCCAGAGGCCTCGATGCGTCCGATAAGACTCGATCCATGATGGCGGATCAACATTGAATTGGATCACTTGGCCACCTTTGGGGGGCGCATGTCTGCCGTGCGCCCATTTCGCAACATCAGAGCTGGAAGCCAAAGGAAGGCGGGGCTCGGCGGCCTCGAGACGGTTTAGAAGACACCGGAGACAAGCACAGGCGGTGCGATGAATCTTTGCTGCTGTAGCCACAGTCTGACGCACCGCGGCTTGTGTGTGGGTGGCTGGAAGGGAAACAGGTCGCGCATCACCCTCCGACAAACTAAGAAGCTCTCCTAGCAGAGCTGCTGGGGTGAATGGCATCGACTGAATAGAGACTAGGAGCGTGAAATAGCCATGAAGTCCCCGTGAGGCATGGGAACAATTTCTGAGGATGCTTTCCGTGATGGTTTTGTACGAGCCGTTGAATGCTTGCTCCACTTGGGGAGACACTTGTTGGAGTCCCTCCAAGCTGGTGAAGTCGTCACATGATTCGAGAATCTGCCAAATGATTTCGGTTGGGAGTTTTGCGAAGGGATCCATCTTCAAATCACTAGAGCCGTGAAATGATAGATACCCGTAAGGCCAAGTGTTGAGGTCCACAGACGGCGGAACCTTGATAGAAAAGTAGAGAAGCGAATCAATTCTTGTTCTTATAGAGAGAGAGAGAGAGAGAGAGAGAGAGAGAGAAGAGAGAAGAGAGAGATGAAAGAGAGGAGGGAGAGGGAAAGAGGAGAGAGGTCTATCGACACCTGGAGTTTGGGGCAAACCCCACACACAGAACACCAAGGGAGATGGAAGCCTTGGAAGAGGAACTTATGTATTTATACACTGTGTCAAGGAGCTATCTGGTCTAGGCTACGGCTCTCAGTTCCAGCAAACACTAAAAGGGATCGAATATTCCGACATCAGTTATATACAACAAGTTGACTTATGCTAAACGTTCGTGACCTCGGGAGTATAAGACGCATGGTTTCCCTGGAGATCCTAGACACTTCAAGTGAATTGTGGAAAGTGAAGCATCAGTGCGGAAGATATACCTCCCAAGTCGCCAAAAAGCCCAGCGCGAAAACGACCGACATGAGACAGTTCAATGTCAGTCAGATGCTCGCATCTCATCCTTACAAACATAACAAACTACGTCGGGTTCCATCCGGTAATTGGAGTGGACGACGAGGTTTCTCCACTCGAGAGCACAGAAACGTCCGGTATGACAAAGGAGACTTGGGAAACCACAGCCGCTACAGAATGGCGTCCAACGGTCCAGCCGGACCTCATTGTCCTCTCCAGCGGTTAGAAATTAAGGCCCTCAACCTGTTCTCTGCCGTCGCTAAACGCTTCGAACAGACAGCTGGGGCTCCAAAAACTCTCCACAGAACACCCTCTCGTCTATCTAAACGCGATCTCCACAGTCTAAACCGACAAACACCCCTAACACCCCTAACACCGCCTGTCAGGTCCACGACATTATAGATCCAATCAGGCAGTCCACCTCGACCAAGCAAGACGTCTCAACGCGATCGTCCGTCTCGCCCATCTGATCGATATGATCACGACAGCCAAAGCCGTCCTGACAAGCGAAGATCCCGAGATTTCTATATCATGTGATCAGAGGATGCCAAGCCTTTCAGCGCTGTCGATCTGAAATCACAAGATGTGAAGTATCCTTGATTTTTTCCAGAATCCAATGCCCTGCCTTTTCGATATAATGGAGCCTCATTTGGGTATACTTCTGGACCAAAAAATAAGGGGGAAAAAAAGAAAACAGGGAAGTGTCGCCGTTTTTCCAAATTTCCCAAACGGGCAGCTCGTATCCGTTCCAAATCGGGTAGTTCGTTTTCCCCAAGGACCAATCTCGATGATGTCTTTGCCTGAAAATCTAGAGTCAAAAAGACTAAAAATCTTCTGTGAGCCGATCAATATGCAGTCTCTATTCCAATTCTCTTTCGTCTTCGTGATTCTCTAGCTCGTGATGATGTTAGGAGCGCAAAACCTTACTTGCTCAACCGCGAGCATCACATCGCCAGTGGTCTTCGGGGCGGAAATCCTTTCTCTTACTGCATCATGGGTTCAGAATTACACAATGTCTGTCCCTGCGACTTTCAACTACAACCATGGCGACGAAACGCTTCAGAATGTCGACTTTTGCAACATCACCGTCCAATACACCCACCCTGGGCACGATGATTTGATCACCGTGGAGACATGGCTGCCCCAGAAATGGAACTCTCGGCTTCAGGCAACTGGCGGTGGTGGCTGGTCGGCTGGCCGGTTTGTTTTATCGGAGTTCTTCATGTCGGGTGCCATTGCAGAAGGATATGCTGCCACCACCACCGACGCTGGGCTAGGCAGTGCGATGTCTCCTGAATCGTGGGCTTTGAAAAGCCCAGGGAACGTCAATCTGTATGACGTTCAAAACCTCGGCTACGTTTCCTTGAGTGATCAATCTATCATTGGCAAAAGCCTTGTCAAAAGCTTTTACGGTCGGGACCCCAAATATTCTTACTGGAGTGGTTGCTCTCAAGGAGGAAGACAAGGCCTCATGCTGGCACAAAGGTACCCAAATGCATATGATGGAATCGCTGCCTCTGCCCCAGCGTTGGCCTGGACCCAGCTAGCCTCGTCCGTCTATTATCCACTCCTGATAGAAGGATGGTCGAACTCGACCACCCCTCTGGCTTGTGAGCTTGATTTCATCACAGCCGAGGCTATCAACAAATGCGACCCAGAAGACGGCGTTGTGGATGGAGTCATCTCTGACCCGGCAAACTGCCACTTCAACGCATCTTCCGTTGTCAACAAAACGTTCTTCTGCGATTCTACAAAAAAGAACATGTCTCTTACTAAGTCTGCTGCTCTGGTAGCCAATGCAGCTTGGTCGGGTCCTCGGGGCCCCGATGGTGAATTCCTCTGGTTTGGATACAATCGCGGCGCAGATCTCAGCTCGTTTGGTGCTGTTCCGGGGACAAACACGACAGGCCAGGATGTTTGGTTCCGGCTCTTCGTTGCCAAGGACAAGAAGTATGACGTACAGAAAGCAAGCCATGAGGAATATGCTAGGCTGTTCCGTCACGCTGTGCAAGAATATGCCGGTATGATGAACGCTGACAACCCTCATCTCACGGAGTTCAAGAATGCTGGCGGAAAGCTCATCTCGTATCATGGAATGGTTCGCTATCCCCATCACCACTCCCTGACCACTCGAAGTTGTACTAAATAATTCACAGGCCGATGAGTCTATCCCAACCAAAAGCTCGGAGAACTATTACCGCAGAGTGAGCCAAGCCGTGCCTGACATTCAGAACTTCTATCGCTACTTTGAAGCACCTGGCCTGGGACATTGCTCCGGTGGAATTGGAGGACAGCCTCTTACCACATTTGATGCTCTGCGGAGCTGGGTTGAAGACGGCATCGTCCCTGAAACCTTGCCCGTCAGCTTTAATGGCACAAATGGCGTTGAGCAAGATCGCATTCTCTGTCCATACCCAGCGAAAGCAGTATACCAAGGTGGTAATGTCGCGGATGCTGCTAGCTTCCACTGTTCAACCAATGCGACGATGAACATTGCGTCGCGCAAAAATGTATCTCAACGGCCATCGTCTGTTTAACCATCTCAGTGGATTGAACGAACCTGGCCTAAGAACCTTGGAAGTGAAAGGAAACGGTTTCACCGACACCATGAATTCCCTCCTCTTCCCGTCTTCTTCTTCCTCTCCCTTGGCCGAGGGCCTTTCACTAGATCTGGCCCTGCGTGCTATTTTTTGTCATTCTTTTGTCACATACATTTTGTCAATTTTGTCAATTTTGTCAATTTTGTCATCTTTTTCTTTTGTTTTGATCGTTTGTCTTTATTAGAAATGCTCGCGTTCGGCTCTCCATCCTTCTTACATCCAAAAATCATACACAATCTCATCAACAATCTCAAAACATCCCAAGCGTTTGAAAAGGCCATTCAAGAAGCATGCGATGGCGATCATCAAGACTTCGCGATACCCCACCAACAATATGGCTCGGCCAGCCAGTGATAAACCAGACGGAGTCGAGCTCATTCAGCAGAACAGAAAAGAAGGACATTAACAACAAAGCAACCGGATGTTTCTTCTGCATGTCATGCGAAATCATCTCCGGTAGCTGATAAAGCCATGTAAAGATCCGAGGCCACAATTCCAAACCTGGGACAGGAACAGATGTCCCCAATATAGCATCGTAACTTGAGCAAAGTGATTCGAATGTGGTTTGATATATGAAATAGCGAGAGTCGGTCGGATTGAACATCTCGAATATTAGTGACTGGAGATCGTTCAAGGGTTTCCAGTATGGGCGGAAATTGTGGGTGTTTTCATCGTTTAGTGTGTATGGAAAGATCTGTGTGATGGGATGTGGTTCTGCCTCGGGCTCTGTTTCTGGGTTGTCTTGGCTTGGTTTGGAATGTAATTGGAAAAGCTCCGTTGCCGCGCCCATATTAGTACTCGCCTCGAGTATGGACCGAATGCCAAAGAAGAGACACAGAGATGGCATGTCTTCGTCATCCCGGAAAGCTAGATACTCCCCTGCCCGAGGTCCCCTTGCAAGTGAACAGATGAAAATGTATACCGAGGCAATATATAATGATGAACTATTCCCAGAGTTAAGTTGTGGGGCTGCAGCTGCAACGCCTTCAATTGCAATTTGCAAGTGACGTTCTGCTTCCACGCCGAAATCAACGCTCGGTTCCAGAAACAGGTGTAGACTGTTATTTCCGGGAGTCTTTCTTTGAAGATGGAACCCAGCAACAGCCAGAAGTAAGCGAAGCACATAATGAACTGAGAATCCGAGACGGACCAGCTCATCCGGAATATGGCCTTTCAAATCATCTGCTGAGAAACAATGATGAAACAGAGCCATATCAGTAGTAGTGAACTGGAATGGCCTGGGGGCCACAGCAGTCTCTGGCTCAGAGTCCGGAAGAGAAACCGTTTTCTCACTGTCAGTTTCACGACGCGTTCGCTTGGGAACTCTAAATTCCGACTGAGACGAAGAGATAAAAGAAAACTCAGTTGGCTTTTGCTTAGGTTTCGGCGGTTGAATTGTTTTCTGAACAGAGCCGGCATGCTTTCTTGGTTGACCGAAGTCACATTTGATTGAATGGCGCAGGCAATTGTTGCAACTAGGCTCGGTTTCGTCACACTATTTCAAATAAGCGCCACCTCAATTATGAATTGAGCCTCCAGTGGCTTACCTTGACTCGCCGCGCTTTGCAGTTACCACATCCTAGGCGAGATTTGCGGTGGGAGCGACGAGATCGGTTGCTGGTATATGACCCTGGCTGTTGTTCCATTCTGTTTATAGGCTTTAACGAAGGGGAGGATGAAAAGAAGGCTGTCTCCTGAAGTCTCAAAGTCGTCTCTAGCGTGGTCCCTACCCGGCGCTGGGGTGGATCACGGCGAAACTCACCCCTGCGCCCCACTTGGGCTTAAAATTCCTTTAATTTCGCCGAGAATTGGGTGGTCGGGAGGGAGGTAATACCGAGCCTGAAAAATATATGGACAAGATAGGACACATCCTGGAAGAACTCTGTATCCCGTCCCCGCACGTTCTGCTTAGCGGCTCATGGTTCTCCCAGGTGGTTGCCATGTGGCCTGACTAATCGGCAGCTTATTTCAACCTTCTTGGGCTGATCACCAAACAATAGAGAATAACTATCAAAAAAGGCGCATTCAATACTATGTAGTAAAGAGGAACAAGTACTTAAGGGAAACCACCAACTCCAAAACCCAGGGTATCAGATGCAGATGAAAAATGCGCAAAGAATACCAACCCAGACGCGAAAACAGAAACAGAGAAAAAAAAATATACACAAACAAAACAAGAAGATTTCCAAAAGCCAAAGCCCTGGACCAAACTATAGGATCAAAGAATCATGCTCTTGCTCCGATAAGTTCTTTAGGAAGCGTAGCCCACGCTCCTTCCTACTCAGCTGACACTTAGAGTCATCCTCCAACTCATCTTCCAAAAGCCATTCGTTAGGAAGGTCCGTCAAGCCAACGCGCTGACCCCACTGTCGACGCTGATATTGCATGAAACCACCGAAATGACGATCGGTATTAGCGACCCAAATATTGCCACCGCAAGGCGAGTAATCTGCTCCACCGATTTCACCGAAGAAATCATGCACCTGGCGAGAGCGGAATAGCTGGGCGTCGATGATGGATATACGATCCGCGGGTTCGGTGCACAGTAAAGTCCGGGGCCCACCGCCAACGGGCGAGAAGCGCAATGAGCGGTATCCGGCGACGTCGGAGTCGATTGTCTCCAGGGGTCGCCAGGTTCGGGCGTCCCAGATGATGACTGTTTTGTCTTGGTTTGAGGTTGCGATGTGGCGCAGGTCTGGGGACCAGGCACAGGCGAAGCCGAAGTCGCGGTGGCCGCGGAGGGGTTGGACGGGACGGCCCGTGTCGGATTCGATCACCCATGCGTCTGGAGAGTCTCCGATGACCACGCGGAGACGCGAATCGGGAGAGGTGGCGGTGCAGTTAATAGGCTGGGAGAGAGTCTGATCGGAGAGGAATACGTTTGTTTCTGTGTCGAGAATGCGGAGGTGTTTGTCGTTTGAGGCGAAGACGCCGATTGGCGAGGGTCCGGTGCGGCTGGGCACTACGTCGACATGGTTTGTGATGCCATCGTTGAAGTCGGGTGTTACGAGACCCTTTATGCCAGCACCACCTGCTGAGCTGTGTAAGGCATACTCACCGCAGAACCCGCCTGCGATGGTTAAGCCATGTGCTGTCTTCATGGTAGAAATCTTGACCGGGCCGAGGAAACCTGACTCTGGATCTGGTTGGCTGAGATCGATGAGACAGCGCGCATCACCGGTAGTGGGGGTCCATGATAGCACTTTCGAACGGGAAGCGAAGTTCACGGTGTTATATGCAGGGGCTGACATCAAATTGCGGAGCTGAAAATGCTCAATAGATGCCTTGTGGGAGGTGTGCATGGAATTTTCCCGGAATGCGAACTCAGTTCGTGGGAGGCGTTTGGCATTGCTAAGGTGCGAGTAGTCCAGGTTGTGATATGAGGTATACCAGCCATCGCGTACTGCCCTTGCATCAGACCGTTTCACCCGGAGGGTTTCTGTCCACGGAATCTGCTGGAGATCATAAAAATCGCGTCTCCAATCATGTGGGCGGACAATCTCTCGTGGAGGCTCCCAGCTGATCATCTTCGATAAAGGGCGAAGCTGTGGTGGGATTCGACTTTCGGAATGGAATCCTCGAGGAATGATGTTTGTCTGCACCATCCAGCGCTGGATGAATTCATCGACTGTAAGGTTGCGCTCATATGCTGGGAATGATTAGTAAAGTGTCATCATAGGATGGAAAGCATCTTACTGGACGTATGTATTATTGAAGCTGGGTGTGGCATTGCTTCGGGTTGTTCGCCGATGTGATTCTCGAAAGGGTCAGAAACTGCAACCCCCAGCGACTGAGGTAAATCAATATCGATGTCCTCGTAATTGATGGTCTTGTAGAAATCATCTAAATCATAGTCCGCCATTTGGAAATCGGGTTGCATCAAGCACTGCTTGCGCAAGTTGTGGTATTCCTCCTCGTCCGGGTAGAATCGGATAAAATCTTCAAACTCATCATCTGATTCCGAGAAAGGCGATGAAGTGTCGTCTATTGGCGTAGGGTCATAATCCATGACCATTTCCTTCTGAGATTCAACATAAGTGTCCGGCGCGATGGCCATGTCCTGCCGTCCTGCGGTGCGGTGAATCAAATTCTGGACGGTCGCCTCGATATTCTCATCGCCACCCGGGGGTGACCCGTGACCGAGGGCGACCTCCGGTCCAGCCGGTGTATGCGATTCAGCGCGTTGGTTGAAAAATACTCGCCCCGGTAGCAGAGAAGCCCTTGGGTCCAAAAGACGATAGTCTGGCGGGCTGCCAGCGCTCGTCACGGCATTGACGATCTCCGAGACCAGGAATGAACCGCTTTCATTATTCACGGCATGTGGGAATTGTGACACAGCAGCCAGTGCTGCAACGCCAACATCATGTAACCGGCGATCGACGTCGGAAGCCATATTGGTTGAAGCCGAAGTCGAACGATCGTCGTTGGAAAAGATATCCGAACGTGGGGTCGAATTTAGGGTAGACGCATCGTCTTCCCGGATGGAGATTCCATCCACAAAGGAGAGAGGAGTGTTCATGACTCGCGGCTGAGCTGACGTAGGATCGATATCACATGACACATGGCGCGGCGATGCGGGATCTCGACAGTGGGCGGCGAAGTCGGATGGACTATTCTCGGCGGCGTGACAGTCACTGAAATGAAGCATCGCCCGCCATGGACTGTCAAATCCGAGCTAGAAATTATCAGTCCGAGGTCGTGGGACCCAAAAGTACCTTTTTCGGTTCGGTGGTCCGCTCCAGGCACCGTGCAGCAAGTCGACGGATGATCACGTCCCAAATGGGTGGGGGGCAGGGATGGCGAACAGCGGTGGTCGTACAACGCTTAGGAACGGTCCAGTTACCAGCGGGGCTGCAGTGCTTCCACCTATAATGATAACCACTTATCCCGGTTACTGGACTTCGGGGCAAAGGTCTTCGGTCGCCTCGCAGCTGACTGCTGACTCGCAGTGTGGGGGGTAACCACACTGCAGAGGTGGCGCACTAGGTGCCCGCTGAGAGGTATGCGAGACGCGGGCGAAACAGCAATGCCGGTTCAACCGCGGGGTGAGGTCAAGTTAAAGGCGACCGGGGGGTAGGAAGGGAGATGAATAGGAAGAAAGAGAAGACGTTAGATAAAATGCGGGCTGATAGGAGATCCAGCGACCAATGCGCGATAGAGGTTTCCGCTAGGAATGATTAATGGTCGGACGCAAGGAATGACCGAAGTGGAAGGGATTCCCCGAACGTGGCAGAGAACGTGGGGAACGTCACTATAAGCAACGAGGCCGGACTGCAGGCGAGTCTTCAAAGGGGAGAAAGTCACACTTGAGCAGGGGAGAGGGGGGGAAATCACGGGGACTTTTGGTCTTTAGTCAGCCACCCGATCTATAAAATCTATAAAGCTCATGTCAAGCGCTGCCCAGGTCTACAGGTGGTGTACTGCACTATGTCATAAAACTTCAGAAACAGACAGAGCCCTGGAGTAATTGATCTATAGATCCAATATGTAAATAATCCTGCACTGCAGATCCCGGACAAACCCGGTGACCTGCGCTTTGATCCTGTCCTGGATGCGAATCAGCAACAAGGGGGCAATGCAGCATGTGAGATGCTGGACAGTGCATATATCATCGCTTATTCCGGCTCTCTCCATCCAAATTGTGGAATATACTCGTAGAGGCTGATGTTTCAGATCAATGTCCACTATTCACTATTCGCTATCCACCGATTTATCGCGATACATAAAGCAAAACATAAAACACCAAATCCAATGAAAATGCCTATTAAAAACAGTAAAAGGCTAAAGAAGAACGTGCATAAGCATAGTCACTCGTCAGTCGTGGAACGCCGGTAAGCCCCCGCGCATTATGTCTGAACGCCCGTATGTAAAGTGAAATAAATCACATCGAAATCAGATGCAAAATTGAAATCAGATGCAAAATCGGAAGAGTCGGGTTAAAAATGAAGTAAGAAAAAAAAAAAAAATAACAATCCAAAATCAGCGCTGGGTCGCTTTCGTTAATAATGTGAGTACGTCTCGTAGTGGTAATCCGATGCATGGGGCTGTGCCCACGTTTGGCGCAAGCGGCGTTCTGGAAGAAATTAGAACAAATCGGAAGAGGTGCAAGCGGGCGCCTTACCTTTTTCGAAATCACGCCACCTCTTCATCGTAATCTTGGTACTGTCAAACTCTCCCTCTCCATCGCCATGGCCCTTGTCTTTCTCGCCGGCAGTCTTGCGGGTATCGCCCCAGCTGAAATCATCGAATTTCCAGAACGCATAGGTAGGAAGAACGAAGTTCCAAATGGGAAGCGAGATGAGGTAGATCAGCATCCAGAGGACGTAGACGAGTTTGTGCGCCGTGACGACGATCAATACACCCGGGAGACCGAGGATCAGGGCGAGAAGGACCAATGGAATGACCTGGACGGGTTTGCGGACGATGGAGGAGATGACGACGTAGATGGTGAAGGAAATGGCGGCAGGGAGGACCAGGGTACCGACCAGTTCGATGAAGATGACGAACTGCATGCTGAAGCAGAATGTTCCACACAGATCCCGGACGAGGACTAGCTCGAAGAGATTGTGGACGGTACTGTTGATCCAGCGGCGACGCTGGGAGAGTAGGACCATGAATGCATCAGGGACGACAGTCTTGCAGACAGCTTGTGGGACGAAAATCTGCTTTCGCTTGGGGAAGGTTTTGAGCATGAGGGTTGTGAGATAGCGATCTTCGCCGAGAAGAAGCAAATTCTTTTTGTGTAACGTGTCAACCACGTTTTCAGAGTAGTGCTCGACGATATCTGGGTTTGCGAGAATAGGCACCCAGTAGTTCTGGCCGCCCTTCGGGGCTTTAATGCGATACATGGTGAAGCATCCCGGAAGACAGGTCACACCACCGAAGATGGACTCAAAGGATTTAGCTTGATGGTGAGAGATGAAGTACCTGCTTTTGGTTAGTTGGATGGACAGGTTACACGGGGAAGTTGAGCTTACTCGAAAACCTGGATCATGGTTACCCAGCTGTCGGTTTTGTTGGCAATTTTGGTTTCTCCACAAAGACCCATGATTTCGGGGTCCTTCACCATGGCCGAGACCATGTGAGTGAGACTGTCAGGGAAAACTTTGGTGTCGGCGTCGACCATCAGAACAACCTCATAGAAGTCTGGTGGAATGCCCGTGACGTTCCACATGCCATTAAACATTTCAAACTCGAGTTCCGTCATACGTTCATCAAACATCACCTTCTGAAGGAACGACATGAGAATAATTTGACTGTCACGCTTTCCTCTGTTACCGGGCTTGGACTGGGTGGACTCTTGGGGAGTTCCACACTTGACAACGACCATCATGGGAACACGCTGTTGCTTTTCGGTGGGAATAATCGAGGTCTCGCCATAGTCGTAGAATCCTGTGTAAACCTTGGCCATGTTGTGTCGCTTTGAACCAGTCGCCACGGCCACGTAGGAATAGGGCTGAACCTCATCCTTGGGGACGACGAAATCTTTCATCATACCGAGTACGATATCCGGAGTGGAAAATTCTTCTCCCTTACCCTTGATGATACCGTCGCAAATGACAAGAAGTGTCTTGTGGCTGTTGGGATAATCGGTCATAGCAAGCGAATCCAAAGTCGATCGGATGCCCTCCTCGCCTTCGGAATAGCAAGTAACCAGGCAGAGAGAGTGCGCAAGAGGATAACCAAATGGCTGCCATTCAGGAGGAGGTTGGGGAACAACAGCCTCATGGATGAAATCGGCCGGTCCAGAACCTGTTTGGTCGGTCGCGACTGTCACATATCCTTGGTCTTGGCCCGGAGGAATCAGACTCGTCCGACTTGCGCTGTGGGGATTTCGCAGATTCTCAGCACTCAGTGTGCCACCACTACCATTTTGGCTCAACTTGTACATAGTCCCTGGGGTGGAGCTAGGCATGAGACGGGATGTCGAGTTCTGGCTGGCCATCGTGACATAGACTGGCCTTTGTTTGCTGCCGCTGCTGCTGCTAACATTGTACGGACTCGAGAAACGCGAGGTAGTGGGCAAGAAACTGGCGCGCTTGCTCATACGATCGGAAGCAACTGGATCGGCGATGCGAGGAGCGGGTCGGTAGATATCATTGGACCAGTCTTCTATCTGTTGGTTGCGAGTTCTAGCATCGGAGGCCATGCTTGTGCTCTGTGCAGCGAATCTGGGGGCCAAAAACCACTGGAACAGAAGGGCGAAACCAAATTTGACGACCACAATGGAGAGAATGAAGATCAAGGAGACGTAAAGTACGACCTTGGAGGCAATGCAGCCAACGGTGTCGGTATCGATACTGCCCACCTTGATTATCTGAGTCAAACACTTGCCGACTTTCTTGTCTTCTCCACTCTGGAGGTAGTAGGTAAGGTCAACACCACGAACATTTGGATTCTTACGAAGCTGATCGAATTGCGATGGATATGAGACTTGGTCGGTGTCGAACCAGGCCAGGAGATCGAGGTCGAGTACATTTCCGGAGTACACTGCAAGGTTTCGGCTCTTGTTCTTAGTGTCTTCCCAAGTGTAGTAGACCTCTCCGTCGCTGTTCAGAGTGTAGAACGGGTTACGTGCCGACTTGCTGGTATGGCAAGCCCAGCCCACATAGTTTTCAACAGTCAAGTTCGGCTTGGATGAGCCATCCTGATTGAAGGGCGCACAAGGGAAATACCAACCCAAGTCTCCATTGGAGTTGGTGGGGACATCTCCGCCTGACTTGGCAGTGATTAATCCTTTGCATGCGCCATTGACCTGCTGGAAGAAGAAACTGCCATCTTGACCACCGTATTTGTGTGGCAGGTCGTAGAGGACGTTTGTGCCACTGGGAATGCCTTCCGCAGCTGGGTGGGTAGATCCAGTCAAGTCATAGGCCTTTCCGTGGAAGATCATGTAGTTGGAGTTGACTTTGTTAACCTTCAAACGAACCGGAGGCGAGCCACAGACGGTGGCCGTGAAACCGAAAGTCAGGAAACCGACGAATGCGGCGATCATGAGAATGATACTGATCAGACCGATCTTCTCTCGCCAGGCAGTGCGCTGCTCCTTCTGTGGCATGCCAAAGCATTTCAGTACAAAGTCCGGAATGAAAAAAGTGAGCACTGCGCAATATGTGGGCCACAGCTCTGGGGGACCACTGTCCTCAATCGCCTTTTGGCGCCTCTTCTCGTCCGCCGAGGCACCCCTCGACGATCGCCTCGATCCTCTCTTCTTCTTTTTGGAGCGATGTCGGCTGGGCACCCGCTCCATGGGTTTGTTGACATTTCCCCGCGCACCGTAGAGCCCATCTTTTTTGGATTCCATGCTGCGCGAGCTGTTGGTCTCTGCCTCGCCCTCTCTGTTATCCAGTAGCGGGTCATTTCCTGTGGCGGAGGGAAAAGTTGTCATATGATGCGATCGCTGACGGTAGTGATAATTTGGATGATCTGGGTCTTCTCGTCGTCGCTCTGGTTTGACCATGCTCTTTTTGCGCCGCACCTCGGCGCCGCGCTCCATGCGCTCTTCGTCTGTATCCATTCCTCTTCGGTGGCTGTGAGAGTGTCGGCGGCGATGTCGGTGAGAAGGAGAAGTGGGGTCGTCGCTGTGGGTTCCCGAATCGGTATCTCGGCGACGGCGTCGGGAGGGTTCACGAAATGCGCGGGCTTCTTCGCGACGTGGTGAGGCTTTGCCTGGCCTCTGCGGCAAGGACATCTGCAAAATTCCCAGTCAGTCATGCCCTTTATATCGCATCCCAACTTCTGAGACTTCCTCTCTTCTCTCTTTCTTTTCTTTGTTTGCACAAGACACGCACTCACTGTTCAAAAAGCACCGGTCATCCACCGATTGTAGTGTTTAAATCCTTGAGCCGTCGTTTGCTGACTGAAACATGTCAAATGCGCCGTTCCGATCTCTGAACAATGCAATGCAATTCTAGAGGTCTATTAGGGCGAAGGTTTCAACTCAGTATGGATCTGAATTTGTCGATTGACCGGCAACTGGGGCAAAAGTTGATCTGATGAGATGCAGCGAAAGCGCCTCGGTCGGCCTGTGCAACGAGATTTGGGGGTGGAGAATAAACAAAGTCCCACCCAACGTCACAGATGATCGACACTGGAACAACACAGGGTAATTCGATTCCAGTCTCTCTTTTTTTTTTTTTTTTTCCAGTGAAGAGTCAAGATGGAGAAACCAAAGAGGTCCAGAAACAACAAAGTCCCAAGTCCCGAGCACACGGAGTAGTAGTGACCTTTGCTTGAAACGGGTTAGCTTGTTTTGATTAATATGTGAACGGTAACTGGGTAACGGATGTCTTATGTTTCAAGGTTAGTACAATTACTACAATACATTTAATATATGGCCCTTTTTGTAAATACCCCTGTATTTTTCTCTAAACGACTCAAAAATGACCAGAAACCCATGGAAACCACCTAATACGGCCATGGTACGATGCGACCAAAAATGAAAGGGAAGAAGAAGCCGAGAGGTCACGGGGCCTCTCGTGAGGCTAGACTAGTGTGGGCTTAGTTGATCTTCCTGCCACGCACCCTAAATGCCACGCTGAGTACAGAGTATGGGGATTCCACTACCGACTTCAGGAGTACAGGGAAAATACTAACTTTGGGCTCCTTTGTGATGTGTCGGGATCGAAATCTCGGTGGCTCATCCTCACATGGCGTGCGAGTCGGTGAAAGGCTAATTCTACCCTTTTAGAACCCTGACAGGGACTGACTCAATGATATACGCAATGTCTGCATCCCGGACAGAAACATCCCAGACGTGGCGTGAAAGTGGTGCGACCTGGCGATTCGGACCGACACAGGAGATCGGATGACGATTCGATCTACTGTATAGCTTAAAGCTAAACAGTCAAGCTCTGGGGATACTTTGTATCTACCCCTAGTTCCCGGGTTTGGCGAGACAAAAACAACATCGAAACGCCATGAACCCTCAACCCAAATACGAGTACGGAATACAATGATCGACGTTTGGCGGCCGATCCCATCCCCAGAGTCCCCCGGGTTATCAACAATTAGCCCCATGCTGCACATGCAATATGTTCCGTACGGCGTAGTCCAGATCCTTTAGGGCTCTCTTCAGCGACCAAGCTCTTTGGATGCCCAAGCCCCCCATCTGCCCACGCCAATCCAAGCCTTCTGTGCCATTTTGACCTTTTCAAGCCATCGCTGAACAATAGATCATGTATCACAACTTAGTAACATTTTTTTCCTCCGGTTCTGTCTTTGCCCTTCCGCCTGAGGTGGCAAGCTGGCGCGGATCCAACTGGAATCTTGCGGAGCTAGCGGATGCATCTCAAACGCTCTAATAAGCCTATAGAGTCTTGTACCCAGGCCACGCCATGCTCTTCGGCTCTTACTGGAATGATGACGTTTCGGTCTACCTGATCTCAGACAATTGACCACGCAATAGCAGGCCACGGTCAGCTCCGAGTACAGTAGATCTTTGAATGTTTTGAGCCAATGGAGTGCGCGGTAATAAGATGAAGTTATTGTAACGGATCACCACTGATCTCCAAGGGCATACATTCTAAAGTTCCCATGCAGTCATAGTGTGCTCCGGGCGCAAGGAGTTCGCGAATCCATGGATTTGATACGGGCCGTGCGAGAGTCGGGGCTCCTCCACTCGCCTGGGTAATCCAAGGTTTAGAAGGTACGAACTCAATCGCAGTTGTTTGTTTACCTGAATCCATGGAACAGACTCATGTATACCGTGGGATGGAACGTAGGGATAAATAGACCCGTGGTCATATTTGTGTCGTACTCCTAACAGAAACATATACCGAGAACTTCTAAACTTCTAAAGTTGGAATCTCGCTTACGCTTAGCTCGAACCCCTCCTACTTAAGTAACGGAGTCTTTCATACATAAGTATCACTGGGACTTGGAAATGTTAATTACACAGGAAGATATTTCCAGAATATGTGCTCAGCAGATAGTTGCCACGCACGCGGAATGGCCGAGCTAAGAAGGAAATGGGGACTTAGAGTTATGCCCCAGCGTCCGCGTCCCCACTATCAATTCCACTTGCAATGTGCACTGTACTTTGGCGAGTATCATGTGCGTATGTGTACGGACTTTCGCCAAGGGAAATTCCTCAATGCCAGGTCATCCAGCAGACTTATTCTTAGAATGTCTCGGACGGGAGCCCGGTTTCGCCCCAAGGGCCTTTGTAGTGGAGATGTCAGACCGTGGGACAAGGCCAATGGCCACACAGTCTTATACGGAGTACGGAGTACATACTCGTAGTTATACAGATCAGATGCACTGGAGATGCTTATGTCCGATCTGAGATGTAAGAATAGATTGTTCTCAGGTAAGAAAAAGAGGTACACAGTACGGAGTATGACTATGAGAGTATTTTACTCCTCCGTACCAAAGAGATCCAATCCTCAGTAGAACTAGCGAGTGGGGGAAATACGAAAATGGGAATCCCCTTGGGAAACTCCCCCTCGCTTCTTTTTTGAGTAGATCGTTGCTACACTTCAGCTCCACTCTTGCGACAGTCCACTTTTTGTCTTTGACATATATGCGATAACGATCTCTCGGAGAATTTGCGTGGGAACTGGTGAACTTGTGGTCTCTCATTCTCTTATTTCATGATGGCTACTGCCCCAGGCTACCGCCAGGCGTTGCCGACACCTCCGCCGGTCTACCTCCGATCAACTCCCCCATATCCCTCGGACGAGTCAACACCGCGCACGATCACAACTCCCCCGCAGAGCCTGAATATCAATAGAAAACCCGTTCCAATTCATACATCATATCCCGAAACCTCACCGGTCATCCAGAACTCGCCGCGCTCTCCCGTCAAGATCGACTATGGGACAGACATTCAGGCTTCGTCCGTCCCCATCGAAGACTCTCACAATGGGCCCACCACGCCGCAATTGGAGCTCCCCGAGTTCGCAGATATGTCCATAGATGGCCCTGTGCAACCGCCCCAGCAGAGCTGGAATCCTTCATATCCTCCGCGACGTGACTCGTCGCACGCCCCACATTATGCACGATCGCACCCGTACGGGCACACGCCCGCCAGCAGTGGCTCGTGGTCAGTAGTGGAGCCGCAGCAGACAGATGAGAGTCATGGAAATCCGAAAAAGAGCGCCTCTTCACTCGAGCGCCAGCGCCAGAGCTATAACAGCTCCTCCAGAGGCAGTTTGGACAGCGTGGTGCAGACTTCAGACAATTATGAGCCTCTAGCGTACCACCACCAACAGAGCTCGCCGAAATCGCCCGCAAAACCAACTGTCAATGCGCCACATACCCCCTCTGGATCAACAGACAAGCTTGCAGTCCGCCGATCACGGTTATCGCGACCGTTGTCCGCCTACTCCTCGACCTCAGATCACGGAGGCCACCAACGCAATCTCTCTGCATCACCTTACTTACACGCCAGATCCTCATCCCGGAACTCAAACGCGTCTCCGGACAACCGGTCATCTTCATTCCTTGACTTGCTCAACACATCATACCCCCAACCTGGTCCATCAGCAGCGCGATTTGACAACTCGCGCTTACAAGCCTCCGTAGGCAACAATGCCTCCCTTCTCAGCCACAAAGAAACCTTCGAGATGTATCTAGCAAATGTCAAGAAAACAGACGAGCCAACGGTGCTGTACGAATTCGCTGTATTCATGATAAACTCGATGCGCGAGATGCCAGCTGTGGACCTCGAGGATGCAAGCCCCATCACCAGGGCCCGCCTCCTTCGTGAATCGAAGTCGATTCTCCAGCGCCTGGCCGACCGGAGTTACCCCTTTGCCCAATATTACCTTGGCGATGGGTACGCATCAGGGCTGTTCAGCAAAGGTCGTGAAGACCACGACCGGGCGTTCCCGCTATTCCTCGCAGCTAGCAAACACGGCCACGTCGAAGCCTGTTACCGCACAGCCCTATGCTATGAGTTTGGGTGGGGATCTCGCGTCGACGGTGGCCGTGCAGTCCAGTTCTACCGCCAGGCGGCGTCGAAGAACCACCCGGGAGCCATGATTCGCATGGCCAAGGCCTGTATCGCTGGCGATATGGGACTTGGCAAGCGTTATCGTGAGGGTGTCAAATGGATGAAGCGTGCGACGGAAACTGCAGATGCGCAATACAATTCTGGACCGTATGAGCTTGGAATCATGCACGAGAGAGGCTTTGGAGAGGATGTCTTCCCGGACGAAACGTACGCCGCGCAATTATTCACCAAGTCTGCGGAGCTGGGCCACGTCGAGGCAGCTTACAGACTTGGTGATGCGTATGAGCACGGCCGACTGAATTGCCCGCGTGATCCAGCTCTCAGTATTCACTTCTACACCTCTGCTGCACAAAACGGCCATCCACTTGCGATGATGGCCCTCTGTGCCTGGTATCTGGTTGGAGCAGAGCCTGTTTTGGAAAAAGACGAAAGTGAGGCTTATGAATGGGCGCTCCAGGCTGGCAACCTTGGCCTTGCAAAGGCGCAGTATGCTGTTGGTTACTTCACAGAGATGGGTATCGGCTGCCGTCGTGATCCCCTCGAGTCCAATGTTTGGTATGTCAAAGCAGCGGATCAAGGCGATGAGCGTGCCAAGCACCGCATTGCCACTATCCGCGCAGCAGGTGATGGCACGCATTTAACTGCTCGTGGCGGAGCGAAGAAATCTGGGACTCGGCTCAAGAAAGCCGAGCGCAATGATCAATCTCCGGGCAAGGACCAGGACCAGGGTGAGTTTTCATTATTCGCTCATGCATCAATCAAACTCCATCGCTAACAGTCTGACAGAAGATAAACCCAAACAGAAGCGATTTGTCATTTTCTAACTGCATCCCATGTGTCCGCTCCATTGCATTCCTGATCTTCGTCTATTTGCACACCATTTTTGAACATCTTCCTGCAGACCATGACGATAATACATACATAATTCGACCATCTCTGCATACATCTGCGAGCTTATGCGGACTGCCATTTTACAAGCGATTGGTTTTTTTTCCCCCATTTGATCTGCGATTTTTCAAAATTCACTTCCCTCCTTTTCCACTCATGTCTGACCTTGATTATACCACTCCTTTTACATGTTCTGCATTTGACATTCTTTGCACGGAAATTGTTTCATCAACGGCCAGGTGTTTTTGCTGTAAGTCGCTTCATCATCTTGTTTTTATCTTTACAATCCATCTTATCTGGTGTTCATTTCACCCGCTCTCTCATTCTCATTTTCGGTGGTAATGTATGCCAAGCTGCGATTTTATAATTGACGATGTTTCTATTGGCATTCAATGATCTCAGATACATTCGATTCCAACAAAGTTTCTTTGAACTATGGTCTGGTAGTGTATGAATGCACATGTCCATCTTATTCAGGCTGCAGAAAGAAAATGCGAGACAGAATTCCTCTCAGTGACCATGCAGGGGCCGGAGTCTGGGACCCCTTATAAAATCCCGCCAGATACTGGTCTTTGCATCACCGAAACCATCCAAGAGGCTCCCCCAGTGGATATAGCACACAGTCTTCCCGTGCTACATCTCCAGATTCCCAATCCCAAAAATTTCCCGTGGACCATGTGAAAGGTTCCAACCATATGGCAACGGGATGGAGAAGCATCAGACCCCAAGAAAATATCATAAAAGGGCTGACAGACTTTCCGCTGCAGGACGTAAGAGGTTTGTTTCTCATGTATCTGTGGAGATTTCATGGTCTGAAGTATAGCCAGCCAATCGGAGTTGCTGATCTCATCACCGAACAGAATCCCTGCACCTTTGCCCCCTCGAGTGGGCTTCAAGAGGTAGTCGTTTTTCAAAGTTTCGGAAAAGTGAGATTGTTGCTCCAGGGCAAAGAGTGTTGATGAGCCCGGCAAAACAGTGTGTGCAATTCCATTCGCGAGACGATTGGCCTGATCGATGGAGATGACTCTTCGGGATTTCAGAGAGCCAAGTTCTTCGCGAATGATCCCGAGCATCCTCTTGTCATGGACGAGTAGCATAGTTCGCAAGTCATTGAAGCATCGAATACTGATTTGCTTCTGCAATTCAGATCCCAGGGACCGGAATTCATGCTGGTGAAGCTCCAAACAAATCTGATGGACGTCTTCAACAACCTCACCAGCCTCGGTCACAAATGATCCAATCGCATCAGTTGATGCAAGACAGCAAAGCTTTGAACCATTGACCCCCGCTTCATCAGGAAGGATCCGTAGATCATCAGGGTTGATAAGGCGCAGATTGAGCCCAAGTTTCTTTGCAAGCTCCATGAACATAAAAATGTCATATCCATGTTCCTTCCCTTTGACAAGGTGTAATGGCTGCCCAGGATCGAAAAGACCCAGTAAACCGCTAGCAATCTTCAATTGAGGAATCGTCAAAAACTTGTCAAAGTAATTATTTTTTTTCCATGTGGAACTTACTGTATCAGGATCAGTCGCCCTGATCAATCCTCGCGATTCAACGTCAAATGTAGAAAGACCCTTTTGTCCACCCCTGATGAGCATAAAGCCATTCCAACAGAATCTGGCATTGATCTCGCAGATTCTGAAATTTTCAGCCCCGGTTTCGTCATTTTCAATTACAAAGTCCGGTCTCCAGGAGCCTTTTCGCTCACTATAAGGGCGACAAATATCTTGATTGCCGTCGATCCACTTTTGTAAATCGAGAAATGGTAAGCGTGTCTGCCCAAATTTGTCTCCGGGCTTTTGAAAGTGTACTTACACGCAACAAACTTTCCTCCCGGGGCTCCAAGGGCATACGAAGAGGAAAACCAGCCTCCTCATCGGTCCACCATCTTTCAACAATATCTTGGATTGCCAGATCGAGGGCCTCGGCTAACTTCTCGAATGTTTCCTGGTGATTATCCGTAATCAACAAAGGGTGAGGACAAGAGGCCTCCACACATCCGGCTGGCCAAAAAGAGCTTTCCTTGTTCAAGCTTGCGATGTATTTTTGACGATCCCCAATTCTAAGGTTGGGGTCTAATCCTTCTGCAGGCGTGGGCAGGAAACCCCCACACTCCGGGAGGCTAACAAGCTGAAGTCTTTCAGAGATAGGACGTTTCATGATACCAATCGCACTACACCACGAGGTTTCAAATTGCAGGAAAGGGGAAATTATTTGTATCGGATTGCAAGACATCGGCCGATCGAAGCATAGAAAGGGGCACTGTAACCCCCACAGCATGCAATGGCACGGTCAAGTGCCCTTTTTAGTGGGGCATTGGAAAGAATGTGAGTAGTTCTGCGCCTTGCCTGTGAGCCGTGTATGTCTGCAGTGTGGTATGCATAGGGACAGAGCAAAGTACCTGTCAACTTTAGAAGTCAACAGAAAGTGAAACGAGTTGTGGTGCATCGGGTGCGGATTGGCTTCGATCTTCCATTGCTAACGGTAAGCAGTTAAGTCGTCAAGAACTCTACACATTATATTCCCTCTTATCACTTCCAAAGGTTTGTCGATTGCCAAATCCTGAAGTCCTAAATCGTTGCTGACCGAGTGCTGGAATGAAGTCGCATTCTGCTGGGCTATAAGAGGACAAATATTGAAAATCCTCTAGTGCCCGTCTTGTACTCGTGCATCAGCTTCTTCCATTTCTTCAATAAGTAATCTTCCATTTACAGGGATAGATGGAAAGACAACCCTTCGATGACTGTACTAAGTACCTCAACTGAAAAAGACCTCAATTTTTGAAAAGAGAAATATATCTACCTGTAGATGATCACTTCTCAATACTTGCTTGGTTACTATCTGCGATCAACAACCCGAATCACTTTGCGACCAGTCCCACTGCGCTCGAATTCATTGACATCGTTTATGACAACGACCTTGAAATGAGGGTTGGTAATAACCAAAAAGGCAAACTTGATACGCGAGGCCATCTCATCCTGCGGGATGAGTGGCTTTTTTGCAACACCCGGGGACTCTCGCAAAACACGAACCTCCATAAACTCAACACCCTGAAGACCTTCTTCCCAACCGAGTATAATTTGCCACTGGAGAATCCCGTACTCCTCAGTCTGCATCATCTTATGAATTGTGTCGTAATGGAAGTAGTTGGACCCCCAGTTGAAACTGAACTCCTTATCGCGGCCGTAAATACGCAACACCCGCAAATATGGCGCAAGATCTGGTGCGACGAGGTGCTGCTTCTCAGCTGGAATTTTATGAAGTGATCCGATATCACCGGAGTTATATCTAACCAAGGGATTTCGAAGGCGTTGCAGAGATGTGAGCACAATGCGACCAGTACTACCATCCGGAACCAAGTGGCTCAGAGCGGTATTATTCTCGGTTGATGACCGTCCCAGAATTTCAATGTTCATGGTGCGTGTATCATAGATGAATTCTGCTGCATCGCGGGCATTGCTTGGCTTTTCAATATCATCGGTGAGCTGCGGGTTTGATACGGCCCAGAACCCAGCCTCGGCGCTGCCAAGACCAGAATAGATGGTGGGAGAGTTGTAAATTTCCATCAGAAGATCTCGCTGAGATTGTAATAGTGGCTCCGAGGTGTAAAGAATCTTGGTTATGCGGATTTGGCTGCGAACATCCGCTGGAAGACCAGCTATGTGTCGTGACAATTTGATCAGTTCTGTGACCGGCCCAGTGAGAAAGTTGCAGCGGTATTGGATGATGGTTTTAGTGCATAAATCGGCGGACATGTCCCCGCCTGCACAAAGGATTGTCCCGCCAGCATATTCGAGAGCATCCGTCAATAGATCCAGGGAGCTGATGTAGGTAGATTTCGCGTTAGAAAATTCAAGTTTCCCGGTGATCCGGTGATCGATTACAATAGGATATTATAACATACCGATATAAGTACCCAGATACATGGATGTTCAATATCCAATCTGCAGGTTTGACAATTCCGATAGCTCGGATGAGACTACCCACACTTTCCCGTTGTCGTCGATTTTCACCACTGTCAGTCAAGAAGAGCATGGGAACACCTCGTTTCCAGCCGCCACCTGTAACACTGGTGTATGATCCCTCACGGAAGGTATTCTCTGGGGAATCATCTGCTGCCAGACGTTCAATGACGGAAAATCTCCAATTCATAACGTTAGATCACTCGAATATCAAACAGACTTTAGCCTTGTCTGACCGTGGACTTGGGACATACATGTTTTGCTTCTCAATGATTGGATATTGAAGAAGCGTGTTTTCGTTGCATTTCGTTGCAGTTATCGTGGCTGATACTTCTTCCGAAGATAACGGGTATTTCGCATTTGAGTTATAGAAAGGGTGGCTTCGAGCAACTGCGAGGATCTCGCTCAGTCGATAAAAAGGTTTGGCCATGTGGAGTTTGTGTAGAGAGATCCTGAAGTTGAGATTTGAGAAAATTTAAATTTTTACTTAAGCAAGAGCAGAAACATGCTTATGTATAATAGACCATTGTTGACCTACTCCTGAAGTCGTGCGCGCCTGATTATCTGAGGGACCATAGACAGGACGCCCTGGCCATGCCCCTAGCGTCATGCTCGTGGCGATCTTGTACCACCTCAGTGATTTATTACGGAAGAAAACACACATGCAAGTACGGGTGGAAATCTGTTCAGTGAAAGGAGAGGGTGATATCAACGGTGAGTGATAGGCAAGGTATACGATCAGCATGCATGCAGGGTTCATCTACAGATGCTCAGGTGCGAGCATCCATGGATCTACTTGAACAGAAATGTTTTCAGTCACAATTATCAATCATCAAAATGTAATGAAAAGGAAATTTAGAAAAGATCCACGAGTTCCACGATTTCCAAGACTCACACATGTCAATTAATACGGTCATACTCTTACTTAAATACTCGGTAGCATCAACATTTATTTGGTTAAGTCCACGAATCGCATCACCTTTCGCCCTGTCTTGCTTCGTATAAAACCATCTGATTCCACAACAAATTCCAAATGAAATAGCTCACGGTTAAAATCAAACACCCAAAAGAATTCTCTCATTCTCGATGCCAGATCTTGGTCACTGGCGTGTTTTTCGGGTATTTGGAGCCCCCGTAGAACTCGCACATCGAGTATTATACCCGCCCCCTTGGGATGTGTGTGTCGCAAGATTACTTGCCACTGAACAATATTCCACTCACCCTTACTCATGAATGATTGAACAGCTTGGAAATCGAAATACTCCCCATACCATGTAAAGCTGGAGCGTTGATCACGACCGTACACACGAGCCACTTGATAGTGATCGGTGCACCCAGCAGGGAGTTTCGAACGCAACTCTGATGACAGAGGGTGAAGTGAAGCCACGTCGCCACAAAGGTATCTAACTAAGGGGTTCCGTAATCGCTGTAAGGAAGTTTGTACCAGCAGCCCGGTCTGGCCCAATGGCACGTTTTCGGCGCAGGAAGTGAGGCTGCAGGACGTGCGTGGCGCCTTCTCTTGAGAGATCGAGAAGGGAAGTACCTCCAATACCATGGTTCTTTTATCCACAATGAAGTCAGTGTACTTTCCTTTTGGGCTGCCCATCAATGCCGTACTTGACACGCCCCAAGGTCCCGCTTCCGCGCTACCGATGACAGAGCATATGGTAATTTCACCGAAGACCGAGATGAGAAAGTCACTTTGAAGCTCGGTCATGGACTCAGATGTGTAGATGAGCTTGTTGACCCAAATTTCCCCTCTCTGATCATCATCAAGTGACAAAACATAGTTTGCTAGCTGAAGAAGCTGGCTCACATCGCCGGCTACCGCATTCGCGCGAAACTGAATCAGAGATTCTACCACAGCCTGATGCGACATCTCGGGACCGGCACACAAGACGGCGGCGCCTGCATTTTCAAAAAGCTCAGTCATCAAGTCTATTGCTCTAGTTGGCGTTAGGCATTAGCAACAGTATCGCAAGATTCGGATTCAAATACCCACCGGTACAAATGGCCCGAAACGTGGAGCGTGAGAACCCAATCGCCTGATTCAATCAAACCGCATTCACGCAGTAGATTTCCTTGAACCGCACGCTGTTTTCGATTTTCTAGCGAATCTGTCGCAAAGACCATAGGTTTCCCCCCTGATCCTCCTCCTGTTGTACTGATATATGTACCGCGACGATATCCATTTCGAGGGTCCTTATCAACCGTAAGGCGAGCTATGTGCTGGTATCTATTTTTTATTTAGCGCGCTTAAATGGATATTGATATAAAAATGGCGTACAAAGTCTCCTTTTCGGTTATTGGAAATGAGGCTAGTTCAAATGGGCCTTCATTCCCCTCACGGCTAGTTTTGAGTATAGCAGGTATCTCCTCTCGGGTTGGAGGGTATTCGGCATCGGAATAGAAAGGGTGCACACTGGCAACTTTCAGGACGTCATTCAGCGCAAAATAGTCCTGACCAGAGAACATAGTTTATTCAGGATTCAAAATATCGAGAGAACGATAGTATTTACGAGTATGCTAGTGGACTTTTCGCCCTTTAAACGCAAATGATCAACGCCTTGTGCCTGCAATGATGGTGGGCTACATACGAGTAGCAGAGGTTTCAATGCCCCTTACATCACTTTGGTCATACAAAGGAACGCGCTGAGAGCGAAATAAACAACGATAGTGTACTCCGTACCTTAGAAATAGGCAAACGAAAAGCGTCTGTGAAAAGTTCAACCTATGTAGAGACATACACCTGAAAGATTGTAGAAATATCCGGAGAATTGAGAATCCAATTTGTGGAAGATGGAGAAAAGCATTCTGATTTATTGTGCGAAATCTATTTCACACCTTGGTCTCAGTAGCACTAGACGAGATTTAATAGACATACTCGTATGCACTCGACCAAGAAAATTATCCATCCACCGGGTAGATCTTGCATGGCGCGAATAAACACACCGCACAACATGGAATTCAGCAGTACAGAATACTCCGTATAATAGGCGAACTTTCTAAAGTTCTTGAACTACGAGTATTGGCAGAAAAGTCGAGAACACGCAAGTGCATTGGAGGTGCCAGTCCCCAGCGGCAAATGTAGAAAAGTGGACCACTGATCAACATTCTTTGCCCTAATACCCAGCGTATACCTCAAAACAGTGCTACATATTATGTACGTAGGGTACGGAGTACTCCCCGTACTTTTACTGCGAGGGGAATTCAAGTGCCGGGCCGCGTACGAGTACTATACTCCCCACTCCCGGTTGCCCTACCTGGGAACGTGCCGATCCGAGCCTAATTCTTTGCGGTATTGCCGAGGGATATGGTTTTGATCTGCAATTTGAAATCTCGGGTGAAACGTTGCATTGGTATTTATTTGTTCGAATGTGAGCTGCGAGATCGTCAAATCCCACCTCATGTGAGCCGCGTTTGTTTATGTCAGAGGTACATATCCCCTTTGTTTGTCTTGTTTTTCTTATTGGACCACTAATCTATGCCGCTCACTGTACATATCATCCATCGCAAGATTTTAATATCCCAAGATATTGTGTCCCTTTGATTACACCATTTCCCAATCCCTCGGTTGCTACGGAGTACCCGTAGTCGTGCTCAATGCTCAGCAACCCTGCAACTGCTATTCCAGCATCCTCCCTCGCTGACACAAGCAAGCACATTTGAAACCCATCCAGTCATCCCGTCCGACACGGCTTCCCGCATGCGCAGCTCCACACTTCTGGTTCAGCATCTGTACATCAACGATGTGGTACAACTTTAGAACAATCCTCGTGCGTGATCTGTAGGTCTACAACCTACCAAAATCGCACCTGAACCCTCGCCTTGCGCGTATGCGAGTGATCTACAAGCGATCTACTTGTACGAGTAGGCTCAGGGCCACGATCTGCGACAACCGGTCAGTCCACAATGTGTCCCTCTCACTTACAAGCGCATTGCCATTCAGCCGTGCCGACGTTCATAAGCTTACAAGCTAAGTGTATTTATCGTATCACTGATTCCTAAGCCTTTGACTTATATGAGGTTTCTTATCTGATTTTGGAATTACCGACTCTGACTAAAAAAGAGTACATGGTAAGGCGAGTTTTGGTTAACATACATCTAAAGCTATCCATGGATCGAGATTTGGTTGCGGAGAAATTAACATTTCTGGGTGCCCCCTTCTTTGTCTTACCTGCCACCCTTTCCCTTATGTCTGAATAGCTCCTACTTAAGCAAGTATTGAAGACAGTTTTCCACCGTGCAATGACAGCTGGAAGTCAAGGGTTCTACGTTGAGAAATATTCCCGTAATCCAGAATTCTCGCATAGTCCACGTATTGAGGCTCTTTCTATGGCGGCGGTGTGGCGTAAATGTTTCCTGGATCAGCACATGTGCGGCCCGGGAAATATGGATCAGTTCCCGTACTCATCCCTGACCTCCAGCCCTGGAGGGCTGACTATCCAGGGTGAGGCACCGGGGCCTAAATTTTGGAACTTGATGAACCGGGATGATCTACAAAATTTGTGTACATTCCTAAAGTGCACAGTGCAGATCTATGGACCCAAATTATGTTGCAATAGGTGCAGAACAAGAAGTTCATCAAGCAAGGTATCATTTTCTTTCAAGATATCCAGAATCTATATAATATCCTGATATTGTATGAAATTCACCGCTACTTAATTATCGTTGTTCCAAATGTAAAATTTGATGCTTTTAATGCAAAGCTTTAAGGTTTGAATCGGCGCGAAGACGCCATGTGTGTAGATCATCATTTTGGCCCGGGCTCAATACAGCCTTGTACAGCTTCAGGTCTGGTCATCTTTCGGAAAGAATACATAAGATAGATCGTATCTCATTTGAAGTGGCAAGAAACCTTGGAATCTTTATCCGTGGACCTCTCTTTCAAATCATTGCTCGGTTGTGAACCTTGGAGAGCGCTCAAATGACCGCCATTCATCGGACCCTTCGTCTTTCGAGACCCCGTTGCCCTCCGATTTCATTTCATCCACGCCATCGAGCAGGCCCTCGCGGCTCTTGTCAACAATATGCTACCGCGGCGGCTCCAACTGTACCTCACTTGACGGTCCGTGATGTTATTGACTCTCATCAACGGCATCATGTTCGCGATGTGCATGCTCAGCTCCAAAACCAAGGAATCCTCAAGATCACACTCAACTTTTGCGACAAGGAAAGTCAGTATTTGGAAAATCTTATCAAGGGCCTCGGATCCAACCACGGCCATGGCCCTCCTATCACACACAGTGCCAGCCGAGGATGGTACTGGGATGTTCGCCCCAGCAAGGATACATTGCTTCCGATGAGCACGCAAGCGAGGTCAGAGACAATGCGAGAGTTTCCATGGCATACAGACTGTAGCTATGAGCATAATCCTCCGGAGTACTTTGCCCTCCAAGTCTTGCAGCCGGATCGATGTGGTGGGGGCACTCTATCAGTTCTGAAGATTGATCACCTCACTCGATATCTCTCTGGAGCTGCAAAAGCAGCTTTGTTCGAACCAGAATTTCGGATAACGATACCTCCCGAGTTCGTAAAAGAGCCAAATAAGCTGCACATCTTGGGCAGCATTCTCAGCACTGATGAGGATCATTCGACATTAATGCGGTTTCGAGAAGACATTGTCACTCCAGTGAGTACAAGAGCGGCCTCTGCTTTGGAGGAACTGAAGGATGCACTGAAGCATTTGGAAGCATCCTCCCAGGCGGTTCTGCACTTGGAGCCATCTGTATTGCCGGAGAATTCGATCATTCTGTTGAATAATCGGCGATGGCTGCACGCACGCAATAACGTCAAGGATCCTAGAAGACACTTGCGTCGTGTGCGATGGAGTGCAGTTCCTTTCTCCAACAGTATAAGCAGTGGGATGATAGCGGGGTCAGAAGGAGAAGAGAAATAATATCCCTATCTACAATATGTACACATCGTGGCGTGGGAAATACTGAGCGCGTCTGAGATCGCGGGTGTTTGGTGTGTTTGGTTTGGTTTGTCTGTTTGTCTTGTTTGCACTATTCCAGCTGTCTTTCTCCATAGCCGTCCGCTTCTCTCCAATCACAGCTCTCTTCACTCTCAATAAACCTCGCGTCAAGATGTCTCACAAAGGGATTCGTGCATTGGTCGTGTGTACTTGGGTTGGCTCTACGACTATGTCAGGAACATCTTGCTCCAGCTTCCTGAGCTGGGTCTTGAGCAGTCCAATGCCTTCAGTTTAGGCAACTTTTGTTCTGAAAGCAGTGTGCAGTACGGAGCACTCACTCCGTTGATACATCGAATCACATCATTTCACTAAGAGATTGACAAAAATGATCGCCCGGCATATCAGTGTTTGCAAGTGTGGACCCGAGGGATCTACATTCCGGCATCTGCTGTACCTCAGGAACCCAACACCCAGGACCAAAATGCTACGGAGAGTAAGGGGCTACACAACATTCGGGATTTTGCTTCAAGCTTCTTAGGAGTGGATATGAAATGATTCTTCGCCTTTTTGCCAACGCTCAAACAACCCGACATGTCCTTGGTCATCATCCTTCACGCGACAGCGACAGTCATTGTTTTGGCCCTTAGTAGCTCTGCTATCTGGAAGGCCTTCCGGTGGACTCGCGGTGATGTCCACATATATGATCCACTCCCGGACACCAGCCATCAAGACGAGGATGGAGGTGCCAGTGCTGATTTTCAAGAAACATCGGCCACTAGCCAACGAGTGGTGACATTTACGGCATCGGCCTATACCACCCTGGCAATTCTGAAACCAGTGACTTTATTTGCAACTTTCAAATCTTCCCCATTCTCAGGAGTGCTAGCTGTGATCAACGGAATAAGCCTGCTGGCTCATGGGCTCTCACTGCGCCATGATACTGATCTTACCTGCCGCTATCAAAATGGCGTCAGAGGAGCTTGGGCTTGGATCATGACAGGCATCTCATGTTTTGCGGACATTTATGGGGACTTAACTGATGGGCGTACTTCGGGCGCGAATTGCATCCTCGCATTGTCCTCGATATTGATGATATCGCTTGGAATCGGAGGAAACCTCTCTTTCCCACAGCGGCCCAGAGTGTTTCGAAACTCGCATCCTGTGGATGATCAGTACTCTACGAGCATTCTGGGGCAAATCACATTCTCCTGGGCTACATATGTGATACAGTCCGTCAAAGCCAAAGGGAAGTATCTCATTGTTGATGACATCCCCGAAATGGGAGATCATGCACGTGCTGAAACACTGCGAGAATCTTTCAGAGAAGCTCGCTCTGAAGGCGTCCCTCTTTGGAAAACAATCCTTCGCGTCCATCGCGGCGTATTCGTACGACAAATGGCCTTGACCGTCGCTGTATGCTTCCTAAGCATTGTACCATCGCTAGCATTGTTTCAAATTCTTCGCACACTGGAGACGCCAGCGGAGAGTGCCCAAAATAGCTGGCTGTGGTTAAATGTTGCGCTCCTGGCAGCAGGAGTATTGCTCTCCTGCACTTTAGACACCTGGAAATTTTGGTTTTCATACAATTGTCTCTCCCTCAGAACGTTCGAGCAACTTTCCATTGCGGTGTTTGAAAAGAGCATGCGTTTACCTACTGCTTGCATCTTTTCTGATCCTGGATCTGATCCGCAAGACACTGGCGATGGCATGAATCTTCTGGCAGTAGATGCCAAGTATGTCGCTGACTCCCTTTGCTTAATTTATGTGATGTACAAAGCTCCGCTGCAGCTTATCATCTCCGGTGGCTATCTGGCGCATCTGCTCGGATGGCAGAGTCTTGTGGCAGGTATTTTGGTGTTGGTCTCCATGACCCCAGTCAACATTTACGCAGCTCGGAAATACAGCCTGGCACAGCAACTGCTAATGTCCACCCGGGACCGCAAAATCAAGGTCCTCACAGAGGTGATGCACCTCATCCGACAGATCAAATTTTCAGCCCAGGAGAGTCGATGGGAGGCAATAATTGAGAAAAGGAGACAAGAGGAGTTGCGTGCTCAATGGACAACTTTTCTTTGGAGCATCGCACAGGTAGCTGTTTATCTGGCAACGCCTGTGGTCCTGTCGGTTGTCTGTCTCGGAACCCATGCCCTCATCTATAAGTCGTTGTCTGCCCCGGTTGCATTCTCAGCCATCGCAGTCCTCAGTTCTATCGAAATCGTGATGTATGCTTTGCCTGAATGTGTGGCTCGAACCGCCACTGGTTTGAACAGCCTGAAACGCATTGAACAGCACTTGGATGCAAGCGAGAGCAACTATCGATTGGAATCGGATATGGCCGTCGAGTTCTTTGATGCTACCATAGGATGGAATAGTGCCTCTTCAGAAAACCCGGTCCGGTCAATACTCCATTCCATAAACTTAAGTTTCCCTCCATCAAAGCTCAGCCTGGTGACTGGAGCTACTGGATCAGGAAAGAGCCTTCTTCTTGCGTCTATTCTCGGGGAGTCAACATTAATTTCAGGGTCTATACGAGGTCCTAGAAATGGAAAATATGCTTATGTTGCCCAGGTTCCCTGGTTGGCGAATGCCTCGATCAAGGAAAACATTTTGTTCGGCAACTCACTTGACACCATCAGATACAACGAGGTCATTTCTTCCTGTGCCCTTCAGCAAGACCTCTTGTTATTCCCGGATGGAGACTCTACAGAGGTTGGACCAAGCGGTGTTAACCTGAGCGGTGGGCAAAAATGGCGTCTTTCACTGGCGCGCGCTCTATATTCCCCAGCCGACACTCTGGTTATGGACGACATATTCAGTGCAGTGGATGTACACACTGCTAGTCATCTATTCACATACGCCTTGACAGGATCCCTCGCCAAAGACCGGACAAGAATATTGGTTACACATCATGTGTCCCTCTGCCTATCGCATACCGAATATATTGTCTCCCTGGAACAAGGGTCAGTACAGTATGCAGGTCCCGTTTTAAATCGCCACATACCAGTCACGGACGTTGGTGAGCAAAACGAAGCTGGCTTATCAAGCGCGAATGGTCCTGTTCCCGATGAACCTCAAAACCTTGTTAACGACGATTCCAACGCTCATCGGCCGAACAACTCACCCTCCCAATTCGTGGAAGAGGAGAAAAGAGAAGAGGGAACATTGCAATGGCGGGTTTGGAAGGCTTACCTGGCAGCAGGTGGCGGAATGATTGCTTGGGTCTGGGTAATGGCCACTTTTGGTGGATACAGTATGGTGCTGACTGCCCGTGTACGTGTGAAATTCATTCTCCATCCCTGCAGCAGGCTCATCATCTATCTTCATAGGCTTGGTGGCTTCATATTTGGAGCGACGAAGAGGGAAAGTTCCCTTGCAATGCTACAGGGTCGACCGACTGTGTCGATGACCATTTGCTCTTCTACCTAGCAGTATACATCGGTCTCGGTGCTGTTGTCTGTGTTATTGGCACGGTCCGCAGCTACTTTGCTCTCAAGGTTGCTTTGAAGTCGGCAAAGAACTTGTTTCGTGACTTGCTGCATACAATTCTTCATACCCCCCTTCGCTGGATAGATACGGTACCACCTGGCCGTATCATGAGTCGCTTGATTGTCGACATCCTGGTGGTGGACTCTCAGCTAGGAGATGACATTCAGTCAGTTCTTGCCAACGCCTTCGACATGATCCTCGCTATAGCAGCCGGCAGTATTGTGAGTCCTTGGCTCATGGTACCTGCTGCGTTCCTATGCACTGTCTGCGTAACCTATGGTCGGATTTATCTCAATGCCGCTAGAGAGATCCGAAGATTGGAGAGCGTCCTGAAAAGCTCTGTATTTGAGCATGTGCGGGCAACACTCTCTGGGCTCTGGACAATACGCGCCGAAAATAAGACTGCGACGTACGTCAAAAAGGTGACGGAGCAAGTTGATAGATATGCTCGTGCGTACTGGCAGCTTTGGTTATTGAACTGCTGGCTTGCATTCCGCATGGATGTCTTGGGTGCTATTTTCGCTCTTGTTGCCAGTGTCTTGGTTGTGTCCTCGCCTTCTGTTAACGCCGCACTTGCTGGATTTGCTATCAGTTTTGCCCTCAAGATGGCCTCATCTATGTCGCTTACTGTGCGCAGATATGCCGGTCTTGAACTGAGCATGAACAGCGTAGAGCGCATTTTGGAGTACACCGAGCTCGAGACAGAGCCAATCCACAGCGGAGATCACATCCCTCCTGTCTGGCCCAGCAGCGGGTGCGTTGACGTGTCAAATCTCACAGTGAGCTACTCTCCAAATCTCCCACCCGCTCTACATGGTATTACCTTCCGTGTGGGCCCGGCCGAGCGGGTAGGTGTAGTTGGTCGAACGGGGTCGGGGAAGTCATCTCTCATTCTCGCCCTGTTCCGTTTTCTCGAAGCAAGCAAAGGGAGCATCGTGATTGATGGGCTCGACATCTCCATGCTGAAACTGCAGCAAATGCGCGAGAGATTGGCGATCGTCCCACAGGATCCAGCCGTTTTCTCAGGCACAGTCCGTACAAACCTTGACCCCTTCAACCAGCATTCCGATGATGAATTACTAGCAGCGTTGCGGGGTGTGGAGTGGGATGACGATTTGGTTTCCACAAACAGCAACCCAGTCAAGGATGATTCATTTGAACCGGATGATGGACCTGAAAGCTTCAAGAACGAAGACGAGTCATCTATCCCTTTGATGACTATTGAAGACACAACCGCCACACAGAGCCCGACTAGCCCTGGTCGCCTACTCGACTATCCCATTGCAGCGGATGGTCAAAACCTTTCACAGGGCCGCCGACAACTCCTATGTCTAGCCCGAGCCATCGTGCGGCGACCGAAGCTTCTAGTCCTTGACGAGGCTACATCAGGGATTGACGAGTTGATTGATCAAAAGGTCCAATCATCCATTCGCCAAATCTCCAAACTGAACTCCATGAGTCTCTTGGTGGTTGCTCATCGACTCAGCACTATAGTCGACTTTGATCGTATACTTGTTTTGGATGGTGGGCGTGTTGCAGAATTCGGGGACCCTCAGGAGCTCATGCAGCGCCCCAATGGAGTCTTCCGAGCCATGATGATGGAAAGTAATGGAGAACACTCGAAAGCTGCAGAGTGATGGGGGTTTGGCTCTTTTGTTTTGTTTTTTGTACAGTCGCGTGAGGGGACTCCAGCACTAGCGACAACCTTCACGACCCGGGTGGTCTGATTCCAACTAAACGGAGGGCATTTAAGTCAGTGACTAACTACTCGTAGCCCAAACGATGGGGAATAAGAATATGTTGGTAGTTGAACCGCCCTACTTTAGGTAAAAAAGAGCATTTCAAGCCACCCAGTCTTGGCCTTGACATCGGACTTTCCGAATTGGGAAGGTTACCGCGCCGGTGGCGACTTGTTTGTTCCGCCCCCAAACGGGAGAAACCCCGCATAAACTACTCATCGGAAAGATGACCACGCAGTTAGCTACTCCTGCTATTCACAATGGAACTGACATTCTTAGTCGGCTCAGATGGCGCGAATGTGAAACGAGGCCAAGCCCGACGTGCGTGCAACTCCTGCCGTCATAAAAAGGTAAAATCATAGCCTTCAATGGCCCTACCATGGCAAAGATTCAAGCTCATGGTGCTAGAAACGGTGCTATCATAATGAAGACCAGGGTCTCTTCACCCCGGTCCCTTCAATAGGCAGTTCTGCGATCTCAAGCAGTCAAAGTCCGCCGCGGAGATCAAGACGTGATCCAACAATCCGGAGTAGATCTGCATCTCCTCCTCTCATACCAACAGGTGGCACATCACTTCAAGACGTGACAAGTGAAAGCACATCGCCACTCAATGTGTCTCGTGAAGGATTGACGACAGAGACCCAGGAAGAATCCCGTCGCTTTGCCTGTGATTCAAATCCCATGGCGGCACTTGTTGAGAAAGAAGAATCGAGGTTGCATAAAGGCAGATCCAAACAAGGTGATGTGGGTGCGTGGTTGTGTCCGGATGAGTGCTCTATTGAGCAGCCAGGATCGGCCTCGAAGTATGTCCCTCACCCTGGCACAGGACACCACAGGGAGCACCCAATCAATGCCGTTGATACGCAGCATATGCCACCCCAAAAGACCCAGGATCTTTTGCTAGACATTTACTTCCGACGAGTCCATCCGATACTGCCGCTGCTTGATGAAGAGACGACTCGGAGTCAATTCCAAGTCGGCAAGCTGCCTGCTTGCCTTATTCAAGCAATATGTCTTGTTGCTGCAAAAGATCCAACTGCTGCTCACTCTCTATATCTAGGTCATCATGAAGAGCCGGTTTCTTTCAAGGAATTCAGCAGCATCATCTACAATGATCTCTTGCGGAAAATACCCAGGCGCTCAGAAAGAAATGTCCTCACAATCCAGGTTTTGGCTCTGCTATCGTTACATGAATGGGGGGCCACCGGCTCGGAAGACTGCTCCTTGAACCTAGCACAGGCTATCCATCATGCCCAAACCCTGGGGTTTCATTTAATGAGACCCGATCAACACACACTACACTCTTCAAAAGCACTATTTTGGTGTTTATGGAGCCTGGATCGATGGAACGCTGCCATGAATGGAAGGCCGTTGATGATACACGACGGAGACCGAGGCCAAGAGGTGAATGACGTTGTTCCATCATTTGAACCGCCGTTCCAGATCTGGCTTCGGGTTGCCGACAAGTTGGGCGAGGTCATTCACCGTTACCGACCAACGAAGAAACATGCAGACCAGGGAGACCTCGATCTCCCGTCGTTTGAGGAAATTGTTGAACAGTGTGAGGCTTGGGACATAGACGCAGATCACCTTGGTATGAGATCTCAGAAATATGCTCTGGAAATACATCTGACCCAAGTGAACAGATAGTCTTGATTTCATTTATCATTCCGTTATAATTTTGTCGACCCATTCGAATGGTTTGCAAGGGCGTCTGCGACCCCGAATTTCCAACATCCGACAAGACCATTCCATATTGACTCTTGCAACCCTTAGTTGCGATCGTGATATTGGAAAGTTCCTTCCGCTTCCAATGATCGGTTACACTATATCGCTTGCCTTCTCGGTCGCATACAAACAAATACGAGCAAGCAAGTTACCATCAGCTCGCCATACTGCTCTCCCCCGACTTCGTCTTTTTCACCGGTGTCTTCAGAAATTAAGTACCACATGGTGGCCGGCTGCTGTGATGGCTCGCCTGGGCCATCGGGTGTTGAACAACATCCAACCCACCATAGATCAGGAACGTAACACAGATCATGGAATCGATATCACCCGATTGAACTCTCAGCCTGAATCGCACCATCTACCGAACCATCCATCCGACTCAAGTCTCAATCTACCGTCGTACTCTAACTTTGAGTTTGGGGATCCATCTGGGCGAACAGAGCCTAGGTCCGACAGTGCACATCCTCTCAATGGTAACTATTTGGGACCAACTCACCTTTCTCATCTGAATGAGTTAAACAACGGCCCTTCATTATCAGCAGAGTTGGAGGAGTTTGATCTCTTCTTTGGCAATTTCCCCGATCTCAATTTCCCAAGCTGTGCGAACGATCCGTTGTTGCTAGACCTTGACGTCGGCGACTTTGATTTTGTCACTGACAGACCCCCATGAACCTCGCATGTATAATACTTTTTACTCGGTCGGCAGACCCTTGAAACAAAAGGTTGAGTCATGCAGCAAGACTTTTCTTGCATGGCTTCGGTTATAGCTAGGTCTAACATGTTCCCATGATGGGGAGACCTCAGCCCTTGTCCGACACTCAAGAAGTGCAGATGATGCTAAGTTAGACTTTAGTTGGTTGTAAAAGTCTCATCAAATGGAGTTCAATCTGACTTAAAATCGTTTAAAGCCTCGACCAGGGATCAAGTAAGTAAAGAATAACGCGTAAGTAGAGTTTGAGAAAAGCCAAGCTTCAGCGGAATGCTCGATACAACGCGTCGGAAAAGCTCAACATAACAGACCAATGTAGTGATGTATATAGACAGGAACACAAGAATGTCGGTATTTCCTCCCGTGGCGAGGAGCTACGTTATGGGGTCTGCTTCCCTGAAATCTCAATTCCGACCCCAGTTAGGAATGTCCGCTCCAACGCGACCACACGAACTATAAAGACAACAATGCGCCATGAGTTATTCCCCGGAATCAATTCGCCGAAATTAATTATTCATTCTTAACATGTCTTTTCAAATGCCCGTTGAAGCTTTGACAATGTTTCGAAAGCAGATTTCTGGGTCTGATCTGAGGTAGGGTTGTCCCGGCTCAAGCCCTGGAGAATGTTCAATGCTGACCAAATCTCCAGTCTGGACAAAACATGTATTTTCATCTCGGAAGAGACCAGTCCATGCTCAGTTTCAGGAAAGTTCAATCTTTCTCTGGCCCATGAGACCTCCTTTAAGAGCATCAAGGTGAGGCTGCGGGGAACCATGGCAATGTAGGACTTTCTTCCACAACTCTCGTTGTTGACTTCTTTCTCACTTGGTTTATAGAGCGCTCGAAGGAATCCTGGGCACGGAGAACCGAGAGCAACTCACATTTGACCAACACCAAGCGCTAGCGTCTTCAAAAACCAACTTCCGAATGCCGCCCGGTGACCATTCATTCCTGTTCGATATCCCACTTCCATGTAAATTATTGGAAACAGTCACCGGCCCGAAGCATCAATTCCACACGTACAGGGTAGATGTTATCCTTGAACGACGCCTCAAAAGCGACTTGGTGGTATCACAGCCCATTAGGATTTACCACATCTCCGATTTTAACTCAAGTTACCTCAGGCCATATTGTCCACTGGTATGTCATGTGCCGCATCTTTGAGAAAAAGAATATCAAATGCTAATTTGTGTAGACACTTGAAGGGCATACAGACAAAGGCATTCAATATTGTGTTTCGATCAACGACCGAAATGTACCATTTGGCTGTTCATTCCCCGTGGAATGCTGGTTTGCGCCCTTGTCAAAGGAAATCAGGCTCAATTCTGTTACGATCAAAGTGATCGAGAAGCAGACCGTAAGACTTGAAGCGACAGCCTCGGAATCAGTGCGACACAACATCCACTTCCTTACAGAAGCGCATAGCCAAACAGTGTTCTCCGAGAGTCTTGATTTTGCCCAGGGAGAACAAAACCCAGAAGACGACTCGGATATCGAATGGCGGTTCACGCAACCAGTGTGTCTACCAAAGAGCTTGAATGCTTGCTCACAAAGCATCTCAAACAAGTACATCAAAATCAACCACGAGTTGGTGGTCACAGCGCAGTTTAGCAATGGAGCCGAGCAGAAGGCAAGCCAGGTATGGAGTTCCCCTTGAAGATTCGTCATTTTTATCTAACACAGATACAGCTTAAGTCGGTTTTGCCTTTCAAGATCTACATGACACCACATATAACAAGCGACGGCTCCTCCGTCGACGGGCAAGACATGCAGCACATGCACAGCAGTCAATGTCCACCCCCAGCCTATATCGACCACTACTCAGATCTTGTCGTTCCAGATGTCGCTGATGCAGAAATATTTGAACATCCCATGCTTACGGAAATTGCTTCTCCTCGCTCGTCCAGTGAGCAAAGCACGCCTATTCTGGCGGTGCCACCCGCACCCCTTTACGAACTGGCTGTCTAGTCACGGTTGAGCGGACTTGAAATGTTGATTTCTCTCTATCTGTTTCCTCTTTCCTCGTCACTCATCTTCTCTCCTATTTTCTTTCGGCATTTGTGTCGCCGTTTTATTAATATCTACCAAACCCCCTGGGCTGGGCTCTTGAGCCTTGAAGGCTTCTTTCTGCTTCCGTCCAAACTAATTCTCTCCAAGAGCCTGAGGCCAAACGAATCTATGTCTTATACATCATGCTCCGAAAGCCCCCTTTGGTCATGTGCATCAAGCTTTCTCTCACCAAACAATTTCTCTCTCGATTTATCTGGGCAACAATCGAATTGGGTAGACTAATCCTGAATCCAGTTTGAGTTATCTTTTTCATAGATACAGCGGGTCCATAAACCAAATTCAAGGATCAATCAGACCTTAAATAAGTTCAGAGATGACAAAAGTGGTGCTTGGGCTGGAAGATACAGAAACAGTTACAAAGGGGCAGAGCGGCCAGGTCGACAACACCGGGTAGTGGGGCGGAAAGACTTGGCAGTGAGTAGGATTGGTTGGATATGTGACAAAGATCCACTTGTAATAAATGTAACAAGCCTGGTTGGCCCAGTGGAAAAGGCGCTGCGGGGGCGGTTCTAAGCCATCCCGGTTCTGAACCGTGTAGTGGCCTGCCTTTCGAGAGACCCTGGTGAATCCAGGACCGGGCACTTCTTTTTGTCTCATTTTTCATTTTTCATTCTTTCTTTTCAAAAGACAAATAAAGTGTTTAGACCTGACCGCTCTCCCTCTTCGTATAATACCTCCAAATTGAACATTATTGCATAGATTGAGCTTCGACATGACAGCGGATCCCACGATCCACCCTGATCAGCGCCTCCCCTAGCTGATCAAGTCTGACGCCATAACAAAGGCGAAACCACCCTAGTTCTTGGAAGTGGTAGCTTGTTCCAGAGGATAGCGATACCCCATTTAACTTAAAGCAGCGCTCGAGACTCTGCTCCTCTTCAATGCTTGTCACGGGGAATAATCTTGCAAAAACAAACATGCCGAACGCCCCAGGGATATACTCAATTCCGTGTGATTTGAAGAACGATGTAATGCGCTCGTATGAAATCTTCAAATGTCTTCCTCCATGATCGCTGATTCTCATGATACTGTCATCCCTGAGAAGAGAATTGTACGCAAAGGATGTAGACATGGATGAGACTTGGCTGTGGAGACTCAAAGCTGCACTGAGGCGAATAGGTTCATTTCGTGTGATGAGTGCACCCTGCAGAAGCACAAAGTCAGAACGTAAATCATGTACAGTACTTCTTTCTGTTTATTTGACTTACGAGTCGTATGCCACTGCAGCCGAAATCCTTGCTGAGGCTGTACACAACATGAACCCTCTCGCTCGTCTCGCTCGTACTCAGTTGAAGAATTGACGAGAAGGGAATGAACCCATCAGGTGCGGGCTGGTGAGCGGACAGCGCATACACCTCATCGGAGATATAGTGCAAGTCGCGACGCTGACAAAATTCCAGCAAAGCCTGCAATGTCTCGCGTGGATAGCATTGGCCTAAAGGATTATGGGGGTTGCAGACAAGGACGGCTTTGATGGGGATAGAAGAGTTGTCCGCAGCAGACTCGTAGTGTCGAACGCTGTCTGCGCTGAAAAATTCTGAAAGAGGCACATGAACTGGGACAACCGTTGTATGGCCATGAATACTGATTGAAATATCGAGTCCTGCCCAGTATGGTGTTGCGATCAAAATCCCATCTCCTGGGTTGCAGATCTGCTCAACAAGAGCAGTCAAAGCAAAACTTCCCCCCGCCGCAAGAACAACATGGGACGTTTCTACCGGGATTCTGGGGTAGAAGTATTTGTTGAATAGCTTTGCGAGAAGGCTCCTGGTTTTTGAACACCCGCCAATACCGGAGGAGTAAGACAGATCCTTCGCCGATCAAATATCAGTGACTGACTTTATCGAATGCACCGGTCTGGAGTGACTAACTTCTTCAGTTTGTTTTCCCTCGGCTTCATGGAGCAGTTCCAACAAAATCTCTTTGACGTGCCAATTTTCTGCCGTGCTCAAATCGATGGCTGAACTACTTCCCGAGAGAACTGCATCGTGCTGCCTGAGAAGACTTGGGATGATGGTTTCGTTTCTAGAGGTACAGCGTGAGGATAGCATGTCGTCCGATCTAAACGAAAATACGTATAAGGAGATGATCCTGAATGACCAGAGGGCTATGTCTTAGTCCAAATTCAATTTTCTGCTAATATTTTGATTGAGAGTTTGATGAAGGGACCTCCGGAGTCTATCCCCACATAAGTAGATTGGCAGGATCATTACCTGCCCTAGGAGGGATTTAGTCACCGACAGGTGCACTTAAGTACCGATTGGCGTAATATTTCATTATCGGCTCTGGGTTCCGATTCCCACGTAAGTAAATTGAGTTGCTATATTATCTCGGGACCAAAATGCCACTTTAACAGAGGAACGACTGGAAGACCCCCAAAGACCCAATCAAACGGTGGGGTATTGGCATCATGGCACTGGTACTATGGAACTCGATGTAAAGTTTTCTTCTCTTTATGGTCGTTTTTTGAATTCTTTCTAACACAATGTAGACTTTCCCTCCTCCCAAAGAACTGGATATTTGAAGAAAAAGTGAGCGTTATGCCCATCCTTTCGATGCTCAGTCCAGAGCTGACCGTGCTTATCAGACAGAACTAAATGAGTCCCCCCGTCCGAATCTGGGGAAAGATGCCAGTCTTTGGAATGACGAGGTCGGGACGATGCTGAAAATGATGCTTGAGATGGCTGGCTACCCGGAGAACTCGAGGAAAACTCACTCCCACTTCTTTCAGGAATCAGTGTCTCATTCCCTAGGTCAGCACCCGAGAGGCACTGGAGCACCACATTGGAAGAGCTTCATGACAGACGATCATACACCCGTCGAGCTCAGCTGGTGCTGGTCAAGTCAACTCGATACTCCAACCGTTCGGTACTCAGCGGAGCCTGTGGGGAAATGGGCAGGCCAGCCTGCTGATCCCACCAACACAGCTACCAGTCTGAGACTACTGGGTGACGCTCTTCAAGTATCTCCAGAGATGGACCTCTATCTACATCGACATTTTCAACGAAAACTCGTGTCAAGCCAAACAAACGCGAAAGACACGGAGCAAAACCCCCACTCGCAACGTTTCATCGCCTTCGACCTACTGGAGAATACAATCATTGTCAAGCAATATTACTTGCCATTTTGGATGGCCATCGAGAAGAAAATGTCGAAGTTTGCTCTTGTCGCGGATGCTATTCAAGACATTCCATCATTGGGAACATCCTTGTTGAGTTCCTTCGCGGTATTCACAGATTTCATTAAATCATTTCCCAGGGATGCGCGCCCGGAGATCGAGATAATGGCAATTGATTGTCTTGATCCTTCCAAGTCGCGAATCAAGGTCTATATTCGATCACAAGAAACAACACTACAAAGCGTGTTGGAGATATTGACCATAGGGGGGAAATCACCCAAGACCCTGGAAGAAGCAGATTCCTTAAGAGAATTATGGCATTCTGTGTTTGGCCTGAGTGAACAGCAGAGTGATCAAAACCCACTTCCAGAAAACCACCACCGCACTGGGGGTATTCTCTACTACTTTGAATTCAAAAGTGGAGTCACTCTGCCTAAGACCAAGGTCTACCTCCCTGTGCGCCACTATGCACAGAATGATGGGCAAATTGCGAGAGGTCTTTCGGAATATCTTGACCGCAGAGGAAAACGATTGGCGAGTGGGTCTTACGTTGATGGAGTGCAATCGCTTTGGTGAGCCTGCAACAATGAAGAGAGAGGAATTTGGGTGAAAATACTGACAATCCATCTTTAGCAAACACAGAAATCTGTGTGATGGACTTGGACTTCACACATATATCTGCTGGGCGTCGGAGAACAGCTCTTGGAATGTGACTGCATATTTCAACCCTGAAGTCTACCACCCAAATCGTGGCTAAGGCTAAATGTCGAGTCTATCACGAGTTCACTTCCAAGCCCTGGAAGTTAGGTAGTTCCAACATTGAAATTTTGGCAAGATAAATTTCCAACAAATATGAACGATAGATTAGCCGAGGAGTCGAATAATTTTTCCAGCCTATGCTTGTTCGTCTTTGATTGCCTCGCCTTTGTATTCCTGCTAGTAGATATCCACGAGCACCATGTTAATGACCTATAGACTCATCGAATGACTCAGAAATAAGTATAACTTGATCCTTGAAATTGACAATCAACCTGTCATTGTGGGATGTATGGTTTGTCTGATTGATCTCAAGCTATATTCCAATCGTGGAGGTTGATAGCTGGAGAATTGATCATACTTCAAGATGGGATGGTTTTATTTAATTATCTTGAGGTTGGTTCCCGATGTCGGAGTCAGACCTGTGTAGACAAATGTCTTGTTTGCTTTATTGCTCTCTCTTCTATATCTTCTCCCGCTTCACATTCTTCTCTGCATTTCCACCACACAGCAAATACAATACAGATATTGCGCTGTGCCTCATTTTCGATATTCATTAGCCCTTGGAGTTCTATTTGACTCCAAGATTTACCTTACCTACTGAGAAGATACCGCCACGAGGATTTGAGACTGCCCTCAAAATCACTTCAAAGTGAAACGGAGGTGCCCGACGACTCTTGATTCTTGACCCCACATCAACCCTACCACACCGAGCTCGAAATCTTTGTACGCTCCAGATCTATCATCAAGTCAACCTCAAAAACAGGTAGAACCGCAAGTGGCCCTCGAGGCCATCCAGAAACCGGCACGCGAGCAAACCTTATCACAGCCCCGGAGAAGAAACGTCCTGCCTACCTTGACTACCCGAATATCATGGCTGATTACGAAAAGGATTATGACAGCGAGGAAGTGACGGATCAAGAATATGGCCTCCCGGATTGGAACTCATAAATTATTATTCCTTCGCCGGAAATCCAAAAGCTAAAGTTTGACGGATCGAATCTCAAACAATGGAAGCATGGAATATGGTCATATTGCACAGTCTTCAACGTTGCTCATGTCATTTGACAGGACCTACCTCGCCCTATCGACGGGGAACAACGAAGGAATTGGCGACACTGGTCACAAATTGTCTGTTCATGGATGTATCTAACACCCGACGAAGACATCCCCAAATTTATTATGGGGGATTTGGAGGAGATGCCAGACCGAGCGGATGATATGATGTGTGCCATCAACTTCTACTTCGAACCGAGGTTGTAAAAGGCCAGCTACGAGCATACGCGAAGGTCACAGCGACACTTAACCTACGTGGCGCGGGCAAGCCTATCGGGGTCCACAGGAGAGCGAGGGGAGGAATACGAGTACGATCATGAACAAACATGGGAAGCTGAATCAGTTAAAGGGGTTCAGGAAAATCGGCAGCTATTTTCATTTTGAACCTAAGGAGTGGGTGATGGGTCTAAGAAGGGAGTTTTTGAGATCCTCGATCTTGGTGGTGAGCCTTTCTTTGCCCTGCTGCTCTCTCTTCTCCCTGATCCCCCATGCTGAATACATAGTGAATACACTATCCACTATCCGCCGTTCTCTGTGTCGCCTGTCTGATATCTCTCATTTAGTGCCCAGGGGTCTCCGATTCAAAGCCGCCGTTAGGCTTGTTAGGCCTTATTCATTCCCAAGATCACGAACACTGCGCTGTAGCTCCATGAGTGTATTAAAATCCATGCCCAACATTGCAATTATCCACAATGGCTTGTTCTTTGCAATTTCCTCGGATGTGATACCACAGTTTTCGGTACAACCTGTTCTGTGTATTTTTCACTTCTATCTCCCATTGTTAAACTCCCGAAATTGGGCAAACAAACCGGGTTTCTAGGCCACTCGTAGAACACGCAGAATTTGCATATGCCGGGTCGGATTTCCTCTAATTCAGGAGAATTCCAAATTGTGCCCTTGGTGGCGTGGGGGACATTTTTCCAAGTTTTATTCGCCGAATGTGGAGGACGATCGGTCAGTATTTGAGTGCCTAGCGCCCTTGGACACCGCGACCAATAAAATACAACTCAAGTCTACACACACATATGCAGAAGTTAGCTATGAACTATCTCAGTGGGAGATGCATGACTGGAACCGACAACGCAACTCTGGACCTTACGCTGATAGCGAACCGTTGACGTCTCTTTTTTCAACATAAGCATGGAATTCTTCAATACGCAATGGAGTATTGCTCTCTTGGTAGTATTCTTCATTTTATTGGCTTTCATGCACAGATATGATATCATCAATACAATTGTATGGATTTCTTGCTGACTCGACGACTAAAGGGGTACACATGCTGACTTCTGATAGATATCAAACGTGATTTACCCAGTCACAAATCATCGAGGACAAACGATCCAGGGTCCCAAGTGGCAGTCAATCAATGGCCAATGCACCGAGAAATTTCTCAACGGACGAAAAGTCAGCCGAGCGTGCAGTCAATATGGGTCGGTCTATCGAATTTGGTCAGGCTGTACTCCTGAAATGTAAAAAATCCCCAAAAATGCAGCAATCATCTCTCTTCGATACTAACATAACATCGCCCAGTGTTCTGACTACACCCGAAGACCTGAAACAGTTCCAATCCGACTCTGCGTTGCACAAAAAAGCACCTTCTAGCAATGGAGGGTGGTTTTTCCATCAAATATTGGGAGACTGTATGGGCTTGATAAACGGGGATCGTTGGCAAAACATCCGAGCTCAATTCCATCCTCACTTCTCGCATGGCTCGGTCGCCAAATCTTGGGGATTTCTTCAGGATTTCACCGGCGATTATTTTGACAAGCTGGCAGCCGAGACCAAACAATCCGAGCTGCGACCCGTTACTTCTTTCTCTACTTTCCCGTTCTTTGCTACTGCGGAGTATCTTTATGGACCTCTGACGAAAACAGAAAGGGGGGAGCTTTGGCTTCTGGGGCAGCGGAGCCTGGCCCTCATGGGCTGCGTCTTGGCAGGCGGAGTATATCGATCCCGACTGTGTCGCTGGTTGAAGCCAGCACACTACCGACAACTCACATCTTTCGAAAAGGATTGGATCCATTTCAACCGAGCAATCGTTGAAACGAGAAAAGGTTGGAGTGGTCCCCTGCCCCCAGTCATGGAGGCATGGAAGGCCGTGGATGAGGGTACAATCACAAAGAAAGAGGTGAGCAGCATCTTATTGTAAGTTGCATTCGTGATTCCAAGCTAACTCGACTTCGTTTAAGATGGTTCAAACTTTGAGCGAAGTGCTATTTGCAAATCTTGACGTATCAACAAATGTCTTGAGCTGGCTGATCACGTTCCTTGCCGAAGATACAGCTATACAGCAACAGCTAAGACAAGAGATAACATCGAACGCCGAATCCTCTGAAGAGCTTTGTAAAAGAAACGATTCTCTACTTCATCTGTGTTTCCTGGAATCTCTTCGACTTCGGCCATTTACCGGTTGGACTCCCTACCCCAGGGTATTCCAGTACTAATGCCTGTCAGTCTTCACAATCCCGGAATATTCACCCCAAACAAAAGTACTTGGAGACTTCACAATCCCAGCAAATGTGAGTATTGTGGCCTAATCGCAGGAAAATCTACTGATTGGCTTGCTAGACAAGCGTTGTGGTCGACACCCTGGCAATCAATCACAATCCCCATTTCTGGGGAGACGACAGTCACCAGTTCAGGCCTTGGAGGCTGAAAGGTATATCTACTACTAATGTAAGAGCAAAACCTTCTGTCTCTGTCCGCTCGTTCTATCTGCTAATCTCGCGAAGCTTCGATACAACCTGTTCACTTTCGGGTTTGGTACAAGAAAGTGCCTCGGGAAGCACTTTGCGGAAGCAATGATGAAGAAATTTGTCTGCGAGTTACTTTCTCGGTATGAGATTCGAGTTCCAAAGAAGGGTAACCATGACTTGGGTTCACAAAAGATACAAGCGACATGGGTGCCTCTCTCTAACATAGGAATAGCTTTAATTCCGGTCAAAAATGGTCGTATTTAAAGGTCTATACAAAGAATGAGAGGCTTATAAACGGAATTGACTCGGTCTACACATTTTGATTGAATAGAACATGTATTAATAAGAATATACTTACTAACTTCACTTTGTACTTCAGTATATTTAAGTAGATCCCGCAAATAGGCGACTTCTCGTATATCTCCACTGATAAGCGTGAGGGGTGAACCCCTCTCTTCCTTTGGAGTATTTCTCAACTTTCTTACAACACTTTCTATCTCAAAACTCTGGACTTGAGAGATTCCACGTTGATATATAATTTGCAATTATCTCCATCATGACACAGTACGAGCTCCCGTTCAAGGTATGCCTCAAGACTCCTTTGTCCATAAGTATATGTGACTCGGCGAGATGTCCGAAGTGACCCTCAGAGCTCACTCCCAATTTTAATCAGTTCTTGAAACTGACAAGCAGTCAAGCTAGCAGATCCCAGTCTTCTGCAATTCGACTCCTACGTTGGCGAGTCCTGGGTAGCCGCAAAGAGTGGCAAGCGCTTTGAAGTCCTCGGTACGAAGTATAGAAAACCCCCCATTTCTACCGCGGCTAACTGTTTCCCCGCATAGACCCCGGCACCGACAAGCCATGGGCCAGCTGTCCTGCTAACTCTGCTGAAGACGTTTCCGCAGCCGTTGAGACTGCCCACGCCGCATTCGAGAAATACCGCAAGATCAATCCTCGCCAGAGAGCCAAATGGCTCCTCAAATGGCACGATCTGACTCTCGCCGCGCGCGAGGACTTGGCTCAGATCGTGACCCACGAGACGGGAAAACCGTTGGCTGAAGCATATGGCGAGATTGACTACTCACTGGGATTCTTGTGGTTCTTCTCTGGGGAATGCGAGCGAATCCAAGGCACCGTCTCGCAGGCTGCGGCTCCCAACCGCCGCTTGTTCACAGTTAAAGCGCCCATCGGAGTGGCGGCAGCGTTGACTCCCTGGAACTTCCCTGTTGCGTGAGTCTTCATTTCTTCCCCGGATACGGTCCACCGCTAATGGAATAGTATGGTACTACGAAAGGCGGGCGCCGCTCTGGCTGCTGGATGTACTATGGTCGTGAAGCCTAGTCCCGAGACACCAATCTCCTCACTTGCTCTGGCGGTGCTGGCTTCCCGAGCCGGATTCCCCCCAGGCTGTATTAACATCTTGACCACTGATCTTGACAACACCCCAATCCTGAGTGAGACCCTGATCAAGCACCCACTCATTAAAAAAGTGTCCTTCACCGGCTCCACACGGGTCGGAAAATTGGTAGCGTCACACTGCGCCCAGGGATTGAAGAAGGTGACCCTCGAGCTGGGCGGCAATTGTCCATTCATCGTTTTCGATGATGCCAATCTCGACCAAGCACTCGAGCAACTGATGGCTCTCAAATGGCGACACGCCGGTCAGGCCTGTATCACCGCCAACCGAATCTATGTGCAAGCAGGAATCTTCGACCGCTTTGCAGCGCTGCTGAAGGAGCGCACTGCTGCGCTCGTTGTCGGCCACGGCACAGCCCCTGACACGACCATGGGACCCCTCACGACTCCCCGAAGCATCGAAAAAGCCACGGCTCAAGTTGAGGATGCTCGTCGTCTCGGTGCCGACGTCCTCTTGGGTGGTAACGCTCTCGCCTCCAAACCGGGCTATTTCTTCGAGCCGACTATTCTCTCTGGCATGACGGAAGAGATGCTAATCTCGAAGGAAGAATCCTTCGCCCCTATTGCGGCGCTGTACCGATTCGAGACAGAGGATGAAGCAGTCAAATTGGCCAATGACACCAGCATGGGTTTGGCTAGTTATGCGTTCACCAAGAACATCGATCGCATGTGGCGTCTGTTGGAGACCTTGGAGGCAGGCATGATTGGAATGAACACAGGTTAGTTTTTCTCCGTTTTCTTGCATAATTCTACTAACTTGCTCTGTAGGCAACCAATCTGCTGCTGAGTCGCCATTCGGTGGCATTAAGGAGTCTGGATATGGAAAGGAGAGTGGAAAGGATGTGGCTGTCAATGAGTATTTGATCACCAAGACGGGAACTCTGACGCTCGAGGGACACTATTGAATCCATCAACGTTGATGGTCTTTCGGGTTATTCTCATATATCTCGGTTTACTGTATTGCGACCTGAATTGACATGCTTTCATGAATCTATTATTTCTTTCCAACGAGTGACTCACTTGAAATAGAAGAAATAGTAGAATGAAGTCGGGATATCGTGGGACAACTCGTGATATCTGTATTAAAAATACAGATCCTGAATATTTCACCCGCTTCACACCTATTTCCACAGATTTGCAGGTATGTGGTTGAAATATTACCGTAATGAAAATTCAGATAGTGTTCAATTACCTCGAACATCAGCAATGGGCAGGAGTCTTACGCTGAACGAGGTCTATAATGAAGTCAAAGAAACACACAAAAGTAGAAGGAATTGGGGTATATTTGCGGTAAAGGGATTTGGTTCTCGGATGGCGGACACCTTTTTTGAAGATTTCCTTCTTCCACCTTGCCATCTCCGCGACTTCACTCTGATATAAGTCTAGCTTCTCGCAATGGAACCTATTGATGTCCTCCGAGAGACAATCTGGTTTCATCCACTCATTGATAGCCATGCCCACACTGTGCTGAAAAAGGACGACGTCCATTATGGCCTCGAGACACTCGCATCTGCAGCTAATGGGGATGCAGTTCTGAATTCCGAGACTAGCTTACCAGTCCTGCGAGCCTTCAGTAACCTAAGTGTGTTCTACGGTAGCCGGTGTGCTAGCTGGAGCGATGTCGAGCAAAACCATGAAGACGAATGCGATGACTACGAGGATCTGGTTCAGCGGTGTGTGGGCAACACCGCTGCCTTTTTGTTGGATGATCATGATCATCTCCAATTTTTTGAAGACGCCGAGGGTTTCAAACCGTTTGATTGGCACGATCGCTTTACCACCTCGCCGACCAAGCGCATTGTTCAAATTGAGGGCCTGGCAGAGGCTGAGATCCTCCACATCGCCACAACCGAGCGCAGGCAGGGTGAAACGGTGTGGGACAGATTCCGCAAGCGATTCCTGGATGCTCTCGACCGAGCAATGGAGGATCCGAATGTCGTTGCTTTCAAGACCGTTATTTGTTCTCGCACTGGTCTGAACGTGGATCCACATTCCTCTGACGATACCACTCTGGCTGGCTCTTTGATCCGCACTCTCGACTTGGGCACCCGCAGTTCCGGGTTCAAAGTTGAGGATAAACCACTGTGTGACTGGCTGGTTCAACAAACCTTGAAAGCTATCTCGTTGACGCGGAGAAAACCTGACAGTACGGCCCAGGCTCTCCAATTCGATGTTGGATTGGGGGAAAATTCTATGAGCCTCGAGCGAGCGAATCCCGCATGCTTGCAGCCTCTGATCGCTCAATACGAGGCGTCCCAAATAGTTCTACTTCATTCTGCATACCCTTTCACACGTGAAGCGGGATACCTGGCCAGCGTCTATGACAATGTCTACCTATGCTTGGGTGGACCTTTCCCCATGATCAGTCGTGATGGACAGGAGAAGATCATCAGGGAGAGTCTGGAGCTCACGCCCAGCAATCGTCTGCTTTGGGGAACAGACAGCGAATGTCATCCAGAGGGCTTTTGGCTGGCCAATCAGCAATTCCGACAAGCTCTTGAAAATGTCAGTTACAAGCCCATTCCCTCAAGCCCCGATCTCAAGAACTAACATGCACCTGAATTCAGGTCCTCGTTGACTACGTTAAACACGATGACTTCGACGCTCATCAGGCCAAGAAGATTGCGCTTGACATACTCTTCGACACCGCAAACACGTTATATCACTTGCGCTTGAGATAGAAAATCACATCTCAATCCTGAGTCTGTGATCAATGAGAATTATTTGTATATTTTCCTCTCAAATTATATAAACCATGACTTTTAGCCAGCGTTCATCCTAAATCGTATATCTTGCGAGACCAGCAAGAGACCCAACACCTCCAGTATCAATGTCTGTCAAATCTGTCGAAAAATCCCAAGAAAAGAAAGCACACGCACACCAAAGCAGCTGAATCGATGCACGCCACGCAATGTTGAGTATCACGCAAGAATCGAAACGCAAAAAAGACAGAAAAACAGGAAAGAACCTCCTAAAAAAAAGCGAACTCATTTAACTCCGGCCGTTACTGTTCGTGTTTCAGGTACCGGCTGTACTCCGGGAGTGAGTGATTTGAGAATCTTGGGGTAAGGGGAAAGGTATATGCGAGAATGGAAGGTCGAGGAAGGGGAGAAGAGCAGATAGTTCAAGCAGTCATCACGTGTATTGTCTGATATGATAGTATTGACGGTGTTATAGTAACAAGATCAATCCTAATCATTTGATCAGAGTAAATGACGATTGAACATCTTGGGGATATGGTGGAAATAGCCATAGAAAGAGGGAGAAGAAGAAAGGTAAAAAAAAAACAAGAGACGGATCAACGCCTCCCATTTCAAAAACGGGGCGTGGCGTGTGGGAACTGGAGGGTAGAGAAAGGGGTAGTCCAATCGGTCAAGAAATGAGATACAGACTGCGAGGGCGATAGACAAGAACAAGAACGCCAAAGTCGCACGCCAACACAGAATGACAGAAAAGTAAACTAACTCAGGGCGCATTATTGCGCTCTGCCTCCATGCCATCCTTTTCCCATTCATTCAAAAGTCGTGAAACTTCTCTGAAGGACACTGGCTTTGTGAGGAATAGGTCCACACCAGAAGCCAAGGCTTCAGACTCGTCACGCGAGCTACTCAGGCCTGTCAGAGCGATGATGATGGCCGGCTTGCGACCATCTGAATCTTTCTCTAAGGAGCGGATGGCACGAGTGGCTTCGAAACCATTCATAACAGGCATGGACATGTCCATGAAGATGATATCATAACCACTCTGCAGGCGCTCGACTGCCTCGACTGCTAATTTTCCATTGTCAGCAGCATGCAGCTCGATGAGCTGACGTTTCTTGAGGAAAGTCATCATGAGATTGAGGTTGATTCGATTATCATCGACAACCAGCACCCGTGCTAGCCGTGTAGATGGAACCGAGCCCTCCGATAAAGGTCCTGGCAAGGGGGCCTGGGCGATATCCTCCGGTAGACCGGTGATTACCGAGGGCCCTTGAATGGGTGAAACCTGCATCGAAACATTGCGGGTTCCCGCATCGTCCAATTCTGCAGCACTCAATTCAGGCGCACTCGTCACATCAGCGAAAGAGGCATTGGGAGAAATGATCGCAGACGGCAATGAAGAAGTGCGGATAGGTAGGCTCATGGGGTGTTTGGTTGAAGCCGGTGTTCCTGATCTCGAGCGCTCCACAGGCCTTAAGCAGCTCATCACACTACGAGCCAACTTGTGAGGTCCACAGGGACGTCGAATAATATTCACGGAGGACGCAAGAGGTAGCCATTCAGATCGAGCCCCACTGTAATCTACCGATTTGTGACAGAGGACAAGGAGAGCGGGTAAGGTAGCAGAAGGCTCTGTCTCGATAAATTTAGGAATATCAGACTCATCCATCAGGACAATATCGACATGAGAATCGCGAGACCACGAGACGATCTCGATGTCATACCAATCCGTAAGGTATCGACCAATTTCAGACCAATTGGGGTTTGGAGACACCTCCGCGGGTTCGACGCCCCAAATGGCTGCTCGCTTCCCAGGGTAACCCTCACGGAGCAAGAGTGTTTGTGTCAGAAGTTCACGCTGTTGCATGAGCTGCCCAGACGGTTTTATGGCCGGGCTTTCCTTTCCAACGGGCCGCCCGAGGGGAAGGGATACGTGTACAACAGTGCCTTCGCCAGGGCGACTGCGTATGCGAATTGTCCCGTTCAGAGCCTTGACCAAGCTTCGAACAATAGACAACCCTAGCCCAGTTCCTACTGCCAATGAGTCCTCTTGGGCAAAAGGCGTGTAGAGCTTTCCACGCAGGAACTCTTCTGAAATTCCCTTGCCCGTATCGGTGATTGTCAATGTGACTAAGTCTTCGAGACCCTGTCGGCGAGGTTTTCCTTCGGATTGACTGGTCGCTGCTAGGGACAAGGTGACCCGGCCAGAATCGGTGTACTTCATGGCATTGCCGAAAAGATTCATGATGATTCGCCGCAAGGCACCAGGCTGGGTTCGATAAACCCAATCGCGGAACGACACGTCAACCACAACCTCAACATTGGACCGGATGTTTTGCAACTTTGGATGATGAGGCATCAAAACAGGCAGGTCTGCAGATGCGGTGGAGCTCTGGCCATATGCATGGCCGAGACAAATTCCTTCGACCACTTCTTCGGCGAGGATGGCGACATCAGTCGCCACATATGTATCCAAGTGGTAAGCCAATTTTTCTGGTCCTTTGAGATCGAGCGGAGACTCTTTCTTGCGTTTCAGTGTGCGCCAAGTTCGCTCCAACGAAACAACCTTACTGAAGTCGAGAACTTGATTCATTGTGTCCAATAAGGTCCGCCCACAGGCGTTGACGGTCTCAAGTAGCGAGTCCTGGAATTCATTGAGGTGGGTGCTGTTCAAAAATTCAGCTGCCGCCAAGATGCCATGAAGTGGGCTGCGGAGTTCATGTCTGGGCGAAAGAGTTAGTGATAAGTACAGTGGAACTCTGAGAGCTTCAATCTCTTCTGTGGGTATAATGAAGAACTCACGAGATGCTTCCAATGAAGTCACCCTTCTGGCGATCTGCGATAAGGGACTCAACGCGGCTGTATTCGGCCATGATAGAGGATGAGAACCCGAGCACCGAACTCAACTCAACCGAGGTATTGAAAACCTGTGTTTCAATGGTGCTCCAACAGAAACATCCCGCAAACCACTGCGAACCAACAGCGTTCCACAGAGGCACGAACATGATTTGGGTGGCATCGGGGAAATACTGATTGAGTACGGAATTTTCCCCTGCTTTCCTTCGCTTCCGCATGGGCTTCGAGTGTTCAGGCTCACGCGCGCCGCTGGAAGGAGACCGACTGGTGGCACTGGTTCCAAGAGTGTGACCGTCTCCCGGTTCTTGGTCGTCGTCAGATGTTGAGATGAGGCCATCGCGGTGGAATGACCAGAGTTTTCCCCTGGGGTACCGTCGCAGGAGTGTTTGTAAGAACGATTGGTCCAAGCTGGCGGCCGGGAGTGAGGCCATTGACCCAGCCCGTGGGGCGAACGGCTCATCATTCGTTGAGACAGAGAGCACGGGCGCGGGTCCACCGGTTTCCGAACAGTCGCTCCCCGTATCAATATCCATCATGGGGGCATTGTTGGCTTCCAGGAAAATGACGCCGCTTTCGCCGCTCAGGTCGAGGCTTTCTCGAAGAAGGTTGGCGGCCCTGCGGAAACACCATGAGTTGCCCTGAGAATCATCGGGCGGTAACTGATTCCGATTGCTGCTTGTCAACCACTCTGGTAGTGAACTTTCGACACCAGAAGTTCCCGATTCGTTTTTGGACCCGCTACCAAGCTTGGAGTCGCTACCAAGCTTGGAGTTGCTTCCCGATTTACTGTCATTGTCCGGCTTCGAGTCGCTGTCCGGCTTGGAATCACTGTCCAATTTCAGATCGGATGGGACAGAAGTGAAGGATCGCGCGTCATTGCTGAGTGAGCGATCGTTTGGGGGACTGTTTGACGCCCCGCGGGAGGCTTGCTCTGCACTATTCTCCCCGCTGTTGGCCATAGCACTCATTCGATTGTAAGAAGACGGCGGGGTAGCCGACGGAGGGCCCACGCTATCGGTGCGCGACGGATCATTGACATCCACAAAACTGGAGCTTCCCTCAACAAAGTAACTCAGCCCCCGAGAGAGCCGAGCAGCCCTGCGGCCTTCTGACGCCTGTCTGCAAATTTTCATATAGTCCATCGCAAGCGTTGACAAAGAACCCAGAGTATCCTTCTCCAAGGCAGTCAACCCATCTCGAGGTTTCTTGTCCAACACAAAAAAGCAACCCATGTTGATGTTTTTACCGGAAGTCAAGGGCGTTCCGGCAAGAAATCGAAATCCTGGTTCCTTCTCCACAAATGAAAGGTTCCGGTAGCGCTCGTGTTCGGTCATGTCGTTCACAATCAAGAACTGATACTCTGCGGTTTGGCGAGTGTTTGGGGGTAAAGCAGCGATATCCTGTCGTATGGCGTCAAAAAAAACGAATTGACAAAGAGGTGTGGATTGCTTCGCTTGAACGATGGCGTGGTGTCGGGTGTCTCGTCGAATTGAGCTGACTTACCTTGCAAATGCTCCATGACTTGCGAGTGTCGGGCGTTCCCAGCCAGAGGTCTTGTTTCTGGTCATGAATTGACGGGTCGTTCAGATTGATGGTTTGTGTGGCTTCGGCGACAATGTGTTGACGGTCACGGTCCAGAACAGCAATCAACACTCGCTCGACGTTCAGGCGCAAAGCCGCTAGTTGCGCAAAGGAAGTGAGGGTGCTATTCGAAGTGCCGAGAATCAACGAGTCGGATCCGACGGAGGAGGTGGCGGGTTGAGAGGTGATAGTGCTGTTGGACTCTAAGCTTTCGGAGACCGGAGGGGTGATTGTGTTCCCAGAGGGCGCAAGAAATGGGAACTCGTCGCCTGTTGGTAGCCACGATGGGATCACATCGGCTTGAGCGGCTGGTTGATAGTAGCGATACAACTCCCTTACCCCGCGATCAGCATTGTGTCGTGCCTCCTGGTGTGTCCTAGGGGCCTCCATAGTTTTCCGTTGGCGGTGGAGAGATGCGAACGCAAAGCTGCATCCTCGGGCTCCAAAGTGTTGCAGCTCGCAGGCGGGGGTGATCAGGCAAGCGACGGCCCGGGCGGGGTGGAGATAGGTAAAGGAGTTCGAGGGGCAGGCACCGAGAGTGTGAGAAGAGAGAAAAGTGTCGGAGCTCTCTGTGTGAGTCGATCAGTAATCGACGGGGCGAGATGGAGAAAGCAAAAATATAGAATTTCCAATCTTAGGCATTGAGCTCCACCGCAGTTTACTCGTGTTGCGGTACATCAAGTCAGGTGCAGCGCATGGATGGGGCACGAAAGAGTGCGAAGAATTTCGGCCTCGAGCGAGGGATCTCATCTGTCAAGGTGGGGACGGGTACTGGCGAGGTACCAACAGGGAGAAAGGCTCCATCGAACATGATTAGTGGCGACCTGCGCTCGGTGCACAATCAGCGTCGAGTATACCCGGGGCTCCACCGCCTCAACAGAACACTCTAATGATTGCGCGGAATCCTAGGATCGACATTCGTGGTTGAGTGTGCAAACACTGCTGGGCCAATATATTCGAGGTTGTGAATGGAGCCTATGGGGTAGGAGGCTCCAGGAGGCGTCCACTTGGGGGATGCGCGCAACGAATGTGGACTGAATGTGGAGAGAAAGAGTTTCCCAGTGGCTGTGAGTGACTCCAGTGGCGGTCGCAGGGTGCAAATCAATTGGTTGTGGTGCCTCAGGCCGCATTGTCGGCCTGGCCGATCAGGCACTCAACACTCCACTCCCTTCACCAATCAGAAGGACCCTCTCACTCTCGTCCACTTATAGTCCTCAGGCAGTGTGCGCTTGCTTTCTCCCAGTTTCTTTCCATCATCACCCACTGCACATCTCGAAGGAATGCGAGGGTTTCAGAAGCCCTCAGACATGCACAGCCTTGCCCTCGATACCCTGGGCTCCCCCACGTCATTCCTGTCAGGGGCTGACGCTAGCGCTGCAAGCCTCCCACAAGCCCATGACGCCGGTGGCAAAAACAGATGGGTTGAGTGTGGATGAAAGTACCCATACAGCCAGCCTGTCGAAATTGTACGAATAACGCACAAAGCTCAGGGCACTGGTCCCCACTGCCGTTGCGACCGGGGGTAGTGATACATAGCGATCCCCCCCTCCCTCCTTGGGCATTAAAACGCTCACCTCCCAATCGGTCACGACTCGTTCGATATCATGCAACTCTGCGTTTTCGAATAGGTACTCGTACATGTTTTATAATGCATAGTGCTTGCGGTGGCAAGGCTGGGAGGAGGAACTTTCGGACGATCTTTTGATATTCTCTTGATATCTGCCTGATCACATTGGTATCCTACGAATTGTTTCGTGTCACCGCGCCCCAGATATATGCCACCCATGATCCGAGTGTCAACAGAATCAAAGCTCCAAAGGCGACCATGGAGGTGGTGCGAGTACGACGCCAATTGGTGACCAGACTCTGCTCTCGAATCCGCTCGATGATTTCCGCTCCCGATGTCAACCGCTTCTTTCGGGTCCACTGCAACAGCGCCAGGTTGTCGGTCAAGAATGTGCCAACCAAGATAGCCAGACCGACTAGAGTGGCACCAGCTCCGAGAACTAGATACACCTGCACCACGCGACGGTATGAGTTGTCGTCGGCATCCTGAAGTGCTCCGGTGATAATTCGGATGATAATGCTCATTCTGCAATTGGCAAATGTTAGCTTAGGATCTGTCACACTTTGTCTTATCGCAGGGGGTTCTTACGCATTGTTCATGGTCACCTTCAACGCATACGCAGAGCCAAACACGGATTGGTGCCAGAGCGTGGTTCGAATACTGTCAATGACCGAGGTCGGTCCGAGAGACACGGCAATGGCGTAGATGCCAAATGCGGCTCCCGTTCCAGCCTTGGAAGTTGCAAAGTTGATGAGAACCATGCTCAGCATCATACCGACACCACAGGCGCATACTGAAAATCGATTAGCCGCTAAGACACGATGTTATCATGTAGTTCAAACTCACAGACAGATGCTCGGTTTCCGAGGACATCGATGAACACGCCCAAGCAGGGCACGAGGAAGAAGCCAGCATATTGCGATAACGAACTGTACCATCCAGCCTTGATGGAGTCGACATTGAATCTTTGCTCTGCCAATTCAGTGGCATTTTGGGCGAAGACGGAAGCTGCACTAGTTTGGAAGATAGAGAATGCCATGACAGCCCAGAACATCCAAGGAAGCTCGAACATCTTTTGAAGTTCGAACTTTTTGTTCTTCTCGGTCAACTGCTCCTTCGTTGCGGCATCGCGACGTCCCTTGTAGTGGCGGTTACAGTACTTGTTAAAGAACCAGAATGCTGCACTCGCGAAGTTGGTGAAAAGGTTCATGAAAACTGATGTCCAGAAGACCCAGGCAAAATTTCCAGTTTTCTGCTTTCGGGTTAGCATTGCGTGCAATGTCTCGAGTGATCGTTCCGGAATGAGCTCCATACCTTTGCGATGATATTGGCCGTGGACTTGCCAACAAATCCTCCGATTTTACCGATCGCAAGTTCAAATCCTAGCGTGGATGCGAATCCATTACTCGGAGGGAACCACGAAGAGAACATCTTGTACTGAGCGATCTGTGTTGCGATATCGCCCAACGCAAGAACGATACGACCTCCGATCATGAACTTGAAGGAGCGCACAGTGGTGGCAGCGGCGACGAGGATGGATCCGATGGTATAGACGACGTTGCCGTAAACGATCATTTCTAATGACAGCGACAATTAGCCAGGGTCTCCGACATGTCGCTGTTGGGTCATTCAAACATACCGGCACCTCCAACTCGGTCGGTGATCACACCACTGATCAAAAGCAGGACCGTGGCCATGAAATTCTCGCTTGCTTCCAACAGTGAGAACTCGGTATTGTCGATGTGCATTTTCTGGCAACCATCAGCCCAGCTCGCATTCTCCCTGACCCGACCTTTTCAATACCTTTTTGATAGTGCTCTTCATGGCACCTGTGACACCAGAACTCCAGTGCGAGCCAAAACTAATGCAGGAGATCAGAATGACGGCGCATAGCTTAGCTACCAGTGGAGGCGGCTTTTTTCCATCGTCTGATTTATCTTCAGACTCTTCGGGTGTGCGGACATCGTGAATGGGCTCTGCAACGACATCCACGGACTTGGAGACCGAGGTATCGATTGCCATTCTGACAGATTAGAATGATACCCTGCGAACGGGGGAGTTGATTTTCGAAATAACTTTAAAGCTACGGTCCCAACAAGCGGGCCATTACTATTTATACGAGATCGATATCGGAGATTGATAAAAATTCTTAAATTGTATGGATCCTTCGGGGATTAATTTTCCTGAACAGACCATTTCAGCACTGAAAGTCTTGGCCGAGTCTCAGCTCCGAAAGAAAAAAACAACGCAGGGAAATAACATTCCTTCGCACCTTGGCAGAAGCAGTGGTCCCATCAGATAAGAGTTAACCTCGGAGGCTTGCCCCAATTAGACTACAGGCTAAGTCAATAGGGGTCTAGTGTCCCCAATCCACCACCCCTCGGGGCATCGTCGGCGATTTTAACTCATATTAGCTGTTTCCAATATCCATTCAGAAGCCACCTATGCTTGGGTGTGGGAACTATCTCGGTTCCTCTCCGAGCCCATAGCTCATAGCGTAACGCACCCGTTTTCTTCCGCCAGATCTTGCATCGACTTGCATCGAGATGGGAATAGCTCAGCACTATATCGAGGGCCCACGTGGTTCGGCCTCGACCCGCTCGGTGTCTGATCAAGTCGGACATAAATACTCGTACGAGCGAGTTCAACGGCTTTATGGGTGTTGGACGTGCATAGGGGTCCGCGGAATTGACAGACTATACGGCCTTGACTCAGAGATAGTCACCTTTCCACCGACAATTTGAGACCGTTCATTTTCGTGGCCCACAACCTATCTGCCGCATCAAGTTCTTGTTTCCAGTTTTTCTTGGGCGAATGCTATGTAGTCGGAAATAATGTCCGTCTGGCTCCCTGGCCGTGAAGATTGCTTCTTGTAGCCAGGTGCTCCACAAGTCTCACCCTACAGCAGATCCAGTTCCAGGATTGCCATCTGCGTTGGAATGAGATTTGTCTCTTCGTCCTGGTTCGACACGGATATTCAGTTCCCGTCCACATCAGGCGATGCAACAAATCCCTACCTGCCTATGGCTCTGCGCGGTGGGTATCAGTATACTGTGCACGGTTTTTGGGTCTGGTGCCAAAATGCATAATTATGAAATGGATTGCCACTTCTTGTATATTGTTTACACATCCTCGTCATGTCTCGATGGCTATGAGCAGGCCGCGTAATGTTGCCACTGAATAATTCATAGTATACCTCTCCAGATGTATTTGCTATGCAATATACTCGATGCGGGTCTCTGCCAAATGCGATGGATACTAAAAATTCAGGAAAAAAATCCCAAAAAATATTTCAGGTATATGCCTTCCAGGCTTGTGCCAGTCTTTCCAATATGCATGCAAAGCGAAACGCAAAATGCAAAATGCAACGCCAAACACCTCAGATGATCTAGTCTAGATCAGAGCCGTTCCATCAATCGCTTCCGAACAGTCCACATGCGAGCTCGCTTGCCGTAAATGTACATGGGAATCGACATGAGCATGAAGAATAATTGAATACCACCGATAGCAAGGAAGACGGTTTTGGAACCATCAGACTCGAGCCAATCCACGATGAACAACGAGAATATAAGGCCGTGAAGAACGTCTGAAAAATGACATGTTAGTTTCACAAAAGATAAAGTTCACAGGGCTCAATCATACTCTTGCTGAAATTCAAGGTGACAAGTGCTTCGCCAGCGTATTGGCGATAACTGTCCACGCAGAAAGTGATAGCTGTCGTGCTGCCCAGGCAGCAGCCAAATGAAATCATACCAAAGAAAATAGTAGGCACGATCCAGTGATCTCCAAGCTCGGCACTCCAGCCAAACGCCATCAGACCGATGACAGTCGACAAGGCGATGGGGATTGCCATGACGAGCCGGAACTCAGGCTCGTAGATCCCGCCGTTCCGTTTGGTTAAGTACTGGGCGATGACATCGGACACTTTGCCTGCCACTGCTGTCCCCAGGAGACCGCCAACAAAGGGCGAGATGTAAATCAAACCGGTTTGCAAAGCGGTGAAATTGTAATGCGCCTTGCCCTCGAAGATATGTGCGACTGATTCTGAGAGCACGATCAGCCAGCCGACGGATAAGGCGTACACGACTGTTGACCAGAGGACGGATGGATACGCGAATAGGACGAATGGCCGGGCTGCAACTCGGAACCAGTTGTCTTGTGTAATTCTTCCATTCCAAATGCCCAGAAGTTGCGAGTATGGAATCTTCGGGCGTTCGCGGAGCCGGTTCGTGTATTGCAGTGTCGCAGTCAGTGGTGTTCCGCTGGGTTCTTGCGATTCGGTCCTCGCTGGCGAGACGGCGACCGAGCGCGCAGATTCCAAGTCGACCGGGTGTGAAGGTGCCAAAGTATTGGGCGGTTGCTGGATGAAATCATCATCCTTTTCATTGACTGTAGCGAGAGGATGCGCGTTGATTTGGTCACCCTCAGACAAGTTTGATTTCTCGATCTCAATTTCAGGGGTCCCATCGTCCACGAAACCAACATGCGCATGCTTGGATCGCTTGGGGTTCAAGGTCGGATCTTGGTCTGCTTCTGTAATTTCCTCCGTGGTGTGGGCATGGGGGCGCCGCCCGCGGAAACCATGAGACACAATATCGGAAACGCTGCGGCCACCCATGCGTGGTCTCTTGGGCTTGTGCACGCGGGGCCGAGGAGTGCGGTCCCAAAAAGTTTCTGGTACAAAGAAAAATAGTAATACCAGACATGCGCCGACAATGATTGCGACAATCCAGAATACCCAGCGCCAACTCAGACTTTCGATGATGGCAGCACTCACGAGGGGAATGAGGTTCTTTCCACCAAGTAGAAGAAGAGTATAAATTCCCACCCGGTAAGCTCTTTCGTGCAGGAAGTAGATTTCTGCGATGGTAGCCGACGGAAGACACTCGACGGGGCTCACTGCGAATCCCTGGAAGATGCGAGCGATCACCAGACTGGGGTAATTTGGCGACGCCGCACACCATATAGCCGATATCACGAAGAGCGAAGCCCCCAGAAGATAAATCGGCCGCTTCCCATACAGAATAGCCGTGGGCGACATGACACAAGATCCAAGACCCAGACCAAGCATGTAAAAGCCAGTGGTGAATGCAACTTTCTGTGTACTGACGTTGTATGTGTTTGAAACATCGGTGAACCCAGCTGCTAGGATGGGTGTCATACCACCTCCCATGAGGCAATAGAAGCCCAGCGAGAGCAGCGAAGCATCTCTCTGCCATACAGGCCAATTCAGCGGGTCGTTCACGGAATCGTCTGGCTGGGGATCTAGTACGAATTGACCATCTGCTGTCCTCTTTTGTACGGGCACACGGGTTCGAGAGTTCGATCGTGATGGGCGGTATGACGAGGAAAAAGACGATGTCGATGTCCGATCGGGTTGATGGCTCATTCCCAGAGGCTCATTCCGATTTGAGGATAGAAGAAGTACCGTTCCTGTACCATACCAATCGCGGTCAGTCCTGTCAGATATCTTCAGAATAGTCCAAACTCACCAGGTACTTCATCGGTCTGTCTGTCACTGAGAATTCCCAACGTCGATTTCGCACGGTAGTTCGGATCTTCGCTGGAGCTGGCCGCTTCTCTGGGCTTTCGTTCAAAGAGCCGTCTCCAACGTGGGGCAGCTGGCTGCGGGGTATCGGTTTCCATCCCTCTGTTCTCGCTCGCTGTAGCGGGAGGATCTCCCGCCGATGAAGCCATTTTGGCAAGAGTATACAAGATGAGAGCACGGCAGGTGATATGCTCCCCAAAAGGCTATATAAACCATGATTAGTCAATGTCTCGTGTATTCAGTGTTGCCACCAGACACTGTCTCGGGAAGGTTTCCAGAACACAGAACACAAAGGCTCATAGTAGAAAGACCGCCCTGAGTGAACACTCACCTCTAGCTCAGCTATATAGCCAGAATATCCTGGATCTGCTCCTGAAGTCTTCTGTGGCAGGCGTGGGGAGCTTCAACTCGAGAGCAGGTGTAGTATAGTCGCTGTACAAAAACGGTCTCAGCGCTGGTTGATCAACCCAAGCGACAGGAAATGTGCGATTTTCAGCTTCATAGCTTGATGGGGCGAAAATGATAAGGATGGGGAAAAGCCAGGATATATATTGGCCATTAACAAGCTCGGATGAGCATCACGGGGTACTCAGAGCTGATCAAAAAAAAAGATGATGCGATCGACGATCCCACATGTGGCAGCGGGGGCGGTGAAACGTCTCGGTACCCACTGAGTACTTTTGCAGCCGCGTGATCGTCGCCCAGACACCAAGTACCCTGTAAGTACAGGATAACTACCGCATTTTGGCTTTGCTGATAATGCACGTTGATTTGACGGGACGACATGCAGCAACCCTGTTTGCGGACTGGACAAGTGTACTCGCACTTCTATGTGATTCATGTGCAGAGCCCGCGTTAACATTTACAGGCCAGCAGAGAATACATATGCCGAGGTGCCAATCGGAATAAAAATACTTCAGTATGAACAGATGGACATCTGCCCAAGAAGCACACGGGAGTAGTACGATAACGGCTGTCCGAACCTTGGAAGCTTAAACGGGAAAGTCTCGTGGGACGCACGCGGCCATTCCTGGGGAAATGCCAAGCAACCCAAAACCCAAGCGCTTGTCGCGAGAGTTTGGGGCTCATAGCTGTCGAGTTATTAGGGAAACCGATTGGGGAGATTCATCTGCCCCAAGCTCATCTCAGGTGATCAAAAGAGGCGTTGGCTGCCGTCATCGTGCAGATAGCCAATCGCAGAGCCCTGCTCAAGTGGCCTCAACTTGAAGACAGGAGGAATAGCGGCCATCATCTGGTCCATAAAGTATACCATCTCTTTTCGGAGTACATTATCCCGGTTATGGACTCAATGACCAGCATTGGGCAGCTTGGCCGTTGTATACTCGTCTACAGAAAAGAAATACGGAGGACCTACTTAAGTACGATCTACTTACCGTATCCTATTGGACCGTGCACTTTCAAAGACGGTTGGACCCTGCAAATCTATAGACGGGAATACGTGGTGCATTGCACATCGGAGATATTGTGTGATTGTCTGCAAGAGCATTGCGTAAACATATCGTTGGAAGTCCAGTAAGTAGTAATTCGCCGAAATGTCCGGATGAGTTTATGAACGGAGAGACACCTGGTTAAAATCCAATTCCAGGGCTCGGTGTCAATCATTCACGCCTATTCAAGGCATCCAGTTATTGACCCCGGCAGCCAGGTATCGGTCGCCTCAAGGATGCATCTTTTGGTGCATGTTTAGCAATTGATCTTCTGGTTAGTCTCAAGACTAAGCCAGCCAATCAAATTTCATTCACTCTTAATGGAATAGGCATCTGAGTGTTGAGTACGGAGTAGATGACTGGGATTTACTTATTTCGAGATGGAATTCGAACTAAACCTCCACCTGGGCAGGAATGATAGGAATAATTGGAGTGTGATATGTCGTTGCTTTACGGTTATATTACACATGTGGTGATGCTCAACCCTCGGGAGATGCACATTTGTCAAGTGAAGCTTGGAAATATGTAGTATGATCTTAGGCCAGATGTATATAATCGAGGCACGAATGAACCACCTGGGCAAAAAGCAAACATTATGGTATGCAGGAGCAGAGAACTTTGGCACTGAAGCCATTGCCTGGCTTATATGCGTGCATTTTAAGCGTAGTCAGAAAATCCCCCAGAACACTCAGATGCCCGCGTCAGGGTGAATCAGAGCGACGCGATTACCATTGGGCCGTTCGCGGATGGATCACGTGCCACCCCCCTTGACTATTTTGAGATTATTTTTCCCTTCGTTGTTGACCTGGCACGCCGTATACTCAATTATAATATCTTTTTCTTTACCTCACTACTCTACGTTCTTTATATTGTTCGATTCTAGGGCGATTTAGTTGTCTCAAGCGACTTGGTGTTGTGGCACTGTGCAAAAGAGTTCTCGCAGACAACACATCTCTCTCCTTAATAATTCCCCTGGGATTCGCCAAATAACTCCTCCAACCCCCTCGAATTTGACCCTGATTCACTCCTTCTGCGGGAGATACCGCCCAAGATGAAGATCAACCCCTCTCCAATCCTTCTCTTCCTCCTTCCCGCCATAACGGCCGCACTCACCGATGGAACATACAATGACAACATAGACTCTCGAGTCTCACGGGAGACTGTTGGCACCAACTCTCGTCTCGTGGACTCGGAAACAGTCGCATCAAATGTTGCCAAAGGGGCGCCGGACGTCCCGGTGGACGGCAAGGACGGCAGACCGCACGCGGGTCCGTGGGTGGAAACCAGCGCAGACCGTGATCGCAAGGGCACAAAGGGCAGTGATGGAAGTGACTCAACAAAATACGATCCGAAGATTCCTTCGTCGCAACATCTCAGCACCGAAGATGGGAAGGTGATCCCACACTCCAATGGCGGCGTTATGGACGACCCGTACCGGGCGGGCCCCAAAGAGGGTACACGAGGAACCGAAGGAGGCGTATCAGGAAAAGGAAAGGAGAGCCAATTCACATCCGAAAAAGTGCCCGGAGGGCCGAAAGAGGCGCCTCCGTTGCCCAATAGCGAGGCTAAGAAGCTGGCTGAGAGCGATGACATAGCAATTGGGAGTGAGAGTCGCACTGCTGGAAGCTCGGGCTCCCTTGGAAAGGTGGAGGTCAGTTTTGGATCCTTGAGATGCACAGGCGCGTCGAGTAACGAATACTAACATGATGGTAGAAACCCGCCGACCTGCCTGAAAAGCCCCACGATATCCCCCACCCCAAGCCTCCAACAATGGTCACAAATGATCCCCTCGGTCTCGAGCACGGCTCGAAGGGCTCGGGCTCGGGCTCATCCTCGAGCTCCTCGTCGAGCTCCTCGAGCTCTTCTTCGCTTGGCCACCACGACCATGATCTTGTTGAGCCTGCGCCCGATGCGCTCCACTCCCTCATTTTCTCATTCACCATGATTCTGGTCTCCGAGATTGGCGACAAGACATTCCTCGTGGCTGCATTGATGGCCATGAGACACCCTCGAATGGTGGTATTCAGTGCCGCATTCAGCGCTTTGATCGGAATGACTGTGCTCTCAGCAGTTCTGGGACACGCTGTTCCTACTCTCATCCCCAAAAGCTTCACCAAATTTATGGCCGCCATCCTGTTCCTGGTCTTTGGCGCAAAGATGCTCAAGGAAGGTCGTGAGATGTCACCCGACGAGGGTGTCGGCGAAGAGATGCGGGAGGTAGAGGCAGAATTGGAAGAGAAGGAGCACGAGCAGTTGCGCCTGGGTCGCCGTCGCTCATCGGTTACTCCCCACAACCTGGAAGCAGGTCGTGCTGGAGGTCGCCCCAAGACCCGCGGCTCCGGAAACCGCCTTCCCTCTCCCCCCGAGAGCATCTCCTCTTCTTCCTCTCGTGGTTCTTCCCCTCAGCCCCGCCAACGGTTGACCAATGCCTTCTCCGGACTGGGCAACCTATTCTCTCTCCTCCTTAGTCCCGCCTGGGTACAGACCTTTGTCATGACCTTCCTCGGTGAATGGGGTGACCGTAGTCAGATTGCCACCATCGCCATGGCCGCCGGTCAGGACTATTGGTGGGTAACAATCGGTGCGAGTGCTGGTCACGGAATCTGTACCGCAGCAGCTGTGATTGGTGGACGGGCCATCGCTGGTCGGGTCAGCATGCGTGTTGGTATGTATATTCCCCGATTTTGCAGAACTATCGCTAATTGCTAATTCTTCTAGTTACCCTTGGCGGTGCCGTTGCATTCCTTGTGTTTGGAGTCATCTACTTCATTGAAGCCATCTTTTGAAGCACTGCATCTCCGCGGTTGTATGTGTAAACGGGAATTACAGTTTTTGGCGGTCGAGTCGTTTATAAAAGTCAAATGCATCTTGTGACATATCTCTGTTCTAATGGTTTAATATCGTGTCTGGTCCACGCAATGGCCAGTTTTCAAACCCCAATCCACCTGCCTTTAAGACATCGGCTTGATTAATCTACATATAGGATAAAATACAGGAACGCAAGAGTGATAGCTGCAAATCACACTAATAGAAAGAGGATCCCTCACTTCAATTTTGACTTGAACCAGCCTATCCCATATGTACCTATCTCATATGTGAACGAACAATTTCTCGGGCCTTCTCAAACTCTTTCAGTGGAATACCTCTGTATCGCTCCAGCGAATCAAGTTCCGCACTTTGTGGGCTTGCTCCCCTTCCCAACAGCATTTCAACTATCTGGCACTCCCCTAGGGCAGTCGCCAAAGAGAGTACCGTGTTGTACTGACCTTTATTTTCACCCGTCCTTTCCTTCATATTGATTTCTGCCCCTTTGTCCAGCAAGAACTTCATCATTTCCTCATTAGTATTATGGCAAGCAACGAATAGTGCACTGCAACCATAGTCATCTGCTGCATCAATGCCTGCGCCGTTCTGGAAAAGTAGAGACGCAACCCTCAGGCTCCCACCCCGCATGGCCCAGTGCAGCGGATATTCTCCCCGCAAATTTTTCATCGTCATATCAATTCCATTTTCCAGCAGCAACTCAACGGTAGCTTCATCCCCATCACGAACTGCATTGTAAAATTGTGCTTGCCGAATCCACTTTTCTGCCTCTGACCCAAGATCCTGATGCTGCAAAAGGAGCTTGACCATCTCCACTCGTCCATTTGCTGCTGCTTTTTGTAAAGGCGCTTGACCGTTGTTGTCTTCTAGATCCGGATCTGCGCCGTGTTCCAGAAGAAGTCGTGCAATCTCAGTGTTCTCACCGAAGATTGAATTTAGAGCCGTCAAGCCTTCTTTGTCTCTGGCATTGACCCTAGCTCCTTTCTCTAGTAAGAAATGGAGTACATCTTGATTTTCATGGTATGTCGCTAGATGTAACGGTGTCCGCTGACCATTCATGGTACCTTGACTTGCCTTCGTGACATCTGCCCCATGCTGAACCAAAAGTTGGACAACTTCAAGCGGCGACACATCAAACAACGGAGCTGATGACCCGTGGTGCAAAGGGGTATAGCCATATTCAGTTCCAATTGAATTAACGTCTGCTCCGCTGTCTAGTAGCAGTCTGGTTATTTCAATTTGACCGAAGTAAGCTGCCACAGCCAGAGCGGTATCACCAGGATCATTACGCTCATCTAGATTGAAACCGGCAGATAAAGCCTTCTGTATCACACCAGGAACCCCCCAGGCACATGCTGTAAACACTGGAGATTTAGTTGCATTGAGGCTTGCCCTGATCTTCAGATTCATTTCCAGGGATTCGATGTCCGGCAAGGCATCTGCCCAGATTTGTAAGCACGTAGTGAATCCGTCACTTGGCTCTGAAGGGGACAAGAACTTGTCGACAAGCTGCTTCAAGGTGTCCCCTTTGTCGTCATCCACCAATGCTAGTGAATAGTGGATTGGCCAGTGTAATGCTGCATATTGAAGAAACCCATCCTCTTTGCTCGGGTCCGAATCACCCTGGGAGCATTCATTAATCAAATATAAGATGGAGGTCTTTGCGGCCTGGTAATTTGCACCGGCAGTAGTATATCCATGATTTGCGCCGCCCACCAAATATTCCCGAACCGAAAGATGCGCGAACTGGACCATTTGGTTATGATCGATGATGATGAAGTTACTGCAGATTGCCAAAAGATAGTCTGCATCGACAGCCTCGTCGAGGGAACCATTTGAATCATAAGACACTGCTTTCACGAGAATCTCGATGCTCAAAGGTATATGGCAACAAATCATCCATTTCAGTGTTCGCTCTGCTGCCTTGCAGTCTTCGTCTGTTGAAACGTTCATATCGTAAATTTCATCATACACTTCATCCAGCTCGGGAATTCCAGATCCGGATTCAAGCGATTCAAGCTTTCGTTTGAAGACATCTGGGCGTCTGATCTTGGACTTGGAATTGAAAAAAACATCCAGTTGCAGTTCAACCCATCGGAACCTATATTATCTGTGCATCAGTGAAATTCAATAAAGACCAAGAACTGAAACTCTGCACTCACATTCCCTGAGCGCGGTCACTCAGTGTCTTAATCATTCGATCCTTGAGATCCGACGACTTACATTGTTCAAGACGTCGTTGATTCTGCTCGATCTTGGTCTTGATAAAAGTTTCAATGTCATCTTTGTTGTCCAGACCGACTTCTATCCTGGCATTGACTGGGAATATCTCGTGCACAGGAACATGCATTCGACTTGAAAGTAGAAACTTGACTTTGCCTTGACTGGCTGACATTATTTTCTCAAGATGAAACAGGAGTTCATCAAAGTCGGAACACTCGTCCAAAGCATCAATGATGATTGCAGTGTGGTGATTGGACGCGATAAGTTGAGTGAGCAGCTTGACGCAGTCGTCTGCTAGCAGTTGACGGCCACCATAGCCCTGATCTTGCTGCCATTGTCGGTATCTCTCTTTGATGGTTGGTGCGACTGAGAGATTGATGTTTGACCAGCCTAGTTGACGAAGGAGACTTCGAAGAACCGTTTTTGGACTGTTAGCTTCTTCTGTTCCTTGCTTTCTCGAGCAGTAGAAGAATGCGAGTCGATCGGTTTCTTTGCCAATGGTTCTTGACTGATTCAAAAGTTGTTCAATGGTAAGGCAACTTGAAAGATTTCTGGTTAGAGTCAATCTTCACGTCAATAAGAGGCTGACTTACACTAAAGAACTCTTCCCTGTGCCAACTAGAAGATAGATCAGCTTAGCGATTGGATTCAAACTGAAGATGAAATTTCACTCACCTGGTCCGAGCAACCAGAGTACAGACTGACTGTCATCGTTGGTATTCCATGACTCAAATTCTGAACGGCGAAAGAGCCATTTCCCGGACTGTGCGTAGTCGCTGTTCAGCTTTCCATGGTCTAGGATTCGGGTATGATCATCGTGAGGCAGGGCAGTTGAGACCCAATTCAGAATTTCCTTATTTTCTGCGCCACGGTCAATTCTCTGTGCATGTTGTCGAGCCTGGTACGTACCACGTCGATCATTCTCGTGAATCAGTGTTTCATTCTGCTCCCTCATATGACTTAAATGCAAAGAAACCTGCTCCATCTGTTGATCCTGTTGATCTAAGATCCCCTTGAGCTCCCAGTGTCGAGCGGTTTGCTCTGGATACCCATAACTATTAGTCTACTTAGGTAATTCCCCTCTGGGTCAATTTGAGCACAAAGTTGGAAACATACCTTCGGAGTCGAAAATCTGAGTGAACTTTCTGCACTCCACATCCAAGTTCACAATGCCTTGCAATAGGCTGTTCCAGTTATCAATTTTGGGCAATGCTCTGGCATACTGCACTACAAAACGGTATAATTAGCATTCTATAGCAGAAAATGCCCCAGTTAAAGGAAAATAAACTCACCTAGGCGGTTGCGCTTGCTGTGCAATATGATTGTCCCCTGGTATACCAGAATATTGGTGTAGAGATTGACAACCTGCGCTCTGAAGTCCTTGTTGAGATCTATAGCCTGGTGTTCCCGTCTTTGCTCAATGTATATCTCCTCAACTTTCGCATATCTCGTAATGATAGGGGATATTTGAGCCAGCCCTTGCAGCGCGGCAGCATTCTGTTCGGCGCCACTCAATACTAGCTGCGATCATTGTTAGTCATTTTCTCTCTAGCAAAATTTAACTTATATATGCGCAAGTAAAATCGTTAGTACCTGCAAAATAACATTGACTCCAATCCAAGCAATTCCCGCATGGGATGGATCGAGATTGGCGAGAGCGCCGCCCGTATCCTTGAAAACAGACACAGCCTTGAGTATACCGTCCATGGCTTTCCGTATTTTCGCTTTCTCGGTATCATTGCGATGCTTCCAAGGAAAAGGTAGGTCTCTTTCCCGGATTCGGCTTTGGCTTTCCAATATGGACTTCGCAATCTGGCCTGATAAGTCTTTGCCGGATAAAGGCTGACTTTGTGCAGTTAGCACCTCCTCCAGCTCGGCGAAAAGTCGAGGATGCTCTGTGCGCAGCCTGTGAGAGGCTTCTTCCCAACACGGTTTTTCGTAGGCCATATCATCGTAGTAGGACTTTTCTTTGTCCATGGTTCGATTTTTGACCCTTATGAGTTCGTCCAGATTTGTGAAATGTGCGATAGATAGGATGAGCGGGGGATGTTGTTTATCTGGGCGAAAATAGGTTGCCTAGAGGGGTGGTTGTACAGAAAGAACTCGTTATTGATGAGGGATTTTCATTATACTTGAGCAGGGTAGACAGGGAGGGGTAATACTATGTTCTCGAGTATAACTCTAAGCACCCAATAATGACAGCCCTGGAGGGGCAGGGGTAGTGTGCACATATGGTCGCCTGAGAAACCCTGTAAACACACACTCATACTACAACTAGCCTTCATTGACAGGTTGGGTGGGAGTTACTACCTTTACACTGCTGACGGGGGCCTCTAATTCCCCCATGGTCAATCAGTGGTTTGGGATGGTCCAGAATTGACAACTCTAGACGTAGTTTGATGGTGAAACATGGCCTGAGATACTTGAGAAATACCCGATCATGATTTGAGCTAGTTTATTGACATTCAACCAAACACATTGGTAATTCCTTTGCCAGTGACCTGAATATGAACCCCGAACTCCAAAGCCAATTCTTTGAGTCCGTCTATCATTTCAGGCTGCCAATCCTCCAATCGTTGTACCTCCCCTGATAGACAAAATCCACGGAGGCGAGGTGTGAATCTCCTCCAGTCTTGTAACCATGATCGAACAGCCCCAACTAAGTGAGTTTTATCGTATTCCCATTCCCATTCCTCCTGAAAACATAAATCGTCGGTAATAGTCAGCCATTCAAGGCTTTTTGGGAGGTATTTCTCAAGGTTAATCATGCTTGAAGTCGGAGAAAACCCCAGCATGAATGGAATCGGAATTTTGATTCTCTCCAGCGCGTGGAATCCGCTCAAATTGAATGAACCGTTGAGATAGAGCGTCGACGGCCAGAGATCACCCGGCCACTCAGATGCTCTTGCTCCAATTGTCAAGTCTGTCAAAGTCTCTTGAATATGGGATAGGTCCATAATGATTTGGTCCAAATCGATAATGTCGGTGACGAACTTGTCTTCAATCTCTGGATGGTAAGCCCAAAACCATTTGAGATTCCGTAGGCCTTGAGTAACTGATAGCAATTGACCGAGATGTCCCTCGCGCATCATGCTCAAGTCGAGCGATGTAAGCCTTGATGGGTTTGGAGGGCACTTCCCTGTCCATGTAAAGGTAGTGGGATTGTCGATTGAGAGGCATAGTCGTTGAATTGATGAAAAATAAAAGAGAGGAAGAACACTTTCCGTATTTTTGGTATCCGAATGTTCGCGAATGTTGAAACCCTGACATGGACATTGAACCAACACCTCTCGAAGATGTGCGAAAGATGAGATATGGTTATTCTGAGCCTCGCAGAGAGACGATCGGAGTATCATACCTATCCAACGACTTTCTCGAACGAAATTCTCGCTTAGATGTAGATAATTCAAATTGGGTAGTTCCGATAATAAAAGGGCAGTGAATGCATCCATCGATCCGGTATGCAGCTCTTGGATCCAATCTTTGATATAGGGGACATCGATGCTTTTGACATATCTCACGAGCTGATTTGTGACATCTTCGCTGACTTGGAGTTTTTGACTCTGATATTTGTAGACATGCCATTCGCAATCAAAATGATCTCCGCTTATGATCAACTCATGGACGAAACTAGCCACCTCAGGCCTCTGCACAATGAATTGCAGAAACTGAGCAATCGGGGGAGTCTGAGAGGCAGTCCATGTCCATTTAATACAGGCGTAGAGAAAAGGCTCTGCCATAATACGCAAGTCCCTGTTTACAAGACTCGCCGCCTGGAGGTCGCTGGATGATAGGAATGAAAATATCACATGCCAAATCTCTGCCGGAACGGTGAAAGTAGGGGTCGCCATTTGAACCCGATCTTTAAGTCGCTTTCCTGTTGCCCTGAGCCCTGGAATGGAATTCAATAAGCCGTATCGACAAGGGGATGCGTGGTGAAGATAAGCAACGAGCAGTATGTAAGACTGTGAGAGCCTGAATCAATCATGTCTCCGATAAGCTAAGCGAAGATGTGTGAAAATGGTGCTTTGCTCAAGTGGCAAAGTGAAATATTGGGACTAAGCTCGATCTATTTAACGTGGCCGTGCCAAGACACAATATCAGTAAAAATGAACTTGCGAAACAGTATATTCTTTATGGAGTACGATGGAAGACTCTGTGGGGAGTACGGAGCAGAGGGTAGCAGTAAATCTCTAGGGCTTGGAAGGAAGAGTCGATTAGAAGGGAAAGATAGAGAACCACTCTCGAAAGGGAGACGACTCGCTTGAGTGAGTTGAGTGAGTCTACAAAGTAAATTGAATCGCCAGAGAATCGGTTTATCATATTATGAGCATAACTCAATTTATAAAAAAGTCCATCTATACGAGGAATTTTATTCAAGAAAGTCAATGCTCGCGAAAGGAAGACAACTGTTGCGAAAAGAACTGTTCAGATGTTGATACCTTAATTTGAAGGCACCAATTCCTCAACGGGTAACGGGGGGTGGGGAGGTTTACAGGGTTGGGGTTAGGGGTTTGGTGTGAACTAGGGTTCGGGGTTTACGGAACGGATCATCGATCTTCCGTGGAAGTCTTGTAATTCAGGCATCATTTGATTCCAATGCGGTTAGAAATATCCGTATCATCCTTTTTCCGGCTCCTCCGTTCCCGCAACCCCGAAAACCCTACGAATGCTCTTACCCCCTAGGTTTCTCTGCAAACTCCATCGTTCTGCAGTCCCATCCAGCTCTAAATATCAACGCATATTGTCCTATCTGTTGTCAGCTGTATTTTCGCACTCTATTGGGTCGAAACTAGCCCAAATCAATTCCGGCAGCTTTGGAGAGCGACAACAAGAGGGTACCTCACGTGTCTCGCTCACCGCCATGGCGCGTGTCATGGGGTCGCGCATCACAAGAAGTCAGAGTCGACAGGCGAGCACTGAATTGGACCATTTGATTCCTTCGGCGTTCAAAGGAAAACGTGAGTCACTGCTCTTGGAGTCTGGCGGAAATGAGCCTGGGACAGTGTGAAGTGTGCGAGTCGTCTCAGTGGTGTGGTACGCAAACAACCGCTTCGGGAACTATACTCAAATGTTTTCACTTTCTCCTCAATTCCACAACTCCTCAACTCCGTCGCTTCAGTAAAATCTCATATTCTGACTTTTTGCAGAGCTTGAACGACTTCCAGAGGAGTCTTCTTCTCAAGCCTTGGAAGGGCCAACGCAGGTGATACCTGAATCACCGGAAAATCATGAAGGTCACACCAATGTATCGGGTACAACACTGGGCCCAAACGAGGCCGAGGCTGTGGAATATCAACTAGGGGCGAAAATAACAAACCACTTGCCTTTCATTCAAGAACAAGCGACCCTCGTCATGAATCTTTTGGTTCCTCAAACTTTGAATCCCGACAGTATTTCAGCCGAAGCCAAGAAGCTTCGCGATGCCAACCACCCAAACGCGAAACGCTTGAAACGGTCAATCGCTGGCCTGACCGATGAACTTCAAGAGTCGCCTATCTCATCCGACGGCAGACCCTTCTTAGACATCTCTCGCTTCCGCCGTTTGATACCTCAACGTCAGCTTGAAACATCCATGCCCGATGTCCATATGACCAACTGCGCGTTGCTGGCGATCGTGATGTTTTCCAAGAATGCCGAAAGCTCTCAGCCGCAGGTCATGCAAGACCTCGACGCTCTCTTCCCACTGTGTTTTATGGAGAAGATTGCGCAGAACAACACGCCCAGGGCCATCGGAGCTAGCTATACACAAGACACGACATTTGGTCTTGCCTTGAATATCCGGACCCAATTCTTCATCGGGGAACTCGAAAGACGTCAGCGGGAGCCTGACTTCAACCCGATAGCCGTTCTCCGACAGGTCTTCTGCATGGACCTCACTCCTGAGGACAACCTTCACGAAACCCCGGGCACTTTCCGGGGCTTCCGTTTGCCTGGTGTCTTCGAGGACGAAGATGGCCACCTCCCCGAGACCCTCCCGGAGAAGCTACAGCTAGCAGTGAGCGACAGATTCAACGACCTATACGAAGAAATTTCAGAGTGGGACGAGATTGATGTGGATGGATTGAGGAAGGTACACAGGTGGCGCTCATTTGAGCGCGATCTTGCGCGCTGGATCCATACGCGTAGCCGAGAAGTCAAAGAGGATATACGTCGTGTCTCTGATAGACTCGCTCAAAATTCGCCCCCAAGCCGTCGGGTCACTCCAGCCTCAGTGCGAACTCCTATTCGGCCACAGACTTCTACCGAATCTCCTCTTCGGAACTACCAAACACCCCGGAAACAGCACCTTGGAGTTACGCCCCAAGGAGTGAACCAAGCGACTGCAGTCAATCCTCATTTGCCTGTCGCTTCACCTCAAAAGCCGACCTCACTCCAGAAGATAGCTTCAGCCCAGCAGATGGCTTCGCCTCAAAAGGTGGCTGCACCTGAGAAGGCGGCATCACCTGAGAGGGTGGCCTCACCCGAGAGCGCGGCTTCGCCTGAGAGAGCGGCTTCACCTGAGAGGGCAGCTTCGCCTGAAAATGCGCCCGCCCCTGAAAATGCTCCTGCGCAGGTTTCCACTGGCCAGGCCAAGCAGGCAGCCACAAACGACCCAGCCCGACGCAAATCCAAAAGGTATAAAATACTCGATTGACGTTTACTTTTCATTTTCACTAACAATCACTTCTCATTCACAGCAATTACCGAGATGTAGGCTCGTTTTTCAGACTGAAGCAACGCATTAATATCAGTCGTCAGCAGCAATCTCTCTCCGGTCCCACCTCACATCCTCCGAATGGTTCTTCGGCCAAGGCTACCGCAAACCAAGGCGACAACACTGATGGCCCGGCTCAGTCTTTTGCTTCCGTCTCTCGTGAAATTCTCGAGTCTCCGGACCTGGGAGATTTGGGTGATGACGACTTCACATACGTCAACAATGAGGACGATGTGGATCTCGACCACGGTCATGGAGGCGATGTAATGGCGTCAACAAGCCCTTCTGCCTCCGCTAGGATCAATCGAGTGAGCCACAACCCTGGACGATATGTCTCAGATCGTCGGAGCCCACAGCGAACGATTGGGAGAAATCATGGAACTGGCAACGACTCCTTTGCCCAGCGACGTTTATTCATTCACAAGCAGAATGATGCCGGCAGGGTCTCACCAATCAACGACAACGATAGCCAAAGCGCAGAAAAGCCACGCGCGAGGCCCGCCCGTTCAAATGCCAAAAAGCGACAGATCCCCGACACTTCAAGTGACGAGTCGGACGAGTTTGAACAAGATGAACGTGAGATCAGCCGCAGGCCTGAAAAGAGGCAGCGCGTTCAACGTCCCGCGCGGGAGGCAAGCTCAGGGAACGCGTCTCGCGCAAGCCTTGAAAGCACCCGTCCTGCAAATCCCGGTCCATCAAACCCTAGACGAGTGATTCGTGCCACTCAAAGTCAAGCCGACAGTGAAGACCTCACCGATGGCGAGACCAGTACCAACGTGCGAGAGGCCGGCACCAATAGGCGGATTCAAGCCGTCTTCCAGCCACAATCCACGCCTACCGAGGATCATCAGTATTGGGCCAAAGTCAGGGACGAATTGTCTCGGGCCGAGGCAATTCAGCCTAGTGTTCGCAAGCCGAGTAAGCGGTGGTCAGAAGAGGAAGATCAACGTCTCCATCAGCTCATGTCGATGTTCGGCACCAGCTATGCAACAATCAAAAAGCATGATAGTATGGTTCCTGTTAGTGCAGGTGGTCCTTGCCTTGAAGGTCGCTCCCAGGTCCAATGTAAGGATCGGGCTCGGACGATAAAGAAGAAACTCCTCAGGTATGGACTCGCAGATTGTACTGCTATTGCGATTTTGCTGACTTTCTTCCTTGCAGGGACAATCAACCCATTCCAGAATACCTGGAGAATATTCTGCCTTGAGTTCTTGCTTTGACACTTGCAGTTCAACTTTTTTCTTTCTGATTTGACAATTCGATCGGCGTTGACGGAATACCCAGTCTTGTTTTTGGATATGGCGTCTGGGAACCTCCATCAGGTGGTGTTTTTCTTATTTTCAGCTATTATGATTCCCTCCCCCAATACTTTCACGTTGAAAGACTCTGTACATACTCTAACCTCCCGACGTCCTTGGAAGTAAGGTACGAGAGACGACTCAATTAATGACAGCCTTGAGATCCATGGATTTGATGATCCATCCAGGCAGCCCTGAAGAACCCCATATTCTGTATAACGACCGGCCAGGCGTGTAGCACCAAGTGTCACAAAAATATCTATCTGAAAGCCCTGAAGGCCGTTCCAGCCCTGGAGGTTGCTTTCGCCGCAAGATCTACTATTTTCTTGTGCATCTGTCTTCACATCTGAGCTCGCTCCAGGCATGATTCTCAGGTTTCCTATGCTCAGACAGGTGCCTGCTCGGGATTCACGACATGAACTCATTGAAATAGATCCATGGATTATGCACAGCTTTATGCCAATTTCCAAACTCACGATGATCAATTGGATAAACAGTCGACTAGAATAACCATAATTACGCCATATCACGCACCGAGTACAATCTCTCTTTTACTTCCCAAAATGGTAAATAAAACTGAGCTGAGCACGCCATCCCGTCCGCTAATGGGCAACCTCAGCATCTTGCAAGCCTTTACCTTATACTGGAAATCATACGCCGTGCATCTCTATGGGCTACGGGGGTTCAAGAAAGTGCTAAGACATGTTGGTGTAGCTTACAAGTTTGAATACGGGATGTGGATAGTAATGACTGTGGCATAAAGATATAAAGCCATTTCTCTATGGTCATTGATCCATCAGATTCAAATTATTTTCATCGCCCGATCTGTTCTAACTGGGAAAAGAACAAAAAAATGTCAGAAATAACACCACCGCTGTCGCAAAGTGTGGGATACGGTGTCGTTGTTGGTCTGGGTCTGTCTTTCGCGGCGGGTGAGTCTCATTACATTCACCAACTTCACGTTATTTACACAGATAGCAATGATGCTCGTGACCAAGTTGTTGAAGTCAGCCACCGGAGAGGATAATGCGAATGTTGAGACGTAAGTACAAGATTGGATTGACGTTTGAACTACGGCTGATGCGATACAGATTCATTGTCGCTGATCGAAAAGTCCGGACGGGGCTGATTGCCTCTGCTGTTGTCTCCGTTAGAATATGCATCAACAAAATGAATTCGGATCCAACTAATCAGCTTTATTGACAGTCGTGGCTTTGGAGTACCATGCTCTTGAGCACCACTCTGGTGGCTTACCAGTATGGCATCAGTGGTCCTTTTTGGTACGGCGCGGGATGCTCTCCGATGATAGTTTGCTTCGCATATCTTGGTATAGTATGCAAAAAGCGTGTTCCTAATGCTCATACCGTCCTTGAGATCATTAAATATCGATATGGTATTGCAGACAGGTTTCAGCAACCGCTCAAACCTACCACCAATGCCGAAACACAGACTGACAGGAAATCTAGGGACCACTGCGCATGTCAGCTTCATTTTTTTAGCCATTTTGAACAACCTGTTTAACACGATTAACATGATTTTGGGTGCTGCAGCCACCATCACTTCTCTGTGAGTCTTATCTCGTCCCGGCGTCCTCTCTGATGGCCTTTCCCAAATCGATTCTCACAATGGACAGAACAGGGATGGACATCATGGCGTCAACGTTTCTCTTACCGGTTGGGGTTATTATATATACACTGATGGGTGGCATCAAGGCAACGTGAGTGAGATTGAGCAAAACGGCGAACCAAAAGCTGCCGCTAACTGTCGCCGAATATCTAGGTTTTTAACGGACTACATCCACACGTTAATCATCTTACTTCTTTCTTGCTATTTGACGACCAAAGCATTGACGAACTCGGAGGTGTCTTCGATCGGAGGACTGTATGACCTGGTACAGGCAGCCCAGCCTCGCCACAAGGTCGAAGGGAACCTCGGCGGATCCCTGCTCACCATGTCATCACAACAAGGCATATTTTTCGGCATCATCTTGATGGTATCAAACTTTGGAGCTGTCATAGTGAGTTTGGATTCAGAGATCGATGGTCCTGATTTCATATGGCCTACTGACTCGTCCCAGATGGATGCTGGCTATTTTACAAAGGCATTTGCTGCATCGCCCGAGGCAGTTGTCCCCGGGTATGTGGTTGGGGGCATATGCTACTTCAGCATCCCATGGGCATTAGGGACAGTCATGGGGATGACCGTGCTTGGCTTGGAGACCAGTAGAGCATTTCCCACATTCCCTCGAGTAAATATATCTCACAAGCCTCATTGCCTAGATACCGATTCACTGACTATTTCCAGCAAATGACGAATGGGGAAATTACAGGAGGACTAGCTCTGCCATATGGAGCAATGGCGATTGCAGGAAAGGGTGGTGCTGTCGCAACTCTGCTCATGACATTCATGTCCGTGACATCGACCTTGTCGGCCCAGGTTATTGCTGTCTCCTCAATCGTATCATTTGACGTTTACAAAACATACTGTAACCCCAAATCCAGCAATGCAGACCTTATCCGATGGAGCCGGATTGGCGTTGTGATATTTGGGCTCATCGCTGCAGGCCTCACTGCTGTCTTTAACCACGTTGGACTTGACATGGGCTGGACACTATACATGATTGGTAAGTGCAACCACGAAAGCGCACTGATACGGAAGTAACCCCAAAATAGGTATCATCGTATGTCCAGGCATGTTCCCATTGATTCTCACAATTCTATGGAAGAAGCAAAGCCAGGCTGCTGCCATAGCATCAGCGTACCTCGGTATGGCAACTGGTATTGGTATTTGGCTAGGCACCGCCTACAAGTTTTACAAGGTTATCGATATAAGCACAACAGGCGCTACACTGCCATGCATGTATGGCACGCTTGGGTCAGCGCTGAGTCCACTCTTATATTCCTTTATGATCACTATGGTCGCACCCCAAAGGTTTGACTGGGAATCAATGAAAGGAAGCCAACTTGTCACTGGTGATGACATAGTGGGCTATACAGGACAGGAAGAAAGGCCACCCCGAAAAATCCAAAAGCGCGTAGTTCGGACTGCCCTGTTTTGGGCTATGGCTACATTCTTCGGAATTTGGGTTCTTTGGCCACTCCCAATGTATGCTGCGAAGTTTGTCATGGGTAGAAAGGTGAGAACTCCTGTGTGGAAAGAATCGTCTTGAATATCCATGACCTACTAACACAAATAAGCTGTTTATTGCATGGGTCACAGTTTCCCTAATATGGCTTTGGATCACTTTGATTGTGATAGGAGTGTATCCACTGTGGAGTGGCCGCGATCAAATCGCATTGATCATACACAAATTCGCTGCCAGCAAAATGTGAAGACATTGGTCGATCGAGGTGAAGGAATAATGAGCAACGGCTGGTAAATAGGATGCAATATTCCCAAAATCTTGGTTGCAGAATTCATCCTGAAGCACAACTCGCTGTCTCACTGCGTGCAGATGTCAGTACTTAAGTACATGGCTGACTTTGGCACGGGTTGAACTATGTAGGAGAGCAGAAAGGGGAAGGTGTATGGCGAGATTTCACATGGTACACATTCTGTGTACCTACGCCCCCTGAATAATGAATAGATTTAGCACCCTGAAATGAGTGAATACTGAGTAAAGACAATGAACCTTTTACTAAAGAGCAATATAGTATGGTCACATGGTTTCGAGCAAGCCCTGGAGGAAAGTGCAGAACCTACGTAGAGTCCACATTGCGCCCAAAGGCCGCCAATACGGGCAGCCGAATCTTCTTGTCCAATATACAAAGTAATGCGAAATGGTTCTCTTCGTGGATGCCATTCCAAGTTGGCAAAATCTTATAATTTCCGAGAAGGATTTCGAAGTCCAACCGGCAGCGTGTATGAAAGCTGGTCTAGAGTAATGACTCAGGCAAAGACAGTAACGAGTGTAGAGAATGGTAATCTCGAAGTAAGCAGCTGCACAGCAAACCCGACCAGCGGATTCGCAGCAAGATAATACACGCAAGATTACCCAGTAAGCGAGTAGATGGTATATCTTGACACACTTCGAGTATAGGTATTCAGACCGACTGAATAATTACAACCCAAGTCACCGAGATATGAAGCTTCGGAACGAAATTACAGCAACAAGCCCATGCCTGCGATGGCAGCACCGACAAGCGACGAACCAACGCGGATCGATCCGGCAGCGTTGTCTGTTGGGGTAGGGCTTGCGCTTGACTTGGCAGAGGATGTAGCGGATCCTGACTTGGAGGCATTGGCGCTCTTGGAGTTGACGGATGAAGCAGCTGTTACGATTCCGGTTGGTGCGGCCGCAGTTGATGGCGCGGCGACGACGATTCCGCCAGCTGCGGTGACGGCAGTGGGTGCGGCGGTCGTGGAAGCAGAGTCAGAGTCATCGGAGCTTACTTCTGTTCCTTGGATGAGGTTGTAGGTACCTTTGCCACCGCCTGAAGGAAAATAATTGTGTTAATAATGTTCTGTGTGTCTTTTTGTTTTTGTTGTGAGTAGAGCTTACATGTTGCTTCGGGCCATCCGGAACATTTGATGTCGCATTGGTCGTCGTCGACCTTGGCGGACTGAGAAGGAAGTTGATCACCGCAGTAACACATGTCACCGCGGCCCAGAGCGGCAATCTTGAATCCTTTCTTAGAGCATTGATCCTCGCAGTGACCTGGTGATTGGAAGGTGAAGGGACCCTGGCTCTTCATAGAACCGATTTCGGAGTAGCAGCCCACGGTCTCGGACGAGGCTGAATACACTGGGAGGGCGAGGGCAAGAGCCGAGAGAATGAAAGTGGCGTGCATGATTGATATGAAACAGTGAACGAATGGGGAAAGATGGAAATAATCAATAGTTCAATAGTTCAAAGGAAAATGTATGCAAAAGAGAGATATTAATGACAGGCGTGACAGGAGAAAGCAAACAGGGTCCATGGAGCTCCTTTAAAGGCACCCGGGGATTCGGTGCAGGAACGGCTGTCGGGCTCCATTTTTTCGATTATTTTTCTGTGGAGTGCGCTGGGGCGGATGACATCGAAGCTCCATTGATCGAGCGAGTGTAGCAAGTGATCATCCTGAAACACTAAGCGACATGTTCTATTGAACGTGAAATGGGGCCGCACCGGCTTGATTGGCTTGCGAGCTGGCGATCGCCTGATCGGCATCCCCAGGTGTGGCGCCTTGCTTTCATTTTCAGAGGCCAATGGTGGCGGATGCGAGCCCTGGGAGTCAAGTGGAGTGAGACCGAAGAACAGTTCGCGTGTTTCTAGTCTGCCGCTTAACTTCTTCGAGCGTAGGGAGACGTTTTAGTGTGTTGCAAATTATGAGGAATCTGACATGAGCATCATCGCTTAACCCCTTGTTCCTTTGAGGGGTATTCCACATACATCATTGGCGTTGGGGGCTAATATGAATCAATACGGAGTATACGAATTGTCCCTATACGGAATACGTAGAAATGTCTGAAAGTGAAGAAATGTACACTTTCGATTAACATTTAGGGTGCACTCTATTTGCCCTGTGTTCCACGGTTGAGCCGAGGTTTCCGGGATTTGTTGGCCTGACAAATCAGGCATGACTATAGGGGGAAGAGCCTAATATCCTGATTTTGGCTATCTCAACTCGGTCGATGGACACTGCACCAGGATTGAGGTCTGTCCAATCTATTTGAGAACTTTTGGGGTCTGAAGGATCAAACATGGCTCTGAGACAAATACATTTGACCACAAAAAGTGGATTTGAACTGCAGACATGCTCAAGTGCTTACAGAAGCCTCCACCAGGATAAACAACGTAGCATTCAAGACGTCAAAGATTATGCACCCTGCACCAGGTGATTTGCTATCCACTGGCTGTTGTATGGAGTAGGGCTTCCACAGTTGGTAGCCTTCGATCTTTTGGTGGGCCTTTCTTCTCTCCTTCTCGAGCCTCGAAAATGCGGGTGTTTACTCCGTAGTCAGTCAGAATTTCGCTTGCACAGCCTCAAGACCAGCCACTTGAGCATTGGTGTGCAGATTCAATATGTCAAGTCAATTGCTTGATACATACAAATAAATCGAGTTGAGTCAGATGTGCGTTGTTCATGCAGACAATTACTTGGCGGGCTTGCTCAAATATACTCCGTACGCATGAGCGATATCACTTGGCCCGCTACGGAATAGAGTAATATCCATGGATGACACCTGCACATGGAAGTAGTGATATTCGACGCGAGGGCACATCTCTACAGATATCGAAACAGATGAAAGCTCTCTGGCTAGGACTCCTTGCAAAACTGGGAAAGTGGAGATCAGAGGTAGTGCGTCCAACCGATTTCTGGCAGATCAACAAAAAATGCGCTCTTATATTCCAAGTTGAAAATGGGGGAGATAGCCAAATTCCACATGACGCCCCAGTATCTGGATATTCTATTCGGTTATTCTATTCGCTATTGCACTGCAAGATACGAAGCACTCAGTACTCCGATTTAATGGTTCGCTTACTCCTCTTTCTTGGTAATTATCGCTTTACCTCTAGACTTGCTATCTTCTTTGAATATACCTTTTTCTGCCACATGTCTTCCAGTACAAACCTTGGAACTCGTAACGAGATTTCGTTTTTCCAATGGCATTCTTCCTTTTCTTTGGGCCTAATCTGGCCAACATTTGAAGATTGCTTGATATAAGGCTAATGTGAGCCTGTTGCTATTAATAGCCCGGGTGGTCTAGTGGTATGATTCGCGCTTAGGGTTCACCCAAAGCATAACTGCGCGAGGTCCCCGGTTCAATCCCGGGCTCGGGCCTATTATATTTCTTTTTTGCTGGTGGTGCCTTTATAGCCAAAGCTATGTATGTACATATTGTATGTATGTACATAGTCTCTTTTGACCAATTGGTTGTGACGTAGGCAATTTCTCTACAGAAGGGGGAGGTTCAGACCGATCGGGGTAATCCGGTCACGCTGAGCTTGCAACTCTTGGTAACACTCGGGTCGGTTTGTAGAGCTTCAACGGTAGCAGCAAATTCGGCGTTGAGCTCAGTGCTCAGTCGAGCATGGAGGGCGGGAACCATGATGGAAAGTGGTTCAAAATGACGATTCCATATTCTCACTTCGCATTTTTACAGACAACTTTAGAAGTATGGCATTGCTCAAGTGGCAATGGGGCTGTGTCGTACAACCATACAGCTTCGCTGCTTTGTTGATGAAAAAGAGGATGAACAAGATAATGAAATAATGGAGAAGATAAGTACAAATAACATCTGCTGCAGCGTGTTATTAGTCTCGGAGCGATCCGATCTCTCGCATATCAGTTCAATGAAGAAAAGGCTTCACCAGATCGTCCAAATGAGGGATGCAATGGAAAAAAAAGCTTCGGAATTTGAATGAGTGACGGCAATTGAGAGATTTCGACCTGGGATGCGAAGAAGCTCGTGGATGGAAAGCTCACTTTGGAAATTGGGACTTAGAACGTGGACGAAATAACATTTGTCTGTCTACTTAAGATCCCCATGGTTCTGCAAGTTTTGCTATTTTCCATATTTTTATTCTTGTCATTCATGTATATCACTTGTTGAAATGGACCTACATGGTTTTAATATCGATTACATCTTGCTCTATGACATCCATGAATATATACACATACTGTTCTACCGCAAAAGTTTCCGTCACATCAGGTGACCGCCCCATGTTTTTAGAAGTAACTACCCAGGGAGGTAAGCCCTGTAGTGGTATTGATATTACGGGTGGGCGCAGTAGTCTCATAGTGCCAAAAATCTGGCCCCTCACCAATAATAGCCCGGGTGGTCTAGTGGTATGATTCGCGCTTAGGGTTCACCCAAAGCACAATTGCGCGAGGTCCCCGGTTCAATCCCGGGCTCGGGCCCATTATATCTTTTTTGTTCCTCGATCTGTAAGGACTATTTCTTTTTTTTTTTAATTCGCTTCAGATATTCAATCTACTTGCTGTAAGAAAATTTCCCCCTTGCCGACCCAAGAAGCTTCACTGCAGAAACCTGCCCATTTTTAACTGATCCGGGGGGCGGGGCCGCAAACCTCCCCTATCCCACCGGGGCTGCCCGGCAGGGCAACTACACGCCGCCGAGCAACCAGCGCATCGTCGCACACAAGCCCGCTAAACCGAGCGTGCCCCACATTCCACCACATTGGGGAGTCGACTACTCCGTACAAGCCTTAGTGCCAACCGCATGACTTGGGAGTTATGCCACGTCACTCATCATGTAGAGAGTAAGCACAGTGTGGCTGAGCACGGACTTGTCTCTCATCTGACTAGCATTATTCCTAGACAAAACACCTGAGACAAAAAGAAGAGCGGTTACAGTCCATCCTTCCATAATGAGTGGTTTGGAACTCGGCCTTGCTTTGCCGGGTGTCATTGATCTATGCCTGAAGTGAGTGATTAGAATAACAAGCATGGGAGTATATTGACATTTTCTAGATATGGGCATATAATTGTGACCAAATATAAGGATTTCAAGCACGCTGATACAGAAATCGAAGAACGCAAACTTGTCATCGAAGCTGCGTGGATCAAGACATCGGAGCAGTTAGCCTTTCTCCGTCGAGTTTGGGATCAATTGGGCGACCATTACCGGGACTTGCAGTTCCGAATTCTCCGTGTTTTCGAGAGCAAGCTGGAGTCTTCCGTGAGAGAGCTTAGCACACTCGACAAATCGAGCACTGGGACCAGGGGAAGGCTCTCAGAGAAGTCAAGAGCGGCGAAATATGCTCTGCTGAAAAAGGAGTCTCTGGATAAGGCAGTCCGGGATCTTCAAACATGGCAGAATGAGTTCGACACGACCTGGTACATGGTCCTGCTGATTGCTGACCCCTCTATTGATGAGGCGTTGGTGAAGCGCACAGGGACGGAAAAGCTATCCACTGCTAGGCATTTGCGAAGTGTGCTGCACCCGGAGCAAGACAAAGAGGCTTCGATCTTTCTTTCCGAAAGTTTCATCTCGTCTGCTCAGTACTCCGAGATTCCGTTTTCAACATCACAGGTCATCGATATCGCCGATCAGGGAGCATTCATATTGGACTCTGCGGACTGTTCTTTTAGAAGCGATGCTTCGACATTTGCCAAAAACGTCCGGCACCTAGCTATGAAGCTAAACAAGATCGAAGAAAGCGGTTTTCAGCTTCTGAGATGTCATCGTGTGGTTCGAAGGAAAGACCCAAATGACAAGAAGAAGATTCGCTCATTCGACTTCATCTTGAAATTCCCTGAAGGTTGCCACAAGCCTCAGAGTCTTCGAAGTCGCCTTCTGTCAAGAGAAAAGCACACTCTCAGTGAAAGAGTCAGCATGGCTCACCAGCTCGCTACATCCATCAACAATATTCATACACTTGACTTTGTGCATAAGAACATCCGCCCAGAGACAGTTTTGGTATTTGAAGACAACGCATTATATCTACTGGGCTTCAGCGGATTCCGCCTAGCGGACAACAAATCATTGCGACTGGGTAACTCCATTCTGTCTGAGAATATTTACCAGCATCCCGATCGACAAGGGAGCACACCAGACGCCGACTATGTGATGCAGCACGATATATACAGCCTTGGGGTATGTCTTCTCGAGATCGGGCTCTGGGAGCCCTTCGTAAACAGAGATGGACATACAAGCATCCCGCTTAGTGATGCGAGCAGCGATCCATCTGCCCTCGTCAGAGACAGGTCGCTGAAGGGCCACTTGGTGGGGTTGGCGAGAGAACGACTACCGGTTATAATGGGAGACAGATACACCCAGGTTGTTGTGAACTGTTTATCATGTCTGGACGAGACGAACCCAGATTTCGGTGATCAGAGTGAGTTTGAAGATGATGATGGGATCTTGATCGGAGTCAAATACATCGAGAAGGTACAGTGCTTTATATCCAACCATATCCCAGGGATGGGGGCGACTTCAGGATTGAAAGATCAGACACGGCTAATGAAGTTTTAGATCATTCTGCTACTCCGTGAGATTGTGGTCTGACTATGGCAATCTCTAGGGCTGGTGATCGAGGGGCCCTTCATGAGGGTATTTTGACGCCAGGCGGCAGAGAGCAAGATGAACCGGGGCTTTCTGGTGCCTGCGGGCACATATCGGTTTAGCAACCTTATGCTTGACCTTCGTACATACCTTCAAGAAGTAGTCTGGGCACGAGCGTGGAGTCAGCTAGTGTTGTTAAACTAGCCGGTAGATTTCCCAAAGTGATACCACCGTGCGCGTTTTGTCGTGCTGGGATTCGGCGGGCTGAGAATCGGCTTTCCTGGTGACTTATCTCGATCTTTGGCCTCTCGGTCCTTCCCTCGCTGTCGGGCGCGGCAATGATTCATTTGACGGCGAGAGGTCACTGTGTCGCTGTGATGTTCCCCCAGAGTCTGCTTTCTTCCCTCCCAAACTCTGCGCCATACCTCTTCAGCCTCAACATATTTTGATTGTTTATACAGAGCATCTCCCAAGCTGTCAAGAGCAAGCAGTGTCTTTGCGTCATGGCTCCCTTGATATCGCTTTCGAGATTTCCACACATCTCTGTAGATGTCCTCGCTTTCTTTGTACTTCTTCTGGCGATAGAGCGCATGCCCTGTGGATAAGGCGGAACTGAGAGTATCTTCATGTGCTTCTCCAGAAATCCATTTGCGATAGTTCCACACGTCTCTGTAGATGGCTTCGGCTTGTTCGAGCTTCCGTTGCCCAAAGACAGCATCTCCCAGGAGAAGGAGAGATCTTAATGTGTGCCCATCTTCCTCTCCCAGTGTTTCCTTTCGACCTTTCCAAGCCTCTCGGAAGATTTGTTCCGCCTCGAAAAATCTGTCTTGATGAAGCATAACTCGACCAAGGTAATGAAGAGAATTCAACGTCTCTTCATGATGGGCGCCAAGGGAGCTCTTCCTTTGTTCCAATATCTCCCGATATAAAGGCTCAGCTTCGGCCCACTTTCCTTGATCGAAAAGAACATCAGCCACAGACTCAAGACAGGATAGAGTTTCTTCGTGATGTTCCCCAAGACTGTTTTTCTTGCTCTCCCAAACATCACGCAAGACGCTTTCGGCTTCAATATCTTTGTCCTGGAGAGACAGAACCCGACCGTAGAGCTGAAGGTATTCGAGAGTTTCCGTGTCATCCTCGCCAACTGTTCGCTTCCTTCTCGTCCAAATTTCCCGATAAATAGCTTCCGCTTCCGCCATCTTGTGCTGCAGGACAAAAACATTGGCCAATGCACCCAGGGAATTAAGAGTGTATGCGTGACTCTCGCCAAACGCCTGTTCTTCCATCCGCCAGAGCTCACTGTATATTGGCTCGGCCTCTGCAAGTTTTTCTTGCAGCCGAAGTACGTCCGCCAACGAATCAAGAGAGGCTATTGTGTCCTTGTGGGCTTCACCGAGAGCTCGTTTCCTTCTCAGCCAGGCGTCACGATGAATAGCCTCAGCTTCTGCTAGTTTTTGCTGGTTGCCTAGAGCATCGCCCAGGCCTTCGAGTGAAGCTAGTGTATCCTCGTGATGGGCACCCAAGTGAAGCTTTCCTAGCTCAAAAGCCTCGCGGAATAGTTTCTCGGCGTCGGCATAGTTTTTCTGGTCCATCAAACGCACTGCACTATCATGTGTTGCATGAAGATCACCCAGTGAGATGCTTGAGGTTTGCTGTTTGGCTGGTGAGATTGCAGGCATCTCTTGCACGGGCCTGGTTTTCCGTTCGGATGCCATGGCAGAAGAAAGATTTCTATCATCCCAGCCCTGAGAAGCCTCGTCTGTAGTTCCCGTCACATTTGAAGCCACTACAAGTGGAGATGAGCCCACTATGTCATTTTCGGAGATAGCCATTCGTGACATCCCCGAGGTTGCATCGAATGCAAATTCCTTCAGCCATCCTTCCCGAAGCGCCTCTTTGGCCGAAAGCCGCATTGTGGGATCCGCGACCAAGAGACGTTTTATGAACCCCAGACCTTCTTTGGACACGGACTGCAGCTTTCTCCAGGAGGGAAAAGAAGACGTCTGGACAAACGAAGATAAAGTTTGCTCCCTGGTGAAGGGGTAATCGTGACAAAGAAGGTAAAACAACATCACGCCTAGTGACCATGTATCAACAAGAGATGTGTAATGACGCAGATTTTCCGGATTGAACCCAGGAGGGTATAGTCTCAGTAGCTCGGGTGCCAGGTAGAGCTGAGTGCCAACCTTTGACTGCAAAGTAGTCTTCTCGGTGTACCTTTTGCTGAACCCAAAGTCCCCAATTTTGACATGCCAATGAGGACCCTTTGATTTGACAAAGACATTCTGACCTAGTCAGCAAATCTTCGAGAATTCATTTCAGTTTATGTGTACATACCTGTGGTTTGAGATCACGATGAACAAATTGGTTTTCATGTAAAGATTGAAGACCATGTAAGATTTGGAAGCAGATTTGCCGTGCTTCAGACTCCCGAAGCGGTCCCTGCAGATGCTCTTGCAGGTCTCCAAATTCAATATGTTCCATAGCAATGAAGATGCTCTCTTGATTCTCGAACCAGCCGAAGCATTTGATAAACAGCCCTGAATACTGTGTGACATCAGAGATCTAGAAACGGACTGATTCATGAACAGGCCGTACCTTAGGTTGCGAAAACTTGGCAATAGCCTCAAGTTCTTGATCACAATAAATCCGATATGACGGGTCGGATGGCTTCTTGATCATCTTCACAGCCCGGACCCTAGTCGGACCTTCGCTCGACACGCATTCTTCAACCCAGACAGTCCCAAATGAACCTGAACCAAGTATCTTGCCCCTCTTCCAGACTTCGACCTTTCGATGCCATTTGCCAGTTGCCCCGCGCGCGTAGTCGGGCTGGAAGGTGGAATGAGAAGTCTGATCGGGGCGGATATCGGCATTCAGTTTCATATCATTCACAAGTTCTGTTCTCTCCATGGCGAGGCGTTACCCCTAAGGGAGTGGTCTTGTTGATATCAAAGTCAGCCTCGAGAAGCCAGTGTTTTCATCAGTTAAGTCTGACATGTCGATAATCACATGGCATAAGCATGCCCCGTACCCGGGCGCGAGCTAGGCAGGTTTCGGGTTAGCCGTCTCTGTTAGCCGCATCTCTAACCACCAATAGACATCATCGGCCTAGCGCAGCTTGCTACTCTTGGGGATATTCCGATACCCATGGATAACTCGCGGTGAAAGGCCAATAGCCTGGCCTGCATTTTGCCATGAGAGCCGCTTTGAGTCTCAGCGAAGGAGCCAGCATCACAAGAGAACGAATAATGACTTCCTTCGGCATTGCATCGCGCTCTTCCTCCATCTTCTCCATCCATTCCACATTCAGCGGATCTTTACTTCCGTAGAAATTTCCTAGCCTGGTTCTTTTCGGATAATGCCCACATGGATCGAAAAATGACACCTCGATGATGAGGCGACAAACAGCATTTCGGAAAATCGGTGTGCAGCGCGTGCATGTAATGCTCGAAGGCTATCTGAGGTCAGATCTGTTCTTGCTTGCGACGCAAAGGAAAGAAGTCGAGGCCCGAGGCATCGATATGCGGCGTGCTCGTTTACAAGGCGGAAGCTTTTATAGACTCGACATCGAGATGTTGGTTGATTAAATCAAATATTTCGGGCTGTATTCGACACAAAGACGTATCAAGAGCGGAATTTTCAGAGATATCAGGATGGAGCCAGTAATTTCAGGAATCTTCCTCTAGGGCTGGATTGGGGAAGCATCACTTGCAGTGAATTGTACGGAGTAAACGATGCCAAGATGTCAGGAGAGCCTCATGTGGTGTTTGTAGTGTTTGTAGTGTTTGTATGCTCTGCAATATTTCTGCCTCACTGTTGCCTGACTTCTGCCTGACTGCTGCCTGATCGTTGCCTACTATTCTCTCCTTCAATTGTACGAGTACGAACATTCCCTCAAATTCACGATCACGATGAAAGAAAAATTAAAACATTAGGGCGGTAGCCTAAATTATAAGTGGCTACACCGGCAACATGATCCAGAAACCTGCCGTACGCGATCAACGCTAGTGACGGTAGCCCGGGGCCAAAATTCATCACATCTTGGATTCCCTAGACTCCTGACTGATGGAATTCAACAAATCCAACACCCAAGATGTCCATCCTAAACAACGACATCTTGCTCCTGATCAGTGAACACATCGACGTGCAAGAAGACCGAATCAATCTCCTACTCGTATGCCGCGAATGGTACTCATTATTTCTCCCAAAAGTCTACCACAGCGTCCGCCTTGAAAGGGAAAAATATTTCCCCTCGTCCGTTCAATTCAAGCAAATCCCCGAATTGGACCCTCCATTTGCCAGTTACAGGTTGAATGGAGCAGTCGCCATAACTCGGAGCAACATGCAGGCATTGAGATAGACGAAATCTTGAAGACTCTCGGAACTAGTGACTCTGATCAAAGTCTCGACGAGTGGAAAGAAGATCTGCGTTTCGGATGTCCTGATTCATGGCTTGTCGTTCTGGTCTTGCTGGTGCCATTCGTCAAGAGGATGGATATGAATACGCATTTTTCGTATTATTTCTTCCCCATGCTAGGGCGGATTCTCAAGGGTGCTTTCGGTCGGGAGGTGCCTTTGCAACATCTGGAAATTGCCAGATTCTGGACAGAGGGGTCAAAAACTCATTACATGGCGAAGGAGCTTCTTCCTTTCTTTTCTCTTCCTGCAATGCGGGAGTTCATTGGCAGTGGAATCTGCGAGTCCGAAAATGAGAACTATGAAGAACCTGTCTTCACAGTCTTTGGGCCTGGGACTTCCACAATCACGAAGATCAATTTTGGCGGGTATTACAGAAATAATGGATGCAAAGGCTTTACTGATTTCATTCATTCGTGTGCCAAGCTGGAGATCTTCGACTATCAGCATGACAACATAGCCATTTGGGGGTACAGTCATCTCGATATTCGCCCTCTGTTGTTTTACAAGGCGCTTTGCTCTCACAAGGGCACCCTTCGAGAGCTTCGGTTGAATAACCAGGGAGAGAGTGATCCCATGCGTGATCATGAAGAGAATGATGGACGCTGGGATGGATTTGGATCTCTCGCCGAGTTTCATCAACTGCGTGAGCTTCAAATCCCAGTCCACATCCTTTTACAGTTTGATACCACCGACCAGCCAGGGGTATCTCTAGTGGAGGTTGTTCCATCCAGTCTGGAATATCTCAATCTCGCTTATTGTGGCGAGAAGGACTTCGAGGTCGTCATCGAAAATCTTCGGACCTTGCTGGCAAAAAGAGAACAGTTTCCCAATATCAAAAAGCTTGAAGTGAAGCCTGCGATTGTGGAGAAGATCGAGGGAACCTGGGGTGAATTCAGAGTTCCAGCATCCACACAAGAGAGATTTGCACCGATTGGAAGCATCTGCCACGGGTTGGGAATTGAGTTTGGGTTCAACATGCGAGGAAACCTTAAGTTCCGGGGGTAAAGGGTGACAGGGAAATTTAGAATGTGTAACTGTTCAAATTATCAATCAATAACTTTTGACCCATTGAGGGGTAGCCACATTGTATGCAAGTGGATCTTACTGTCTAGCGAGAGAAGCAACGTACAGAAAACACTGTTTGACGGACATAATTGATGGGGTCAATAGACTCGTCTCCTGGTAACAGTACTCGGCGAGCACACACGGAGAATATTGAATCTCCCACATCCCGTTTACTAGGACCTGATGCAAGAACATAGTCTCGTCATAATTAGTGTAGAATCCATAAGCACATCCCAGATCTTGCATGTGCTAAACAGACTGAGCGAGCAGGCGTCGAAGTGCATCCTCGTCCTCATATGCGCGGGAAGGCTGGTGGGCTTTAATCCACGGTACTTTGATCTCTCCGACAACCTTCAGCTCTTGGCACTGGGTCTTGAGAACACTATCTGGGGTGTTCTCGTAGCCAAGTCCTGGGCATTTAAAATCCGAAAATCCGAAAATTCACGTCGATCCCCTGTGCTTCAAATATCCGGCCGAACTGTTGTGTAGAAAGTTCGTCCCAACCCCCATTTGTAGATTAGATCCGCTCCCCGCTTCTCCCTTCTTCTCTCTCTCTCTCTCTCTCTCTCTCTCTCTCTCTCTCTCTCTCTCTCTCTTTAGAGAGAGTCAATACAATCGGTTCTGTCCGCTGCTTCTCTCTCGCCCTCTAGGCTCAACACCATCTCCGTTTGAATCAAAATCGTCCGGGAACCTCTTATAGAGGTCTCGTAGTTTGATGTTATGCGTTTCGGTCTTGAGCCTGAAAACCAAGTGGTCCGTCAGGCGTACCTTGTCTGGTAGCTCGTTGAGGTTCGCGTTAGGGATGTCGTATAGGTCGTAGGCCGAGGTTTTCGTAGCTGCGCTGTCGACGGCGCAGTGTACGACGTCCTGCAGGAAAGTCGCTGCCAGTGCTGGTTTGACTAGACCTTCTGCCATGATCACAGCGAGGAGGTGTCGTGAGTGAGCACGAAGGAGTAAGGAGTACCGAGTGAGGAGGACGTGCACGAATGTGATTCGCCAAAATGCTGCGTGAACCGACTCTGAAATCCAGCTTCATCGCCAACTTCAAAATGTTCATCTTGGAAGCCATCGTTCTTTTCTTCTAGCCTTATCGTTGGTTTGCGCCAAGACTGCGCTTTGTCGGTGTTCTCCACATCTTGCACGAAGTTCATCCAACGAGTCAATGGGTCGGGGTACCGCAATTTATGGAGTGCGTTCGAAGTTGTGTTGTGAAGAGAGTTCGTCCCAACCCTCGTAGGAGATAGATCCGCTCCCCATTTCTCTCTTCTTCCTCTCTCTCTCCGCAGTCAATTCAATCGGTTCTGTCCGCCCCCTTCTTCTCGCCCTGTAGGCTCAACAAGTTGTAAGCGCGATTCCCAGTTTCAACGGAGGAACACGCAATCAGATCGCTGGCTTTGCTGTGATTTGGAAGTCCATACCTAGCGACAGTATGAAGTCAGTATACACATGTCCCCGAAATGATGCATCAATTTACAATCACAACACAACTCACGGGCTTTGTGTTGCAACAATCAATTAAAGCAAAAAGGTGGTCCAGAAAAAAAAAGGAAGTAAAGAGACGAAACAAGAGGAAGGGACAAAAGTAAACATAGAAGTAAAGCCTAAAGCCTAAGGCGCCCACGTCACTCCCGTGGTCACTCATCACTCATCTTACATTATACCTGGCCCAGACAGACCTCCTAGGATGAAATAATCAGGCTCTGTCTGTTATAAGAGGTTTCGAGGGGAGGATTGAACTGAAAGGTGTGCGACCGTCGACAAGCAGGCCGAAGAAGAATTGGCAGAGAGTATGCTGTCGCTTACGACTTCTTCAAGAGCTACAGGGGTCTGTAGCAGTAGGCGCGCGCGTTGACCAAACTGATGATGTTTGGAATAGGTGAGCCGCTCTGGAGGGGCACCCGCTCCCGGTTAAACCCTACGATGAACGACCTTCTTCTCGAACTTCAACATTGTTTTTGTTTTCTTCCTTTTTCTTCTCACAGTCTCAATCATGACCAAACCTCTTCATCTACACCTTGCATCTCTGGATGATGACGACCCATGGATTATTGAGCAGAAATATTTCACGATCCTAAACGACTGCTTGCAGCCAGATAGCCAGGTTTCAGCTGCCGAAGCCGCTGCTAGGATCAATGAGCTCACTCCGATGAATCGGGAGACAAATGGCGAAGAGGTGGAAGAGCCGACAAGCTTCTTATTGGAGTTTTGGGGAACAATCGGCGAGATTGCGAGACAAACCCCTCATGATCATCCCGCACAAGATAAGATGATTGAGATTCTCAAAGAACTTCAAGCCTTACCTGTTGTAGAGGTTCCCGTGAGCAAGACGGTATTTCCAATCTTGCTGACCTCTTAAATTTCGATACTGACCCTTTGTCCTTTTGGATAGGGAATCTTACGGATTTGGTCCGAGCTTCCATATCTAACGGAAGATTGGACCGAGTATAACATCAGTTAGTGCTGTTTTTTCAGATCAACTCTTGTCTAAACCTTAACTAATCTTCACCGAAAAGACCCTAAACCCGATGATGATTCCTCTAGATTTGAGAAATGGATAAATCGTCAGGCATTTTCGGCCCGCCTCCTCCAAGCTGGCTTGGCAGACTTGTTTCGTCTACCGACCTGGTGCTTCAGTGATGCACTCGAAGAGGAGCCATCTGAGATAAACGAGTTTTTTGAATGTCAAATCCGCGCTTCCGTACAGTGGATTGAGCATTCCAGAGATGTACTCTTTCGCTCCCTCGACAAATTACCCAACTTCCAGACCCTGGTACCCGGCCCACTGTATACGGGCAAAGGGGGCCTTTCCCGTGAAAGATGGGACTTCTGGGAAGCAAGACTCTGTGTATCAGCAGAGAGTGGAATGCTTACAGAGGAAACCGCGTTAATTTGTCACAAGGCTGCACAGCAAATGGCCGAAATGGCTGTGACCACCGATGGCAGTGATGAGTCGGGTGTTGGGGAGACGGCAACAACGGAGACTCCCAATGATACTTTCGAACAGGAGGAGACGATCAGTGAGATCGAGGGTCAAAAGGAGAGGGTCTTGTACGTATCAAGTTGAACCGAGTATTCTATCGCAGCATAGCACTGCATACAAAAACCTGCGCAGCAATAGCTTCTTCAGCGCAGGACTTATCAGGTCTTTGTAGGGCGGGATAGTCGGGACTTATCCCTTACAGGGACGCTGACTATCTAGATATGGGCATAGTTTCAGTGATTAGAGGTCTGAGCTGGTGGGAGTTGTGATCATGATAATGGAATGCATTTCTCGTTAATTGTGCACATTGACCAGTTCCCTTGGCTGGGGATTATCCACGCAACCGATGCCAAATGTGCATGTAAACACAGATTCAACTCCTTCTTCGTAAAAGTCATGTGTCGTAATGTTCTTATGCCATGAAGTCTTGCAGCTTCTGCTCGTTGAGAATCTCACCCTCCACAAGTCTGCCGGTCTCAATCACTTCCCCATCGACTTGCTGGTAGCGTACTAGCGCAGGGATATTTCTGGTAGCCCAAGTAGTGCGGTAGACATTCTGAGGGTTATTCCACCTAATTTACACATCAGCCAGCCAATTCCAGACCATGCTGGTACCCATCGGTATTCTTCCGAGAACGAGATCAACAATGTGGGGTCAGCATCCGCACTTGAACTTACTCGGGCTTCTGTCCAACCTCGACGATCGCAAGTTCCGGAGTATCGTCCCCCGCAAATGCCGCGTTGATGGATGGCATGGCGGCTCTCACGTCGGGACACCAAGCTTGCTTAGTGATGGGATCTGATCCGGAGATGAAGGCGATGAAGAATTTTGAGCCTGGCCCGACCAGGAGCTCCTTCGCGGAGGTGGGCAGAGTGAAGAATTTGAGGATCGTCATGGTAGCTTTGGACTGGGTTGCAAAGCGCGATGTGATGTGCTCAGGTCCTTTTCCGAAGAGGCAATTGTGGCTTTTTGCGATGTCTTTGCCAAGCCGGGTATTGCCGGCCCACGTGGAGATTTGCGCTATGCCTGAAATGGATGGAGTACTATGCGATCAACAACCTACTACTTGATGAAAAAGAAGAGATTTGAATAACTCATTTGTGAGCACAAACTAGATCTGAATTTAGTCCTAATACTACAGGAAGAAGATTCCCCATGCCCCGGGGGAAATTTTTACTTGACTGCGTTTGGTTGGTCCCTTTCCAAGCTCTGCCTCTCTCATGTTCCATTTCGCCCCGACCCTTTCTTCTCTCCTCTTTCCAACTTCTTCTTCTCCTCTCTTTCCAAGTTCTTCTTCTCTGATATTCTTTTTCCTCTCAGTCAAGTAACTTTTTCACTATGGAACGCAACACGCCACCGAGCACGTATCCCACGGAAACACATACATTGGGCAGGAACACTCGTCGCCGTGTCTCGCAGCCTGATGTCAACGAGACACAAGAAGGTTCTGCGACATAGAGACACATACAATGGGCAGAGGTACTCGTTTCCCGGTGCGCAGCCACTTATCACCGGCGCGCAGCCACTCATCACCGGCGCGCAGCCACTCATCACCGGCGCCCAACAAATCAACCGTCGCGGTCAAGGCGAAGCACCCGAGCTCGAAAACTAGTGAGTATTTCTCCAGAGAAAATGAGTTCACTGTTTGATAACTAATATAATACAAGCTCTCCGGCCGAGTCATCGCGCATCCACACAGGGGGAGCGCCAATGGTTGTCCCCGAAGCACCAGCGGGTGGGGCTGAAATCTCACCAGGCGAGTGGGCAGCCCTTGTGAAACAGCTCCCCTGGAAGGTGGCCCGAAAGGGCGCCTTCTTGAAAACAAGGGCGCTTGAGCTCCTCATGGGAGCGCCTGCCAGGCGCGAGCCCGCCCAGCGGAGCAAAAAGGGCTATACCGGAAAACGACTTGACGAAAGGGTATCTGACGAAGTATCCAATCCTGAGTCAATCCTGATTCAGGTTGTCGGCACTGTGGTCGAGCAGGAATGTGAGAAGTGCAAGAAGAGGGAAGGCCCTTGGGCCCACTGCGTCCGCTTTCACGATAAAGCGAGGCCCTGTGCCTCAACGTCTTGATCATTGAGGCCAAAGGGCCAACCAAGTCAAACGATCCAATTGCGCAACTGCTTGCATACATGGGTATGTATCTCACTATCTATATGTTGCTCCCGTTTTTCGAAAAAAAAGCTAATTAGTAAAGCATGTATGCACCATGTCCGCAAGTCAGAAGGAAAGCGCAACTGCGCCGTGTACGGAGTAGCCGCCACAAGCCAAGCATGGTCCTTTTTGAAGATCAGCAATGATTCAAAGGTAATTTCAAGCCATGTTGGCCAAGATCTGGACTCACATATCTATCAGTGGTCTGAATACCCAATTCAGGGCAGCAGAGGTGATCTGGACGAGCCATTCGGCCTGCTAGTGTGGATGTTAAAGAGGGCTGCTGCTCTCTCCCCAGCTCACTCCAAAGATACATCCGCCGAAACAGACGAGGAGGCGGTCCAATGCCCAATTGTTGGATCTACAGGGCCAAAGAAGAAGCGGACTGGAACCGATTGATTGACTGACTGCAGGGAGAGAGGGGAGGAAGAAGAGAGAGACTCGGGAGAGAGGGTCTATCTACACAAACACAAACTGAGGTTGGGATGAACTTCCCACTCAACACCAATGGACCTCGACCCCATGGAAGGAGAAAGGGGCTGTGTACCCCAAGGGTACTCCATCTAACCCTATCTTTAGCCTATATCGAGCCTATCTTGAGATAGGCTTGTTCAATCAACATTAGCTTTCAAAACACTCAAGTATTCATAGAGTTAATAACTCTCTGCCTCTGCTACGCGCTAGATTCATCGGATCATACTGACTGGTCCCATCAGACTCTTCTGAACAACATCAAGGGCGTACTCGTAAGCGGAGATTGCAAAGATGCGATTGCCCAGCTATCGACGAAGCTGCAGGAATCCTATAAGAAGGCGTCGGATGCGTACAGCACTTAGATGTATCCGTACCTGCTTTCAGTCGTATGAGACGGGATTATTGTCATTTGCTAATGCTACGCCGATACCGATGCAGAGGCTGAAAAGGCAAATGAATCGGATTTGTCTCTCTTTGACCGCGCTCATTCAATCCTAGCCCACCAAGACCCCCAAGGGCAACACGAAGCTGAAGTTGATCACCATCAAGGCACCCGCAGAGTAAAAGAAGACCCCAATACAAATGATCACCGCGGAGCAAAGCAAACCAATACTAATAGTACCATGCCAATAAATGCACTCTTTGTATAAAAGCGGATTCCAAACACAGGTAGCTCGGATTGGAGAGCTGCACTAAAAGCAGTAATAAAGCATTTGTTTTACCATGAGACACTCCATTTGTCCAAAGCTCACTGAAGCACATTCCGGGTTTCCGGATAACTGCAATGGGTTTCTCCACCTCGGCGCTAGAGACGAGCATTCTGGAATCATCGTATTGCCTCACACTCAGAGACGAGACTTGACCTTTTGAGGTGCTTATGATGTAACCAGACAGCCGAGGCCAGCAGAAGGCAGGTACGCGCGAATAACTTCACAATGCACCAACCCTCCAAATCTCGACTTTGAAACTCGAAAAGAAAATAATTTCACGATTCAAGTGGTGCTCAAAATCCAGTGAGGTCAAATTAAGAATCTGATCTCCCGATAGGACCTGTTTTATAGTGGGGCCCCAAAATCGTCTCATCTCGCCTTCGAACATACGACTTGACAGGGGTATAAATGTCAAGTTAAGGCCTCATTTTAGTACGCGAGGGCGAGTGGCTCAGTTGGTGAAACTTGTGTTTCGTTTCCCACTGCCGCATAAAGCGAGTCCGAGCTCCGGTCTTCGGACACGGGGGAGTTTAGCACCTACCTTCCCGGGAGGGAGTAGGAAACGTCATTCAGCATACTACGGTTTGGCAGCGGCTCCTGATAACCTTCGGGTTTGTAGCCTCAGGGGGGCGACCTCCTGGGGTGAGTTTCACACCTTTTTTTTTCTTCTGTTTTTGCTTGGAGCTGCATCTGGGCCAGAGGAAGCTTTGGAGAGCAGAAGAGCGAGTAGGGTGCATTCGGAGTTCTCAAATATTTTGAACTTTAGGCTTAAGACCAGTGACTTGATTAGTGTCATCTAGGTGTGATGCCCATATTGCTTTTTCGTCATTCCGTACTCCGAAACATGCCCGGAGCCCAGTCAAATGATATCCCGAGGTGGGATGTGATTGATGAATAAGGTGTACCGATGTTGGAGAACGAATGTAAAAGCAATCCTCTGGTATGTCTTCGAGGGTGTGGAGAGGGAGAAGAGGTAGAGATGTGAAAATGGGCGAATTTATGCGGATTAGGGCTTGATCAAGGGCAAGACATCTCCGAGCGGAGCTGAATGACGACATGCACGTGACCACACCGGATGCTTTTCATGGTAGATCGTTTACCATGCCCGACTTCTCCAGTACGATGAAGCCGGCGTAAATAAGACAGAAGAAAGTAAGAGCAAAGAGGAATTTGCATAAGATGGACCCGAATTCAGCTTATGTCATTCCTTGACCGGGGGGCTCGGGGGCCGTGCGCTGATCTATTATGGACTAGGTGATATTTTTCATAAGGTGGTTTCTACTCTTGTGAGGCCAAAAAAACACTTGAAGGGGCTATCATTTTAACAAAAGTAGTTAGTTGGTTGGATTGGTTGAGGAGGGAAAAGAAACCCAACGTCCCACTCGTACAACAGCAGGATCAAATGTCCAAACAAGTCAAACAAATACGAGTCAAACGGGGCATCTCCAAGGCTGAGATTCCACGGCATTCCCGGCCTAATAGGTAACATTGGGATGCAGCTGATACATAGATCGGTCGGCTCATCTGAGCCGGTGCTCCGCTCCGCATAGTTACCAGAGTGATGGAGTAAATGATTGGCCAGGGACTTACGCGCCGAGTTCCAGGAAACTTGGCTGCTCCATGCTTGTGTCGGTGAGATGAGTGCTCGGACGCTGTGGCGTTTGCTCTTCTTCACTGCTAGGAACCTCAGGTCATTGCAATTGCTCCAAATCACTCTAAAATTGGACTCAATCTGAAGGGATTTTCCTTGAACTTGTCGCCAGCAACTCTCTCCCTCTTTTTTTCCTTATCCGTACTTCTTGTTGCTTTTTATTCGACAACATCGCTCAAAAATGGGCCACATTCAACAAGGTTCTATTTCAAAATAGACCGCCCAGGGAGACAAGTACAGACTATTGACTGTCCATACAGGGCTGCCCTGTCTAGTGCTTCCAACTAAGTGGGGCAGGCAAACAAAGAACGACAGCAAATATTCATTTTTAACGACACAAAAAGCACCCTTTGGATCACTTTCTCCCACTTTCCCCGTTCTTTCATTTCATTTCCACCGAACCTTTGAGATCCTGGTATAACCGAGTCATGCCTTGTTCTCCGATTGCACTTCGGTACCCGCGTGGGTCTGCATTTTGTTTGCTACTCTTGTCTTCTTTCTTTTTTGCGGTTGACTGCTTTGATTTCTTTTTGTCATACCTTTGTAACATTGCCCATTTCTGCTCCCGCAGTCGTACAATGTCGACGTTTTGATTGCTTGGTATATCGCGGATTTGATTGCCATTCCACATTCCTTTCAGCACGATTTATGAACAGGTACTCTGTATGCCTGTCAGAATTACAAGAAGCCGGGCTTCGTTCCCTCCGCGCGCAACGACATGCATTCTTGTCATATTTATTTGGCTTCTTTTTCGTCACCTGCCAAGTCCTCCAGTCACCCAAAACAACACCCGCGCGGACCGTCCACGCCCGAAGAACCAGGCAGAGGAGCGACCTCACTTTCTCTTTCAATCTCCATTCCGAAAGTCTCCAGATCTACAATACGAGAGACAGATATCGGATGCCTTGGAAAGACTTGCGCAAAGCGTCTTATCCAAGAATCATGGAAACAGCAGATCTGAGGACAGGATATGGCAGATCGCAGCAAACGATGCGATGAGGGGGACGGATTCCAGGGAGTTTGAAGCAAGAAATGACGAGTGGGCGTATACTGTGTGTGAGCTCCGATTCAACGTCCCACTGGTCACCAGCTAAAAAAATCAAAGTTAGTCAATGATAAAAAGGCCGTTGAGTTTGTGACCACCGAGCTGTCTACTATTCCTGATATCGCAGAAGCATACAAATCTTATCCCCATAACGTTCTACGGGCAGACTTTCTCAGATACTTGCTTCTTTGGTACTACGGAGGTTTCTATGCAGACATTGATGTCTTCCCCGCTCGCTCGATCAAAACATGTTCAGCATTGCGATCATTCTTTCCAACACCCCAAGACTCCACCCAAAAAGCTCATCACAATGTATCACTTGTTGTTGGCATCGAGGTCGATGAGCCATTTGCTTCGCCACAATTCATGCGCGACTGGCATTGGGTAAGGAGCTACGGACTGATCCAGTACACAATGTACGCGCCGCGGCGTTTCAGTCCACTTTTGAGAGAAGCCATTGTCCATGTTTTATCGCACACGAAAAAGCAGAATAAAAGCTATGGGAGTCCGTTTCGCAGCGCGGCCTATGACGAGAAGACAATTCTTGGAGTCACAGGTCCCGATGTTTTCACGGATGCTATTCTCGAAACTCTGTCCTCGTCGCTACCTCCGAACCATCCACTCATTCAGCAATCAATTGCTGCAGATGTTGGCATTGATGATCTTGTGTCTCCCACGACGGGAGAGATCAATGAACGGGTCTCTTGGGCGCCTTTCCACCATATTCGGGATCCTGTCTGTGTTCAAGATGATGAGGCTATTGACGGCGCCTCTCATGGTGGAATATGTGTGCTACCAGTTAATGTTTGGGGTAATGGACAGCGCCATAGCCGTGCAGGGGGATTCAATGATATTGAAGCTTGTGTTAATCATCGTTTTGGTCGAACATGGAAGAAGGGCTGGTGGGAGTATATTTTTGGATAACTTCCCTGTTCCAAGGTTTCATTTTGGGAATAGACCTAGATAGACTTAAGAAATAGACTGGACTTACAATGCTCCCTGGCGAAAGAGAGAAGTTTAATCGAACCTCCCGAGGTAACAAAACGAGTTCGTTGGACTTATCCGGAGATTCAGAACTGAACAAAGCAATGACATCGGCTTTGATAGTACGAGTAATTTACATATTGTCCAAGTCAAAAGCGCCCGTGCCAGCCTCTCGTACTTTATCCGACAGAAGATGATATCAAAGCCTGAGCGATTGTTGAAAATTCTGTATATTGATCCAGGAAATGACAACCAGATACTATCGCGGCTCCCGCTTTCGAGATTCCTGAACTACTCAATCATTTGTAACAGACACATCCTTCCTTCTTGGGGTTCTGGCAACGCGCCTGCTTGACGTTACAGCCACCGCAGAAACCACATCCATCCGGCGCATAGCAGTTGCCCTCACCAACCACACAACTCCCATGATGGCCCACACAGTTAGTACATTTGTTGGTGTCGCGGCCTTCAAGGCCTTTTCCCTATAAGGTATTGTCAGAGTCATCCTGATGAAAATGCAGTGTGAGCTAGAGATATACCTCAAACAGGTCGAGCTTTTGCGGTTAGCTTTATTTTCAAGTTCAAAAAGTCAAAGGGGACTCACAGGCTCGGAATACACGACATCGTCACCAACTTCGTAGATTTCAAGCTCCACGCCATTTGCTGCGAAGAGGCCACTCTTTTCAGCTGACACTCCTGCGAGGAGCAAAGCGAATAGGGTTGTGGCTTGGAAGATCTTCATTTTGGAGATAAGGTTGGTCTTCTGGATGGAAAAACAAAGTGATGCAGTTTGCAGCTGGAGGTTTTTGTGAGGGATGGATTGCTGGAACCTTTGAATGCAGAACCCATTTATATACTGAAAATTGTGCCTCAACTTGGAACATAAGATTTGCTACCCCCTGGCAATCGAATGGAGGGATGTACAATTCATCCATGAATCACCAAGAGCAGGGGTTTGAATCCTTTTGGACAGCTTGAAGATGTTTGCTCAATCCGTCTTGTTAGTGCCAAGCAGAAGTTGCAGAAGGCTTGTTGGTATCAGCGCCTAGAGGCTTAAATTGATAGCCAAGTTTTCAGGACTTAGCTTTGGGAAACTATGTTTAATGGGATCGAGCAGTAATCCGTATCCGGAGTCGATTGATCTCCCACCTGGCTCTAGAGCTTTCATATAAATATTTGGGGATTTTGATACCCCCAGAGAGTCAAATCTTAGAATTTTCGACTCATTTACAGCTCACCTGTGGATGGATTTCATATTCAACTTCCAGGGCCTGATGTTGATCTATCGAAAAAGGTGACTTCAAATGTTGGGTCAACAAGGTGGACCTTACACGCCAATACCCATCTAAGCAGCTGGAATTTAAACATCAAGTGCTACACAGACCCACCCGAGATAAAGCCGATGAAACTTCTTGCATAAGGTGATGCATTTCGAGATACAGACCACCTGGACAAGGGTTTGAAGGCTCTGATTAATTTTGTTTGCTTCTGAAGTTATACTTTCCTCACCTGGTCTCATAATATTCAGGGAAACAGACTAATTGACCATTAAGACTTGGTGAACTGGAATTGGCGCCTAGATGTGTCGTTGTTTGTACCGTGGTTTTCAGCCGCGTCGGCGGCTCACCCGATTGGGGTGCCGCGGTTTCTCCAAACCTTGAGCACCCAAAGTGAACACACGCCCCAACTTAATTTATCTCCAACATTATGTGGAATTCTGCCTCCAAACGATGATTCCTGGTCGATTTGCTCGTTTTCGAATAGCTGTGTCAATATGTTAAACATATCGCTGCGCCCGATCCCGCTGTGGACCCTATCTCCGAAGCCTACGAGCTGCTTGCTGATGGCACAGAGTAAACACGTATTCTCTCGGGTACCAGTGTGAGTTTCAAGGTTCTCTGACCCACGTCAGTGTGGCCACTGTAGTATTTCATTGGTGGATATCTAGCACAATTCCACAGTGGATTCCTGCCAACTTGGAAGAGCCTAGGTGGTCTAGTGGTAGGGCGCTCGTAATTTCCTCCAGTCCTCCATCGGGGTGAGCTAACATTTGGGTTAGCAATAACTGGGAAAGGAGGATGGAGACTCGAGAGATTCGGGTGATTCCCGGCCTAGGCATCTTCTTTTTTCTCTCTCTCTCTCTCTTTTTTCTTACCCTTTTTTCGATTCATGTTGGATATCTGGTTGGACCAGCCACCAATTGATCAGCACACCTTCCTGGCCACAGCCAGACGGCTGGTCATGTGGCGATAATCCATCTCTCCGTCGATCACACACCTGGAGATGACGGCTTCGCTTTGAAGGCATTGGCATTCAACCCACAAAGAAACAAACAATGCCATTGATACGCTTCCTTGACGATTGCTTTCACTTTTGTCTCCTATTTCTTTGTTCTCAAAGGTAAATTATGTATGGCGCGCTCATTACACTCAACACATAAATATCCTCGACTTCGGTCGAGTGTTACTCATCCAAACCTATATCCATGGATTAAACCTCGGAAATTTCTGCGGAAAATATCAGCACCCCAACACTTATATACAATCAATCTACATCACAGCCATGTGGGATCTACAGTTCACTACCGATTTCAAAACCAGCTACACAAGAGTTTGGAAAGGCATGCAGACACTGATCGCTACTCTGAAAAATACAGGTCCTTATGGCTCAATCACGAGGCAAATAGACGTCTTATTTCCGCAATTGAATGAGCTGCGGCGGGTGGGTGAGCTGATGGGAAGAAGCGAAGATCCGAATGAGATTGTTCAGAGCGCTCCTCCAGGGTATTTTGTTGTTCGCGGACAATGTCATTCAAGCTTCTATGGAACCGAGCTCGGCTACACTTGTTGGTACATCAAGGCAAGTATGGGATATGCGGCGAGTGGCTTAAAGCACGGCCACAGCCCAAAGAGCATTGCTGACTTTCTTGAAGCTATGATGGTTAATCTTGACATTCAAAATCTGAAAATCTTTCCGCGTTCGCTTCCGATTGAGTTTGGAGAACCCATGGCCTCATCAGTTGAGTCCGGCTCACAATCGCCTAGTACTTCTGAGTCATTCTACTCATTAACTGATGATGGCTCCCGTAGCATTGCAGCACCATCAGTCAGTCATGAGTCCAGAGGGTCCAACACTTTCAAGGACCCAGCCTCTCCAACCCTTTCCGATTCGGACTACTCAGGCTCTTCTGTTTCTTCTGACGACGAGGATCCCAATGGCACATTCCCACAATCCCTTGGGCATGGATATAAAGTGCCCCACAATACCCCGGTTTCGTCTCTCGACTCTAATGGTCGAAGAACGAGACCTGAAGATGCATCAATCTTTGCTCAGTTGGCAGAACGTGCCAACGAGCTCACTCGATCACTTGGCTCTAGTGATGCAAGATCATCGGGGGGAAGATCATTGTCCAGATCTCCCCGTCGCCTAAGAAGACCCGTAGTGCTTGCAGGGAGAAGAAGAAGGCACAACCGCTGAGAGGCTCATGTGTGTACGGAATCACTTAAGTGAATCTAGCAAACTTTTCAACCCGATGCAGAATCCTTAAGGCGTGACTTCCAAGGTTCCTGAACAAAGTGTGAGAGTTCCCATAATTAGTTTAACATAGCATTCATCTAGCAAGATTATTCTGTCTCCAATCACTTGAGCATATCTCCCTCCCCCGGTAATTAAGGAAGTACTGAGTACTCAGGTAAAAGTTGGTTCCAATATTATATGCTCCAGTGAGATCTTGTAGCCTTGGTCTTTCAACCCTTGGAACTTTAGAAGATATCAACATATAGAAGAAACGGGCCTGCCCAAATGGGAGCAGAAAAGTAAAATCGATTGCAGTCTATGGAAATATAAGTTCCATGAATTGGACTCGACCAGACTCGTACCCAATGGCGAATTTGTTTGTTTCCACAGCCAGAGCTGAAGCTCGAGCCTCAGGGGGAAGCCGCAGTACTTGCTCGCCATCAAACCATATCCAACCCTTGGATACCGAGATTTCACTCGGCGACATGTCTCGCCACTTTGAGTCATAAGAAGGGGGGAAGATGCCACGAAGGGGAAATCGAGCCTTGATGTTGTCTGACTCTGAATGCGCTATAAGACACAAACTATCCCCGGAGAACTTCAGCGAAGCGTTTGGTACTTGAGCTACCATTTGCTCTTGCAACTTGTCTGCTACCACGTCCCAAACTGTGACTTTGGTCCCGACAGATGCCATAGAACGACCACCAGGCGAGAACACTATCTCAGCAACCATGCCTGGAATACCGTGGAGGTTGTGCACTGTGTCTGTCGCCAAGTCCCAGAGTTGAAGAATCGAAGGATATACATGTGCGCATGCTAATACTCGGCTGTTCGGAGTGAAGACCATCGTGTAAGGCCTGTCTCTAATGGGGCTCGCGTGGCTTTGCCAGACACCGTTCGCTATGTCCAAGATTCCTATACCAGAGCGACCATTTTTTGATATTGCCATGAGCCTCCCATCCGGGGATACTGCTTTCACCGGAGATACGAATGCTCCAATCAACTTCTCTTGTGGTTGATCTTTCGTTGTGTCTAGAAGCCAGACTGAATAGGGTAAAAAGGGCTTCTGGGAACTGGAGACCCAAGAAAGAATGTTTCCATTGCTTGAAAAATCCAACGACTGAACACGCCGATGACCTGGATTGCCAGTGTATATCTGGACATATTTCAATGTGTCCCAGATCTGAAGTTGGTTTCCAGGTTCAGAAAATACGGCTAGCATTTGGCCATCGTGGGAGAATTTCACCGAGCTGGTCTCATTTGAGAACCTTCCTTCGAGGATTTTCCCAGAAAATGTCTTTGTATCCCAGAGCTGGAGTAACCTACAGTGAGAAACAGAAAGTAGTAAACGGCTGTCAGGTGAAAATCTCATCAGAGCGACTGGATCCGGATTTGCAACGAGCATTGGTTTCTCGAAGCCTGTTAATGTGTCACAGAGCTGGACAGTGGTATCAGTTGAGCCAGATGCCAGCTGTCCATCTGGCGAAGATGTTACAGAGGTCACGGAGCCGGGGTGGGCCTCGAACGTTTGAAGTAATGTCCCCGTCTTTATATCCCAGAGACTGACGGTTCCGTCATTGAATCCGGATGCCAAAAACCCCTGATGCGATAGGGAAATTGGATTTGTTGAATCCAAGCTGGCCTTAAATTCATGAGTCAGTGTGCCTGTCCTTATGTTCCACTGATGTACGATTCCGTGGTTTGAGCTAGAAAGTAGCTCGTCGTCAGACAAGAAGATCATCGCAGCGATTGTTTTCGAATAGGGATGAAGATTCCACCGCAAGCCATTTTTTCTTGGGCTCGCCCGGACTTGGATCATTCTTTCCCGGGGATAGGATGGCCCATCACACAAGGAGATAAAGTCGGTGATAAAACCATCGACGTTCTCATGCACAACGCTTGTCGTGATACTCCACAGCCTAACCGAGCCATCTCTGCAACCGGTGGCAAGTAGTCGATTATTAGGCGAGAAAACCAACGAGTGAACTGAACATGGATGTGGAATAGTTAATTTGAGACCGGCTGTTTCAAAATTCCAGATCTTAACCGTGCTATCCTCGGCACCAGTTGCCAGGAGCTTGTCTGACGAAAACGCAACCGACAACACTCTTCGATGGTGACACTTGATGATTCCTTTGAGATCCTTTGTTGCAGTATCCCAAAGCCAGACTTCTCCGTTGTTATAGCCACAGGCCAGAATCCCACCATCATGCGAGAATGCCATCGAATGGCACAACTCCAACGGAATGTCCATTGTATGTTGTATGGTACCTGTAGTCGTGTTCCAAAGCTTAATTGTATAATCTTCAGAACAGGAAGCCACTAAAACATTGTCCGGGGAAAAGATCACACTAGAAACAGGCTCCGAATGTCCTTCGAATGTCTGTATTATTGAGTCCCATTCCTCCCTAGCCGGTGACAGACCAGATATCCACCTCGGCAGATCTGAAGTAAATTGCTTCCGCACTCTTGATCTTTCGGGTGCAAATACCAGGCCTGCGCAGTAGACTTGTAGTGGTGAATGGTCAATTATGTGACGAATTTTAAAGATGAAGCGTTTTGCATCTCGTAGAAACTCCTTGTCAAAAATCAAAGCTTTACTGGTATTCTGCTTTGTTTCCAATGTCAGTAACGTCCAGCATGACACGTCCACAAGACATACCGAGCTAGCAGACGTGGTCTGTAGGAGATTGATGATCCCTAGTACCTCAGATGCATGTCCCAAAAGGCACATAGTTTCCACCCAGTGTAAAAAGCTCTTCTCGAAGAAAGAGAGCGCGGTATCCATCGAATTTTGTGAGTCCATGCATTGCGTGATGTGGAATGCCCAATATCGACATGCATACTGCATCTCCGGGGAAATGCAATCATCAAGGGTTTGAGGGCTGATATCCTGCCGATGAAAACCTTCGTTTGGTAGTTTGCAGATGTTCCTTTGAAGCTGTTGGGACAATATCAAGAGGCATCTTTTTGCCAACCTGTGATGAGCTGCGGAATTTTCTACCCAAAGTGGTGTTTTGTTTTGAGTTGCTGGGTCTAGTAGAAAATCACGGAAAGATAGATGGAAAATTTGCACAGGTAAAGATTCATCATTCGGAACCCTCAAGACTGAGTGGAGGGAGTTGAGGCGAAGTTGGATTTGTCTCTCAGGTATGTCAAGCAATCCTGAGAGCGATGCAATCGAAAGTGGTGTCTCAAGCACCACGATTGAACCGACAACTTGATGAAACTCTCGAATGAGATCGTCTCTTTGGCTGCCCGGGTTTTGTCTTTGAAGAATTCGATCGAGCACAGGGAGATATGTGCTATCCAATTTGGACTCATCCTTTTGGTGGGCCAGAATCTGAGGGAGACTGTCCAGAGGATCCCAATCAGGCTCCTCAAAGACACGACATATGGTGGCGGCAAAGATGAACAGTGGGATGGACAATTCGACCAGGCGTTGAATATTCACCTCTCCAGGCCAGTCAAATGGCAGGGGAGGGTCGCGCTCCTCTCTGATCTCTAAGATACGGTGATTGAAAAATAATGCCAAGTCGCGTGCAATGATATCTGGAGGGATTTCATGAAGAATCAGATCTCTGTGGTCTTGAGATTTTTTGAATCCAAGACGGATTGGCATCTCTGGTCGGCTTGTCAATAGAACCCGAAGACGCAAGGCGCTGGGACTTTGGAGCTGTGGCAGCAACCGAATGACATTTTGCATATCTTTGGTGGAATCGCATTCATCCAAGGCGTCGATCAGTATGACCATAGTAGGCATTGGATCAGAGAGTGTATCCACGCTCAGTAAAGGCCGAAGGATCAATTTATCAAACTGGTCATCAATCCTTCGGGTAGCAATGTCAGGATTGGCCTGAACGGCCTTATGGATTTGAAGAGCAAGCCCAGGAACACTCTGAGCCAATTGCCTTGCCAGTGTCGGAAACAACTTCCTGGTGTTTCCCCTGTCGCCCTCTCCGAGCCGGAAGAAGAAGCTTGCCCCCAGAGTATTGTCGTTTTTCAACCGCCTTGCCACCGTGCGAGATATTGTCGACTTCCCTGTCCCAGCCATGCCATTTAGCCAGAAGATGGGCTTTCCATCTGGCGATGCGATCCAGTCTGCGATCTCCTCCAGCAGCTCAGTCCTTGTGCCAGCAAGACATTCAACTTCATCCCGATCCATAAAAGAGTCAAATTCGGCACCATCTGCCACTGGCAGCTGATCTAATGGACCTGGTTTTCCGCTGTGAGCACATGATGTCCAACCCGCACCTCTCATGTCTCACCTGCGTTGGAATACATGTTGATGGTGCCATGGTTAACGCCCGTTTGGGTTCCATAGTTATCCCCGGTAAATGATACACCATACATTCTCAGCACAACCGCGAAAGGTGGTTGGAGAGTTCGCGTTGGAGAGGGGCATAAGCGTAAGACGGTGGGGTATGCGGCTCTAGCCAATAAACACTTGGCATCACTGCATACTTCACGAGGATATTAGCCCATATGTACGCTAGGATGTGTGCCTAGCCCGGTCCTCGAGGCAGAAATAGGCAATAAGAGAAATTATGGTCCTGCATAGTTGATCTCGTGTTTTGTATTGAATCTGGCAAACGAATTCGAACTGAGTGTTGACAGGAAACTGTTTCAACGGTATATATCTTGCGTGAGGGGACTTGGAGTAGTCATTTCAATGCCTCGTAGAAAACCGCGGAGATATTGCCAAGAAAGGTGACTCGTAGATATGCTGTACTCCCACCAGGTAGGACGAAGTATTCTCCCTAAACAAGTGTAGTTGAAGAAGTCGAAGTTGTTGTGGCACCACTTTGATCTGACCACTTGCTGCGCACTCACCGCTGAGACACCCAGCCAATCACAGACGTGGCAGAACCACTCTGTCATGTCTTGGCGATCGGCCGATCCTCCGCGCATGTCCAGGCCAGCATGGCCACTACTTCTTGTTTTTAAACTGCATTCTTTGACATTCCTGACCTTTCACTCCTCCAGAATATGTGTTATCTTTGATTGATTCCCATTTTACCAGAAATCACGACTCCCAACCACTAAATACCGGATCGACCCTGTCCCCGAATTTCTGGCCTTTGCGCCACCTTGCATAACAAAACTGACGCTGCTGGCGTTTCCCCCATACACCGCAAATTGGATCCAAAATGAGATCTACAGGGAAGTTATTCCATGTGGCAGTGCTGGCTCTGGCTGGTCTGACCACCGCCATCGAGCAAGAGCCTGCACTAGACCCGACCAAATGCGCGGTATGATAACCCAAGACCCGGATCTTCAGGATACAGGACTGACTTGGGACCGGTGCAGCTCGAACCCTCAGCCATGGTATCGGATGCCTGCGTTTCGTACGGTGAAATCAACGGAATCAACGACCTCATCTTCTCCACATTGAACTCCATTACACAAGAAACAGACTTCTTTTCCTACTACCGTCTCAATCTGTTTAACACGGAATGTCCCTTTTGGTCCGATGCCAACAGCATGTGTGGCAATATTGCTTGCTCCGTCAATACCATTGAATCCGAAGACGATATTCCGCTCACTTGGCGCGCGGAGGAACTCAGTAAACTCGAAGGTCCGAAGGCAAACCACCCACCTCGCAAGATCCAAGCCGAGCGTCCCAAAGAACGCCCTCTTCAGGGCGAACTGGGCGATGACGTTGGAGAGAGTTGTGTGGTTGAATACGACGACGAATGCGACGACCGCGACTACTGTGTACCGGAGGACGAGGGTTCTGTCGGCAAGGGAGATTATGTGAGCTTGGTAGACAATCCGGAGCGGTTTACGGGATACTCTGGAGAAGGCGCACACCAGGTCTGGAACGCCATTTACAGCGAAAATTGCTTTATGAAGCCTATGGCCGACGAGCTGGAGGACCAGACTGTGAACGTTCCACTGGGTGGTCTCGAGGCGGCGTCCGCTTTCCGGGACGTGCTCCACAAGAAGTTGCAGCGGCCGGAAGGCCTGCCGCTGGACAATGAGTGCTTGGAGAAGCGTGTATTCCACCGCCTCATCAGTGGCATGCATGCCTCCATCTCTACTCACTTGTGCTGGGACTACCTGAACCAAACCACAGGCCAATGGCACCCCAATGTGCAATGTTTCAAGGATCGACTTCTTGCTCACCCTGAGCGCATCTCCAACATGTATTTCAATTACGCTCTTGTCTCGCGTGCCGTCGCCAAGCTCCGCAAGCACCTGGACAACTACACCTTCTGCACCAGCGATCCCGCGCAAGACCGCGAGACCAAGACCCGTGTCAACAAGTTGACCTCGACTCTTAGCGGGCTCCCGCAGATCTTCGACGAGAAGATCATGTTCCAAGACCCTGGCGCTTTGGGCCTGAAGGAGGATTTCCGCAACCGCTTCCGCAATGTCAGTCGCCTTATGGACTGCGTGGGTTGCGACAAGTGCCGACTTTGGGGCAAGCTTCAGGTAAATGGGTATGGAACTGCGCTGAAGGTGTTGTTTGACTATGACGAGACCAAGAACGGCGAGAACCCCCCTCTTCGCCGCACCGAACTAGTCGCTCTCGTCAACACTCTTGGTCGCATCTCTCACAGTATTGCGGCCGCCCGCAGTATGCAACGCGCTCTCCTGACTGGTACCACCCACATGTTCCCTGTTCACGGTGCAGTGCCCTCTTCGCATCACGCCAACGCCCTCGCCGGGCAAGGTGGGAAACGTGTCTTCCGGGACGGAAACAATAACTTCTTTTACGAGGGAGAGAGTGAGGACGAGTATATTTATGGCCGAGAGCACGTTGAACGTTACCCCTGGGAGCGCCGGCCCCTCGGCCCAGACGCTGGTGTCTGGGACGACATCAAGCAAGAGTGGGAAATGGTTTGGGGCACTGTCGGATACATCTGGCAGGCATGGATGGATATTCCGCGCACACTGTAAGTTCCAACCCTCGCCAATCTTTCTCATATTATACTAACTTACCCCTCACAGACTTCAAATCGGTGCATGGGAGTCCCACCGACTGTACAATTACTGGCTCGGTTTGCCGGTGCCCCCTCGCGCTTGGAAGCTGAAGGCACCGGAGCCGCGTCCACACACTCAGCAGAAAAACCCTCAGCGGGATGAGCTCTGAGTTTATATTTATCGCATTTGCATTTGTACATATTCATGGTCTGGCGTTCATAGATAGGGGTTCGGTTCATTTCGGAGTCAATTCATCATACATGTTCTAATATTCATTCTTTTTCTTCCCTGTGGTCCGTAATCAGGCCCAGTAAGTGTCCAGGCTGATCCGAGGGTTACACATGCCGCTGCTACTTAATAGACATGCATATAGAGATCAAAGGATCTTGAGATCCCCATACTCCACTGTGTCCGATCTGTGAAATTACCTCGGTCTCCATTTGCCACCGAGATTTCCCCACGATAAGTCCTGAATGACAGCGTACAAGATGAAAACAACCACAATATTGAACACAAATTCAACTAAAATATCACACATAAGACTTCCCTAAAAATCGAATCGTACTTAAGTACTAAAAAGCACTAAGTAAAGAATCTGGAGTAAAAAAGAGACCCCCAACTTACAGTTTCGGTAAACCCCGACCTCGGTATCTCCACTCCCGGCCACATGCGACTTTTCCTCTCTCTTCATCATCTCGCCTCTCGTCCTAGATATCTCGATCCACAGTCTAGTGCCTCGATGCAAGTCCGCTAATATCGACATTCATGGCGACGCCTTCGCCTCCAAAACCCTGGGAAAGAGCAGGCGCTGGTAAGTCTGAAATCTCGGCTTTGTTCCCGATGACCCATCTCAAGTCGATCCCCTCTGTGGCTCTTTTGCCATCGAAACAACCATCTGACTCGAGTCTCTAGCAGGAAACGCATTATCATCAACACCAGTCGCTGGTAACCCAGTTGCTTCAACCGCCATGACAACCACCAACCCCGCAACATCGGGTGCCGCCCCCGACCTGCCCGACCGCCCAAGCACTCTCAACTCTGTGGTCAACAGTACCGCCTCAAACTATTCACCCTACGGGGCCTCGCGACTTGGAACAAGTGCCTATGGAACAGGAATGGGTGGGTATGGCTCGATGGGTGGCATGGGTAGTTACTCATCGCCCTACTCCCGCTTTGGCTCCATGGGCGGCATGGGTTCCATGTACGGTGGCGGCTATGGTGGTATGGGTGGTGGCATGTATGGAATGGGCGGCTATGGTGGTATGGGAGGCATGTACGGTGGCATGGGAGGACAAGACCCCAATGATCCCAACAGCCTTACCAACTCCTTTGGCCAGAGCACCCAGGCCACCTTCCACATGATCGAAAGTATTGTGGGTGCCTTTGGTGGCTTTGCCCAGATGCTGGAGAGCACATACATGGCCACCCACAGTTCATTCTTTGGTGAGTGCTTCTGGATTTCATTCTGGATTTCAAAAAAACATGAAATGCTAACCCCTGATAGCAATGGTCTCGGTCGCAGAACAGTTTGGAAACCTGCGCACTACCCTCGGCTCGGCCCTGGGCATTTTCACAATCATTCGGTGGTTCCGGACACTGATCGCCAAGTTGACGGGCCGTCCTCCACCAGCCGATGCCACATCGCTGACCCCCGCCGCCTTTGCATCGTTCATGGGCCGATCGGGCCCCGTCACTCTTCCCGATGGCTCACCCGCCCCCGCCAAGCCATCCAAGAAGCCCTTCTTCATGTTCCTGATTGCCCTCTTCGGTCTTCCCTACCTGATGGGCAAGCTGATTAAGACCATGGCGCGCTCTCAAGAAGAAGAAGCCAAGCGTCGCCAGCAGCTCGTCGGCCCCAACGGCGAGCCTGGCTCTGCTTCCCTCGACCCAGCCAAGCTGGACTTCTGCCGTCTCCTCTACGACTACACCCCCGAGACTCAAGAGTCCAACGGCATCGATCTGGCCGTCAAGAAGGGCGACATTGTTGCCGTCCTCAGCAAGTCTGACCCAATGGGCAATGCCTCTGAATGGTGGCGCTGCCGTGCCCGTGACGGCCGCGTCGGCTACCTCCCCGGGCCCTACCTGGAGACCATCCAGCGTCGCCCAACGCAAGCCATCACATCCGGCAGCGAGCCCGCAACTCGCACCTCCACCATGAACGGTGATAGCGAAGGTCGCACCCAAAGTCTCTCAGCCCTGAAGTCAGAGCAGAAGCCCGAAATCAAGGGCAAGATGGGTGATATCTCACCCGAGAGTTTCCAGAAGAGCACCTTCTACTCATAAGTAACCTTTGGTGCTTTGTTTTTGCAGGAGTAGACGGAGCTTCTTTTTATACCAAAAGCTCTCCGAGCCTTCGTGCTCTATATATCCCGATATGCGTTCTGCAGGCCAACCCTGCCTTTGCCTTGACCTTCCAGTGGCAAATTTCTCTTCTCCTACTGTTCAAACGACAGTGGGCTCTATTCCGTGACAATGTCACGATTCATTTCACATTCTTGGGCTCTTCAATTTAGCGAAACGGTGATTTATGTATTTAGTACCAATGATTTTCACACTCAAGTGCTCAGTACTCAGTAAGGCAGGTAAACACAAACCTACTTAGTACTTAAGTAAAAGCGCACGTTGTCCACAACGCCGTTAAATCCACAATCCACAGTGGGCCAAGGGACCTCCCGTACCCGAGGCCCACCCTTGGTGATACATCGAATATCAAAAACACAACATCAGGTGTATGAAGCTCAATGCAGATACCCGAAGTTCATTTTAATTATGCAGCCCGCCGTTCAACTTCGGTCCCCTGCAGGCCAAGGATCAAAAGTCCAAGTATTTTGTTCTTTTCCTACTTTGGGATATACTGGATGGTTGGTAAATGGATAAATTGCTATGATTCAAGCTAGTGCAAGATCATGGATCCTTTTGTCCGGATTCAGGAAATCACTACGTCTACGATGTAGCATTGGGGTTGGATACGGATTTGATACCTAGGTAAAGGGCTGCCTATTTCGTTGGGTTGCACTCCAGATTCTCAGTTACTTCGAGTTTTTTGAAATGACGTGGGGGTCGTGGGGGGTGTGACGAGGTTGAAACAAGCAAATCCCTGTGGATGGAAAGGGGAGGGTTCGGAATCATGGCGCAGATGGGGGTGAGACAGTTGGCGAAAATCGGCAAAGGAATGTTGAGGTCTCAGTCTGAGTCCCGTGGACTTGGGCTGTTTTTGCTACCCAAAGACCAGCTGGGCAAGGTACATATGGATGTCACAAAAAAAAAGGAAACAAAGAATCACCAATCTAAAATGCGAAAAAAACGCCCTTGCTATGAGTCGCGCCTATTTCTGGGGCAAAATGCGAACTCCAGACAGAAGAACCATGTACATAGAATGAGAAAGAACAAAATGGAAGAAATAAAACGCTGACAGGCATAAGAAAACATCATCCATGATCTTGAAAAAAGATATAATCACATCCCCAATCCCTCGTGGTGGGGAATCTCCTGGTTAGGATCCTGATCTCTGGCCCACTTGGACATCGACTGCGAGAGGGTGTAATCCAAAGTTTGAAGACGGGTCTGGAATGATTCGACGGTATTCCAATCAGGCGGGTGAGCATCGACATCAGGGGTCTCTAGTTCCCTTGGCGCGGGGCCTGGAGCGTGGGCATGGACTTGATGAGAATGCGCATGAGCATGGGGATGAACGGCATGGCCGTGAGTAGGGTGAACAGGATGAACAGTAGGGTGCGCAGGGTGGTGAGCATGGACATTCCCTAGTTGATGGTAGTTGTTGCGATTAGAGTGCATGGTCAGGGGCATGTTCGGGTCTTCGTCTATAATGAGGTCTGGGAGGGTTTCGAGGTGGTTTGGGTCTAGAGCGAGATAGCGACCATCAATATCAGGGATACGCATACTCATCGAGCCCGTAGATTTACCGTATGTGTTGAGAGGGAAGGACGGCATTTCTCGTGGCGAATGGATCTCTAATGGGGAGATGGGCGTGGTCACGCTGTTCTCGTCTGCGGGTTCTGGCGTGTAGCAGGTCATGTCCGAGGGGGTTTCTGATCGTGGTTAGTTTGAAGTTATGAAAGTTAGGGTTGCAGGATTGAGGGGTGTGGTTGTATTTGAGCATATCATGGCATATAGTATATACCACGTAGCATCTAACACCCTTGCCTATAACACCCCTCATTATGCATATAGGAGGGACACTCACGAGGCTCAGGGCTCTGGGGCTCTGTCTCCGGTTCTTTGCCTCGAGTATGGTCCCAGGAAGTGCCGTAGCGACGAACGAAGCGGGCGATTCGCTTGGGGTCGACATTCTGGCCATTGACTCGGAATGCCGTCTGTTTGCCCTGAGCGGCACGCTTCTGCTGCTTCCGGAGCATCAGATGAACCTCCTTTGCCTTGATGTTCTTGCGTACATGCCATGCGGCGAGACGATCTTTGTACTGCTTTTCTCTGATGGATCTGGGGTTAGGCGATGCGAACAAGAATCATTTCCCGACAGAAAGAGGGAATAGAGAGGGTAGAGGGTAGTAGTACGATGCAAAAAACTTATAATCCCTTTCCATGATGCGTTTCACATCCCGTAGCTTAAGCTGGTCATTGCGATAGAGCTGCTCGATGATTTCGCGATATTCGTGCCAGTCATCGGATCGGCGGGGCCGGAAGACGTTGGATGGCGCATGGGGTTGCGGTGACAGTGGTTGTTGATAGGTATTCATGATGAAGATATAAAGTTGAGATTCATCTCATACTGGTCTCCAAGGTCAAAAGGTTGAGATAATATGCAAAACAGGTCCCATAATAAGTTTCATTTGAGGAATGCAAATCATATAAAAATAAAATATTAAAAAAAAAGGATCCAAAAGATAAATAAGAAATTGAATTAAAGAGAAGGGGGGAGGAAAAAAAAGGACCTAACACCAACACCAATAACACACCACTTCCCATAAGCTCCAGAGGGATATTACACCAACAAATCCGCAAATCCAATTAAATATAACGAGAGATCAGGGTCAAGAGAGGGGGCCAAGGAATCTCGCTCTTCTCTTTCCGGCGACGTGCGCGCGGACGCACGACCCCCTGCTTCCCCGGTCCTATCAGCGTGGCTGCCGGGCTCCATCGGGGGTGCAGGCAACTTGTCACTGTCATGATCGTCAACGGCCTGCCAGTATTTGACCGGGAGAATATTTCCGTTCCGTTCAGGTCTCTGGTTACGGTAGGAGTCTCTTACTATGCTCCTGCTATTTTGGATTTGAAGGCCCTAGGACAATGGCTCGTTTCAATGCCACTTTTTTTCATTTGGTATAATACTAATCAGCGGAATTGAACGTGCCCAAGTGGAGCGGGTACTTTTTGGCCCTACTGTACAGTCTAAGCGAACTATTACATGCAGCGCACTGGCCGCAAATTGGATGCATTTTCCGCTGCCTTTCTCATTTTCTTTAAATTTATTACATTGTACTCGTGTTACTCGGTAAAGCATGCAGGATCACATCCATGTATAATAGTGCTATGGAGGAAATGCATATCCGGGCTAGTATCATCTCACTTGAACACTAGTTGATATCACTTCAGTCTTTACTTCTACCAGTACAAGTACTCGTACTTAACTACTCGTAGACTAGTAACTAGTCTGGACAAAAACACCGGGAGCGGGCCGAAACTTCCCTGACAGCTCTTTGTCTTCCCCGAGGCTAAGGATCCCAGGCCCGTGGATCCTGTCATTTATCTCCTACTCTTGTTGTCTGTGATAATTATAGGCATTGTACTTCTAAAGTTAAGTACCAGTATCAGCTATTCTTTCCGTATTTCTTTATCTACTGATCTACATAGAGGAACTGTGAAGAGTAAGAGCAGTATTAAAGTATTCCCATTAAAATGATAGTAGTACTCTGTACTGTACAGTATGATTACAAAGTACGACTCAGACCTCTCTTATCGAGTCATACGATGCAAGGTCCGTGCTACTTTTTTTCTTTTTTTCTTTTGGCGTCTGCGTACTTCAGTACTCCGTATACGAGTAACTGGGCTATACAGTGTCCTCAAAGCATTATATTACACCCTGGCCCCGGGTACATCCTTGTCCAAATATTGTCAATAGATTTCTTTCTTTTTTCTCTTCAATCACCTTTTTTTAAGCTTCCATTTACTCCGTACCAGGGTTTCCTACTATTCCTGCATTTTCTCGTTCGGGTTTCCACCCCGTTTCGGCCCTGAAACTCGTGAGACTCGATGCAATGCCACTCTTATATACCACGTCCCCCAGTCGATATCGCAAGGGCTAGAACGTGAGGATTTTCTCCAAACTTAACGGCTGTCAGGGGTACTTCGTAAAGTTTATGATCGACCTCGGGGAGGAAACCTGGTAGTCCCCGAGCGGCACAGATGTACCCTTTTTCGCCGCATTTTGTGAAAGGGGCGAAAAGAGTCATGTAGTACTGTTTTTTATTAAAAATCATCCTTAATCGGGGACACGGACGCTAAAAGACTAGTACTTGAACGGGTAGCATCTGACGGTTCGGTGGGAAAAAAAGTGCGGGGTGTACTTTGGAAATAATTCCAATTCAACCGCTCCAACCAGCGTGCAGAAAATAATAAGACCTAGACTTTCTGTAAGGACCGTGCTGGGAGGACAACGGCGCGTGGAGTTTTTGATCCGGAGATATCTACCGGACTGCCTGTTATAGGTCCACGGACCATCGTTCACCGGCTCGGATCGCATGCAGGTACTGGGCGAAAAAGGTCTGAGAAACCAAATCGTGGCGGCGCAACGACGATGCATACCGGAGACGGGAGGGTTCCCCGTCACGTCCAGGCGAGATAGGAATTAGAAAAAGACAGAGGTCTGATGCCCATGCTGGCAGCCGATAGGGACCAGGGGATTGGCTGCATGTCGAGTCGATCCAGTTTGTGATAGGCGAATGAGAATTCAGATAGTGTCTTGGTTGAAACATCCGTTGTTCGGCACGTCATCGCCAGAACAAAGTACATGGAGTACTCCGTACGGTTTGATGCGTTGGTGTCGATCCTGCGCTGGCTACATGACTGACATCTGAATCCTGCGCTGCAGCCTCACCTATTATTTTTCTTTTTTCCGTTTTTTTCTCGAAAAATATTAAAATATTAATTTCGCCTCTGACAGTCGTATTTTTGTTTCACGGGCGATTCTTCCCTGTCGTCTGTCGGGCTTGTTCGGCGGCTGCAACGGCCGCAGCCGCGACAGCAGCTGAATTTCTAGACCCCGTACTAGCTAGATTGCTAGCGTGCGCAAGGAGGAACTTACAGCAAGTCAGTGTGTACTTGCAGGCCCGAGTCCACGTTTCATCATTTTGATTGAAGCCCAGTTTGATGCTCGCATCACCAATTCGGTCTCTCTTGATCTCGTAAGGTAATTTTAGCCCCGGGGTTGTGGCGCCCTGGCCCCGACGTGGCGATGCAACGGGCGCAGGGGTGTTCTCGACGAACTTTCCCAGTTGCCGCAGGCAGTCAAGAAACGCCACCATGCCTGCGTCAAAGCGACGGTGGAGCCATGGAATGTTGAGCGGCAGATCGCCCGATGAGAACAGGTCTAGTTGGGTTGCTTTGGGCGCCGCTCCTTCGATGGGCTGGCCGGATGGCTGCACTGGATACTCAATCTTGTCGATCCGTGAGTTGGACCCTAAAGCCCGGAGCCTGTACCCCTGGAACTGGTATCCGAGTTTTTCAGCCATTGTCGCCAGGAGGAGAGCCGTCTGTCCCCACGCCGCATTGATCTCGGGCCAGTCGACAGAGGGGTTAGCAAGTCGGCCTAGCCGTAATCCGTTGATAGTGCCAAAGTACCCGTCATGTCCAATGCAAAACGCGTCATTATAAACATTTGTGCGCTGGAGCCTTTCCAGTTGTTGAGAGTCATGATCGTATCGCATATTGAGCGCGTCGCGCTCATTTTGAAACTCGTTGAGCGTTAAGGAAAAGGCGTTGCGCGACCGCCAGAAGCTCTCCTCGTCGGCATCCAGCTGGAGCGAGTCAATCTCCAAGGCTGCGATTTCCCCATCTAGAGCGGCCTTTTCCTTTTCTAATGCCTGCAGCTCCGCCAGAGCGACCCGCTCGGCCTCGAGACTTTCATTAAGCGATTTCTCTGCCACCTGCAGCTCTTCTGCGGTCGGGACCGACCCATTCAGGTTCCGGAGGAACGAGATGTAGGCATCTCGCTCCTTTGTCGACCCCGTTAGGCGTTTCTGCAATCCTTCCACTAGTAGCTCCGTGCATTCCACGCATATCGGATGGTCGATATCAGATCGTGCTGAGACAATCTCGAACAACCGGGTCGTTTTCTCCACCTGATCCAGGAGTGACCCGTCTTCCTGAGTTCGCTTTTGGACCGGTGTATGATTCTGCTTGGTTCGGGCTGAGAGATGTTCGTTGGCCGGTGGCGCAACTTGGGATTCGGTCAACATCACGAATGACATGTTCCCGCTATCGGCTCGGCCCATTTTTGGTTGACTGCCTCGCGGGGCTGGTATCGAGCGACGATATACCGGTGGTGTAGCATGTTTGGAAGCTCGATCGTAGTGGTCGCGCCCAGGCGAGGGCGACGAGGTGGCTCCATCGGATAGTGTCTTCCCCGTAGAGTCTAAAAAACCGTTAGCTTGGACACAGAGAGAGAAAGAGAATACGAACTAGACAGTAACTCGAAAGCTGCTGGATTCAGCGACTCTATTGAGCCGTCCAACTTAAGAGGAGTGCGGCACTTCTGGCAATACATTTGTGGAGAAGAAGAAGTTCGGGGAACTCGGGAACGTCATTGTGGTTTGTTTTGACTCCCGCATATTTGCTTGTTCCCCTTCTGTGCTATGTGCTACTGCTACTGCTGAGCTCTGTGCTACTCAAATATGATTCGGTTGACTATCGGTGCTCATTAAAAAGTCAGCTACAGCTTCCTGCGACTTTTGCGACTTTTGCGGCTTTGCGACTCCGCCATGACCTATTGCGACAACCAACCATCGAAGCGTCCATGTCTCTCACGTCCCGATACCGAACTTGACACGCCAGGAGAAGCTTCAGAGGAAGTCGACTTTGATCTTCCGGCCGCGCGTGCCCAGAATGACTCCAAGCTCAAGTCTCTGTTCGAAGGAATTTTCGCCAAATACAGCCACGACTTTACTGACGTAGGCGATGAAATCGACCTGGAGTCCGGAGATATCGTCGTGGACAATGGACATCTGCTAGGGATACGAGAGGAGGGTGAAAATGGTGGTCAAACACGATCGTGGCTCTTCCAGGCTGGCCTGGAGCAACCTGAAAATCCTGCTACAGACCATGAAAATGATACGGAAGAGGAAGATGGGGATACGGAATCTGTTCCCTCTCCCATTGACCATTTATTAAATGCAACTAAGCTACCTGCTCCAAGCCCAGCTCCGGTCTCCGACCAGCAGGCGGATGAGGACGATGCCTTGGACTTTGTGTTTACTTTCAAGGCATCAGGGGCTAGCGGGCTCAGTCCAGTAACCAAGACGCACCAGATATCTCGTCCTACAAACCCACCCAGTTCCAAGATATCCGATCCCATCGCAGCTTCTAAGCCGCAAGATCCCATCTGGGCGGTCCCAGATCTGCCCAAGGCCTTCTCAACACCTACCACAGAGACACGAAAAGTCAACGCAATAACCACTCCATCCGCCAGATCCCCTTCTCCACCTGGAAGCGGCTCAGTCTGGGCCGTGAAAAAACTCGGACGCCCACGGACGGAGTCGAAGCCTAAGGCCACACCGCGCCAGCGCAAGCCAGGCACCAAGCGCAAGTATCATTCAAGCCCGGTCACGCGAGACTGGTCTTTTGCGGAGGTGCCCGATGGAAATGAATCGGATGATCCTTTACAGGACTATGAGCCATCGCCGACGCCATCGAAGGTGCGAATCGTTCGCGGACAGCGTCAGGTGCCCACGAAAGATGGCAGAAGCCCTTCTGTCCAGGCGGCCACTCCGTCGAAGGTTCGCATCAACCATGAAAAGCGACGGCGACCTCACATAGATACGAGCGCTCAAATACCACAGCCCGGTGTTTTTTCTCCGACGAAACTCCCGGCCAAAGAGAGTGTTGTAATCGAAGCCGACTCAGACGGTGCCAGAGAGGAGAGAGACCAGAGTGTTCTCGAGGACGATGCACCGGAGATGGAAACTCAACATACCGAGCCACTTGGTCCTGTTTTCCCAACTACTCAAGATCCCCAAGATGAGATGGACGAGACAAACAAGGAAGACAGACCGTCGCAGCCAAATTCCCCGACCCAGAATGTCGTTAAGCCGAGCATCATCTTCTCTGTCGAAAATGAGACAGCAACAGATGACAACATCGATGCCCAAGTGCAAGCGCCCAACGTACAATCCCGAGTCAACATTGCATCTCAATCTATATTGCGACCCGAATCAACGCCCATTCACGACAAAGTCCCCCGATCCCCACAAAATACCCCAAGCAAAAGACGAATCATGACCCCGGATGAAGCCAAATTAATCATGCGTGTGATGCACCAAGAAAACGGAAAAGCCAGCGAAGTAGTTAAATTAATGCCAACGCTTGAGTATCATGCAGTTTGGCATTGGTACTTCCACCATTGGACCCACCGCCTCACCAAACCGCCTCGCCTTTCAGCTCCCTGGTCCCCTTCTGAGCTGGCAATCTTCATTCGTCTGAGCAACCAATCGGGTCTCACCTGGGCTGAGATCCAACGTGAGTTTTCGGGTCGATCGCGCTCGGAAGTCGAGTTTGAGCTGCTTCGTTCTTTTGTTGATTCCCGGGCTTCTACGGAGCATCCGGGGAAACAGCCAGATAATCAAGCCAACGAGGATGTGCAGGATTCCTCCCAAGAATCCCAAGATGTCTGGATGCAGGCAGAGGAAATCAAGTCCGAGCAAATCGAAGATGTTCTGCCTTCAGTCGAACACGAACATCCTGACGCACGCGGTGAGAGGGTCTCACCGTTCACTTCGGAATCACCAGGCGAGGTACGACATCATAATCAGTCGTTCGTTGCCAATACGCTCAAAACCCTATTTCTGAGATGATGCTTGCGACTCACATTACGACGACGAGGGTGGATTGAAAGTATCTCTATGCATTCATGGAAATCTACGAGTACGAGTATATCCGCCAGCCTGCATAAGCTAAATATATTCGTAGTTTCACGAGGTTTGAAACCCACCCGTGGATCACGGCTGAGATAGTCGCAAGCTAAAGGGCAAAAGTACCTCTGGTCGAAAAGGCCTGTTTCTCGCCTTTTTGCCACAAACTCCACAACTAAATTCCTTCCTATACCCCTTCCCGTTGTAGTTGCATTAGCGGTTTTATAGACACAGGCTGCATGGCCTGAGATAGCTGGGTCTCATCTCAGCCCGAGAAAATGGGCAAACTGGTACGAGACACCGATGGGTCGGCTAAATCACCCTGATCCTTATCCGCTGGTCTCTCTGTAGACTAAGAAATCTGCCCAGGTCTTCACGAGATTACACACTTGCCCAGGTGAGCAATACCCAAAGGACGTTAGTTCTAGAGCTACCGAAAACCCTGTAGGGCTGGAATGACTGCCTAGCCCAGTTTCACAGCCTGGGAAGTTGGAAAAGGATGCGGGTCCCTCAGCGCTATTCACCAAACACTCAAGTAACACTTGAGCAATACTAAGTCAGAAGTACCCGTAGATGTATATAGGCGCAGAGATCCCAGCCATTTCACAACTTTAGAATGAAAGTGTGCGCTTCCAACTTGAAGATTTGCCCTGGTGAGCATCTACAGATTGTTTATACTTGGCCAATGGATCTACACGATGAAAATTCTAAAGTTCTCACTGGTATCTATTCTAAAGTTCCGACTCTGGTGGCATTTCAACTTCAAAAGGTCGTGTCATTTCCTCGATGAATAACCTGAACAGATTGATACTTAAGTATTTGCTGCGAGTTATCCCAAGGTTTTTATATATAGCAGGGTATACTTATACCTACTTAAGTAGGTGCTTACTCAATTAAGTAAGAGATCTACTTAGAGCCTCTAGTATTACCCAGGTTTATCCTGCACCACCACCCATCGCTGTACCCGCAGCCCGACTTCAGGAGAACTACAAGTTGACCAACGCTGAAACCCGAGCGCCAGAGGGAATTTCCAGATCACATAGAGCCGATACTGATCCTGCTATATTCATTAAGTGGAAATTACTTAAGTATTCCTAGCATCGAAACTTTCGAAGCCCCAGAGATAGCCATGTCACCGTAAAACATTGGAAGGCGGGGCAAGCGCCAACCTGCACCCTAATAACATCGATTGGGCGCAGCATGCTCAAGTGCATTTCAACCTTACTTAAGTAGGATATTGTTTGTGTCGCTGCCTAGATGTGCCTTGCTCAGCATACAAGATTAGTTAGCCCTGAAGTCTTCTGGCCTATCGGTCTTCAAGAAAGATCTTGCATATTGACGTGGTTTTCCTGGGCAGCTGAACTCCATGAGGCTGAATTAGAACCTTGGAAAGTGAGGAGAATTGCACTATAAAGAGATCGGTCCCAGTGCTAGATTTCTTTCTCCATCAACCTCTTGAGCTGGTGTCTGTTTTTTTTGCCCTGCTCATTTGACATTGCACAAAATTTTCAAGCTGCACATCCCTATCTCTTCCTAATCCTCGCTCCAGGGTTAATGCTGACAATCATGCCTTCGCTTATACTTACAACGGACGAACGTATCCGCGCCGTAGAGGCTATCATTGATTATGAATTTGTGGACAAAACCCACCTTGAAAAGGCACTTGCAGCTGCCGGGGCCACTACGGCCCCTGAGGGGAATAAACCTGGCGCACTCCTTGGAGACGGGCTACTTAGACTTGTCATTGATAAAGACAGTTTAGAATTAGGATACTCCACTGGTGAGACTTGATTTTCTTTCCTTCTTTCTTTGTTGAGACGCTGATGATAAAAAAGGGCAAATGACGAAGCGTCATGATACTCTGGGCTCAAATGGAAACCTCAGTCAAATTGGTCACCAGCTGGGTCTGAGACCATACATCAGACTGAACCCCTCAGCACAAGGCTTTTTGCCTGACAAATTGTTGGCAACTACGGTGGAGGCCATCATTTACGCTGTCTTTCTCGACAGCAATGAAGACATCCCACGTACAAGTCAATTGATTGTCCATATGGGCATTTTGGAGCATTAATGAAAATCCTCGGGTAAGTACGGGATGCCCCCTACCTGATTGCTGTATTCGCTTTTCTGAACGCTGACCGATTCTTTAGGTCGCATTTCCCGAGGGGTATCTACATACCCTTGCGGCGATAGTTGCTGGCATATGCCCTGGTAAAGATACCCTCCAGCCCCTCACGAGAGGAACACCATTGGTACCGTGTGGTCCTCTCGCGAGGGTCTGGGGGCCGTCTTTATAATGGCATCTGGTGGTTAGTATGGTTGAATGAGTATATGGATACTCCTACTTACGGGCACCAACTGTTGGGATCTCTCTGACGTGGGGGTCTGTTTAGTCCTTTACAGCAGGAAGCTTTTTGGTACCCAGGCTTCCTGCTGTAGAAGGACTGGGCAAAACCCCCAGGTCAGAAGTATTCAACGGACGGGCGGTAGACGAGTTTCTCTTGGTTTTGCTGATATGTTTGTTTTCTTGTGGACATTTTCAACATCCTGTCCGCTCATCTCGTGGCTTGACTTTGAATTTTGTTTGATATCTCCAGCTCGCTCACGGTGGCTTGATGATTCAACATCACAAGTTCATTGATTGGGTTTGAATGTTTGCAGTCGTCATGTTTAATCTAGTCTCTCATTAAGATCTATGCTCAAGTTTTTTCGAAGTCTTCATCGTATCAATCCTCGTAACAAGAGATCCACACCAGACGTTCATGTCGGACGAACAAAAATAAATCTGTATCCAGCCCACGGGTGCAACAAGCAGTTGTCCCCGGGGCTGCCAGCGGATTGCCAGCTCAATGGCTTAGGGTCCACAGGTGGCCGCCCCCCGGGGAACTAAGCCTGTCATACCTAAAGGTGACCTTGTCACTCTTCAGCTGTTAACAGTAATACAAGTAACCCGATAGCCCTAATTTGTCTGAACACAACTTTAGAACCAAGTTCATGTCTATTTTCTCTTACACCAATGAAGATACTCAACTTTAGAACTGATACGACTTCAGGATCAGCAAGTGCTATATTCCATCCAACATTGGAACGCGTACCTGAGTGTCCAACCTTTGACAATACCTAACTATACACTGGTGTTCTCGAGTTCTGTTCCCTGATCTTACACGATAAGCACTATACCTATTCGATTCTACGCCGCAGAAGCGATATAGCTAGTGTTGAAATGAAACTCAGAATGTGAGCCAAGGTACTGTATACATATCCGACATGACTTTGATATACATGTATGAATGCTCAGGGGACACAAATGCGGTGACCTGAGCGATATAGATGTTACACCGTGAGACGAAGCACCAAATTCAGCATTGTGCATTGGAGTGACCCGTTCTTCCCGCCGTGGACCCGGGGAAAAGACAAGTGATACAAGACCCGCTGAAAGAAAGTACAACTAGGGGAAAAAGAGGCAAATTTGGATGGGTTCGGAGAGGTCCCGAGCAAATGTCGGTAAAAGCCTAGGTGTGCTCAAAAACAGGTTCACTAGTGAATACTAGGGTCGGCAAAAGTATCATATTCAGTTCTTTTGCATTCATTTAGTCTAGACTACTCAAAGTCTTCATCCCGGGCATTCATTACATCCTCAAGTTTGGTATCTGTGGCTCCACCGACGTCTCCAGCCTTCGCCCAGAATCGGGAAAGATGCCGTGATCCAGAGTCAGACAGCACGGTGACAATTCGATGGCCAGGGCCGAGTTTCCTTGCTGTCTTGACAGCGGCAATGCCTGTGAATCGTTAGCTAGGTATCTCAATATAGATTGTCAATACACTCACAGTTCACCGCACTACTACTTCCAATAAAGATGCCGTCCTTTTCAACGAGCCACCGAGCCATAGCCAAAGCCTGGGCATCGGTTACACGCACTGCATCATCGACTAACTCCTTGCCAGCCTCAAAGTTGGCAGTCACACGGTTGATGCCAATTCCTTCAACAATTGTATCAACCTGTCGACGCCGCCTTGTACCCTCTCGCTCCTTGACATCGAACATGACGCCATAAACCACGCGATTGAACAACCCACTTCCCTGCGGATCTGCGAGGACAACTTCAAGCTTAGGCAACAAAGGCTTCAGGAACCGTGCCACGCCGGAAATGGTCCCGCCAGTCCCGGCCCCGGCCACGAAGGCATCGATCCGACCACCACACTGAGCATAAAGTTCCGGACCAGTACCATCATAGTGAGCACGCCAATTAGCTTCATTCTCGAATTGATCAGCGAAAAAGCCACGGCCACGAGTCATGCGCTCATCGGTGGGTAGATCGTCTTCTGACGTGGATTCAAGACCAGAAGAGGCCGTATGCGTCTTTGCCAATGCTCTAGCGCGGTTGACAAAGTTATCTTTCTCCACGATTGGTGCCGGGGGTACCCGGTCGACAATTGCGCCGAGCTTGAGAAGTAGATTGGACTTTTCTATTGCCTGGTCCGAAGGCAGGCAGCTGGGTTGCATGCATTAGTGCGTTGCTATTTGGTGGGGGCGGGTGGCGTACATGTGTGCTAGATATCCCTTTGCCCGGGCGAGAGTCGCTAGCGAGATACCGGTTGATCCTGATGTACCTTCGTAGATGGTATCACCTGCATGAGGCGTGAGGATACCTTGCTCTTCGGCCTGGGTCTGGTCAGTAGCTGGGTTGATTGATTTGGTTCTTTTGTTCAACGCACAATTTGAATCATGCTTAATGCGACTCGGTCTTTGGAACTTTGACCGGCGCCGTTCAAAAACTATAGACGGCGTTAGCTGTGTTCTTGCATGCACACCGCGGCCATATACCTCTGCTTTGCCGAGAATCTCACATCCCGTTTCATCTGATAGTGACTTGATCCTGAAGAGAGGTGTGTTTCCAATGCATCCTTCAATGCCTTCGACGATAGCCGGCGGACCGGCTCTGGCTTCCAGGCCATGGGTCTTTGGTTGCTCTTGTGCTTTTCCTTCGCATTTTGGACGTGATATCTCCTGGTATGCGAGAGCCAGGCATGCACCAGCCGCGAAGGCAGTCCCTAAGTAGACCGTTGAATGATCTGGCATTTTCTCTTGGTCTTTGCGGCGTTGACGTGATGCACTGAGACGGGACAGAGATAGAAAGCACGGACCACCTATACTTGGATGAGAAGTTCAATTGAGCAAGCGCAGTTCAGTCTTTCCAATCCTGCACAATTTCAATTCTGAATTGTAGATTGCCGAGTCCTCTAAAAACAAAAAAGATTGAACGATGTCAATTGCGAAGAACCGCGATGTGACGATTCTCGCCTGAGGCACGTGTTGTGGCCTGAGGCAGAAATTGCAGTTTCTCCGTTCTTCTTCCCCGGAGCAACTTCGAGCTTAGCTGTTCAGCAACAATGGACTCCCGTGTCCTCAACCAGCTGTTTCGGCAGCTCTTCCGCCATCCAGCCTGCAAATCAATACGACGAGCACCGACTTTACTTTCTCGTCCCCAGGCCCGCTCGTTCCTCACCCGGCGCGGTCCAGTTAAGCGCAAGCCACAAGATGATGTCCAGCTTTGGACAAAACGGGGAGACTACCCCAAAGACATTGACGAGGAGTACCGGAAATATCCCACAGTGACGGCTAAGGAGCTACGGAATCGCCGCGAACGACCGCGCCAGGTCAAGATGCTGACGCGCGAGTTTATCGATGGTGAGTTTGGCGGATCTGTGATATGGCGGCGCGAATCTTTCTGACTCGGTGCATTTTAGACAGTCTCTATAATCCACACTACGGATATTTCTCCAAACATGCAACAATTTTCAGCCCCGGCGAACCGTTTCAATTCAATGCCATTGAAGATGGTCCAGCATTCCACAAACTCTTAGGAGAGCGATACACTGAGTTCGAGGACAAGCTCGACGCAACCAACCCAGATATTGCGCGCCAATTGTGGCATACACCCACCGAGCTGTTCCGGCCGTACTACGGAGAGACTATCGCACGGTACCTGGTGTCAAACTACAAGCTCACCCTGTACCCCTACCACGACCTGATCATCTACGAAATGGGAGCAGGAAACGGTACAATGATGTTGAACATTTTGGATTTCATCCGCGACACCGACTACGAGGTTTACCAACGTACCAAGTTCAAGATTATTGAGATCTCGCCCGCACTAGCAGATCTGCAGTTCAAGAACTTGACCGACAAGCTCACCGCGAAGGGTCACCGGGACCGAGTTGAGATTGTTAACCGTTCAATCTTCGACTGGGACACATATGTGCACTCTCCTTGTTTCTTCCTTGCCCTCGAGGTTTTCGATAACTTTGGCCATGACACGATCCGCTACCAGAATGGCACGGAAGCCCCGCAGCAGGGAGGTGTGCTGATCGATGCCGAGGGCGAGTTCCACGAGTACTACAACAACCAGCTTGACCCAGTTGCTGCTCGCTTCATGCGTGTGCGACAAGCTGCCGCCCGCAGACCTTTCCCAAGCCCCTTGGGCCCTCCACTGCTTCGCGGTCTTCGCTCCGCTTCTCCTTTCCAGAAGGAGTACACTCCGCCAGAGTACATCCCGACCCGATTGATGCAGTTCTTCGATGTTCTGAACCAGTATTTCCCTGCACACCGTTTGATTTCAAGTGATTTCAGCTCCCTGCCTGATGCTGTCCCTGGCATCAACGCGCCAGTCGTGCAAACTCGATACCAGCGGCGAACAGTGCCTGTCACGACTCCTTTTGTAGGTCACTCTTCCCTTGGGTCATTTGAATTCGGCTAACCCTCAGGTTTAGGTTCACCAAGGATACTTTGATATCTTCTTTCCAACGGACTTCAATGTCATCGAGGATATGTACCGTGCCATCACAGGAAAGTTGACCCAAGTCTCGAGTCATGAAGAGTTTGTGCACCGCTGGGCGTACATCGAGGACACGGAGACACGGAGCGGAGAGAACCCGTTGCTGAGCTGGTACAAGAACGCCAGCATGTTGATGACTGTGTAGATTAGAGCATCCACGCTTTCATCAATGATTCATGCCTGACAGGCTTTACTAAAAATGTTTAACATCTCTCGAGCTAGCTTCCAGATGTGAACATAGAACGGTAGACCTTCATTTCACTAGCAGACAAGTTGTGGGCTGTGCTGCTCAATCCATCGTCTCTAATGCCCTAGCCCATGAGACTCGGTGCTGTCTCCCAACAGCACCCTGCAGACTGAGATTCCCAAGTCTTCGGGGGTTGGAACCGAAACAGGAAGCGTCACAGAACCCTCAGCACAATTTCTCATCCCGAGGTCCGAATCTCCCTAGACCATGACCCCATCGGTAATATCGTTCGGTGGAGTTGTAGAACATCCCCGTAGATATGCGCTTCAGCTTTTGACCATTCTGTGATGTTATCCAATCTTGTCTCTAGACTTAACATACAACCTATCTAAGCATAGGGTGTCTCATTCTTTACACTCAAATTAAAACTCATGCACGTTTGGAACTATTATCCTCTTCAACACTCACCTTCCTGTGAGAATACTTCTGTTGAAAGGCAGATTCATTTCTCAACTGATAACATCTACAAGCTAGCCATCGATACTTCTTCAGATTCAGTTTAGAAGTAAAGCCATTGTTACAACAAAGCTTGATACTTTGCAATGGCTAGGTGTTGGATATTTAAGGAATATAGCCTTTGGCAATCTCTTTGATCTATGGTTTGATAGGGACAAACAACTGCTCTCAAGTATTTTCTTCTGTTCAATGCCTTCTATATGAAAATATCTGTTATGAAAGAGTGTTTATCACGAGAGAGAGAGAGAGAGAGAGAGAGAGAGAGAGAGAGAGAGAGAGAGAGAGAGAGAGAGCAACCTTTGGGATGTTCTGTGAATGTATTTCCATTCACACCCAAAGCAATTCCTGGGTCGTTCCTTCTCATTCAAGTGTCACTAGAGATCCTTCGCATTAAAGTGTCGCTGGAGATTCTTTTCTCCCTTCATCTTCCTCATCCTCAAATTCATTCTTTGGATACCCGTCATGTCTTCGTGAGTTGATCCATATATCTCATTGTCGCAAACCATGACTGATTCCCTTTTCAGTTCTCTCAAACGTCGTCGTCCTGTCCAAGACCCCGGAGATGAAGACCGAGGCTTCAAGGAGGAAAGCAAAGAAGAGGCTGTTGAATGCCCGAACTGCATGCGCGAAGTTCATGATGGATGCTGTCAGCCCATCTGCCCCAGCTGTGATAGACCACATTTGGGGAAGTGCACTGCTTTTTGTCGCATGTGCGCTGGGATTGGACACAGGTTTGATCACTGTTCCAGGTTCAAGGGCCTCCCGTTTTCTCAGAGAAAATCCCGCCGCGGTCGCGGTCATAGTTACGGTCACGGTCACGGCGGTCGCAAGCAGGGAGGGCTCAATATCCATGTCGATCACGGTCACGGCGGTCACAACCAGAAAGCGCTCAATGTTCATGTCGATCGAGTCCAGATCAATGTGCCACTGATCAATGAGTACCCTATCACTTCGGCGGCCGAATTGAACAAGGCGATACTCGAGCAGGTCAAAACCGCTCTGGAAGATCTGCCAGGTCAGGGTGTGCCACTGCCTGCCCGAGTCTTCATGTCCAATGTTACCATAACCACTCCCTTAATGCCTCGCGGTGTCGCTACTATGGCCATGGAACACGATACACTTATGTCGAATCGGGCTCGTCTTGAATACCTCTTGTCTTTACATCGTGAGAACCAACGTCCCGACGTAACCACTCGGAGAACTGATCAATATCTCTAAGGCTCTGGAGTTAACCGATACTGAGGACTTCGCCATTTCCGCCACTGGCCCCCTCAATATGTGTTGAGATCACACTAGCTCACGATTACGATGCTCAGTTCAGACCGCCCAGTTCCTCAATCAGCAGTCAGAGAAGAACTTCCTCCTCCTCCTTCCTTCTCCCTCCTCTCTCGACACTGCAATACATTTGGATCTGATGATCATCGTATTGATTGAATCTTCAGTATTTAATGGAAGCTGGTTTCTAAGGATTTGAATAGGAAATGATCCCAGAATCAAATATCCCCGCTATGAGGGTTTGCCCTTTGAATATTCAAGTTGTAAAAATAGTAGAGCCGTTTGTACTCCACCCCAAACTTGGAGCTAAGCACACTGAGATTCTGATAATAAGCCCTGGAGTAAGAAGACAATGAACCCATTTTCATGCTAAATCGCTGACCGAATCGCCGTGACCGCTTGTCTGTACCAACTGTCTTGTAACAATAAGCTAGCAACATCTGTGTAAACCCACATTGAGATGGATTTCTTGAGGGCAAAGTTACATATTGGGGCCAACCTGGATACCCTAGAGACATGGGATTCTGATTCCATCTTCTTCTTGGCCAGATGTCTAATCTTGTCTAACTGACAAGAGTTTTTTTTTTTTTTTGGAAATCGGGCTGAGAGCTCAGAGAAGTAAATAGTTGACACCACCTTAATCCGGCAGAAACATACCAGACAATCTAGTCCGCGCAGAGAATAATTCAATCGGTTCTTCTTCCTTCTTCTCTCGCCGTGCCTTCTCAACAGTGTGCAACAGGAACGCAATTGAACTGACAGGTTCTAGAGCGCGAGTAATAACACTGCCCCCAAACACACACCCGGGTACTCCATAGAAAGGGGGATCCATAGAAAGGGGGAACCCCAGGGGAAAAAAATAAAGAAAACCACAACACAACATCCTCAATTCTGCGGAATCTCAAACATCGAATCAGCGAGATCAGTAATCTCCTTCACCCCCAAGCCCCTGAGAGCCCCTAGAATCCCCTCAACAAGATCCGCGGGAAGCCCCTCCTTATTACGTGAGTAAACATCAACACCAGCAGGCGTGAAGAGCGTCTTCGCAAAATAAGTCACAACCCACTGGTTGCCATCATCGAGCTCTCCAAAGCCCAAACATTCCCAATGTGAGCTAGCGATGACCAACCAGCCTTTTCCGCGCCAATCCCATGCCCCAGGACTATCTGGTGTTGGGGTATCGATTCCATGAACAGATTTGATCTTTTCAGAGTTGATGGCTTGGTATTGAACTAGATCGTCGATCTTTTGGACTCCTGATTCGATGGGAAGAAGCTTGTAGGTGATGTTGACGTTGCGTTTGCCTTTCCACAGGGGTAGGCTGGAGTGGGTGACGTGCCAACAGCCCGTGATGAACTCGTTCGTTGGGCAGCATTGTGATTTCTGATTGTTGTGGACTTGTGGAAGTTCGATGGAAATTGATGACATGTTGGTGGTGATGTTCCGGGGTTCGTGTAGCTGGATGTCTTTTTCTTGCGGGCCGATCTTTACCCTATAAGTTCGATGGAGTATATGCGCTAGCGGAGGTGTGTTGTAGAGAACAGTAGTATTCCTTCGGGGGAGATGAACTAACATTGCAAATACTGCAATTGATGCAATTCAGGGAGAGAAGAAGAGAGAGGGAGAAGCTAGGGAACGAACTATCTACTTATTTGGGGTTGGACGAATTCCCTACACAACACACACTTCTCAATTGACCAGTGGCGAGTGTTCTTTTCTTTTATTCTTTCATTTTGCCTCCTTCGGGTGCTCTTTGAGATGTACTTGATTTTAGGAATGGGTCGTCTAGCTATTCACAGGAAACAAGATTCAGACATACAATAAAGGCAACAAATACCTCATTAATGCAAGAAGGGAAAAGACGAAAGAGAGAAAAAAGTGAAAGGCAAAAGTGAAAAAGCTATTAGAAAGGCTGAGTATGAAACATCTAAAGGTATCAAGCAAAAGACTTTGAATACACAGTGCCACCGAACCGATGAAGGCAGACCAGCTGAGCAATCAAAGGAAAAACTCAGGGAACTTGGAATTAAAGTGCGTGGTAAAAAAGTTGCCAAATGAAAGTCACCATTACCGCCATGCTCAGCTCAAATTCGAATATCATGGATCTCGCACCACTTCTTCTTGCAAGTCGCATTCCCGAATTGATAAGAGCCTCCCTTATTCCAGATGTGTTCCGCGACCTTCTTCCATGAAACCTTTGGTGGTTCGTTGATGGTCATTCCCATGTGGGTTAGAGAGCCGTAGTCTGTTGTCTCGGTGTAAATGCTGACAGCCTCGCAAAGAAGGTGGACCTAGTAAAAAATCATTAGTTATGCTTCACTTGGAGAAGTGAATATACTCCCAGAAAGACTTACATCCTTGTTTTGCCATTTCGGCTTTCGGACCCGTTGATCCTTGGATTTGGTGAGAGTGCGGTATCGTCCACGGAGGGTAGACTCTGCTTCTTTGAACCCGCCAACTCGTTTGATGTCCTTGTATGACAGACCGCGGCGCTTGCAATCTATCAAGAATGCGTTGCGCTCATCACTGTAATGCATGTTTGCTCGAATTCCAGCCTGGTCGTCCCTGATTTGCTGGGGAGATGGTCCCTCTTCGGTGGTGGATGATGCAGTGAAGGAAGACGGACTCAAGCTTCCGGGTAGCTTTTGGCTGGGCGAAACAGATCCTGTGTCTGTGTCGGAGTAGACATTGTGAGGACTGGAGATGTATGTGGGCTGCATTGGGAAGCGAGCCTTTGGACAGGTTTGAACTGAAGCAGTCTCAAATGTGGAGCTTGGGGAACGCGATTGATGATGGATGGGTGAAGGCGATACCATGGCGTGGTATGAATGACTTGATGGAGTCCCGGCCAATCCGGTGCTTGGCCCGGTGGGGTGAATTGAGGGCTCGCATATTCCCTTCGCTCGATAGAGATTGCTTGTATTCACCCAAGGGACATTGTGCAAGGCCGGGCTGCGGCAGTCGCTTCCGTATGTCATGTCTCCAACGTTGTGACTTGAGAGCCAAGCGTAGTTCGATGCACTAGTGTTCCAAGCATACCAGGCCAGACTGTCATCGCAGGGGGGAAACTTCGCGTCCACGAGGCTAGAGGACGCCATATTATGCGCGTGGTGGAAGTGGTCCAAAGGCCCAAGCGCGTTGTCATGACATGCACTTGACGATTGATTTGGGTAGTGTAGAAAGACCGAGTTGTCCAGATGGCCGTCCTGGGTTTCGATCTTGGATAATGGGTATGCTTCGTCACTGCTCGAGAGGAAAGTGATGTTGTTTCCAGTAGCATACACGCTGCTCCTTGGGACTGGATGGGCAAGACAACAATTCTCCCCTACTGTATGAGTAGCATATGGCTCTTCGAAGGGATCAAGAGACTCAATGTCAGATTCGCATGTGCTTCCGTTGCTAGAAAGTGCCACTTTCAAGTCAAGTTGAGGCATGAAGTAAGGCAAATTCTGACCAAACGAAGCCGCATGGCTCTCTGCCTTGCGAGGCATATCGATGTGGTCTTCTCTAGAATGAAGAGCTTTTTGGTTTGTCAACCCTTGGGAGCTCATCATGTTTCCAGGAGTCTGTTGTTGTTCTGGTGTTTGAGATTGTGGGGTGTGGCAATGCAGTGAATGAGAGTAAGATGTTGTTGTGGGTGAGTCAAAGAAGTAGTACCAATCACTCGACGCAATCGATGTTTGCTTCTGAAGAATATCTGAGTTCACTTGGGAGGAGGGAGAAGAAGTAGAAATATGACTAGGAGATAGAGATAGTTGCTTTGGAGAGTTATCCCATATCTCCGCGTTGCCAATGGCCAGCATGTCAATCATATCAATTTCCGGGGAATAATAACCCATGAAAATCTCAAAATAGAAGAACAAGGCTGGAATGGTATTATCCACGCCTCACCGCAACTGCTAGTGTTGTACGCGGGTTGTCGCTGTGTGTAGACGACCGCTCTTCTCTCTTTGTCGGCCAGTGCAAAGCGGATAGAGTGTGGATAATTCGAGGAGACCTGCAGGTCTGACCGTTAAAATTGATTAGCAGTTTGTTTTATATGGAGATGTTTCACTAGGGTATAACTCATTGGGCATTCACTTACCCTTTGCATATAGTCCCTAGATGCTCACTATGGCCAGTGTGAATTTAATCGGCACTGATTGAGGGCTTTATTCGCTTTTTTCAGCCCACAGAATGCACGTACTCGCAGATTGAGGACTTCTTCTTAGTGGCAAGCTTGCATCCAACTGTGAATGAAAAGATTATTTGGTCTGGATTGGGCCGAAAGTTGAGCCGTTGAATGCAAAGTGGTCTCAGATGTTTCCGCAATACAACTGAGGGGAGAATGACTTCAGAAAGCCTGCAATGAGTCGGTGCCAGAGAGACAGTCAATTAGGAGATCACTGATATTGTTTGAGAGACAAGACACCTGGGCGGTACATGGAGTCGAGTATTCGGGATGGAAAGGTGTAGAGCTTATACTGCACCAACTGATAATGCAGGGCGAAGGAGGTATTTTCCTAGAGGCTTTTAATAAACCAAATTAAACGAACATCTCCTAAACCCGACAAACCCAGAAATGCATGAACCATGTCTATCATTCCGCCACTTGAGCAGTTCATTTCCAGGATTGCGGGCCGGGTAATCTCAATCGAGGTCCGTGTTACTGCTAGCCCTGGAGAGCACGAAAATATCTCGATGTTGATAACTCAAGGGGCAATGGGAACAAAGAATAAAAGTTAGACATGGGTTGGGTTGGTATTCAAGGATATCTGAACCCCAGTCAGGCCGGGATCATGTCTGGAGATCAGTACACCTACGATCCACTTCCCGGGCGTTTCAGATCTTTTCTCTATTGTCTAGCGTCATGTCTCGGTCTAGCCTCGATTTTCCGGGTGAGAACCGTTTAGAATGAATAGAATGAGACCCATGTCACGGAATCTGATGTGCTTAATGGCCTCCTGAAGAAGATCTTCTCCCCAGCCGTTGGGCCAAGCTCGATATATCTCTGTTCCCTTACTCATATGCTGTTTGGAACTCCGATCCCTATACCATTGCTTGAGGATCTGATGGGTGGATTGAATTCAGAGCTGCATCCCCGTTGACAACGGTCCCACTAGAGTATCCCGCGGATATCGCTGTGTACAACCCAAACTAACTATGCATCCGCCTGCACGTCTACCTGATCGACAAACTGCCTAGAGCTTCTTCTCTTGGCAGTGGCTCGGATCGTTTTAGAATGTTCCATCCTGAACGGGTGGCCACAGGGAGCTTCTGGGGGAGGCTAAGTGGCCCCCGAACCAATCAAGTTAGGAGCACCAATCCAACCTGCTGGGGAAAAAGCAAAACGTAAAGGCTGGCGCTAGGAGTGGCTACTTGCTAGGATCTCTGTTGGGGGCAAATTTGCCGACGAACATGGTTGGCTTCATTTCCAAGATTCTAGCGTCCGGCACAGGGCTCTTGCTCTGATGACTCCAGGGCTGATCGATCTTTCGATGGGATTGAGGGCGAATGATCGACAGAATCCTGGCGCCAATCTGCTATTAGGGTGACGCTTGTATCGTATTCTGTGGCGACACGTCAGATATTCAAAATATGGACACGAGAAGTAGTGCTCCATACTCCATAGTATCGAGTACTTCGTAGGAACGGGTGGTAAAAACGTCCAATTGCCGGGGTAAACATAAAACCAAAACCAACCCGCAGTCGAATCCCCAGTTTCCGTATTCCCCGGATCTACAACGTCCCAGTGTCGGGCATGTTCAAAAGAAGCTTCTTGAACGATTGCTGGGATGGTTTGGGTGGCGTTGAAACCGGAAGTCGAAAATGAGTCGGTAGCCGCACCAGCGCGCCGAAATGCCCTGAAATCTGTAAATGAATAATTGAGGAAATTAGTCAATTCATGACTAGGGATACAATCCTCGCAGGGTACGGAAATCCTCCGAGAAAAAGCCGTTTCTTTGAAGCTGGTGTCACAGCGCTGTTTGGCCCCACTGTGTTTTGGGCTTATTTTTCCCGGGCTCATCGATCGGGACATTATTGCATATGCATATCATATCCGATACTATTTTGATCTTTCTCTGCATCGGTTGAGTATGGAATATGTCAGGGGATTTCCCAAAGGCCCAGATCAGGCCCGGAATGCTGTCCGGGGAAGGGAAGGTCAGGATGGAAACTGTCAACGGATGACTCGGTTGCGTTGGCGTTGTGGAGCTAAGGATGATCAGTGGAGTAGCCGAAGCCAAAAGCGTTGGAAAAAGCAAAGAGAGGGTGGTGCTGTTTAATTTCAAAGAGTACCCCTGGCAGCCTGAGTGTTGGTTAGTTGTTGGTGATCGATTGGATGAGGGCTTGAGGGAAATCTGGCCAGGTTTGCGGATAGGTACTGTAGCTCATGTTTCTTCTCAAGTGAGAGGATGGAGGATCTCTTCTAACTTACAAAGTTGTCGCAATGTACATCATCTCATGGCTAGGTGAAACACTAGGAGATTTTCCTCTCGTTGCTGAGTTGAGACATATCAAGGGCAGTTCTCGCCAAGCATCATCGACTCTTTCCTATCGGAGTATTGAGTGTCGCATATTCTGGAGTCATGATTCTAGCTCTATGGGACAGAAAAGTCTGGGGAATTACTCAGTCTATTACTCTACCTAGGTATCGCATCTGAGGTCGTGGCTTGCTGCAGGCTGAAAATTATCCTACCGTGCGACATCTGGAGATACCAATGCACTGTCGCGCCTACTGCGCTAATAACTTCCAGTAAGAGGCTGTATTTGCAGACATCAAGTTGGTTCTGGTCTCACAACATTGATATTCATCGCTGGTCTCGGGAAATATGCGGCATTTAATGGGAGACCCCAGACCGCCAGTGTGGGAAACCAGTTGATGAAGAAGAATACCACAATGTTGGAATTTTTCATTTCAAGGAGAAATGATAGGATTCAGTATCCGGGATTTTCTTTGTTGCCTGTCTGCAGCACCTTGAAATAGAACTACCAAAATAACATCCATGGATCTATCGTCCCATCATTTGCATGGTTTGTCACCTATCCAACACGATCCTAGGTAAGAATGCACAACTACTCAGGGTGGGAAATTGAAGACCTTTCTGATGACGTTTTCACCGTAGTAGGATTCGCTGAAGACAGTGAGTTTCTGACGGCCATCCCCGGTGCAGAGGCTAGGCATTCGAACTCCATGTCGCGTTCCCGCTTCCGTCGGACAGCTGCGTTGTCCCGGGATGCTAGCCAGTCCAAGAGTCGGTCAACAAGGAGCACTGTTGGCCAATTAGCTTGGGTGTCTTGTCAGGGAGTGGATGCACTGACCAGTAAAAAGCGTAATGGTAAAGGCGTAGAGTATGACTGGAGACGTCATGAAGGCGTAGGCAAGAGGGAATTTCCGGGCAAAGGCCACCAGAGCAGCTAGGATCAGTGCAATCACAACACGGACTGCGATCGACAGGCATTGGTGAAGTCGACAATTGTGGCGGCGCGTCAGCCCCACGAAAATCCCAAGGAGGAGCATGGTCAAGCTAGCAACAGTGAAGAAATATACGTACACGAAACTGAGTAGTTTCATATACATATGAAGGAGCTGTTTGTTGTCCAAAAGACTGATGTCTCCTTTCACTTTCGGGATAATCCGCATGCTGGAAAATAGGGCTGCTGTAACGTTGCCCATCAGATCATTGATGAGGTCGCTAGTGTACAGATATGTAAGTGTTCCAACTTCTGGACACAGAGGCTGCTCTGCCAGGTCTTCCAAAATACTTGATATAGCGGTCCATTCCTGAGTTGCACCATGACTGAAAGGAATTTCCATATCGGAAATTGTGCTTCGGATGAGTTGAACCGCCTGATCTATCTGAGGCCGCGGCTCCTCGCATACGAAGAGAAATGTTTCTGCCAGATAACCTAGCTTTAAGGTCACGTCAAGCGTTAGAGCAAGAATCTGTGATCCTTCTAGGAGCAGGATAAGGGTGACATGAAACACGAAGTGCAGTTGGGCCCACAAGAGCTGAGCCATCTTTCCCACTTTTCCCTTGGGGGATACGTCAAAGTACGCTTGCCATAGGAGATACTAGCTTTGATCAGTGTGACCTTTGGCAAAAGGGGGTTGGGTACCTACCACATTGGTTGTGACCCCCAAAATATGGACAAACGACCACTTGGTCCACCCGCCCGGCCGCACCGTCTTATTAACAATCCGAGTGACCGAAATGACACCCTCTCCAATGATGATGAGGGTAAGGAGGCCCATGCGAACGTTGAGATGAGTATCTTGGAATCCTATTGCTGGGTAAATGGAAGAAACTCCCATGACTGCCCACATCTCAATCGCAAAAAGAACGAACCACACCGTCCAAATCCGTGAACGGAGTTGATTGGCGTTGCTAAAGGCAAAATACATCTAACAGTCAGATCGTGTCAGCTCCTGACTCGCTCAACTTTGAAAAATGACTTCAATGCTTACCCCGAGGTAAAGCAAGCTGGATGTCCAAAATATTAAAGCCGTCTGGGCGACGCCTTTGGCGGTAGACCTCATCGGTGTGTGCATGAAGGCCACTGTGGTGGTGTATTGGAGAGCCAACAACATTCGACTTGCACATAGAATCAGACTTAGGGTCTGAAAGGCCCAGACATTATCTGCAGTGACATGTGTGGTAAAACGAGTTCCTGTTGACGCAAATCCAACCATAGCGGACAGCTGGATTGCTTTGCAAAAGCGCTCGAAGATTGAATCCCTTGCGAATCGTATGTCAAATAGGCTCACTTGCAGCCATGTAAACCATATGATCCCAAGAAAACCAATGTATGCGCCCAGGGCTACAATGAAATGGGAGAGTTAGGTAAGATTGTAGTCAAGAAAGTAGTCAAGACGCACCGTTGACGTTATTTATTTCGTGTGTCGCAGTGAATGTCGATAGGTTCGCAACGAAGAACAGATCAAAGAAGAGCTCGATCGGCGTCGCATCAGATCGACGACTCAGACGAGGGAAATCACTTGTTGAATCAACAGGAGAGTCGATCCAGGGTAGCGGGCGTGCGGGTGGATCACGGTCGTAATATATATTCCTACAAACTGAGCCAAAACCCTTGCAAAGCATTCGAGGCATGTGCATATTGGATATTGACAATATGATTGAAAAAAAAGTAATTCATTGGGTATCAAAAAGCAGACAAGGACTCCAAGAGGATGCGGGTGAGTCGATCGAGCAGAAGGAAGCGAGTCGGGCAGGACCCAAAACGCATGCAGAAAGCGCGATCAAGACTCGTCATCATCTTCAAAACTGGAATCTGAGGAGTCGGAGGAGTTTGATCTGGGCACAGGCGCATCGACAATTTCTAAGCCCGTGGACTTGGTGAGGGCTCCGTTGGAGGCACTGTCTGCATTAGACCCAGCAACAGCTTCTTTCTTGAGTCGCTCGTAATTTTCACCAGCTTCCTTGATCATCGCTTGAACTTCGACTTCACGAACGGCGATATCGGCCTTTTCCTTCCTCAATTCCTCCATTCGGCTAATCATTTGCGTCTTCGAGACTTCCATAGATGCCAGAGACATGCGCAATCGCTCAATGCTATTGGCCAGGCGAGGAAGAGCAGTCATCTTGACAGGTGTTTCCGGTCGGTCCAAATTGTCTGACTTGCCATGGCCCATTGCCGCTCTGGTTTGTGCAGCCTCATATGCAGCCTTCTCCTCGAGATCGGAATCTTCTTCATCAGAGAAACCCTCGGCGTCATTGATTAGCTCGCGCATGGTTTCACGGTCTTTCCGCTTCTTTTCACGCTCCGCTCTCCGCCCAAGAGAGATCTTCCCATCCTCCGTATATTCCTCGAACCCCTCCGCGAAGTCCTCGTCATCTCGAATGAGCCGTGTATCTTTGACCTCTTTTTCGCCTCGTGCAACTGCGTCCCAATCGTCCACATGTGCAGCATCATTGTCATCCAAGGCAATGTAGCCATCGTCCTCTGCGCCGTGTTCCATAGCCAGGCGGGCTCGTCGGGCTTTCTTTTCGCGAATTTCGGCTTCGCTGGGAATATGTGACTGCCCGGAGACCGTCATGATTTCTCCGAATTTGGCCGCCACATCCACGGCTTTGCTCGTCTCGTCATCGGTGTTTGTCTTGGGTGTCGAGGGAGTAGAGTCACGCAGCTCCTTGAGGTAATCATTGCTGTAGGTAGGCCGCTCTGAGTCCTGACCGAGTCGCGCAGAGATACTCTCAGATAGACCGGGTAGCCGGTTGTTGATGCTGTTTTCAACAGCCCTCCGGCCTAGACCTTGTCGTTTTGGGATAATGACTTCGCTCTCTTCGCCTTCGTCTTCATTCATTGATGTCTCCCCAGCACCAAATGAGAGGTTCAACTTGGACTTTGGCTTCGCTTTGGGCTTTGAGGCAGGGCGCTTGACAACAGGTTCTGTGGAGAAGATCAGCTAGAGTTCTTGCAGGCAAATGTCGCTGTAGGGAAAAAAAAAGATTCAAGTAGTGAACGTACCAGGTACACCGGTCTCATCCTGCTCATCATCACCCCCAATCTTGCGGGGCTTTCTTCGATTAGCAAATTTAGAACTCATGATTTCACAAACACCAGTGAAGCACTGAAGCAAAAGCAAGTTGAGAGAGCAATGAGCTCTTATCGCGCCGCATATCCGGAACAACATTTTTCCAGAGCTTTCACGAAACTCCAAACCAGCACTCCGATCTTGTCCAACTCCCAGATACCCAACACGATCATTCAATATGCCTCAAGCTCAGCCTGAATTGAAGAAGGTAAGTGCACACTTGACTGCAGATGTGATTTTTTCCTGAGACCCAAATTCTAACATGCCGTTTCACCGCAGTACATGGAGAAGCGGGTCTTCTGCCAACTCAACGGCAACCGCAAAGTCATTGGAATTCTCCGTGGATACGATGTACGTGAAACCTCTGCTCCAACAAAGGCTCCTTCATTGTGATCCTTGTACCCGTGGACGTCGGATCCGGATAGGAGCTTGGAGACAATCTAAGACGAGCGCAGATCGACTAATGCTCTTGCGCAGGTGTTCATGAACATTGTCCTCGATGAGGCATTTGAGGAGAAGGCTGGTGGAGAGAAGGTCGCTATCGGCATGATTGTGAGTACCCCGCGATATGTGCAATTCTCCAACCCCGCTAACCAAGACTACCAGGTCATTCGCGGTAACTCGGTCGTGATGCTCGAGGCTCTTGAGCGCATCACTGATAAATAAGCGACAAATTCACCATGACGAAGTTTCTATTCGAAGAGCACGCACATAGGCACCAATCTACCGAGTGCGTGAAAAGATCATAATGCTGTTTGGAGTTATTGGGTCGGTTTCTCATCGGGGAACAATCAAAACCTTTTGTTTTCAATTTCTCTATTGTCTGGCCAGGGGGCATTTTCAAGATCGTACTGGCTACCTCAATCTACCTCGATGACTTTTTTTCCCACTGGCTACATCGCTCTGAATACCTGAAAGGAAGAGAGAATAAGATCCAGTCTTTGATATTCATCTCGGGACACAACACTGGCTCAATCGCGCCCGTGGAGCGACGGCGAAAGAGCCTCGTGTTGAGTGGGAAGCAAATGTGGGAGTAATAAAAATGGGTTAATAGGTAAAATACATATGTCGTCCAGAAAACAAGGCTTCAAAATATTCATGCAGGTCGTCCACCGAACTTGAGCTTAAGTTTAGGTGTGCCTGTGGCGGGTGTTTTGGGTGTAGATCCCATCGCAGGGGATGGTCGGGGGATGCTAATTTTGGGGAGAGGAGTAGCAGAAGGAGTGGCAGTCAAGCTGGTCTTGGACTGCTTGAAGGTGATACGAGTTGAGGAGGGTGCCTGTATGTCTTTGTCTTCGCGCTTCCGCTTGGTAGCGGGACCCATGCGGGTTTTGTTGGAACGGTAGAAGCGTAGTTGGCCATGCCCCAGGTTTTGAACGGCCCAGTATCGTGGTAGTTTCAACCGTACGAATTTGGACGTACTGACATCGTATAGAACACGACAGAGATCAGTGAGTTCGGAGAGCTCCAGCAGACCCATGACGGGAGAGTTGCATGCTGCCCACATGTATTCCTTGAAAGCGGCGTCCCCGGAGATCTCTCGTTTCAGCGCCTCAATGGCTCCTGGGATGGTCTTGCGTCTTGCAATATCATCTCGGCGGATATCTGTGGTGGACTCTTGTTCGATAATCAACCCATCATTCAACGAGGCCTCTTGCTGCTGGGGTCGCCCGAAAGCGATTTGCGCCAATGTCTGACCGAACAGACACAGCCCTTGGTGGCGAATCCAAGCAGAAGAATCCGCTGAGAGAGTGAACATCAGCCAGCGGAGAAGCTCGGGGCTCTGTGAGATGTCGAGATCGACCAAGCATTGGAATGCCTGCATGCGCAGAAGGTCGTAAGTTCCCGCTCGCGTGTATGGGATGAAACGCATCAAATCGACCTCCATCATTTTCGCCTGCATCAATTGCGCCTGGCAAAGAAGTGCAGCTCTTGAGTAGAGGTTTTGGAATGAGCTGGACCATTCGTCCATTCGTCGATAACGATCAAATTCGGCAATGGCGTCTTTGTCCAGTTGCTCCTCGGCCTGAGTCTCAAGGACACGCTCCATGTCAAAGTGGTCCAGCTCCTCATCTACCCTCGTCTCACTTCTGCCAAGCATGGCATGGCAGAGGGATTTCATTAGCGAGGCAACGTAGAAATTGTCCGAATACTCATTGTTTGAGTTGTCGTTGAACTTCAGCTTATCAAACAGGAAGCGTTTGACCCTCAAGGGGGTCTTGCCACTGTTGTCCCGAACTTTGGAGATGGCGTCGGGAATCACTTGCTGCAGGATATACGCAGCCCGGTCAGAGAAATCGTTTGAACGAGTCATTGGCGACCCGGGAAGACAGAATAGCTCCTGGAAGGCCGTTTCAAGGTGATGCAAGCCAACCCAGTCTACTTCATCCTTGGCGTGTTTGATCAAGGCGCGCGCAGCTGTTGTACGTATGCCATGGAAGTAACGACTGTCCATGAGTGTGCGCACAAAGATGGTCGAGATCAAAGGATGCTCCCGCTGAGCGGCCATATATTGTAATGACTGAGTATGTTAGCTTGATGTTTTCAGCAAGTATGATGAGTGTAGACTCACCTCAAGTTGCGCTACCACGTCTCGGTCTTGTTGAAGCTGCGAAAGGTACATGTAGCCTGGCATTCCAAGGGACAATTTGCAGACCCATTCAAAGTCTGCATCCATTCGAATCCATTCGTACGACTCCTGTCCCATTCGCTCCTCATCTTCCTTAGTCCAGTCTGCCAAACGCCAAGCCTGTGTTTCTTCCTCTGTTTGTAAGACATCACCCAGGCAGTAAAGGAGGACTTCCTCCTGCACTTCAGCGTCACCAGATGCCACAGCTCTTTCTCGTTGTTTCTTGTTACGCTTCAGCCTTTTGTACTTGGTGTTGTAGGGGATGTCGAATTTTGTTGTTCCCTCTTTAATTTCAACAATGTGCTCATAAGGGGTTCCGTCTGCTTCGTGAATTCGCAGGGTCATTGAGCCCGTGAATACAGGCTGAACTGCACCAGCGTAGACGTGACGAACCTCTTCCTTGACATCCCGCAGGAACGCGTCCTTGGCCAAATCTCGAGGGGGTTGAGGTTCGGCTTGGACCTGTCTGATCATCATTTCGACAACGAGCTTTTTCTTATTGAATCGCTGGGTGGCTTGGAAACGAGGGCATCCTGCACCGTAAACCCACTGTTGGAAGAATACATCCAACTTTGCGTGTCCAAGTCGTTCACATGTTTTCTGGAATAGAGTTGAAGTTACTGCGCCGTTGGGGATGTCGCCCATGCGGGAATTGAGGAAAAGTCGTGAGATAATGCGAGACATCGTGGCTTTACCACTTGCCTTCGTCAGGCGACGATCTAAGATGAACAGCACCAGAGGGGCCTTGAGAGCAACGAAGCGATATTCAGAAGGATCGACCTTTAGAATGTTGCCCATGTCATAAATTGAAGGTCGTTCGTAATCCAAGTCACACACTTGATCGGACATTTGCTTGAGCCTGAAACGGTACTCATTGTTTCCGCAGAGCTTTCTCATAAAAGTATCTGTGATGTACCATGCCACGCCGACTGTGACCCACGTATCCGCAGGTTCGTGGGGGATGATGTTGATTCCAGTCCACTGACATGCTAAACCATGGACCAGGGCCCGGGTTGCATCGTACATAGGATCAATCATCTCGGCCGGGAATAGCAGGTGGCTGCTGCAAATAGACATACATGCAGTTGGAAGGGCGTCCGTAGGTAGATCGTCAACAAAACAGATTTTGTAGCTGCCGAATGGGTAGGATCCGTAAGACAAGGAGAAGAAGTCAATAGCCTGGGCCATAGGGAAACTCGTGTTCTGAACTTCATCCGCTCTACCGGGCAGGCAGAATGCATGCAGGGGAATGGCATTCTGACCAAGTTGTTCATCTTGATCGCTTTCACGGAAATCGGCAAGGTTGACATATTCGAACGGACCGATTGCGAATCCAATCTGCAGAGCTCCTAGAGGAGAATATGAGGCAAATGAAACCGTCTTTCTTGTGGGGTCCTTGGGGTCCACGATGTCATCCGTCAAGTCACCAGAGCACACCACTGACATATCGAGCCCTTCATCGTCAGCGGAGAGTTGACGGGTTGGGACCTTTGGGCGGGTTGATATTGAGCCAGATGGGTCCTTGACCTTCCGGTCAAACACGTCTCCGAGTGAACTTGGGCATGTGATCGAGATCTCCCAGGTACATCGCGAAGCCGTATCGTCGACACACGGAAACAAGGGACAACCAATACCAGACTCTAAGGAGTTGGTTGTGTATGCATGTGGATACCGTCGGTCACCACTCTCGACACCGACAAACTGCAGACCATCCCGGATTCGATTTATGACGAACTCGATGTTCACCGTCAGCGACGTGAATCGCGGAAGATTCGCTTCTGGTGCCCTGGCCCCGGAAGCCCCGTCGACATCATCACCGGTGGATTGGAGCGCAATTTGATCCTGAGCTTCTGCAGAAGAAGGATCCAATTCTTCGATGCGAACGTTCTTGGGCACTGTGATCGGAAGGGTAGGTGTGGAGGGTGTTTGCAGCAGGCCGTCAATATGCTGTGTTAAACGCTCATGGTATTGAGCACCGAAGAGTTGAAGCGATTCATAAGGGTCTGCATATCTTGAAACCGCAGCCTTGCCGTTCACGCTCACGCGCTTGATGTCTCCTTGTCGAAAATTCAACCAGATCGTGGTTAGGTCTTTGCGGCGAGGGTGAATGGTGATTTCGGTTTTTCCTTTCAGGCTTTTCGTTGCAAGGTCAATCTCCAGTTCGACCTTCTGATGGCCCACGCTGAACCCCAGGTTTGGGCGTGCCATGGCACCTGGGTCAACAACACCCGGCATCGTTGAGATTCCTTAGTGACGAAATGCGCCTGGAGCGCTGTGCGGACCATCCACCGTCATGTCCAAACAGACCCAAAGCTCGATAATGTCGTCTGCGATCGCGAGAGAGCTATTAGTGATACGGCGACGAATCGAGGAATACGGTGGACTGGCGCGGATCCCAGCTTCGAGTGAGGGAGGACCAAAATGTAGGATCCAAGGGGGAATCGATGGAGATTTAACGGACTCGTCAATTACTATCCGTCAGTGAGGGTCCTTCAATGGACCTCAATAAGATCCAACTGAATGGGTAATGAATGGGCACTGCGATAATACAAAATCGAACAATCGCGCTGAGCTTCGCGCTTCCCGATGCGGAGGCACGTGATGCCGACCCGAAAACCCCATCTTGAGACACTGGACTCTCCCCTTTTCTCCACGAATTCGGGACATTTCTGGATTCTTCATTCGGATGATTTGAGTTGTATTGCATTTGTTCACCTTTTTTGCTTTTCGCCTCTTGGTTCTGAGGCCGGTCTATACACCCTATAACCCTTGCCAACTCCGCGCGTGACACGGCGCAACCCCAAAATGAGCGCAATCTTCCGCATGGTCCAGGGTGAGTGAGATGAGACTGAATCCATGTTGATGAAGTGTTTACTGACTGATTTCTTACTTCTCAGAGACCCAAGATTCACTCTCCGACGATGCCCTCTTGCCCCTTAAGTCCTACAAGTACTCGAGTGTCGACAAGTCATTTATTTCCAACTATATCTTGAGACATTATGTATGAAACATGGGATTGAAGCTGGACCTAAATGACAGAGGGCTGACCGTTGTTGTTTAGTGGAATGCCTTCGTCGAACTTGTGCCGATGTGGATGGCCCCCAACATGGTGACCCTCCTTGGATTCGTGTGGATTGTCGCCAACGTGTTTTTGATTGAGCTGGCTGTGCCCGATATGGTGGGACCTGTAAGTTGGCAGTTACCTGTCCTATTTTTACCAGAGTGGCGAATTGACCAGAATTCAGGGTCCTGGGTGGATCTACTTCAGCTTCGCTCTTGGCATGTGGATGTAAGTGTACGACGCCGCCCCATTAGGATTGGATCTAACGGAACACAGGTATTCCACCCTCGACAATGTTGATGGAAAGCAAGCTCGTCGCACTGGAACATCCAGCGGACTCGGAGAACTTTTTGAGTTTGTACCACCCGTTCCTTGGCCATGGAAGTCCCACTAATCAGGTACACAGTCATGGAATCGATTCTCTGAACTGCACCATGGCCAGTTTGCTGTCAACCGCCGCAATGGGCTTCGGATCCACCTACCTTGGCGCATGGACGGCTCTGGTTCCTTGCCTGGCCATGTATTTCTCGACCTGGGAGACTTTCCACACCCACACCCTGTACCTCGGCTACTTCAATGGCCCGACCGAGGGCCTCTTGATCGCCATCAGCATCATGGTCGCTTCTGGAATCTGGGGTCCCGGAATTTGGTCGCAACCCATTACTGATCTCATCAACTGGCCGCTCGTGTTTGGTACCAACTCTATCAAAGACTTGTGGGTGCCTATCTTGCTGGTTGGCTTCTTCTTGGGCCATCTGCCTGGATGCGTTATGAATGTGTATGCTGCGCGTAAGAAGCAAGGTCTGCCGTTCACCCCGCTGCTTAAGGAATGGATCCCCATGGCCGTCTTCACTGGTTGCAACATGGCTTGGTTGTTCTCCCCTTACTCAACCATCCTGTCTGGCAACCACCTTGTCCTCTTCTGCTGGGTCCTCGCTTTCGTCTTTGGTCGCATGACCACTATGATTATTCTGGCTCACCTGATCAGACAGCCCTTCCCGTGCTGGACTATTCTGCTGGCCCCGCTGGTTATCGGCTCCGTTCTTATTAACCTTCCCGTCCTAGGCTTCCCCGTCATTGCTCCTTGGTTGGAGCTTCTCTACGTCTGGGTCTACCTTGGCTTTGCGTTTGTTATCTATATGCACTGGGCTGTGCTCGTCATCAACCGCATCACTACTTTCCTAGGCATCAACTGCCTCACCATCCGCAAGGATCGTGGTCCAGCTCGTGACAGAGCCTACCGCAACCTTGCTGGTGAAACCCAGCTTGAGTCACCCCGTGCCTCGACTGATACCTCCAAGACCCATTAGATTGAGGTCTTCCACGGCACTGTTCGCGAACCATCGACCAATGGCCCAACTGTGATTGGGTCATCTTTGGGTCGCCACAAAAGCACCCTGGAGGGTGCATTTCTACATGTTTAAACTCCCATTGTAATTATGAGCTTCCTCTTATCGCCATTACCCTTTGTTGTTACCTCGATCTGAAGAAATCGGATGAGATGTTTTAGAAGAGAGGAAACCCTGATGACATTTGCATGGAACTTCCTGCATATTTGTACTTATGAGACTAATTATTTGTGAATAGACCAAAAGAGTTCCAATTCATTACCTTCTCGAAATGAGAAGTAGCATCCAAATTCTCACATAGTACATACAGATAAATTAAAGGCATACACAAAAGCCAAACCGGTGAACGCTGACAACAACAGGAAGAAAAGCGACAAACACACAAAAGTAACGCCCACAAGAATCTCGAATCGCAACAGGCTCAGTAATTTTTATTTCTTCCCACCAAGACCAAGAGCATCAGTCAGGCTGCCCAGTCCCAGTCCATCAATCAGCTTGTTCAATCCCAAGCTGCCAAGAAGGCCATTCAACAAACCACCAAGGCCAAGACCATCAAGCAGACGGCCGACAAGTCCGAGAACACCGTTCAGCAACAAGCCGACAGCAGCAATGATCTGGAACAAAGGCTCGGACAGCAAGCCCCAGAGAGGGTTCAGCTTCTTCTTGGCGTGAGGCATGTCAGCAATACGTTTCTTGCCGTTGTCAATGGTCTTCACGACTGTCTCGGTGAGCTCCTTGATCTGGTCGGCAAGCTGGTACTCCTCGGGAGTGGCATCACGAGAAGCAGCGCGCGCCTTAGCAGTGGCAGCGATGCGTCCATCGGGGTCAAGGGCACGGATCGAGCCGTTGCATTCTTGGAGAATCCGGCCACCTTCCTCGAGGAGCGGCTTCACCTGCTGCACCAGCTTCTCCTCGTCCAGTTCGTCCTTGGGAGTGCGATCTGCCTTTTCGATGGCCTACGCGATCGTTAGTACTAAATGTAGGGTTGCGGAAAATGAGAACTCACGTCTGTGATTTGCTTGCAAACAGGCTTAACACGGTCCAGAGTCTGGCCGAGGATGAAGGTCATCTTTTCGGCCAGCTGGCGATCGGACTCAGCCTTCGCAGCGGCCTCTTGCTCTTCGGGAGAGGGTCCCTCTTCCTCCACCTCTGGCTCAGGCTCCTCGGGCTCGGGCTCAGGAATGTTTTCGAGCAGAGTGCATTCACCAATCTTGTTGCCATCATTGTCAACAACATATCCGTTGTCGTCGATGACCTTGCCAACCAGCGTGGCAAGGTTACCATCAGTGAGCTTTCCAATGAGGTTTCCATCCGCGTCGCGCACTTCACCCTCCTTGGTAATCTTGCGTCCAGACATGGGGTTGACCTCGCGCTTCTTCTCCTCCGGCTCCCAGCGCTCGGCCTTACCAATGGTGTTGCCGTTCTTGTCGACGACATCACCATCCTCATCGACCTTTCGGCCAAGGAGACGCTTCGCGTCGCCTTCAACCAGACGACCAATGATCTTCTCGCCATCCTGAACGACACCATCCTTTCCGACGGTTGCGTTGTCAAACCCGTAGAAAGGACCTTCGGCCTTGTTCTCTTCGGCGCCAGGGATCAGCTCGGCACGGCCAACGACTTTGCCATTGTCACCCCAGATCTGACCCTTGCCGTCGACCTTGCGACCAGCCAAGCGCTTGTCACCTTCCACGATTCGTCCAACGACGGCACCAGTAGAGGGGTCAACAACGTTGCCAGACTTGTTGACAACCTTGCCATCGAGGATGGAGAGATCCACCTCTTCGGGAACCTCCTCTTCCTCCTCAGGAACCTCGTAAGGCTCAGCACGGCCCTTCACATTGCCGTACTTGTCAGTGATCTCACCGTCTTCATCGACGGCGCGACCACGCAGCTTCTTTGGGTCACCTTCGATGATCTTACCAACAATGGTTCCTTCGTCATCTTCGATGAATCCATCCTTGGTGACGAATAGGCTTTCCATTCCAGCGAAGGGACCTTCAGGCCTGCTCTCAATCTCATCCTCGGGAATGAGTTCAACGCGACCAACGACATTCTTGCCATCGTAAATCTCGCCGTCCTGAATCTTCTTCCCAACAAGTTCCTTGGGGTTGCCCTCAATCACACGAGCAATGGGGAACCCATCAGGGCCAATGACATATCCGGCCTTGTTGCAGGAAAGACCGTTGACAGCCGAGAAATCAGGTCCGACCTCCTCGGGCTCCTCCTCTTCCGGCTCGAGGCGCTCGGCACGGCCAATGACATTGCCCTTGCGGTCGAGGATTTCACCATCCTCGTCAACGCCACGACCACTGAGCTTCTTGGCGTCTCCTTCGATAAGGCGACCGACACGGTTGGAGTTCTCGTCTTCAATGAATCCGTCTTCTCCAACGACGAGTCCTTCTAGTCCGGAGAATGGACCTTCTTCATCTTCGTCATCTTCGATTGGAAGAGTCTTCGCTTTGCCGATCACGTTGCCGCGGTTGTCCCAGAATTGGCCTTTGCTGTCGAGGGTTGCGCCAATCTTGGCGATCTTCTTTGCGTCGCCTTCTGTGAGCTCACCCACAGGCTTGCCGGTTGCTTGGTTGATGATGTAGCCGCGCTTGTTGCACACAAGGCCTTCGAGGGTTGAGAGGTCTGGGAGTTGTTCTTGTGCCTCGTCGACTGCGTCTTCAACGTCCTCGGTGGCATCTTCGGTGGCGTCCTCAGCGGCATCCTTGGCTCCATCGAGGGTGTCTTGGGCGCCGTCGGCGGCGCCTCCGGCAGTTTCCTGGGCTTCACCGAGGGCGTCTTGAGCACCTTCGGTGGCTCCCTCGGCGGTCTCCTTCGCGTCGTCGAGGGTACCTTGGGCGTCATCGGCGGCGCCTTCGGCTCCGTCCTTTGCCTCATCGGCAACATCCTCGACTTCACCCTTCGCATCTCCGGCGGTGTCTTCAGCGGTGTCCTTGGCGTCGTCGAGCGTGTCTTGGGCATCCTCGGCGGTGTTCTCAAGGGTGCCCTTGGCGCCGTCGACATTGTCCTCGAGGTTAATCTTGGCGTCGTCCGCAGCACCGTCAACGGTGTTCTTCGCGTCATCAACGTCAGGGACATCTCCCTCGACCTCGGAGGCGGCATCTTCAGCCTCATCAGCGACATCGTTGGCAGTGGACTTGGCCTGGCTGGCTGCTTTTCCGACACTGGGGGCAACATTTTCAGCCTCGTTGGCTGACAGGCTATCCTGAGCATCTTCGTATTGATCCTCAAGATCATCCTTGGCGCCATCGACCTTCTCGGTCACGTCGCCAGCAGCCTCCTCAATGGCCTTCTTCTGCTCTTCAATAGGAATCAAATCGACACGGCCAATGGCATCACCTTCCTCGTCGACAATTTCACCATCATCGTTGAGTGTGTAACCAATGAGGTCCTCTGGGTCACCTTCAACGATGCGACCAACGATCTGACCAGCAGCGTTCTTGATGACACCGCCATCAGAGACTGGCAGACCATCAAGCTGAGCGAGATCTGTGACAACATTTTCCAGATCAACCTCACCAACCTTGGACTGCACATCTTCAGGCACGGCATCCTTGGCCTGCTCGGCGACATCGTGCAAGATATCAACACGACCAATGAGATCGCCTTCTTCGTCGACAATCTCACCGTCATCGCCGACAGTCTGGCCAACAAGATCTTCGGGGTCACCCTCAACGACCTTGCCGATAGGGTTCCCATCTTGACCAAGGATCTCTCCGCCATCGGAAATCTCAAGACCCTTCAGTGCAGCCAGATCCAGGGGCACAGGAAGCTGTTCTGTAGTCTCCTTCGCAGTATCCTGAACAGTCTCAGCTCCTTTTTGAACAGTGTCCTTTGTCTTGCCAGCAAGACCTTTAGCTTTTCCAGTTAGACCAGACGCAGCGCGGCCGAGGGGTGCAGCGGAGCCGGAGTCTGAGGGTGCCACAGAGGCGTCATCGGGAGGAGAGGCAGGGCGACGTTGCTCGGACTTCTTCTTGGACTTTGGGGAAGGTGTTTCGGGAATGGATTGCTCATCCAGGTCATCCTCAATTGGCTCGGGGGCTTTCTGGGAGAGCTTGCGTGGGGTGGCTTTCTTAGTGGACTTTGGGCTTGCTGGGGCAGCAGTGCTGGGCTTCGAAGCTGCACTTGAACCGGAGCCTTTGCGGATCTTGGCTGGTGTGCCAGCTTTGGAACCCAGCTTGGGGGGAGCTTTGTTCACGGCGGGAGAGGACATTGTTGTAGAGCTTTGGTCGGGCTGGATGTCGGGTATTGCGATGGTTTGCTCGTGTGGGCTCAATAAGATGGATTGTAGTTCAATGCGGTAGTTGTTTCGTATAGATATTCGTTTTGTACGTCGATTGGAACGTGTACTTCGTGAAGGTGCAGGGTTTGCCAGGGGTGTGGTATTATACAAAGATCCGAATAAGAGATGATTCGGGCGATCAGATAGATTTGTTTCTAGATTAATAGAAAGATGAAAGAGAATTCAGGAACAATCAGAGAGGCTCGAGGGTTTGGATTTTTATATGAAGAGTTAAATAACCACCAGACTCAACGTTGAAGCTCTATATATGCGATAACCAGGCACGATACTTGCATCTTTCACTACGTCATGGGCCATTGATATCATAGCTCTGATTTATCCTTTTTCTTTTGTGGTTCTGATCCCTGTTCGAGCCATGATCATCGGCGATTTAATCTGGAGGGTGCACGGTGCAGTGGCTGTAGAGTGGTAGGGCGTTTAGGAGCATCATCAGCATCATGGAGTGGGTCAATGAGACAACCTGCTCAGGCGAGGGTGCGGCTAGACAGTGATGATCCCTAGAGTATTGCAGGCCGGATGCACGAATAAGAATGTTTAGATGGCATGTGAAGGAAGTGTGGCTGAATCGAGGTATGGCAGAAGGGTGGAACGCTATGCGATAGTATGATTGTAGCAGTCAAAAAGGATGTATATTCCCTTGAACAAGGCTATTTTCCCTGCTTAGCCTTGAAATATTTGATTGCGTCGTACGAGTGATGCAACTCTAGTAGCCATGGGCCGGGGAATATACCACACCTAGGCACTTTTGTACGCCAGACCTTGTTCCTGATCTGAATCCACGCGTCCTTGGGTTCTAGACACATTCTGACCGATGAGCCCTTAAAGTAATGTGACTGGTTTAAATGTCAGAATGTAGCGACCCATGGATCCTCCCCGGAGCCACGCTACATCCAACGTGGAAAAACACGGGCGAGCGAATCAGCGATCTATAAAACCACGTTGGAGCCCACTTCGAATTTGCCCCCGCGCTGTCACTTGTCACTGCTCAAGTGGGATTTGGTGTTGCAAAGCTATCAACCCCTGCAATTCGAATCATCATTACATCACATTCGAATATAAAAGCCGTTGTGAAACGACGCAGAACTCAATCCCGGTTTGGCTTCACTTGAGGTACGAGTAGATTGCAATGCAATATTTCTCTACCACAATGCAGTACGGTTAAATCACGAGCACACTTGGAATTTGCACTGTTGAGCATTCATGGATGAATAGCTGTATATACCCACCGTCTCTACAGAGAGAATATCGATTCCTGATCTTGATCGGAGTACATGTCAGATCGCGAGGTATGAGCGCGGTCTCGGCCGGATGAGATCATTTTAATCTATTCGGGTGGAGTATTCAGCCACACAAGTCATTGGCTGATATCATCTAACAATTTTATCAATTCAAGGCAGGGGACATTGGCATGTTTCATTTCTTCATCTCTGATCCTATTGCCTATCCTCTTGCGGTTAATGCCCATCTCATCAGACACAGAAAAAAAGAAACTGTGGAACAAACCATGAATTTAGTACTCGTACATACTTAGCACAGCACCAGATTGGCCCACAATATATCTCCGGCTAAAAACATCCGAAATCAAGATTTGCCCCTAGCGTCGTCCGTGCGTCTTGTCAACGGTTTAGGTGGGAACCTTGTGAAGAGTCCTATCTTGTCTCGTATACTTCCAATTTCAGAATTGCACTGTCTTCCAGGCGATTATGCGAGAACACCCAGGGCATTCAAAAAAGAAAATAAGGTAGCGTATATGAAATGAGACTGCTGAAGGACGCACCATCACACGTTCATTGTGTTTGACTGCCAAAAAAATGTTCAAGTTAGCCAGCGGGCCAAACCGCGTCTACTTTGTTGAATATCCATAAAGATTCCTAGACTCCTGACTTGTTAGGCTTTTTGTCTAGTCGGGAAATTCAACATACTTTATTCTTCGGCCTCGTTCTGGCGTTTTCAACCGCACCACGGTTACAATCACCAAATCAGCATTTCTGGACCAGATGCCGAGCACCTTTGCTTAGACACTGACCTAGCCTTTTGTTTTGCATCACTTAACCGCCACAGCCAACAACAATGCTCAAGTGCTGACCAATGATATCCCTGTTCAATCTCGCGCCTAAAGTTGGGTCCCCGAGCTTAGAGAGTCTCGGAACTCGATCGAATTGCAGGCTGGCAACATCGTACTTAGTCGCTTATTACTTTTACGGGTGATATGCTTTGGTGTTTTCGTCATTTTAATATATGGATGCCTGAATGGGATACGATCACCATATCCGATCTTCGTATCTCAAGGTCAATTATATTAATTTGACCTGTTCGCGAAATTCAGCTTCGGTCTGATGGTTGCGCCACAGTCCGTCCAGATCTGCACAGGTACTTAAGTCCCATCCAGGGCCCTTTAAAAAGTTCTGATCCATTAATAGTACGGAATGGAGTGTCCAGTGTAGATATCAAGCGTGCCCAGATGGTGAGGACCACATTTATGATGGGATCAAACAAACCCCAGCGTTCTAGTCAGTGACTAACCTGAGGCTTCAGGAAGGAAGTTATTCCTGCATCATGTTAGGCCTGTCAATTTTTACTTAAGTACTTGGTCTTGGGTCTGTACTTAAGTACTTAAGTAACAGATCTATATTGATGTGCCTGTAGACAAAAAGCCTGGCCCATCTCTTGGGATCACTTGAGCAGTTATAAGTATAGGACACCTGGAAAATTGTTAAGAATTACAGAGAAGACCACTCCGCGTTCAATCTCCAGGACTTGCAAATATTTTGAATTCTCAAATAAAATCTTTTATCTCGCGATCGCACCATTTTAACAATTGCGCGGCCTTTCCTGACCCGCCATCTTCTTGCGAATGTAGCGAGCTCTCGATATCTGGACGTAAATACCCAACGTGCCCCCATGGCCATATGAATGCACCGACGTGCTTTTCAATTGTCAAATCGGGCGAAAGACCGGCATATAGCTCCGTGTATGCTCCATAGCGAGCTGGCCACAAAACAAGGCTCATGAGACGGGGCACAATCGATCCAAGAAACGGCAATGTAAGGTAGCGCGTTAACCCTGTGTTAAGATTTCCAGGATTGAATGCCTTAACCGAGCAAGTACTTAAGTATCAGCATAGGAACAGGATATTCGACTGCGGAAAGGGAGTAACAATGATTTGTTTTCACATACCACACTGAGCACTTTTCCATCTCGACATTTCTTCCCGAACTCCGAAGCCAACATATTGTTTGCAGCCTTTGAGGCACAATAATTAGTGAGTTTATTATTGGAAAACACAGGCGAGCCGAAGTCATCCATGCCAATGCCCCCGTTGGGAGCCAGCTCTATTGTTATTGAACTGGCCCAGCATACCCTGACGGAGTTAAGGGGGGATGTGTCTGCAGTCTTTTTCATTATGGGGCACAGCAAGGTAGTGAGGAGATAAGGACCGAGCACATTTGTGCCTAACTGAAGATCGTATCCCTATCAAACGGACGTTAATGGCGAGCTCAAGGCCAAGCCATGTGGCTGGCTACGACCAAAGAAAGAGTCCAAAACATTACCTGCTCTGATTTGGCCGTGGTGGGAGTGCACATAACGCCAGCATTATTCCAAAGCACATCTAGCCTTTCTTCCTTGCTCAGGAAATCCTCTGCTGCGATTTTGACTGAAGCCAGATCGGCTAGGTCTAATGGTAACCAGATCAAAGTTCCCTGTGATGAAGGTACATCATTCTGGAGTCTTTGGATAGCCTCTAGCACCCGCTTTTCGGACCTGCCAGCCAAGTATACTTTTGCATTTGCAGCGTACAGAATCTTGGCTAGCTCAAATCCCACACCTGAATTGGCACCGGTTATCACAAAAACCTGGACGAATGTTAACGCAGTACACACAAGCCATTTCAATACTTGCTTGCCTTCCCACTTTGGTTGCCGACATTTTTTTCGGTGATCGGGGGGCTCGGGATCCACACGCTTTGGCTCCAGGATTTCCCCATCCCTGCTATACAAAGTGCCGAGTACGGAGTCCAGGGTGCTCCGTACAAAGTGGAGGTTGTGGAGGAAATGCGGTGAGGGTTATAAAGCTAGTCCTCTTTAGGTCTAGACATGTCTATTAATAGTTGAGGGCATCAAAAAGACACAGTGGATTACCTCAAGGGATGTTTGACAGAGCTACGGAGAAATTCCTACTTGACGTGAGGAATATTTTCTGGTAGACCATATCCCATTGGCCTACTCCTCGGGATGTCAATTGAAGACTCCGTAGTGCTGTTCCACTATAGGAACTCCACAGTCGAAGCTCCCAGCCACGCATGTCACCACTGATACCGAAGATCCTGAACAGGGATCAACTGCCTATATTACATGCATTCGCATCGCTTTTACTCACCAATCATTTTTCATAGCAACCGGTTGTGCATGAACCAGATCAACGACATAGCATAGCATCTCCTCTGTTTTACCATCCTGACGCGTAAAAGCAGAGCAAGGAGTGAAGATAAATTCTTTCGGGGTTCGCAGGCTGGACTTATCCATATTCATATTCGGTGATGTGCCCGGTTATCAGACTTTCCATTGCAGAGTAGCATGTTCATGCCTCGTGTTCTATGCGGCTAGACCCTGAAAGCAGGAAATGCCCCATCCTATCATCGTCGCTGCATGCATGAAGTATCTTGCACATGCAGGATTTTCTAATTGGTCTTAACTCAAGACAAGAGGAGGATCAGGAAGGACACGCGAAAACCTTGAAATAAAAGAATAATCACTGTACTTTGGCTTGGTACCTCTTAGATGATGCACACCATTTCAAATGGGTGTCGGCGAATGCCAGGACTGCAGTCTCAAGAGCAGGATTCTGGACCTCCCCATTCAACGCAACCATCAACTGATACTTTTCCACAGCAGCCAACACACATCGGTTATGAATTCCACACACGTCTTCGATGACGACCGGCATAATCATATCCATGCGTTCAACATCAGTCCCGGCTTGTTCATTTAAGGATACGAGCACTGCATTCATGGTCTCGCCCTTTCGACGATCCTTTTCCAGCCCCACAAGATCATTTTGTAGCCCTAGCACCAAGCTAACCCGCGTTTGCAAATCCCGAAGTCCAAATAGATATTCGTTGCCGATTGGTTGGTGCATGGCGCGAATCAGAGTAAAGAATGGATGGATCCCCATGGTTCTCCCACGGAACTGCAGATAGGTGTCCAGTGTGTTGGGCAATACTCCTTGGCGGAACAGCAACTCATCGAGTAGGCCCTGGCACATGTCAGAGATATCGTTTCTGAGTTCACGTTGAACATCTTCTGATAGGTCGAGATGCTGGCTGCAATAGCCTTGGAAGAGAAAGAGAATCCTCGCGACTCCATTGTTCGGAGAAACTTTAGAAGATTAGCAGAGTGGCTTAAATGATTGAGTAATTTTGTCTTACTATATTCCTTATTCTCTTGCAGGTTCAAGATTGTTTCCTTCAAGGCAGCAATACCAGAGTTCAGGGGCATGCTCTCGAGAAAGTCATCTGCCGCGCAATTTGCGGCTAGCCATGCAGCCATGCAAAGTTGGGTTGCTTCTGCATGAACATCCGGGAAGAAAAGGTTGATTGCTGCAACTTCTGCACGGCATCTTTCGTAGAATTCTTTCGTGTCACCGGCTTTCTCAGGCTGAATCAAAGCCCTGAAGCTGGAATGAGTATGGATAGCAGGCGAAGGGACCCTCGAGTCAAATTGGACTATGTCAAAGTGCGGTATTCCCAGCTGATCCCAATCCAGTCAGTTGATGACCGAAATCGGAGGACGATTCTTTGAATCTGACTGACCTGAAGAGAAACATCCTGAATTCCAAGTTTGATCTGACAAGATTTGACCACAGGTGTTTCTCTGAGTCGCTTGTAGGTTGGAACATGTCCTTTCGTATTCAAAGAAATTGAAGAGGCCACAGGGGAGTCGGTCTGAGGAACATTCTTGAGTCTACTCTGCGTGAGAGACTGATCAAAATGGCTGATCGATGGATATAAAGTGAGAGAGATATGAGGATATGAGGAAAAGGAAAGGAAGTGGGGGAGAGATCTTATTTGACTGCAGCTTGACATTTTGAATTGAAGATAAAAACTATCTACAGGGCGAAAGGAGGAAAACATGAGTTTTATACCTGAAGCACTCGAATCTAGCACGGACATATGGAGCTTTTCGTCGTATCTGCATAGGCACCTGTCAGAGGATTCAGAGAATTCGGGAGATATGAAACCCCACTCCGTGCTCTGTATGTCAATGCCAAGTATGACGTTCAACTAAGCCAGTGGCTTGTCAAAATACCCTCATTCCTTCTACTGTAGGCCTAGCCATATCATATGCCCGTACAAATATGCTTGTTTCGAAAACGACATCCCGGTTCTATTGCGTTTGCATTGCTGCCAGACTACACATACGCGATGAAGATCCTTAGCAAAAACCTTGATTAGTCCCACTAAGGCCAAGCCCCATCGCACGGAGACAAAGAAACCCAAGGCGCGGGGGTCATTCGATTTACGCCCAGTTCCGAGCTCCTGCCCTATGTGGCGGGTTGTGCAGTGGGCTAACGCTCCTATCAACCCATAGAAATGACAGGAGGAAAAGGCTTTTGGACGTCTTTCCTAAAATCGAAGCGTGTCTTTACTTTGTCAGATTGTCGTTGCGCTAGAAGCCACATGTGCAGGATGTGGCCAAGCCGGCTTTGGCATTGGTTGCTCACATTCCGCTACCCAATAGACGAGCTGCGTTTATTTTGAGCAATACAAGAACCTCGACGCGAGCTTCATTTGCCTTACACCGACCTTGAAACACCTTGCCGGCAGCGGCGGATGCGACCGCTTCTTCTCGGGAGGACGTGCACGTTCACCTGGCACTGCCTCGTTGGGAAAGACAGCCGAGAGATAGGTTCGCAGATCTCAATGAGAATCAGGGCTTAACAGAGGTAATTGGATAAGTGCAGGGAGAGCATGGAATCTGTGTGGTCAATACCTTGAGAAGGGTGAAAGAAGAGAAAATTTGCCTGAGGATTCAGGCCACTAACTGGACGAGCCCTAAGCCTTGGAAGGCTGGGAGAAGTTGATACATCACGCTCTATGCTATTTTGAGAAAAAAATGCTGCTTCTTGAGTAGGTTTAAAGATACTGGGCTGCCAAGAACCGAGTTAACTCACAGGTATGTATTTACTGATGACATCTAAACTGCCAATTGAGCGGTTAAACCAAATATCAGCACTGGATATGTTACATCTCTTTCCCCGTCTCTTTCATTCCTTATCTCCCATCTCCCAACATAGTAACACAGTGCGTTTGGTTGCTCCGTGATATTTCTCTGATAATTAATCACATTGCGTCAAACCCATACTTTTCCCAGTTACGCTCCACCTTTCTCTGGACCTCAGGAGGATATGAACCCTTGAAGGATCCAACCTTCCACGGAAGCTCTTCATCAACAAACTCACACGGAAGCATGCAACATCTCACCACTTTCTTGTTGTTCCGAGCTGGTTTGGTGCCATGGGCAACATATGGAATCAAGGGAATGTTGCCGTACTCATCGAAAAGGAACTCACTAGTACCAGGCTCGCATCGGGTAGCTTCAGCCCAAAGGAGGTCTCGGAGACCTGTGGGATCAATGTCCTCCCCGACCAAGAACACCTTCGGTATGTACCATCCGGGCTTTGAGCCGAATACAATGTGACCCAATTTGACACAGAATTCTTGCATATTTGTTTTCAGCTTGAGCAATTCCTGACGATCGACTTGAATGGCAAGCCAATGCGCGTGGGACTCGAACGGACACCAAACCATTTGGATCGGTAGCCCGGCACCTTGACAGATATTCAGCACCTCTGCTGCAATCATAACCGCCCACACGGTGTGGCTCTCCTCGGTGGCTCTCCCGGTAATGCAAATTGGCAGGATTGGGTCATCACGATAAGTGATTGCGTTCACTTTGAATATCGGGCATTCCTTGCTTCGCCCCGGATACACCAAGCCATGGTATTCCATCATCGGGCCTTCGGGTGCTGTCTCGGAGATGGAGGCAAACCCTTCCATCACAATCTCCGCATTGGCAGGAACAAGAAGACCATTTGTCTCACATTTCACCACGCTGAGTGGTTTGCCAATCAGAGCGCCGATGTACCCAGCCTCGTCCTCCCCCTTGGGGATCGGCATGCCGCCCACCATAATTGCTGCTGGGGGGACACCAAAGCAAAGTGCCCAGGGCATATCTTTCCCAATGTCTTTCCACTCTTGGAAAATCACACCGATGTCTTGCTTCGGGATGATAGGGCCGACAAGCGTTTGCTTGCCGTGAACCATAGCCCGAGTGATTGACCAGTTGGTCCAGGTTCCATCAGGTCTTTGCACAATGTGCATGCCGAAGGTTTCAATGAACTTTCCACCATCATGTTGGTGGAGAAGGGGTGTTGGAAGCGTGGTGAGGTCGATCTCGTCACCAAAAAGCTTGAATTCCTTCACCGGCCCCGATGCGACTTCATTGGGAGGCAATGGCTTGAGATTCTTTGCGTCATTGATCTTCTCAATGATCTCTTTCCCCGTCGCAGTGGAAGGTAATGCCAGGCTTTTGGCGATTCGCCCGAGTCTTTGACCAGGCACACGGCTTAACCCCACGGGTGCTCCAAGGACGCGGAAGAGCCCGTTGCCCACTCGGCCGGTGATGTTTTCGAACAGGGGTGCTTTTTCTTCAGTCTCATAGACTCTGCGAGTAATCGCAGCTAGCTCCATTTCGGGGTCCACTTCTGACTTGATGACGAGAAGATCATTCTCATCATCAAGTTCCTTCAAAAACTGGCGAAGGTCGCCCGCCGCCTCGGAGTGGCTTTGGCCGGATGTCATGATGTTGCGATAATCGGAGACAGATATATGGATATTGTAGGAGTGTTTGGTGACTCGTAATCTGTCTACCTCTATTTATGCCATGCTATGCTTCGCATCATGGGATTTCCCCAAATTGGAGATATACAACTCGGGTAGCCTCCCGATATTCTGCAATGTTTTCGGCATCTCTAGCCGACGCTTTTACGTACTGCTGCCCCATTATGTGGCTTGTTACCAGACCGATCGCCCCAATTTGGGGGATATAGAGCATCGCAAGTGGGGAAATCTTCGTATGGGGAGCTCGCATATACAGGTGTCGTGAGTTGTGTGTTGCATCTTGCATCCTTTTTTATACCCTTCGTTGATAATTTCTAGCACATATTTTCTTGTCACCCTTCTCCTTAGCAATGGATATTTTCAAATCCCGCTCCGATACCCCAACGACAACTGCCAGTCAAGCCCAACAGTCGCCGAAGAGACGAAAGATCATCGTTGCCTTCACTGGTGCAACAGGATCCATTTTGGGAGTCAAGACTCTCATTGCTCTCCGCCAACTCAACGTGGAAACCCATCTGGTGATCAGCAAATGGGCCGAAGCAACCATCAAATACGAGACAGACTACACCATTCCTAATGTCCGTGCACTTGCTGACCATGTCTACAATATCCATGACATGGCTGCACCGATAGCCAGCGGCTCATTTCGCGTCGATGGCATGATAATCGTGCCATGCAGTGTCAAAACACTAGCTTCAATCAGCTCCGGCATCTGCGATGATCTTATCTCTCGCGCGGCAGACGTCATTCTAAAGGAGCGACGCACGCTTGTTCTAGCTGTCCGGGAGACTCCTTTGAGTTCCATTCATCTACGAAATATGACGACCGTTACAGACGCAGGTGCTATCGTGTTCCCTCCTGTGCCTGCTTATTACATCAAGCCATCATCAATAGATGACTTGGTTGATCATAGTGTTGGGCGAATACTGGACCTTTTTGATTTGGATACTGCTGCATTCGAACGATGGGGTGGGTTCAAAAAGGAGTGATTGACATATTGTGTTAAATTGTATATAAGACGAATCTTGAAAAGAAGCGGAAACAATGCATTCCAAGTATCTACTGCTATGTGTGCCAAACTGGCTGGAGAAATTTCACACGGAACGAATGTAGAATTTAGAATGGGTCTAACATTTATGTGTAAATTGTCTCTCTAAATGCAGCCCAAGCCAAGTGTCAGTAACTAGCAAGGATGACCAGTAGTCAGAATGCGCTTAGCCTGCTGAGCATAAGTGCAACCATTGATCACGTTTGTATCCGACCATCCAGCAGACCACATCATGATTCCTCCAAAGGCAGGGCTACTCTGATGCTGTCGAACAAGTGCCGCAAGTGTATTGGGATCCATGTAATAGCGCGCGCCGCTCGAAGTTCCAGTGGAAGCGAGTTCTGAAGCCGGGACACCAAGGAAGATCTTGGCATTTCGAGAAGGAGTGTTGGCGATATTGCGAACCCAATCATCGTAGTTGATATTTCCTCCATTCGAGCAGTAGGGGTTGTTGTAGAATTGGACCCACAGGTAATCGAAGACCGAGTTGTTGATGATGACTTGCATGAAGGGTTCGGGAATAGGGCACTGAGGACCGCCGGTGATGTAGTATCGGTTAGAAGGATCACGGCCGAAGTTGGAACGCAGTTGGGAGATGAGGTTTTGGTAGTAGTTGTTTCCAGCCCATGCTTCGATGTCCAGGTCCCATCCGTTGACGAAGGTTGAGCCGAATGGCCTTGGGACGTTTGGATTTCCGCCAGTATTGCCGTAAGCTTCCCACAGATTCTGACCGATGGCTTGGGCCTCGGCAGGAGAGGACAGGGAGTATGAACCAGAAGCACCACCGAGGGAGAGAATTACTTTGATTCCGTGGGATTTGCAAGTTTCAATGGCGGAGGCGAGGCCCTGGCAGTTCTGAGGTTGACCGTTGGGAGCGATGTAGCACTGAGTGCCGATTGTGCCAGATGCAATGTTATTGCCATTGCCAAACTCGTACAGGAAAGACAGGATGACGATATCGATTCCGGAAGATGGGTTGCAGTAGTTAGACAGATCACGGACATGGCCATCCTGACCCCAGTAGGCCACGTTCTGAGCACCGTTGGCCCGAGCCTGGAGCTCATGAGGGGCAGCTGCCACTGCAGCGATGAGGACGAATAGCCCTACAAGAACAGAAAGAACCTTCATGTTGACTGATGTTGCAGTTGATTTTGACTGAAAGTAAGGACTGTAAGGGTGTCTCGTAAGGACTGTATGGTGGGTTGAAGAAGGGAAGAGAGAAAGATCAGGTTGGGGTAGAAGTATAGAAAGAAGTCTTGGGACTAAGAAGTGAAGTGAAGTGAAGTGAAGTGAGAATAGACGAACTTGGGAATACTTGGGATGATTTCGAGCTCTACTTGTACTCGGTTGTCTATGCTTGTCGTGTTATTCCACTTGAAGCTCTATCTAGGAGATTCTCATGCCAACTGAGGAAAGCTACTACAATTCACCACTGATGACCTTCTTGGTGAATGGAACGGTATAGTACTAGGTAGGATTCAGAGTTATTATGGGAGGCCATAGAGCTGAAGGTGGGTGGCAGCGTCAAGTGGCATGGCGAGAAAATCTGGAAAGCTTTTTTACTCTGTTTACTCTCCATAGACTTCCAAGGATCGGCACTTGGAGTACCAATTGCAGTTGATGCATTTTGATGACCCAGGAATGCTTCCCCAGGCCTCAAAGGTGGAAAAGGGGCATTTATCAGCCCGATAAAGTCTGTTGAATGTGCCATTCAGGTTTTGTATACACAATGACTAGAGCTCAATTCATGATCAACCCAAAATACAGAGCTTTGTCTGAAAATCGCATTGCTTGCCTGTTATCCCCACATTCTAAGTTCTTAGTTGTTACTACGCTGAGATTCGGAGCGACTCCAGAATCATAATTCAACACTGTACCTGAGGTTACCTCAAGTGCAATCGTCGAGTGGAGCCATTGAGCCGCCTCCAGGACAAAAGTACGATTGACTTGCTCCGACGCCGTAATATTCATGCAAGTTGAACCTCGGTTACCACTTTGTTGGCTCTTGGGCATGGCTGGATACCGTCTGCAGGTGTTTTCCCGCCTGTGCCTCGGAGCCATCGCCGTCTATCGGTGTTTCTCAAGGCTTGGCTGTCATCATATTCACAAGCCTGTTCTTCTTAGGCTGGCTTCAGGGTCACACAAGCTTGATGCTCTTAAGATTTGACCGTCATTCCATTCAACTTCTTGGGAATCACTTTTGGGTATACGTAATGCGGTTGTAAGGCAGTAAGCGTGAAACAAAAAGAAATTATGCGCGGGATTCCGGATCTCTGGAGTAAACCCTGCTTATGAGGGCACCCGCTTATGGGTTCCACTCCCGGCTTGGCTCCCCCGCAACGCCTTAATCCCAAGGGCAAGTGGGTCCTATTCGACATGTATACTGTATACCACATGAAAAGGGTAAACAAATACTGTAGATATTCCCATGAGTGGAAGATAAGGAGCAAAATTAGTCAAGGGGTTTTCCTGTGGTCTAAGGGTGGCCCTGGCAGTGGTCGAGCTCCCTAGTGAGGGTGCACACTCCTAGGGTAAATTCCATCCGGGGGATGGGTACCTATTTCGTGCCACGGTTTCCCCTGAAGGAAGTCTGGGGATCGAACCCCAGCACTTCCTTTTTGCTTCTTCTTTTTTCTTTTCCTTTCTCTTCGTCTTCTTTCTTTCCGCCTAGGATGCCTGACTCTGTACTCTGTCATCCAAAGAGAGAAACTGCTCGGAATTCGTGTGTAGAGCCCTCAGTATTTGAAGGAATGGCTCATTGCAAATCACTAGTACAACTGACGTTGGATGAGTTGGAGAACATTTCACAGCACGTGCGGTTCCAAGATTCAAGAAAGAAATTGGCTTTCGGGTGGCGTCGATTGGTTCCATAGCACTGTTTCTTTTCCCGCTCGGTCCTTTCTTCTACTATTTGAGTACTCATTGTCGCCAGGCTGATCAGCCCCTAGATATCCTGCACTACCCGGGTGCTGTAGTACCTGAACTCCTCATTCTGGTTCAAAGATGAAAGCTAAAATTGAATTTCAAACTGGATTTGGGAGAAACTAATTAATCTTGTTGCTTAATTATTGATACTCAACTATTGATACTTAATTATCTGGATACATCCCTTATACCTGCATCGGTTAGTTCCACCTTCCATTAGGAGGCCCGAAATACCCAATGGAAGGTATTCATAGATGGCATGGCCTAGCTCTACGTGCCATTAGGAGGCCCGAAGTACCCGATCGAAGGCACTGCCATGTACGCCACACCTTCAGCGTCAGCAGTATTCAAGTAAACAGTATTTCCCCACCATTTGGGGAAAAGAGCTCCGGGGTACGAGATACAGAAGAAGATCACGATACCACTCAGAGCCAGACCCGTATCAAGTGCAGCTGTCAAGACGTAGTTGTATTTCGTCCACCAGGCGAAGTAGCGTCGTTTGATGAAGCTGTGGAAGATATAATTAACGAGGGCCCAGCTAGAATAATTGATACCAGTCGCTGGACATTAAAGTTAGCAAATGTTGGTTCATAGGTTTGGGGTATAGTATGTATACCAGGCGGTACATTGGCAGTGCCGATGAAGATAAGGGGCCAATTGATGAGTTTCCAGAACCGGCATCGTGTATAACGATAAAGCAGGAAGGTCACGAGGGGAATTAAAGCGCCGATCCAGAAGAAATGTAACAACGGGGTGTAGATTTGGCCGACGGAGTAGAGACGACGAGGGCCGACGAGACCCCAAATCACCGATGAGTAAAGAGTGCGACCATTGGGGCATGTGAGTCCACTAGGTTGGCCAGACTCACAAATACCAGCGATATGCCCCAACATCCAAAGCGTAACACCTACCTGAGTGAGCGCACCCAGGATGGTACCTACCAGGTTCGCGGCGGCACTTCCAGATAGTGAGCCAGCTTCATGTCCATGGTAAAGTATAGGCCCTGTCCCACTAGATCAGTTGAAATGATTTTGAATATCAAGTTTGCCAGTGGCTTTCCTTCGAAGAGGTATCCACCCATGAGTTCGGAGAGGACACTTAGCTGGTCTGCATCCACGTCCGTGATACCCTGCAGTATTCCACATGGCACCATGTACAAGTCTGGGATGATTAGTTCTAAGAAGACGCCGTATACAGGGGGCTCTATGTCGTATACTTCTACCATAGTGATTGCCATCGCCATAATAACGACGGTGAGGCCAGCATACCAGTACCACGGTGTGGGGCGGTATGAAGCGCGAATAAGCCTAGCGTCAGACTTTTTTGAGAGTGAACACAGGACCATGTAGAACACAGAGTCCGAGAGGAAGAGGGAAGATAGAAGAGGAAGAGAAAAGACGAAGGGAAGTTGAATGGAGGAGGTGCGACTCAACTTGTGCTCAAGATACAGGCCGCACCCCCCAAATACATATTTCAGAGAAATTAAAGCGAGATTTCTTCACGAGCTACAATCAATGTTTCCATACTACTGGACAATTGAGTGAGGTAGTCGTACAGAGTACAAAGACTCGTTACTTTACTCTGGAGTAGACTGGTGCTAAATGACTACGAGGGAGAGCAGCGGCGAAAGATGAAAAACTACTATGAAGTCGACTGGAAGAAAAGTACGAAATGCGACTCTATCCGGACTTAGTACTAGGCCCAGTGTCAACTCTAGAGATAGGCCTGTGCATTGCAAGCTCTAGGACTGATGTTTGAATATATTCTGTACGAAGTAGCGATGTTCAAACTACAAGTATAGATGCAATTGCAATTGCAAAGTATGAAAACCGAAATCCGTTATTCATTAAACGTTACTAGTAACTCATGAAACTATGATACTATCAAACCCTTAAATGCGCTGCTGGTGGGTGTTACCGACAGTCTTAGATCCATCAAGGTCAGAGTCCACACGGGGGTCAACCTTGTTGGCAATGTTGCTATCATGAGGACCCGCAGTAGAGTGGCTAGTGCGGCCGTGGTTGTAGCTGCTGCCAGCACCATGGCCAGCGGCAGCAGTACCAGCAGCACCAGTCTCGTGGGCTTCCTCGAAAGTCCTGGTGGTAGTGTTGGGGGCATTGCTGCTGTCAGACAAGTGCATCATCTCAGCTTGGCCGGCAAGACTGCCCTTGCGGACATCATTGTTGAAGTCGTAGCCCTTGCTGCGGTCGCTGTCGACACGGGGGTCGGCGGCGTTGGCAATGTTGCTGTCGTGGGGACCGTGGTTGGTGGATCGAGCGGACTCCTGGGCATTGGCGCTGTTTCCGGCGCCGGTCAGAGGGGCGGCGGAGCCGTAGCTGGCACCGGTGTGGGAGCCGGTGTGGGATCCAGTGTTCAGGCCGGTGCCGGTGGAGCCTGTGCGGCTGCTGAGGTCGCTGTCAACGCGGGGGTCGACGCTGTTGCCAATGTTGCTGTCGTGGGGGCCGTAGTTGGAGGAACGGCTGGAGTCGTGGGTGCTAGAGAGAGGGTTGGAACCATATCCAGTGGAACCGGTGTGCGATCCAGCCAGACCGGTGGAGCCAGTGTGAGAGCCGGTGTTCAGGCCGGTAGAGCCAGTTCCGTAAGAGCTACGGTCACTGTCGACGCGAGGATCGGCAGTGTTGGCAATGTTGCTGTCATGAGGGCCGTGGTTGGAAGAGTGGCTAGCCCCGTAAGCACCAGCGGCACCAGCGGCAGCACCAAGGCCTGCACCAGCGCCGAGAGCGCCAGTAGAGTGACCAGTGGAGTGACCAGTAGAAGAGTGGCCAATGGAAGAGTGGCCAGTGGAAGGATGACCAGTGGAAGTGTTGTATGCAGAGCGATCACTATCGACTCGAGGGTCGGCAGTGTTAGCGATGTTGGAATCGTGAGGGCCGTGGTTGGAAGAGCGGCTAGACTCGTAAGCGCCAGCGCCAGAGCCAATGCCGGCACCGCTTCCTAGACCTCCAGTGGAAGAGTGTCCAGTGGAAGTGGTGTTGTATGCCGAGCGGTCACTGTCGACTCGAGGGTCGGCAGTGTTAGCGATGTTGCTGTCATGGGGGCCGTGGTTGGAGGAGCGACCAGACTCGTAAGCACCAGCACCAGCACCGATGCCGGCACCGCTTCCCAGACCTCCACTGGAAGAGTGGCCAGTGGAAGTGGTGTTGTATGCCGAGCGATCACTGTCGACCCGGGGATCGGCAGTGTTGGCGATGTTGGAATCTTGAGGACCGTGGTTGGAAGAACGGCCGGACTCATAGGCATTAGTGCTGGAGCCGGTGCCGAGAGGTCCGGAGTGGCCAGTAGAGGTAGTGTTGTGGGCAGAGCGATCGCTGTCGACACGAGGGTCAGCAGCGTTGGCTACGTTGCTGTCATGGGGGCCGTGGTTTGAGGAAAGGCCTGATTCATGGCTAGCACCGGTGCTGAAAGGCTCGGAGGTGTGGCCAGTAGAGGTAGTGTTGTGGGCAGAACGGTCGCTGTCCACGCGGGGATCCGCGGTGTTAGCGACGTTGCTGTCGTGGGGGCCGTGGTTGGTGGACTGGTTGGACTCGGTGGTGGTATCGTGGTGGTCGGTGTGATCACCAGACTTCTTGTGAGTGACCGCGTCCTTGACTTTGTGAATGATGCTAGACATTTTGGCTTGGTAGATGTATGATGGTGGGAGTTGTAGTTGAAGTAGTGGGGTATAGTTGGAAGATAGGGCTCAGGCTTGGATATTGCAATGGAAGTGAGATGGAAGTGAAATATGAATTGTAGAGGTAGATTACTAGATGTACTTATACAATTCCCAAGTTCTACTTGTATAGTTGCATGCCTGTTTACTTCATGACGTTATTCGCGATATAGATGACATCAAATAGTCGAAACAAGGTTATCGTAGATATCATCCCGTGGTTGTTGACTGGTTCACCACGTTGGATTGTGGGGACTATGAGAGCGTGGCAAAGGAACAAGCCGAGACCATCGTCATGTCAAAGTCGCCACTAACATCTCTGACAGCCCTAAACGGATATTAAAATTAGAAGTTTCCATTCAGGTGCGATCGACAACGAATATATTAAGGGCTCGTGCGCCGCGCGTCATTGGCCAGAAACCGGTTCGTGGTCTACTTTCGTTCTATGGACTAAACTGTACGAGTAGAGTCGTCCGAGGATTATTTCTCGTTCATAGATGGAGGATTATTTGCATTGTACCTAGAAAATTGAATGGGGCAGGAACCGATGACATCGTCTAGTCTGAAACCCCAGACCCTCTATTTGCTTCCATGGACAGAGTAAGACATAACGCCATGCTTTGCTGCGTGCTCGCATTCACACAGCCGTACCAATGAGCTTGCGTCCCGACTAGCAGTTACGTATCTGCTAGATCGCGTCCGATGTGAGCTACTCGTACATACACCCTGCATCGGGTCGCCATGCATCTCCAGAATCTAGATGCCTATACCCGACATCCATTAACGATGCCGACAGTTATCCCGTGATGATTTGAGATCGCTGCAATATTCCTCAAAACTTGAATTGCCATGTTTCGTCCTTTTGGCTTGTAACCAAGGTCCAATCAGCCACTGGGGAAAATCCATGGGTTACACCATTCGAGCGATGATCCCATTTTTCAACACGATACTTTGGGCAGAGCGATATACGAGTAGGATTTGATCGACCCTGTTCTTCTAAGGTGATCAACAAATCCAACTTTAGAAGGTAACCATGGAAGGTATCGTGTTCTACCATCGACCAGGCTGGCAGGAAGCCAAACTCATTATTTGTATATCCCTTGTATAAGATATGAGCAAGCGAAATCAAATAGCGATCGTCAGAGACCAAAGATAAAACAATTCCCCACGAAAACCAACCTTGGTATCAAGTCCAGCAATTTGCCCACGTGCATCAGCGCATTTGTATCCGGGAACCATCTCATCATGCCTTCACCACTTGCCCTCCTCCCGTATTGATCCTCAGCAGAACAAAGCAGTTTCGAGAAAGAATGCACGTCCAATCGTTTTCGTAGAGGATTTCGAAGTTCCATTCATCCCTCACTTTTCCACAGTCTCATCCTCTTGGAAGTCACTGAAATCCTGAAGCGAGACCCGTTCACCAGAAGAACTCGAGATGTCATCAGAGGCACGATCCGATTCATTCGCGACACGGTTCGAGTTCAGGGCATCACCGCTTTCTAGCCTCCGTTCAATTTCCAAACTGGAAAGCTCAATCTCAGTAGCAGGCATCGGACTTGTGGTATGTTGCACCTCGACGTCAGTAGTCTCTCTTGTGCGTTCGCGTCTGCATGCGTGGCATATGTGACAGCATGCGTGGCATTTGTGACACACAAATGACCAGAGCACGGCAGCGGGAAGGACAATCACGAAGAATACGATGACACTCAGGACAACTCCACAGAATATATATATCAGCACGGTTTTGATTGCCGTCCAGGTAAATCCCACTACCGACCAAGTGAAATCGACCAACGACATTGTGTAATTCTGACTTGAGATCTTTGTGGAAAAGAGAGTGAAGTTCCTGTGAGCCTACTCGTAGTTGGCGTCATTGTGAGTATGATGTCTGGGTCAGGGCCCGCGGTCCAAATGGGACAAGCATTGTGCTTCGCTCTTGCCCTTGGACTGTTCAAAATACAGTCGGGGTAAGGTAGGAAGCCCGGGATACCGGATGCCAATAGCTGTTAGTGAACAAGTGATGACTGAGGACAATTCGGTTTGATGCCTCTGCAATCGACATCAGGGTATGATAGGTGAATCAAGGAGAGTGCCCCATATCGCCTGACTATCCAGTTGTGAGAAAGGACGACGTTCATGATGATGCTGCACATACCTAGTGGCTCCTCAAAACTCATAGGGCAAAGGTACTTAGATTCAGATGGTGTGTTCATGAAAGACGAGAACTCATCAGTTGGTCGAGTTACAAAGATACGATGCACTCCAGATTAAAGTACGAAAGCAGGAAGCTACCAGTAGTTCGTAAGAAGGCATGATAAATAAAGCAATATACACACGACTAGAAGCAAAACAAAGAGATCAGGTGCATACCAGGTCAGTAGACGTCAAATAAAAGATGTATCTACCACAGGAGTTTCAAAAGGTTAAATAAAGTCCAAGAAGAGAAAGGTGGCAAGTCCGTAGACAAAGACCAGAGAAAGGGAAAACTCCTAGTCCTCCTGTACAAGTGCAATTGCAGAAGAGTAAAAAATCAAAATGGCATCAAGCTGGGCGCTTAGAAGACATCAGCGCAGCCCCAGTGCTGCTCAACGTTGAAGTCACCGGGGGCCTTCCAGTCGTCGTTGGCATAGGAGAAGAAGATGGACTTGGAGCCCACGGACTTGGCAATGGCCTTGATAGCGGTGACCTGCTCAGCGGTACCGGGAATAGCGGCACCGTTGGCATCACCGGCGTTGGGCCAGCCGGTCTCGAGGTTGATGACGTCCTTGCCGCCACAGATCTTCTCAAGGACGGCGAACTCAGACTTGGCGAACTCACCGGCCTTCTCGGGGGTGACGTCGGCGTTGAAGAAGGGGTGGATGTTGGCACCAACAACGTCAACGGCGCTGCAAAGGGAAGAACCAGACTTCTCCCAGACGTTGATGGGCTCGGTGGTGGTGATCTTACCGGTGTAACCGGCAGCCTGGAAGCTGGACTTGGCGGACTTAATGAAGGAGGCGAGGGTGGAAGCGTCAACGTAGCCAGACTGGATAGCCTCGTTACCGACGACAATCAGCTCAACCATACCCCATTGGGCCCACTTGGAGATAGCAGTAACCTGCTCCTGGGCACCGGAAACACCGGAGCCCTCAATGTAGACACCGAGGATCATGTTGAGACCAAGCTCCTTGCAGGCCTCACCGATGAACTCGAGACCGCTGCAGTCAGTGGAGTAGACACGGACAAGGTTGAAGCCCTTGCTCTTGATGTTCTTGATGTCCTTGAGAACCTCCTGCTTGGTCTTGCAGTTGCCGGACTCGGTGTAGGGGGAGTAGGTCATGCCGTACTGGCCCTCACCGGTGACGCCGGAGCCGGAGGTGGGGGTGCTGGTGGCAACGGCGCTGCTGGTGCTGCTGGAGCTGGAAACAACGGGGGCAGCAGTGGTAGTGGCGGCAGCGGTGGTGGTAGCAGCAGCGGTGGTGGCAGGGACGGCGGGAGCAGTGGTGGTGGAAGCCAGAGTGCTCTCAGTGGCAGCGGGGCAGACGTAGGTGTAGTCAGTGTTGGTCACAGTGACGGTGGTGCCGGTCTGGGTGTAGGTACCGGGGGTGATGGTGTGGGGGGTGGGGTAGACCAGAACGGTGCTGGTGGGCACAGTGGTGGTGGTGGGAGGAACAACGGTGTAAGTACCGGCAGCGGGGCAAGTGTAGGTGGTGGTCTCAATGACGCTGGTGACGGTGGTACCAGTGGGCTTGACAGTGGCGTAGGGGCAAGTGATCACGGTGTCAGTGGTGACAACGGTGGTAACACCGCCGTAGGTGTGGGTGCCGCTGGGGACGTCAGTGGAGGTGGCACCGCACACGGTGGTGCTGTCGGTCACGGTGATGGTGGTGGCCGGGATGGTGTAGACACCAGTGGTGGAGAAAGTGCTCACACCGGGGGTGGGCAGGTCCACGGTGCTGGTGCTGGGAGCAGGAGCGGGGGTGGAGCTCGAGCTGGCGACCGGGGAGGCGGAAGAAGAGGGAGACACAGTCACGGTCAGGGTAGCAGTGCTGGTGGAGTGCACAGTGCTGGTCAGGGTGCTAGTCGACTCCGGGACGGGAGCGGGGGAGGACGAGCTGGACGAGCTGGCGGAACTGGCGGGGGCCTCAGGGGCGACAGGCACCAGAGTAGGCTCACCGTAGTAGGTGATGACCTTGGTAGTGCAACCGCAGGTCTCGTCGGGGTTGAGAGGAGCGGAGGCACTGGGGGTGACGCTGGAGGCCCAGACGGAAGAAGCATCGCGACGGTGGAAAGCATCGTGGCGACGGTGAACACCGTCGGCCATGGCAGAGCCTACCATGGCGGCGGCGGCGAAAAGAGCTCCCTTCATGATGAGAAAGATAATATTTCCCACGGAAAAGAATGAATGCCCGCTGAACGAGTGAAGCGGTGGTCAGTGATATCAAGGAACGTGGGTTGAAAAGGTCGAAGGAGAGAAGGGCACGCAAGGCCTTTTGATGGAGAACTCGTTACCGGGGGAAGTTAGGGGCAAAGCACAAAAAAAGGAGAAAAAGCACCATATAAGGGCCCCAGTACACTAGGCTACATCTAGGTCCCACTGATCGTGAATTTTCTCATTTAAAATTACCCTCAGATTACCCCCTGGAGTCTAGATGTGTTTTCAGGGACCCTGCAGGTCTCATTGGCTCAGCTCAATAGTCCCGATTGTTGGCTGCTTGTGGTTGGCCCACACGGCTCGGGCAGTCTTTGTTTGTGTATAAGTCGTATTCTGTATTGGCCTAGGCAGGTACAATACTACTCGAGATGCAGGCACAGTCTACTCATTCAGTATGCATTGGACTGGTATAGGTACTCTGTACAGCTAAGGTTGCCCAACGGTGGACAATACGTCGTATTCACTGACACCACACGGAGGCCCTATGCTCACGGGCTAAGTCGGAAATAGTGATCCTGTCTCACATCGAGAATAAACCTCCCCCTTACTCGTACGGCTGTGAGGGTCAGAGCCAGCTCCTTGTCAGCCACAACGTCCCTGGATGTTTCATGCGTCCTGTCAGATCATGTAAGGCAATCCTACAGCCCCAGTGTGGCTTCAGCTCCCACCTTCCACTTTCTGTCCCTTCCCAGCGAGAATGTCTCTCTTGCGGATAGTCTGCGGGGCAGGTATCTCACTGTGTCTCAGTGAAGAACCAATTTACGAAAACATCGCAAAACATCGAGAGACAAGAAAAAAAAACAGGAAATACCATCCCGCACCAAGTGGGTCCCTTATCCTAGTGTCCTCGGCTAGTCCCCAAAACAGTTTAGTGTCAACCCAAAATGTGTCTGTTTCTTATCTCTGATTGGCCAGTCCAAGACCTCTAATTTCCGCCATGCCGATCCGCATTATTAACCGCACCAAACATCCAATTTTATGCGATTCTCCGAGTCGAGTTCTTTCATGACTTTGTTTGTTTTATTACTCGTACGGGTTTCCGCGGAATCCTTACTCGTATATGAGTACATGGTAGAACCTCACCTGAGACCTCCTAACTGAACAAGATTAGAGTCGCTTGGTAACCGGTAACCATGAGCTTCGCCCCTGACGATCAACCCGTCCTCGCACTTGCGATGAACTAGCCGATCATCCGACAAACAAAGTTATCAAAAACCTGCACTGACTCTCTAGTCCATGCTACCGCGAAAAGGCACGCGTGTCGCGGAGAACACGGAATGGCAGTGTCGACAAAATAACGGTGTAGCCTACGAGTACACATCCGATGCAAGCGATATCCCCACCAGCGAGATGATAAGGTTGCAATCAGGAGTACGGAAGCCTCGGAAGGGAGCTGGTGCTGGTGCTGGTGCTGGTGCTCGTGCAGAAGAGCGCACGGCGAGAACCTCATATTCATAGTGCTACGGAATCGCTGATCTCAATCAGTGCCTGAGCCTGGATCTCGTCGAATGGCGATCGCAACTCATCCACGGGGTAGATCACGGATGTTGGGGTGCCGGAGCGTTGTGCTTGTTTGTGGAGAACGCTACTTGCATGAATTTGCGCTACATGACTAGCGCCTGACTCCTGAGTCGTAGGGATGGCTCGAGTTGCGTGGCCAAATCCGATAGCTCTGGGATTGGCTTGGAATATTGGGAGACAAAGTTTGGTCGAGCGATTATTCGAGGTTTGTCAAAGTACGAGTACGATATACTCGTAGTCCATAATATTTTCAGGGATGCAGGATTGGGATATCTTTACGGCTCCGTACTGTGTACTCGTATCTCACCAAAACGCCAATAATACAAAGGAATCAAGCCAAGGACAACTCAAAGACAACTCGACAGTCCAGACCGCCAGATGGCTCTTGGCCTCGAGATTTCAATCAATTTCCAAAGCGGATCTGGGCGTTTCTCTTGGCGTGCCTTTGTTCTTCAGGGGGGATCTGGAAATTTAGTCTGGAGTCGACCAGAGTGGCGATTTTCTGTCAGATTTGCACATGGATCTTCTCATGTTTCAATAAAACGTTCCACGGATCCCCAGATGAGTTCTGGGGAATTTTTGTTAGATCACAACGTTGGTCCCGGGCGTTTTACCATTTTCCCTGCATATGTGATGTTGGCTTTCTGACAGGTCAGATCGTTAATTTGGGCATGCCGGTCGAATATTCTGGAATTAATTATATGTATTACAGCCCTGGAGGCACATGGGATTCCGCGATATATGGAATGTGGTGTCCATTCTAAAGTTCTTCACTTCACGCGACATTCGGCATGGCCCCGCTCAGGAATGTGCCTCCCGCTCTGCCTTGGACGTTAGTGAATCTATATTTGGACTTCAGGAGCACGCCAACGGACATCAGCGAAGTTTTTGGGGGCGGAACTGGATGTGGCTTGGTCCCCTTTGATGTCTTTTTGCATTTTCCATGGTTGAAGGTCTAACATGTTAGAAATGAACCATTATCCCAGTGCTTTGTGTAGATTCTAACATGTCAGGCTTTAGTCTAGCAGGGAAGATCCTGTATGGCTTCAGGATTATTTGCCTCTGTCTCTAGTGATATCACACCTTTTCTACTCCGGACTCCGCAAATTACCAAGCTTTCCTCTGAAACAGTAGACTGGAGATCAAGTGGTATGAAACGTCATGTGAACATTTATAGATTGCCCTAAATATATAATCCGTGGTCCTTCACCCTTAGCTGCTTAACTACTTAATTAAAAATCTGTCAAACCGATAGTTACTTAAGTACTTAAGTAGTAACTAAAACTTCAGCGTTAGTTACTCTAATAATATCTCTCAGTGCTGCATCGAGAGATATATCATGCTAGTCCTCCAGTCGCGTGCACTGAAGTTTCAGATGGGCAGATTCCTATGATTTTGGAGCCCCCTGGAGCCTAACTTTAGAAGGTCATCTACTAGGTATATACTTCCTGAAGTCTTAAGTTAACTTTAGTATCATTGCATGCGTATATAAGATCAGTCCTGGACATTGGAAATACATGTGATCGAGATGATACTTTAACCTATAAAATCAAAGCTGCTCCCGAGATTGCATCTATGGATAGAGACTGCTCGGATACTTGAGGGCTACACTTGAGCATCTGATACTCAAGTAGATACCACCTGAGCATGTCACTACTTAGTCTCCGTACTTAAGCCCTGAAGTAGTTCCAAGCTTTGGAGGTTACCTACCCAGGTAGGTACCACTTGACATCGCTTCGATGGCCGTGGGAGGTTACTGTTACTTCCAGGTCTGATCACTTGAACTGCAGAACATCAAATTTTCTTCCAAGGTCCTAATGAAGGTCAGCCGTTACTTAAACAATCTATTCAGTACCCGATACTGAGCCAATCCCCAAACTGCACAGTCAAGGTCTTATCTGAACAAAACCAGCACCATCGCAGATTTCCCCCTGCACGGACGGGTTACGCCCTTGCATCGCGTCGATCATGCATTGACATGTCGGCTCACATGAATTATTCTCTTTCATGCATACTGCGAAGCCTAGCGAATGAGCCTTGATTCAAACTCAATTCTACCAAAACTTTCTATGGTGGCTTCCCCCAACATCAGATATATGAAAAGGGGACGCTAGATGTCCAGCCCGGGAGTCACCCCTATCCCAAGATTCAAACCCTCAAAACTTGAGAGGAAACGTTTCACACTCTGCAGTTGTGGCTAAATGTCGTTAAGCACCGTAGGCGTAATTGACCAGTCTTTATGGAGCAGTTGTCGAGTTGGACTTTCCAAAGTTCGATGTCGATACACACTGAGTGCCGGGGCACCAAAGTCTCATAAATAGGGGAATCTTATTCAACACATCTTTTTCCCATGTTTGAAATAATTTGACTGCCCTCCAATCCATCTGCTATGACCTTTTTCATGGAAGATATTGCTCATTGCTGGATTATTAGGGCATTGAGATGGTCTCGTAAGTTGGCCTAAGTTGTTATGGGGAGAAAAGTCGAAAAAAGCGAAGGGAAAAAAAAGAATTTCAAAATCACCAGAGATATCCGGTACTGAACAAGATATTTAAGTGAAAAATGCAGAAGTCAAATGCAACAATAAACTCGGCAAATGCGAAATGTCCAAATGCCAATTCCTCCCGTACAGATCTGACCACCCACCACACCACATCATGCCACCATGAGCTGACAACGCCACCCAACAAATACCATCCCTCTGATTCGTTTCGGCAGCATCCGATAAGAAAAGCAGTCCAAATCATTTCCCAAGAACGCCTTAGCTCAATCCCCAGAGCTGGGGGATTCTGCCGATCGCACCATACCAGCGTCATGACTTGACTACAACCCGACTCGGAATCCATCGTACGAGGTAATCATGCTATCTCTACGAACAGGTCTTACATGGACTCCGCGATCCATCCCCTCGGAATTGACAGGGTACTCCAGGTTTGGTCAGGCCATACTGAGGCTCGGGGATTCCGACATGTGGTTGGGGCTCTGCGAGGTATATAAGACTGTGGTTACACAGTTACTTTATTTCCATAGACAAAGACAAAGACAAATATACAAAGATACTATCATTTGGAGATCTCATTTCCGTCTATACAGACCAAGACAAAATGACCAATCCCGCCAAAGTCCCTGAAAGCGAGCATGCTCGTCTGCAAAATGACTACGGCGCCGATTACTGGGTTCGCAAGCCTGAAGCTGAGTACCGAGTAAGTGATTTTTCCATATTTCCATCGTTTGAATTCATCTACTAACACACTCAGCGTCCGACTCTTGGACGAGGCTTGTTTGCTGGTTTACAGGATACCAAGCACTATAATGTTGAGAGTGGCTGGGCACGACGCAAGTCTACGGATTCCCAGCCTGGAATTCTGGGGTCGTTGTGGAGTCGGTATGTTTCTTTTTTTTATTTTGCCTAAGCTTGGATGAGGATGAGCTAACTGGATATTAGGCTCTTCGGTGTTTAGACCACAATGATTCTTGTGTACATGATTGAGAGATGATTCTATGTTTGGGATTGGGCGTTGGACTGGATATTTGTTTCTATACCTTCATCTGAATATACGTTGTTAAGGCTTTTTGCCGTGGCTTTCACACTATTTTTACCATTCATTAATTTCCTTCTTGCACACTCATGCCACCGGGGGCGTAGATTTATCAAGATATCTAGGAAGTAAGTGCTTGGTCCACAGGTGCATAGGTAGTGTTGGCTGTTTGTACGCGAAGTTTGGTAATATGTACTTTAATGTTCCATATACTTAAGTAAGACTTCACATAGACTTAATACAGAACTACAAGTTTAAAAGAATATAGAATAAGTGTTTGAGTATGTTGTATTTAATAATCATTGACAAAAACGCTAAATAGATATACCAACGCCAAACCACGACCAGAAGCCGCAGACAAAATCAGATCTACTCCCAAGAGTCAATCTTCATAGTACCCTTCTCCTGCAAGTTCTGATGCATCTTGAAAGCCTGGAAAAGCATATGGGGCTCATGGCCCATACCCTTACGCAGACACTCGAATTCCGCACGATCAAGGTAATCCGTGAGAATGGGGTAGTAATCAGGGTGCGAGCACTTCTTGATAATGACACGAGCACGCTCCCTAGGCGACAAACCACGAACATCAGCCAGACCCTGCTCAGTAACAATAACATCGAGGTCATGCTCTGTCTGATCGATGTGGGTAGCGAAAGGAACGATACAACTAACACCAGTGGGATCGGTCTTGGAAGGACGAACACTGGGCGTGTGCATGATGCTGTACTTGGAGTTCCGGAGGAAGTCTGCAGAGCCACCTAGGCCGTTCAGCATGCGGGAGCCCATTACGCAGGTTGAGTTTGCGTGGGCGTAGATGTCTACTTCGACGGGGGTGTTCATTCCGATGCAGCCGAGGCGACGGATGATTTCGGGGGAGTTGGAGACTTGTTGGGAGCGGAGGAGGAGCTTTCCGGCGTATTTTTCCCAGTTGTCGTAGAAGCGCTTGAAGCCGTCTGGGGAGAAGCGGATTGAGGTTGCTGTTGCGAAGTCCAGGTTGCCGCTGTCGAAGAGGTCCAGGAAGGAGTCTTGGAGGACTTCGGTCCAGACTTTGAGGTTCTTGAAGTCGGCGCCGCCCTTGCTGAGACCGCCGACGACTGCGTTGGCGATGTTTCCGATGCCGGATTGAATGGGGAGGAGGTTGGGTGGGAGGCGACCGTGGTTGACTTCGTGCTTGAGGAATTCAATCAGATTGGTTGCGATGGCCTGGGAGCCCTCATCCTCTGGGGCGTTGGGCTGGGTCTGGTCCGGGTAGTTGGACTCGACGATGGCAACGACCTTCTCAGGGTCAACGGGGATGTAAGAAGTTCCGATACGGTCCTCGGGGGCCATGATGAGGTAGGGCTTCCGGCCGGGAGGCAGGTCAGATCCCACGATGTCGTGCAGACCCTCGAAAGAAGGGCTGGAGGTGTTGACCTCGATGATGACCTTGTCGGCCATTTGGACGAGCTCAGGCGAGGCACCGACAGAGGCACCGGGAATGATACCACCGTTTTCGGTGATGGCCGAAGCCTCAATGACGGCCACGTCGATTCTGGGCTCTGGCTTGTTCAGGGTGTACCAGCCCTAAGGGGAATTGTTAGCTTTTCTCGGCGGAAACTCCCGAGGGGAACTTACATAGACCAAGTCCGAGGGAAACATGCTCAGATGCTTATCGAAGAATTTAATCTGTCCATTGTTGATTCCCTTGGCGATTTCCTTTCCAACTTGGTGAGGGCTGCGTCGCTCAATCATGTTCAAGCGAGCCCAGCGGTTCTCTGTCTCCGCGCCGGAGGAAGCACCCACGAACAAGTTGTACTTCAACTGCCCCTCTAGGCCATTCTTCTCAACGTGGTCGGCCATGGCGACTGGAACCATCCTAAGATTTTGTTAGTCGAATCACAATTGAAACCATTGTGTAACATACTTGGGGTATCCAACGCCAGTGAATCCAGACCATCCAATGTAGGCGCCATTGGGGAAGTGGTGCAGAAGATCTTCAGCTTTAGCAAGCTTCTTCAAGTACGAGGGCCGCCGCACACGGCTCTTCAACAGTGCTGAGGCACTCATATTTCTGTATGGGGGAGGGAAGAGGGGAGAGGTTCCGTGAAGAAGAAAGGAGCAGCTTGGAAGGGATCTGGGGGATTAAATATGATTTCCACCCCACAGTAATAACCGGTCTCCACAGGAAATCGAGGCCGGGATCCCGGAAGAATGGAAGCTGGGGGTTGTTTCGCTTTGGCGTAGGATTTGAGGCTTTCCTACTTCTTGAGTTGTAGACTGTGAGGGTATTTAGTCTACGAGGCAGCTTCACCAATACTACAAATACCTACCCTCGTCCTTATATCTCTCAATTGGCCTAGATAAACTGAACAGTCGCATTTGAAATGGCCAATTACCCAAAACAGCGCCATAATTCATGCTGACGTCAACTACGGCAGTTTCTCGGTGTTAAATCGGCCACCCGCTCTCGGCTTCTTACTTTGACTTCTACTTACACGGCTATTCAGTTGAGATTCTATTTCTCAATACCCAAATAGCCTGTATTCTGCTCCTCTCCTCAGATCCCCAGATATTCCCCAGATATTCCACAAACGCCGAACAAAAATCTGGAGAAGATCATACTTACTCCGTTCTCCAGTAGATCCGAGTTTCCCCCGACTCCACATCTCGGCATTGTGTCGGTTATGTTTCTCGGCCACACGGAGCTCTGAGAATGTATCGCAATCATCTTTATTGGGCCGATTTACCGGGTCTCGCAGGATTCTGAATTATCCGAGATCTACAGGGGCTCGAGGGCTGGACACATACATACGATTATGAGACAACTTTAGTAGAAGCTAGGGGTCAATAGTTTGGACAGTGAGACCACCTATTAAGTGGTCGCCATCCACAGCCTGCCTTAAAGCTCTATGCTAAGTCTACTTGAATATTGCGCTCGACAGCAGTCCTGACAGTGCACACCGAGCGAATACTTTGGTGGCTCTGTAAGATCAGGGCTAAATTGTGGTGTCAGTGAGATATCCATGTGGAGCCTAAGGTGTATTCAACCTCATACTTACATAACTGGAAATTCAGAATACTACAGACGATGTACGAGTACCCGATATTTGGAAGAATAGCAAAGCCCATCTTACGATAGGCAAATCCATTGACACAGAACCGTTAATAAGATAAAATAAGAAAATACAAATACAGCACCGTGAAATTTCATTTCGCAATTTCCTCGTGTACGCCGACACAAATGCATCTCAGTCCCGCGAAAGGCGAAAGACCAGCCCGTCGTAATAGTTACACTTCTCAAGCCTCCGTAGGCTCCGCATCCGTCATCTCAGTATCCTGCTCCTTGCTCTCATCCTGAACAGGGCCAGGGGAAGAAATAGTGCCATCGACCCAAGAGCGGAAGCGCTGGTTGGATTCATCGACTTGATCTTTACTAAGACCACGAGCCCAGACGGGGTTATTGATGAATTTTTCGCGGAAGCGATCGTGGCGCTTTTCTTTCAGGGCTGACTTGGCCTTGTCGGCGTCTTCAACTTGGGTCTTGATGGTTTCGGCGTCCGCGTCCTTTTCGTGGACTGGGGCTGTGGAGCGCCAGAACCAGTCTGAGCTGGCGGGTTGGTAGAGCATGGTGTAGTTGTTTGCGCAGATGCGGATGATGAGACCGTCGTTGTGTTGCAGGGTGCGGTAGTACCGTTCGTACTCTTCGTCTTCTTCAAGCTTGGGTGGGAGGTTGCGCTTGAGGAGAGGCATGTTCATCTTGGCGAATTGCACGCCTTCGGTTGGGTCGCGCATTGAGTATGCGGTTACGTAGTAAGACCAGCGTTCCTCTGCAGTGAGGTCCTCGGAGGCGAGAGTCGGGTCTTCCGTGGTCATCACTTGAATTATGACACGGCGGTCGGTTGGGGTCTTGGATTGATTAGCGGGGGAAATGTCAAGATCCGCGGGAGGACTCACGAAGGAAATACGGTAGATGTCGCCGTCTTTGACGAGACGCTCGACCTGCTTGCGGTATTGCATCTCTTGGTGATGGGTGGTCTCTTCCTTCTCACGTTCCTTGAAGAAGAGGTTGGCAATATCGGAACTGCGGTCGCGGGAGTCGCCGGTGAAGATGGAGGCGACAAATTTGGAGACGGAAGAGAAGATGCGCTCAAGATTGTAGAGTAGGAATCCAGATTGCATGTAATATCGGCGCAAGGTGTCCTCGAGGTGGACCTGATCAAGGTCACCCTTGATCACCTCCTCGCACATGCGAACGATTTGCTTGTAGAGGTTGGCCTTGGGATCAACATCATAGAAGAAATCGCTGGGGAACCGGTCGATGAGGCACAGATCGTGGGCGGGCTTGGGAAGCAGGCCGCGACGAACCTGCTCGCGAGCTTCGGCTTCATTCTCCTTGATGCGGAGCAAGCGAGAGTAGAGAATCTCGAAAGTCCGAAGGAAGCAAAGAATGTTTAAGTTGGAGTACATGTGGTGCTCCTTCTTCTTGTACTTCTCGTTCAAGGTGTATTCGTGCTCCAGGTTGAAGTTGCCCTGGCCCGGGTGCTCCATCCACCGCAGCTCGGCAACGTCGAAGGACTTGCCGGTGTCAGAGTCGGCGGAGGTGGCGCGGACAACGGGGGTTTCGTCCGTGGGAGCACCTTGCTCCTTGGCGGGCTTATCGGTCTGCGTTCCGCGTTCGAGGGCCTCACGCAAGAGATCCAGCTTTTGCGTGTCGACCACCTTGCGACTGCCGTTGGAGGCATCCTCATTAGAATAAGAATCCTCATCATCATTAATAGCAATAGAAACCTCGTCAATGTACTGGTTGAAGATTTCACGGTCGAGTCCGAAGAAAGTAGGAATGAAATCTTTGACGAAGTTGATAAGACGCTGAGGCTCGGCCCCGAAGCCGTTGGTGCTGCGATCGAAGTAAAGAATAAGCAAGAATACAGCATCCAGAAGAACCTCCATATCGCAGAACAAGAATTCAGCCTGCCACTTGGGAGGATTCCAGCCGTTCTTGCGACTGTTCTGTGCATCCTCGAACTTGCTGGTCAGGTCCTGTTGGATGTTCTTTGCGACGAACAGCTTTTTGTCAGTCTGCTTGGTAGCGATAGCCTGGTGATCGAGACTGCGCCAGTATGCACGCTGCATCTGCTCACGCCAGACCTTGTCCCACTCGCGCTGACAAGCCTTCCACTCCTCCAGCTTCTGCTTCAAGCGGAAGAGCACAATGGGAAGAACGTGGCAGGGACGGCTGAACATGTCGTTGATGACTTTCTCTCCACGCTGACGGTCATAGATCTTCTTGATGACACGCTGGTAGATTGCCTCACTTTGACCACCGAGACCCAGTGGCAGTTTAAATGAGTTTCGCTCCGCGTCAGTCATGTGCAAGAACTGCTGACAGATGGGCTCGATCAACTGGACAGTGCGAACGCAAGCCTCGATATGATGATCGTAATCGTGACGATCCTCTTCAATGCGATGAAGAGCATCCTCGTATTGATTCTTGCGATGCGCAACAAAGCCAGAGTCTTCGGAGGCCCAAGTGGGATGTGATGCCCAGTCATTGTTGAGAACGCTAGTGCAAAGCGGGTCGCGACCACTGCATGGCTTCTGTCGCTCGCGCTTGGGGAGAAGACGGTAACTAGGTCCCAGAGAACGGCAATGGGCCAAGTTGACAACACCGTAGTCCACTTGGGCCTTTGGGTCGATGGTCTTGTCCTCGGGCTCTTCGGCGCTCATGAAACGGCGGAACCAGTTCATAAGCTCGGCATTAGATCCAATGTAACCCTCGGCCCGCTTGACGAGAACATGTCGGTCGAGAAGGTCGGTGGTGTAAAGATTGCAAAGCTTGAGGAAATCGCTGAAGACCTGCTTATTGGCAATGAACTTCTTGACCCGGTCGAAGAAAGCGATTTCTTCCTGGCTTGGGGTCATAGAGACCGAAGGAGGAAGAGGCTCAGGCAGCGCAGGTATCAAAGTCGGAGATACGTTGGCCATATCGATAGAAGGTTTTCCATGGTGATACTTGGGCCTCTTGCTGACATTGCCGAACTGTCCCTGTCCACCACGGCCTGCTTCAGACAGACGGGCAGCTTCAGAGCCAGCTGGTCCCGAGATAGAGCCAACACCGCCTGGACCGCCGCGACGCTTTTTGTTTTCTTTAGGGTCTTTCACATTGAATTGGCCGAGTGGGGGCATTTTAACATCGCGGTTGGGAGTCTGCGAGGCAAAGCCAGAAGGCTCCCCGCGAAGGTTGCTGAGAGGAGCTTGCTCTTCGGCCTGACGTTGAGCTGCGACTTGTTTGGCATGGGCGGCAGATTCTGGCAAAAACTGTTTGAAGTCTTCCAAAAGATCGGGCGCAGTGTTGAAAAGCTGAGTAACCTGGCCATAGACATCCTGGATGGGCTTTGACTCCCGCTGATAGGTCTGTAGTATTTCCAAGAACTGCTTGTAGATCTCGGGCGCACTCGAAAACCGATTCTTTATCTTGTTGACGTAGCTGATTGCATGGTTGAACTCAACGGGACCACGTTTGTTCAGATCCTGCGCACCTTGGAGCATGCCAGTTCCGACGCCAGCCAGGCTGTTCATGGGCTGGGTGAGGCTGGCATTCTGTCCGGCGCCAGTAACGCCTAGGAGACCTCCTCTACCCAGGCCAGCAGAAGCCGCTGAGGCTGCGCCTTGCAGCTGCGCTACTCCACGGTGATCTTGCTGGTGTGTCATGGCAGCGGCCGCCTGTTGTTCCTGCGCGGTGGGGTAGCCGTAATGATGATCTGGGGCTGAGCCCGCCCCATCCTGAGAATACATGCCGGCCATCATTCGCGAGCCAGGAGAGTATGATCCTGAGGCACCACCTTGTTGTTGCTCCTGCTGGCCTTGTTGCCAGCCAGGGCGAGACTGGTCGCGGTAGAATTCAGAGCGACCATGGGGGTCATTCGCGGGCGGGGCATTCGAGATGGTCTCGAAGGGACGTCCGGCGCGGGGCATGCTCAGGGTGTTAGTTCCGGAAGGAGTGGTCACACGGATGGCATCAGGGTTGTCCTCAGTGCCGCACTCGATGCGATAGCCCGGGGGTAAAAAGGTATTGAATCCTTGAATCAGGGCAGGGTGACCGTTGAAAAGAGTAGAGACCCGTTGGATCACACCGGGTGTGTCAATTGCCTGACTCTTGAAATCCTTCATGATGTCCAGGAACCGGTTGTACACATCCGGCTGGTCAACGAAGCGAACCTTCACCTGATCAAGATAGCTGAGCGCATCGTTCAGGATCGGCTGCTGGCCCTGAGCGAGAGCAGCCACACTTCCGGGGATCTGCTGTCCTGGGGTATTGTAGCCCATCATGGGCTGCCCGGGGGGTCCACCAGGGTGCTGCATGTACGAGCGGGGGGTTCCTTCGCCGTGCGGCATCTGAGCGAAAAGACCTGCGGCAGCCTGTGGTCCACCCTGGTGACCATTCTGGGGAGTTCCGCCCAGTGTCGAAAGAAGTCCTCCAGGTCCGTGGATGGAGTTGGGGACTTTGTTGGCGACTGGCTGGTGGAGGGGGATAGAACCGGTGTGGCTCTGGACGGGGTGATGGGGTTGTTCACGGCGCTCGAGTTGGCGCTCGATCTGTTCGCGGTGCTCGCGCTCGCGCTCGCGCTCACGGTGAACCATCTCTTCCTGGCGCTGGCGCTCGATGATTTCGCGCTCTCTGGAGTCCCGCTCGCGCTCGCGGTTCAGCTGGGGAGAGGCGTGTTGCATGGCCTGGCCAATTCCGGGGAGAGAGTGGCCGGCGTTGTGAGATGGGCCTGCGGGGTGTTGGCCGTAGGCAGAGGGTTGATGCTGACCTCCGTGGGTCTGGCTCAATTCAGCCAACCCGGGGAGGGAGTGGCCTCCGGACTGACTTGAGTGGTATGATCCTTTGGAAATCAAAAGTGTTAGTTCGCAAGTTATGCAGTCACTCAGATCCATGTGGACCGTAAAGTGGGAGGAAGGGACGAAGGGATCTAACCAGCTGGAGGAGGGAGGACTGGGCCCGAGGGCTGGGAGGCCTGGCCTTGCTGGGAGGGATTTTGACTATTGAAGCGCAAGAAGATCTGGTTAGTCTCTGGTCCTGGCACATGTGTAGACAATGGCTCATACCTGAAAGACCCCAGGGGCCGAGGCTGTTGATTCATCTGATCCATTGGAGGATGCGACGGTGGCCCACCGGAAGAGTGCCAGTTATCGTTTCCAGGGTTCATGATCTATGCATGAACCGCAGTGATAAAGTGAAGGAGGTATGAGGGAGAAGAAAAAGGTGAGGGGAAAATGACGGTTGAAGCTCGAGCTGTCTCTGTTTCGCAGGGTTCGACGGCAACGCTGAGGTTGCACTAGGGTCACAGCATGACCTGGAAGATGGCAGTACGGAAGACTTTGGACCGACTCTACGCAACACAGCAATAAAGAACCGGTAGAGAAGAAAGTGAGGTTGGGCAGAAGACACAGAGGTGATGGAATTGCGCGCGACCGATCGCGGGCTCCAGTGGAGGCTTTCCCGGGGCCAGCCAATTGGGGCTTAGCGCATGGATTTTCGGATTTTGGATTCTCCGGCTGGTATTGGGCTTTCCTCAATTACGGTATTGTTGGTATTTTACTCTATTCACCCCATCAATCGGAGGCAATCCATTGTCATCATGTGTATTGTGCGATAACTGAATAACCGCCCGCCTTCGTCATCGCCTCTCATTGCCGGCAGAAAAACATGACAGCGTAGGAATGGACAATGGGTCTTGTATCAAGAGGCCGGTCTTTAGATAGGGGAAGAAATTGAATAGACACGGTTCCTATTCTTTCTTACTCAGTCATATCCCCAGGGCAATACTTATTGAGCCTGTGAGGGAAGTGTTCAAAGGCTCGTCCCTCGCTTGTCCACGCCGCCTCGGAAAGGGGCGGAGGGTCAGGGCTGGGCAGCCTCAGGCAGTAAACAGTGCGGTGTACGCTATACGAAGTACTGCCAAGCAGTATATATATCAAACTTTAGAAGACTTCAGGAAGAACGTTGCAATAAGAAAGCTCATAAGTATCATTCTAAAGTTTTACTATGTAAGCCAATACCAAACTAAAAGCTATACTAAATCAACACTTGAATCATTCGGCAACTATGAAAAGGGCCTGATACAGGCATGACATTCTCTATCATGAACTCGCCCTCTGAAAGCATCACACTGCACCACATTGGCAGAACCAAAGTTCCAGGGGCATATAGCTAAACAAAGACAAGGTCTCCAACTCAGACGGGATGAGATCTCCAAGAGCAACACTCATGGAGCAGGGATAGGGGATGGGGAAGGGAAAAGTCATGAGATTATGGAACCTGTGGCTTGCTACTATCATTATTTTCTGGTTTTTCGTGTCGTGCCCGGTCACCAAGGCCCTCCATCTTTCACCCAAGCCCCGAATGCGCCTGTCCATGAATAAAAAAAAGTGGGGGATGATAATGACCTTCGTCGGTACTTCGTGCGATTAAAGAGCGGAGAAAACAAAGAGCTAGAGATATGATTAGTGTCAAGTGGTGGACGAGGATGGGAAATGAACATACATTGTTTGTCGCCGCAATGGCAATGCTGTCTTCAAACGGATGCCAGCTCATGTGCAGGATCTTCTTGTTGAAGTCAATCTGGTCGGCATCGGTTTCCTTCTTCATCCGACTGCCGGGACCAGCAGGGCTACCGGATCGCGAGCCGGCCTTCTTTCCATTACTCTTGCTCATAGGCGTCGGTACACCGACCTTCTTTGCCTTGAAAGCCGACTTGTCCGCCTGGAGCACAACCTCGGTATCCTTCTGTTCTTCTGTGGGGTAGATCATGAAATTGTTGTTGTAGCTTCCGGTCATGACGTTATCAGCATCACCAGAGAAGACCACCTCGAACTTATCGAAGATGCTGTCGTTCTCGTAAGTGTCGCAGAGACGGGGGCGCAGGTGCTCATGGATGGGGATAGTCTTGACGGGTTGTCGCTCCATGTTGACATCCCAAATCTTCACTGTCAGATAATCCCTAGACACGATGTAGCGGCCGTCGTTGGAGAATCGCACGTCGGAAATGGAAGAAATGATCTCGGAGAAGAACGAGCGGGACGAGGCATCCTCTTCTTGTTCGAACTCTGTAGAAAGGTCAGTCATGCAAAATACCAAAAAAAAAATTAGGTTAGAGCTCCATACGCTTAGAATGTTCGTCACACAGAGCCCGCTGTCGCATATCCGCAAGTTTGATCGTGCCCTTGGAGCTGGCGTACATGAACCAGTTGCAGCTGACGGGGTGGAACTCGGCCGCCGTGATGACCTCGGTGAGCTCTTCCATATTGGCAGGCTTGATATCCACGATGTTGAAGCTCTGGTCCTGGATGTTGAGGTTCCACAAATTCACCCGGAGATCGTCGCTGCTGATAAAGGTTTCGCCGTCACTGTTAACGGAGATGCTATTTATATGATACGCGTGGGCGTTGGCGTATGTTTTGCGCGGAACGGCGGCAACCACGGTGTCATGGTGTGTCAGGCGGGGGAGTTTGAGGGCAGCAGGGTCTTTGAATGAGACGCGAGGAGCACGAGACATGCCCCCGCCGGCGCCGATGGGGTTGGCGGGTGTAAGTTCATTCGATAAGTTGTTCTCTGCGACCACCTTCAAGGATTTGTCGAAGACCTTCCAAAGCTTTATCGTCTTGTCGTTCGTGGAGAGGAGGAAATGGGATGCATTTTGTCGTCGGCACCATTTAATCTTGTTGATTTTCTCTTCAATCTCTAGCGACTTGAGATAATCGAACTCCGGCTCGTGTGACTGGAACTCGGTGTGAAACTTATATTCGCAGGTTTTTTTCTATCGCCTTGGTTAGCCGGGAATTCAATTGTCTCGACACAGGCTATGGGGCGAATTACCGTCTCGTTCCTCTCGAACAGCACCACTCTTCCTCCCTTGTCACCTGTGGCCAAGTAATTTCCGGTGTGGTCAAATTCGACGGTCGAGATGATGTCCGCTGAATAATGTGTCAGTCGGTCTTCCCCCAGTTCAAATTGGTCTTGTTCGACCAAGGTCTGGGAGGTGTCAGTAGTTACCTTCTGTAATGTCCTCTACATCGCCCTTATCGCCGAAGCATCTGCGGGTTGAGGTCAGTCACCGGGCTAAAATATGTGTTTCCAGCGAGATAGACACGTCGAGCACATAATCCCTACACCAACAGAGTTCAACTTACTGTGTGAACTTCCAGGTAGGTGTGCCTGGATCTCTGTCTACCATTTTCTCGTTCTAGCTCCCTTGGGCGCGACCAGGGGGCGAATCAGGGTAAAAACAGGAGGAGACTTCTGAAAGCTCTATTTCCGAATCAAAGACCGGAATCGAAGAGAGGTACACGACCGGAAGTAAATAATGACGATTGAGGCAAGGTAGGTCGAAAGGACGGGCGGTCGGAGATGGTGTGCGAGGGGTCTGGCGGTAAAGCGAAAAAGAGGGGCAGAGACGAATCGCTGGCGACCAGCTATCGCAAAGACTTTCTGGGACTGGTTGGATGGCAACGTCTGATAAGTTGATGTTGATGGATTCACAGTGTTCCCTCTTTTGTCCCGCACAGCTTTTGAGGGGTCCAGGAAAAGATTCTGTTTTCACGTTAGGGAGGGTTGGAACCAAGCTGCAGTGAAAACCAGCAGATTTAGTGAAAAAGTGGGGGGGAGATGGGGGGGTTGCGTACAGAGGGAGTCTTTGATGGGAGAAGAACAAGAAAAGAAGTTGAGGTGAGGTCTGAGTTGAGGCGGTGGTGGGGAGTTGCGAAGATACCCTTCAGTGACCTGCAATCACACCCGCGGTCGCGTTGGGTACCAGGTATTCACAAGTACCAATTCCGATCTATCTTAGATTAAAGTAAAAACCATTTCCGGGATATTTCTTGGGATTCAATTCTGACATCAACACTGTCCATGTAACATTGCCGGCTCTGTGGGGACTCGACTTCTCTCTACAGCCTTATATGCCTCGACTCTTCAACGTTCGCATCTACTCCATACTCGGTACATGCAAGTCAATTGATGAACACTAACACAACATATAGGAATACTGAACAATGTGATCTCTCACTGAGCTCCAGATGTTATATGCAGGGCCGCCTCTGTCGTCATTACCAAGCCTTCTGCATCCAGTTGTGGCTGGGGTTTAGACTGTTGTCTATTTCTACGGGGCTTCTCACTTCTAGGGTTGTTTAATCTATGAATTGGGACTTGAAGGTAACTACAGGTGTACTAAGTACCTACTTAAGTAAGTATGGCAGTCATCCATCTATGGATGGACTACCCGAAATATATCTGCTCCGTACTCAACGAGAACATCAGAACTTATACGTCCCAATTCACAAAAGACGCTCTTTCGAGGTTAATTGCCTAAGTATTATCTTGACAGACCCAACATCCAATCCCGAGAATGATTCAATCCCAATCTCAATGCCAATTCCCAAGTAAGCGAGGCACGGCGGTATTCACATGCCTACCTACACCCGCCATTAACCCGAACCCGATAAAACCCTTCGTTTCCCCAAATATAAGCTCCTAAAGTCCCTACAAACCCAATCCTCAAGGCAACTTAAGAAAACACCCCAACCCAACTTTAGAACCCAAACAATACCTCATGGCCGAAAAGCCGAACATGCGGGGGAATCCCAACCCAAACCCCGCCCCATCCCTGGCAACCCGCATCCAATCCTCCGCCAAAAGCCTAGCAAAAAGCACCCTCCAACCAGGCCCAGATCTCAACACCACCCTATCAACCTCAAACAGCAAATCCGGACCCTCACAACCCAATGCCCAAACCTCCCTAGCCTCAGGATCCCTCTCAGGACCAGTCCAACCCGGCCCGAGACAGGAATCATTCCGCACTTCCAATCCCACAGACGACGACTACGAAACATACCAATACGAACCACAACTCGATGACGAAGATAAAGGCAAGGGCAAGGCCCGTCTAGATCCAGTGAGGAATTATGAAACCAGCCCACAATCCCAATCCCAGCACCAACCGCATTCGCCAAATCGAGATTGGAACCAGAACCAGAAAGAAGATGGCGCAGCAGTTATATCCCTCCTCACCGCACCATCTGCAGAAGAAGATCCCTCCACAACCCCAGAAACAGACCTCGACCCAGCCCCACTGCCACTATCAGCCAGCGAAAGAGAAGCACTAGACTCATTCCTGCAGTCAAATACCCCGCGCTTAACGACTGCAAGTCTTGTGCCTGATATAGACACCTTCTTGAGTCAGGGGTATAACGAGGGACTTGGTCAGGGATTGGATCAGGCGCAGGGACAGAGGCTGCGGGATGAGGTGCTGGTTCAGCTGCCGGGGGCGGGGGATTGGGTTGGTGTGCAGGAGAGGTATCATGAGGAGGTGTGGGGGTTTTTGGGGCCTGTGCTTGAGGCTGCGAGGAAGGAGGTTGAGCAGGGTCTGGGTCAGGATGGGGAGGGGCCTGCTGTTAGGAGGTTGAGGATGATTTTGGGACATATGGGGGGATGAGGGTTATCTAGGTGAGGTGGGTTGTATTTAAGTAGTGGATGTAGTATATGTGACTGCAGGGGTTTATAGATATGCCACAAGAGATAGTCCTAAGTGTATCTACCCTGGTGATTGGGTAGGTGCTATGATTAAAGGAATAGATAGATCATTCAAGGATGTATTTCATTGATATCGTATGATACAAAAGACAAAAGGGTATGAAAAAGCGCTGGCAAGTAGAAGCTAGGGCAAAACTACAGCTCAAGGCTAGGAGTCTCACCCTTGATGCGGCCGATGACAATATGGCCCGCATACTTGGGGATGACTTCGTCATCGTGCAGCATGGCGAACTCCTCAGTAGCATCGCGGCCCATGAAGTTGAACAAAGCGTTAGCACCGCCAGGGTGCTCGTCCAGCCAGTTAGTCACATCCAAAACGACGCCCTTGACAGCGATCCAAAGATCTTCTTTTGTGTTGTGCTTAGCAACCTCTTCCATGGTATATTCAGTCTCGGGAATCTTGAAGTTGGCAGGGTCCGACTTGGCGGCTTCTTGGGGGGCGGCCGCAGCGGCTGCAGGGGAAGCTGTTGGGGGCTGGGCGGCGAGAGCGGGCAGAGAGCCGCCTGCGGCGCCCCACTCGACGGCGATCTTGCCGGGAGTGTTAGGGTCGATGTGGAGAGAGATCTGGCCAAGACGGCTAGAAGCCGTGCCGGTGGTGAGGAGTTTCTGGAAGAGGTGCTGGGATGCCGAGTCACCAGCGACACGGCCGTAGACGACACAGCCGAGCAGGGAGGAGCCACCGAGACGGTTTGCACCGTGAACACCACCCGCCAATTCACCGCAGGCGTAGAGGCCCTCGAAGGGCTTCTGCTCGCCGTTGAGGACCTGGGCGTGTTCGTTGATTTCAATACCACCCATGGTGAAGTGCAGAACGGGCTCCATGAGCGCGACATGGAACTCATCGTCCAATTTGAAGGGCATGTTGTGGAAGAAACGCTTGTTCCAGGGGTCCTTCTTCTTGCCATCGGCGATGAGGTTGTACTCATCGAAGGTCTTCTTAAGGGCGGCTTCACCGCAACCGATCTCAGCGACCAGCTCGGCACCGGTCATCTTCTTCATCAAGCCACGACCGGAGTAGTGACGAGTGTGGAAGTCCAGGACCTTGGATGCCTTGCTGTTGAGGACGAGACGGATGGGCCACTTGCCCTTCTCCTTCTCTTCCCACATCTTGCCAGAGACGTAGTCACGGTGACCAAGCTCGTCTGAGAAACGGTTGCCATCGGCGTTGAGAAGAAGACCACCCTCACCACGGAGGGCTTCAGCGGCCAAGAACTTGAACTTGGCATCTGGGTCCTTCGGGTCAACGAGACCCGTAGGGTGGACTTGGACCTTGTCCATGTCGATGCCATTCGCACCAATGGCCATGAGCATCTTCTGACCATCACCGGTAGCGTGGGTACCGTTGGTAGAGGACAAGGCGAAGGTATCAGGACGGTGCTGCTTCAGCAAAGAGGTGTCGCCAAAGTCGGCCGCGTAACCACCAGTAGCGAGAACGACCACACCATCCGCAGACTTCTCCTCACCGTTTACAGAGTAGGTGACACCCGTGACGAGGTTGCCAGACTTGTTGATGGAGGTCACGTTGGCCTTCTTCACGATCTGAACACGGCCAGGCTCCTTATCGGCCAGAGTCTCCAGACGCTCCATCAGCGCGTAGGTGATGGCCATACCGGGGAACTTGGCATCGTGACCACGGTGTGTGCGGGGGTGGGTGTGACCACCGAGACGGGAGACGAGGGTCAGGTCCAGGTTGAAGACATCTTGGAGCCACTCGACGGCAGCTGCGGACTTGTAGGTCAGGACCTTGATGAGGTCGGGACGGGCCTTGTCACGGGCCGACTTGAGTGTGTCGTCGTAGAACTGTTTGACGCTGTCTTGGATCCCGAGGTCGGTCTGGGTGCGAGTCAGGGCACCGTTGATACCGGAGGTAGCCTTGGTGGAGTTACCACCAAAGAAGGCCTGCTTGTCGAGGACCAGGACGTTACCACCGTTCAGGTAGACGGTGTGGGCGGCACTAAGACCGGACACTAGAGAAGGTCAGCTGAGGAACCACCGTGCGGAGAAAGGATCGTACATCCACCGCCGACCACAATTACTTGAGGAGCAGCCATTATGAGTGTGAAGGAAATATGTTTGGAAAGAGGGGATAACCGAGGGGGGCCAGGATTCTTAAATGGAACAGTAAAATGGGGGGAATCCGGGGGAAGTCATAAGCCGACGTGTATCGGCCGAGGTAGCGAAAGATGGGGGGAATTTAATACGGGGTGTACCCGTAATATTTAATTGCCACACGCTGGTTTGTCCATTTGAGAAGGGTAGATCTGGGGTATTATCACATGCGATACCACTCTATGGTATTGGAGTTTAACATTCTTTTAATGCATTTAACACATGCTTCACATGCTCGGCGCCACCTGATCACTTGGAAGAAGACTCGTGAAAACATGAGAAAGACCTATTCTGCTGCAGTGGGGGAAGTGGAGCTTCAAGTTCTTGATACCGCACTGACAGGTAAATAGGTATGGTCTAGAGTACCCTGTCCTACTATGGAGCAGTCCCGTACGGAGTAGAAAACGGCATACTGTGAACCTCGGAATAGCACTTGCGGTCCGATGTCCGAATCGGACCGTGTCCTGCATGGGCTGACTGCGTACTTTGGACAGTGGCATGTTTATAGCTGATCGAGACCTCTTTTCAGAATGTTTCCCTACCAAGGAGATATGAAAATACAGAATCCCTCTGAAATATCACGTATCCTCAGTAAAACTGGGTAAAAACCAGCGAAAAGAAAAGAACGAAAGGAACCAAAAAGGTAAAAGCAGTTGCCGGCTGAAGAACACACGGCTTCTGATTGGTCAGGGTGGGGCTACAGTCCGGGGTCGAGTGACCTCATCGGTTTCCCTGCGGTCACTGCCGTTCAAACGCCGACGGAATTCATATTAGGACTTCGGTTCTCTCTCTTTCCTCTCGCTTTCCTTACCCTCTCTGTTTGCTCTCAGTCTCGAACTGGTACTGCATCTTCGCTTCGTGATCATGGACACGGCTGTGGATGGCTCCACTGCGGTACCTCGGGGTAATACCCCCCGAGATAGCCTCCGAGCTCCCAATACGTCTCGGACGAGAAAGCGACTGATGGTGTCTTGGATCCAGCCAATGTGCAATTGAACATACTCGCAATACAGCTCTAGCATCTAGCTAAACCCAATGCATCTAGTCCATCCAAGTCACACTCTTGCTCACCAAGAATTCATTCAATCCCTCATCCGTGTTGAATCGACCCCAGCCACTGTTCTTCACTCCACCATGGGGCAGAGCAGGCTCATCATGGATGGTCATACTATTAATGTGAACAGCTCTGCAGCACCAGTTAGCGCAATTCCACCCACAACAACACCACAACTCACCCAGACTGAATGCGCTTCGCCATTCGCAATCCCTTGCGCAAATCCTCCGTGAACACCGACGCCGAGAGCCCATATCCACTGCCGTTAGCCAGTCGAATCGCCTCTTCTTCACTGTCAAAGGGCATGACAGCCGCAACAGACGCAAACGACTCCTCCTGCCACACCGCCATATCCTCCCTCACTCCCCCCAGCACAGCAGGCGCCAAACGCACCCCCTCGCTGGCTCCACTGTTCTCAGAACCAGAGATGAAGTGTGCGCCTGCGCCCACAGCACCAGCAACGAGTGCCTCGACTCGGGCCTTGGAAGCAACATTCACAAGCGTAGGTGGGTCTGAAGCTTCCGCACCAGCCAGTGCACCTTGCAGTGCCGCGGTAAATTCATCCATAATCGAAGCATGCACCAGAATGCGATCAGTGGCCATACAAATTTGACCGGACTATTCAGTCAGCCCTTTTCCCTCCCAATATCTCTTCCAACCAAATAACTCACATTCAAGAAAGCCCCAGCCAAAACACCCTGCACCGCAACCCCCAAATCCGCATCCGCACAAACAATAGAACTATTCTTCCCTCCAAGCTCCATAAGACAAGGTTTCAGATTCGCCCCACAAGCACGAGCAATCTTCCTTCCCACAGCCGTACTCCCCGTAAAATTGATTTTCCTTACAGCCTCATGCTCAATCATTGCATTAACAACAGCCGGCGCATCCCCAGGGGCACAATGAATAACATTCAAACAACCACCCGGCAAGCCCGCATCCTGAAACGCCTGTCCAATAGCCCAATAGCATCTAGGCGTCAACTCGGACGATTTCAAAATCGTCGTATTCCCCGCTGCCAGCGCACAGGCTGCAGAGCGGATACCGAACACATAAGGCGCATTCCAGGGCACTATGCCCAGAATGACGCCCATGGCTTCTTTGTAGATAATTGCTGATTGACCTTCTGCTTCGACAATGGGCACACTGCCGCAGATGGAGGTGATGCGGCCTGCTATGTCGCGCAGCATGCGGATGGAGAGGGGGACGACGAATCCGGCACTGGCGCCTACGTCTGCACCCATCTCGTCGCGCATGTAGCTGGCGTTTGTGGCGAGGCGGGATTCGAGGAGATCGGCTGTTTTGAGGAGGATGTCGCGGCGGACGGTGGGTTTTGTGGTGGACCAGGAGGGGAAGGCGGCGTTGGCGGCTTCGACGGCGCGGAGGGCATCGTCTGGGCTTGCTGAGGAGGATTCCCAGATTGGGGTGTTGGTGTAGGGGCTTATGACGGGGAAGGTGGTGGGTGTTGTGACGGATTGGCCGTTTATCAGGAGGGGCACTGGGAGGGACATTTTGGTCGATGGTAATGTGTATAGATCGCGATGTACGGAGTATACAGTATAGAGTATGGATAAGAATGCAGATATGTACAGGAAGAGGGGTTCACAGGGCCAGGGTCTTAGTCGGTAGTCGACCGAGGCATTCGGTCCCACATGGACTGGTGATTTTGGAATTTGTCTTGGACAATCGATTATCTGATGGGCGACGATCAATGCCGGGATTTGGAGACGCTATTCCGCGCTACCACGACTAGTCGCCTACTTTGTATTTTGTGCAGTCTGACTCTGCTGTTAAATGATCCTTTCACCCGGATGAAAATTGGTGTTATTCTTCCATACTCGTACTTTGACTTGCTTTTGAGAGTCAGAGTATTGAGTTGAAGCTCGCATGAATCATGTATGTCCAAGTGCCTATAGAGTTGACCCAAACATGTCCATAGAATACGAGTAGGAAATATCGGGACAATTTTGTGCAATGTCAGGGGTACGGGCCAGAGTACCGTCCGAAAAAGCCGGTGATGTGCACAATGACATTTAACTGTACGAGTACTCGTATCGTGTCCAAGTGTGAAGAATCTGACCCGAATCCTCAGCCCCACTGCCGCGCGCCACATCGACACATCGTGTTAGGCGAAGTCGGGGTCATTTATTCTGAGGCAACCCCACCGCCCCAGATGGCTTGCATGAGAGATTAGAAATATGTACGATGAGGGGTTCGAATTGGAATCCCTGTAAGTAGTCACGGAGTACTTCTGTACATACGAGTATGAAAAGTCTGTGAAATGCAATTCATGATCTCACCCAACTAGTGGACAATGGCTTGTTGATATTCCACGCTATCGGGGATCTACATGACAGTTGGAGAACATTAGAAGCACAAAGCCGGGAAGTTAATGGCCGAACCGTGGGTGACCCCCCTCGTGGCGTGCGGGTGGCTTTTCCAGTTTTCGACGTACTGAAGTATACCATACGAGTACTTCGCATAACTTATGTGTGGACTTTCTAAAGTTGTAGTAGTATACTCGTACGGAGAAATTACTTAAGTAGCGAATATGGAGTCATGCTAGATTCGTCCTTTCAAAGCTTAGTCTGACGCATGATTCAGCCTTTCAGCTGGAAAAGCTGGGATGTGATGGGCGATCGTAGCTAAGTCTTTCCCAATGCAGCGTCGTGGAATTCGCTCACTCCACCCGTGCTCCACAGCCAAATGCATAGTCTCAGGAACGTTCCAAGGTTATTTTCCCTTGAGCTATCCACAGAGCAGCCATACGTTGGTTGAGAGCCCAAGAGACCGGCCGACAGGGTACTCGTGCATGGTATCCCGCACATTTATAGGGGAAGCAAAGCAATAGAGTAGGATAGCGTCATCCAAACTTCTGGACGGGGCCCCAGCCCACCTCTTCACAAATCAGGTTCCCCATTTGGACATCGATCGACCACTAGGTGTGGTGTGAGTGGGTAAAGTATCACAATGTGTGATTTTGAGCTGGTTTGGGGTACCAGGGCTCCAGTGTTCCCACTGATCGTGCGACTCGCGTGGTTCTTGTCTTATATCGGGGCCGATGTCGACCGATGTTGAGATTGTACTTCTGTCTCCAGTCATTCCTTTGTGTCTTTTGTTTTTCAATTCCCCCCCACATTCTTTTACCTTATCCATTGTAAGACACAATGGCGCCCAGTCAGAGAGGTTGGGAAATGATCGAGATCGTGACGGTCTTGGTCTCACTCAGCTTGATCTCTGTTGTGCTGCGGATGTTTGCTCGTCTTCGTAGAAGAGTTGGCTTTGGTATCGATGACTACCTCAGTGCCATTTCTATACTGCTGTTGATTGCTATGTTGATTGAATTGATTCTATGTGAGTGAAAAAGGCATACCGCAACTCCAAAGCATGGACTAACAGTTCACAGGGTGTTCGATTGGAGGCAATGGAGCCCACGCCGCAGATCTAGATCCTAAAACATTCATGAACTATTGGAAGGTATGTGCTATCCAGTTCTTAAGTGAATTTTCAAACTCACACTCTCAGATCTTCCTCGCCAACCAATTCACCTACTTCTTGCTATGTCCCTGCATCAAGATCTCTATTATTTGCTTCTACCGTCGCGTGTTTGCAACCCCACGCTTCCAGCAATTCACCTTCGGTCTGAACATCTTGATCGCCGCATGGGGCACGGGAATCTTCCTCGCCTGCGCAGGCCAATGTCGACCCCTTCGCGCCTACTGGGATAAGAGCATCGAAGGATCATGTTTCGACGCCCAGGAATTCATCATCGTCAACCAGGCCTTCAACATCCTAATCGACTTCGTCATCCTCGCCCTCCCAATCCCAATGATCTGGAATCTGCACCGTGCCTGGCAAGACAAGCTCGCCTTGAATGGCGTTTTCGCCCTCGGTGCCTTCGTCTGCTTTGCCAGCATCTACCGCATCGTAGTCCTATTCTGGATCAGTCCCGCAGACCCCACATACACAGTCTACCAGGCCACATTGTGGACGCACATTGAACCAGCTGTCGGTCTCATCTGCTCAAACCTCCCAATCATCCGTGGTCTTTTCCCAGCCCTCAAGCTGAAGAGCTCCCGCAATGGAACGGGTCCCCAGTATATCAACACCGATTATACAAACTCCATGTTCTTGTCAAAGGGTAGTCCCCGCTCGCCTGATTTGGAGTACATGAAGATGGAATCGGCGCTATACAACGCCCAGGTTGAGAGCAAGTCGCCTGGGTTCTTGGGTGATGATCTTCGTTCTACGGATATCAATGTTCAGACTGATATCTCCATTCAACCCAATGATTCTACGACCACGCTGCACCGGGCCAATGACGCGGTCTAAGCTGCTGATTTCATGTGTTACGATGTGATGATATTACTTTCTTGAAATTGGGTTGGGATCTTTGGATTTGCCTTTCATGCATATCCAAGCGCCAACACCTTCGGCTTCACTCAATTTCTCTCTACTATATTTGTATGAACATGGCTTCCAGGCCAATGTGTTTTCTCTTTACGCTTCTCGGATTCGACCCTGTTATCTGATTCATGTTGATCATACCGAGCATGTACAACGACATTCTTTGGCTTTGCCATACTTCACACGATGCATTACTATACTGAACATTTCTTTCTGTTATTATCTATTTCTTGATTAGAATTCCCAAGGACTTATTTTATCAAATGAATATCCCAAAGTGATCTGAAAACAACTTTTTACCGAACTTTAGAAGACTCGTTGGTCAAACAATGAGAAAGATTCACCTTGTCGAGCATCAAGGTCTGAGTTACTCCGTACTCCAGGCTTTGGACGCACACTGTGTGTTATTCTAACCTGACCCCGGGGCATGCCTGGGATTTGTCATTGTAGATGCTTTCCAAGGTTCATACCCTCGACACTGTGACTAGTAGTAATGCTACTCCAAGCCATCAGCCGAGCACGATGAACCAAAGTGTAAAATCCAAAGGTTCTATGCTTTTAGTCTAGATTGAATTCTGACCAAGGATAAATGTAACAGAGCGAACAGACATCAATTCGTGGATACTTCGTAGATAGGTACATATCAGACTTCAATTCACCATGTGCTTGGCAGCGAGCTCCTGCAAATAGTTAGTATGTGACTCTCAACACATGCGGATTGTGTCATACCGGGAAACGATCAGAAATCCTAGCTGCAACACGCTCCACACCTTCTGCAAGCGCCTGTACACCCACATCCCATTGTCTCAATTTACTCCCACCAGAAACATAAGAACTGCCAGCCCCCTCGGCATCAAAAGTGATGATGCCGTCGATTTGATCGATCTGGCCCTTCAGTCGACCCTGTTCAACCATCCGTGCCGCATAGGCCTCCGCCTTCTCCCCAGCTGACAAAGTACTCGAAGACTGAAGACCCAGAATGACACCAAGATCATCAACCCGGATGTTTTCGTACAGCTTGCTCGTAGCAAGTAGATTGTGCTCAATGACCGCCTTATCAAGAACAGTGGTACCGTCAGACGTAAGAGCCAGCTGATGCGGCGCAAGTTTGCTGGCGAACGCGGCGACTTCATCTGGCGTCAGAAGTCTGTCCAAGAACATCTTCTCCAAAATACCGAATTCCTCCACCGAAGGCGCCCGCTCATCTTTGTACAGCAAAGCAAGAGACCGCGACCGCTGAGGTCCAGCCGGTGCAAGCACCGCACACCGAATAGCAGCCGACAATGCCACCAGCCTATCACCCTCGTCCACACCTGGCGCAAGACTAACCTTAAAGTATTGCTGCGCGGCGTCCAGAAAGCGACGTCTAGCGTCCAGAATCCTCGCCTGAGAAAGCTGGAAGTATAGCAGGGAATCGTGGTCCTCAATTTTAGAAGGCAGGTTCTTAATTCGATTCAAGAAGGCTTCGGCACTGGTCGTATCGTCGTCTTCGAGGTAATAGCGAACAATGCGAATCCAAAGACGGGTCTTGGCATCATCCGAGACAAGGCGCTGCGAGCTATCGATATGAATACCCTGCAATGCACGGGCGGCAGCTGTGTATTCTTCTTGAGACTCGTATGCATCAGCGAGGATCTCGCGGATCTGCGAATCTTGTTCTTCGACTGAGGCGGAGCGGGTTAGGAGGAGGGTGACGGCATGTTGGCCGACTTTGATTTTTGTTTCTGGTGAGAGTGTTTGGAGGACCTTGATGAAGGAGTCTAGAAGTGGGCGGGCTGAAACGATGCTGACGTCTTCGCTGAGGATTGAGTCGAGGTAGTAGACTAGGTCTTGAGCGAGTTCGTGGCCGTCGGAGGTTGCGACCATGTTATCGAGGAGTTCATTGTATTGTTGGAGTTTTGTACTTTGGTGTGTATTGGTTTCAATAGCCGCAAGGGCGTTGGCAATCTTTTGTGAAGCCATGGTGAGTGTGGGAGTGACAGCTTGGAGGTGTGAATGGGGGGAAGTTTGGCCGAGATACTGTTATCGATAAGAGCACGGAGTATAGCCCTGGAGTACAGCGTGATATACTCGGAGAAAACATGGGAAGATTCCAATTTATTGTAGTATTTGTACTATCAGACAGATCCTGTCTGATTTCTCAGTCTGTCTAAACTCGCAATGTAAATCCACATAGTCGTTATTGAATTTAGGACGCTAAGTACTCCGGATTAGCGAAGATGTACTGCTCCAATTCCGAGTGAATTGTGACCACAACAAAGCAAAGACCCAAAGCAGCATGAATCCTAAGATGAATCAATACTGAATTGACACAATCAAGTCATGGCCAATAGCTTAAACAAAGAGAAAAAGAAACATTGAAGAAAGAAATAAACTGAGTCACCGTCATCAAAAGATCAGCGTTCACCGCCTGCCGTTCGGAGGCTCCATAGCTCCGCCGTGTGGCGGCTCCAACGACAAGGTTCCTCACATTGTCTACTTTGTTCTTTCGCTACGCTCGCTGCACATCGAAGATCGCATTCCTTTCAGCATTCCATATTCCACTTCGTGACCGTCTCGGGGACTCTCGTGTCCAGTATGGCCCAGGTCAAGCAAGACCCCGATCGCCCATATGTGAAACAAGAGTTCATCAAGCAGGACCCTGACAGCAAAGACACTGCTCTTGCGGATATCGACGAGGAGGATCTTTACGAAGATGCCGGCGATCTGGACTTCACAAATGCCGGACAGAGCGTCTGGCTCTCCCGTCTGCCTCGGCAGCTGTGGGAGAACTGGGCACACTTGAATGACGACGACGAGATCGAGATCGGTACAATGCGAGTCGAAGGTACACCGGATGACATCAAACGAGTGAGTAAGGGTTTTATCTGTAATATGGCTGAGTCTAACATAATTTCTTTTGTCAGGTCAGTTTGCGCCTACACAATCGCCCTGATAACCAGGACATCCCCAAAGACTATGTTCTTCAGAAACAAACGGCGGATCCTTCAGGGGCTGGATCGCATCTTACCCATAATACCTACCTTTTCTCCGAAAAAGACATACCCGGCGTGGAGAATCGCATGGCCTCGTTCGGCGAAACCCGATCGGTCCTCTACGAATCACAGAAGCGCGAAGCGAAGCGAAGAGAACAAGGAAAGAGATGGGAGCCTTATGTGCGCAAGACGATACCCAGTATGTTTGTTTCCAGACATGGTAATCTGCATCTGCTTACAAGGCCCCAGAACATACTGCGCTAGCAGGCGCGGTTGCTGAAGAATTCAACTGTCTTCCTGTCGAGAATGAAGAGTTCCGCCGCATATCCGAAAAGCGCGCGTTGGAGGCCCTGAAGCCCCGGAAGGAGACTGTCTTCATCGATAAGATTCCAGGAAAAATCATTCAAGCGCGTCACGCCCTTCCCAGCGAGAAGGGTCAGTTCGTGGTATGTGTCCTCCTTGTCAGCTTTTATCCGACATGACTCACTCACTTTTCCTCACAGCAAGCAACCAAAGCCGGTGGCCGTGGAAAGCCCCAGGAGAACAAGTCCACTCGTATGCCCCAGAACGAGCTTTTGGATCTTATCTTCCAGTGCTTCCGCGAGTTCAGATACTGGCCATTTAAGACTCTCAAGGCTAGACTGGCACAGCCCGAAGCCTATCTCAAACAGACACTCGAATTGGTCGCGCACTTGGTCAAGTCGGGTGACTTTGCTATGACCTGGGAATTGAAGCCGGAGGCAACTCACGCCCAGTACTCCAATGCGATGGACAATGCCAAGGCAGAATTACCACCCGGAGCCGACGATCCATACGATGAAGGATCTGAAGACGATCCTATGGCATCTGGAATGGCTACGGATCAAGATGATGTTCACTTCGAAAATGTTTAGTCGCTACTATCGTATCGATCTCCAATGCAGCATAGGGCTCGGCGTTATGACTTCTGACATGCAGAGGTCTGGATTGAATTCGGAAACCATCATAGAATGGACAAAACCATGATAACTTACATATTATTAACTTGAAATTTCACTTCATACTCAGTAGTGGTCATTGTAATCTTTTACTTCTCATTTCCCCCTTTCACAGCTACATGAATAGTACTACAAAATTGAGAGTATTGAAATCGCCCTTATTCTTATGCTACAAATAAAAAGAAAAAACCCCTGGCGAAGTTCAAAAGAAGCAGGGTAATTTGTTTGCTTCCCTACGCGCCATACTAGTGTCCTGCACGTGACTCAAATACGCCACCGGCGGTTGTGGGCGCGTCTCTTCATTCATCGTCACCACTGGCTCTCTTAAACTCGTCACAACACCCTGATCTCTTTGAAAGTGTCAGGTAGCTGTATCAGTGAACAACTAACCTTAAATCTTCAAACAAGCTCACTATGACCGAAAACGAGGATCTGCTGGCCAAGATCGGCCAACTTGCAGGTACGATACTTGAAAACCATTGAAGCCAGTCGAGGTTCTAACTCAAACAGGTCAAATCAATCGACACAAGTCCTCAGAAACCCACCCAACTAACTCACACTCCCAATATGTATCTCGCCATGCCCCAACACACCAAGGATGGGCCCCCTACTATCGAGGTCGTGGCCGAGGCCGCGGTCGAGGAACAGGAGCTCCACACAGACACCGTACCCTTGTCTTGAACAACACAGGCTCTGGATCAACTACGGGCGCCAGTCCTTCGACCACCCCGACAAATGACTTCCAAGGTCCCACTCCAACCTCCGCAACCTCAACCGGCAACGGATGGATTGCCAAGCGCGACCGCCACATGCAGCTGATCAACTCTACTGTCTATGAAAAAGAGACACAAGCAAGATCCAGGGCGATGGAAGAGACGCGCAAGTTCAGGGAGCAGCAAAAAGCAGAGCGCCAACAAGCCAAGGTACTTCGCTACGCGCAGGGCCCTGGCGGCGTTGCTGCAGTCTCCACGGCTGCGCACTCTACAGGCGGCCATGAAATCATGGTCAATGATGTTGCCTTCAGAGTTGGACGAGGCGGCAGCAAACTGACCCGTATCTTGAGTACGTACCTCCACAATCTTGTGTTCGTGTCGAATCAGCTTACCTTTTGAAGATGACCCCAGCACTGCCAACAACACGCCCAAGCGAGTCACAGTTGCCGGTGTGCCCTTCGTGCGCAGCAAAAATGGAAATCTGCACCGTCTTGGTGCTGTGACCTCGAAGAAGTGAGTTTACGCAACAGCAGCATACGACCTCAATACTGATCCTTCAGGCCCAACACCGTTAAGAAACGCGACGAGCTTTGCAAAAGATTCTCTACGACCGGTATTTTGTTTTCCGATGGGCCAATCTGCTCTGCATCCCCTTTGGTACACGTTCGAAGACTGACACCGCTCTTTCCCAGGCACATGCTACAAAGGCCCCACTTGCCTCTTCACCCACGATCCCAGCAAGGTTGCCATTTGCAAGGACTTCCTTCAAACAGGCCAGTGTGCCGCAGGTAGTAGCTGTGATCTATCCCATGAACCCTCACCTCACCGTTCCCCTACTTGTATGCACTTCCTTAGAGGTCGTTGCGCCAACCCGGAGTGCCGCTACGCCCACATCCGAGTGACACCCGGTGCCCCCGTCTGTCGCGCATTTGCAACTTTAGGATACTGCGACAAAGGCGACTCTTGTGAAGAGAAGCACGTCCATGAGTGTCCTGACTATGCTAATGCCGGCGCTTGCAATAAGAAGCGTTGTCAGCTGCCGCATGTTGACCGCGCGGATCAAATCCGCAAGGCCGCAGCAGCAGCTGCCGCCGCCGATCAGGGCGATGATGAGTCCGATGCTTCTAGTGAGGAGGAGGCATACGACGCTATTGACTCTGATGATGTTGACTCAGACGAGTTTGACGATTCCGAGGAAATTCTAGAAGGCGTGGATAGCGGCGAAATGTCGCAGCAGAAAGACTTTATTGCTTTCTGATCTGAACATAAACCCCTATTTTGTAGTTGGTTGGATAACATTTTGTTTCGCACCACATGAAGAAATCTCGAGAGGCCCAAAATCAGGCCGAGGAAGGAAAAAAAAAGGAAATGAAGAACACAAGAGCAAAATCAGTACAAATCAGATATCCAAGCAAAAATTGAACTGCAATACAAAAACCATTCCAAGTACTACCCCAAACTCCCAAACTATACCCCCACGCATATCATCCCGTGTGGTTTGGCCATGTGATGAAATTCAACATCCAACTGCAGGGACCATGACCTGCTGACAGACGATATAAAGCTGTGTGACTATAAGCCTCATTGCATGACCGAAAGCTAAATCATCGCATGTCTTGTGCTTTATTGAAATCCGCTCCAAGGATATCCTTCCGAGGCCCGCAAGGATGACCCTTTATTCACGAAACTCACTGAAGCCACAGAGACGACATCAAAACTCTTGGAATGTCATCCAAGGTTATATTAGCCTCGGGGAGCTCGTTTGAGGATTGATGTTTGTTCAAATGCATACTTCATGGATGGATCCTGTTGGTTTACTTTATGTCTTCTGGATATAGATGATCTGATAGAAATAAGCTGGGGTTCTACTCAACCTTGGAAGTAAGGTTGGGCTGTATAGGCTAAACTATAGAGCAGCTGACATTGAGTAGTATCCTTTTCTGATACGAGATTTGATGAGCCGGCATGTCTATGAGAATAAGAGCACAGGAAAGTGCAAGATGCAAGGGGCATCGAAGCACGGGTGGAGGTATAGAGTAAGGTTGAAGAAATGCGTACACAGGATGAAGATAGAAGATACTTTCTAAATTTTAGGTAGTGTCAATACTAAGTAGGCTGCATAGACTCACATCTGGATTCTCAGAATGAGCCTTGCCATTGTACAAGCCATGTAGGCATCCATGGATGTTCAAGTTTTAAACACTGATGCACATGTAACACCATGCTGGATCTAGGCTTCACGGATAAGTCATTTGTGAACCAAGCTCCTTGTTCAAATAGGCAACAGACTCCAAGGAAAAGGAATGGCTGTGCAATTCAAAGATCACCCAGAGGTGTCTATAGTTAGACAGAGTTTACTATCACAATTCCCAAAGATCCGCCTATCATATTGTCTTCTTCAAGACATCGATGATTCTCTAGAATCCTCTGATCAAGTGTCATTATTTGGGTTTCGCACCTAGAGTTTCTATCCCGTGGAATCTAGAGAGTACTTGTAGATCACACAGTAATTTGCTAGTTAAGGTATCAGAAAACCACGAGCACCTAGGTATGACATAGAAAAGACGATAAACACCGAGTTGAACCTGATCAAAACAAACAATACTAACAATTCAAAAACCTGAGAAGCTCAAGATAGTGACTCATTCAATTGTAGATAATGAGAAATCACTTCTTTGTTCACTTGAACATTGACGATCCTAAGTTGTGCAGTATATCCTAATAGTCCATAGCCGCAGAAAGCGACAGAGATTCAATTCCAAATGAGTCATTAAAACGGTGAATGAGACTCATCTCAAATTCCAGTGCTCATGGGTCTACTGGATCCCTCAAAGGCAAGGAATTCCAAAGCAGCGAATGGATGGATTCCCCAGAGCCAATATGTGGACCAGAGTGGCCCATCCCAAACACCCAGTGACAAGCAGCATCCAATCCCAGCTCGAGCAAAGCTGGTCGATATGCCCAATGTACCCAATGTGCGGATGTCAGGCAGGTACCGGTTGAAAGTGAGGCTTTGAGATCACATCTGGGTTAGCCTGTCCCGGTAGTGTTTGAGAGGGCTTGGGCAGATACAGTGTGAGGAATGTGTATGGAGCCGGGGAAGGAAAGGTCTGCTAGCGGGATGAGTAGTATTGGAAGGAGTGGATGGGTGGGCCTGGTATGGGCTTCTAGCTCGTCCAGAGAAGGCAGATCACCAGTTTCAATTTGAGTCATTTGGCTTAAATGGAGTTTCAGCTTCACCGCATGAAGGGAAAAAAATTCTTGCATTGTAGAGTAGTTTTTGGCTCTTGGTGGGGCTCTAAGCTACAAAGTAAGTATGGTCCGGGCACGAAGGCATGTATGAGACTGGTCCTTGCTCAGACTGGAGCTGGAACTCAGTTATGAAGTTGATCGGGTACTCTGCTCCAGAAGCGAGCCTGTGTATACGTATTACTAATGAATCAGACGGAGTGACCGATGGACAGGCTGGATGTCCATTGGACAGAATCGACGTTTTCACCGCTAGATTTTATCCGGGCTAGAATTTTCCACCCGCGGAGCGGCAGCTCAAGTGACAGGCCTATCACCACCCTAGATGGCCTCTTGTGTACTATGTATAGACGGCGAACAGACTCAGGGGCGGCTTCGAAGGGGTTTGTGCTCTCGATAATTGTCAAGCCGCGTAAACGGGGACAGGGACCGGCTGAGGTTTGGGCGATAAGGCTGGGGTATGGCGCTTATTGAATCCCAAGACGAGTCTACAATAAAAGCACCAAACGAATTGTATTGGGTCCCTTTTCTGTTTGATTGACGGCCTTGTCGTATGGGATGATTCGACTCCCGGTGCTGTCAACAATAATAGGGAAATAATATAGGCTGTTCGCAGAAGTACGATGCAGCACAGGCTGACAGCCTACCAAATACGATGGCATCATGCTCTCTGCACTCCACACGGGCGATCAAGGTTAGCCGATCACGGTTTACATGTGGTCTGTGAGTGAGGAAGTTGAAAAGATGCCTGCTTGTGGCCATATGGAAGGTGCAGAACTGCACGTCGGCGACTTTGACGAGGTACTGCGGCTATGCGAATATTCTTCAGCCAAATCGATCCCCATCTCCCATGCAAAATGCAAAACGCAACATATACAATGCCAAATGCACAGGAATGTCATGATCTACTGAGATGCCATGGATTTCTGGCCCAACAGTGGATCAGCGGGCCGAACCCGAACCAGAGATTGAATCTGCGCAGAACCTTGGAACCTAGCCGATATTATCTGAAAGGGAAGAAGTAAAACCCTTGTAACTGCAGCCCAAGGGGATCGTCACACTGACTCGGGAATGATTGGTTGTTAATAAAGGAGGGGAAAATGACATCTAGAACCATCTGACCAGATGAGATTGAATAGTAGCACCATAACTGTAAGTCTTAAACGCCGTAAACATACTAAACATAATATAGCACAGACCAGACTCCACCGAGCAGGGATTAAGACGAGGATCTATAGGCTATCGTTTATCGATAAGCCTAACGTCTGTTACCCCCACCTTCTCAGGAGGGGGGAAACAGAAGGGGAAAAAAAGAAGGAAAAAAAGAAGGGAAAAAATGGTAAACCCCCCCATGATTATGCAAACAGCCTTGGAAATCGATGATGGCATCAGTAAGACCCGTTCTCATCGAGACTAGAACAAAACAAAAGAAAAATAAAAGAAAAAATAATCAAACAGATGCAGGTCTGCCCAAGCAGAACGATGCAGCCAATAACGGAGATCTTGACCCGGGGGCCGCACTCGCACTCCCGCGCAGACCGCTGCGTATGGGTATGTACTGGGTACTTGATCGACTAGGCTATTATGCATGATCGGAATCGGTACTCGGTACCTGCGGAGTACACTGTCAACCGCACGAGGTCTGCATCTGCGACTCCCGTACATAGCCTGTGCCTTTCCCCCCCGGAACTACATTGTATTCCCCCCTCTTCATGCTTCATATTCATCTTCATTCTTCGATTCATTTTCCCTCTTTGGTTATTCCATTTCTTCGACAATTTTGGCTATAAATCTTCCTTCCCCACTGCCTCTCTCTCTACACACACACACACACACACCGCCTCTTTTCATGATGGCTCGATATTTCCAGACTGAATTTTACCAACAATCACCTTCAACATTAGACATGACAGAAGACGACGAGATGAGTGTATTGGATGAGAAGATCTTGGAGCCAGGGTCCGAAGACCTCGCCGACACTCGTCGCTCGTCCTATGATGCCCCAGCCTACTCACATCGGGATTCCGTCTGGTCCAACTACTCCAATACCAGCTCGAACCAGTCCCGTTCAAATTCGCATGTGGGACATTCCATGTTGAACTCCTCCGGTGCATCGTTTATGCCTGTTGATGGTCCTCATTCAACTTCCTTCCCGCAACCCTCTTGGTCCATGCCGCGCAACGACTCCGGGTCATGCACGCCGACCGCGGGTTATGAGCAGTATTCCACCGAGGGAGACCAGATCACGACTGCGCCATTCTCGGGTGGCGCAGTTGGGCCTGTGGGCGCCATGCCCATGAACCCCATGTCGTATCGGGGGAGTATGTTCGGGCCACCGGGCAGTGTCGCCATGTCGCCGCAGTCAAGTCAGGGCTGGATGCCCGCTCCGATGGATCTGGCCGATGCCCCATCGCACCAGAACAAGAGCCCTTCTTACCGCAATGACTCGCCATTGAGTGTGCGACGGGACGGGATTCGAAAAAAGAACGCCCGCTTTGAGATTCCGGCTGAGCGGACCTTGAGTAACATCGACCACTTGATCAGCCAGTCTACCAACGAGGAAGAGATCAAGGAACTCAAGCAGCAAAAGCGACTGCTGCGGAATCGTCAAGCTGCGTAAGTTTTCCCAAAAGTGCACCGACTCAATGCCATCTGAAACTAACCTTTGTGGTAATAGCTTGGACTCTCGTCAACGCAAGAAACTGCACACCGAGAAGTTGGAAGAGGAGAAGAAGCACTTCACCGCGACGATCACCGATCTGGAAGAAGCGCTGCAAAGCATGAAAATGCGAGAAGCAGAACTGTTGCGCGAGAAGAGTGAATGGATTGTGACCCACGGGCAGATGAACCAATACATCGAAGGGCTGCACATGGAGAAAGACGAAAACATTCGCGTACACACGCTGGAGACAGCCGAGCTACGCAAGAAGAACAACATTCTCATGGAAACCGTCGACAAGCTGGAGCGGGGTATCAAACCCGCCCAGGACAACCTCCCTGGAGACTTCACCGGCTTCGAGAACTTGTCCATGGAAAGCCACCCATGGGACGACTTCTCGATGCAGAATGGTGTTCCCATGCAACCGGAATGTGCCCGCCCACCCATCAACCAGGTCAAAGCCCCGGAGAAATCCACCTCAGACCTACCGATCAGCTGGAATGCCTTCTACATGTGTCTTCTCTTCGGTGCGTTCATTGCTTCGAACAGCACTTCCCTTCCAGGTCGCTCCCTGCCTCAACTCTCAGAAGAGTACCGTGCCGAGTCCGCGAACGTATTGAAAGCCGTTCTCGCTTCGTCGCCCAAGCACGAGCTCGCGCACGGCACTGCCACTGCCACTGCCGCACCGACAACCATCAGCGGCATGGAAATGGCACAGATGAGCGCCGTGCCATCCACGCTCGACCAGCTGCACAACACTCTCGTTATGCCAACAGAGCAGCAAGAGCGCGAGCAGGTCTTTGCCCTGAATGCCAACCAGTACAACTCCCTGACGACGTTCGAGGACGACGGATTCAAGCCGCAACAGCCGTCCTCGCTGCAACAGGCTCTTGCCGCGATGCGCAATACAGTTGCGCAGCAAAGTCGCATGGGAGGCTCCTCGTCGGACGTCTATTCGCGATCCCTGATGTGGGATCGCGTGCCTGAGAAGGTCATACGTGATTTCCGACGCATGGTGCAAGACTTTGCCGTCCCTGTTAAAGACGAGGGTGTTTTCCACCCTTGATTCCTTGTCCCTCCTTTTTCGATATAAACGACAGTTGCGATTTTCGCTTCCCTTTCTTGCACACCTGTCCTGGATGGGTGTGACCTCTTTTCTTCTTTTGGTTTTCTTTCTTTTCAAAAATACGGACTAGCAATGGCCCTTGAAATTAGCGTGCAACGATAGATCACGCACCCTTTTTATTATGTTTCTTGTATTTGCCATATTTATGTTCGGTTTCGGATGAGGGATTGTTTTTTTTTAGCGGTTCTGTTTAGCGTGTTAGCGATTGGTCTTTTTCTTTTTCTTTGGGAGGGGATTTAGTATTATACGACCGGGTGGAGACCCGATGTGTACAGAGACATGTCCTCGAATGGATGATGAGAAACGAAAGATATGAGCCCTTGCATGTGGTGCATCTTTACTGTGCTGATTATGACTATGTTCGATGTCTTATGTTTTATGATATTGTTTGGCAGTCCGGAAACTGTCATTAGGAATGGAATGTGGAATGGGTCCCCCTGTTCTCGACAGCATGAAAGTGCTCTGTCTTACTTCAGATTTTTCTCTCTATCACAGCTCCTCCTTATATCAGACTCCGGTCTGGAATGGCCTTAATTGTGTTGGTTCTTCTGTTTGCCGAGTGGCACCTCTCTTTCGTGCCCATCCCCCAATGACGGCGCCGTGAATAGATGCGACAAACCAACTAATATGGTACACAATTTCCCCCGTTGCAAATATTATCATTGACTACATGATCATTGGCCCGGTTCGTATCCAGTCACGCTGTTGTTCCGCGCTTGACGCTGATAGTCGACCACTATGCGGACCACTGATGTCAGATCAAAGTATCAGATCCACTGTTTCAAGATATCTGTGAGTGTCTCCTGACATTTAAGTTCAAGATGTTCACCTACCTGCCCTTCTCAGTAACAAACCTCCGGCGAAATGCACGTTTCCAGGGTTTGGGTCCACGCGTTATGTTAACCGAAGGACCTTGGGGGTAGACCAGAATCCTGCACCCAATCAACAATCCAAGATCCAAGTCCACCTGATTTCTTGCTTCAGAGGCTTGGTAGGCCCCAAGCTTTCTCCAAGACACTTCCAAGCCTTGGGAGTAATGTAGGTTGACCATGTGTAGGGCTCGTGGATATTTGACCTCCCGCAAGGGGTATCTCAACCCTAATTCCCCAGCAGAACACCACAACCAAACACCTACAAAAGTCGCACCAATCTCTTCTAAAGTTGGAAATATAGATATGTAGTTTGACCAGGAGATTTAATCTCTGTTTCCATGCAACCGGGGACCGCAGCGTAGACTAAACATCTAGTTCATATAATCGGGGGGCCGAAACCCCCCAAGGTCCCCAAAGCAACGGAGGACCCGACGAGTCCAGATTTTCCCCCGATATAAAACAGCTAAGTATGTCCTGTCATACCTCTTCAGATCAAGATCGTCGCTCTCATCTCTCTGTGCTCTTTGGGCTATATACCACTGGCTGAGCAATAAAAGGCCATCTCGCCCCATCCCAGAGAGTCTGCTTCATCCATCAAGATGTCTTTCGATCCACACAATGTCGACCTGGACACGGCCGACGCAGCCCAGATTGTCTGCTACCTGAATGCAGAGGGAAATGAATATGATGGACGAATGGGTGCGCGCATCTCTGCCATCTTCGTTATCATGATCGTCTCATCAATTGCAACCTTCTTCCCCGTCCTTGCGCAGCGCGCGCCCCGCCTGCGCATTCCTCTCTACGTCTACCTCTTCGCCAAGTACTTTGGTGCTGGTGTCATCATCGCCACAGCCTTCATTCATCTGCTTGACCCGGCTTATGACGAAATCGGCGGAAACTCCTGCGTCGGACTGACCGGTCACTGGGCCGATTACTCATGGTGTCCTGCCATCGTGCTGACCTCCCTCATGGTCGTCTTCCTCATGGACTTCGGAGCGGAGCGCTGGGTCGAGATCAAATATGGTATTTGTCGCGAGGACCCCGAGCCAATCATGGCATCCGGCGTCGAAGCCCACCGTGTCTCGTCGCGTGTTTCAGCACGACACTCCGACGACAAGCAGGTGAAGGAGATCGAGTCACAGTCACAAGAGCTTGCCATCGAACGCTCAGTCAAGCAACAGATTGCCGCACTCCTGATTCTCGAATTCGGCGTCATCTTCCACTCTGTCATCATCGGTCTCAACCTCGGTGTAGCCGGCGATGAATTCGCAACCCTCTACCCCGTCCTGGTCTTCCACCAGTCCTTCGAGGGTCTTGGTATCGGTGCCAGAATGTCCAGCATCCCCTTCAAGAAGGGCAGCTGGGTTCCTTGGATCCTGTGCACCGCCTACGGACTGACCACCCCCATCGCCATCGCCATTGGACTCGGTCTGCGCGAGACCTACAACCCAGGCTCTTTCACCGCAAATGTCGTCTCCGGTGTCCTGGACGCGATCTCCGCTGGCATTCTTCTATACACTGGATTGGTGGAGTTGCTCGCCCGTGACTTCTTGTTCGACCCCCACCGTACCCAGGATGACAGGCGCTTGACTTTCATGGTGCTTACTTTGCTTCTTGGTGCTGGTATCATGGCTTTGCTTGGAAAGTGGGCTTGATTTAACCACACATACACTGGTAGTGTGTACATGGTTTACTATGGTGAAAATAATTATTGGATAGATGTTCGAAATAATCGGTGAGACTTGTGAGATATCTGAGATTTGAAACAATTTGATACCCCCAGGGGACGGTTTTGTGTGTGATGAAATATTCTAATAAGATAAATTTGAGTAAATGTTTTGCACCTTAAGAAAATGATCTAACGCTCAAAAAAATCCGTCAACTCTCTTTGTAGCCTTTCGATACCAAGGCGGGAAGATCAAGTAAAAGGGAGCAAGAGAAGTTGCGGCGGATTTCGAAACTACCATCTGGGAATAAAGAGTTCAACGCATCAATTGATATCTCATCAAATCACAATATTCAAGATACAGTACAGGAACATCACTCTCAAACCAAGACGGTTCGGCCTATCTATGGCCAATGTTGAGGCTCGACCTTTATATGAGCTCTTGCTTCCAATTCCTCCTCAGTGGGCTTTCTCGCCCAAACTCGACGACTGTATGATCAGTGAGAAAAAGCCCCCGCAGCACTTTTGTGAGAACTTACGCATATTCAAAAGCATGTACGTGAGGATTCCTCAACTCAGATCGGACCTTGGTCAAATAAACCTGGACTTCATCAGAGCTCCAAGGGGATGGCGCTCCAAACTTGGTAAGAAGCCACATAGCCCAGCCCTCCAGGGCTGTAGTCCAGTGGAGATATTGAAGACGCCCAGTCTCCTTGAGAAGCTTGTCTCTTGGCCAAGGCCCCACAGGTATCTTATATAAGACTTCATGCGCATCGACAAATCCAGCCTTCTCCATTGTACCTCGCATGCTTTCCTGGGTAAGTAGGGAGCGACCGCTTCGCTCGGAACAGCCAATGAAGTTGTTTCCCCACCCGCCCAGGTAGCTGTCTTCTTTCAAAGTGTTGTCATCGCTGTATAGTCGAACGTCTAGTTCAACCTGTTCGATCCAGGCGCCTGGAGTAAGAGCACTAAGCAGTGAATAACTGTCAATGATCGTTGCCCCAAATAAGAATGGTTCAAGGAAGTAGATGTACTCACTCGTAGCATTTTTTATATAGCTCATCCCACCCCTCGGGAGTAAATGCACCCAGCAACAGGCGAAGATGTATGAAATCAAACGGTTCTTTCCAGGTCCAGTCTTGAAGAATATCATCGACTTCAAATACGCAATTGGGCGGCACCCAGGTCACAGGAGGCGGGAAGATATCAATACCACGAACGGTTGCTATAACCTGTCAGTCGAGCAGAGCACCTTGAGACTGAATGGACTCGAATACCAGACGGATACTTATCTGCAACATCACTGACAGAGTGTAAGCGGAATGGACTCAAAATATTTTGAGAAACTCACATAGCCCAGGAACCTTTCCCGGTCCCTATGTCTAGGATGTGCTAAGGACTCAACTTAGCAAGGCGCCAAGTTTCGTAAGGACTGCCCTCACCTTGGGAGATTTGTCAATCGGAGCTCGATGAAGAGGGTTCTCTTGGTTGTAATCTAATAACAGAAACACCATGTGACTAAATATCAACACGATACCCCCTGTTAGCTCACTTGAAGCAAAAATGAACCAACCATTTACCCTATTTCAAAAGCCTCGAATTGCTGTTCATCAGAGGGACTCCTGTTAGATTGAGTCAAAATCGATTCTCTGGCGCGGAGACTTTTTGGCTGACCAGTAGTCATTTTCCTTCATCGCCTGGTATCTGCTCTTCAATCAGCGAGGGCGTACATTTTCGATGGCTCCACTGCCTTGCCTTCTGCCATTTTCTAACCGGCCCCTCGCAATGGTGGAAGCAATGGAAGTAGTTTCCCTGGTGAGCCATCCAGTCAGAATGCGACCGTATCAATTTCAGCCGCAATACTCACGACTCGAAGTCCTCAGGCTCCCAGTCTTTTGTAAGACTGTAGAAGTCGGGATCCTGGCCACGGTTAGATGAGGTTCAGGGACTCGAGGCTGCAACTTACGACTGCAATATCGTCCATGGCAGTAATGATCGAAAGAAAAAGTATATGGACACAGTGGACCTTTGAGTTGACGGGTAGAGAGCGCTGCGGGCGCCGCCTCCGCGTCAGACCACGTTGGGCTAAGTGGGTCCTCGGGTGCAGTCCACCGAGTAGTTGACCAATCATATTGCTTATTTTCAGCCTTCGCCCGGGCGATTACCCGGACGTTGGAAAATTCACATGTCATTGCGAAGAGGGCGAGGTGATGGTGTAGGTGTCTTTCGGAGATGCGGATAACTAAATCAGGTGAAAGTGAACTAAGCTGACGTGTACCTATTGGACTTGGAAACATCCGGTGCTTGGTAAAAATATTTCTTTCTGTTTTCTTTAGGTTTTGTACTCTCCAACCAGTCTCTCAAGCCACCAACACAAATCCAAGTAATTGATTTACCAAATAAATTGGAGAAAATTTAAGCGATGCGCGGAATACTCAATAAGTCTCCACAAGCCTTCCAAAATAATTGGCATAGTACGACTGTGTCGGTATTCCACTGGCTGGCTTTATTTAGCCCCAGTGAATGTTGCGGCAACAGTGGTGGTGGTGGTGATGGTTGTTGTCAAAGTTGGCGCCACACAGGTTGGCTCCTCTGAGGTAGAGGATACGGTAACAGTTTCGTGAACAGTAACCGTCTTGGGGATGCCGCAAGGCTCATCAGAATTGGAAGAGGTGGTTGGAACAACGGTGGAAGCCGACGCGTCGCTATATTTCGCTTGAACCGGCTCCGATCCCAAGTTCGGAGTGAATGATGCAGTAGCCACATTTTTGAGACTTTCGGTTGAATGGGACGAGACGGAGACGAAGGAGGATGCTTTATGGGCCAGAGGCGTGCTGGTAATAACAGATCCGGAGTTCGTCACGGAGGAGCGCACAGCACTTGACTGAGCGACAGGGGCAGATGATGGGAGGTTTGTCACAGCCGGCAAAGTCCAGGGTGTAGCAGTCGGCGCAATACTCACGCCAGATGCAGGTGAGTATTGCGCCAGATGCAGCAACATTGGGAGCTGCTGCATCCGGGAATGGGCGTGGACCAGGCATGGTATAGTTGACGATCCAGGGACGGTACATATAGAACAGAATACCAGGCTCATATCCGTCATACACGCCAGGGATCTTGACAGTTGGGCCTGGGATAGCAGAGCTGTCACTTTCGACTTTGATTTGAGCACAGTTGAAGTAGAATTCAGCCTGGCCCCAATCCCCAGCGCCATGGAGAGCAATATGTTCAATTCTCACAAGGTACTGACCAGACGGGATCTCTTTGGGAAGCTCGAAAGTGAAGCTTCCGATATCTGTCGCGCCCCATTCGATTCCGTCACTTGAGAATTTCTCCGGGCCAAGCTCGTAGATCTTGAACCAATCTCCAGATCCATCGTACTCACGCACATCTCCAGGAGCCTTGGACATATACACCTGAAGAGGGCCGGGATGTTGAATAAGAGAATTGAAGTCGGTTCCGAAGCCAATCGTGTCACCTGCTTTGACATTGTACACGCCGGTCTTGCTCGCAAAGTCTGGGAGCCGGTGTTGTAGCGGAAATCGTCACTGGAGTATCCGCCCTTGAATGGCATATAGCCCTGGGTATCCTCACGGACATACTCGAGAAAAGAATGAGCGGAGGCATGGGGGATAGCCGCCAGGGCTGTCCCAAGAAGAACTGCAAGGCTCTTCATAACGAAACTTTTGAAAGCAACTTTAGTAAAAGAATTTGGGTGCAAGCAAAGACGACAAACAAAAAAATATTATACTACTACCGCCTGGGTAGAGAAGAGAAGCGAGAGGAGAGAGGTACTTAAGTAAAAGAAAGATAGGTTGAAAAATGCAAAACATCTACTTTACTTCTGGATAGAATTATATATTCAAGTCCTGCTTCAGGATTCAGGTGCCCCCTTCCCGTCCACCCACAAGCCGCCTACCTATCTGTCTTACCGATGCCGGTTGAGACGCCTGCGGCAGATCTGGCGATGTTATGAGAAAGGGGCTCCACGGCGTTACTTGGCGTTTCGGAAATGCCGAGCATAGCAATGCGCAACATTTGAGTTATGTGCCTCCCGGAAGGTATAAATCATATCGCAACGCACATACCATACAAAGTGGCTAGATTTATGCAAAAGAATCAAGCCAAGGGTCTATGGAAACTTGATCATCCTAAGGCTGTCACCGGGACATGTTTCAGGTTGATCGAGGTATCCACTTCAGATCCGTAAGAATCATTAGCGCCGGACGATCTGGTGGTTTGCGATTGATCTTCACCAGTATTCATTGCACAAACTCTTATTTACTTAAGTACATCAGGAGAGAAGCTAAACCTGGAGGGATTAGAAAGGCGACAGGTACTCGGTAAGCCATGGACTTCAGGAAGACTTTAATGATCATGACTTCAGGATGTTGAACATAACTCCATGAAAGTTGGAGCGCTAGATTTGAATCTGTATCCTGTTCTGATACCCCTTGCAGATCTCCACAAATGCCACCCGTTTCACCTAGTGTAAGCGAGCCGTCCCTTCCACTTGAGCAAGGCACAAGCTCAGCATTAAGAGTGTTTATTTAGCCGATGAATAAACTCGTAAGGCTGATGCGCTCCACTTTCCAAGGTTCATGGATGCCATGTCAGTTTCATTCTAGTGGCACGCGCTTTGCTTCGTCCTATGCCCGCTTCAGCAATCATACAATTTCTTGAAAAATTAACAGGCTGGCTTTCCTAATGAACAGATAGGGCTCTGTGATGGGATATTTCATTCGGTCAAGGTACAACATTTAGTTCGTAAACCATGGGGGCAAACAAGCTGTCGGGGACGAAAAAAGATAAAAGATAAGAGAAAAGAAAAGAAAAGAAAAAAAAAAAACTTGCCCTTCTACAGAGGAAATAGAGGGAAGAAGGGAGAATCAATGCAGTACACACTACTGATTCCGTAGTGACTGGGATTGCAGACAGGTCTATTTCTGCTTTTCTTGGTCCTAAAGTTGGTGAGACTTACCCCCAAACTCTATCCAAGTGTAGTATATCACACTCCAGCAATATAATTGCTGCATTTCAGGCAAGTTAGAACCTGTGAAAAAAAAAAAAATTCAAGTTGCTTGGTTTTCCCCGCGCTAGCTGAAGACTTCAGGAAATAGTCGAGCATTGGAATAGGTTCACCTCGTCATACTCACGACCGCACGAATGACACAACCTTTGCAGGTTGCACCCACTCAAGTGCTCTGCTGGCAGTTTCTCCTCCATTTATTGTATCAGCTACGAATGTTGTGCTTGAACTTTCCGGCGAATCTGGTGCACGAGTTTGAAAGAGCCAAGAGTGGATTGCCCTTGTGGCTTTCTAATTTGTAGCAGCACACGCGGCGTCATTTTTCCTCGTGGCCCATTCTCACCGGCAAAAGAAGCATTTGAATATTCCCACATGACCTTATTGGCTGGATACCTATGCGTACAAGCATACCGAATCCATGGATGATATGGACGATACCAAAATGTCGACTCGTCGAATTGCAACAAGGAAGATCACTATGACATCAATACTATCTTGTTCATAAGTACTCATGCATGTACAACATCAGACTCGAAACATCTCTTTGTGCAACTCGATTTCACTTCACTGCATACGTTGGACGGGTCGTACCAACATTCTAATTCTTAGTACTGCAAGAGCTGCAATCACTTTTATGGATTGGTGTGGGACTCTGGGCCCATGAATTAACAAACCTTGGCCTGTAGAAGCTGAAAATACTCGTCTTGCAGTAGTAAAATAAGCATATACAGTCTAAAGATTTGAGAAGTCGCCTCCATGTTCGCCTTATCTAAAAGCTGCAGATATCTTTCTTCGATGTCACAACCTTGGAGTACAACTGCAAAACCTATCGATGGCATATGAATAGGGTATAACGACCACTCAAGTACACCCTCGAACCAAACCCCGTGGATTCTTAGTTCTATAGGGCCGTTGGCTCTTGCTTATTTTGAGAATGGAGTCCAAAGGAGGCCTAGAATCGTTCATATTACGTATGATGTTCATTGTATCTTCAAAGTGCGACTCTTGTACAAGAGCTTCCACGAATATTCGCCCACCTTGATTCAATCCTATTCGGTAATTGAATTCGGCTAAGTCCGTGTGAAACTCGAAGTTGACCACCGAATTTCCAAATAACAAATATCTTTGATGGTCTCCACACATTCAGAGCATGCGGCATGCACATCCTCGGGGAGAGAAAGTGTGCAACAACTTAAGCCCTATAGGGGCCCACGGAAAGGGACGAGCAACGTATGTTATGTGGGACTCAGATTTCTGTCTCCACGATTGGCGCAAGACTTCGGTGAGTGTTGGTGCTCTGAAGACATAAAAGGAGCAGACTCAAGCCAGCTTCCCTTATTTCTCAAAGTTTGGATTGAAGCCATTTACTTCAATAATCAAAGTTCCAACACAGACTCGCGAACAATATGCGTCTCGTCATTCTGCTCTCAGTGCTCTTTGGTGCTCTTGCCATCGCTGCTCCACAGGACCCAAGCAACTTAGTCAACCCACTGCCGATGAACGAACTCCCAGATCCGGTCAATCAGCCTCTGGTCAATCCACCAACTATGAAGGGAGGTCCTCCACTGCCACCTGTCGATGTCCCACATGAAGTTCAAGTCCCACCCCGGTGCGGAAGTCCAGTGCAGTTCACCAATTGTGTTAAAGTATGTGTCCCTAAGTCCTTCGCTCTTGCGTTGTCTTCAACACAACCTAGAATGTTTGAACCTTTTCATTTGGAAATATGCACATAAGCAGCGTCCATATTTTCGAATTACTTAGGCTGACTATTCAATTGCAGGGTTGCCAACCCTCATCAAACTATCGACCATGCTTGGCAGTAAGTATTCTCCTAAGTCTACCCCCTTGGATACGAAGACTCGGAGAACAACGCATTGATGAATAATGACTTTTGTAGGCATGTTCTCGACTCTGCGGATGAGCACATTTCAAACTCCGCCGTTCAGTCGTTTTCAACAAACGGCAAATTGGCGAAAATATAGGAGTTATCCGCCCATGTTGTAGTGCTATAGCTCTCAATTTAGGTACTAGCTAGCTTAATTTCATCTTGACAAATAATGTTTGAATACTATGATGGTAGCAGTATTTAAATGGTCAAGGTGTATATTCAAGTAACAAATTCTTAGTTATCACCTGGGCAAAATTATAGGGTAAAGATGTGATTCCTGGCAAAGCAGGAGGGAGAAGAGATGTGAGGTGTCAATCAGTCCTGAGGCATCAAATGAAACGACACCTCCAATTTGCAGACATCAAGTCACAGTCACTGCTCATTTACCAGCACATAACGATAGCGAGCTTTACCCTCTTCCATGTCAATGATGACCTGGTTTGCGTCCTCCATTGGACGTTCTTCAATCCACGGTTGAATATTCTTTTCGGCAGCCAGCTGCAACATATCCCGAATTTCATGAGGTGATCCGATGAGAGAACCTGCAAGCGTAATACCGCGGTGAATGAGCGCTGGGATGGGGACTGGTAGCATTCCACCGTCAGGTACGCCGAGCTGGACGAAAACTCCGTTTGCCTTCAGAAGGGTGAAATAATCCGCAAGGGGCATCTTGATATCACGAATTAGTTTGCGGATCAGATCTTTTGCGAGATTCCAACGTACCTTCGGGGAATCCACCGTCGAGATAATCAAATCCAAGGTCGCCGCGTTGGATTTGCTCCAGCCCATTTCCTCTTGAGTCGAGATGTAAAGGTCTGCCCCCATCTTCATTGCATCTTCTTTTTTATTGGAGCCACGAGAGATGGCAACCACTTGGTCGGCACCTAAAGCTTTGGCAAACAAGAGGGCAAAGTGACCCAGCCCTCCTACTCCGATGACGCCGACTCTTTTTCCCGGGCCGCATCCGTGCTTTTTCAGCGGAGTGAAAGTCGTAATACCGGCGCACAGCATTGGGGCAGCAGCAGCGGAAGATAACCCATCCGGAATCTTGATGACGAAGTGGGAAGGGCAGCGGTTATACAAGGCGTATCCACCGTATGACTTCTCGCCGTTCATGAAGACACCATTGTAAGTTCCAGTCCAGTTCTTAGTACAGTACTTTTCCTGCCCTGTGTTGCACTCCTCGCAGCTCTCTACTCGAGACAGACAAGCGTCGCTTTGGGCGCCAACACCAACACGGTCCCCGACTTGAATATCTCCAATAGCCTTGGAACCAACTCGAACTGCCATACCGACGATCTCATGGCCAACTGTGGATATGTATAGAGTCGTCAATGATTTGAAAAATGAAAGGAAATGTGACACAATAAGGCGAGCATATACTCACCACAGCAGGGGAAGTTTGTCGAACCCTTTGGATTATAATCATGTCAGCGGTCTCTTCCATTGTTCTTCCTTTTTTTGAGGGAAAGAGACCACTCACCCAACCACTTCGGAGAGTATGCGTATCCGAGCCGCACACGCCACAATGTGTAATCCGAATATCAACATCCGTCTCTTCCCATTGCTTCGGTTCAAATTCCCACCAAACCATCTTCCCCTCTGTGGCTCGGCAATCCAAGCCAAGCCATCCTTCAAATATTTCGTTGGTTGACATTTTCCAAGGATCGAACCTTGGATCTTTCAAGCTCAAGTCGATGGAAAAAGCTTTTATAACAGGAACAACGACTCGCGTACTCGCATACTAGTTGCTTTAGTGTTTGGTTGTACTGAATCCGATGCGTGATGTCAAAAATTTCTCCCATATTCAGCTATGCATTTCGGAGTTAGTCAAAAAGCCAGGGGTATTCGCCAAGCATCTAGCAGTATTGTACGGAGTACTTCGTACTCGTAGCAGGAATTTTACGCAGTAAAAACAATTTACGGGTAAGGCTTGCGGATATATCCGGGCTCCGTGGCGGATTTCCAGCTAGCAGGTCGAATCCATATTTGTTGAAACTATTCGGATATATGGATTTATATTCTTAATTCGGGCCTAGCGGACACCAGAGCTTTACAGGGCTCTGCAGGCCGCTATCTCCGGCCCAAATCGGACATTATTTCTTTGAAAATACCAACCAGGCTTCTTGTTGTTCGGCTTTAATGTTTTGGACCGTGGCTTCTCCACAGTGTATCCTCATAGATCACATAGACGGCGCCCAATTAACAATTCGTTCAGATATTCAAAGCAATGTGGTGTAGGTTCCACAGTTCAGCTCTAAGCCTAGATGTCTCTTTCCCCCTCTGGACTTCTCTCTAGCCAAGGAGCAGTAGAACAGTATCAAGTATAGTTAAATCTATCGTTTCCCTCCGTACTCAAGTATGTCCTTCTCGCCAGTAAGCCCCACAAATTAAGTATTGAAAGCGTCTATCCAGCTCTAGAGCATCTCATCACAACGAGCTCTGATTAAACATGTCTTATACACCCGTGGACCCTTGGGCCTATTGGACATGTCCGCCATTGTAATAAAGCCTAATGATTCTGGAAATACGGTCTCCGTGCCGGACATCCCGGGCCGGCTTTAGCTTTCGGACATCGACAGGCACGGCCCTAAGCAAATCGTTAGAGGATCAAGGTTGCCATGCAAAACACTGTGGGTGCAGTTCGTATTCATCTTCAGTTACGTTTCAAAATTCACTGGCCTGGTTCGATGTTCCTTCATAAGTTTATCTGAAATCACGCGGCATTCAGCCCTGGAGGGAAAACGTACACCACAAGTGAAATCACGATCCTCTAATCCGCATGCAGATCAAATCCCAATCGTCAAATCCCGAGATGCAAAATTGATTTGGGAACCTGATATCTGAGTTTCGCGTCAACATTCTGACAGACAATAGTTCTAAAGTTTAATACTAAAGCCTAAACGGAAAAAATAAAAGAAAAGAGAGAGAGAGAGAGCCCAGGAGTGAAAATCTTTCCCACTGGCGTTTCTACAAAATCGGTGTCGTTGTTGAATATCATTCAACAACATTCCCCTACTCCTCCCTTTGTTCTTCCTCACGTGGTAGCAATCGAAGGGAAAGATATGAATGCGCGTCGTGGTCGACGAGGCCAAAAGATCTCGGCCTGTGTCTTTTGTTATAAGCGCAAGGTAAATTTAAAATTCCATATTCTCGCTACATTGAACACCCTCTCACTTCACTCAGATCAAGTGCAACGGGGCCAGACCCAGCTGCTTCTGGTGTGAGCACTATAAGATCAAGTGCGTCTATGACAGAGGCAACATATGGCGTTCCCCCTCGAACAAGACAAGTTCCCCTAGTGAATCAAGTGAGGCGTTCTGTCCCTTACCCCGCGACTTTCTCTGACTGTTGGCACCGAGAAAACAAGGAAGATCCTCGCGATGAGGGTGCACTCGCGATGAGGCGCAACGACAACAGTGATACCGCGAATGTCTTGTCACCTAATGTGGACTTTTGCTCAATGCTTCATCCCCCTGATTCCTCAACTGTGGATCAAGAATGGGCTCGATTCCACACTGGACAACTTTTCTCGACAAACATGCTTTGTAGAGATCGTTTTGGTCAAAACAGCTTGTCGTCTTCACCCCTCACTCGAACTCGTATTACTGCAGCCGAGTCACCCACTATCGATGCTGTTACGTTGCCAGATCGAGCCCTTCTCAGAAAGTCTGTATCTTTGTACACAAGATCCATCATACGAGCAACGTTCCCCATCTTGGATCCAGGTCTTTTTGAAGAAACGTTAACAATGGCCTATGGACCAGCTGGTCATGACCATTCTGACGCAACAAGCGCGAAGGCATGTGTGATCGCCTTTTGTATCTTCGCCTATCTGGTCCCTTTGGGTGTTCGAGTGTGCTCAGAATCAGATTTCCATCATTTCACTGCTGTAATTCAGCAATCATTACCTTCAATGGTCGAAGCACCGGCAATTGACGGCTTTCAGACATGCATCTTCTTGGTAGGTCCGCACCATACTTTGCCTTTCTTGTCTTCTTTTCAACCTCAAGACTTAGGCCTGCCCTGGTGTAAAACTAATGCCTTGAAACCAGTTAATATCCCAATTTCTGACCGGCAAGTTGAAATCCGCTACCGTCACAAATTCAATTGCGGCGCATTTTGTCTTTTACATGGGGGCCCATCACGAATGGCCCACATATTCTTCCAACAAAAAGCAAAACACTGGTTCAGATTGTATCAAGGTACATCTACGGAACTTATTTTGGGTTTGCTATACAGTTGACAAAGAGCTTTGTCTTCGGGGATGCCAGCAGCCTGCTCTCAGTGATGATCATTGTGATCTCAATCTCTCATTGGAATACCTCGAGACCGTCTCAAGGGATTTTTCAAAGAATTCGCCAATCGACAAAGTCCATCCAACTTTCTTATTCCCCATTGACATCAAGCTGAGCCAAATCAAATCTCGAGTGTACGAGTCGCTCTATTCGAAGGCTGCATTCCGAAAATCCAACATGGAGCTTATAATGAATATTCGGACTCTGGATTACTCTCTGGAGGCATGGCGCATGGCTGTTCCCGAGATTTGCCGCCCGAGTCTTACATTCAAGGGCATGAAACTGGACCCCGGAAACATCGAGATCAGAGCTTTACTTCTTCGGCTCGACTATCTTTACTGCGTGACGGTCATACATCAGGCTAGTAACCGATGTTTGCAACCCGATATCGCTTTTGATGTAAAGAAAACTGCAAACACTACTAGCATCGCGCTGGCTGTTGAAGCTAGTCGATCCTCATTGAAGAATTTGCAGTCTACTGGTCATATCTTTACCAAAGGAACTTGCTGGTAAGTCCACTTCGCGGCAAACCTTGGTTTTTTCTGAGCTGATATTGAATGCGATGCCTACCAGGATGGTACTTTTTTATCCTCTTGCTGCAACAGTGACTATCTCTTGTAACATTCTCGACAATCCTGCTGCTCAGTCGGCTGCTGATGATTATGAGCTTCTGATCGATGTTCCAAGAATCATCTCCAACATCTCAACAGATATTCACCTTTTGGAGGAATCCCGTCATCTAGATCTGCTGCAATCTTTTGTACGGGAATTGGTTGATGCAACAGGATGTGCCATGTTGAGGACGAGAAAGCGAGTTGTATAATATCATAATCAAAACTATCTCACAAATCTGAAAATCTCTACTCCAAGTGAAATAAGGGAATATGAAATAGAGCGAGGGAGATAGGGGCTACAGCCCACCTGGGCATCTGTCAGGGCTAGTGGCTTTTGTGCCTGAGGGATCAAATCAACCCTGACACCATTCTGCACATTGCTTCTCCCTTTACTCCCTGCTTTCCTTAGCTAAAGGTTGAGATCTTCAGGGTAAAGGATCATAAAGAAGGAGATATTTGAATCTACCGGGCCTTGCACCATCAGTCGATTTTTGTACTTGCTCAAGAAACAATTAAAATAGATATCATAAAAACTAGGAGTATAACTAGGAAAGATGAGACCTGAACATGTTTTAAAAAAGGTAAAGCATAGAAAACCGAAGCTTTCATTGCTCAAGGCATCCAAAACACAAAGAGTATAACAATTATATGAAAAAGAAAAAAAGTGAAATGGCTCCGTTTGAGTCAGGATTAAACAAAAATGAAATGAAAACCAAATTAAATGAATGGAGGGGAGAAGAAAAGCAGAATCCATATGTAATGGAAGATCTGAAGCGACTATTCAGCCTTCTTGGAAGCCTTGGTCCTGAGTTTCATCATGAGGTAGACCGTGGCATAAGAGCTGATAACAAAGATGACGACAATCCCTGCATCGCGCCATCCGTCGAGGTATTTCGGCAAGTTGACACCATACAAGTAGTCGTTTCCTGACCTGTACTCACAGACCTGGCAGCTCTGTGTAGCAGTGGGGTTGACAAGGTTTGACCGAGACCCTTCCCCTTGCAAATAAGAAGCGAGGTAGGAACCGCAGGTTTGACCGTTGGGAGGGTCGAAGGTAGCAAATTCGTTCTCCTTGCAATTGACTTCTGTGTCCCAGATACCGAAAACAAGTAGAGAGCCGGTGACATAGGTGAACGGGTTGAGGTAGTAAAGCCAGTATCGCCAGAAAACGGTGATTTGTGCGTAAGGAACGAGCATGCCACAGCAAGCGAAGATGGTGCCGAGAATCAGGGGATTTGCCAACGCAGCAAATGTCGCGTTCGGGGCGTACGCAGCAATGGCCTGCCCCATCCCGGTGTAAATGAATTCGTACAGCCAGATAACGAAGAAGGAGGCTCCTGCGCGGGTCGATGAGACCGGGAAGCCAACTGTGTAGTAGCAACAAGCGAAGTAAAGAACTGCGCAGAGGCAGAGGTAGGGGAATTCCGAAACGATCAGGCCGGTGACAAATGCCTTCCATGAATACATACGACTCTTCTTCTCGCGAGCGTCGTAAATCTCCCGGCGTGCAATGAAGAGCGGTTGCAATTGACTGATCACACCGGGTGAAATGAAAATGACGTTGTATACGACGAAAAGCCGCAGTTGCAAATCAGTAACTGAATCACCGATACTCCAGAAGGTGAAACCGTTGAAAAGACCCAAGATAATGTGCAGAACGAACTTGTTGTTCACATAGTCGGTATTTCTGTACATAGAAATGCTCATCCGTTTGGTGACGAGCTTGATCTGAGTCCAAAGAGAGGTCGCGAATTCGTTGTTGTCCTCGTCAAACCCAGGGGGTTTGTTAGCTGCACCGGAAACGAGCTCGTCGAGATGGCTGGCCATGTGTTTGTGCTGAGGTGATTCGAGCCATTTCTGATGCCATTCAATCCCAGGAAGAATGTTGCCCGAGACAACATCGATCATGTATTCTGCGGGGTTAGTTCCAGGGGGGCAAGGGGCTCCAAGATTTCCGAAATATTCTTTGATGCAGGATCCATCTTGACCAATTTCGCCGAAGTATACCATTTTGCCACCCTTTGCCAACAAAAGTAGATTGTTGAATTGAGAGAAGAGTTGTGCAGAGGGCTGATGGATGGTCACTAGAACCGCTTGTCCAACATCGGCAAGTCTGCGCAAAAACCGCACGGTATTAAATGCAGACTGACCGTCCAGACCAGATGTCGGTTCATCAAGGAAAATCAAAATCTTGGGCTTCGAGACCAATTCAACTCCAATAGTCACTCGTTTCCGTTGCTCAATGTTGAGACCGGCACCAACTCCGCCAATAAGGGTATCCGAAATATCATGGAGCTCGAGGAGGTTGATAATGGTTTCCACATAAGCCAGCTTCTCTGCTTGAGGGATATGGTTCGGTTGTCGTAGCAAGGCAGAGAACTCAAGGGCTTCTCGGACTGTTGCATGTGGCTCGTGGACATCGAGTTGCTCGCAGTAACCAGAAGATCGTTGGAATGAGATAGGGAGGGGCCGACCGTCTACTAAGATAGATCCATGGATTGTGCCTTCGGTCTTTCGCTGTGCAAGAACGTCCAGCAAAGTCGTCTTTCCGGCACCACTGGATCCCATCAACGCTGTTAGAGAGCCAGGTTCAACCCAACCATACACTTTGTCCAACAGAACTCGGTCTCCCGTGGGCGTTTTGACGGTGTAGGTGAGATCCTTCCAGCTGAAGATAGAAGAGTTTCGTTCCAGGTTGAGATTCTCGTTGTCTTCTTCGGATTTCGTGGCTCCTTGAGGGCCAGATTGCGACTCCTCATCCATGGCTCGAGTGTGATGGTGTCGCTTTTCATATGGGATCAGCAATGAAGAGCCTGACTCAGAACTGTCATTCCAATGCATAGTAGAGACCACAGTGACGAGAACATTGAAGGCCCAGAATGCCCAGATGATACCAAAGTTCCGCCAGATATGAGTGTGAGAATAGCTGAGAGCTGAGAGGTATTGGTCGCCCGTGACGAAATTGGCACCGATCTGGGCGCCCGGTACACCTGAACATGCCGAATGGCTGGTGTTCAGATAACCTTCACCATTGGGAATCAAGTTGGTCGCTGCGCAAGGAATGATCTTTCCGTGGAACTCATTGGCAGCAAGGGCTTCAAACGCATAAGCCATCGGGTTGAGGTAGAAGATCCAGCCAAACCACATGTGCATCTCTGGTCGCGCGATCATGTATCCCGCATAGACCACCAAGGCAGTGACGAGGAATCCTGAGATCTTGGAGGCACCGTCAAACGTTGTGAAAAGAGCTCCAATGCCCCGGAACATTTGCGTCAGGCACATGGTAACAGCAAACAAAACAATCCAATATGTGAAGAATTTGCCCGCGTCCATCTCAAGACCGGTCATGAAGTACAGGATCAATGAGAAGATCGAGATTTGGAATAGAGCAATGGGAACATCGAGAACGATCTGGGCGAAGCAGAATGTGGCAGGGTGGAAGAATGCGAAATGCTTATGCTTGATGAGAACAGGACGACCAGTAAAAGAATCAACCACCTCAGACATCGGTGTCAAAATTCCGTTGTAGAGGATAGCAAAGAAGAGAGATCCAGATTTGAGGAATAGTCCAGTGCTAGTTGCCGAGGCGTCATAGAACAGGGAACCGACAACGAGGGCTTGGATGAGGGAGGAGATCTGTTGAATCGCAAATGTGGCTTTGTCGTTCCAGATGGCCCGGTATTGTCGGGCAATGCAGGCAAGAACTTGGTGGTAAAAGCTGACAGTGAAAACACTCTCTTTATCGAGGGATTTGTGCTTTTCAAGCTTGATAGACTCCTTGAAGGCTTCGGTGTTTTCTTTGGCGATTGCTGTGGTTGGATATTCTTCCTCTTCCTGCACCATTTGCTTGAAAGTCGGGGAGGCTTCATAGAGAGTGCGAATCTCTTTGGCAGTGCGAGGGAAGGAGTGTTCATATCCGGGTCGGATGGCACGTTCTGTGGGCACTGTCACTCCAGTGAGGTAGTCTGCCACGTTTGCACCCTCACGACACACGAACCCAGCATCTTCAAGGAAAGGTCGAGCTTCAGTCATGGGACCGTAGTAGATCTCCTCGCCCTCGTCCAGTACCAAGACTTTGTCAAACAAGTCGTAAATGCCGTTACCTGCTTGGTAGAGGGTAACGATAGAGGCCAGACCAAGGGTATCGGTCAATGTTCGAATGCATTTCGTCCAGTCGAGTGCTGAGCTTGCATCCAAGCCACGCGTGCTGTTATCCCAGCAGAATACTGAGCCACGAGTGGCCATACACTCAATGATCGAAACACGCTTTCTCTCACCACCAGACACACCCCGAATATATTCATTTCCAACCTTTGTGTCAGCGGTATGAGAGATGCCCAGTGACTCGAGGAGGAATTCTTTCATGTCTTCTCGGTAATGCTTTCCCGTTGGTAGATCGGACGGCCGGTTGAACATCACCTTGTTCTTGGTTGCAAAGTCCATGGTGTCGCCAACTGTCAAGGTCGGAAAGAAGATTTCTTCCTCGGTGTTCATCACAATCTGGCCTCGGTATGCTTCAGCCTCTTTGTGATCCATTGTCCCGAAGCGGATATCTCCATCAACAGTGTACGCGCCTCGGCGGTTTGCCAGTAGTTTCAGCAAAGTCGTACAGCCAGACCCAGGACGTCCCAGAACTAACAGCATTTCACCGGGTTTGACGCATCCGTGGCTGTCGATGAGAATTTTGTTCTTTGGCGGGGTTTCGCGAAACCTTTTCCAGTGGTGATTCAAGTCAAATTGGGAGATTGCATTATGGTTGACAGCGGAATCGACGGCAGGAACCTGTGCATTGAGGTTTCGCCAAGTGACACCTAAGTCACGACCCTTCAAGCCAGCTTCGAGTTCTCGGTCTTTCAAGCGATGTACTTTGTGGGCATGCTCCCAGCCTGCAGTCGGTTTATTGGCATTCAAACCAGGACTTTTCTCGTTAAGGGAAAGCTCGGTGGAGACATCATGGATGTCAGTGGTCGTGGCACTTCCATGAGGCTCATGATGAGAGTTGAGGGAGCAGTCATCATCGACGGTAGTAGAGCTTTGATTTGGCTCTTGTCCGGGTGGAAAGTGGAGAGACGCTTCTTCTGTTGGCTTGGGTGAAGACTCCATGGAGAGAAACCTTGGAGTCGTCAATCTAACAGTCAAGATGTTGGTTGGCACATCCTAGCCGCAGGGCTACCTTCTGTTATAAGTATACACAAGGAGACTCGTAGTGGCGCCCTTCACGGATTCCGGCATCAACATTAGAACCAAGTCGGATATAAACGGGACTATCCACAAAACTATCTCTATAGATCGATGATCTATAGATGCCAAGCTCTGTATCATGTGCCGCGGACCTTGGGTCTAGGCGTCGGCTTTACGGCAATATCCACTGGTAGACGGATATACATCCATGCCTCTTTTGATGATATTTCCTCCAGTGCGGCTTTCCGGCTGTGAATTCTCGGCTTGGGGGTAGCAAAATCATCCCCGTCGTCTTAGGAAATATCCTGGAGTACCGGCTTAAAGCAAATTAACTCCGGTGAGGAAAATGCGATACTCCGAGGTATTGAGCGATTACTCCGTGTTGACCATACACTCATCCGCTCTCCAGCCTCTTTGTCACACTATTTACCTTTCCTCATGTACCGCAGAGAGCCAATAACTTTAGAATTCGCGATTGCTTCTCTCTTTTGCTCTCGTCAGGCTCTGGGCCCTCTTTTGCCTATATGGCCGCATCCACATACAGTACGACTTTCGGGGTTCCCAGGCGTACGCGCCTGAGCCCCAGAGCTACCCCGAACCGCACCCTATGTAAGTTGCACCCCAAGTAAGCTCCGAGCCGCACCCATTCCATCACAGTCGCATCCGACTTTACCGAACCGAACCGTATCAAAATAAAACCGAAGCTCAAGCTACACACTCAAAAGTGAGAAGGGGATTAGTTTTTACAATCATTTCCAAGACTTGCTTCCCCTGTGTCATACCAAGCATGCATCTTGACATCTCGTTCTGTCCCTCTACAATTTACATACACTTTGAATCCAACAGCTACAATGTGCGTGTCGGTGTGGCGATCAAGTATAGAACGCTCTTTTAATCGGTCTGCCTTGCTGGCGGAGCTACCATTTTTGGAAAGCAACTCCACTCCCTCCGCACCGAAAAAGGCAATCGGCTCAACCCCCGCGTTAATCGCTATGAATATTATATGGTTCGTACTGAGTCTGCAGGTAGCTCTGGAGGTGTGGAGAACTGAGGATTTTGCTTTTTTCTTTTGGCGGGGGTTCTTAAAACGCTGTTCTCTGTCCTTCTTCCTTGCCATCATCTGACATCTTTCATCTGCAAAAGATGTCTAACGAAGTGCAGCATGGCTCTGAGGCGTCGTATTCTAAAGCGACAGAAGAGCAATGGAATCACCCCCGTTCCAACATACTAAAAACACTGGCAACTTTCTGGAGCTTTCTAGTGATGGGTGCTAATGATTCTGCATACGGTGTAAGTTCTCAGTGCAATTCTTTGCTGAAAGTCCATACTGACGAAACCCCGCAGCCGCTTCTTCCATACGTACGATATCAAGATTTCTCCTGCATCTTCCACTTCTAACAGATCTTCAGCTCGAAACTTATTATGGCATCTCCTACACAGTCGTCTCGCTCGTGTTCCTATCCCCCGCCGTGGGTTATATAGCTGCAGCGATCATCAATGACCGAGTCCACTGTGCCATAGGTCGACGGGGTGTGGCATTTGTGTCATCAGCTTGCCATGTCATAGCATATATCCTGAATTGTGTGCACCCACCATTTCCCGTACTGGTTGTGGCATTCATTTTCGCCGGTCTCGGTAATGGACTTGCAGACTCAGCGTGGAATGCTTGGATCGGAAATCTGGACAATGCAAACCAGCTGCTTGGCTTGCTTCATGGGGTCTACGGCATAGGAGCTGTGATAAGTCCTGTGATTGCATCATTTTTGATCGCTGATGCCGGACATCCATGGTATTACTTTTACTACATCATGGTATGTTGTCCCCAGCATCTCCTGCTCAGTGCGGCGCCTTTGACCTTTTTCCTAACCACCGATTAGATTGGCGGCGCAGTTATCGAGCTTGTGTTTACTGTAGCATGCTTCTGGGACTCGGATGGAGCTTCGTTCAAAGAGTCCAGAGCGCAAGAGCCAGGTGGGGATGCGGATACGGGTGGTCTGCGGAAGATCCTGTTCACCATGCCTTCTGCTAGGGTCACTTGGATCTGCGCTGTTTTCCTTCTTGGATACGTCGGCATCGAAGTCGCTGTCGGGGGGTGGATCGTGACATTCATGAAAGAAGTGCGACACGCCTCCCCCTTCGATAGCAGCATGACATCGACTGGATTCTGGCTTGGAATAGCAGTCGGTCGTATTGTCCTCGGCTTTGTGACTCCCATGATCGGAGAAAAGGTTGCTATCTCGGTAAGTGGGCAACTCTGATTCTCTACATGAGCTCAAAGCTTACTGTTTCAAAGGCCTATATCGCGCTCGAGATTGGATTCTGCATCATCTTATATCTGGTCCCTAACTTCTATGCTGCGGCAATTGCCGTGTCCCTGCAAGGCTTCTTTTTGGGTCCTTTGTTCCCTGGAGTTGTGGTTGTCACCACTAAGCTCTTGCCAAAGCACCTCCATGTCAGCGCCATTGGATTCGCTGCCGCTTTTGGAGGCGCGGGTGCTGCGGTTCTCCCATTCATCGTCGGTGTTCTCGCAGAAGCTAGGGGTGTTCAGGTCCTTATGCCGTTCATCATAGCGCTCTCGGGCGCTATTTTGATACTGTGGAATCTCTTGCCAAAGATGCCCAGGCGTGTCAGACTACCGGTCAATAACTCGGCTGTGGTAAATGGTTACGGGACTTGCTAGTTACTATGATAGTTGGGGTACGTTGGACTTCTGCCCTAATGTGATCTATTCAAGGAATGGTCCGGTCCAGATTACTCGTATACTATTTTTTTCTACGCAAAAATGATTTTCAATCATGATGTACTTCGGCCTTTTTTACCAAATGAGAAGCGAGATCTCTACAATGCGGGGTTTCATTTCTCCAAATAGTACGCAGTACAAGTACTTAAGTATGACGAATTTGCCTTGCATAAATTTCAACCCTGGATCTCGATTTAGGACCGATCTCCATCTCACCGCAATTACTTCGTATGGGGCACTCATATATTCATAACTTTGGCAACAATGATCAGGGTCCAGATCATGTGTGAGCGCTTCATGTATCCAGATTTGCATATCTAAAATTATGCAGACTGTGATTGGCTGCCGAACAGGCGCTAAAATGAGTCACGATGAGTCCCATGGATTGTGGAGTGCACTGACTGTGGTCCGCCAATCAGAAGAGGCTGACGGTGGAGCTCAAATCCCACCTCGGGCAAGTCCGCCCCCTGCGCCTTCCTGGGCCTTTTATATGGCCTGAACTCCCCTCGATTCTTTCCTCAGGATCCCCGACTCCCAAGTCGACTCTGCCAGAGTTACTACTCCCCTTCTTTCAGTTGAGCGTCACGGGTCTGCAAAGACCCGTCTAAAGAATCCAACAATGTCCGCCTGCAGTGCTTCCAGCGCCGCGGCGATCTTCCAGACCTCATTCCACTGGTTCCAGCCCGCTCAACAGTGGCCTGCAGGAACGCCATCAAGGGCCTGCTGATTATTCGCAATGGACGAATTACCCTCATGACTACAACATGGCACCACCGTGGGAAGGCTTTCCAGCGGGGGTGCCGGTATGTCATTCCTTCGATACCCTCCAGTCGGCACTCTGGACAGAACCCGATTTGTCCCTTGATACCGACTGGAACTTCCTATCCTTGAATCCAACTACGCCATACCCCATCACTTTCGACGATATCCCCGTGAATACGGGGTACGATACCCCTACTTTCAACTCTCTGTCGGATTCCGGATCAATCGAGCATCACAACTTTGTCCCCGCTTCTCTGGCTCCTAGCTCAGCCAATTCAGGTAGGATTTGATTCCGTCGAGTGTTGGAGGCTTCTTTCTAACTTTCACAAGATGGTCATTCGCAGCCTTCTCCTGTATCGCAATTCCCTGTCCCCGTCTCGACTTCCACTTCTACTTCCAGCCCCGCCTCTCAGGACGACGTTTTGAGTCGTGTTGATTCCTCGCGTGTGGAGAAGCGGAAGCTGAACACACTGGCGGCGCGGAGGTGTCGGCAGAGACGGGTTGATCGGATGAAGGACCTGGAAGATGAATTGGAAAAAGTCCGAAAGGAAAGAGATGAGTGGAGATTGAAGTGCTCAAAGCTTGAAGGTGAAACGGATGCTTTGAAGGGTCTTCTCTCTCGTAAGAGCTAAGAATCTAGCTGGATGTTGAGAATGCTCATTTTGATACTGAATTTGATTGGGATCGGTGATAATTCATTCTTTTCTTGTGTCATGCTCAAGTGCTTTGTAGATTTGGTCCCGAGATGAGTAGATGCGTATGAAACTGTCACATGCAATAAATCCTGAGGCTGGGGTATGGACTCTTCCCGTCCCCGCAGACTTGCATCGGTCCACCCGTTCCAGACCATGCATCTCATACGGAGTACCCTGGGCAGACAAATATCATACGTGGATCTCTTGGCTGGACTGGCTTCCGGACACGGGTACTTCCTCCTCTGTTCCATTCGATGCGATGCTCCTCATGGCTACAAGAGGGGTTATCCAAATGACCTCTATTCATGCATGCATCTGTCTGACGTTTACATCGTCGAATCCCAACTCGGGAAATCTCCCGAAGCCTTGGCTTAACGTGTGCGGTTGAGAGCTTTCTCCAAGAGATATCTTATTCGGGTCGAGTCAAATGGACCCGTGGCAATCGCCATGCCAAGCAGTACTAGAATCGTACACTCCGTACTCCGTACCTTGTGTTACGTTACAGATGAATGCAATGCAAAGGAAGGTTACAAGGTTTTTCCAAGGCATTTTCCCTACTTTTGCCGAAGGGGAGATGCTTGGCAAGGCAGTCATGAAGACCATGGCTCATGGGTATGTTGTACAATCAAGATATTCATCTGGGCAGTAATCAACCATCACTGTCACTCTGCATCGAATACCCGGGGACAATCCTCCGATTGGACTTGGCCATCTCTCTCTGCATGTTTTCAAGGACCAACTGCCGATGACTGCATGCCGGATTGCCAGATTTCTCCCAATTCCATAGCAATATGCTCGATTGAGTGTGGCTACAATACTTTAGTATCATCACGGCATGAGTTCTGATGTAGTCTATCTCATCAGATACTGCAGACCGTTCTGCATTCGGCCAATATGATACTCGCACTAACAACCCGAGATGAACGACATTGCGAACATATACCATAAGCGAAGGAAGTCACTCTTAAACTTAGAAGCTTAGAAGCTACATCCTGGAATCTAAGGTGAGATTAAACTCCACTGTTTCAAAATAGCGCCAGGTCCCTGAGTCCTGACGAATGTCTGATTGAACCTGGATGTAACCACCAGGATTGAACTATGTATATGAGCCGTGACCCTTCAGCCGCAAGGTATGGCCGATGACGACTTTCGTCATTCCCTTGCTTCAAAAGTCTGTAGTCCAACACTTGTTGGGCAGTGTTTTTACAGTTCGGGTATATGACGGGGATTCCCCTTGTCTTGGGTAGTCTTGTTGACTTGTAGTTACGCATACGCGTAGTTTAGTAGTACATGCATGTGCAGTCTGCGCGTCGGGATTTCAGTCTGAGGCTCTATGTATACTTGGTGCCATTTTTGTGCCTTGTGGGGTGGGACAACGGCCATTGCTTCGTTTTGGGAAGGTGTTGACTGCCCAGGTGTTGCTGCTGTTGCGCTTTGGTTTATGTAGCGGGGGATGCAGCTGATGATGATATTGAGGCTAAGATTAACGCAATTCCTATTTTCTGCTTAGTTACTACTTAGGCATTGTTTGTTTCGAAGTGCTGCTTTTCCTGTCATCGCTTAACTCTTCTCCTTTTACCTCTTTGGTCCACTGATGCTTCCAAGGTTAACGATAATTTATGATTACCAATAGGATCCAAGTTGAAGATGAATAAAAGTACCAGGCCTCGACGTTGGGAAAGAAATCTTGTCGACATTTCTGCATGCAGCACGCCTGCGATCACGATCTCTTCATCTATATCACCTATTCCAGCCACATTACCACTCTGTACTTAAGTAGTCATCCTCCCGAACATATCCATGAAATATCACCGCAACTAATATGTCATAATCTGCACGATGTGCCAAGATGCGATCGAGTAGCCACATAGCCACGCGGTGAATCGGGGAATAGAGCTTCATGCAGTAAGGGTATTTTGACAGACGTGTTGCCTGATGCCCATCTCCGGCTGAACTGACCTCCATCTGGACTTCAGGGCATGACAGGGGCTTAAGATGCGTGGCTTATACCACGAAATCAGGTCCTGAAGTGCTTGGCGATCTACTTTTGTCCCGATCGAGCAAGGATGTCGTTGCAAACGCGCCCAACATGTTTACAATACAACCACGATCTTAGAAAAAGCACAAAGACTCAATTCGCGGGTCTTTGGGAGTGTAACGTCACAGAAACAGGTGACTTTTTACTCCATACGGGCTCTTTTCCATGACGTGTGTGTATTCGTACTCTTTTCCAAGGTTTAATTATGAAACTCTTGTTGTTTTGCTTTGGGGACCCTTTTTTTATGTTTCACCAAACGTGCAGCCATAGCCGCTTTTGAATGGATTGTATGATTAGTACCTAAAGTACTCCGTAGTTAGCTGCAGCAATACGAACCGCGTGGGGAGACTCTTGGCTGGCTGACTGTGTTGAACTGTTGGCAGTGGGGAGTACATTTACCAAGTTAGTTAGGGTATTAATCTTTTTTTGGCCAGCAGTGCTAGTTACTATATTTCTCACACTAAAGGGTTAGTTCGGGATCTGGGCACAATCGGCAAGGGACTTAGGGGGCGCGAACTAACCGAGTTCAAATTCGCCGATCACGATGAGATTGATTTTGTTATTTTCCCAAGTTGCTACTCGTATTCGATGCCCAATTTTGACCAGTATTGACCACTTCTGACCAGTTCGTTGGCATTCTCTAGTAAGACCATAGGCCAAGTCCATTAACACGTTTAGTACATCTGATTGATCCACTCTGTCTGGAAAAGACACGCCTCAGCCGTGAGCTGAGACATGTCACCGCTCATGTCCGGTAGAATCTATTGGCCCCATACTTAAGTACCAGGGTGGAATTTTTAGATCCAACCGTCTAATGCCTCTATTCTTTAGGGACGCTTTGACGAGGTTTTATTTAGTAGCTTTCTTTTTTTCTTTTCTTTAATATCTTTAGGCCTTTGTCACGCAATATTCCATTGTCTTCTTATAATTGGCACCCCCACACTGTACTTGGACTACTATAATTCTTCACTTTTCACAGACCGGGGACTCTTGCCTCAACACACAACTCATGGGAACCCCACTTACAGGAACGGTGATCATCACCGGTGGCAATGGGCTGTTAGGCTCAGAGATTGCCATCGAGATTGCAAAGAAACAACCCTTCGTCCATCTACTGTTGACAGCCCGCGATATCAGAACGAATGATGTGCGGGATCTCACCGGCAAGATCCGTCTGATCGGCCCCAGATCGATCGAGGTGCTCGCCTTAGATCTCACCGACCTAAAATCAGTGGCCAGCTTTGCCAAAAATACTGTCGACCGCGTTCGATTCAAAGACATTCCGCCCGTGACTAGCCTGATTCATTCCGCTGTCGCAACCTCTTACACCGTGGATGACCTCACCTCCGACGGATACGACCCGGTGTATCAAACCAATTGTTTATCTCCCTTCTTATTGACCATCGGATTACTGGAGGCTTTCCGAGCCGGTGATGGCACACCTAAAGGGGGAGCGAAGGTGATCAACATCGGCTGCTCGGCCACCTCGAGTGGACGACTGGACTACTTCGACCGCGATCATGGACGAAACGGACGTCATCTGGGAGACACGCTGAGCGCCAAGGAAGAAAACATCCGCTTTGGAAGCAGCAAGTTAATGGCGAGCGTTGCATTATATGCGTTGAGGCGGAGTTTGATCTGGGTGAGTTTCAGATCCGTCGGCGTCATCCGAATCCCTTCCAATCACACTTAAGTATATCTTTTGTTGGTTTCTCTAACCATCTATATATAGACCGGCAACATCTCGCTAGACATTTTCACCTTGGATCCAGGAGGCATGACTGGACCCAGCAATCTTCGAACGGGGGCCCCCATGTCCGTGCGAGTCGCACATCAGACTCGGTCTGGCCTTCGGCCCTTCTTGCGAATGGTCTCCCGAAGCTCCATGAACAAAGCCAGTGTTCCGGCCAAGGCAATTGCCCGAGTAGCCTTCCAGATTGATTCGGTGGAGAACCTGCAGAAGGAACGCTACTATATCTTGGACGCCGATTACGAAGCTGCCTCTGTGCTGTCCAGCTTACGGGATTCAGAACAGGTGAAGCGGTTATTATTACAGATGATGCGACAGGTGGAAGTGGAAACGAAAGAGGTGGAATCCCCTGGTCCTGTTCGACCGCGATTGAGCATGATTGCTCCTCCCATTGCGCTATGAAGCCCCCAAAAATGATGATTTAGCGATTTGTATATAGCCCAGCGATCATTGTCATTGTCATTTACCATTTACCATTCACTATGAATCTATGGAATAGAGAAATAGATGTGTAGAGAAGTAGAAGGGTAGTGTATACTTGTCCCGTTGCGGAAGACCGGATTTGGTTCAAGGCACACCAATCACCAATCTGACACTTTAACACTTCGATCTGATCTGACACTCTTTAACCTCCCTTCTTCTCTTCCAATTGATGTCCTATATTCCATTCGGGGTAAGCACTAGGCACCCTGGCCTCCGTTCCTGGGCGACCTTGGCGTGAAGTCCCCGCCATGAACCGACACGTCCTAGAAAAGGGCCCTGCCTACAGCAGCTCAGCCTTCACAATTTCACCTAACAGGTAAATTTCCACCAAACGCCCATTCCAATCGAGCCTAACAAGCCTCCCAGATTTCAGCCCCGGTCGCAACCGGCACTTCGGTCCCGCCGACTATTCCAGCGTCTATGCCTACTTGGCGGCGTGTCGCTGATCCTCATCCTCCTCATCTTCCCTTCCTGGCGCGTCGCCATCCTCCCAACCCTCTCTCTCGGCCTACTATCCTCCCCAAACGATCTCCACCTCCAAACAGTCCGCTACTATGACCTCTCCGAAGTCCAAGGCTCAGAAAAGGGCTGGGAGCGCGGAGAGCGCGTCCTAATGTGCACCCCGCTGCGTGATGCCTCTTCGCATCTCCCCATGTTCTTCTCCCACCTCCGGAACTTGACTTATCCGCACGAGTTGATCGATCTGGCTTTCCTGGTCTCCGATTCCCGGGATGACACCTTGACCATGCTCTCGCATATGCTGGAGGATATACAAAATGACCCGAATCCGAAGATGCCCTTCGGCGAGATCTCGGTAATCCAGAAAGACTTTGGACAAAAGGTCCAGCAGGACGTGGAAAGTCGGCACGGTTTCGAAGCCCAGGCCAATCGCCGGAAACTCATGGCCCAGGCCAGGAACTGGCTGCTGAGCGCTACGCTACGGCCCACCCATAGCTGGGTCTACTGGCGAGACGCGGATGTGGAAACGGCGCCTTTTACAATTATCGAGGATCTCATGCGACATAATAAGGATGTCACTGTGCCGAGTGAGTTGCATTCCTTATGCGCTACAGAGCTATACTAACTCGCGTAACAGATGTGTGGCGACCACTTCCAGATTGGCTCGGCGGAGAACAGCCCTACGATCTGAACTCGTGGCAGGAATCAGAGACTGCGCTGGCTTTGGCGGATACACTCGATGAAGATGCAGTTATTGTGGAGGGATATGCCGAGTACGCGACGTGGAGACCTCACCTTGCGTATTTGCGCGACCCGTATGGTGACCCTGATATGGAGATGGAGCTGGATGGTATTGGCGGCGTCAGTATCTTGGCCAAGGCCCGCGTTTTCCGCGCTGGTGTACACTTCCCGGCATTTAGTTTCGAGAAGCATGCCGAGACAGAAGGGTTTGGCAAGGTATGGATATACGCCGATAGCCATGGTTACCAATGCTAATGAAGTACAGATGGCGCGCCGAATGAAGTTCTCGGTGGTTGGTCTGCCGCACTATACGATTTGGCATCTTTATGAGCCCAGTGTTGATGATCTCCGTCACATGGAGGAAATGGAGCAGGAGCGTCTGGCTCGTGAACAGGAAGAAACAGAGCGAGCTGGGCGGAAGGAGAGTCCCCCGCAAGACCATGTCGCCGACAATGTTGGTGAGCAATTGCAGGGCTCTGCCGAGGGTCCGGCTGCTCATCCTGCGAAAGACGAGTCTCCGAGTGACTCGAGCAAGCAAGCTGAACAAGCTGCGAAAATTGAAGCGCAATGATTATCACTCGGTCATGTTTTACCTTGCATTTTTTTTTTTTTTTTTTTTTTTTTTTTCACATTGGGTTATCTGAGTCTAGCACAGCATACGGTTGGCGCGTACTATGGCCAGAGCAGAGGCCTGGATAATATTTGAGTTTAAATCAGTGGACTCTGTACTCTAAACGGAGCTTTAAAATGATATTGTATGAATTGTATGATTTGTATGACATGTCAATGTTCGTGTTAAACGGTGGTCCGTGTGTTATCCACTCGCGTCAACGCGTCTTCTTTCTTCCTACTACTACTCGGTACAATACTACACAAAATGTCCACTCAAGACTCACGCAGTATCCTCTTCACAAATACCCTTCCTCAACAAGGCTTTCGACTCCTAGAACTAACCCCTGAGCTGGAAAAGCTCCTAACAGCAAAAGATGCACCAACGTAAGCACCCCAAACCCACCCTGCAACCAATCTAACACCCCCAGACTCGAACTCAAATCACCATCTGCCGCACTCGCCAAAGCAGTAATTGACCCAAGCGCCCAAGACTACATCAACCTCTGCACAGCAACGTCCACCTATCGCATCCGCCAAGTTCAATCCTCAAACTCCATCCACGTCCTCCGACCCAGCCACGGCGAGATCTCCCAGGCAGATATCAAGGTCGTCGAAGACGTCGAGACAAGTCTAGATCTACCCAATGAAGCAGTGACAACTATTGCGAAATGCTCATCTACACTGGAGCTCCATGTCCCGCCCGGTGGGTTCTCCGCAATACCATTTCTGGAAAAGAGTTTGCGGCTGTATGATCGTCGTGATGATGAGGATATCCCCATGGATGAATCCGGGCCTCTAGGCGCGCAAGAAATGCGCCAGGTGCGAGAGCAAATGTGTCTGGATATCCCTGTGTCAACGGCACAGTGTGAGCAGGGATGGGTGGATCTGTGTGCTTTTGTGGATGGGGGCGAGGAGGTAGCGGGGTGGAGGCCTTCTGCGCGGGCACGACTGCATGTTTGGAAAAGTTTGGTTGAGGGCGCGGTGTTGCAGGGGATTGATCTGGAGAAACAGTTTCTTGTGGGGGATTTGTGGAAGTCTGTTTTTGATGATGAGCAGGATGCTCCTTTTCCTCGGGCTTTGCTGGATGCTGTTGTGAGACGCATTTGTGTTGAGGATGAGAGGCCTGCGTTGGCGGATGAAATGAAATGTGAGTTGGGTTTGGGGATGTGCTGGTGCTGGCTGATGGCTGATGGCTGATGGATTTTAGGGGCAAGCTTTGACAAGACTGAATGTACGCGGTGGGTTGGTGAGACCTGGTTGGCTGCGAATGCTCACAGTGTTTCGTCTGCGGTTGGGAAAAGTGAGTTTATGCGGGCGTGGAAGGACTGTCTTCCTGAGTCTTGGAGAGAAGATGTGGCTCTGTCGAAATTGACGGTAAGTCAAATGATGCTTGGGCTGGTGATATGGCTAATGATGACTGTTCTAGGATGGATGTTACAAGAGTCCTGACCCTACGACGATTTATTATATTGTGGAATCACAGCGCGAAGACACCCCCAAAGCTGCTGCTCCTGGGGCAGCTGCGGCAAAGGCCAAGAACTCCCGGAATTGGCATGAATTGCTGAAAGCTCGTCGTTGAAAAAAAGAGAGAAAAAAACGCACTTGCTGCGTGAATGCCATGGCACCCGATCTATGATGCAAGGCAGATCTAGAAACATGATCTTGTCTGCTGTTCAAAATCGCGTTTATCCACATGTCTCCAAGAGACATGGGATAATCATGTGAGAAAAAAAAAGAACCCCCGAGACGATGCGAAACGAAAAGAAATCAACACCAGGCGTACTTCTCGTTCAACCACCATTCGACGTCTTCGCCCAGTCCTTCAGCCTCGCCTGTCCACCGCAAGCTAGCAACGCTATCCTTCTCGCGATGCACAAGCTCCGAGGTCGGGTCCACCAACGCCATTGCCTTCTGTAGCAAAGGAGTTGGATTCCAGAAAACAACCTTGTGCATATTCCACTCGTGTGCCTCGTGTTGGGCTCGTCGCAAGATAGCAGCCATGGCCTGGATGGTGGTCTGCTCTTCAGTTGGTGATGTTGGTTCCTCATACACCCACCGAAGAATGTAAAGTATATTGTCTTCGGGAACATCGTCAAAGACCCGATTCCAGGCGCAATAAACTCCAGCCTTGTCAACGCTCGCGCCCTTGACAACCGGGGGAGAGCGCCCCGGGAACAAATTCTCAGCATAGAATTCCTCGCGCGCCCAATGCCAGAGGAAATGATCAAAATTAGGCACAATAGCAATCTTAGCCACAGCCGACTTCTGCGACGCAGCCAGCATCCGATCGTGCAATTTCCCCAACACCTCCTCACTGCACAAATTCTTCTGCACATCCTCGGCAAATAATTCCCTAGCACCCGTATCCCCACCTTCCTTAGCAGCCACCGACAAATGCGACGACGCAAAAGGCCTCCAGCCAAACTGCGCATAGAACTTCTTCCCAATATCCGAAAACAGCACCGTAAACACAGACCTCCCCCTTTTCTCCTTCTCCATCTCCCAGGTCTCCAGCTTTGTACTCAACTCCTCCATCATCCTCTTCGCATACCCCTTCCCCCGGAACTCCGGTCGTGAAAAAACACTCCCAACCCCATGCGTAGCAACCTTCTCCACAACCCCTCCATGCGCCAGCAACGCAGTCTTGCGGTAGGATTCACACGCACTCAGAATCGTGCGGTTATCCTCGGCTTCGTGCCGGGATACCAGGACCCAGCATGTTAGACCGTCGCGGGTCAGGCGCTGCGTGAGAAGATGGTTCTCGCGAGCTATGTAGGTTTCCAGGTCCAAGGGACCTCTCCATTCTCTGCTATTTAGCTTAATTGAGGCTATTCGCTCTGAGGGAGTGGCTGGGACTAGGATTAGGTCCGGGGATTCGCCGTCTGGTAGAGTGCGGGGCTCTGCGGCAATCATGGTGAAGATATGAAGATTTGAGTCGGTTTCAATCTTTGGATTGTGATGTGAATGGGAGATGTGTGATGTTTGGTGTCTGTGTATGCAGTTGGGGTCAGACTGCAGAGATCATAAGAAGCAAGAAGTCCCGAGAGAAATCCGGGGTCAATTAAAGCGGGTCGAACAAAAGAAACAAACGGTCACCGACGGGGCCCCGAAGCTGTCATTTCTCTTTTTTCTCCAATGTCAATCATGACTGGGCTTAGAGAACCGGTCACACGAACTTTAGGACGTCGCACTCTTTGATTCGTGTATTGTCACGATCCGGGCCGGAGTCACCTACTTCGAATGGATCTCTTTGTCACCGGCCCGACGGCAAGCGATGACAAGCGACGTTGCATCACGATTTGGTCTGGAATTTTCCCCAAAGACGAAGCTATACTTTCGGGTTTGACGTAATAGAGGGTGTAGAGTCATGTGAGCGATTATGTCACTGGCTTGGAGGGCTACTCTGTGCGGAGTATAGAGGTTAGTGTCTATAGATCTCGGGGTCTTCGCGATGCATCCATGTATCTATAGATGGGGTCAGGCGACCGTAGACATCATAGGTATGCTTTGGAAATGTGTCTTTGGCTGTGCATACTTCCCAAATATCCACACGTGCTACATATTAGTCCTATCCATGCTCGGTGCAATGCACTTCGTATTGACACTAGTATTCCGATGATGGAGTCAGAATCTACTAACAGGGAGCTTAAGGTCTGTGGCATTGAAAGACAGACTGTCCCCATGCTCAATCTAGAGCAATGTCAAATCATGAAGTCCGAAGTTGTAGACCACTCCGTACTCATTAGTTAACTACTCCGTACATTAACCTCAGAAATAAGCCAATATGATTTATGATCTGTCCAAATTTATAGAGATAAGATGCCTCACATTTCACGCATATCCCCACTGCAACTTGGACTCAACATGATCAATCTTTCAATCTACGAGTAGTTTTATGACTGCCCAGGTGCTCGGGAATGATAGTCGTGCACAATTTGATACATCGATGTCTTTCAGCTAACTAAGGTATCTATCAACACTTGAGCAGCCATCACCAGCAGTGTCAAGTACAGAATACTCTAGATAGAGATGTTCATACTGCCAGCGCATACCGCACATACATCTACCAATGAAACGTTCAAGCCCCTCCAGATAAGCAGCCATGTCACTTTAACAGAATCCCCAGACAGGCTTCAGTTCTGACCAAACCCCTTAGAATGGGTGGAAATTGTGATCTTTGCCTTACTTCTGTAACTCACTACTCCCGCGGTGAACATGGCCCGTCTGAGCAAGAACGCCATGAACTATTCCATCAGCCATGCCCCACCTGCTCTGCCGTAGACTCACAGGCAGATTTACTATGCGATCACTGTCACCACTTACGATTGAGACATCTGGTAAGATGTGTGGACCCCGAGACTCGGAGCAAATTCTTATTTCCCTTGCGTAGGGGTCTGGAGGATTCTGTCAGGACTGAATGTCCGTTTTGTCGTTTGATCAACCATCTGATCATGGTGGGGTTGAATGATGACCAAATTTCGGAAGTGAGGGCAGCAGATTGCGATATCGTTCTATACCCAGGACTGCCTCAAGACTCACAGCCAGATTCTAGCGTTTTCTCTGCTGAAATTTGGGCTCATTGTCCTGAAGATGATGGAGTGGCAACTATCTGGGCTGGCGATCTTCATATAGATGTTGAAAGTTGTATGACATTCTGTCTTTCCTGAGATGCATCACATGCTGACGGAACTATTGAAGCTCCCACTGCATCCCCTGTTGGGGAAATGGTATCTCTAGCCTCTTTAATGGGCGGGATAAACGAATGCTACGAAACACATAAAGAGTGTCAGCAGAAATGCAGTCTCCCTCCCGGCTTCCGGGTCATCGACGTACATAAGCGATGTCTTGTTGAAAAACGCGATTGTCGCTTCGTCGCATTGAGTTATGTCTGGGGCTCGAATCCCCAGCCAGCACTGCTTGCAGGCACCCGTGCCGAGATCGACGAGATGAAAAGCTATGGTGGTCTCCCTGCCTCACGGATGCCCAAAACCATAGAAGATGCAATTGACATTTGCATTCGAATGGGTGAGAGGTATCTCTGGGCCGACAGGCTCTGCATCATCCAAGATGACCCAGAGGACAAGAAACATCAAATCAAAGCCATGGGCGATATCTACTCCTCTGCGCAGATTGTGCTTGTGGCTGCCTATGGCGATAACATGGAATTTGGGATTCCAGGCATCCGCACCCCAAGAAAAATAGTCCAACACAGTGAGAATTTCCTCGGTTTGCGAATCACCAATCTCATTCGAGATGTTAAAGATGATCCCCTTGACCTGTGGGCTACTCGCGGATGGACATACCAAGAAGCCGTCCTCTCAAATAGACGACTCTATTTCACAGACAATCGGGCCTTCTTCGAGTGTGAACGATCGATCTGCCACGAGGATCAGTTCAATTCCGAAGAAAGTCGAAACGAGCTCTTCTCCACCAGGCTGATTATTCCCGAGGACCGTTCCCGTTTTCAATCCTTCGCGCGTCATATCAGGCATTATACTTCCAGAAACCTCACTTACCGATCTGACGCTCACAATGCGCTCTACGGTATTTCCTCGTCATTATACAAGGAAGCTGACGCCTTCGTCAACGGGCTGCCAGTAGCTGACTTTGACCGTGCCTTGTTATGGTACCCTGACATTGGCAAGAATATGATAACACGCCACGAAGCCCAGGGAGAAATCCTACCATCGTGGTCGTGGTTATCAGTCATGGGCCTGACCGATCCAGTTCACTACCGTGCATCAGAGTTTTACGGATCTCTAGTCCCTTGGTTCCAGATAAATGGCCATAAAACTTCCACCGGCACCATGGAAGCCTTCAACATCCACCCAGGCACGAACCCGGATAGTGGTTGGCAGGTTTACATGGCAATAGCAATTGCGGAAGGATGCGTAAGCGCATCCCTTGACTTTTCATTGACGACCAAAACCTTTCCAGCTGTGCATGATAAGTTCAATGCCCGCTGGCCAGATTACCATTCATTTCGCAGGGACTTGATCCCGCTGACTATCAAGACGTCCGAATTGCCACATGACACACCCACACACGCAGCAAAGCAAGGCGTTATCGCAACGAGGTCTCAAACCGCACTTCTCAAAGTGAGCCCAAGATCCTCTTCCTCCTTTCACATCATCAATCCAGCAGGAGATATCATCGGCGGACTCTGTGGAGACGCGGCAAAATTAAGAGACGCCGTTTCTTCGGGATATAACTCGAGCACTGAGTTCGAATTCATCGCTCTCTCACTTTCTGGAACTAGACCTTATCCTGATTACTCTGGAGATCTGGCTCAGAAGAGATTTTCTGATTCTGATGGGAACTATTTGGACAAGATTCCTGTTGTGAACGTGTTGATTATTGACAGCGTCGGGGAACTTTCACATCGTCGCGAGCTGGGCTGGATATACCTTATTGACTGGGTCAGACTGCGACGAGAATGGAAGGTCATCGTACTCGGGTGATAATTGAAGTAACTGGAATTTATACGTCTCCATCCACGGTACTGAGCACGGTATCCTGCCGAGATCCGTGGACTGAATTCCCCGGGCTTGGCATGATATGGCTTGTGTTGATTGGTCGTAAATGCTCCACTACCTATGCTGAAACGTCCATTGCTGACCGTCAGCAAATAGTCGAAGATATCTATGAAGCACAGGTGCCACGTATTGGTGTGGCTTTGGTCCACAATACCCCTCTTAGTACAATTGGGAGTCAAGACCAACGCTTTGGGTCTTGCATATATAAACCCCAATCAACCTCAGGACTGTGAAATATTTAAGTATACTTGCTGCATCCTCCGTCTATCTTCAACTAATATTCACTTTACCACTTGATTACTTGAGCCAAGCTCAGACACCGGTGCGTGCAATTTTATCTCGATTCTAAAGTTCTATATGAAATCCTGAAGTCATATCTTGACACATGATAGACAGACTCCTCAACTATAATCAACCAGTCCCCTGAGGTCCTGAAGTCATGACTTGTTACATGCGCCATCAAATGAACTATAGCTGCGGTCATGGCTATTACATCACGGATTACTGGGAAACAACCTGCTTTCATTTAGTTGGGGGGTGCCAGTACAATACTTACCAACGCGCCACGGGGCCATGCATGTCTTGTTATGAGGAATCTTTGTAGTCCCGTGGTCAGACAGCTCGGAGGTGAGCAATTTCAGAGCTTGGGTGGTACTTGGGTAATACCGAGGGTGCCGTGTTGATATATGGGCTGTCAAGATGTTGTATATCTAATGAGACATCAGGGTAGGAGACTAGTGCTCACACTTGAGCAGCATTCTAGCTCAAATGCTGACTTTCATGTTCTAAATTTTAGAGCTGATAGACCTAGAAATTAACATTAGAGCACGTCGAGAGCATACTTAAGTATACAAGCAATCATTCACCAAAAACCTAATTCCAACCTTGGAACAGTATAAAACCCACAAATCCTATAACTCATTTAGCAACACAAAACCCAACGCAATAAACAGGCCTAAGCTACCATAAGCAGAATCCAATTACGGCCTAGTAACGCCTCCCATGCATGGCTAGAAGACTCCAACACCCCACCGTAAGAGTGAGACATTCGCGCCTAGGGCTACGGGTGGCTTGCCACCGGCTGGTAAATCAGTGAGACACCGGATGGATCCCAAGGAACATCCAATAAGCAACAGGGCCAACACGTGACCGAGGTATAGATTGAGCTAACATCGACCTGAGCTCATAAATGTGGCGGCTCTAAGATAAGAATGCCCCACCCCCGCGAAAGCTCAGCGTCACCTGGGTAATGGTATAGATGCTTGGGGTGGGATTGGGTGGTTGAATAGGGAAGGTCTGGAGCGAGGTTGGAGGGAAACAAGGGAGTCTCATGGAGAGGTATTCATTAACCTAATCTGGACTGGCTAGCATAATTACACATGATCAGGATTCTGATGTTTGTTTTCGGGCAGATTTGGAGGGATTAGTGAAGACAGAACGCAGCAGGTATGCAAAGGAAATGGAAGACTCAGGGAGTATTCAACATGCAACATTACGGCGTCACAGACCCGGGACTCGAAAGAATTTGGGGTTCACTGGGTTCATCAGCATAGCAGAAAACGAGACGAGATTGGGAACTAGTTACTAGATTGTTGAACTGGCTAGAAAAGAGGATCATGTAGTTGGAGAGTTCAACAAAAGATGAATGAGATACAACAAAAATGGGAGATGGTATGAAAAAAATAAAAGAGAAAAGAAAATGGGGACCGGGCCGCAACAAAAGGATCAGCGGGGAGAGAGCCCATGGGGGATCAGGCAACAATGCAAATGGAATAAACGAGAAGATATAAGAGGAGTTGGAAGGAAGTGGAAGAAAGTTGGGAGGGAAAAAGAGGGAGAAGGAGCGTCATGAAAGTGATGGGAGGAAGAGCAGGGTAGAATAAGCAGGGGAAAAAAATGAAGCACAAAGACAAAAAAAAAGGAAAGATATGAAACCTGATCTATGTAAGTAAATGCCATGCGAGTTCCCAAAAATCGTCCGCTCCCCGTTTTATGTATTTGCGCCACTTCTTGCGCACGGCAATTCCAGAATTTCCTTCGTCCATCATGTATGTTCGATCATTGGTCACGCTAAATCAAGAATGAGACAGAAATTGGGTGTGAACAGGAAATATAAAAAGAGAAAGATGAGCAGGTGAATATGAAAGGAGAAATGAACCACGGATTTCCCCCCAAGGCCTGAAACAGTATTCGGAAAAAATGTTTAATATCGTTCAAGGTGGTTGCTCTGAGTCCACCGGTTCATTGAACTTCTGTCGTGCCTCCTCTACCCACAACTCCAATCGGAGTTCGCCGGCTTCGACACGTCGTACTGGTACTGTTTTGGCACGGCCATTCGAGACCCTGGGGGGCGGCTGCTGGGGCTCGCCATTCCGTACTTTCGAGACGGAGAATGGTGCGGTGCATGATCGTAAATGGACCTTGCCCGGTTCCGCCACAATCCAAGTCTGCTCTTCCTTGGTGGTTCCCGCGGGTGGTAGTGCATCCTCCCGCACCTCAATGCAAACGGTGAAACTGAACTCGTCATCGCGGGGCAGCGGGGTCAACCGAGCGCACGCCGAGGCCAGTCGAGCAAGACACGCCCGGAATTGTGCCTCGAGGTCGACGGATGTGGGCGCGGGGCCCCGGTCTGAGACAGGGGCACCTGGATTGGATGAATCTTCATTTCTGTCTTCAAATGTAGTATTCACCTCTCCCGCGGGGGCACGCGGGAAGCCCGACAGATCGAATGCATATCGCTCAAGGGGCTGGTTTGTGCGAAGAGATGAAATGATGATACTGACTGCGGTGATTGTGCCTTTTAAGATCTCCGTTCCGACTGCGATTGATGCATCGTTGATGTAGTCACACACTTTTGGGTGACGAGATTGTCGGACGGGATAATTGTATGCACGGACCGGAAGGAATGTCGCGCGTGGGTAGACGGAGCGCAAGAAGAGTATTTGGTGAACGGACACAGTAAGGAAGTTGGTGAAGGAGGCCGCTAGCGCTGACTGGTTGGTAGGCAGCGATTTGGTGGCAGGGATCGGGGCGGAAAAGGTTGTCATGGTGGTGGTACTACTGCTCTCACTGGCAATCGGCATTGCCGTCGAATGATCCGGTGTCGCTTCCACGGTGAGGGCGGTTTTGACGAAGTCTCGAAGAATCTGAATGATGTTCCACCCTGAAGCTAATCATCGCTCTGCCTTTCTAATCCATCGGTCAACTCCACGTCCGATTTAAGGTATCCAGTGTGTGGTTTTTTTTGGGGGGGGGTCGGTTGCCCGTCGATCAAGATTTTTTGGATTTCCCGATACTCGCACACGACGAGTTAAAAATGATTCGCGGGGATAAACCGGCTGAAGAGGCCAGGGTGAGTGAAGCGACACACAGCAGCTCCCCGACGCGGTATATGGGTAGGGAAAAAAAGGGTTTTGTGGGGGGTGGGTGGAAGGAGGGGGGTAGGGTGGTGGGTTGGAGGGGGCTGTTTGTGTTGAAAATGGAAATCCGGAACGTACGCTTGGGTGGACAAAATGCAAAGTAGAAGCAACCCTCAGAGCATGAGGAAGATCCAGTTCAAGTTCCGAGCGACGATCTCAAATGCACGAGTGGTCACTCTTTTTTTTTAAGGGTTTTAGATCCCTTGAGGGGAGTGACGAGGAGGGGTGGGTTAAAGCGAGAGGAAGGAGGGGAAGTTTTTTTTTTTTGAGAGACGGAAAACCCTCGAATGTCAAGACGCACGACTAAGCGTCAAGGATTAAAGAAATCGACTTATAGAGATGGATCGATGGGATGTACCTCACACTCTCGGTCATCGAGGGGAAAAGCAGAAGAAAGGCGGAAGAGGTGAGGTGTTGGTGGTTCGTCACGTGTTGCGTCATGGGTTGCAGAACCCCAATACTTTACTTTATATTCTTTTTCTCCCTGTATACTTCGATTTCTATTATTCTTGGATTATTTCTCAGGTGATACTTAAGTAGATACAATATTCAAACCCCTTAGAAGTCGATGGAAAATACTGTGGGAACTAAGAAAAATACTTGTACATAGTGTTCACGGTATAGGAAAAACACAAAAGGCACACATTTTTTGCCTCTTCCCCACCAAGAAGAAAGAGGGGCGATCATCGCAGCCAAGCGAAAAAAAAAAGGGAAAAAAAGGGTAAAGAGGGTATCGCAGGATCATAGGTATTAAGGATTATATGTGCAGAACCATGGGTAATGAAAAGATAGCCGAGACATAGGCCTTTGTTACTGGTACCAGGTACCTTAATTGTTTGAAGTACTTGGTGTAAGACATACTTTATATGCCGTACTTAATTACCTACTTAAGTAGTTAACTAGGTAGTCTTAGTTATAAGTATCAATTACTCTGTATCTACTCGTATAGAGGTAAATAACTAACTTATGAAATAATAACAGAATGAAAAGTCATGATACCCCCCGTACACCCCAATACGCCATTACCGCCGATCTTCCTACGCTGACGGCAGTGGCGGCCATCGGACAAGGGTACGATGTTCCGGGGGAATTTTCATTTGCGCTCCGTACGGTCGATGGGGAGTCATGCAGGTCCTGCTACGTATTAGGCACTGGTGGCTCTGGATTATCAATCCCTTCCATACGTTTCTACTTCTAAAGTTGCTCGTTACAGAGTACTCAATTCTCATTTCATTCTCGGCACGTTACGGAGGAAGTAGGATTCAAGAGGGGTATACACAGTCTACTACCTAGCGCAATACATCTTAGGCAAGAGAACGGAGTCCCCCGTAATGGCATACGGGCCCAAACTCGGCAATTCTCGCATTGATATTAACTCCCGAACTAGGTATTTGGAATGTTGACCTAGACTGAATATACGAGTACATAGCTCACAACTTTGGAACCTCAGGACGAATGCAAGTGTCATCACTAGAAAAAGTCAATCACTGTCCCGCATACTCATGCCACAGAGTCAAAGTGGTGGAACTTCCACCGAAAGATCAGGGTCCAATAGGATCTACCAAAATGATCAAATCTCACCTGAAGCTCGAGCCAGTCAGCTCGGGACCCATGTACGGAGGACGGGAGTCTGTGTATGGTGGAAATCGTGAGCCCGCAACCCTACACAATGCCCGAAATGGGTCTCTAACGGGCTGATTCCCACTGTAAAATCGGACTCCACGGCCTGTTTTCTGCTTCTGGTAATTGGGACTTGTTCGGAAGATCCCAAGAGCCCTAGTTTTCTCGAAGGATTTAGACTTGTAGTCTAAAATTAAGCATCACGCTGCGAATACCCGACGGTTTCGCAATCCCTGTCTGACGCGGCCCAGGATTCCCAAATGTACGCAAGGCGCAGCTAAGATGTGGCGGAAATGCATCCTTGAAACAGATGCTTTCACACCGTCCCTTCGGCTTGTTTGAACCCTAACCGATCTCACTGCTTGGCCGCGCAGATCGGAGTGATCTCCCGCTTCCAAGACGAATCGACTCTCGCTGTATATCTGGGTGCCCTGACCCAAATTTTACCATTGGCGAATATGGGGATAATGGGTGATCTTGGGAGCCTTTCCAAAATTGAGTGCGGAGTATGGACTTCAGGAGTAGTTTGAGACTGAGAAAATAACACCGTCACATTTCACGAAACTTGTTTTGATATGCTCTCCGCCCTACTAAAGCCCTGGAGCATACCTAAGCCCGTGGCATCCAGATTAGGATGAAGCGCATAATCAAAATTTTACAATTGAGAGGTCATTTTGAGATGAAACGAGACAGAAAGCAGACTGCGACTGAAGTATGGAGGAGTATTCGGATAGAAGAGTACATACATATACTGGTATGTAGAGTAGATAGACACCGCCTTTCGAATTGCCCCTCTCCTTATCGCAAACAATTGGATTATCTCTCCCTTTGGAGCTTCAATCCACTCTCCACATTTCACAATGGAGCAACAACTCCTGTCGCTCCTGGCAGACACCCAGGCAGCCAAGTCTGATACTAGGAAATCCGCAGAGCTGCAGCTAAAGAGCCTCTACGCCCACGAATCGTTCCCCAGCTCACTCACAGCAATCGCTTCACACGCCTCGGTCCCCGTCAACCTGCGCCAGTCCGCCCTCTCTGTACTCCGTACCTTCATTTCCGCCGCCTGGTCACCAATCCTGGATGATTTCAAGGGCCAGGTCCTCATCAACGATGCCAACAAGGCCAACGTCCGCCAGGCCCTACTCGTGCTTGCGACCAGCGATATCCCCGAGCGCAAAGTGAAGAACTCTGCTAGCTATGCCGTGAGCAAGATCGCCAGTGCAGACTTTCCAGACGATTGGCCCCAGCTGCTCCCGTCCTTGCTGCACATCATCAATGATGCTACCAGTACCGATGGCCAATTGCATGGTGCGCTGAAGGTTTTGTTGGATCTGGTCGATACGGGTTTCAGCGAAGAGCAGTTCTTCAATGTCGCTCGTGAGCTCGTCTCGTCCCTGTTCGCTGTCGCAACTTCCGAGTCGAGGCGGCCCATGCTGCGCGCTTTGGCTGTGGCAGTCTTCCGATCTTGTTTTGATACATTGGAAATGGTTTTGGAACAACATAAGACGGCTATCAAGCAATTTATGGACGAAGTCCTTGGTGCTTGGTCACCTTTCTTTGATGTCACTTTGAAGGCGCCACTCCCACAACCACCCTCCGCTGAAGAGGAGCATAAACAGGGAGAAATTGCATCCCAGTGGCGTGGCGTGGTTGGATTAAAGTTGCAAGTGGTCAAGGTAAGGGCGATACTTGGAGGCTGCGAGAATCCATGTTAACGTGATGTTTCTAGACTCTGATGAAAATTCGCAACGTCTTCCCTGCTTTGTTGACATCGCAAAGCACCCTTTTCTTCTCCACTGTCTGGGCCGAACTCACCAACGCATTGCCGGTTTACCAGAGCTTCTACATTGAGCAGGAGAGGCAGGGTCGCCTGGAAGATGGAGATGGCCTTCCCCACTCCCTGGATTTCCTCGTTTTGGAAGAGCTTGATATCATTCAAGCCCTGCTCAAGGCTCCCCCAGTCAAGGCCGAGCTGCACCAGCAATTACAGAATGCGGGTGCAGGCGCTAGCGCATCCAGCTGGCTTCCAGAAATCATGAAACTTGCCAGTTCCTACGCCCAAATTTCAACAGAAGAGGAGGGTCTATGGGAAATGGATGTGAATCTCTTCCTCTCCGAGGAAACCTCTGTCACGGCCAATTACACTCCTCGAACTTGCAGTGGAGATCTGGTTATCAAAACTGGCGAGTGGTTGAAGACGACAGCAGCAGAAGCTCTTCTGACTCATATGAACACTCTCTTCGCTGATGCGTCTGTCTCGTGAGTACTTTGGCGTTCATCTCAAGTCAAGCCTACTAACCATGTAATCAGATGGAAATTGCGGGAAGCCGCCTTGTACATTCTGAACAACCTGCTCCGCGACTTCGGAGAGGTTGATGTCGAAATCTCCTCTGAACTGGCATCTCACTTCGCACAGTTCGTGCAATATGCCACCCAGCAAGAGCAGGAACTCCTCCGTGCCCGTGGTTACCTCGTTGCAGGTGCTTTATCCAAGGTTGCCGGTGAAAGCTTCAGCCAGACCACTACTTCTTACCTAGAGGCCACCCTAAAAGCAATCAACGAAGATCCTGCCGAAGTGGTCCAAGTGGCCTGCATCCGAGTGCTGCAAGATCTGGTTCCCGCGTTGCCGACCAGCCTGGCGCGTCCCTTCCAGCCGGCTGTAATTGCGGCCATCTCCGAGTTCATTGCCGCACACGACCTGCGAGAACAAACCGAGGCAGATGACCTTAAGGTCACACTCGCCGAAACTCTCCGCGACACTATTATGGCCGATTCATCGGTGGTGCTTTCATCGGCTGCCATTGATGTGCTGTTCAACATTGCTAGCAGTGGAGCTGACAACTTCCAGCTAACGCTGACTGTCACTGAGGCATTTGAAGACATTGTAGACCAGATCACCGATCTCGGTGCGGAGGCTTACATGCGCCTCTGTGAAAAGGTGCTTCCATCCTTGATGGGCGCCATTGACGTGGGCAATCTGACGGATGAGAACGCCCTGACCAATTTCGCCGCCGATCTCCTGCGTGCGTTGGCCGAGCGTAGCCCCGAACCTATGCCTGCTGGATTTGTGGAGACTGTGATGCCCAAGCTGAATCGACTGCTCCTTGGATCTGACGAGGCGGAGCTGATTCGCCCGGCCACCGAGGCAGTGCGCCACATGCTCTCTCACGACTTCGCCCAATTTGTCGTCTGGCGGGATCCCGAAACCGGCAAGGAGGCCCTGGAAGTGGTGCTGATCATCATTGACCGTCTCCTGGGTCCTGCCGTTGACGACAACGCCGCCACCGAAGTTGGTCAGCTCGCCGCCGAGTTGGTTGAGAAAGCCGGCTCCGAGCGCCTCGGTCCTTACCTCCCGCAGCTTCTCCAGGCCGTGGCTCAACGACTGGCCACCGCCCAGCAAGCCCAATTTATCCAGAGTCTCATCCTGGTCTTTGCGCGCCTGACTCTCATCAGCGCCCGTGAGGTTGTCGACTTCCTCGCTCAGGTCAATTTGCAGGGACAGAGCGGCCTCGCCGTGGTCCTGAGCAAGTGGCTGGAGAACTCGGTCAACTTTGCCGGCTACGACGAGATCAAACAAAACATCTTCGCTCTGGCGCGTCTCTACGAGCTTGCCGACCCGCGTGTGGCCGAAGTTCCGGTGAAGGGCGACCTTATCATCCAAGACACCGGTCGCATCAAGACCCGGTCGCAGGCCCGCACGAACCCTGACCAGTACACCACCGTGCCTGCCCCCTTGAAGATCATCAAGGTGCTCGTGGAAGAGCTGGGCGCCGCCTCGGGAAATAAAGAGATGGAAGCGGCGGCACTCGACGACGCCGATAGCGACGACGGCGACGACGACTGGGAAGACATGCCTGGCCACACTTTGGACTTGGGTATTGGTGCTACGAAACAAGGATTGATGGGTTGGAGCGAGGGTGGCTCGGAGAGTGTCTTTGGAGTACGTCGTCGCGACGATGAAACGCAGGGTTACTTGGCAGAGTTCTTCCGACAGGCGTCGACGCAGCCTGGATTCCGGGAATTGTACGCGGCGCTGACCCCGGATGAGCAGGTCAAGCTGCAGAGTCTGTAACTATTGAGTAGACTAATGCATCTTATGGAATGTGAAATCTGAATGACGAAGGGGCTTCTAGATATTGGGTGTTTCGTGCAGTGTCATTGAGCGATCTCCTACAAATCGGCAGATCGAGCGGGTGAACATGAATCGCAGTGGGGAGGAGCCAGACTGTCGGGTCCTCGCTCTCGCTTTCGAGTTCTTATACTTAAGTAGCACTTATAGTACTTGTACTTATACTTATGGTATTTGGACATCAGTTCTGGCTATTCCCTTGAATAAGAACCTGAAATATTTAAATATTTAAATACTGTTATTTACGTTTTCACCTGAATTTGCCCGTTTTAAACCTGTTTGAACCTGTTCCCACCACTTCGAACTGGTCACTAAAAGCAAATCCCGACAAAGTGGTTAAAGGTGCCCGTCTCCCGGGATCTGTTCCTTTAACCATGTCACAACCCAACCCGAACGAACGGATTCAAGTCGATGTACTCCTCTCTTCTTTTTTTTTTTAATTATTCCCTATGTACTAACGATAATAGACAAGCGACGATGACTCCCTCTTCGACTCCCAATCCCTCCTAGGCTCCAGCCTCTCCTTCGCCTCCTCAGTCCGCGACTACAACTACGAAAATGGCCGCCGCTACCACGCCTACCGCAACGGCCAATACCCCTTCCCAAACGATGAAGAAGAACAAGACCGACTAGCCCTAACCCACCACCTCTTCAAACTCCTCCTGGGTGGCTCCCTCCACCGCGCCCCCATCGCCTCCGCCACCCGAATCCTAGACATAGGAACGGGCACGGGCGAATGGGCTCTCGAAATGGCCGAACTGCATCCCCAAGCGTATATCCTGGGTACAGATCTCTCCCCTATCCAGCCTAGCTGGGCGCCGCCGAATTGTCGGTTTTTCATCGATGATGCGGAAAGTGATTGGACTTTCGATCGGGATGAGAAATTCGATTTTATTCATGCGAGGAGTTTGTCGGGTGGTGTTGGGGATTGGCCGAGGTTGTTGAAGCAGGCGTTTACGAACCTGAAGCCAGGGGGCTGGTTTGAGGCACAGGAGTTTGATCTCTTTATTGTTTCTGAAGATGGGACTCATGAGGAGGCTACGGCTTTGGCTACTTGGAAGGATTTGTTGGTTAAGGCTAGTACCAAGTTTGGGAAGCCTATGGATGTGGTGAGGCGGTTGGAGGAGTGGATGGGGAATCAGGGATTTGGCAACGTCGCCGCTGATAAATACAAGGTGTGTTGGAGTTCTTGTTGGGGTGCTTTGGAAAGGTTGAAAAGTTGGAAACTAATTGATACAGTGTCCTGTTGGCGGATGGGCCAAGAACCATCGATTAAAAGATATTGGACGTGTGGGGAAAGTGATTCTCTTGGAGATTGTTGAGCCGTACACGCTTGCTCTCTTTACTCGTGTGCTGGGCTTCTCATATCAGGATGCCCAGGAATTGATGGAGCAAGTGCGTGCTGAGCTGGTGAGCAATTCCTATCACCTCTACACGACCTTCCATTTCATCTACGGGCAAAAACCACTGTGATGCTCTAACGAAGATAACGACAACGATACCCCCAAGCTCTGTGGACAGGGCTGTTCGCATTAATGTATAGAGTTTGATCATGACCACATGGACAGCGTGAGTGCGTAAATATGGTGTCTGCCACCATTGAAACATGAGACCAGAGATCCAGCTCTGGAGATTCCCGATTGCAAATTGCATTTGCAAATTGCAGTTACCAGCCAGTCCCCAATCCAAGGACTTGACAGATCCCCGAAACAGCATCTTCAGGCGTGGGACTCGTCCGCACCACATGAATCACCTGCGCGACCTGGTGTTCGTCGCAACTGCCGATGGTTTCCAGGAGGGCTTCCAGCACGGCCTTTTTGCCTTCCCCCCTCCAGGAACTAGGTATGGAATTTATGATTGTTGGCGAGAGGGAACTGGAACTGGCGCGACTGGCTGTGTCGCCCAGCGCATCTGGATAAACGGTTGCATTTGCATTTGCATTTGCGAAAGTGTCGATAGACGAATATTGAGACGTGTATGGCGCCGGTGGTGCCATCGGTGTACTCCCGTATCCTTTCCACATTTCATTTTCGTTGGATAGTTGATCGGGGTAATGTGCGTAATGAGTCTGCGTCTGCGCTGGTGCTAGTGCTAGTGCTGGTGGTGGTGGTGGCACTGGCACTGGCACTGGCACTGGCGCATAGTTTATATTAGAATAATACGTCGGTTCCTCGAATGGCAGCCCGTCGTAAATAGGCGCATTGGCTCCATGCACCTGCATCGGATTAACATCCGGATATTCAAAGGGTAATTCTATCAAGATCAGCAAAGCCCCAAAGCCCCAAAGCAGACAATACGCACGACCATCCAAATCCCGCGCATCCGCAGAATACGGCACCGAAACAGACGTATTCTGCGCCGAAACAGAAGCCGATCGCGAAGAAACTGATCGCGAAGAAACAGACCCAGCCCCATTATCACTCCCTGTACTATCCGGACTCGTAACGTTGACTGTCATTGTCGAAGAACTCCCACTCCAACTCCCCTCCCTCTCTTTCTGTTTGCGGGGCCCATACGGGTGACTTCGCCAGCTTTTCTGTGGCCGGGCTGGTTCACGGGGTTGATTGAGACGGCCGCGGAGCTGAGAAACTTCTTTTCGTAATTGCTCGATTATATCTGCTTGGCTGATGTGGGCGCGGTCTTCGGCTGTGGCTGTGTAGGTGCATTCTGCTGCGAGACCGCGGAGTATACAGGCGTGACAGGGGATTGAGCGGTCGCACTAGGCGTGTTAGGAAGTGGATAATATGCAGCGGGGAGGATATTACCTTGACTTTTCGTTCGCGACATTTCAGACAGGATTGTTGGGGGCGGATTTTAGTCTTGGTGTCCATGGTGAGGAAACATGGGAGAAGTGCCAGTTCTGGGCATTTTCATGATGTGATGGATGTTCAGCTGTGCCACTGCAATGTGGGGTGCGCAGAGGGAAAAAAACGGCCGAGCAAGAAATGTGATCGGTCTTATTTTCAATCCTCCGTAGGACACTGTCATTGGGCCGTTGTTGTCGGAAAGGTCTTGTCCGACGATCCTTGCCTCCACATTGCAGATCCAGCGACGATGCGTTTGAGCAGCCTTATGCAACTTGTCCTGCAGCTGGGAACTGCTGTCATGTGGCCTAGGTATTTAAGTCTCGTCTCTGGACTTTCACCCGTCTTGGACTCCCGAAAGTCCAGATATGAGAGCATCTTGGTTTCTATACTTGACCGTGGCGAACATGGCTCTAATGCTCCCACTACTACCTGTACTAGCCTCGGTCGAGAGTCCAGGTCTACTCCCTACACCTCCAATGGGGTTCAATAACTGGGCTCGTTTCCAATGCGACCTCAACGAGTCTTTATTCACCGAGACAGCACAGTCAATGCTAACCCGAGGCCTCCACAAGGCAGGCTATAACCGCCTGAACCTGGACGACTGCTGGATGCAGCACGATCGAGCTGTCGACGGCTCACTGCAGTGGAATAGCACCAAGTTTCCAAACGGCATTCCCTGGCTCTCCAGCTATGCCACTAACCTCGGGTTCCACCTGGGTATCTACCAAGATGCCGGGAACCTTACCTGCGGCGGATTCCCCGGTTCCTACGGGTATGAGAAGCAGGATGTGGAAACCTTTGCTGAGTGGGGCATCGACTACCTCAAAGTAGACGGATGCAATGTATGGGCGGAGGAAGGCCGGACATTGCGCGACGAGTATCGAGCTCGATACAGCGAGTGGCATGACGTTTTGAGCGACTTGCCCCGTCCCTTGATCTTCTCCCAGTCTGCACCGGCTTACTTTGCAGACAATGCTTCCAACTGGGCGGCTGTGATGGATTGGGTCCCGCAGTATGGTGAATTGGCACGGCACTCGACTGACATCCTTGTTTACGTCGGTGAGGGCAGTGCCTGGGATAGTATTATGAATAACTACGACTACAATACGCTTCTTGTCCGCTACCAGCGACCGGGATACTTCAATGATCCCGATTTCTTGATCCCTGATCATCCTGGACTGACGCAGACGGAAAAGGAATCCCATTTCAGGCTTTGGGCTTCTTTCTCTGCGCCGCTGATTATCAGTGCTTATATTCCTGATCTGTCAGATGAGGATGTCGCATACCTTAGCAATGAGGATCTCATTGCGGTGGACCAGGATCCCTTGGCTCAACAGGCTGCGTTGGTGAGTCGTGATGGCACCTTCGATGTGTTGTCTCGCTCCCTGGCGAATGGGGATAGACTCTTGACTGTATTGAACCGGGGGGCCATCACAGCGAAAACGACCATCTCTCTTGAGCGCCTTGGATTAGCCTCAGACTGTGAATATCTTGCCCGTGATCTCATCACTGGAGAGGTTGTTACTCTCCACGGTTCGATTGAGGTCCAGCTTGATTCTCATGCAACCAGTGTTTACCGGGTTGAGTTGCCAGAGCAATGCTCTACAGTAACTCCTACTGGTATGGTTTTCCATACCCCGTCTGGTCTCTGTATGACTGCCTCCGGTGCCGCCATCACTTTTGAGATATGCAGAGGATCTGACTCCCAGGTCTGGAAGGTGTCCAAGTCTGGCGAGAGAAGTGCCAAACTTAATGTAAGTGCTTTATCGGATCCATCGCTTTGTCTTTGTGCGCAACACGGTCATGTCTTTCTTGCAGAATGTGGTCATATCGGAACTACTTGGGAACATTCTGTGACAGGGCATTTGCGAACCGCCGGAGGCTGTTTGACTGAGGCTTCGGGGAATGGCGCTATTAATGTCTGTGTAGTTGACAATGCGGCGCAAATCTTTGGGCTTCCCAGTGGCACTCATGTAATTGATGGAATGGGTGAGTAGTGTTCACTCCGGGGGTCTTATCTGTAACTATGGACTAGCCATTGAAGTATACAGCCGTCTAGCATAAGAACCAACATCTTTAATATCATCCATCTAGCACTACCCCTGCAAAGAAAAACCAACTCCCTCCCCAGTCCCCATCTCAATCAAATTCGCCCTCATCCTCTCCGGCCTCTCCCCCAGTCCAAAAGCCGCATCCTCCCTGTGCACCCAAGCCCCAACCCCATGCTGCAAAACAGCCGTAGCCCTCACCTTCTTCTCCTTCAACCCAATACTCCCATGTAGCGTCAACCTAGTCTCCTCCACCCCCTCCTTCTTCCTATAAACCCCCCGATGCAAAATATTACTATTATAAAACACCGCATCCCCAGCCCCAAGCTCAACAACCAACTGACCAGGCAAACTCTCCGCAAAAGGATCCGCCTCCCTCTCCGTCTGCGTCCGCGCCCGCCCATGCGATCCAGGCACCACCACCAACGAGGCATCAGGACACAAAGCCAAATTATACTGACAATGGCTCTGTTTCCCACCCGGTGCTTTCGCAGCAAGCAGCTCCACTTCTTCAGCCGCAGATGCATGCTCGGAAATATCATCCCGGTGCCAGCGGAGCTCGAAGTCTTTTTCCGGTGCGACGAGGAGATTGAATAATTCCATTACCAGTTCGTCACTGTCTGGCTTTGTACCCAGTAACTCTTCTGCGACTGCTAGGATGGCGGGGGAGAAGTAGCAGCGGGCGAAGGATGATCGGCCTGGCATTTCGGGGTGGAGGAGGTGCTGGACACCCCAGATTCCGCCTTCGCTGGCTGGTGGGGGGGTGGTTGGCCATGGGGGGAATTGTTTGGGGACGGTGCGGAAGTGTGGCCAGGTGCCGGCTCGGGTGAGGGTTGTTGCTTCTGTGGCGGTGGTGCGGTAGTGGGTGACTTCTTCGGGGGTGAGGAGGTTGCGGATTACGACGAAGCCGTCGCGTTGGAGGGGTTCGAGGTACATTTTGTTTTGTTTTGTTTTGAAGTTTACTTGAAGTGGCAGGTTCTTGATACTTAAGTATTTTATGTTTGGCTTATGCGGGGTTGGATACGACGTTGTCTGTTACTTAGTAGGGTAGTATTGATCAGTGCTACTTAGCAATTAAGCAATTACTTGAGTACTAAGTGTCGGACTATGACTATCCTCCGAATTACTTAAGTAGAGAAGATATTCTAAAGTTCTAAATAAACAGAAAGCTTGAATAGTTACTAAGGACTTAGGGAACTGTCGCAAGTGAAACATAAGCCAACGTCATGATCATCGTGCCAAGAAGAGGCTGAGTCCTGATATTTTCTTTTTCTCAAGTTCTTTCTGCTTTGTCTTTTCCACTTCTGTACAGACTACTTAAGTACTACTTAAGTAAACGCCGTTTCAAGGCCAAGGGACAAATACCCCCCACCATGCCCCTCCTCGGCTCCGCCCTATTACTACTGCTCCTGGTACTTCCCCAGGTCCATGCCTTTGGAGCAGGAAACATCGCCTCAATCTCAGCAATCGAAGGCAAGAATTGGCGCCACGGAGATATCGAAGATGTTCTCAAGACCCTGGCCTTCATCCACGGCCACAAATGGACCTCCACCATGGTCAAGCGCGTGTATTTCGGCAACTGGCTGCGCGACTAGTATGTCGGTCCAGGATCAATGCAAGATAGATGCTAATGGCTTCGACAGTTCGCAGGCCATGGACGTAGGCACTCTTAAGAGTTTGCAAGCCGAGACCATCCGTGTTTTAGTGTGGGTCCTGTCGTTCCTGAGCTTCGGCTATGCCACCGGTGAATTCGAGGTCACCTCGGACCGTCTGGGTGTTTATCGTCCTGAAGAACACATTGAGTAAGATGAATTTCAGCTGTTGAATCATCCATATGCTAATTTTCCCAGTAATCCCAAGGATTATGCTGACAATGAAGATGCGCGGCAATTCGACAAGCGCCTGCGGCCTCCGGTGCGTAATGTGGAGCTGGAAATTGACCAGAACACCGGTATGAAGAACTACATTGCCAATGAGCGCGGAGACTGGGCTACCAGTGCGGCTTATATTAAGTTCAGTCTGAGTCGCAGCATCCACTATGGACGTATGTACACCTCGGGCGGCCAGAAGAAGGGAAATGAAGAGGATTTGTGTGAAGCTCTGCGCTGTCTGGGTCAGGGCTTGCATACCCTCGAGGACTTTGCTGCACACACTAACTATGTGGAGTTGGCATTGCGCGAGATGGGAATGCAGAATGTATTCCCGCATACTGGCACAAATACCCAGATTAACTTGCATGGTCACCGTGTCTTCCCACTGGTCACTGGAACGTTTGGTATGGTCGATTTCTTCCACTCTGTGCTGGGTGAGGCGACGGATCACTTTGCTCAGTCCGAGGTCAATGAAATGGATCTTGCGCTGGGTGATGCGGAAACGAGTGCCCAGTCGAATAACTCGCTCGGTGCGTTGACTGGGCTTCTGGGCAATATTCCCGGTACAAAGGAGCTTGTCAGCGAGGCTGAGGGTTTGAAGAGATCCTCGGCTGCTCAGGACATGGCTAATCGGAGCCGAAGCTCTGCAATGGGCTATGCGGAGTCGTCTCGCAGCAGCGGTACGGGATCCAACCATCCGTCGGGCACTGCGAAGCCAGGAACTGGGTTTGATGGCATGCCTGATTTCAACCCCCAGGAGACAGTGGCCAAGATCTACCCCATTCTGCAATTCCGGGATAAGGTGGTGCGCAAGTTGGACTCGATCATCGAGAAGATTCCAGGACTCGAAAGCCTGGTCGAGAAAATCTCCGAGACCCTAACTGTCGTGATCATGTCCCTTCTGGCGCCCTTTGTGCGTCCCTTGATCAAGGCTGCGTCCAAATCTCTGCAAACCGGGTCAGCGGGCGTCATCGATGCCTCTGGAAAGCATCAATACGAACCATGGACTGATCCCCACTGCACGGATCCCACCCACTCCCTCCTGTCCAAGGATCACTTCGCAAACATCTTGAACGAACCAGCCGGTCGAGTTGCATCTTCAATCGTCGAGTACGTTGCTCCCCGCATCCTGTACGCCTGGCAACACATCGACATAGCCGAGAACGAAGTCCTGGATGACTGCCTGCAAGTATTCCACCACCCAGCACTGCGTAACATGCGCAACGACGCCCACCGCAGCATGTTCGAAGCCGTTGAAAAATGGGCCCATGCCCGTCCAGACCGCGGCGCCTCCCTAAACAGCATCCTCAGCTCCGAAGGCGTCCGTTCAGGCCGCAACACCGGCGGCGTAAGCCACACCCACACCGGCGGCCACGGCGGATTCGCAACACTAGGCAACAAGCCCCATGGCCAGAAGCCAAGCCACGGGAGTCAGCACCACAGCAGCCAAGGCCACTCTGGATTTTCATCATTCCTCTCCGGGCAAAGCAATCAAAGCACACAAAACAATAACACAGGCATGCCATGGGACAAATTATCCAACCTCCCTATTCCAGGAATATCCAACCTCAACAAACTGAACAAATTCTCAAACCTCATTCCAGGTGGACTGACCCGCGATATGGACGATAACTCCCATTCATCGCAATCGCACCAGCATCGACCGGCTGGGGATGTATCCACGTTCTCGCATCCTGACGTAAACGTTCAAAATGAATATCAGAATCCGTACTCCGATTACCACAATCTGAACTCCCATCCGCAGCCAGAATATCTGCATGGACCACCAGGCTTCCAGGAACATCAACATCAGCCGGAAAGTCAGCCTGAGCATGGATTGCATCACCATGGTCATGGTCAGCATCATGGTCACGCCCACTCCCATGGCCATGGTCATAGCCATGGACATGAGCACAGACATTCTCACACGCATCATGGATCTCGGTATTAGTGAACTGAGGTGAAGTTTGGTTTCCGGCGTTTCTTTTGCGGTGAAATTGGGAGGTGATGGGATGCGAGGAAGTTGAGATGAAAAAAGAGAGCTCTGTAAGGACTCTTTTGGGGAAGGCACAAGGTCAATCAAATTAAGAGTGATGTCGTGTTCTAGCTTGTTCTACGTGTCAACGTGTTGGGTCAACGTTTTGGGGGTTTGACGTGTTGACGTGTTTGTCGTTTACATCTCACGATGTGCATCCTAGGTGTTTTAGGCATGTGCTACAAATAGATCAAACTGCTACGAAAAGCCATTGTATTGCTATCTATGAGACTGGGGGAAGGAAGGAGATCCATGGATGCCTTCCTGGTCATCATCTATTTGCAGGGCGTTTGACCGGTCTGATCCAGGGTTATTCTAACAGCTTTAGAAACCCCTTGGAGCTTTGATATTTTAACAAAAGATGAACAGTGTGATGGTTTGCTACCATCAGCAGGTTTGCTTTCCATGCATTTGCACGTTTGCATACGTTTGCATACTCTCTGTACTATAAGAGCAGTTTTCTCCAACGATCTCCATAGTCTTCTTTATCTTAGTTATCTTTGTCGAATTGGACCTTTTTGTTCTGAAGCTTTGCCTCCCTCACAAACAGGCATAAATAGCAAAAGGTCTCGAGGTCAACTCTTTGTTCCTACTTGGCACTGCTTAGGGCTTTGAACCCGAGGTTATAGTTTAGGACAAAGCACGAATTCAATGGCCTTGTCTTCCTTCCTTCTTCCTTTCTTCTTTCACTCGAGGACTACCATTGTCAACACCCTCGAAGTCATGATCCGATGAAGCTATTTAAATCCAATCCCCTCCACTGGAGTATAGATTGTCATCAACGCACTCTTCTACAAGCATCAAACATCCAGCCTCAACTTCCAACCCACTAAAACCTTACGCTAAGTATCCAAGAACAGTACCTGATCATCATCCTAACTCACAACCCCAGAACCAACCCCCAAAATGGAATCCGCACAAGCCTGGGCCCATCTCGAATCTCTCTACGGAGAAGAAGTAAGCATGCTATCCCAAGCCCCTCAACCATCAAAAACCTGCACCGTCTTCCTCCAGAACCAACCCAGCGTATCCGCCACCATCACCATCGACACCTGGGTCAGCGAAAACTACCTAATCTGGTCCCTCCTCGCCAGTCTCGCAGACAGCAACACCCCAGGATTCACCACCACATTCAACCGCCACTACCGACCCATCTGGAACGATATCCAGAGCATGGTAGCGTCAGTTACACCCGCAGAGCGAAGCCTTCTATACATCAACCCACCCCCCTTTGAGCGGGCCGTATTCGTCTTCACAACGCCCGGCCTAGACCAGGATCTAGGATTCGTCATCAAGAGTACTCTCTATAATACTCGTCCCCATAACGATCTGCTAGATCTTTTAGATTACCTCCACTACGCCCAGTTGTCAGAGGATATTAAGCTCTACGTTTCCCTTTCCGAAGACGGAGAGAACTCTTTCAATATCTTCGGCGACTTCGAGACTACAGGATCGAAGTGATACTGCGCACTGCCCTGCGCAGGATATGGAGGAATAAGAGGTCTAGGACTTCAGGAGAGTTTGATGTTGGTAAAATGTGAGCTTTTAGTTTCGTGTACATTATGATAGAAATTTTATTATCCACTGTGTTCCTAAACAGTTTATTGTAGATTGTGAAGCAGAGTAATATATATAAACTCATTCCAGGGTTGAAAACCGCCGTTGATTGATAACTCATAAGTATTGTATACCTGTAGACTTAAGTAGAGCTATACTTAAGTAGCCTGGTCGGGGAATACGATACAACTTTGCTTAGGGTGAAACTTTAGAACTAGCTTAATGAGGCACACGTCAAATGATACTAAGTCGTCCCTCTGGTCAAAGAAGACTTCAGAGGATACTAAGTAGTATGGCTATCGAAAATACGTAGCGCTTCCTAGATTCCTAGGAAGAAGTGTACTTAAGTACAACTTAGAAGTTAGCTCAAATTTGTGGTTCTCTTGACGATAAATCGGCTTTTGGCTTGATCCTTGATCCTTGATGCTTAGAAAATTATCGTTCTGACAAAATTTAAGCTACCAACAATGTGCCTATTAGCCTTCAAAATGAGCTATTTATGGATACGGGTAGGACGCAACAGACTTCGGGAGTTTCCAGGGTTCTGTTCCGACGCCAAAACTTTTTGAAGCAGTAGAGGTATCATGTTTCGGGCACAATTATAATGGTTTTGTTTGTCCCCAAAAATAGTTTCGGCTGTGTATGTTGGTCGCCTGAAGCTATCTCCATGAATGGGGGCGAAAATCAGAGACAGTCAGCAACATCGAGCAATGATTGTATTCCATAGTGAACCTGATCCTCTGAGGCGTCCAACTTTATTCAAACCCAACCTTCGCACGGATCATCATTCACGTATCCAAGGGTCCAAAAAGGTCGTAGGAATAGACTTGATGTAACTCTACGTCAACACTAAGTCACGATCTCAGCTGGATGCTTTTTTTTTTCTCGTATGCATGTCTCAGCTCTACTGGTGGCCTTGTATGTTCATTTAAAAAGACTCGATAGTGTCGATCCACCGTCTATCTGAACAAGTTCTACTTCATACATCACCGTTCGATAATCCAAACAAACAACCCGCAATATGAAGACCGCTTCGATCGCCACCGTTCTTGCCGCTACAACAGCTACTCTTGCTGCTGATACGTCCGTCCTGAAGCCACTGGAGCTTACGAACCTCAATGCTGGCATCTACAGTGCATCTATGCCCACGACGACACTATTCTCCTTTTCCCTGAAAGATCCAAACACCAACACCAGCACTACCTGCTCTGGGTACTGGTATGTTCTTTGTCCTTTCTTTTCTCTTCATCTATGGCCGAATACGTGGCTTGGGCAGTATTCAAGAACTCCATGCAAATCAATACTGACGCTTCCAAGGTCCGCTGGTATGGCCGGTCACAAATCATACGACTGCTCCGATAAAGCATACCAGCTTCAAATATTGAACGGAGTATATAACATTGAGAACTTCGATCTTGGAGTCTACCGCGCTGATGGCTCGGTTATTGGGAAATCTACCGTCTCGGGTGATTCGTGGAAATGCCAGAAGCAGGAATCCCCTAGGGAAACTTGTAATTGGGATGGAGTTTTCACGCTTGAAGTGGCTGCTTCATCTTGATAACATACTTCCGGTTCAGGGTTGTTTCTTATGGAATGTTTCGGTTTGCTTGGTACCCATGCTCGCTATATAATTCTTGCTTGGCTCACTCTAAGATTTGGGTTTCTATAATTGCTTCAGATTTGGTGGTAGTTTTGATGAAATTGACGTTTCGAGATGAGATTCACTGCCTAATTTCTTTTTTTTTTTTCTTTTCCCCCCCAAAGACGTCAGGAGGTTGGAATCAAACTCTGAGAAGTACATTCGCTTCCAGGGTTGGCTAACAGTAGAGTAAACAACATCGACATCTGGATGAGCAAAGTATACCGCAACAAACATGTGTACACACATCTTCAAGATGCGACTGAACTAAATCACAAGCTCGCCACTTTTCAACGCCAAACCCCAATTTAGCGGAATGAGCCGTCCGAGTTGCTGACACCACCGGATGAAGTGAGGCTAGCAGCGTAAGAAGAATCAGAATCATGGCTGGCGGAGACATTGACACCCAGAGTAATCCAGGCAAGAAGACCGTCCTCAATAGTATCACCAAGGTAGGCATACTCAAAGAAGGGGTCAGAGTTAGAGTCTTCAGTCTCATCTTGAACGACATGATCATCCGCATTCTCCGTGATGGCAACAGTACTAGTGTTGTAGGGATAGGTAGCTTCAACGGTATTGATAAGCTCCTTGTCAAAGAAAAGCTGACCAATATGCGAGATATGACCACCTGTGAGGGTATTGTTGGGCAGCACGTGAGCATTCGTGTGCGCAATGACATGAACATGGGTAGCACGACCAGAGTAATGACCGGGGAACAAAGTCTTGAATTGAGCAACTCCCTCAGAGTCGGTCTTCTGGATACCGCGCAGGAAAGTCTTGTTCAGGTTCGAGGCATCGTCGCCGTTGCCGTTCATCGAGCTTTGGACTCCAGAGTAGACACCGGTGGCATTGCAGTTCCACACATCCCAGTAAAGGTCCTTGATGGGCTCGCAGGTGTTGATGTCGATGAATTGACCATCAAGAATGATGGGGATTCCCGCCTGTCCGTCCCGGATATCCGATCTAATCAGCTCGCCCTTCACCCAGAAGGGACCGACTTCTCCCTCCGGTGCCAGGATACAGACGGGGTTCTTGGAGAAAAGCTCCGTCTCGGGCGTGTTCGGGGTGACGTGCAGATTGGAATGGTGCGAAGTGTTCACCACCTTGTCGGTGTCACGGGAGAAGATGGCACGCTTCTTGTTTGCATGCATGAGTGCAGCGCGGCGGGCTTCGGCACGGGAGTTGACTCCACGTCGCTCCAATTGGTCTGCGCACTTGTCCAGGCTGCTGCGGGCATTGTGCAGGAAGTTCCTTTTGGCGGCGTGGGTGTAGGAATTGGGCTCATGGGCACCGGGGTGGGCCAAGGCAAGACCGGTCAAGGCAAGTAGGGTAACTTTAGTGAAATGCATTGTCTTGGTTGATATTTGTGTCAGAGAAGTGTTTGAGATGATTGTTGATGAAGCTTGACCTTGAGAATCTTCAAGAACTTTATACCTGACTTCTTACACGCTCGAGTTCAGTGACCTCCTGGTATCTAGGTCGACGTTCTATAACTCGTCAGTGTTGTCGTCAGCTCAACTTCTCCTTCTGTGAGAAGTAAATAGAGCAAGCCTTCTTGGCAGCAGAAATTAGCATAACTCCGGGGACTAGCTTCGTCAGAACAAGGAGAGTGCCAGCGCTAGAGCGTTTGTAGCCAACCTCAATGTTGGGCTGACGAAAGAAGCTTCGTTCATTGGACATCGGAGGCCAGGATGTTTGGAAGGTGTGACATGATAGGCCTTTTTCTTGTCTGTTCCTCGGAGCTTGGATGTGGTGATCGACAGCCAAGTCTTCCCTTGAGAGTAAGTATGGCATTCGAGACACCGCTGGATGTGGAGTGTAAAACGGCCGTGGGTGGTACCGAACTCTTCGGATGGTATCGCTCTTTCCATTATTGGTGTTAGTAGAGCCTCGCAGAAGAATTCAGCTCTCATTTATCAACTGCACGCATCTCGAAGATCTGACACGACCATCAAAGAAAGAATCTCGCAGGCTATATGGTTGACCACGGTCCACCGTTAACCGGTCAATGCCAAGACTGTGGATTATATGCGACACGTACTCTCTCCCCCATACACACTTTCTTTCCCGGAGCTTCAGTCGAAACTACGAGTAGTCGTACTCGTACATCCCAAATGAAGCCAGGACTCGTCGGGCAGAAGTATAAGAAAGTGGGTCCGGAGCGCAGAGCGCCGCTTATTCAGCGCCGCTAAAATCCACTTCAAACGAGCTTCGACGGCGATTGCGACGATCTCAATGGCCAGAGAGAAGTGGAGTACTCTTCTCACTGCCTCAATAGGCTCCAGGCCGATCGACCAGCGTGATGATTCAGCGGCGAACATTTTCACCTGAACCCCCCAACACCCCCAGCAAAGCACATTAAATATCCCTCTATGGACGACGCTACTGGCCCGCGGGGCGGGAAGGGGCGGAGTGCGTGTGATCTATGCCGACATCGTAAGGTGAGGAAACAATTGAGCCCACTCAAAATGTCTCGGCTAACCCGAGGCCCAGATCCGCTGTGATAGAAACCAACCAGCCTGTGAGAATTGTCATATTGCTGCATTGCCATGTACATTCTCCAAGCCATTATCGCAGCATCGAAAGAGTACCCGACAGTAAGACATGAGGATCCTGTCCCACTTTCAGCGCTAACGAGACAGGGAGCTGGCCGACACCAAAGCTCGGGTTCGGGAATTAGAGACAATTCTTCTCGGACTTAAGCAAAGCCACAAAGGGCTAGGGATTCCTTCCCCCAGGGCTCCTTCTCCAGGGCCCCTTAGCCCACTTTCTGTGGCGTCTTCATCCGCATCCCTTGCCACAGTGACTTATCTGCCTGACACCCGCGATTTTGATACCGCGTTGGCAGCTTTCCAATGGCATATCTCGTTCTGTGGACTTGGAAGTGCTCTTTCTTCTCAGAGAGCATCTTTTTACTCCTTGATTGAACAGCAAACGGGTCGGACGTTCAATATAGATGTTTTTGCCCATGAAGTCACCCAGTCATTCAAAGCAGCCCAGCTCAAATCAACGAAAAAGGTGGTTGGCATCAAATGGCCAAATTCGGCACTGGTCCAGCGGTGTCTGGAATATTTCGACAAAAATGGGCTATACTCCATCTTTCCCATCGTGGACGTGGAGGCCATGCAGATTCTCCTTAACGCAAATATCTTGGACCAACCAGCTAACATGACTCGAGTCGCCAATCGTGCTTGTTTGGTTGCGTTCGCGGCAATGATCACTCAAATTCATCGCCATGAGGCTGCGTTCTCCGGCACTGACCCAGATGCGTATGCACAGGCTGCCCTGACGCTACTTCCTGAAATGTTACTAGAGACTCCCGATCTGAGAACCCTGGAGGCAGTCACAATATTGGTACTTTATTCGATTCAGATGATCATGTGTTGAGACTAACATGCCTTCCAGATGCTCTACATCACACCTCTGGGCAGGCCCCAAGCAGGAGAAATGTTATTAGGTGTTGCAGTGCAACTCGTCTATAACCTTGGAGCAAACAAAATCCAAACCCCCCACGAGATACACCGAACAGATCAACGAAGCCAGCATCTCCGAGCCATGTTCTGGCACTGCTATGCCATCGACAAAGAATTCTCTATCCGGAAATCTCAACCGCCATTGATCAACGATGACGATTGCGATCTAGATCTACCAACGACATATGCCAGAAACACCTCAGAGCGCCATTTCTACATGAAACCATTGTCTTCGAAAGAGCTTCTCTTTCCATCCGATCTCCGCTTCTCTCTACTCAAATCTAGGATCTTCCGACTCCTGTATTCAGTACACGGTCAAGCATTGCCGGAAGCTAGACGCCTCCAGCATATCCGCGAATTGGATCAGGAATTGAGTGATTTGAAAGAGGGATACCCCGTCAGCTGCCGACCGGATGTATTTGCCACTGAAACTGCGCCTGATTACTTATTCCACGACCTCAGTATTCGTGGCGTCAATATCCACCTGGAATATTATTACTGTCTCGGAAAGATCCACGGAGCAAGCAGCTCGTGCAGGATAACATCACCACAAAACTGGTCACCTCTACCATCCAGTGCCGAGCTATGCTTTGAAGCTGCGCGGTCCTCGTTGATCTACATCTCGCGTACTCGCCAATTCGTGAATCATCACACATTTTGGTAAGGCCACACCTGGGCATCCTAGAGGGACCCAACACACATCACTTAAGCAAACCTTACTGACTCTTACAGGATTCATGCACAGTTCCTTCTCGCAGCTGTCTTCTCGGTCTTCTGGTATCTCATCACAGTCCCATCCTCGTCCACATTCAGAAGGGATCTCAGGACACTGGAAGATATTTCTGAGTTACTTGCTCAACTCAACAAACCCACAGAGGATGGGCAGTCTTTCCCACCTTTCTATGTTTCACAAGCTTTCATTGAGCAGCTGATCTCGCTGGCGAGGCACGCGCAGCCTAGGATGGGAAATTCATGACCTCCGAGCCCTGGAGGGTTGGAACAATTCAGTTTCTTGTTTTATGTCAGGTGAGAATGGTTTTTTCTTGTAAATATCAGAATTAGGTATCACTTGAGCAGAAATAGTATACCTTACCTCTATAGGACTTATATGCAAAGTGGTTGAGGATATTCCGATGTTGGGGTTCATGGATATGCATGTCCCGAATCCAAATTTTGTACATATATGTACCCAGTTCCAATGCTAGCGAATACCTGAAATTGACTTCAGGATCAATTAGCACAAAATTGAGCTGAAATATGGCAGAAATGCATCTTACATCCATCAGTTATGCAGAAATTCCTATCAGTTTTGAAAGGTACTCAAGTAAGAAAGCTAGTTGAATATTTTAGCTGACATTTGCTCACCCACAGCCGATGAAATGAGTTTGGGTGAAACCCGATATTCCTAGGCTTCCCCTTATGTAGCACTATTTTTCGCAGATTCTTCAACAGCCTTTCGCCGGGCTAGCTCAATCGGTAGAGCGTAAGACTCTTAATCTTAAGGCTGCGGGTTCGACCCCCGCGTTCGGCTCTTCCTAAAATACCAACATGGTCTTTAAGATTTCTTTTTTGCTTTTTGTGTTCACTTCGCCTGATAACGGACAGAAATCACCTGTTGTTATCAATTGACTTGTGTTTTTGGACAATTGTTGGGGTTAACCGGTGTTATGGGCGAGGCACATGGAAAATGCTCAAGTGGGGGAGCAAGAATATGACATTATGAAAGGTGGCACGGAGTAGGTAGCATTGTTGATTCAATAAGCTCTTCCTGTTTATTTGAAGCATTGATGGTGAAGAAAGCAAGTGTGGTGAATATCCGCGTACAGTATATAGATATCTATAGATACTAGTCTCATTAGTTGATCTACAGGTGCATCGTTTACTTATAGACCCCTCAGTTAGGCGTTATATTACTACAGACTTCAAGCGGAGAATAGTAAGTATCCGTCTCAATTCCAAAGAAGCTTGGAATACACAATGGTATCAAAGTGGCTGGTTGCATTGCAACGCCCAGCACCACATCCCGGTCAGTCTGAGCTGTCAGACCGCCATCGCGCTCTTCTCTCTTCAATAATCTGCTGTCCAACCTCTGGCCCGTTTTCCCTCTCTGCTCACCTGCCTCATACACCAAGCAACATTTTTTTCTGCGCGCCCTGATCTACTTACATTCTGTCAATATTATGAATGTCCGGCAGCAGTTCCCTGATGTACACTGGATCTGGAGTGGAGGCATCTCCTTTGTGTATGAGGTGCAGCCTCGTATCGTGGTAAAGGTCCCCCAATCTGGTGACTTCGAGAAAGAGCAATTCCGGAGAGAACTCAAGATCTATGAGCTCTTGTCTCAACACCCGCCCTGCCCTTCCATAGTCCAGTGTTTCCTCTACGCGGACAACGGTATCTTCCTTGAATATATGCGAGGTGTGATCTTTCTCTAATGTTTGATGTTTTATAATTATATCTACTAATTGTTTTGTCAGATGCAAACCTCTCTTCAAGGATACAAGATAACCATACTCGTGACATGGAAACGAAAGTCGTTACTAAAGTGAAGAAACTGGAACCTCTATCCCTACGAAAGGAATGGATGAACGACCTTGCACAAGCCGTTGCTTTTCTAGAGTCACTCAATTTCGCACATGGCGATCTACGACCTGAAAACATCTTACTTGATCGAAATCGATTAAAACTGTCAGATTTCGACTGTACAGATGAAATTGGATCCGATTTCGAAGCTTGTATGGCCCCATACGGAAGAGTACTCAACGAGCAGGATGAGGGACGACGCGGGAGTTCCGGATTCCTAGGCCCACGAACTGAGCAATTCGCTTTGGGGTCCTTATATTACCTCATCAACTATGGTTTTGAGGTTTACGGAGATCGACAGCTTACTGAGGATCCTAAGGTGCATGGATGCAAAGTGGTGGAGTTGCTGCAGAACATGGAATTTCCGAAGTTGGATGGTGATCCGTTGTTTGATGATATTATCACGAAATGTTGGCATAACAAGTATTCCACAATTGCGGAATTGGCTTCGTACACAAAGACACTGCTTGAAAGACACAATTCGGGAGACGCTGAAGCTGAACATATACCCACACCGCAATGGTCGGCAGAGGATTTCTCTTCCAAGAAGGCATTCTGTCGGGGCTTGATGAAGGGTGGACTCCTTGATTTGCTTTCTTCGGGGGATCCAGAACAATTTGGATTCAAGATCGAGTGGTATAGGCATTCCACAACTTGAAGTAAATATTAGCTGCATGTTCTGACCCAGAGAGAGACCAATAATCAGCAAAGTGACCCATAAGCTTTCAATGGATATCCTGAATACTACCTAGTGAAGTAACAGACCATTGCGCAGAGGCGAAATTTCGACTTGGAAGTCGTACTGCATTTGCTGCAGGTTTTCCCAAGTTATTATTGGATATCCATGAGACAGACGTTTTTATAGAATTGATGGACCCAGAGAGAGATCCAAGGCACCTCCACCTGGGCAGGGCTGGGCATGGATCCCCAGAGCCATAGATGTCGCCAGCCATTTACAGCTTCAACCTTGGAACGTCGGGAAAAAACCGAAGGTCTGATGAAAATGGAGATGTTGGAAGGAAAAATGACAGTTGAGAAAGCTCTATGATGAAAGGCAGCTGGCCAGTGACTATGTACAATATGACCGAAGAAGAAAAATTAAATAAAGCCACTCATCATTCACTCCAATCTGTAGATTGCGATGCAAAGCAGGCTTAAAGGATGAATATTCAGTAAAATTTAGCTCAGAATGAGATCGAGAACTTTCACAGCTTGGTTCCCTCACGCCCAGTGTCACTGGACCGCCTGGGTCGAAGGAATCCCAGTGATTGAGCAGAAGTGGTACTAGGACCAGCAGTCGAGGCCGACGAGTCAAGCTGGGTCCGCGTCCCTTCGGTATTATTGGCACGAACAGTTCCCCGAGGTGCTTGGTGTAGTCGAGGATTCATCAGCCATTGGACTTGCATGCGGACACTGTTCATCGCAGCATTTGTGAGGGCCATGTCCTCCTTGATGCGAAGCGATTCATTCATAATAGTCATGCTGGCACGGGCGTCTAGGTCGGTGATGGCATGGGATAACTGTCCAACTTGTTCGCGGAGGGATTCATGCAGCGAAAGCAGGTAGCTATTGGCAGTCGAAGAGAATATGCTTGTGGCGAGGTCTTCAGAGTCGTCTGGAGTAGCTTCTGAACGTGTCCGTGGTTGCTGATCTCGACCGGATTGTCCCGAGGATCTATTATTGTGACTGTTGGAATTTACCCGCGTGGATTCCACTAGGGTTGATCGAATGTTGGCGAGCCCGTCTTCGAAGATCTCGTTTCGCTGCTGCAGATGGCGCATTCCTAGCTCGAGGGAGTTGAGTCTGGCATTCTGGCCTTCGAAATAAGGACCCATGGCAACCAAGGGGCAGATTTGTTCATGATATTTAATATCTGGGCGCCTGATCTTCACTGGACAAGCATATTTGGATGCTGAGCAAGGAATCGCAACTTCGGGACATAATTCCACGTGAGCATCCAGTTCCCCCCGGGTTACAACTGTCAAGCAGTGCGCACAAGAAACCTCAAGCACCGGGCAAAGCTTGCTCTCGTGTTCCTGTTCATATCCAGGTTAGCTGCAGATCTATAGAAGCGCCAAAGGAAACCAGGAGTGACGAACCTCAAAGTCTTGCTCAACAACATTTTCCTCGCAGCGAGAGCAAAAGCGGACTGCGTGCATGCACTTAGTCTTGATCCCGACGTCATTGCTTCGCATCATCTTGTCGCAAGAATCGTCTGGACATGGAACCAACCGATATCCACAGTACTTCTCGACGTGCGACTGGACATGACCCCGAGGAATGATTTCTTGACATCCCTCAGTCAAGAGTGGACACCGCACTCGAATTTCGTCGCACATGTTGATCAACAGGCGCGGCACGCTAGTCGATATTTCTTTGGCGGGGACTCGGCAAGAGGGACACGGGAAGTCGTCCGAGTCGGCCGAGCGGAAGGTGGTGATGGCCGAACTGAGGCAACTCCCGCAGAACACATGGTCACATTGTAGATGAACAGGGTCAACAAAGGGGCAGTGGCAGATTGGGCACATCAGATGTGAGTCGTATTCGGAGACGAAATCAAGGCCGCGGAGGTCGATCAGCTCGTCCTGCTCGCGACTTTCCTCCATTGCTAGAAACTCTTCTAGATTCATCTTGCGCAGGTTCAGAGCCCGTAAAGAGGCCCAGAGAATGATGCAAGGCGTTGAGAAATATGTTTTCTTGTCGTTATGAATGCGGAACTGGCGCGCGGGTTCATGCAGCTGTTATGCACTAGATACCGAGGTAGGGCAGCAGGTACTCTGGATCCATGAGGGTGACTCCAGTCAGAACACGATGATTTGAACGATAGGAAGCAGATGCTTGCTTGAATTCGACATGTTCGACTCTGCGAAGTGAAGAAAATAAGAAAGCGAATGACTGCGGGGACAAAAGGGAGGCGGAAGGCGGAAAGCGGTCGATCAGCGTGTTGTTGCCTCCGCTTCTGATTCTCCGTCTTTTACCCCATCTTCCCTTGTACACACCACGACCTACTTACACTGTTTGGCATCGGAGGTCATTCTCTGAACTGACCGCCTGATTCCTTCGACCTGCCGCGACCTGATATCCTTAATCTGACACATCATGACGAACCCTTCCCAGCTCTTCCTACTCGCCGATCACATCAAGCTATCTCTACTGGAGCGTCAACGAGCAATCTCCCTGGACCTGGAGCCCAATTCGCAAGATGGAGAAATCTCGCGCTCCCTCGAATCCCTCCGAGAGGGCATAGAGGCCGTGCAAGCCGATCAAACCCGGTTAGCGGACTCTCACGACAGCGCAGGCGCCACCGCTCTCCAAGACCAACTTGTTCCCCTCCAAGCACAATACCAAGACCTATCCATCCAGTTCTATGGCACAGGCCCCGAATCCACGGACCCCACGACGCAGGCGTCGAAATCCGCAACCCCCGACCTCAAGCAGCCGGTTCCCCAACATCCGGCTTCCAAATCCGTCCGTTTCATGGATAATTCCGCCGCTACAGCAGCCGTGCAACAGGAGATTGACGAAGAAGAAGATCGCGATCGCAACACTCTCTTCCGTCCCTATCGCGATGAGCCAGAGCCGCCCCGCCCAGACCAGTCGGACATGGACAATCAACAAATCTATGACCATCATGCCCAGACTATGCGCGATCAAGACGATCAGTTGGATCGACTTGGTGAATCAATCGGCAGACAGCACCAGCTCAGTATCCAGATTGGCGATGAGCTGGATGGCCATATTCAATTGTTGGATGGAATGGACGGAGACGTTGAGCGTCATCAGACCCGGCTGGACGGGGCTAGGCGGCGCATTGATCGGATCCGTCGCAAGGCCGGAGATAACTGGAGCATGATGACTATCATCGGTCTGATTATTGTTCTCGTAATTCTCATTGTGATTCTGAAATGATACCGTCTCCATGACTCGGGATTTGGTGCTTTTATTGCTTTATGATTTTTTTTTTCAACAGCGGGCGTTTTGTTACTCTGATGTATGGATTGATCCTACTTGATTTCTATCATGGTGCTAAAGGCGTCGACGCGGCTGAGTCCTAGACTCGTGCAGTTTCCTGAATACTACCTTCACGTTCTATTACGGAAGAGCTCCCTTGTGCTTGAGTATGATTTAACATGTATCAATTGCCATTGGATAATGCGATAAACGTATACAAATCAACCAGACTCCGTAACATCCTCGTAGACATTAAATCAAACATATCTGGGCCGAAACCACAATTTTGCAATGGAAGTCAGAATAATCAACCAATTGCACTTATTGCTTGGTTTCATTTGCCTTCTGCTGCTCATGAGGCAAATGTTTCGTCTTCTCCTGCATGGCCTCGAAAGAAGGGTGTTCACCATCAAATTCACCGCGATCGGCTTTCACCTAAATCCAAATATATTAGCTCTGATTACATGCAGTCCGACATGCATCGGAGTTATGTTGAATGCATGGGTAGCATAGGAAACACTCACATCAGCTTCACTGGTACTAGCCAGCTCGGACTTCCATTTGCCCTTGCCTTCCTTGCTCTCCTTCAGACCTTGTTGTTTGTGAGATTCATAGTGATCAGCGAGGTTATCACGATCTGCTTTCTGTTAGCTGGGATGGAATAATTGGTAGGGTATGGTGAGGCACTGACGACGGTCGTTCTCGTTCAAGCTTCGGACAGCGGAAGTATGGAAGGTGGAGGCGGGAATGATATTGGAGCGGAGAGCTTGACGAGAAGCTCGGATGGCAGTGACGAAAGACATTATGATTGTATTGAATTGTGTACCTGGAAAAGAGGATTTGAAATTGGACGAAGAAGAATGGAGAAAAGAGAGGTACTTAAATTCCATTTGCTTCTGACAGCTGTGGCCTTGATGTGATGCTTCATGACATCATCCGTTGATCCGTTTTGGCGCCTGACAAACAGGGCAGCAAAGTATCACGTGTTAGGAGGTACTCGCACGTGAATTACAGTTTGGCACCTTTCCTGTTTGGGAACTGATCCAAGCGTCTATACTTTGACTCTACTGAGGCACAAAGCACCTTTGGTTTTACCACTTATTTGAATGCAACTTGCTTAGATAGATTCGATAATAGAACAGATGTATGATACTGAAAGACACTCACCGGCAGAATGGGCAAACTTACAAAGAAATCTCAATTTGGACACAGCTCATCAATCAGGAAACAGACAATAAACCCTATAGCAGATATTAAGTTAGCAACTTGAGAAACACAAGAGAGGATTTACTTGGCAAGTATCCAACTCGACACCTAAGCCGGCATAATAATAAAAAAGGATCCTAAAGCGCCAATCCCTCCATGTAGAGAGTAGGCTCAATGTCGAATCGAATCTGCAAATCAGCATATTTCCAAGAAACAATACGGGCAATACTGACAGTTCCACGAGGGAAATAAGTCGCCAGAAGAGCACATACACCCTTTCCAAAAGTTGTTCCCAGAATACCCTGATACTCAGGGGTACCGAAGCTCCAAGTCATCGGTTGCTCAGCCTCGTAGTTATCTCGAGCATCAAAGCGCATACCAATCCTTTGGGGATAAAGTTCTTCGGTAAAGAACCGTTTCGTGTCTAGGTTAATGACATCGTGGAAATAAATGCTCCGCAGTGTATCGATTGGGTTATCCATCACATACTGCGAGACGGCAACGTCGGACCAATGCATTCCGTCTGTTCTGTTAATGTCCATGGCAAAGATGACACCCTTTGCGGTAAGATGACAGTATTCGTTCGGCTCGAGGTCCGGGTTCTGTGGCTCTGGACCTTCGACTCGGATCTTTCGGTAGGCATGACTTCCGTGGGGGAAGCCCTGTCTTGCTACTTCGTTAACAAAGCCAGCAGGTGGGGGATCAAAGTGGGAGATTTCAATGTGCCAGCGTTGCGATGGGTTTCTGTGGTTCACTAACCTCATTAGACTAGCAGGTTGCTTCGGTTCGATGGGGCAAGGAGCATTCGCATCTTGGAGCCATCGTTGACGCAAAGCTCCTTGCAATTGATGCCATCCGAAAACATAGCGTGAGGGGTTATTTGATAGGTGGTCACCGAGACCAGGAGCGATGATTTGCGAAGAAGTTCCGGATCCTTGTGCATGCGAAGAAGGTCCAGAATGCGATGATGGATGGTGAGAATCGCTCCGGTGGTGGGAGGAACTGCGGTGGCGAGAAGCGCTACGACGGGAACTGCTTTGGTGGCGAGAACTGCTCTGGCGACGAGAATCGATTCTATCATGGCTTCTATGAGGTTCGCTGTGTTCAAAGCTCACATGGCTACCGCTGTGCCCGTGGCTATCATGGCCACTGTCGTGCTGGGTGCTACGATGACTACTCTCATGTCGAGAGCGACTGCGACTAGTATGCCTAGAGCGACTATGACTAGGTCGTAAGGGACTTTCGCGACGAGTGTGTCCAGAGCTCCTGTGGCCACTCCCATTTCCAGAGCCTCTCTGGACATTCTGGCGCGATGACCGTCGCTCGCGGGGCCTTGGAGGGCTCCTTGAAGGACTCGTTGAAAGGCTCCTTGGAGGACTCGTCGAAGGACTCCTTGGAGGACTTCTTCCGGCTCTTCGGTGGGAACTGGGAAGCTTTTGGACACGACCGCCCGAAGTCCGCTCCTGGAGCTCAATGGGTCGGTTGGCACGTTTACTACCTGAACCACCACCGCTACGACGACGTGGACCAGAACAGCAAAACATCTTGAACGATTTGTTGTTGACGGGAATTTGATTGGAAGTTGTATTGTGGGAAGATGTTTTTGTATAATGATTTTCTGTGTGAGGCTTGTTGATTCGATTGTATTTACTTGTAGCTGTGTAGGGATATCATAGTTGTTTATATACTTGCCCTGATGGTCCTTGAGATACTCGAACTACACAATGGAATGTCTCTCCCAAAGACTTCCTTTCAGAGTTGGATAAAGATGCGAACAAGACGTACAATGAAATACTTGAAAGCACAAAGACACCCAAAGAGAAACTTTAGAAGAACAATGGCAAAGACATAGACAAAGTGATACTTAGCAATGACCAGCAAGCTAGACAAAGAGATCATACCTCAAAATCGACAAAGACTCGGTCTCGAGGTGAATATCGGACCGAATGCCAGAGCCCGCTTTGCTCAACATTACAAGCCGATGTCGGGAATGAGCTGAATGCCGAGTTGAAGGCCAAGAGCCGAATGTGGAGAGCCAATTGCCGAGTATTCCGGTCGTGTACTCGAAGGTCAGGATTGAATCCGGGCCGAGACACCTAAGCCATGACAGGTCATGATCGACACGATAGAACGGGGTATTTGGTGGTTAGAAACGCCTATTTCAGATAGATTGCCTATTTGGGAGTGCCATTGACCGAATCGGGCAGGATTTACCACTTCCCCACAGTGTGGAGTGCAGAAGACTAATGACGCAGAGGGAAAACTATTCTCTGTGCACACTATAAAGAGCCAAGTGTGTCTTGGAAGCAGCGAGTTGAGGCAGAAAATTAGTACATCATGGCCATACTGACAGCACTCTTCGTGCTGTTGACATTGACGGTCCAAACACTTGCCAAAGCCGTCAATACCAGTTATTTCTTGCCAATTCCTGACAAACCACGGGTATTCATCGTCTCTGATATCTCAAATGAGCCTGACGACGCCGAGTCGTTGACCCGGTACCTGCTATACTCCAACCAATTCCAGACAGAGGGCATTGTCGCTGTCACATCGACATGGTTGAGAGACGAAGTTTATCCTGAAGATTTGCTATCCGTGATCGACGCCTATGGAAACGTCACTGCCAACCTAAACCGCCATGCTCCTCCGGATTCTCAGTATCCCTCAGGCAAACATATGCGCAGTCTTGTACGAAAAGGCGCCGCAGTGAGTTTGATTTCACTCAGAATGTTTGTATCATCGGGCTAACACAACAAACTTCAAGACTTATGGTATGACTGCGGTTGGCAAGAATGTGACTCTTAGCGATGGAGGGAAACTGCTCCTTGAGCGCCTGGAAGAAGAGTCCGAGCAGCCATTGTGGGTTCTTGCCTGGGGTGGAACCAACGTGCTGGCCCAAGTGCTCTACAAGATCCACGATACCTACTCGGCGACTGAAGCTGCTGCCATCCGGTCCCGTCTCCGCGTCTATGCAATCTCCGACCAGGATGACACTGGTGCCTGGATACGCCAACAATTCCCCGATGTTTTCTATATTTCCTCAACTCACGGCTGGAACCAGTACGGTCTTGCAGCATGGATTGGAATCTCCGGAGAAGACTACTATGGCAGAGACGTGGGAGGTCCTGATAATACCACCGTTGACCACAAGTGGTTGCGCGACAACATCCAGATTGGACCGTATGGTAAAGCTGCCTATCCAAGCTTCAAGTTCATCATGGAAGGAGACACGCCTACCTTCTTGTATCTGATTCAGAATGGACTGGGAGTCTCCGAGCAACCTGATTATGGGTCCTGGGGTGGACGATACTCGAAAGTCAACCCGTCGACTGTTCTCAACTTCAATCACTATAGTAATGCCGCCGACCACGTCGTCGGAAAGAACAATAAGACCTTCGTCTCCAACCAAGCAACAATCTGGCGATGGAGGAGTGCTTTCCAAAATGACTTTGCCGCTCGCATGCAGTGGTCCCTTCCGACAAACGTCAGCAAAGCCAATCACCACCCAGTCATCTCGGTGAATGGCAGTGCCTCGCTTGCCCCATTGAACATCACCGCTACGGCTGGTTCTACAATCACATTCAATGCTGGGGCCACGTCTGATCCTGATGGCGATTCTTTGAGCTTTAATTGGTTCCAATACCTTGAGCCTGGATCAACTGATTGGAATGTCTCAGGCCAAGTTCCTGCACTCAATGTTACATCCACTAATGGCGGCCGGGGAGCCAGGGTGCAGATTCCTGCAGCTAGTGATAGTTGCAATGGAAAAGCCGTTACTGACTCTGGCTGCTGGTTGCTACACCTGATCTTGGAAGTGACCGATGATGGCCACCATCCTCTCACGAGCTATCGCCGAATTCTGATCCAAACGACAAATACTACCGAAACCTCGTCATGAGATGTGTGAGATATGAAATCAATGTATATAGCATCAATCTATTCGGAGTGTATTTTCCCGAGACCAAGCCACAGACATCCATCCTTTAAGACTCGGCATTATAATCGAGAGAACGTGTTTCTTAATCCTCCCTTAATTCGACCTGTTCTGCAGCAATATTTCCGCCTAAATCGATTCCACCGAAGTTCAGCCCCTGTCTCCATACACATCTAACCGAACCGGCCGTTGGACAGAAAAGGGAGAATTACCGCCAATCATCGTCAATCTTCTACGTTAAGTGTCCTAGCGCAGGAACCGTTCTATCTTGGCAGCATTAAACCCGTGGGATGTTGCCAATGTTCTGATTTCATAAATTAAACGATGATCTTTCAAGCTTGAACAATTTAAAATAGATAAATAGTCCAAGTGACATAGGGCAGGCTTTGAGATCTCCATAAATTATCTCCTGACTGTCCTCGACACACCTATTCCGTGTGGAATACTGTTACCGGGCTCCTTGCGCCGTATGAAATCGTCCAAATAAATATATCGCATCCGAAGCCAGCCATGAAGTCAATCCTTATGGGCGCGTTGCTCCCGGCATTGGCCAATGCAGCTGCAACCAGCGGGAAGTTCACTGCTCTGAGCTTCAATGTCGCAGGCCTACCATCTATACTCCAATCAAACGACGTGAATGGCACGAAACCCGAAAACGCAAAGCAACTCGGTACTTATTTCTCGAAGTATGGATACGATATCATCAACATGCAAGAGGTACAGAGATACCATCAAATCTACCAAGACACTCAGCTGATGTACTTTCAACAGGACTTCAATTACCACGCCTATATCTACGAAACAGACGACCACCCTTACCGAACTGCCACATCTGGGGGTGCAGCTATTGGAAGTGGTTTGAATACCATATCCAACTATGACTGGGTTGATTTCACAAGAGCGAAATGGAACAAATGCTCTGATGCTTCTGGCGCCGACTGCCTAACGCCCAAAGGCCTCACTTTCATGCGCTGGAATCCATCTGAGGGGGTTTATATTGACTTTTACAATATCCACGCCGATGCTGGGTAAGTAACAGTTCACCCAGTTATCTTTGCATCTAAACTAATGTACCCCAGCACCGAAGACGACGACGAAACAGCCCGAAACTCCAACCTGCAACAGGTCGCTGATTACATCGACACCAATTCAATTGGAAATGCCGTCGTGGTAATGGGCGACACAAACAGTCGCTACACACGCACCGCAGACACCGGTATCCGCGTCTTGCACTCCCAAAGCAACCTAGCAGACTCATGGGTTGAGCTCGAAAGAGATGGAATTTATCCCACGGCCGGTGCTGATGCCCTCCTCTGCGACAACCCATCTTCCATCCTCACCTGTGAAACAGTCGATAAAGTGCTATACCGTGGTTCGGACCTGGTGACACTCAAGGCAGACAGTTTCAACTATAACGGTGACAAATTCACAAACACAGACTCCAAGTATCTTGGGAGTGTTCTTTCGGATCATAACCCTGTGCTCGTGAACTTCACTTGGTCGTTGGATTCAAAGCTGCGTCAGAGTCAGTTCGCGGGTGGGCCTCATGGGACTTGGTTTAATGATGTTTCGAAATTGTCCGGTTCGCCTGCTGCTTCGGTTATTACGTTCCGGGGTGAGAAGAGGGTTGATTCGGTGGGCTTGAAGTTGGCGGATGGTACTGAGTTCAGTCATGGTGGTACGGGTGGCACGGAAGTTTCGCTTGAGCTTGGCTCTGGAGAGTATTGGACGCAGACTAAGCTCTGTACTGGTCAGTACAATAACCATACTCGGATCTTCTATGTTCAGGCGACTACCAGTGCTGGTAATACCTTGGAGACGGGTGTGTCGACTACCAGCTGCCAGACTTACACTGCGCCTGATGGATTTGCGGTTGTTGGATTCATGGGACAGGATGGTGATGAGATTGATCAGTTGGCTTTGATCTATGCAGCCTATTAATCACCCTGAAGTAGAGTGCAGTTTTGTTTTCAATGGTGAAATGCATGTCTTCATTTGCCAATGGGCCAATCGTATCTAATCAAGTATATGTTATGTGCCTTTGAACGCCGAGGTCTTCCGTGGAAGCCTTTTTCCATATGCAGCACGCTGTGTCAAAACAAGAAAAACAGAGTCGAAACCCAACTTCAACCAATCAAATCCTCAGGAAGGACATCCTCTGGATTCTCCCCAACGGCTTCACCCACGGCACGAACAACGCGCTTGATAGCCTTCGACGCCGGACTGTCGGGGTAACTGTCCACAAAGCTCTCGCCAAAGTCACACGCCATACCGACGCGGGGATCCAGAGGCACAGCACCCAGGAAGGGAATACCCATTTTCTTCGCCAACCTACGACCACCACCAGTGGTCGCGCGGAAGATCTGCGACTCATGTGTGCAGCTGGGACAAACAAAGCCAGACATATTCTCCACCAAGCCCAAGACCTTGATTCCAGCCTTGCGGCAGAAATCAATCTCCTTGCGAACATCCAGCAAGGAAACTTCCTGTGGGGTCGTGACCACAACAGCACCATCAACACCCGACTCCTTCAGCAATGAGTTGACGGATAGATGCTCATCGGAGGTTCCAGGTGGTGTATCCACAATCAGATAATCCAGCTCACCCCAGTCCACATCCTTGAGGAATTGTTTGATAAGGCCATTCTTCTTCGGACCACGCCAGATAACCGCATCATCTCGGTTGGGTAGCATGAACTGCACGCTCATCGCGCCTAGATTATCCGTTACCCAGACTGGACTCCAGCCTGCATTGCTAACGTGGATAGTCTCCGACTCGACGCCCATCATCTTGGGGATCGATGGCCCGCAAATGTCTGTGTCCATGATGCCGACGGTGGAGTCTGGGTTTGCGGCGAATCCGTGCGAAAGGAGGGTTGAGAATGTCGATTTGCCCACCCCGCCTTTGCCGGAGAGGACCAGGATCTTGTGTCGTATTTGAGAGAGTCGTTCGGTGATAATGGGGATATCGGGGTCTGGACCCTTAGGCGCTGTTGCGCATATTTGTTGATTTGGACAGCCAGCACAGGCATCGCCTTGGCCGGCTTTTTCAGACTCGGGACCTGGGCAGTGCTCTGGTTATCGTTAGCGGGGCGGATTCGGTGGAAAGCCTGGAGACGTACCTGGTTCTGGCGCGACGAGGTTGGGCGCGACCTTGGACGAGACTGCGCGAGATTCCTCGGCTTCCTCTACAAAGGGCGCCATTTCAGTGTGAGAAATGTAGTTTGTACCTAGTGGTTCAAGTAGAAAGGTCAAAATGACCAGGACATTTGAAGTGGCGTCAATGCTTGATAAGCGGATGACTAAATCCAAAGCGGCCCTGTCAATTGGTGTGTCGGAGGTCTCCCAAGCATTGGAACTATAGATGTTTTATAGTGAACTTCACACTCCATATGCGATAAATACTTAGTTATAAGTTCAATATTATCTTCTGCAAGGCATGTGTCTCGTGAGAACGGTAAATGGCACCGTCAAAGGTTGTAGGGTTGGATCATTGTTCTCATCTACAAGTCACAATCGTTTCAATTGCTCTCACTTCCAAGTTTCCAAGGTTGGAAGCTCTCTAGCATACGCATTCCATAGAGGATTCCGTGGTTGCTCGAAAAAGATACCGTATGAGACATGATCGATGCGGGATTTAGATCATCGGAAGGGCACCCGAAAGCAATGCATGTGAACTACAATGCCCCCTTTATCGCTATTCAAAGGTTAGAGGAAGCAGGAATTGTCTCATCGTGATCACTCGATCTACACTTTATACTCGTGTCGCGCTTTAAAATTTACATTCACCAACCTTACCTCTTGAGCAGATTTCAAGCATGTGAAGCGCCAAGTAGAATCCCTGCTCAAGCCCTGATGCAACTAGGGTGTCGAAGTACGAGTACTCGTACCTTCCACAGAGGCCCAGATCCTGTCAGCACTTAACTAAGGGCCATAACCTTGATTTCGCGTCCAAACTGATAGACATGGTCTAATGCAATACCCCGCCATGAAACCAGAAGCGGGGATATTTCCCTGCACCTGCAATTGGACCCTTGTGCAGCCATGCATTGTGGCGTGGCACATGAGTAGCGCATGAAGGGCGCCTACAGACGTACAGTACTAAGTCTGTGGTTGATGAATATCTATTATCAATCTCGCACTGGCGTTTCCGATGCCCTGTAGTGGCAATTGAACCCGTTTGGCCCTGATCAACGGTTTCCACTCGGTCTGACCCACTGACGAATTAGCCCATTCGAAGGTGCAGACAGGATCATGATGCACTTGGGGGGCTTGAGCGAGGCCAAGTTGCCCAAGCGCGCATACGAGGTATAACCCTACTTATGCCTCTGATTTACTTAAAAGTGCTCCCGCAATTGCCGTCTAAATACCCAAGTAGTACCCGGACAAAATGGAGTCGGAAGTCAAAACAGAGAAAAATAAATAAACACGAGGTTCCCAACAAATCTCCCGTGAGAGATGCAGTAGACCACTTAGCGTCGTGGTTAGAGGCCCCAGTTCTTTTCCCTTCGGCTCCGTTCGACTCAGCGAGTAGTGTAGAGGCCATTGGGATCCACCCTCACTATAAGTACCCTCGCTCACACCGGGGATCTTCGTGAAAACAAAAAGAGAAAAAAAACCCTTGTGTTTAATTGTTAACGTTTAACAAGCCTTCACTTGAACTTCAGGAACTCATAACATTGAAGTGGGGGCTAACGGGACCGCTGACTAACACTAGATATTCCACTGTCACATGCTTCTGTCGTCACCTCAACACTTTCACTCCTCTCAACACCCTTGACACAATGGATCAAGGCCTTTCAACAGGGGCCCATCAGTTTTCTGATGGGCTACGAGAGAGAACTGGACGCGCTGATTCAACAGTCAGTCGCGAGGCTTTAACAGCCACCGGGGAAGTCGAGGTTAAAGACAAAGATGGCAATGCACTGAAGACCTTTGGGAGAACTCCTGATGGCACAGGTAAGATGAAAGCCGCTTTCGCCCCATTCGTGACTGTCGACAGCATCACTGTCTGTCGGCAGTATTGTGGGGGTTGAGGTGGGAACCCGCTGCTAACCGCATCTATATAGTGTTTACGGTGCCACAAACCCATGACATGGTCTCTCAGCTGCTTTCACCCTCCGAGCCCAAGAACTTCGGTGATCTAGTGGTCCTGGTGCTTCTGGCAGGCCATATCTTGTTCCTCTGGGCACTCCCCGCAGGCGCGAAAATCCCGGTCTTTGCAGTCACCTACCTTTTCTGGCGTCTCGCCTACAATGGAGGCATCGGGTGGCTGCTCCACCACCAGTCGCACCACAAGACACTGCTTCGATGGGCGGAGAAGACCAAGGTCTTTGTCAACCCGGCTACTGGCGAAAATCCTCACCCCAAATTGTATGCTTGGATCAAGCGAGAACTGGAGACCAAAATCCCCCAGGATTATTCATTCGACGATGCCCCAATTGAATACAATACCTGGCTTGTCTTTAGGCGTCTCGTTGACTTGATTCTCATGTGTGACTTCACTTCCTATTGCCTCTTCGCAATCGCTTGTGGTCACCAACCCGTGGATGAGAGTATCTTCATGACCATCTTGCGTTGGTCTGCAGGTATTGTTTTAGTGCTGTTCAACCTGTGGGTCAAATTAGACGCCCATCGAGTGGTTAAGGACTATGCTTGGTATTGGGGAGATTTCTTTTACCTCATTGACCAGGAACTGACCTTCGATGGTGTGTTCGAAATGGCACCACACCCTATGTACTCGGTGGGATATGCCGGCTACTACGGAATCTCTCTGATGGCAGCCAGCTATAAGGTTCTCTTTATCTCGATCATTGCCCATGCAGCACAATTCGCCTTCCTCGTCCTCGTGGAGAATCCGCACATCGACAAAACCTACAACCCGCCACCACCCCGAAAGCGCTCTACCTGTGCGGATTCTACCGCCAACTTGCTCAGCGATCTAGACACTCCAAACGCGCCAACCCCGTCTGAAGATCTATCCCCCAACGCGACACCCTCGTATTCAGCTAAGCCACCCCAGGCGGTTCACAACCTCTTAGGGCTCCACAACCTGGACTTGCATAGAACCACGGATTCCTCGATCATGCTTGTTCAACTTCTTGTATTCTCAATCACGACTCTGACACCATCGACTCCATTTTATCAGTTCCTCTTTGCCGCTCTCGCCGTGGCATCCCGCATTTGGTATTCCGTAGGCATTGGGTATCTGCTTCGGAACCAATCTAACTCCAAATCCTGGACCCGGCATTTTGTCAAGTATGGTGACACACCGTACGAGGCCTGGAACCAATGGAAGGGCACTTATCACTTGAGTATGGTTTTGTGCTCTTCCACTTTCATCGCTGCCGCGTGGAAAATGTACACATTCCCCGCCGACTGGGGCTACGGACTTGTCCTGTTCCGACACATCTTGGGTGCTGGCTTGATCAGTTTGCAGATTTGGACCTCCGTCAGCATCTACGAGTCCCTGGGCGAATTCGGCTGGTTCTACGGTGATTTCTTCTTCGATGATTCCCCGAAGCTCACTTACAACGGAATCTATCGTTTCCTCAACAACCCCGAACGCGTTCTTGGTCTTGCAGGCGTGTGGGGCGCTGTTCTAATCACAAGCAGTGCCGTCGTCACCTTCCTCGCTTTGCTGAGCCATATCCTGAGTCTGGCTTTCATTCAATTTGTTGAACGCCCGCACATGCAGAAGCTGTACGGTCGCAGCCTCCGTCAGGATGCCGGTCTTGTCAAGAGCTTGAAGCGATCTCTGCCACCCTCCCTCCAGCAACTGCACGGCAGTGTTGACAAGATGTTCGACGGCTCATTCGACTTCATCGAAGAGATGCTAGAGAATGCACGACCAAAGCTCGCGGCCGGAGTTAATACCTTCGTGAAAGATACCACTGCACTTTTCCAGAAATACCCTGCTCGCGTGACCATCACACGAATCGATGCTGATTTGGCCGGATTCGACCTCAGCGATTACTCTCTCTCGCTTGAAGGCACCGACGGAATCTCCTCCGAGGAAAACCAAAAAACCAAGGGCCGAGAAGGCGCCAACGCGCGCATGCCCTTGGACCGACGAGGTGACCTCAAGGACCTGACATTCGAATACGGCTCTCCCATCAAGGTCAAGTGGAGTGCCCCTATCAACCACAGCAAAAAAGATTGGATCGGTCTCTACCGAGTTACAGACAACACTTCACGCGAGGTCACTCGGGTATCATCGCAAGGCCGCTGGGTCGCCACAAACAGGGGATCTTACGACAACTCGACCTGTGAGAATGGCATTCTCAGCAGTGATGTGGTCATTCCCTCCTCACAGCGCAAGGATAACGAAGACCGCGAGTTTGCATCTGGCGAAATCCTTCTTTCGGGTGATAAGCTCTTCTGGACACAAGGTGTTTTCGAACTTCGCTATCACCACAATGGCATGCACAATGTAATGGCCATCTCAAGACCTTTTGAAATCTGCATCCGTCGCTTCGACGCAGATGACACCCTTGCCACTGGTGGTTCGTTGGCCGAGTTCGCTGTCGAGAACGCCTTGCTGCCCGTCGTCCGCAATTGCTTTGACCTGGATCCTGAAATTGCTCCAGAGACTGCAGAAGAGCAATTTGGCAGTCTGGTGGAACGAGATGGCAAGTTCGCTAACCGGGTTGTGTTCGCTGTTCATCAAATGTGAGTGGACCTCAAGTTACAGCCAGAAGTTCCTGCTAATATACTGTCAGGTTTGGTATCGAGTTGGCTGCTGAGGTCGTCAAGGCCGATGGCAACGTTCGCAACCTTGCATGGAGGATTTGCAACGCTAAGAAAGTTCTCGTGAGTGCGTCGATGACTGGGGTCTGTCAAGGGCTAACAATAGCATTAGGCCCCTTACAGCATGTCGCGATCTAATGGGACGACAACGCCTCTTGACGATAGGAAGGATTGATTTTCCGAACATCAACGAATCCAAGTGGCCTTTTTATATCAAGGTCATTTACTTGGCTTGACTCACAACTGTCTCGAGCAGAATTTCGGCCAATTGGTCACTTGGAAGAGAGTCGCCAAACAGCGATGAACAATTTAGATGGAAAGAATGATCTAAAAGGTCGGAGTGCTTAGATCTGCTTCTAAAGCTCGCATGAAACAAAAGACTTGCGAACCTTGGAAGACTGAGGGTTTGATTTCTGTGATTTGGGTCCAGACAGGGGGAGGTTTCAGGGGAGTGACGGTGTGTTAAATGTGTTTTGGTCTTGGGGACCCGGGGGATATGACTGTGCCATCAAAGACTCTTTCTTTTTTTTAAATTCGTCTCGTGTACATAGCTAAGAACTATTGCTTCGCTGGTTTCAAGCTGATTAAATTTCAACGACTGTAAGGTGCGTGCGGTAGACGGTCACGAGTTTGTCTTGATCGTGGAGTGTTGTTTGTGTACCTCATAAATGAGACATCAGCATTCCAGCATCGATTAGGGTTACATGATCTGACCCTAGGTTTAATATCAGCAGTTGCTTAAATAAACGCATTCAATACAGTACAGTGCGATCAATTTTTTTCTTGCTGTCTTTCGGATTCTTGTAGTCATTCAAAGTCGGGCTTGTACATCGATGGAAATGTGTACAAAGGTACAGAGCGACCCGCACCAGTGGGGCGGCGAGCCTTGGCAGTAACGAGGATTGGTTGGATATGTGACAAGATCCACTTGTAATAGATATACAAAGCCTGGTTGGCCGAGTGGTTTAAGGCACTGCGGGGGCGTACCAACCCGGGCGTGTGCACCCATAAGCGAGTGCCCCGAAGGTGTTGGCGCGTCCTCCAGAGACCCCTGGCTCGAATCCAGGATCGGGCGTTACTTTTTTTTCTCTTTTTCTTCTTTTTACCTACCAATATTGGAGTCCGCATCTATAGATGTGGATCTCCCTGTTGCTTCCGAAGGAGTGCTCATTGGCTGCACAATTGTGACTGTGATCAGCTGCAGGACACTATGTACGTCTAGGCACACCTGGGCACCGTTCGGTGAGATCCGAAGCTAACTATTATGCCCAATCCAATCAAATACGCCCAACCAGATTGAACTCAGTCCTGCCGCCAGTTGAAAGGATTCTCTGCGAGCCGCAGCGGAACGACAAACCATACAACGGTATATTGTTGGATCTACAGGGCGGCAGAGAAGAAGAAGCGGACAGAACCGATCGTACTGACTGCTCAGGAGAGAGAGGGGGGAAGAAGAGAGAGAGACTCGGGGAAGAGGGTCTATCTACAAACAGCAAACGAGGGTCGGGACGAACTTCCCACACAACATATATACGTGATGCGAAGCTACAGTCTTTGGATGGTGTGCGTCGGAGTGAGCATAACAGTGGCGATAATCTCGTGGAAGATTTTACTTGGTCCTCTCATTGTGAGAATCCGTCGACCAGGCAATAGACCGCGCATGGGAAGACTGAGAATAATTTCCGACCCTCCCAACGCGAAGTTTAAGTACGTCCACATTAGGGTTTTGGACGAGATTGGCTCTAATCAATTTCTTTAGAATCATTGCAGTTCACGGCCTTGGTGCTGACCCCGAACATACATGGTCCTGTCGCAATCCTGCTGGATTGGCAAATGGCTCAAACAGAACCCATCTACTTCGGCATCTATTGCAGAATGACTTTCCCCAGGCGAGGATATGTAGCTACGAGTATGACTCCTCGTGGCTCGGCGATGCACCTGCGAAGACGACAGAGGAGATTGGACTGAACTTACTTGATGAATTGAAGCTTGAGACCACCCGATCACAGCCTGTAGGTGGGCTCTGCGAGGTTTTTATATTTTCTGCTTGGCTAACTCGTTCTTAGACACTTCCCATTATCTTCATCGGTCATAGTCTGGGTGGAATCATAATTAAAGAGGCAAGGAGTCATAAGTATGTTGGCTGATTTTGGCTAACCTTCCGCAGGCCCTATGCGGTGATGGCGCGCCCAAGATTGTAGATCAGACCTGCGGTATCATTTTCCTTGGTACTCCCCATAATGGCTCGTCTGTGTCCTTTGCAGGAGCGATGCTGGCGACTGTGAGCGGTTTTTTGGGATCAGACTCAACCTTGCTGCTTTCCCTCCGAAGCCATAACAGCGGCCTTTCCAATCTAGTCAACAGATTCGACAAAGCAATAGCGAAAAGACGCCAGGGCGGGAAATTTCATGTGGCATCTTTCTATGAGACGAAAGATACATACCTGTTTGGGTTTATTTCGATCGGTCGGGTACGTCGCTGGCATTCAAAGGCTTTCATGATGAAGCTGAGCATCTAATCTTCAATGTCCTGTCAGGTTGTTGGCCGAAATTCAGCCTCGGTACACGCAGACCCAGACAGCAGAGAAGCCATGGACAACGACCACTCGGGCTTAAATAAATTCTCTAGCCCGAAAGATGACGCTTATCAGAAGCTCCATTGCGCAGTGACGGGGATGATTGCTCCACCAAAGCTTGAAACGGCCGACAAAAAACTGCAAGATCTGCATTACCGCGAGAATGACAGCCAACGTCTGAAAATAGATCGACTTTCTGGACATCCCCTGCCGATAGACCAGTGCTACGTGAACCTTGCGATTATAGCACGCCCTAGCGACGATGGTACCCCTGCGAGACCAAAGTACTCAAAGTCACTCAGAAGTTCTCTCCTGGCACGACAAAAGGCCGAGACACCAGATCGCACGGCGCAAGTTGAGCTCTCAGGAATCTTTGATCCTTTCAAACCTTCACCTGATCACCCTCCAGTTATTCCAAGACGGATCCTGATTCGCGGACGGGCAGGGGTTGGGAAGACAACAGTTTGCAAGAAGATGGTCAAAGACTTGATTTCAGATGAGCAAACCGCTGTGAAAAGCTCGTGGGGCCCCTTATTCGACAGGGTGCTCTGGATTCCTTTGCGGAATCTGAAAAAGTCCCAAGCCCCCACCAACTTGCAAGATCTTATTTTCAGGGAGTTCTTTGAGAACAAAATGGAAATTGAAGATGGCCGCATGTTCGCTCGCGAGATTGAACGAGAGGTGGAAAGAACCGACGGCAAAAGAACCCTTTTCATTCTTGATGGCTTGGATGAAGTGGTTCACAACCTTGAAGAACACGGCGACATTTCACCTCTTCTACTGGCATTGCTAAACAAGCAAAATGTCATAATCACTTCACGGCCGAATGCCAGACTTCCAAGCCAAGTTAAAAGAATACACCTCGAAATGGAGACAGTTGGATTCTATCCAGCCCAGGTGAGCGAATACATTAGGAGGCACCCTGGTATCCGCGAACGCGCGGAGGAAATCCAGTCATTCCTTCAAAAGAATTGGCTCCTTCAGGGACTTGTGCGAATTCCGATCCAACTAGAAGCACTTTGCTATACTTGGGAGGATCAAATGAACACCGTGACCACCACAATGACGTCTATCTATCAAGCTATCGAAGAGAAGCTATGGAGAAAAGATGTGGTCAGACTGGGAAGATTAACGCAGCCTTCCGCTCAATTCGATAAGTACAGCGATGTTCAGAGAAAAGTCTCGAATGAGCTCAAGTTTCTGGAGTTCCTAGCATTCAATGGTCTCTGCAGTGGTCTGTTTGAATTCAATCCACAAGTCAGAAGCTTAGTCGAGCAAGGCCGAGATTTGAAAGCAAACCCGCCATCCGACCAAGACCTCGCTGAGCTTTCCTTCTTGCGAACCTCGGATCCACTAGCTGAGGCACAGAACCGAAGCTTCCATTTCATTCACTTGACTTTTCAGGAGTACTTTGCTGCACGACACTTCGTCCAAATGTGGAAGGAAGACAAAGAGCTAGAGATTATTGTCGACGGACAAGGCAAGAAAATTTATCTACTCAGCAGGCCTGAGGAATTCCTCTCTCGGCACAAATACTTCCCACAATATGACGTCTTCTGGCGTTTTGTCGCAGGTTTACTGTCAGAGGATAGCGAGGAAATAACATCGTTTTTCGATCAGCTCGCACAAAACCCAAAGGATCTTCTTGGCTCTACTCATCAACGACTCCTCATGCACTGCCTGAGTGAAGTACCAACCTCCAGTGGCCCTCCATACCGAGAAAAGCTAGAGAAGCACTTTTCCGAGTGGTTGCTAGCTGAAATTGACATTGCTGAAACTGCACATCTGGCAGAGGAGGCGGAACTACCTGAGCGGTCCCTTGCAGAAGCTATAAAGGCCGCGAGTGAAGAGAGTAGGCTATCAATCCTATATGCCATGGGATCACGACCGTTCCTCGAAGATGGCATCGTGTATCAACTGACTGGTCGACTCGAGACAAAAATCCCAGCAACTGAAGCTTTCGCAGCTATCAAAGCTCTGGAAGGTCCGCAAGGTTTCCAATATCCTCATGATCTCAGCGAACATGTCTTCGACACCATTTCGGGACGTCTGGAAGATGAGAACAAATATGTCCGAATGGCAGCATTGTTGGCCTTTCAAAATCAGGGAGAGCCACGCCCCAGAATTCTCGAGGCCATTGTTAAAAGTGTGACCGAAACACAAGACTCGTCTATCATCAGCGCAGCGCTCCGCACACTTCGATGCCAACAAAATCTCGGGCCAGATATACTCAAAGCAATTCTGGGATTCCTTGAAGATAAAGAGCGCCGCATTACGTTCGGCGAGGAAAGTGTCGAGATCATTCAGCACCAAGATGCCCTAAACTCAGAGATTCTGAACATCATTTCGAACTTGCTTGAAGATGCGAGTCCACAAAATCGCCTGTTAGCAATCAAAGCTCTCCAAACTAGGCGCTACACAAGTTTGGATGACTTTGAAGTTTATTGCACATTCTATGGAGATGGAAATCTGTATTTTGATCGTCTGCCGCCCATTGTGTCTCTACAATCAAGAGCAGGGCTCAGCCAAGAAATTCTTAACACCATCACTAGAAAGCTTGCCGATGAAACGGACCCGGAGATTCGGAAACTAGCACTCTCAATTCTTCAAAACCAACAGGAAGGCAGCCAGTATCTTTCTCTCACGCTCCGAAATTGGCTCAGGAGTCAAGATATGGTTCTCTTTGACGAAGCTGTCGCTGTTCTCGAAGATCAACAATGTCTGAGTCATGAGATTTTGACAACGATCATCGAGATATCTGAAGGCACAGAAAATACGAGGATGCGCATTAAGGCATTGACAGCACTTGGAGCTATTCAAAAACGGCATGGTCTCAGCACAGAAGTCCTCGATATGGTTCCGAGATGGCTATGCGATGAAGACCAGGAGTTCCGTTCAGCCGCGTTAAAAGCCTTTCAACTTTCTATAAATCCTAGCCTTGATCTCCCTGAGTCTTCGATCGCATTTCCTGGAGACAAGATTCAGAGACCAAGGAGTCCAATAGCTGCAACTAAAGGCTCTGAACATCAGCAGGATCTGAGCCCCCAGTTCGCGACCCCTACGTTTGAAAGGCTGGATGACACAGACTGGCATCGCCATAGATCATTCAGCACACCTCAATTCCAGGGCCACCTCGGTCCAGATGCCCTCAACGCAATCTTGGTGCAACTTAAGGGTGAAGACTCTTCCCTTCGTCTCGCTGCGACGGGGGCTCTTCTCGGCCTAAAAGATCTTGCCCCGGACATATTATATGCTGTTGCAAACCTCTCTCAGGACAGAAATTGGCTTGTCCGTCGATCAGCTGTCGAGATTCTTAAATGTCAAAAGAATCTAAGTTCCGATCTTCTAGTCGATGTGGCGAATTTCTTTGAAGACGAAGACTGGCGTGTTCGTCTGAGAGCTGTCGAGATCTTTGAACCCCAAGAGAATCTAAGTCACGATCTTCTAATCGCTGTGACGAGGTTCTTTGAAGATGAAGACTGGCGTGTCCGTGAATCCGCTGCCGAGATCTTTGAGCGTCAAGAGCATCTAAGTCCCGATCTTCTACTCGCTGTGACGAAGTTCCTTGAAGACAAAAAGTGGCATGTCCGTCTATCAGCTGTCACGACCTTTCAGAAGCAGACAAACACCAACCTAGATATTCCGAATGCACTTATTCAACGGCTAACGGATAATGTACACGAGGTACGCTGGGCGGCAGTCGACGTCCTTCGGCATCGACAGGATTTGAGTTTCCATATGCTGGAACCGATAATTGAACGTTTATACCAAATCCTTCTCAAAGTCAGCTTTTCTCAAAATGTGCACATGTTCATTGCAGACGGCTCGCTGAACATGGGGTTTGATTCCCACGTACTGCGATTCCAGGGAACCTCAAGTCAATTGAGCAGCTGTTTGGATATCATCCAGTCTAGTGCTCACCTTGTCTTTGAAGATTCCTCATTCATGAATCAAGAACAGGATTCCACACACCAAGGACACGAACCCACAATTCAAAATCAGGATGAAATTGGGAAGGAAGAGAAGTCGAAGCCCTACAAGGTGGTAGACAGGTTCTGGCGATGGGGAAAATCCAGGCGGCGCGACTAGTTCTTGGTCGATTTTCCATTGCATTTGGTCTTTCACCATCTGACAAGCATAGGTTTGCAGCGTTAGAGATTTGATCTTGATCTAAAAGAGTGCTTGAACTGGCCCTATAAATCATCTTGAGGTATAAGCAACGTAATGTGGCATTGAGTGACCGAGGCCAGAAGCGGCATGGAATATTGAGATAGGGTGACGGGGTGACTATGTGAGAACCACTCTCAGGCATACTTATAGGTAACCATACCACTTGGCCAAAAGACCTAATATGACAAGACCTTGTCTTGTCATGCCTAGAACCGGTATACATAGTAGCGCACTGTTGGGGCAGCGCCGACCGCGGGAGCGCGCCCTAACTGACTACGAGTAACTCTGGGATCCGGTAGCCGATCGCTTCCCGGGACAGGAATGTGACCATCAACATTATTACAGCTACGACTTTAGAATATCTAAAGATTTAAGGAAGATTATCCAGAATGAAAATATTTGCATTGCCTCAATTATATTAAACACGACCTAGATCTTGAAGATTGTCAGCAAAAGTCTCAAAAGACAATCAAGCAAAACAATCATGAGCTCCTTCGAAAGAAGAAGTAGTGTATTCAGCCAGCCGTTTAACTCATACCATCCCCTGCTGGTCCCTCGCATGAAACAGTCACCCAAGACGGATAAGTTGCCTCACACTCAGCACCAGCACCGAGCCAGACATAGCAGTACCACGCCGGGACAAGACAACAAAATGAGAAACGACCTCAGATGCCGACGAGCTCAAAGCCTCCAGGCTCCACAACCTTCCTCCCTGTCATGTCTGAAGACACGGCGGGTCCAGTATAGGGAGTTGGAAACAGTGAATCGACACCTGTATTTCTCACATGCTGTACGGCATGGGTGCGGATCCGAGGGGCGGTTCCTCCAAGAGGTCATGGAATGGATTGACTAGGTGTCATCATAATAACTGGGGAGTGTGATAAGAAGAAAAAAAGACGATGATGTACCTTTTGATGAAGGCTGAGTTGTTTGCTTCAGGTATTACAATTCCTAGATCTTTTGACTGGTCAGTACTTGTGTCATAGACGGTGAACTGAAAGACAATGATATGGAAACCCATAAGAAATCAGGAGTTTTTGGTAAGGTATTTTGTTATCTTCAAAAATTTTGCAGAAGCAGAACTGAAAATGTTTTCTCATCACTCGAAGGGGTTGGGTGCGAAGGAAAGGGAGTTGTTCTTACCGGTTAGTGAAAGCTCTTGCAAGCTGTTGATCAGCTTGGATCAACTTCATGAGCTAAGATGGAATCTGTCTTGAAACGATTGTTAGCTTATGATGCTGTACAATTGTTTGGAAACCAATAGTAAGGTTGTTGTCATAGTCAGATGGTGATGCATGTTTGTTCTCGGCCCATTTTTTGTCGCCGAACTGGAGTTGGAACTCTCTCGTCATACAAGACAAGTGTGGAAAAAAGGGAGATTGAATACTCACATTATATCAATTAGTGAAGTAGGTGTTGACTTCTTAATTGCAGAGTGACCCTCGACATTTGAGGGACATTCTTGTAGGGAGAGAAGAGTGTGAAAGGAAGAAAAGAAATGAAAGAGCGGAAACGAGAAAAGTCGACGAAAAGCCAAACGGCGCTAGGCGGTGGGGGCAGCAAACAGGACAAACAATGCAAACTCCAAGATTTCCGTTTCTGGGATTCTCTTCTTTCTCGACAGCTTGAGCTTTGCTTGAATTATTCACCAAAATGGCCGATAGAAGACGTGTCAATGGCCCACCTGGTGGCACCCGCCCACCAGTCTTTGCCTCTCTACAAGAATCAACCACAGGCGCCGCCCAGCGCGCCCAGCGCCAACGCCAACCTGCTGAACTACAGAAAATCTGTAAGAACCCCGAAGCTTCGCATCGACCCCGCTAACTCCCAATGCCACAGTTTTGAAGACAGGATTGATTCCCACAGCCTCAGGCTCCTCATATCTCGAATTTGAACCATCTGCCTCCCTCGCCGCAGCACGCTCAAACCCCAAATCTCTGATCCCGCCATCCTCAGCCCTCAAAGTGGCCTGCACCGTCCACGGTCCCAAACCACTCCCCCGATCCGCCGCATTCTCACCAAACCTCGTCCTCACAACCCATGTCAAGTATGCGCCTTTTGCGGCCCGCAAGCGCAGAGGACACATTCGCGACGCCAGCGAGCGCGATCTCGGCGTACATCTAGAAACCGCCCTCCGCGGGGCCATCATTGCCGAGCGCTGGCCTAAGAGTGGTCTTGATATCACATTGACTATCATTGAGGCAGAGGATGATCGGTGGTGGGGGGATGCGCCAGACTCGCACGATGCCTCGTGGGGAATGATGAATGTTCTCGCTGGATGTATCACGGCTGCATCGGCCGCAATTGCAGACGCTCACATTGACTGTCTTGATCTTGTATCTGGTGGTGTTGCTGCTCTGGTCTCGGACGACTCCAGCAAATCTGCTTCCAGTGTCCCGCGACTCATGCTGGATGTGGATCCCGCGGAGCACAGATCTATCTTGTCTGCTTGTGTGGTGGCGTATATGCCGGCGCGTGATGAGATTACGGAGATTTGGCTCAAGGGGGATAGTTCGAAGGCGGCGCTTGAGAAGGGTGATGTCCGGTCTAGTCATGAAGCTTTGATAGATGGGGCTGTTGATGCGGCTCGGGGTGCTAATACGGTTTTGTCAGAGGCTGTGACGGAGTCTATTGCGAGGTCTATAGCACAGGCTTAGAATAAGCACATCATATAATGATTGGATGATATTTCAGGACATCTCTGAGCTGACTGCGGATCATGTAATTCTACCATGGAAGAATCTGGATGCTTCAGATACGCTAGAGTCAGTCTTCTGACATATAGACCGCTGGGGCTGGAGTGAAAAGAAAAGAGAGTGACAGGACAAACATCTATCTACACAGGTCTGATCATCTCGGGGCCAATGGTCTCAACTGAAGACGACTTTACCATCTTCATAGTCTCTTGCCTGAATGAATCCATGGTTTACCTCTTGAATAGGAAGATACTACATTCCTAGTCTACCTGCACTAGAGAAAAGGGCTAAGGTACGATGATCAGTCATAGATGAAATCACATTTTCTATCTCACTTGAATGCACAGATAAAACAACTTCAGACAAGTTCCATGAAAGAATTCTCACCACAGTCGCTACCGCAGAGCTCAACATCGTTTGCCCCATGGTAAACCGGTCGCCCCTCTAGTCTGTCATCACGACGCCCACATCTTCTCCAAACATTGGGGTCTCGATTTGTCCAGTTGAAGTCGACATTTGCCTCGCACCAGATATCACTCCACATATTAGAGGGCGAAGGACTTGGCACGCTGTAAATTTTATCGAATTCGGCCGTGCAGCGGGTTGAGCCTTTCCATTCCGTCACTTCAATATCAGGCCGAATGCCGCATTGCCGACAACTGAGGAATTGCATTGCATTCAGAGTCGTGCATCGCAGGCACTCTGCCCACGAATATCGGCACATACATTCAATGCATAGAGTGGGCTGGAATTTGGTGCTCGCGTACGGTTCCCTCCCATAACTATGCTCACAGAGCCAGATTGTTCGGTCTTGGTCAAGTTTCGAAAGGTCCACGTCGAACGCGTAAACCATATGGAAGACGACTTTGTTCTCTTGGTTCAAACGGACAGAGATTGAAAGGTCGATCATGCCGATTTCGCTGTAAATTTTGCAGGCGTGCCAGTTTTGGATCAGCAACTCTGAAGGCTCAATGTTCTTCTCTCTGCGGAGTGTCTGAAGGTGATTGGCAAATGGGATGAGTGCCTTTGGCGAGATGAATGTATAATGCTGACAGAGGCGTATAATCCCAGGCCATTTGCAGCTGCGTGGGACACCAAGGTCAAAGATCTCATCACAAAACTCGTGTCGAGGATGTAGCAACAAGCATGCATCACAGAATAGCAAGGTTGGGGTTTGGAGCTTGAGTAGAAACTCGGTTCTGGCAACCTCCCCGCCAGACAATTGTGGAATCGGGTGTGGATACATCGCAAATCTATGCAGCTCGTTGGGAAACATGAGGTAGAACTTTGTGCAGCTGAGAGCTAGGCAGGCCTTTGACTGTTCGTCCAGCTCAGAATGGATTTCGAGCATCAGTTCCGTAGGGAGATCGTAGATGGTCGTCTTTCGCTTGGTGGGAGTCGTGCATTGTTGTAGACTGGAGTCAAAGTGACCGAGAGGTACCAGGTCCTGGCAAGTAACGGCCGGCATGATAGGCTTGGAGGCTGACCGGAAGAAGGAATCGAGTTGAAACATGCAAGAAATCACCTTGACTTGAATGGACCTTGCTATGCCAGAGAACCAAGTGCCTGCCGTGGTGTGGCGTGGTGAGAAGCAATGGAGTCAGTGGTATGCAGATACGAGAAAGAGAAGAGAAGCATTGGAAGGAAGAGAAGCGGAGCCTGGAAAGAGAAGAGCAGCGTGGGAGAAGTGAAGGGGAGAAGTCAAGTGAGAATCAAGAGAAGGTGGCGAGTTACTTGATCTTCCTGACTTCTCTCACTTCTCTCTTTTGGCAAGATAGACATGGCTATTTGGCCCCAGGCAAAGAGACAGATTCAATGAAACCAACGATGTAAAAGAAAACACGAAACTAAAATTCAACAACATTGACATGGTTAGAGGACATCAATGTATTGCTTGATATATCAAAGCCATGAATATATTGATGACATGCTCTGTAGGTCCACAGCGCTGGAGGTTAGTTGCTCAATGCCAAACATTAGATATCTAGACCTTCCTGTTGTTGGCACTGCTTCAGCTCAGGGGGTACCAAATATCACGGATATCAACTGATCAACCATTGCAAGACAACTCGGCACCAGACGAGTATTGCATCTATCTGTGGCGGTGCTTCGAGTTGATTATGGATTCAGGAGACCTGCACCTTTTGATAAAGAAAGACTACCGGCCTGTCCATTTGTGATGTTTCGAGGCCCTGTCCCCGGGGTAGTGCAATCGTCAGTGTATTGAAAGCAGCACTTGTTAGCAATGAGAGAGAATCTGCGAGCTGTGAATGTTTATCATGTTAGCTCATATCAGTAGGACCATGGCCACGCAAGACAATGTATAGATGCAAGTGCCAGGTAGTCGGTCATAACTCGGAGGTCATTCGGGATATGTGGTCAATCCACAGACTGTAGAGAAACCACTTGAGCAACTTAGACAACGTGCTCAAGTAAAAGGTAAGTACATGTACAGGTTGTTGAGTGCAATTGCTGTATATGAAGTCTATGTCTTTAGGGTTGTGGTCATACGAGTACGAAAGATTTCCGATTGGAGTATAATTTGGAATCCACCGCACACCAGAATACCAACATGAATACTGGAATCCAGGGGAAGTGCTATATATGCATACCCCGTGTGCCTAGTCAGATTAAGCTGTCAGATTCAGCCCGCATGCCAAAATATAACGAATAAAGGGGCAAGTTAGAGTTGACATTCCCGCTCCGGTTAAACGCTCTCGGCTCTGTCACTTCTAAAATTGATCGTCTAGCGGTCTAGCGCAGGACCCATCGGAAGGAGTTTGGACATCGATCGATCGCAAGATTGCGGATCTGAGACTGAAAATCATGAGCCCATGGTATCAGATATAGAACTTAAGTACTTAAGTAGCCTACTTGAGTAATTCCAAGGTTGAGGAAGTAAATGTCTTGCACATGCACAAGTACCTAGGTCTACAGGTCGATCCACCAATACACTTAACCAAGGTCGAATCCTGCGGATCTGAATAACCATTGTTTCAATTTTTGGCCCCTGACGTTCATGAACTACTTACGGAAACGAACCCGGGATCCGGCCTAAATTTTTAGTCTCTTTTTCTTTGTTTAAATCCCTGTCTTAACTATGTACTTGGAATTTCGACTATTTGCCCAAATAAACGAAGGCAACTACGAATATCTCCTAACTGACCAGGGTCTGGCGATTTCTCCTCCGATTAACCGGACAAAGTCAAAACTAAAAATGGCGTTCGGTTCTCATGTTCGTCCCGCTAAGCACGAGACGGCTCACGGTCTACCTGACGATCTCACCTCGTCACACCAATGAAGATCCGCTTGGGAAATTGGCAGCTCCATCGGACGCCAAAAGCCACTAGCCCACGGGCTCGTCGTCCCGGTACACTTACTCCATTGTCACGACGCTGATTGGGATATTGAAGTGGAGATCTCTGGAAATGATCAGAAACCAAAGTCCGGAGCATCACAGTTCTCGGAATGGCCCCGGAGTAAGTTCTCCTTCGTATCCTATGGACCTCAGCGTTTTCGCCTGTCAACAAAAGCACTTGGTGGATCCCTCGGGAAAGTTTTGCACTGGCCTATGATGCAGCCTGGACGTTGACCCGGGAAAAAATTATCTGCAGGATTCTTAAGTTGGGACCAATATTTGTATTTGGTCCTGTTGGGATTGGGATCAATTGGCATAAGATGGCACAGGTATGGAGTATAAGGCGAGAATAAGTCGAGAATCAATAGCTCCTCGAGGGACTCGAGATCCCCGCAAGAACAAAGAAAAAACCGGGACATGGGATCTGGAACTAGTACGAGGGCGTTCTTGTACTCTTAAATTTTAGCGTTCGAGCAAGAAAGACCCCCCTGATCCAGCCACAGAAAAGTACTAGATCTGCACTCGTTGACGTCTATTCTACTTCTCTTTTTCTAATTGCTCTTCTACTCTCTCTCTCTCTCTCTCTCTCTCTTTCTCCTGGGGTAAACCGTTGTGACGGCCTTCAATTTCATGCCATGACATCAAATTGTTTCATTCTTTATGACCGCTGGTCTCGTCGCTCCTAGTTCACAATCACTATTTTCTGTCTCAGTTTCTACTCCAATCACCTTCATTTCCCGATATTTCTACATTGGCAATTTATTGTCTATTCGCTCTTTTCACTGCCTTCACTCTCTATTTGCCTATTCGCGCACCGGCTTTGCGCTCTATATAATTCACCATGGCGGGCTTGAAGAAATTCTTCCAGGACAGGAACCTCCGTCCCGCGACCAGCCTGGGATTGGAGAACTATAATGTGGAAGATGCCAATTGTGGCATGGCGGTTGATTCGCCTGCACGAAGCCAATTCGAGGGCTTTCCAAAGAATGCGCAGTCACTAGACGTGGCTCATCATTTCGAGCAAATCGACAAACAATTTGAAGATCTACAAGATCGACTCGACCGGCCAACATCCTTTGAGCCACTATCCTCGCCTACAACTCGTTTCGCAGTCCCCAGAGTCCTCAATGGTCGACATGTGGACTTGCTTGATGCTCTGGGCTCTTCGGACCGCCCTCGAACGACTTCCCCGGAGCCATTTTCACCACCCCTCACCCCATACAACGAGGATGTCGCAGAACGAAATATGACCCGGTTTCTACGCATTCAATACAAGAAAGGATTCTCGCCGTCGCGAGTCCTGTCGGCATTGTATCAAGAGGATGTGGCGGACAGAAACATTTCCAAGTATAGCAGTGCTGGTCGTACTATGTCCGGGTTAAGCTCTCAGTCTTCTCCCGCTGCACCAGGAAGAGTGCGAATCCCCGAAGGCCAGACACGTCAATTTGGAAGGCATTTTGCAAAAAAGCCCAACTGGGCTTCTGCTGAGAATCTCCGGAATCCTCCCAAAGAGGATGCCACTTTATCCCCACGAGCAAACTCCGACTTGGGCACTTCCCTCAGACCGCAGAGATCAGCCCCTAGCCTTTGCGCAGATGAGGGGTTTGTGCCCCAAGAAGCAGCGCCACCCAGCCCTGTTCAGCGCCTGGGAGTTCCTCCTGCACACAAATTGGGCAAGCGATGGAGCAATACTCCTCTTCCCGATAGCCCTACGATACCTATTACTCCCACAGGAGATAATATTGCTGCCGAGGCCCCTACGGTACTCCCACGGCCATTCTCATCAGTATCTCGCAATTCACCAACCCCACGATCACGCTCTCCACAGCCCTCAGGCCCTGTGTCTAAAAAGAACGCCCGAGGACTGTCCATCAATACTCAATTAGCTGCGACTGGAACTCCCAAAATCGTGCATCGTGCTATTCAGCCACCAACGCCCTCTACTGGCAACATGAAAAGACCTCCCAGCATCGCCCAAGTGATGAGCAGCCCCCTCCCGATCCCCAGCCCTGTCAGCCCACCCAAGTCATCGACGCGGGTCAAAGCTGCGGAACTAATGAACCTGTTCACCAAGACATATACGTCTGCCCACGGAACCCATCCAACATACGAATCTCTCCATGATGCCATTGTTCGGGAAGTGAACTCCCACGAAGCATTCAAGCGTGTTCCTCCACCAATTCCAGGACCTCCCTTCACACCCTCTGCCGAACAGATGGCACTTGCCAATTCCTCCGTCCAAACAATGGGACTAAATCGAAGTGCTTCAACCGCCAGTCGAATGAACAGATTCAAACACAAAAGATCTCCAGAATCCCCCCGCAGCATCTCAACCGGCGTCGGCGACAAATTCAAAAGAAAAGTCAGCTCTCCCCGTCGTCGACACACAGACGCACCACCCCCCTCTGCAGCCTTCCTAGCCGAACTCCAACCAAAACAATCTGCTGCCGCTTCCCTCGCAGCAGGAGAACCCATCACCTACATGGACGTCCTGCGCGCAAGCAGTGAACAGCCCACACTCCCAGACCCAGATGTTCCACGCAGAGGCCGCTCCGATTCCATCCCCAACTTCACTGCCACATTACAGTCCTTCCCTGATGTCCCTCTCCCCAAAACAATCTACTGCATGCAAGCACACTCCACACCTCCAAGCTCCTACGAAGAAGATGACGATATCATCCATCTCCCCAGCTTGGACGAGCCAACTCCACGCGTGCAAATCGAAGGCGTCGACGAGAATAATATCCGCTATGTCATCGATGCTGCTTCTGAGGACGAGGCCCAGAAACTCATGTGCTGGCCTCGTCGTATTCGCGGCGGAGTGGGATCGAATGCTTTTGGAAATAGTTTGTCGCCGTTGTCTCGTGCTCGTATGCAGCTTCGTGGCTCGAGGTCTGTGGAGACGTGTTAGTGTTGTTTTTGGGCATCTGCTGTCCTTGTATGATGATGATGATTATTTTCATGATTTCTTTTGCTCGAAAAAGCCGATCAGCCCTTTTCGCTTTTGATTTTGCTTTCAGTTTGCTCTGAGCCCTTGAGCTATACTCCTTTTTCTTGTCACACATTTTCGACTATACGTTCTCTCACTCTCACTCACTCACTCACTCACCTCGTTTTCCTATCTCATCTCAGTCTGTCATTCCCATGATATTCCTTTTGGTCTTCTCCTAATACCACACTTGCATTATTTGGCCGGAGCCTTTGTCATTTTACTTATTCTTGTCATATTTGACCCATGTACACTATACATCCAAGCGACTGCTGTTTCAATCAATAATCTACTATCATTACCACTGCTCCAAATACAAGTCTACTACGCACTAGCTATGTTTGCCCACAGAACTTCGCCGACTGCACCTTAGATCATTCATTCATCATTAGTGGCAATACTCCGTAGTCTACACAGGATGTCCGCAGAGTTCTCGGGGTTTGAAGGCAAGCTAGATCACACTAGAAAGACAGAAGTAGGACCGAAGGAATACTCGTAATAATTTCAAAAGAAAATAATGACATGTCTCATGTTCATAATATCATTGCCACTGCCTTTTCCCCTTCCTAAACTCCGACAAATCCACATACAAATTCCCTATCGAAAATGCCATGGATTTGTGCTTCAACTCTGCTCCACTATGCATTGGCTAATGCTTCAAAAACAATTCCCGTAAATCGCTCTGTTAAAGATTCATAGACGACTTGAGTAACATGGGATGAAAGCTCCAGCTTTGCATAAAGGTCAAAAGCTTAGTAAGAGCCTGGATATAATGGTTAGTAAAATGCTGAAAGGTGATATGGGATTGTAACTTACGGCCGAACATGCACCACTTCTCAGCAGGGCGTGTGCACTTGGGGTTGCAGCAGGGAGTGACGCCCTGCTCGATGCCCTCGGGCTGATCGAAGGGAATGCAAAGGGACTTGGCGCCCATGCTGGGAGCCTTGGCATCTTCAGCCTCGCCAGAGTCCTCCTCGGCCTTGCGGGCACTCATGTCCTTGATCTGGTCTTCACACTCCTCGGTCAAGCAGTGGGGGATGAGGCAGACGTTCTTGTTGTTGAGGGCAGGGGTGAAGTCATCCCACTTGGTGATCTTGATGCGGTGGGAATCGAACTGCTCAGCAGCGCGCTTGAACATATCAGCCTGGATAGTCTCCAGAAGAGCAGGGACACCAGTGGCCAGATCGGGGATAGCGATGCTACCCTTGCCATCCTTGCCGAGAACATCACGGCGGGCGGTGGTGACGAAGTGGCCGGCCGACTCGCCGGGACCGAACTCAATACGCAGGGGAATACCGCGCAGCTCGTAGCGGTTGAACTTCCAGCCGGGGGAGTTGGCGCTCTTGTCGCTGTCGGCGCGGACACCGGCAGCCTGGAGAACGGTGACAATGCCGTCAACCTCGGCATCGATCTTAAGACGCTCCTCTTCGGTGGTCTTGGCGGTGATACCGACGGGGACAACGATGACCTGGACCTCGGCCACTCGGGGAGGAAGGACAAGACCCTTGTTATCACCGTGGATCATGACCATGACACCGAGGGAACGGGTGGACAGACCCCAAGAGTTCTGCCAGACGTGCAGAGGGTCCTTCTTCTCGTCAGGCTTGGCGGAAGGATCCTCAACAGTGATGTTGAACATCTTACTGAAGTTCTGACCCAGACCGTGGGAGGTACCACCCTGGATACCACGACCAGTGGCGGGAATGTAACCCTCAACAGTGGTGGTGTAAGCACCACCAGCAAACTTCTCCTTCTCGGTCTTCTGTCCCTTGATAACAGGCACGGCAAGAAGCTGCTCATAGATGTTGGCGTAGTGGTCAAGGATGGTCAAGACTTCCTCACGGGCGGCGCCTTCAGTAAGGTGAGCAGTGTGGCCCTGTACGTTGTTTAATGTTAGTAACCTTGTCATGAGCTTGCGGGCTTGCGAGAAAACTAACCTCCTGCCAGAGAAACTCTCGCGAACGGAGCAGGGGCTGGGGGTTCTTGAATTCCCATCGCACTAGTCACATATCACGTCAGTAGATGTCGGAAGTAAACGAATATCGAAACATGTTCGTACCGACACTGTTCCATTGGTTGAGACGCAGGGGAAGATCTCTGTGGCTACGAATCCACTTGGCGTAGTAAGGGTACATGACAGTCTCGGATGTAGGACGAATGGCGATCTTCTTCTCCAGAGGGGAGGAACCGCTGAAATGGTGTTAGTATACTTCATAGTTCATGGTTGTTGGCTGTAATGAGCGCTTACGCATGCGTGACCCAAGCGACTTCAGCGGCGAAGCCCTCAATGTGATCCTTCTCACGCTGCAAGACATCCTCAGACACGAAAAGAGGGAAAGAGCAGTTCTTGACACCAATCTTCTTGATAGCCTTGTTGAAGTAGTCCTGGATCTCTTCCCAGATGAAGAACAGAGCAGGCTTCAGAATGAAACAACCAGAGACATCGTAGTAGTCCAACATGTCACCCTTGGTGAGGACTTGCTGGTACCACTCGGGGAAGTTGTCTTCCTTCGAAACATCGATACCAGTCAAGTGGGCACCCTCGACCTTCTTCTTAGGAGCCTTCTTGACTTCCTGCTGGCCAGCAGGCTTGGGAGCCTTCTCTGGCTTGATTCCGGCCTTGCGGTCGGCCTTCTCAGCCTGCAACTTGGCGAGCTTGGCGGCCTTTTTGGCAGCACTCTTTGTAATACCACCCTCCTGGTTCTCGGCGGGGGTTTGGGTGCGGTCAGGCAAAACCTGAGGGGTAGCCTCGGTGGCAGGGACGTCGGTGTTCTGACTAGCCATGTTGAATCGCAATTGACTAGACGGAGAAGGGGAGACCGTCAAAGATTGAGCAAAGCGAAATCGGGGATATGACTCCCCTCCGTGAAGTGGGATGCGATATCGAAAATTACCAGCACACCGCCTCGGCAGAACTTTTAGTGCCCACAGCGACCCCCCCGTATCCAGACAGCTCTGCCATCGCACTCGAATAGCTTACTTTCATTCGTCTGTTACAGTTATGGCAGGCATCTTCGAGGCCCCGCGGAATGCGGACACACTCTGTGAGATTCTTCGTTTCGAATTCGCCCCTGTTGCTGTTCACTGACCAATCTCTCGCACACAGTCTTGGGTGGGCAGAAAATCACCGGCGCTGATGTCCGTGAACAAAATGGTATGTCGGATCATTCACAAGGTACATGTGGTTGGGGGCATGGTAGCTGATTTTCTTGAAGTTCTGGCAACACAGGCTATCTCCAATGTCATCAAGAGCTCCTTTGGCCCCTCCGGCCTGGACAAGATGATGGTTGACGACATAGGGGTATGACTCGATCACGATTGAAGAGATATTCTAGATGTTGACATTGGCAGGATGTTACTGTGACAAACGATGGCGCTACCATTCTTTCTCTGTTGGATATTGAGCACCCCGCGGGCAAGATTCTTGTTGATCTCGCCCAACAACAGGATAAGGAGGTACATTCCACCGAATTCCTTATCTCAGATCTATACTTACCAACGATATTTTCATTAGGTTGGCGATGGTACTACCTCGGTTGTTCTCATTGCCTCTGAGCTTCTCCGGAGAGGTAACGAGCTGATGAAGAACCGCATACACCCTACCACAATCATCAACGGATACCGACTGGCCCTGCGCGAAGCCGTCAAGTATATGAACGAGAATGTTACGACTAAGGTGGACAATATTGGAAAGGACAGCCTGGTGAACATTGCGAAGACTTCCATGTCCAGCAAGATCATCGGTTCTGACTCCGATTTCTTCGCGAACATGTGTGTGGACGCAATGCTGCAGGTCAAGTCTGTGAACCAGAGAGGCGAGGTCAAATACCCCGTCAAGGCCGTGAACCTGCTCAAGGCCCACGGAAAGAGTGGCACCGAGTCTGTTCTTGTGAACGGTTACGCCCTGAACTGCACCGTTGCTTCCCAGGCCATGACCACCCGGGTGACTGATGCTAAGATCGCCTGTCTCGACATGAACTTGCAGAAGGAGCGCATGAAGCTCGGTGTTCAGATTACAGTGGAAGACCCCGATCAATTGGAGAAGATCCGCGAGCGGGAGTCCGGCATTGTTATGGAGCGTGTTGATATGATTCTGAAGTCTGGTGCCAACGTCGTCCTTACCACCAAGGGTATTGACGACATGGTCCTCAAGCTCTTCGTCGAGAAGGGTGCTATGGCCGTCCGCCGCTGTAAGAAGGAGGATCTGCGCCGTATTGCCAAGGCCACCGGTGCCACTCTGGTCAGCACCCTTTCTGACCTCAACGGAGATGAGAAGTTCGAGGCATCAAACCTTGGACACGCAGAGGAGGTCGCGCAAGAGCGGATCTCCGACGACGAGTGTATCCTCGTCAAGGGCACTAAGGTTCAGAATGCCGCCTCTATCATTCTCCGTGGTGCCAACGAGTTCAGCTTGGACGAGATGGAGCGCTCTGTTCATGATTCCCTTTGCGCTATCAAGCGAACTCTGGAGAGCGGAAGCATTGTTCCTGGTGGTGGTGCTGTGGAGACCGCACTTCACATTTACCTAGAGGAATTCGCAGTCACAGTGGTAAGTTGTGTTTCATTCCACTCATTACAATCCACGCTAACGCTACTCAGGGCTCTCGTGAGCAACTGGCTATCGGCGAGTTCGCCCAGTCTCTGCTTGTCATTCCCAAGACTCTGGCAGTCAACGCAGCAAAGGACTCATCCGAGCTCGTTGCTCAGCTTCGTGTCCGTCACGCCCTGTCACAGCGTGTGCAGGAGGGCGACGCCAATGAGGAGGAGAAGGCCATTGCTAAGAAGAAGACTTACCGCAACTACGGTTTGGATCTGATGAAGGGACGGGTTCATGATACCCTCAAGGCCGGTGTGCTGGAGCCCAGCATGAGCAAGGTCAAGCAGTTGAAGAGTGCCGTGGAAGCTTGCATAGCTATCATGCGCATTGACACGATCATCAAGCTTGACCCCGAGCAGCCGGCGGATGACGGCCATGGCCACTGAGTTCGACTATCAAACCCTCAAAAAGGCAGTAATATGATGTGACATACATAGATGACCGGTAGTACAAAGTACAAAAAATCTTAGTTCTGCTGCAACTGCATATGTCCCGATTTCAAAAGTAAATAACATATAGCCTGTAGCCCTAACTCCATATACATCAACTTTCACTGGCGCTTCTCGGCCATCAATTTCCGATACTCTTCAACAATGCTCCTCCGCTCACCAGCCAACTCCTCACGTCGTCGCAAACTACCAACAGCAGAAGGCACATTGGCAACATCAACCTTAGCACCACCACGGACCTTGAAAATCTCCCGAGGCTTAATCAACGAAGGCGGCGCAGGCGCAACCTCAAACGGATTCTTCTTCCGTTCTTGATCTCTCTTCTTCAACTTCGCCCAAGGATCAGGGTCATCGTCACCACTATCACCACCATCCTTATTCTTCTTCTTCTTCGCAACAAGAGCCCTCTTCTTAGCTTTCCCACCAGCCTCAATCTCCCAATCCTTCCACTGCTGCAACTCAACCTCCATTTCCGCCTCGCGCTCTTCCCTCTCCTCCTCTTCCCGTTCTTTAATCTTAGCCTCCTCCTCACGCCACCCACTCTGCAATCTCCGCAAATGCTTCTCATGCTTCGTCCTCTTCCTCTGCTCATTCGCCTTAGCCTCCCCAGACTTGCTAGTCTTAGTCATTTGCGAAAGTGGCATTTCGCGATCAACCCTCGCTGCAAATTCAGCAAGTCGCTCCCCAGGCATGATCTTCAGGCCCTGCTTCTCAGCCTTGGCAGTAGTAGAGGCAGCAACCTTCTCCGTAGCAGGTTTCTTGTTCGAGTCTGTGGTTTTCTCCGCCCGCTTCCTCTTCTTGGTACTCTCGCCTGTCTCCAGACCAGATGGCGCTCGTTTGCCCGTCGTTTGGAACTGCATTAGTCGGAGGAATGCTTTGGGCGTATCGTCTTCGGAAACACCTTTGCGGCGGTGATTGGGCGCTTTGTTGGCGCTGGGAGTTTGGGCCTGGGCCTGTTGGTTTTTGCCTTTGCCTTTCTTGCCATTGTTTTGCTTGGGTTTGCTTGGGTCGCGGACTGGAAGGGCTTTGGCGATTTCTTCGGGTGGGAGGTTGAATTGGCTGGTTGGGGTTAGCGCTGATGAGACAGTTGGGGGTTTTTTGGGTGCCTTACGATTTGTCGGCTTCGCCGCGTCTCTTGTGTTTGTGAGGCATTTTGGGCTGGGGGATTGGATTGAGGGACGTTGGAGTTGGGGAAAACTTCTACTTTTTTTCCCTGGCTTATCTTATCGCTCAAGGTACTCCGTATCATCAGGTTTCTGCTGCTATACTTCGGGATTTTATTTTCATTGCTTTTGAATATGTGTGCGCTACAGAATAAATTTTGATCTGCTTCATGTATTAAGAAATGTTTCTAATCCAACTTGGAGATGATTTCGCTATAATCGACCCATTGAGACGATCAAGGCTCAACTGCCCCGAATGATATGCTTCGCTAAAAATGACTCAAAACACCATAACAATGCCCGTGGGCAAGAAAATACCAGAAATGAGAATATTCAGAAAGCCCCCAGACGCCATGAAAAATGCAAAAAGAAAAGTAAAATTCCGAGGACGCAGGGAAAACATCATTCGTCTTCGTCGTCAATTGAATCCTTCATATCAGCCCAGCCACACTGCCAGCGCTTGCCTTCTGTTTCACCACCGGTTCGAAGATCTCGGGCTTCAGGTCCTTCACGCCAGCATCGAGCGGTGTAGTCGTCACTCACGGTGATGAGCTCCCCCTCTGGCGTCCAGGATAACCCTGTCACTTCTTTCTGGTGGCCCTCGATCAGGGCAGTGCCTGACTGGTGGATGGGGATTGTATCCTCCAAGCGTCCAGACAACCCAATACTAGAGTTGGTACGACGAAGCCCAGGGCGAGTGAACAGCGAAGTTCGGCTGGGTGTGGGTTCCACGGGCGCTTTCACGGGGTTACTCAGGAATCGTTCGTCGGTGGGGAACAAGATAGGACAGTGATCGGTGCTACCAGTGGCGAGCATTTCCGGGCGGTCTTGGCTTGCCTTGCGAACGGCTAACTTCACATAGAAGGAAGAGACCTGCAGGCGAGGGTGGCGGAACCCATAAAGAGGTCCAAGGCCATCTTTGTCGGAGCCACCGGTTCGGCGGGGACGGTTGTTGTGGATGGACATCTCAGGAGCATGGCCAAGGATTAAGTGGGATGTCGAGTAGGTGTAAACCGTGTTGTCGCGACAAAGTGTGTACAGTCGAGAGCCGTCTCCTCCAAACGCTATAGAGGTCAGGCCAAAGCGTCGATATTTCAGGTGACTTTCAGGTTCCTGTGTGGTGGACAAGGGAGCAACAGGTCGACCGCGGCGGTTGTTGTGTGCGGTGCGGATGTCCCAGAGTCTGACGCTTGCACTGGCCTCGGAGGCCGTGACGAAGAGGTTCTCACGGCCTGGTGAGAGAAAGGCGAGAGAAGTAACAGTGATATCTGTCCGGCCAACTGGCTGTATGTCACTTTTGTCCAGTACTGGCTTTTGGGAGGTAGTATAGGCATGGGCTCCCCCGATGGTGTTCAGAACGTGAGGGTAAAGCATCTTCGGAAGTGCAGTAGGCGCAGCTGGAGGCTCACTTTCACTTTCCAGAGAGCATCGCACTTGCAAAGCGGGTCGTTCAAATCCTTTGCAGCGAAGATCCCAGATATTCACATTGCCGTCTCTGCTGCATGTTGCAAGCACCTTGTTGTTCGATGCCGGCTGAAATTGGACACGCTTCACGGAAGACGAGTGGTTTGACAAGCAGTATATGGGTTGTTGTGTCGTCATGTCAATTACAAGAGACGTTTGATCTCCAGATGCAGTGGCCAGATACATGTCGTCGGATGAAAACTCCATGTCCATGATCGAGTTCATGTGAGGACGGAATCCAAGGTACGCATCGGTGAACCCAGCGTCTTCTTCAAAGGATGAATCCAGCAGTCGAATACCACCCTCTTCATCACCCACAGCTACCATCGAGTTTGCTAGTGATGTGGTTAGCGCAGAGCCAGAGGAGTCGGGTCATTTTGACTAACTATTGCATGAAGCGTTGCAGAACGGAAGGGCCGGTGCCCCCTCGGACGAGTAGCTAGAACAGGCGTGGAGATCCGCTGATTGTGAATAAAAATCGGAGGTGAGATCTTGCCAGCCTATGAAGCGTTAGAAACGGGATGCGAGATATGGGGCATGATACCTACCAACTCCGGAGTTTGCTCGTAGAGTGACTTTGTTTGGTCGCGAACCGAGCACACTTCGCATGAACAGGGCACCAGACGTTGCCAATGCCTTCGAGCGGCGCACGGGGGCAGCGGGGGGTAGCTGTTTCGGCACAATTGGAGCTTCCGGGGCTCGCAGGTCGAAGTCGAGGTTGGGGATTTGGATATCATGTTCGAGCTCACTTGTGGGGGACCGAACTCGAACTCTCTTCAGAGGGGACGATTGCGGGGGAGATGCGACTGAAGAGAAGGAGTTCTTTCGTTTTCGGCTCGGGGTTCGGATGAAGTCTTCCGGCAAGCCATCGTGAGGGCTTCTGGTGCCGGCCTTGGAGGTGCGGGAAAATGCAGGTCCTAACCGGTTGACGGCAGGCGAAGTGAGGGCTCTCAAGGCCTGACGACTCGTTGTCGGGGTACTGGAGTTATCGGTTGTCGGAAGTAGTGATCGTGGCGTGAAGAATCGACGAAAGGACCGGGGCGTCACCGTGGGTGGCTTCCTGGTTCGGCGGCCATCAGAGGCGATGGACGGAGGGGACGAAGGTGGCTGAGGGGGAAGGATGGGTTCTGAATGAGGCACATTTGGTAAATCAAAAGGAGCCATTGTCTCCAGAAGCGAAAGCGAGGCCGGAGAAGAGAAGCATTGAAGTGGGCCGAAAAGGGCTAAAGGGGATTTTGGGAAGTTCGGGTTTTCGTGATGCGCGACGTGACGCGCAGAATTTCATCCCCTCCGTCTTTTGAAGCCCCAAAATGAGTCTGTCGCTTTTTCTGTTTGGACAGATAGTTGAAGTTTACTTGGTTTGATTTATTGGATATTTTTCAAAATTATTCCAAGTCCTCTGGGGCCTATTATTAGCCCTCGACGCGTAAATTACCACTGCGGGGGATGTCAACACGGCCAAATTCCACTTACCCGCTACTTAAGTACTTGGGCTCTTCACACTTCCACTCACAGGCTCGAAATTCAATAACATGCTGGTTTTCCTCACTTGTTGCTTCTGAGACAATGTCAACTATGGGAGTATACTACCTCTGGCTTTAGCCTTGACCTCACCTAGGCACAATGCTCATAAGTATATGCTAGTAGCTCTATAAACCTCCAATTTACCGACCTCCAATAATCAGGAGGCACTGCTGTAGAGAAACTCAACAAGCTATATCCTGACGATGTTGATTTTTGATCCAAAGTATCTATACTCCAGGGCTCAAATACTTATTTTGAGTCCATTTCCAAGGTTCTCTATAATACTTAAGTAAGTCCCATGTGCAAGCTCTACTCAAGTAAAAGCTTAAATTGCTGCATTCAACCCTGCCAATTCAAAAAAGCTCTAGAGAATGCAGAGATTTCCAGGATTGACGGTGGTTGCACCCGTTGGACATTCGAGATATGAATATGTGATACCTTTAGCCCTAACCCAGACACAGACGCCGTCCAAGCCTATCTTTCTTTTCTTGTCTAACCTATAGATGTATTCACAAGCCTCTCCAGGTGGTACTATCCTTGAATTATGAAACAGTGTATTTTTGTTTGGAGTTTGTTGAGTGGAAAGAATGAGGTTGGTGCGGTGTAGGGACTTCAGGAGTACGGAGTGGAGTACCTTTGGATCACTCGCAAGAGACTCACATTAATATGAAGAGGAAAATTCCCAAGGTTATAGCTCTGGATAGCTGAGGCTTGAGGATGGAGCATCCATGTGTTTAGAGATATTTCCGAGGTTGATGCGGTAGCAATGTCTCAGTGCTCACACCCTGGTTATTTTTGACCGAATAGTAAGTATTTCCCCATCGCCAGGCGACCTCTTGGGCACAAATTTCCCATGCAGCTATCACGCACCTCTGCCCTTTACAAAATATGATAACCGCGGCGATATCGGGCTCTGGTATGGAACGTGTCCACTGATCTCCAGAGCTACTCGGTGGGTCACATCTGCAGCCAGACCCCCCCCAAGAATCGATAGTACCAGGATGTCAGATCCAGCCACGGCGTACGGCCCATCAATCAATCGATAGCGCAAACCAAGGTCCAATGTGCTTCCTGAATCACGATCTAGTCGGTTGTAATGAGGATTCTCGCGAACCATTGATCCACACAGTCCTGCTGTGATACGTCCAGACTATACACTGCGATCCTCAGCCGCGCCTCCCAGCTTTCCCTGAGTCGATCATGGCCGGCAGGGTACGGAGTACGAGTACACCGATGGATCATCTGTACGAAGCACCTGCTACCTATGTACGGTATACTTAAGTACTCCATACACAGACTTGTGTCCAAGTGTCACGCAAGGGGCTGAAGTCAACCGCAGACTAGGGTTAGAAATCTTTCCGATCCCACGCGCTTTTGTATAATAGTGCTATCAGTGTCAATTTGAGGTTCAGCCCCGCCAGATTTTTATTTTATTTTTCTTTCTTCCTTTCCAACATTGTTTCTTCCCAGTTGTGCGGGATGGCTGTCGAAGTCAACGATCTCGCAAAGGAGCATGGCTCCCAATGGAAGCACACGAATCGAGTCTACAAGATCCTCGAGTACAACTACATTGTGTTTCCTCTCACATTTATTCTCACTTTATATGGTAAAGGACTGCCATTCAACTTCTGACAATTCGCCCAAATCCCATGCTAACTCACTTCACCTGGGCAGCTGTTAAACATGCCACCCACGCGGGCGGGTACTATCTTGATATTGCAGAAGATGGATGGTTCAAGTCGACAATATTCCATGTCACCATGATGACGGTATTCCTACTACTGCAAATGCCGCCCTTTGGACAATTCTTAGGTCTATGTCTACCCATGCGACCGAACAAGTTCGCAGATAAACCAAGGACACGACGGCTAGGAACGCTCCATGTCTGCCTCGTGACAAAAGGCACCAATGTGTCGACTGCTGTCAATTCAGTCAGATGCTGGGATAATCTTTCGCAGCGTGAGAATCCCTCGGTCAAGTTTCACGTTCTTCTTGACAGTGAGAACTCCGGCGAACTGGAACAGCAACTTCCATCATATGTTGTCGTCGATAAAGTGCCTGAAAGCTTTTCGGTGAAAAAGGCGAAGTACAAGGCTAGGGCGCAGGAGTACTTCCGACTGAAATACAAATTCTCCAAAGAGGATTGGGTCTTGCATCTGGATGAAGAGTCCGAGATGGATGATCGTGCGTTGCAAACGACCTTGGATTTCATTGAGAGAGGCACAGGGGAGCTTGGAATGGTATGATGAATTTCAAACCAACCAAGAACTACTGCTGACAATACTGATTCAGGGAACAATCTATTATACCGCGTCCAATCACTGGACTAACATGCTGATGTCGGCTGCTGAGGTGAATCGAGTAGCCGAGGATTTTGGGCGATTCCAGTTGCCTCTACTGCTGCTCCGACGCCCATTCCTCGGCTGGACTCATGGCTCATGGCTGCTCATAAATGGAGCAGTAGAGAATGCGATTGGCTGGGATACTGATAATGTGTGTGAGGATTACTGGTTTGGCTACCATGTAAGTCTCTCAGGGTCGAAGTCTCGATTACGAACAGTGTTCTAAAGGGGATAACATAGGCTGCACGGCTCGGATATAAATTCGATTGGCTTCACGGTATCTTCCGCGAGCAACCGCCTTGCACATTACAGGATCTATGCAAGCAGCGACGACGTTGGTTCACCGGAATCTTTCGTTTTGAGCAGCCCCTTGCGGGTATAGCCCTAACATTTGGGATCCTTGCTGGAATCGGAACATTGATTTAGTATGTTCAAGTCGGTGTTGTCTACAGAAATTTGGATGCTAATCTTTATGACAGCCCCGGTATTGGTTTCCTCTGGCAAAAGCCAGCGGTCCCGTCTTGGTTCAGAGATATTATGATCTTCAACGATGCTGCTGGTTTGCATGTGCTCGTGTCTGCTTCTGTTTTGCAGGACATGAGCATTATGAACCAGTCATTGACATCTATCATCTTGCACGTGGTTGTATCTGTCATAACCCAACCAGTTGTGAATCTAGTACATATCGTGCTATTTTTCTCTGTTGTTCTGTCGCCCCCCAGGGGGTTTGATGTGATCAAGAAGGCCTGAGCAGCGAGCAAAGGACTCAATTGAGAACCCCTGAGGGTTCAAACAAAGAGCACATGATGTTTCAAGTAAATACTTAGTATATGAGCAGGAGATATAATGATGGACTAGAGTAGTTATGAATAATACGGAGTACGCAGTGAAAATGAGGGTCAGTCATGCATGGCCGAGACAACGTCAGTGTAGCCCCTTCAGTAGACCATAGATGGAGGACAGTACCTAGGTATATTCCATGGAGACTTACAGATGATTGACCGTAGATCTTTTGCTCTGTCAATTCCATCACGTGGAGGCTGAACTATTGCCGTCTAGCTATTTCTAGTCTTTTTTGGAACTTCCTTCATCCACATCCCCCCTCTTCCTGAAGGCACCAAGAATTCCACCACCAGCCGCCAAAATGCCCAGAGTTAAATGGATTGACGGTATTCGAGGAGCAGCAGCAGCTGTGGTTGCATTTAACCATTACTTCAATGGCGAAATCACTACGCCTTTCCGCACCTACTGGACAGAACCGCTCAAAGACAACCAACAACTCATTCAACTTCCTCCGATCAACTTTCTTTGGTCTATGGATGCCATGGTCCCCTTTTTCTATGTTATATCAGGCTATTCAACCGCAAGTGGCTTGCTAGAGCTTAGAGACAAGCAGTCTGAACTATTCATAGATCGTGTACGATCTTCAGCCATTCGCCGCTTCATCCGTCTCGCTCTGCCATTGATAGGATTGGGCGTTTTCTGCCAAATTACTTTTTTCTGTGGTCTTTTCATTCGATCTTTGCCAGAGGATTCTGCGCCCGGTCTTGAGCCATGGTCCTCACCGTGGAGTCACTTGGGCTATCTTTCCAGATATGTGGCAGACAGTCTGCAACTCTTTCAGATTCAGTACAATCATGGTCTGAGCCAGCAATTTTGGACAATTCCACTTGATTTACGTGGATCTTTTGTTGTCTACTTGGTGATTATCCTCCAAACTCCATGGCAGCCCCGCGTGAGACTATCGCTTTTGGCCCTCCTACTCGCGCATACTCTGTGGTATGGCATTTGGGACATGTTCAGTATATTGTCCGGTCTTGCCTTGGCCGAGATCAGCGCTCTCTATAACCGCACCGGCTATCAACCCAGATTCCTGCGTGGAACCATCAGTTATGTCATACGCTTCGCTATCGCGGCGTACCTGGGCTCTCTCAGCAGTAAAAACAGCTACCCTCCCGATTTCCGCGTTCTGGAACTTGCACAGCCATGGAGATGGTCACGTTACGATTGGACGAATGCGAGACAAAACTGGCATTCCATAGCTGTGGTCTGCCTATTCTCGGTCCTCATGCAGAGCCCTCGACTTCAAGGGATCTTGACCATGCGGCCCTTGCAATATCTTGGACGACTTTCTTTTGCTATCTACCTTGTCCATGTGCCCATATACCAGATTATCCGTGCTCCTCTGCGGGATTATCTTTGGCGCATTCAGGAGAATCGAGAATGGCCTGGACCTTGGGAAGCTTCCCAGAGCGTGTCGTCGTTTTACTCGTGTTGGGTTGCTTCTGGAATCGTTTCATACTTTACGGTCTTCGTCGCGGCTTGGTCATATACGCAGTATGTGAGTCCGCATGTTGAGCGAATCTCTAGGGACACAGATAAATGGCTGAACCAGACGGAGACTGAGGCTCTAGCTGAGGGAAAGAAAGGATTTTAAACATTGCAGAGACTACTTTTCAGCACCAATTGGACTTATACTCAAGATGTCTTGCATCGCCTTAGTTTGCTGGCTCATTGGTATTGTTCCCGTAGTTGCTGAGATGTTGGAATTGCGTGAGCATTCAAACGGAACCCTAATTGAGTAATGTTTACTGAGAAAGATCCTTGATCGTTTTCCTGTTTCCTCGACGATGGACTACATCGTGTACAATGAGCCATATGACCACCTCCCTCTCTTATTTTCTTAATCTCTCTTCACGTCTCTTTACTTCTTCACGTCTCTTTACTTCTTCACGTCTCTTTACTTCTTCACGTCTCTTTACTTCTTCTCATCACCCACACAACCCTTCTCTTCTTTCTTCTCACTGAGCCTTCTAGCCAGACCACTTGGCTCAAACAAGCTTCTGGTCTCCATCCACTCTACCATTCTATCCTCAACAAAACCTTCACCTTTAGGGTATCCAAAATGCCCGTCTTTTCAAAGGAGGCAATACTGCCCGAGCGAACAGACATCGACCGATCAAAATGCACCCGCGTGGTCCCCATGCGCGTCCTAGGACTCGGTCTAAGTCGAACAGGAACCAACTGTAAGATGCCCCCGGTCCAGGCAACCTCTACAACGAGTCAAAAGCTAACCTCACCCCAGCACTCCGAAGCGCCCTCCGAACCCTAGGCTATGACGATACCTACCATGGCTTCGCGGCCTTTATGGAGAATCCCCGAGATTGCGAGATGTGGCTGAAAGCCCTGGCAGCCAAATTCGACGGGCAGGGTAAACCTTTTGGACGGGAGGAATTCGACCAGCTTCTTGGTCATTGTCAGGTGGGGATCATTTGTTTCTACTTAGTGGTACAAGTACTGATCCTCAACGCTAGGCTGTGACTGATATCCCAGCCATCTGCTTTGTCCCGGAATTGATAGAAGCATATCCAGAGGCGAAAGTGATTCTCACACATCGTGATATCAACGACTGGCATACGTAAGTACAAGCCCCAACAAAATAACAACTCAACTAACTCTCCTCAGATCGGTGATGGAGACGATCATAAAACAAGTAGACAACCCGCTCACCAACATGGCAACACGCTTTTTCCTGATATTCTGCCGATCCTCATTCCAACTGCCAAGGAAGGTATCTGTCCATGTGTGTCAGAACTACTACCAGGATTTCAAGTTCAATGGCAGGCAGATTTACAGGGAACATTATGCTCTGGTGGACAGTCTTGTGCCGGAGGACAATTTGCTTCATTACCGAATTGAGGAGGGTTGGGAGCCTCTTTGTCGATTTCTGGGCCAGCCTATTCCTGATGTGCCGTTTCCTTATGGGAATACAGCTGCGGAGGTGCTGGCTAAGACCAGGGCTTTTATTGCGGTCGAGGCTATGCATGCTCTTCGGAGGTTTTGCGTTTTTTGGGTTATTGTTGTTGCTATTGTTGTGTCTGCTTTTCATCTTCTTTTTGCCTTCAAGGAGGTTTTGGGGTTCTTTTTGAGACTGCTTTGGGGCATTTGCTGTACTCCATTTCCTGTACTTCATTTCCTGTACTTCATTTTGTGTACTACATTTGCTGTACTTGAGGCTCGTTAGGATCTAGAATCCAGATAGAACTACCTTAGCCTTGGATGGGTGATACCTCGGGACCTGACACAATCGAGTCTTGTTTCTTGTTTTTGGCCCTGTCGATTGTGTAGAGTCAAATGTCTACATGTTAAAAGCCCACGCATCGTGATCCTGTGCTGTTTACACTGGCTCATACGTACTACAACTGAGAACCACTTGAGCACTATAAGATCGTACAATTGATTACTACCTCATCCAAAGAATAACTGATACAATATTTGAGATAAGAAAAAGAACAAAGCCAAGACACCCGAGTTAAGAGAAATCAACAAGAAAATAAAAAGGTAGTACACGCTGGCCACTCCAGCCACTCAATCTGTAATGTTGCATATTGGACATCCAAGTCATGCGGGTATCGATACATATCGCTCATCAGCCGTACAAGAGGCCTCACATCAGAGCCTACTCATCACCAAGCTGCCAGGTGGGCTGGTTGTGCGTAAGCGGGTTACGCATGGCAGTAGCAGTAGCATGGCGTCTTGGCTGGGGAGTTTCATCATAGTTATCCCATTGAGACTCCATCATCTTATTAGCCTTCTCGTGCTTGGCGACAGGGTCGGCATTCTCCTTCGACACAGGCGAATCATCCACAATATCGAACTGTGACACGAAGTTCTTGTTGCGGTTCTTGGTGTTCCCAGTGACGGCTAGGTGCTCGTTCTTCTTCTCGCGCTCGCTCAACTCGGGGCCTTCTTCGTCGTCGAAAAGACGGTTGTCGTAGAGACGTTGGCCACGACCACCGAATGAGCTGATGATGCGTCCTTCGTTCTCTTCTTCGTCGTCGGTCAATTCAAAGTGGCGCTCTGCATCGCGGCGGGGCTTGGCTACTTTGATCTCATCGGCGCCTTCGTCTTCGCTGACGTCGAAGTGACGGATTTGCTCGCCGCGGGGCGCACGGGTGGCCTTGGTAGGGGTGGTGAAATCATCGAACCCCCAGTTGGAGCGGTGGTACGTGTTGGCGTGCTTGGCTTCGTCCTTCACCTGACGTTCTGTGTTGTCCCCGCCAATCTCGAAATGGTCGTACTTGCCCGGGATGGACTTGTAGAAATGGCGGTCTTCGTCAACAGGGCCCAGACGAGACTTCTCTTCCTCGGACTTTCCGGGTGCGCGGCGCTGCGATCTGGAGGGCGAGTCGGGGACATCATCATCCTTGACGAAGATATCGCTGAAGTTGCGCGTGGCTGGGCGGCTAGAGCTAGGGGCAAACGGCGCGATCGCTGCCGGGGCCTTCTTACTCGGTGACAGGATCTCATTCAAGGATCCCGCTCCGTACGGATCTTGGTGGTATTTCTTAGCAGAGGATTTAGGCTTGGGGGGCTCCGCACGAGCCTCGAGTTCCGCAATTTCCTTGCTGGGCGACAGAAGCTCAGTCAAGGACTCGGCGCTGTAGGGATCCTTGGTATAGCGCTTTTGCGGGGATGAGGATCGCGTGCGGGGTTTGGTCTCCTGGGTTGGGGCAGCGACAGCGGCAGTCGAGCACGCCGCGACGGACGTCTTGAGAAGACGAATCTGGTCCTTTGCATCGCGAATAGGCCAGGCGCGACCCCGTGCGCCAATCACCTCGACTTGTCTCAGCAGGGAAGCCTGGTCCCAGTGAATGCGGATTTGTTTGATTTGCTGTTCGGAGTCGAAGTGGACGATGTGAATCTGCATGCATTAGTGTCGATCGGATGCGCGATCTCGGGGAATTTTTACCGTGGGGAAAGTGACGACGCGGTCGGCCAGGAAATTATCGTCCAGGGAGGGGAGATAGGCCCCGCCTCCCTCTCTGAACTCCAGCGTGGTCTCCATGTCCAGACATAGCGCATTGGAGCCTTCAATGGCATTAATGAGAGTGTGAGATCTGGTCTTGACGATCTGGGACTGCTTCACGACATGGGTGATCACATTGTCTGGCTGTTCGAACTTGGTGGTGGTGGGCACGTAGATCAGAGAGACATCGCCAGCCAATTTGGCGGTCTTGGGGTTAGCCAGGAACCGTTGGTACTCGGTCTGATAGTATGACATCGTTGGAGGTAAAAGAGAGACAATCCAAGGATATTAAAAAAGGGAGAGGGGAGAGACAGGGAGAAAGAGAGACAGGCCTAGAAGCGGGCCGGTACAGAGAAAAACAACAAGTACTTCATTATACTAAGTAGTAGCCTAGGTACTTGTACAGCCCCGAATACCAGGGGCTCCAACAATTAGCGCACGGTACCTTGCATGCAACCTGTAAATAACAAGGCTGCGCATGGGGAAATTGAAAAAAACACGCCAGTGTTTCAGGATGGAGGTCTAGGCTAGGTTTCGTCTTTTGCATACTCAGTACACATATATCGATGCTGTACCCTACTTCGTACATGTATAACTTATAGAGTACTTATGTACCTGCATTCCTGTATGATTTAACCTTTACACAGTACTTATTGCTTCATTCCAGTATGGCAGGGGGCATATCCATTGATCTCTGTATGGTACAAGGGTTTACGCCGATCTCTGGCCCCTTCAGCTCGGGCCTGCAATGTCCGAATACTGAAAAAGATAGGATCTCAATTGGTCTGCCCGGGAAACGCTGCAAGTCTATCAATAGGGAGCAGATGGTGTCCAAGTCCGTTTCTTTTTGGATGCAGGAATGCCCGTCCAAAGCACCCGTATCCCCGGAGTGGTAAATGGCGTACATTTTATCGTATTGAAGTTGGGTATGTGGTGCAATCGTGTCTCATTACAAAGGTCTGGAGGCCACGTTAGTACAAGCTTGCAGACGAAGACACTGCAGACTTACCCAAGATAATCCTCCTTGATGGTGCCAATAGCATTGATCGCAGCCACGTCGGGTTTCACACCGAGGATTTTCAGCCGCAAACTGGTGCCCTTCTCAATCACTTGGTCGGCATGGTCGGTATACTGCGGCGGCACGGTATTGGGCTCCCACTTAATATCCGAGGGAATGTTCTGGGTCCATAGTCAGTGGTCTGTCGGTTGCGAACGGGAGCACGGAGACAAACCTTGCGCGCAATGAAGACAGATAACGGGCCTGCCAGGGTGAAGATGCCCGTAGGCTTCACGGAGGTAACAATTGCATCAACCTGAGCGCAGTTAGCAATGGCTCTGGACGATCGCATTCTCATTCCAGCGCATACCGTCTCGCCACGGAAGGGCTTCCAAATAATCGCACGGTAGCGAATGGTGTATTCCGCTTGACCAATTCCAGGCATCACCCGCCCCTCGCCAATATCAACCATGTCCATGACACAGATCACGAAGTGATCACCGGTACACCGACCTTCTTCCTCCTCGTTGAGACGGCCGATCAGGTACTCTCGCATGTTGGGTCCGAAATAGGACGGGTGCATGGCGATGACCTTGGTCTCTTCTTTGAGAAAGAACATTGTCGCAGATGTGAGAAAGGTGCGCGAATCTCGCTGTGTGGATAGAGGGTCCAAAGGACGGCGGTCTCTTTCAAAGAAGTGATATCAATCGAGGTCGAGGGACGGCGTTGTCGACGAGCTCATGACCTGCAGCGGTGAGGCTCAGACAGGTTGTCGCCGTCGGGAACGAGCGGGGGAGATCCTGGGAGTTGAAGATTTGACAGAGAGGGTATCTGCCTTGGAGATCAGGCGAGGAGGCAGATACAGATGCTGCAGGCGCAAGCTTTCCCTTCGGTAGAGCATCGCTGGGGCGGCGGGCCAGGTTTGGATGGTCGGGTCACGTGAGAGCTGGAACAGACACTTCGATAGCAATTGGTTTTCGGTTTTGTTTTCTTGAGTCTTGTTTTTAAGTAAATATCAGGCAGTATTCCTGGATTCATTCGAGCAATTCTGAAGTTTGGGTCAAAACTGTGTGGTTCTAAAGTTCCCAGTTCTGGTGATTCTATATCTATATCATCTCTACTCCGTACAGACTACTACGACTATCAACTTTAAAACCAGTGGCATTTCAGTAGATTCTAACAACTGCATTGGATACTGTGACCAGTAAATTGGATGGCTTGGATACCTAAGATCATTTTTCTCTACCTATTGACAATCGATTACATATCCTCCAAATCAACCTTGAAAGTATATTTGAGAGCTACATATATCAGCCAACCCAGGGTAAGCCGGGCCTTCAGCTGTACGAATTAGCTTTAATTGCACTGCTTAGGCATCAATGATATACATTGTAGCACATCGCCCACAAGGATTAGAAATAACCGGAATAAAACCTTGGAATATGTTTTCAAGTGCAACAGCCCATCTTCGGGTTGAGATCAGATTACTGTATAACGGCGAGCTAGAGCCTTGGTAAGTACTCTGTAGGAGTGACATTGAGATTCCCAGACTCAAATTTAGCTAGCCCTCCAGGACTGGTAAGTAGTACTTTTGACCCCATGCCTGAGGCCTCAGAAATCGAGACTTGTACCTCCAATAAATACTCCATATTCCGGACTTTGTTTATAGTATCCACTCAAGCAACCAGGCATATATGGCCCAGCGACATTCAAAAATACTGCCCACGATTAAACCAAATAAACAACGGGCAAGTACAAAGTGTCCATGGATATTTATAAAGACAATGATAAGAATGTTCCAAGGTGAAACCTCCAAGTATGAAAATGCCGATCTAAGACGTGATGCCAAGACTGTGGTATCCTCGGCATTCAACACATGATTTTAATCTATTCCATCTTTTGTCACCCCGCCATATTCCCCAGACTCCAGTCGATACGGAATACTGCTGTTCCAAATGGCGCTTAATCTCGAGAAGCAGCTACTCTTTGTGAGCTCACCTGCACAATGACACGGGACGATCACTAACGGATGCAGTACGGAGCTTACCACAACAATCCGGTAGAGCCGCCTGATACTCCCCGTCGACAAACCTGCTAATAATACTCCCTACAGGTGAATGTCGCAATTCATATTACCTGCGTCCCTATTCTGCTAGTCACCGGCATTGTCCTGGTACGTCCACGGGTATTTCCCAAACCACCAGATGAGGAAGCTAACCCGCCAGGCCTGCAACTGCCCACCACTCTTCCCGGTGCCATCCGCCATCGAAGTCGCCAACCTTCCTGCCAACGCCGGCACCATTGGCGCCATCATCTATGCGACCTTCTACATATTACTGGAGCCGATAGCCGGGGGCCTGCTGGCGCCCGCCCTCATCGCAGCAGCTTACTACGGAAACTACTTCCTCAGCACGCACGGCTCAATCGTGAACTACTGGGCTGGTGGTATCCATGTTGTTTCCTGGCTCGCGCAATTTGTGGGCCATGGCGCGTTCGAGAAGCGCGCCCCAGCGCTCCTGGATAACCTGGTCCAAGCTTTGTTGCTGGCTCCGCTGTTCGTCTGGATGGAGGTGCTGTTCTTCTTTGGGTACCGACCCGAGTTGAAGGAGCGCTTTGACAAGGGCGTGGAGGTGGAGATCGAGAAGTTCCGAAAGCAACGGAAGGAGGCTGAGACGAGCCAGGGGAAGCAGTAGTGCATGCGCAAGGGCAATGGTTATTACCGGGTTTGCCCTGGCGGAGACCAGGGACTTTGGGGGGTTTGAAGCTTGAGAGAGCTTTTACTTGTTTTTCTGATTGCAAGCAGAGCGAATGATATTTGATTGAAGCAGGTGTATTAGCATGAGTATCAGGAGTAGTCACTAGGAGGCCAAGTAGCATGGTTGCCGTGACGAAAAGTATGACATAAGCATTCACCTGACCAGGAATTCCGCCGATCCGAGAAGAGAAAAAAACGGGACGAGTTGGCCCGCTCCTGTTCCGGTTATGTCCTGTGTCTTTCTTCGTTCAACAAAATTAAGTAGAGAAAATTGAGAAAAGAAGAGGGAAGTAATATATTGAATCAAAAATCAAGATAGAAAAGATCTAGAAATAAACACACCAGGGAAGTAAAAGAGAGGTGGCCTCAGGCTAGGGCCACCTCGGAGGACCCAGTGTCCGAAACGGCTTAGCGCAAGTCCTGAGAATCCAATCCTCCCCCCGACGACAAAGCTCTCCCGTCCACAATCCTCTCTCCTCTCCCGTTCTCTCTCCCCAATTACATCTCTCCCTCAGAGAATTCATCCTCCCATCCTCTGAACCACCTTTCACAATGTTCAGAAACGCTCTGCGGTCTTCAAGCCGCTCCGTTGCGGCCGTTTCGGCCACTGGCCGCATCGCCTCGGTGAGTCCATCCCCATCCCAGCCGACCTCGTCCATCGCCATTCCGACATCGTTCATCTCAAACTTGAGCTCGATCGGTGCTTAGATGCCATCCTACCCCGACCTCGACTTTGAATTTATCCTAGGGACACGTTGTCCTCCTATGTGATGGTCATTGACAAGTTTTTCGTTCCCAGGTCCGCGCGGCTGCTGCCGGTCCTCTCAACGGCGTTCGCTCCTACGCCTCCGAGGCCAAGGCCCAGCCCACTGAGGTCTCTTCCATCCTTGAGCAGCGCATCCGTGGTGTCTCTGAGGAGGCTGGTCTCGCTGAGACCGGTCGTGTTCTGTCGGTCGGGTATGTCAACTTCACCCTGGGCGGCTAGGGGCGCGAAGAAAAATTCGGTCCCCGTCGACAACCCCAACGAATCCGCCTTCAACTACAAAATTCCGGCAATTAAACGAACGAAAAACTGATTGAGCTTTGAATAGTGATGGTATCGCCCGTGTCCACGGTATGACCAACGTCCAGGCTGAGGAGCTGGTCGAGTATGTGAACCCCCCAAAGTCTTGGCATTCCCCAGCACCCGGAAAACTAACCCATCTCCAGGTTCGCCTCCGGCGTCAAGGGTATGTGCATGAACCTCGAGGCCGGCCAGGTCGGTGTTGTGCTGTTCGGTTCCGACCGTCTCGTCCGTGAGGGTGAGACCGTCAAGCGTACCGGCGAGATTGTAAGCCAATCCCCTCTTTCCCCCTTGGGGGTCCCCATTCTGATATCGGGCCCCAACTCCATCAACCATTGGAAAATGTCCACTAATTCCCCATCCAGGTCGATGTCCCCGTCGGCCCTGAGCTGCTCGGCCGTGTTGTCGACGGTCTCGGTAACCCCATTGACGGAAAGGGTCCCCTCAACGCCAAGGAGAACCGTCGTGCCCAGCTTAAGGCCCCCGGTATTCTGCCCCGTCAGTCCGTCAACCAGCCCGTACAGACTGGTATGAAGTGTGTCGACTCCATGGTCCCCATCGGCCGTGGTCAGCGTGAGTTGATCATCGGTGACCGTCAGACCGGTAAGACCGCTGTCGCTCTCGACACCATGCTCAACCAGAAGCGTTGGAACAACGCCAGCGCCTCCGAGGAGCAGAAGCTGTACTGTATCTACGTTGCCGTCGGTCAGAAGCGTTCCACCGTCGCTCAGCTCGTCAAGACCCTTGAGGAGCAGGATGCCATGAAGTACTCCATCGTCGTCGCTGCCACCGCTTCCGAGGCCGCCCCCCTGCAGTACATTGCTCCCTTCACCGGTACCGCCATGGGTGAGTGGTTCCGTGACAACGGCCGCCACGCCGTCATCATCTACGACGATCTGTCCAAGCAGGCCGTTGCCTACCGTCAGATGTCCCTCCTCCTCCGTCGTCCCCCTGGACGTGAGGCCTACCCCGGTGACGTTTTCTACCTGCACTCTCGTCTCCTCGAGCGTTCCGCCAAGATGAACAACAAGACCCACGGTGGTGGTTCCCTCACTGCCCTCCCCGTCATTGAGACCCAGGGTGGTGATGTGTCCGCTTACATTCCCACCAACGTCATTTCCATCACTGACGGTCAGATCTTCTTGGAGTCTGAGCTCTTCTACAAGGGTATCCGTCCCGCCATTAACGTCGGTCTCTCCGTCTCCCGTGTCGGTTCCGCCGCCCAGGTCAAGGCCATGAAGCAGGTCGCCGGTTCCCTGAAGCTCTTCCTTGCTCAGTACCGTGAGGTCGCCGCCTTCGCTCAGTTCGGTTCCGATCTTGATGCCTCCACCAAGCAGACCCTTGCCCGTGGTGAGCGTCTGACCGAGCTCCTCAAGCAGAAGCAGTACTCCCCCATGGCCGTTTCCGACATGGTTCCCCTGATCTTCGCCGGTGTTAACGGTCTCCTCGACACCATCCCCGTCGACAAGATCCTCACCTGGGAGTCCGACCTCCTTGCTCACCTCAAGAGCTCCCACCCCGAGATCCAGGCCACCATCGAGAAGGAGGGCCAGGTCTCCAAGGAGTCCGAGGCCAACCTCAAGAAGGTCATCCAAGCCTTCAACTCTACCTTCAACGCATAAGTGAAGAAATTACTCGGATGATCCCCCGTGGTCGGCTTTGTTTTCTTGACTATATGTGTATAGACAAGATAGCCTGTACAATTTTGAGCCCATTTGTTTTTCCTGTTCTTTCCTTGCCGGTGCTTAGATGGAACGTCCTAGCCGTCTGCCCTGTGGATGTAGCGATGTAATTGTCTGCATGATCCTGGGGCCGGACCGTGGATATCCCGTAGCGCTGCTATGAGCTAGAACTCGAAAGACATGAGCTGTCAAAATGTGATTATATCCTGTACGTTTAGATTTCATCCGCGCAGGGGCGCGAGATGGGAGGATACCGCTTTAATTCCGTCTGGTCTCCTATGCTCTCCATGTTGGACCGCAATTTATTTTTCATTTGTTTCATTTTGGTAGCTGCACTTTGTAGTCTTGTATTGTATGAGTTGGTGTCAACTTGTTAGGCTTCTAGCTATCGTGATTTCTACAGGGCATGCTGGTACCTCAATTTTCGAGACCACTCCCGTCCACATCTATACATGATTTCCATGTCTACATCACATCTTAGGCTCTTCTCCTATTCCTCGCCTATATCTAAAGTCTGGATATCTGCGGAGCCCTGTTGACATCCCAATATCAAGCCCACCCAGGTACTAATATGGATAGATGGGGCCTGAACTGTCACCAAACGTCTTTTTTCCGATTCCCACGAGTTCGGTCTACTCACCTAGATCCAATTGACCTCCTCAGGGTTTTATTCGTGTACTGCGTATGTGTAAATATGCTCGACGACATCGGCAAGGACCGCCGAAAACGGCATCCGATCTGTTATCGATAAGCGAACAATCTTTTTCCCGCGAAAATCGACCAAGTCCCTCGCGCAAATAACCTCATTTTCATACATTACCCTCATTAAGTCGTCATGTCCGCCCCTACAGACAAGCCTCCTTCTTCCTGCAAGGTGATGTTGAGCAAGAATGTTGCCAACCGCCTCCTCGCCGAAGTCCACGAAGGCCTCAAGACCCTCGAGAAGCCGCCTCACCTCATCGGTTTGCTGGCCAACAATGACCCTGCTGCCTTGACCTACGCGCAGATGACACAGAAGACCTGCGAGGAGAAGTGAGTTCATCCTTTGTCAATGTTGTTCGGTGCCAATGGCTTGAATTGCTTCGTTGGTGGGATGTCTGGTGGGGTTACTATGATTCATACATGCCCCTCCGCGAAAAAAAAAGGGACATCCCAAACCACCAAAAATCAGTTACAATGTCGAGATCAACCGCAAAATACTAATATAATGCAGTGGATTCAAGTACTCCATGCGTGAGGTGTCCCGTGACGACATCGAGGAAGCCATTCTCGCCGCCAACGCCGACAACAACGTTGATGGAATCATTGTCTACTACCCAATTTTCAACAACCGCCAGGACCAATACCTGCAGCAGATCGTTGACCCGACCAAGGATGTTGAGGGTCTGGGCCACCGCTACATCTTCAACATGTACCAGAACGTCCGGTTCCTGGACGGTGAGGCCAAGCGCCAGAAGTCCATTTTGCCCTGCACCCCACTGGCCAACATCAAGATCCTCGAGTATCTCAACATCTATAACACCATCCTTCCCTACGGAAACCGCCTGTTCGGTCACACCATTTGCGTGGTGAACCGTTCTGAGGTCGTTGGCCGGCCGCTTGCTGCCCTGCTGGCTAATGATGGTGCTTGCGTCTACAGTGTCGATGTCACTGGCGTGCAGAAGTTCACTCGTGGAGAGGGACTCCAGAAGAAAACTCATGAGGTTCACGACCTCGAGGGCAAGACTATCAAGGATGTTGCACCTCTCTGTGACGTTGTTATCACCGGTGTTCCCGGTGAGAACTACAAGTTTGACACTAGCCTGCTGCGGGACGGTGCTGTCTGTGTCAACTTCTCCAGCGAGAAGGTATGTATTCGTCGTCATTCATTTCTTGAAAACGTTGGTTGACAATTTCCCAGAACTTCCCCTACGAGGTGCGAGACAAGGCCTCTCTCTTCGTCCCATCCATCGGAAAGGTCACCATTGTTGTCCTGCTCCGCAACTTGCTGGTATGTTTCACTTTTTCACCTACCCACAGCGACATTAGAATAACCATTTCTACAGAGACTCATCCAAAACAAGCGTATGGATGATGTCAAGCCTGCCGAGGCCACAGAACGCCCTGGCACCCTCGAGGCTGCTTCCTAAGTTGCCTTTCCCTCTTAGACTTGATTGGTTTCCATGGCTATGTATAGTAGGCTGGCCGTGCCGTAAAAATTCCCATAGATATTCTGTTTGTTATTAGCCATTACGATATACTCTGAAACTTCACGCCCCATTCCCTTTTTGTGCTTGATATATTGTAGTCGAATTTGTGATTTAGAATATGGACCTGTCTGTAGATCTTGAACCCATGGTACTTATACTGCAGGATCGATGATCTGATGCTTGAGGAACCTGCAGCTTTAGAACTTAAAGAACAACCTTGAACTTTCATGACTACTTAAGTAAAGATATGCTATCCGAGAGAACAATGTTCAAAAAGAAGATGAGACAATTTGTGTTCATGGCTTCTGCTCATGAATCATGCAGAACCCCATATCACCCCGACTTCTTATCACCCTGCTTGGCAGCCAATCTCAGAACATCAATCTCACTAGCAACCCAGCGGCGGAAAGGCTCAGGGTGGAATATGCCTTCAGCCGAGAACCAAGTAGTGAAAGGAGCTTCGTATCGCTTGTCCTGTAGAACTTTCCCAGCAGCAGATTTATAAATGACATGTAGCTTGTAGATGCTAGAGAACTTGCCAGCTGACGATGAGACAGATATCTAGTGGGTTTGTTAGCATGTCACTATGAATGAGTGCCTGTATCGCAATGTCCAACATACCGTCTCGCCTGTCTTTCTCTTCCCGGAGTATACCTCGCCAGCTTCGACGGCCCAAATCCAGTATGTGAGGAATGTGTTCAAGATGAAGTATGTTGCTACAGAAGCAATGATCCAAGGTGATGTTGTTGCTTCCCAACCAAGGGTGCGGTCTGCATAGAATGTGAAGCCAGCGATTGCAACAGCGCTGTAACCAACTAGAAAGCGGATGTTTGTTTTCGAGTAACTTGGCGTGAAGGCGTATGGAGTAGGCAGATTGGTCAAGTAGGGAAGAATCGCATCATCGCTGGCGGACTTGAGATCTAATCCAGGTTAGAGTTGTATAGAGATGGAGATAGGAGTACACACCATTGGTCGAGTAGACCGGTACTTTGGTAGATGCCATGGTAGTTATTAATATGAGAATCGAAAGACCGCAGCAAAGAGAGTGATTTGCGAGACCAGATGTTTTGTCGAAGATGCGGCGTGGCCCTTTGGAGAAAGCTGGAGCTAGCGCGGGCCAATGACAGCCCTCTCCGCCTCAACCTCTCCTTCGCCCCTTCACCTTCGCATCCCCCACCAACCACCATTAGAAGTCCACGGTTGATCTAGTATTCAATCATGGCTATTCAAGGGGCAGAGCAGACCATCCTGAGGGATCCGGCGCTATTGTGAGAGAGCCAGATTGACCGGTCTACCGCAGAACTGACCATTTGCCTATAGCTATTGGATTCTGTTTCCAATTTCGATTGTTATGGTACGACGATCTCGACACAGACATATTTGCTCATATCCCCCGATAACTAACCCGATCACTCCAGATTCTGACCGGAATCCTCCGCCACTATGCGACAGTCATGATGAACAATCCGCCAAAGTCAGCAGCCACACTCGCCGAGTCCCGCGAGCGCCTTGCTCTCCTCCGCGGCGTAAACCTCCGAAACAACGCCTGCTCCGTGCTCGACCGCGAGGCCTTCGAGGTTCGCAAGAACTACATGGTCACGGGATTCCGCAGCGGCGCATTTTTGAAGGACCCCAACAACCGGGGCCAGCCGCCCGCTAACCCCATGACTGATCCTGCAGGCATGGAGGCTATGATGGGCATGCTGAAGGGAAACATGATGATGATGATCCCGCAGACTTTGATCATGAGTTGGATTAATGCCTTCTTCTCTGGATTCGTGATCTGTATGTAGCATTGTGCTCTCTGTCTTTGGTGCTGGACTGACCCGACACTGCAGTGAAATTGCCCTTCCCTCTTACAATTCGTTTCAAGTCCATGCTGCAGTCTGGTGTCATGACCCGTGATCTGGATGTGCAATGGGTCTCCAGTCTTTCTTGGTACTTCCTCAACTTGATGGGTCTGCAGTCCGTTTTTGGATTCATTCTCGGCAGTGATAACGGTATGATTGGTTCTGATCTAAAATTAGCAGAGGTATCTAACGATCTGTAGCTGCCAACCAAATGGCCCAGCAAATGGGTATGGCCAACCCCGCCGCAATGGTCAACCCATTGCAACCCGGTCAAGATCCCGACAAGCTATACTTGAGCGAGGCAGAGAACCTGGAAGTGATGGAGCACTTCTGCATTTTGGACGGCGTGGAGGAACGAATTTTGCAGAACTTTGCTCCTGCTGGAATCTAAACTTGTGAAGTGGCATAGAACCTAGGAATGCGAATTTAGATGTCGGTGTATATACTTGTTTCCAAGGTTGGTAATCGCTGGACTTTACACTACAAATCACAAAGATCAATGTTCCTGAAAGCTGCAGGCTCATGAACTTCTCAAGTTTAGAGCCTAGGTACGCAAGCAAGCCCTAGAGGTAGGTAACCTTGAAATGCTCCTTATTGCAATCCATAAATCATAAATTCTCGTAGTTCTTAATCAAATCATTCCTGGCGGTAATTGATCACATTGTTCAAGACCCAAACTTCGCCATTATGAACCTTCTCTGCAACCGAATCAACTTCGATATTGCCAGGCTGGATCTATAAATGACCTGTCAGTAGAGCCAACAGCCATCTGCATCAATTCAAACTCACAAACATCTTGTCACCATCCTTGGTCCACGTCAGTTTCTCCCCTGCCAAAGTTTCCACCTCTTCCCCAATCCTCCAAGGACTAACGGGGATAAGATGGGCTTCCACAAATCGTTGTAAATTGCGTTTTGCCCGGTCCTGACCATCGGAGCCTTCATATGCATTTACCTCACCGAACTTCTCATAGTCTGCTGGATTCTCCCAGGGTTTCCGTGGAAGATTCTGTATCGCACTGTTGCGTGGCGCAAGAACTGTGATGTTCTTGGATCCATCGTTTAGCCGATTGGCGATTGCGTCAAAGTCACGGGTTAATCGCGCAAAGACGTTGATCGCCTTGGTCTTGGGCAGCACATCTGAGATAATAGGGCTATCGCTGCTTTCCGGGTTCACGTCCTCGTCTGGGGCTGTCTGCTGTGGCCGGACGAGCCCAGATAGAATCTTGTCCATCATTGATTGATGCTCTAGATGTTTGAGAAGTGGCTGTTGGCGTGAGGGGAGGGATGAAGATGGATCCCAGATTGCGGACGTCGAGCTAGCAAAGATAAAAGGGTATAATATCAATGTGGTTAGTGGGTTCAGTCTCATGTTGCAGGGTTAGAATAAATAACTTGAAGTCTGAATGTACATCTGTTGCGTCATGGCAAGACACACGTGACGTGGGGAGATTGTGTCACCTGATTGTTATCGATAAGGGCATTCGGCCACAAGAAATTGGCCGATGTGCCTCTTGCCCTTCACACGCCTGGTCCTGGTTAATTGATAGAAATCATGTCGGCCTTGCAGACCTTCATGCTGGTCGTGGACCACGACAAAGAAGAAGCCAAGCGAATTGCTGAAGGAATTGCACATGGTATGCAGCATCACCCCGCACTCGAGTCCACTCGAAGCACTGCATTACTAAACGAAAGAATTCCAGATGTTGAGACCAAGAAAGCCACTTTGATTGATACCGTGCAATCGCTCGGGGAATACATCAATGACGAGGACCCAATCCTGCGCGGAAAAGCCATTTCCTACCTGACAGCCGTTATCTCGGCCCTCTCACCGAAGTACCTGACGAGACAACAGATCCAGGTTCTGACTACATTCTTCTGTGATCGGATTGAGGATGGAGGTGCTGTTGCTGGATTGGAGGTCTTGCAAGGCCTGGACCGGTTCAACAGGTTCCTGGCTACGCAGGTTGCTCAAGCGTATGCTACCTCAAAGCTTGCGCCGCCATGTTCTATACTTACTTTGATACAGGCTTTTCTCGAACTTCCAGGATCTTCAATCTCGATCTCAAACACAGCGTTTCCACGTCTATCAATTGCTCAATGATCTGATGTCGAACCACCGCGCAGCAATGCGTGATATGGGAGACATCTCCCTCCTTGGCGTGGTTGATATAATGACGGGAGAGAAAGACCCCAGAAATCTGATGATGGTGTTCTCTATTCTGAAGGTGGTCATGGTGGAATGGGATATTTCTAACCATACAGAGGTATGTATCCGATTCTTTCAACGCAATAGGTCTGATCACTGACTTCCAATAGACACTCTTCGACTCTGTCTATAATTATTTCCCTATCACATTCCGACCTCCACCAAATGATCCTTATGGAATCACGGCACAGGATCTGAAGGGCCGTCTTCAAGACTGTATTGCTTCGACGAGGCGCTTTGCTCCCCATGCTATCCCCGCATTGCTGGACAAGCTTGATTCCACCTCTCCTAATGTCAAAGTAAGTGTACTCGCTTATTCCTTCCGACCAAAATCTGACATCAATTACAGAAAGATGCTCTCAATGCATTGATTGCTTGTATTCAATCTTATGATCCCAACACAGTGTCCAAGTTTTCCGTTACCGTTTGGGAGGTCCTCAAGTTTGAGATTCTCAATGCGCAAGAAGAGTTCCTTTCCGAGACCTCCCTTGAAGCATTGCAACTAATCACACGCCGCCTATCAGAGGGTGTCACGGAAATCTCCCAGGATCTTCCTCTCGCAAAGTATCTTCAGCCAATCACCAAGGAGTGCAACGAGCAATTGCATGAACCCCAAAACAAGCAGGCCAAGCCTGCACAGTCTATTCTTAGTTGCGTATCGGCCGCTTCTCCCGTGTCCTTTACGCTGGTTGTTCAAACTGTCGTTGCTCCTGTTTTTACGCTATACCAAGAGGCTGATGGCATTGTCAAACAAAAAGCACTTCTTGAGACCCTCAATGTCCTCTTTGAAGCTGCAACAACCATATTTGGTCAATGGACTACCCGAGGGGAAGAGCTTGCTATCGATAACCCGTTGCTGGAGTTTAAAGATCAGCTTTCAGAGATCCTCGGTCAAGTATTGATGGGAGCTGCTAAGGAGGAAGTTTCTTTCCGAGTCACTGCCCTAAAAGGATTTTTGCGCCTGTCGACACTGCGCAACTTTTTCCAAGACAATGAGATTGGTCTTTTCGTGCAATACCTGGACGAGATTCTTCTGAAAGAAGAGTCTGTTGGCCGGGATGACTTGAAGAAAGAAGCAATTGCTGCACTTGCTGAAATCTCCAAGCACAAGCCTAGGTTGATCATAGACATCACTTTCCCGGCATTTGTGGCAACATTGCCCGAAGAGGATGAAGGATCTGATGCCCTGTATCTGCCAACCCTTGAGATACTTGCGCAAATCAGTGTCGAGAGAGATATTTTCGAGACGCTTTTCCGCCGCTTGTTCAGCAAACTGTCCATCCTGCTACAAAAGGAGCAGCCTGGCTCTGTAGCCTACCCCCGGGCTATTCTAGTCACTATGCTCTACGTGATGCAGCAGAGAAACATGGAACAAGATCAAAGTATTGATCTGTACTACAACAAGATTGTTGTTGGTCTGTGTCGTGATGTCGCAGCATCAGCTTCCGGTATGGCAAAGAATCGGATTCTTAATGATCCTACCGTGCTTGACACTTTGGGTCGGCTCTGCAATCTTCTTGTGCGGTCTGTTTCGACCGAGAAGCAGGAGCAAGTTACCGAGAATGTCTACACTCTCTTCGCTACCAGCGATGAGTTCGTGCCCCTTCCATTCAACCAGAATGCAACTGCAGACCAAGAGCGTACGATCATCATTTCCACCTACTTGCTTGCAGGCCTACCAAAGGATTCTGGCAGCCGGCTTCCATATGTCACTCCCGACATGTCGGCCTTGCTATTGGATCTGGTCAATCGCTCGGTGTCCAGCACCGAACCAGCAATCCACCAATCATACCTCCGTCACCTGGCCCTGCTCGTCAACAAGTTCCTGTCAAAGCAAGATCTCTCAATTGCAGAGCAACTCTTCGATTCACTCCAAGGCCAAAGCACAGAGCCAAACAGCTTCAACCACGCGACAATCCGCACAATCTTCTGGCTAGCAAAGGCACTAGTCCTCCGTCTTGCACCAACAACAACCCACATCTTGACCTCCCTCCTCACCCTAGTCTCCTCCCCAGACCAACAAACCAGCGTAACAGCCGCCCAGTCATTCGCCATCATCCTAAGCGAGGACGACATCCTCTCCTCCACCAATGGAGCCACAATCCGTCTCCTCTGCAGACAAAAACTCTTCACAACAGTCATCCCACTGATCTCCTCTCGCATCCGAGAAGTAAACACAGAGACAGAATCACTCACCCCACCCCACATCAAACCAGCCCACCTAACAGCCCTCTCTGGAATCCTCTCCACAATCCCCACTTCCCTAGTAATGCCCGAACTCCCAACATTACTCCCCCTCCTCCTCCAATCCCTGGATCTCCAAACCAGCAACTCAACAGCAGTCAGAAAAGCAACACTAGACACACTAGCCGTCATCATCCGCGACAATGGCGTAACAGTCATCGATCAAACAGGCCATGTCCAAAGTCTCATCACAAGACTCCTCAAAACAACAACATCCGACAAAACCGCATTCAACACTCCCCGTCTAAGAGCAGACGCATTGAAATGTCTCAATCTGCTAGCAGCAAACCAGTCTCCACCTGGTACTGCGCCTAATGCTCGTGCTCCACCGGTTATTTCGCCCCTGTTGCCTGTCAAGGCTCAGGTTCTGAGATCTTTGCGTGTTGTCCTTGATGATCCCAGACGTGATGTCAGGAAGGCTGCTGTTGATGCTAGGGGTGCTTGGCTTCGTGGTGTTGATGATGCCCCGGAAGAGGAGGATTGATTTGTGTGATTTTGGGGGTACAAAAGCTTAGAACGAGGTGTACTCGTGCCTTGATTCCACATATGCATCATAGATGGTGGACTTTGTATAGGTTCTTCTCCCATAAACCAGCATTGATGTTTTCGACACTTCACTCCTGTTTCTATGCTTAGATTAAATACGTTTCATCCAAACTGCATCTACGAGTTATTCCTACAGGTTATCTCTTAGCATATACTCAGCCCGCTACGGAACGCAATTTTGTTGCAAAAGCAATTTTCATTTCCTACGGGGCTGATATTTTTTTTTTTTTTTTTTTTTTCTTTCTCAAAATCAAACAGGCCCCAAAAACACCCGCATTAGCACTCACCACTTGTGCTTCTTGGAGGCCACCTTGTCGAGTGGCTTCCATTTCACAATTTCGTTGTGCCGGGCCAGCTCAGTCTTGGGCGCACCCTTCATCTTGCCCTTCCCCCAAAAGTCAGGATCCTGCTTGAGGTGGGAGGCAGGGCCCCTGTTGTGGTACCCGATGGCGTCGATGTTCTGGACAACTATCTTTGCCAGTTCGAACATCGGAATGATTCCGGAATGTCCGATTTCTACTCCCAGAGGAGCCAGCTCGATGAAAGGGTCGAAGAGCTTTGCGTCCTTGCCCAAGAGGTCTGTCGGGGTCCAGGTTTTGGTAGGTTTACCGGGAGCCTGAGAGCCTGGGTTGAAGTTATCCCTCAGAGCTTTGTCAATCACAGGATTGTGGATTGAGGCTTTCCACCAGTACTTGCATTGTTGGATCATTTCCTCATAAGGGATGCTTTTGATGACCAGAACCTTGGGGTCGAGAATGGAGGGTGTCATCTCGAGCACTTGGCTTTCGGTCACTTTGAGGAAGATGTCCTTGCTTTTCTTGGATAACCAACGGTGGCTTGTACGCCGCTCCATAACAACCTTGTCAATAGTCATGATCTCCTCGGGCGGAGGACGGATGAGCATCTGAAGTTGCTCGCTCTTTGGGTCGACCCACAAGCTGTCTTTCATCTTATCGGCCGCCTCCTGAAGGCCTGGCTCGTTTTTCAGGTAAAAGTGAGTAGACCCTTGAATGGAAGCGGAAGCATCCCAGACCTGAGCGGGGAAGCTCATGGAGGCATTGCCCAGCGGAACAGGGGCATACTGGGAGAAAAGGTTGCCTTCGCGGTCGAAGTAGATGACAAAATCGAGACCAGAGCTTGTATGGCAGTGGAAGTGGTATCTGATTCCCGCATACATAGCTTTCTGCTCAAAAATAGGCCTTTGGTCAACCTTGAGGGCAATGAGATAGTCAATATCCGAGGGAGACGTGGTCAGTCGATCAAAGAAACCAGTACGTGGCGGCGGCAAACCATGCTTCGAGAAGAAAAGCTCATTGACATCATTGAATGTCATTTCTTTTCCTTTCTGTGAGGTCGACAACTCCATGACAGACACGAGACCGAGCCCAACCTCCAGGCTCAATCTCCCAGAAAATTTTTGAACTTTCTGCAGAATTAACCTGATAGAATCATAAAGATCTCTGGCTGATTCAGTGAGCTCTTGGCCTCCGCTCAGGTTCTCCCAGAGGTGATCGCCTTCGGGACTCTGGTGAAACATCGTCTCGCGGAACACTCTGGTCAGGGTCTCCTCGTCGGATTTCAATTTCTCATTGCATGCTGGTTCGGAACCTCCAGTAAGCTTCGAACCACCAGGCTGAGGCACGTCGGTATGACCTGTAAGCACAAGTTCCTCAGATGAGAGATCAAGAAGGTCTGGATGGAGGAAAGGAACATTCTTTTGCTCCTTGTCTGTGGCTGAGGCCTTTTCACCCGCAGGAGTTGAAGCATTGATGGACTTATGGTCAGGAGAATCAGGGATAAGAAGTTCCACAAGATCGGTCTGAGTAGAGACAACAGGGACAACTTGGGGTGTACTCAGATTGACGAGATGAGCTTCTGGCACGTGTTCCCTTTTGATAGTATCTTGCAGATACTGCATCAATCCCTTTGCATGATCTTTCAGAGATGTGCTGGGTGACGTTTCTCCCTCGTTCTCCGCTGGTTCTTTGCCGCGGGAGATATCAGGGCTAGCTGGAGACTGGGGGATCACAGTGCTCCGGTGGGTATTCAAGTCATGGTCATCAGCACCAGAGGCAGACGTGGGGCTAGAGCGGCTACTTCGGTCAATGATCGCTCTGATATGGGCTCTTTTCCAGCCCGGCTGAAGTCGACTTGGAGTAGGCGAGTCTGGCTCAGCGCTGGACTCCCTTTCGCGAGTAGGAGTACTTCCGTAAGACTCCGGCGAGCGCTGCCAGTATTTCTCGCGCTTTTCCATGCGATAAAGCATAGATTCCCTCTGCTTGGCGTTGTGGTCCTGGGAATTGGCCTTAGTATCCTCTGGTACATCTGGACGCAGGGCCAGAAGCTCATGGGAAGGATAATGCTTGCTATCCGACTGGGGCTCATTGCCAGTAGTGACATCCAGGTCATCGAGATCGATGAGCTGTCCAGAGACTGGAAGTGATGCTGCCTTCGGTTCACCAGAACGGATTGGAGTTGATGGGGTTTTCGCTGTAGTCACGGCCGTGTTCAACCAGGTAGATCGGATCTTTTCTTTGATCTCTTCAACGGTCAAAGCGGCGGGGCCCATGCTGCGCTCAGTTTGGGTAGGAGGTTTGGATGAACCCGCCACAGTTTCAGAACGATTGGTAGGTTTCGCCTGAGGCTTGGAGATATGACTGCCAGCAGACGGGATTGGCATTGTCGGAACGTTGGGGAGCGAGCAAGATGCATCTGCTTCAACCCGATCTGGTCCCTTTCCCAATGTCTGGTCGCCTAAGTGCAGATCTTCCCGTGGAGTGATCACTTTTCCGACAGTGTCAGTTGACTCGTCCGTTGGAAGCAGGATAATCTGGGTCTCTGCTGATGGGGTTTTCAGAGGGCGACCTGTTGGGTCATCATCCAGGATCGATGTTTCGCCCTCTTGCGCCTTCTCCGCAGAGAGATTGGAAGGCTTTGCAGCTTCTTCCTTAGGAGGAACATCCACCTTGCGAGCAACATGCTTGTCGATATCGGAGATAACATAACGATCTCTGGAGCCAACAATTTCCGGGAACTTGATGCCCCTCCAGTCTTTGCTGGTGACCACACCGGGTTTCATTCCCACCTTTGGTGGGTTGCGAATGTTCACAAGTGGCTGGCAAATATTGAGATCTGGATGCAGTTTACAAACCACCAGCCTCATCAACGAGGTGAGAGAACGAGCGTTTGGGAGGTCCGATAGAATACGGAACACAGCCGTTGGACTGATGGTCATATAGGGCATGATGCGGAAGACCTCGTGTTGGTGCCTGGGGACATGGAGGATAAGGTTCTGTGGGGGTAGTGCAATCAAGTCCTTGAAAAGTCAGCACAGTGAGCTTTAAGACAGAAAATCATTGAGACATACCAGGCATCCATGAAGAAGTTCGAGTGTCTCAATGCTCCCACGGACCTTGTCCTCGGTCGACCCAGAGATCCGAAAGCCGTTTTCGCCCTCAACAGTGATCAATTTGACAGATGTTCCTTGTGGTATCCAGATTGTAGGGACAAGACAAAGGGACGATGGGGTGAGTGGATACAAGTTATGCTCGGAGGGCAGCCAGTTTTCATAATAGGAGCCATCTGGGGCTCTCTTCTCTGGCTGCAACATCTCCACCAGGATTGGCTGACCACTCTCAAGAAGCTTGGTAGGAGGGATGGGCATGGTTGCAGGGGGACTAGACCCTTTCAAAACAATGTCTGGCAAACTGACCAGCTCATACACCCGAGGGACCTGTGAGAAGAGAGACGGTTAGTACAAGCAGTCTCAGTGTAGTATGATATCGGATCATGACCACATCTTATCGGTCGCAGTGTAAACACCTACCTGGAAGACATCGACCGACCGGTTCTCGTCGATGAACCTCTCCAGCAGGTCGGTGATCCGGTCTTGGTCATGGCGCCTCAGTTGACCGGTTGCCACCAGCGACTGGAACGGTCAGCATATGAATGAATACCAGATAGGACGACAACTTACATGGCCCTTTCGGGAGTATGTCACCTCAAACGAGGCGTTTGGGAATTCCTCACTGCCGATATCAGTACTGAGATCGAAGCGATCGCACATCTCGCTTACCTGAGGATCGCTTTGAACTCTTCGACCTGTTTGTCTGCTTAGCGGTGATAAAGTATGTGGGTGGTGATATTCAACGTACGCCAGGCGTCTCAAGAGCCCACAGGGACCCCAGCAACAGACTGCGGCTCCCAGGGTTTCTCTCCATGATGGCAGAGCAATGGGGGCAGCAGATGTGAAAGGGTGAAAGTGAGGATGAAGAGAGGTGACGGACGCGACTAGAAGGTAAACAAGAGCGAAGAGAGAAAGCACGCTAGCTCGTGACCATCCCAAATGGGCAGCCGAAGTTGGGAAAGAGCGAGGCATCATAGCCCCGTGGTGTGGGACCGAAAGAGGATGTTGAAGGTCCCGAAGAGGAAGTCGTGGGCTCGAAAAGGAAATCGCGATTGAGAACTATAGAGAATGGTCAGTACAGCTCTCATGTAGTTAGATTGCAACCACTCTGTACATGAGATGTGAATATTTTGCCGGTTTCCAGGAGGAGAGCCTTGCATTGAGAGGCTTTCTTGACCAGAGGCGTATGGGCATCGTGATCGAGAAGCATATCTGCCGGGAGATTAGCTAGAGATCACCGTTCAATTCCTGTCTGGTGATCGAATTGAAGGAAGTCAGAGTAATCCCCACTTAGAGGACACTGTAACTTCTGGCTCAAGTGCATGAAGTGCGTGAACCACGTGAAGAGCGTAAGTGCGAGATGCGTGGATAATAACGAACCTTTGGCTGAGACACGTCCGGCACGTCACACGTCAGACACGTCCACGGTTTATGTTTAGTGTACTGCGTTTATTATCGCTTTGGCCAAAAGAGAAGAGGACTCTGGAGACATGGGGAGGCGAGAGAGATGGGACAGACAGGACAGGTAGAAGAGAATAGAAATTCGAAGTATAAAGGTGAAAGAAGAGCCTAATCTAATTCCCCCACAGCGAGATATGTCGACACTCATAGTTCTGTTCACAGAAGAACATGCCTCATACACCACTGTACAACGGTATGTTAAATATGCAGGTCATCAAACATAATGTCTAAGATATTGGTCTGAGAATCATTCCACCAGGGAGATGCAAATGCCAAAAAAAGAAATCAAGACAGCCAGACAAGGATAGGATCATCGGGAAACGACTGAACTGTACTCTGCCACAACGGGTATCTGCCACAAAGAAAATGAAACGCCATGCACCAGCATAGGAAATAGTCTATGAATGCAAAAAGGGAAGGGGTATGTCGACATGGAAGCAAAAAGGTCAGAGGTTGCTTTTAGGTGGTATCAAGGCGAAGGATGTGAAGCGGTTGGAGATGTGAATGGGAGGTAATGAAGACAAAGGTGTGCTTCATTGCCCTTCACGGCTGGCATTCAGACGTAGAGCCCATTTCATCTCGGTCTCAGTCTCCTTGACATTGGCGAGAGTTGAATCGATGGCTGAGTTATTTGATTTGGCAGCATCGATGGTATCCCGGAAGTCCTTTTCTTTCATATCTTTATACTCAGTATGCTTGGCCAGTAGTTTCTCATAAGACTCCTTGAGCAAATCAACCTCGCGATTCTTCTGGTCTGCCAGAACCTCCAGCCTCTCGGTGGAATGTATATGAGTGGTTTGAGCCCCGGCAAGTCTCTCCACCTCAGTCCAAACAGCACTGATCCGTTTGGCAAAGTCGGCCTTGTCCCGTTTATTCGAGCTGGAGAGGACCTCGTACTGTGTCTCATGGTACTTGGCGACTTCCTGTGCCCGAGCTAATTCACGATTGTGCATCTCGCGTTCCTCGAACATGGTATGATTCGTTTGGCTGACGTCCTTTTCGGCATCTTGGCGCCTATTTCGTTCGTGCTGGAGCTCTGCCCGGAGTTCCTCCAGTTTGCGGTCCTTGCGCGCGATCGAATTGAGGTTCGTGTCATTCACTTGCTCGAGATTGCGGAGCCGTTCGTTCATGTTTTGTTGTTGGATCTTGTAGGCCTCATTCGTCCGTTGGTACTCCTCCGCGCGGGACTTTTGTAGCGTGCATTCGCGCGTCAACCGTGCAATCTCCTCCTGCAGGTTGTGGATGACGCGCCCTGATTTTCCGGTTGCTGCATGGCCGACGGCGGACCACTCCGCCGTTGGGATGTCGCCATTAGTCTCGGATAGGATCGAAGGATGGGTGTGGGAGTCCCCTGCGGAATGTGAGATGGTGCGGGTGTGGGGTCTGGGAAGGCAAGTACCGTTCTGGGTCTGGGCGTCGGTGACCGCTTCTTCGAGATCGGTATGCTGGTGCATGTTCAATTGTGTGTCCACATGCGGGAGATAGACTTGTGGCGCTGCTGCGCAGATAGGGGGGTCAGCGATCTGTCTGTGATCGGTAATTATGGGACCTTTGGCAGGACCCAGGCGCTTCATGACCCGTCTGAAGCCTAGCTTGGCCATGAAAGCTCGTCATGGGGGCCAGAGGAAGGGAATAGAGCAAGATTGGGATGCATACCGATATTTCAATAGCGCAGTGTAGCTGTTTTATTATCTCGCTTAATCATCTAACCATCGCAAGGGAGGTGTTTCAATAGAGAGACTAGTATAACACTGTCTCATATGAGATCATCAAAAGCAAAAAAAAAGTAGTCCAGTCTCTGCAGGTCCAGAGGCACGAGTTGTCAAATAGGTGAAGTTGGAGTTCTTTGTTTCCACTTCTCTACTGACGTCCGGCAGCGCCACTCCGCACTAAACAGGGGTTCCACCCACTACAAAGGACTTATATATAGGGCTTCTTTGTTAAGAACTTCAGTTTCTTTGATTGTATTACTACCTCAACGCCTCATGTCGCCAATACATGGGGTATTCTATATACACGCTACCAGTTTTGCGTTGAATGACTAGCCTGGACACCATAACACCCAAAAAGAAAAGTAAACGAGGGTAAAGAAAGAAAACTAAGCGGAATGGACCTAGACAAGGTAGGCGAGCAACCCGACAACTCCCATAGCCAGTTGTGCGGAGTACTGGGGAATAGAGGCAGCACCGGTTTGGACGGCGCCAGTGGAGTCGGGCTCCTTTCCGTTGACAACCTCGGTGCCGGTGGGCTCAGAGCTGCTGGTGGTGGTGGTAGCGGCCGCGGAGCTGGAAGGGCTGCCAGAAGCGCTGGCTGAGGAGCTGATGAGAGCCCTGCTGCTGGTGGTCATGGTGGTACCAGTGGTTTGTGTGGAAGTACCAGTGGTCTGAGTCGCAGTGGTACCAGTGGTACCAGTGGTGGTGTTCTCATCATCGAGGTCGGCAAGGGGCTTGTCAGAGGACTTCAGCAGAGCAGTGTAGTTGACCTGTTCGCCCTGCTTGATCTGGAAGGCATAGGTCTGGTCGGGCTTGATGTCATTGTCCGGGGTCCAAGTGAAGGTGCCATCCTTGCCCTGGTCGGTGATGGCCTTGACATCCTTCAACTTAGTAGAAGATCCCTCACGAAGGAGGAGAGTCACGGGCTAATCTAAGTTAGCCTTGCAGCCATTGACTGATAATTGCTGTTCTTACCACACTAGGGTCCGCACCGGACCATGTGAGGGTGATGGGCTTGCCAGGCTGGAGGGGCTCCTTGGGCCAAGAGTTGAAAGACAAAGGGTCGGCGAGACCGAGGGTGATGAGCGAAGCCGAGACGGCAATGAAAGCTGGAGAAAAGTACATTCTGATAAAAGAAACGAAATCCGGGGTTGGGTTTTAATGAAAGTAATGTGCTATCAGAAGTACAAAGGCGAATATTGACTTAATCGGAGGCGTGGGTGGAAACGAATGACCATAAAGACACGGGCACATCGAGATTCTTATTTGAAAATAGGCATTACCGGGATCCCCCCAACCTCCACAGAACTTAGCTTGGACATCGCGTGTTGGAATTCGAGTGCTGGGACTAAAGGGTGTTCTGGCAGAATGTTGCATTCCTCTAGCCCTAATGATGGACCATGATATTCCCAGCAAAACATGTCGCTCACTATGTATGGTGGGGAATGTTCTCAGAGACACTTGAACATTCCCAGTCAAAGCCAAGCTTGAACTCGGTTCAAAGCAATGTCTTTGGGCATTGATAGATGTGAAGAGCACTTCTGGTGAGCTTCGTGCCGATGCCGGGTGGCTGCAGCATGGCTTCACCATTTCATCAAAGCCTCCAAAGCCATCGTATGGCATTTGACCGCTCAGCCATTGACATATTAGCTCGAGGATCAAGTGGCAGAGACCCAATCACAACAATTGCCGGGATGTGTTGGAATGCTATCCCTTCCCGTGTTGTTTTGGTGGGGAATCGGCTTGTAGGGCCATGGCTGACACTCAAATCCAATCTGTAGAGCATAAAACATTTCTCAGGCCTTGATTGATCTTCGACCCCATACCAAGGGGTGTGATACTCGTAGAGTAGTGTTGGTGGTTGTGCGCTGTATGGAAGTTCTAAAGTTGAGGTTACAGGATCGCCATTCAGCGGAGTAAAGAATACCTAATACATACTGACACCAGCCTCAACTTCAGGAGGCTCTCAGCGGCTTTCTCTGCCTTATTAGTCAAAATAAACCAATCAATGGGATCCGGTCCTAGGCGAAGTTTTTCTCCGTACTTCAAAGGCGTACGAGTAAAGACGATTCAAGTGACTTGTTAGAAGAGAAACAATATATATCCCCCTGAGGCATACTTAAGTATCAGTGACTACTGCTGCGACTTCACTGAGCTGGTGGCCTCGAAACCGTTTCTAGGTAAGGAGAACAACGGGCATCGTACTTATGAGCAGCTTAGGCCTACTCGTACGTCCTCTAATCTAACTTTAGAAGGTTCACCCTACAAGTATACCGACCAGACACAGTCCGGCACGTCCCGGCATCTTCCAAGGCGCCGTCGATTCGCAGCAAGGGGTTTGTTTACAGAAGATCATTTCTGCTCAAGGCGGCGAAACGGATTTATACCCCGCAACTCCAAGCCCTGGAAAATACTTTTGTCAAATTGAATTGGTATACGCTGAATTAAAACCTCAGAACTCCCACAGTCCACGCATGAAACACCCTGCCCCAGAATCCACTCCACCATCTTCCTCCAATAGACGATCTGTGAAGATACGCTTGGGAATCTGGTACTCCACAACGGGGAGCTTCTTCAGATTTCTCTCTTCCACACCTAACTCTGCCTGCACCATACCCTGGTATGTGTGGTCAAGGAAATCTTCCAGACTGTATGCCTGCTTGGTGAACTGCTCGGAGATGATGCGGGCGATGGCAGCCACGTTGGGGTGGAAGTGAGATTGGAGGGTCTCAATTTCCCACAGACTGCTTTCAATGGCGTCTGTCATATGGGGGTCTGATTCGGTGGGGTCGAAGGGATCGTCCATGCCTTCTTTCTCCACCTCGGCAAGTTCGTCCTTGTCACGAATTGTTCGGTGGAGCATGAATGAAGTGGTGGGGTGACTTTTGAAGAAGTTGTACATGAAAGGAACAATGACAACGATGGCGGAGGGAGGGGCGTTGAGTGCCAAGCGGGCAAGACGCTTGATGAAACTAGCCACCAGGGTGGCGGGAAGATGGGTCGAGGACAAGAAAGTATTCAGGAGGCGGAAGAATTTTGAGCGATGCTTCGAGTGTAGGAGATCGGCATCCAGGAGGGAGTACAATTTGGTGTAGAATTGGGGGTAGTCGAGATTCTTCTCTTGAATCAGATAGAAGAGACCAGACAGGGCAAGAAGAGATGTAGATCCTCCGACATTGTACGAGTCTGTCAAGAAGTCCATGAGTAGTTCTGGTCGGTTGAACCACGGCTCGATGTTGTGCACCATCATGCGCAGCAGGTTTTTGCGCTGCGATTGGGAGAGGTTGTTTCGAAGGATGGCCAGCCAAGCCTCCTGGGCCTGCTTCTTGTGGGAGTTGGCCGAGACAACTCGCTTGTTCTTGGTGTCTCGTTTCGCATAGAAGTTTTCGAACTTGTACTCGGCCCCGGGTGCAACATCGCAGGTCTTAAGGATAGTGATGAGAGTTTCGAGGATCTCCTCGGATCGTTTTGTGGAAGCGTAGTCACTGTGAATAAATTAGACGTGAAATGCCGGGCTTGGTAAAGTCGAACGTACCCAATCTGCGCAAAGGTGTAGTATCTCACATCCTCAAACTCCTTCACGAACTTGGTGAGGAACTCAGATTGCACATCTTCCCCTCCGCGGGCTTCAACGACCGCCGTGAAAATGTCCTTGAAGAACCCGGTTGACCAAACGTTGTTTTCGGCTCCAGGGATGTGGGCGATCCGTTCCTTGAGAAGGCGCATGCTCAGCGTGAGCGCAGTGATCTAGTTCATGTTAGCAAGCATGTTCTCAGTATGTAACAGTGAATACATACCTGAGAAGAGGGATCTGCCTGACGAATGATAGCCACAAGGGCATTCTGATATTCAATGCATCGCTCCTTCAGCCATGCCGCAACGATCTTCTCGTTCTCGGCAGCCCGACTGGATTCTGTGAGATTTCCTCCGGCAATCAATCGACCAAAGACACGGCAGAGAGAGACTGCTACCGCCAACTCGGGGGATTCGGCAGACTTCTCGGCATTGAGCATCGAGATAAGGGTCGCAATATTGTTGTAGTGCTTCCGCGACTCCGCAATTTGGTTCTCTAGCTCTTGGATAGTCGCCAGTTTCTCGGCGAAATTGTCCTCGGCGACCGCGCGACGCTTGGAGGATGGAGCGCTGGCATTCTTGCCACTCTTGCGCTTCTTGGAGCTTGAATCCGTCACGAGGGAGGGCATTTTGACGCTTTTGGTTGAATCAGTAGATCGGCAACTTTTTTTTATCAGAACGTCTCGGAAGGGGGATTTTCCGAGGCACGGCACCACCGCCCAAAACAGCCTAGCGTCTTCACTCCTAGCCATCCCGAACCTCAAGTCTCCTCAGTTCCGTTCACCCACCCCATTGACCAAAGATTAATCCATCTGCAACAATGGCTTCGCGTCTTGCTAAGAGCGCCATTGGTACGACCCAACGACACCCGACCGTTCGATCGAACTCGATACCTTCAGTTACTAACTTCCCCTAGGCGCGTCCCGACTTCGGCCGGTCCTTCCCGCCCGTGGTGTCCCTGCCGTCACTGCGAGCCTGACCTCCTCTCGCTCAGCCTCCAACGTTCCCGCCGAGGAGCCCGCCAAGAAGGCTCAGTCCCTCCTCAATGCTGTCCCCGGTAACTCCCTCATCACCAAGACCGCTACTCTCTCTGCCGCCGCCGGTCTGTCCATTGCCGCCATCAGCAACGAGCTGTACGTCATGAACGAGGAGACCGTCGCCGCTTTCTGTCTGCTGTCCGTCTTCACCGCTGTTGGCAAGTACGGTGGTCCCGCCTACCGCGAGTGGGCTGAGGGTCAGGTCCAGAAGCACAAGGACATCCTGAACGCTGCCCGTGCCGACCACACCAACGCTGTCCAGCAGCGTATCGACAACGTCTCCCAGATGTCTGGCGTTGTTGAGGTTACCAAGCAGCTCTTCGCTGTTTCCAAGGTAGGAGTGCTTGTTCTGCGTTGACCCCATCGGTCGTTGACGATTCGTTTCAGGAAACCGCCCAGCTCGAGGCCCAGGCCTACGAGCTCCAGCAGCGCACTGCCCTCGCTGCCGAGGCCAAGCAGGTCCTCGACTCCTGGGTGCGCTACGAGAGCCAGGTCAAGCAGCGCCAGCAGCGCGAGCTTGCCGAGTCCGTCATTGCCAAGATCCAGAAGGAGCTTGAGAGCCCCAAGGTCCTCCAGCAGATCCTCGCGCAGAGCGTCGCTGATGTTGAGCGTGAGTGTCACATATCGAGCTTCCTCTTGGATACAAGCTAACTATTGGCAGGCATCATGGCTTCCAAGGCCCAGTAAATGGGTTCAGTAGCCTATAGCTGACTGCATTCGGCATTGTGTACAAAACTATAAGGGCTATTTGCATCTGCCGAGCTAGACCTTGCAATACCATTTTGATCATTTCACACGACTCTGATTGCCGAGTGGCCTTGACTATTTCCAGAGCAGCTACACTCGGAATTACCCCCCGGTCCTCGGCAGCTTTCCACGACATTGCATCTGGTAGAAGATTTGGGAGTCACAGCTATTGCAGGCACAATGTCGATGAGCTCTCCGCCGTAAAGACACGTAAAACGTAAACTTCTATTCCCGAAAAATCTACTATTTAGTACGGCCACATTTGTGCGCACTATTGCCTGCAGGGACTAATGCAGCAAGCCACCATTTGTGGAGAATGAGATAAGATCTTAGAATTCCTGGAGAACATATGCACTACATACTACATACTATATACATCTATACTTAAGTAGATCAATGGGCCTATTGAGATGTTCCTGTTCCATTCGAGACGTTAGCCGCCAGCCAAGACATGGCCCCCGGACTTGACAACGGGAGCGGAAACAGCTGATCTTCTCATGGCCTCATATTCACCTTCAGCCCTATCCTCATTCTATACTTGTCAATAGCAATCCTACTAGTTATGCCCTCACTACGCAATATCCTCCACAAACGCGAAGAGCTGACAGAAGATGCACCCAATCCCCCAACCCCAGAGTTCAAACTCATTCGCTCCGACACAAATACCCAAGAAATAATCACCCCAGAAACCGATAATCCCCCAGACACCCGCTCCTCACCCCGCCGCAGCTTCCAACTCTTCAACCGCTCCAGAGCATCCTCATCCTCCCCGCAGCCGCAGTCACCGCGCCGCGAGCGCCGCCTCTCAAACCTCCTCCACCTCGACTCCCGTAGTCGCAGTAACTCACGCGACTCAGTGAATCTACCTGCGGATCTACCGCAGATCGAAGACGACCAAGGAGCCTCCAAGCAAGAACGCGAGGCAGAGTGGGAAAAGAGGGCGACGGTGCTTGTTCAGCGGAATCCGCAATTCGGGCACTCGGAGGTTGGGCTGGGAGTTGAGCAGGCGAGGTCGAGGAGCTCGAGTCGGAGTCGTGTTGTATCGGACCCGGATACGGATGTAGGTTATGTGTGCTTTTATTTGGGTTTGAGGCTGATGGCTTTTAGGTTAATATTCAAGAGGCGATTCGGTTGCATGAGTCTGGTGGTGAGTTGTATGCAGTATGTCAGAGATGTTGGTTAATAAGTTATAGATCTTGGGCGATCTACGCATATGTTTGGTCAACTTGCGGATCCGAATGGCGCAAATAACCCCCTCAGTCAGGTCTTGTACGGCCTTGCATTACGGTGATTACGACCTTCGCTGTCCCTCGAGTCATATGGCTAACTTATATATATAGACATGGGTGGGGCTGTCCCCAAGACCTTCCTCGCGCAGTGACATACTTGTCGGCGGCAGCGTCCAACTCAGCCGAAGTGGAAGCAGAGGCACTGCGCGCTGGAGTCAAGAAAGGCGGGTCTGCCAAAGGCGAGCTCGTTTTGGCCATGTTTGAACTTGCCAACTGCTTCCGGAACGGTTGGGGGCTAGCGAAAGATCCCGCTGCTGCGCGACAGTATTATGAAACTGCGGCCAATCTGGGCGACACCGATGCTATGAATGAGGTGGGCTGGTGCTACCTCGAAGGGTTTGGAGGGAAGAAAGACAAGGTGTGTGATCCTGGCCAAGCTGTTTTTTAAACCCATCTAATATTGGTGCAGTTCAAAGCGGCCAAGTATTACAGACTTGCAGAGGAGAATGGATGTCCAACTCTGGGCAATTCTTGGTATGATTCTCTCATATGTACAATGTCGGGGTCGATTTCTAACAAAGATTGCAGGATCTGGAAAGACAAATACAACCCGTCGTGATTACAGGACGTGTCCTGGCCTGGGGTATGATTTCACTGTTTAACGATCGATACGCTTATGTTTCACGCTATATGATATCTCATTTCATCTCATTTTGTCTTTTTGCCTTCCAAGGCTCCAGGGCCTACGTGGGTGTATATCCAACAATCTGTCAAAATTGTCAATATTCACAAACCATTCTATATATGAGCATCCTCTCTATGTTCCATCTTCCCAGGCCCTTTCTCATCTACTCCAACAACAACGCCCGTAACACTCGCACCCTCACCATCAAAGATAACCGCAATCTCCTCGAGCGACCTGCCCCTCGTCTCGGGGTAAGTTTTCCACACAGTAACCAAGAGAACAATCAACACACCCAAGAACACGAAATAATACTTCCAAGAAATACTCTCGAACGCAATTGGGTTAATAAGCTGATTGAAAACCAGAGCCATATAATTCGACATGGTCGAGATAGCCACGCCCTTGGCACGCAGCGAGAATGTCCATATCTCAGCCGGGTAGGCCAAAAGCAGCGGCGTGAAGGCGATGTCATAGCCAGCGTAATAAATGAAAAGAAATGGAATAACAGCCGTTCCAACCGCACTAGCACCAGTTGCCGTGAAGCTACCGGATAAGGCAGTGATGAAAATATAACTGATCAGCATGATCACAGTGGATGTGAGGAAGAGGGCGCGTCGGCCTGCGCGGTCCACTAGACATGCACCTACGACACTCATGATCAGATTCCAGACTTGCAGGAATGCGTTGATCAGAGTTTGGTCTGTTGTGGAGGTTATGCCGATTGTGTTGAGAATGAGGGTCAGGTAGTATGAGACCACTCCGCTAAATAGGATATTAGTTCTTTGTCGCATGAATAGAATACTGCAATACGCACCCTCCATTCCACTGTGCAAAGAAACCCAGCGAGACACTCAAAAAGCAGCGATATCTGTTCCCAGGTGTCTTGACACAGTCAACCCAACGGGCCTTCTGAGCCTGCGACTCCAGCACCAAACCCCTGCTAATTTCCTCGATCTCAAAAGCAACGAGCTTCGATCCTTCGTCGCCGCCAGCGTGGAAATTCACCAATATGTCCCTCGCCTCGGCCAGACGATCCTGCTTCATCAACCAACGCGGTGATTCAGAGACACACAAAGCACCCGGCAAAGCCAAGAGCGGCAAGACGATTTGCACGAGGACGGGAATTCGCCATGCCCAGTCACTTTGGATATTCCTCGTTCCAAATGCTATCCATGCAGATAGAGAGGATCCGAAGTAATACTGACACATGTATATTGCAGTGAGGAGCGAGCGATGCGAGGGATACGCCAATTCCGTAACCAGGATAACAGCGCACTGGAACCAAGCTCCGGCAATACCGATCAGCAGACGGGAGTAGATAAATGTATTTGCATTCCTGGAGCCGGCTTGTAGGCCCACGCCGAGGATCATGAAGAGGTAGCCTGTTAGCATGGTCGGTTTGCGACCGAAGCGATTGGCGGACCAGGCCTGGATAGGGAGAAAAACTATGCTACCTATGCTTTGGAGGGCGTTGATGAAGCCTAGCCATGAGCCGGTGGGGTGGGATATGGATTCTTGCCATTGTGGGAGGGATTGGAGCCCGTTCATTAGGGAGATATCATAACCGAAGGTGCTGGAGAAGAGGATCAGACTGGCTAGATGACTGTTGAGCCATAGGAGATGGGTTGTTTTCCACCATGGCTTGGGATTTGTGGGGAGAACCTGGGAGATCTTGTCAGGGCATCCATCTTGCTGGTCCTGGGCTGGGTTGGTCATACCGAGGAGAGCACCGGGGTGACGGGATCGTCTGTCATGATAGTCTCGAATCAAGCAAGGGGGTCATAAACCCCTTTTGACCGGGACATTAACTACTCAAAATTGAAGCAATGAGACCCAGTCTCTCGGTATCCCGGTATCCCGAGGTTTGAGAAGTGAAGTTCAGGGGTCTCCCTGTGATCCGGGGGTTTAGAGTTTGTGGGGATCTGTGGGGACCTCGGAGCCCATTCTCTACTCGATACTCAAGGCAAGTTGTTTCTTTCGATATAAGTTCACTTATATCTTTTTTTAAGGTTCTCTGATGCAGTGGTATTAGAGTACATATGGAATGTCAAATAAGGAAAGAGCCAGAAAGGATGGTGATTTTGACCTAAGTGACCTTCCAGCCTTGGAAGATAACGAAATGTTCTTTTTAACTGTTCTAGCCAGCTTCTTCCAGGCAACTTGCCTATATCTATAGATATTCCCAGAGCCTACTTAAGTATGAGTTCTATCCGTAAATGTACCTAGGTAGTATTAATCAACACAGTGAGCGGGCCGCCAGAAGAGAGTTTGTGGTTAGACTATTCTCAGGTCACTGAGGCGCTGAATCAAATGCAGGTATCTGAACCTGGTGGTCACGCAAACTTGTGTCTTTGTTTGGGAATGTTTCATGACGATGCTACGACAGAGCCGCGTTGTTCATGGCGAGTTTCCGTCAAAGCCAGAAAGAACATCATGTCGTTCGAACCTATCGTTCGCGCAGCTGCTCAGAAAGAGCAATATGATCGGCACTTGTCGCCTGATAATGCCAAAAAAGACTTTCTCCAGATCTTCAACTAAGCATTGATTAGTTGTCGGAGCTCTCTTGCCTTATTCAATTTATCATAGGCGTGTTCTGTTACGAAGGATGTGCAAGCGGAGGAGTCCAGCCAGTACCAAATTGCATACATGATATAACTATTTTCCCAATGTTTTTGTGTAATCCCTTGGAATATGTCCTTGCTTTCATGGTCCGAACAACGAGGCTTATATAGTCTAATAAGCTAGTAAACATGGCTAATCAGAAGTCCAGCTTATGACTATCGTTAACGCCTGAAAACGATTCATATCTATCGATATAGATTGATGTGGATTGATAAGGATTCGTAGCTTGTAGTGTCGGTAGATAAAAAAAACTGTTAGGTCCTACCGGTAATCCAGCCGATATTGCGGTGCCAAAGTAAAGTATTTATAGCAAAAGTAACTTTCTGAGGATGACCTTCGAAAGAAGACACGAGGGCAAATCCGAAAACCACGAAGCGCCACAGTTTGTAATCGCAAAAGCAAAATTACAACCTTTTTCTGCCGCCAAAATACCTACTGTAAATACCCATTTTCGGATTGGGTAAACTTGGATTTTTTACAGCTTGCTTCAGGACTGACTGGCCTGTCCCTTCAGTCTCATTCATCTTGAAACTGGTCTGATAAATCTTATAGCAAGGACCAAATCGTTATAGCAAGGACCCTAAGGTATAGATATAACATTGTCCACTCTGCAATTATTATTTCACTTGCGATCCTTTCTCAACCTCCTTTATCTTCGGCCGTTCGCTTCTCGCTGCTGGATATAGATATAAACAAGGAAGAAGAACTATCGTAAAGGTGGCCCTCCCGTCACTTCTCAGCATAATACGGAGGATATAACCCTCTCTTTGCAGAACAAAGTGATTTTTGATATCTTAAGAACTCATCTTCTAACCGACCCCTTGGCTTCAAATGTAGAATAGTTCCCCAGGTTTTGTTTCTCTAGGCGAGGAGGAAACAAGTCGGCAAGGTATTACGATGTTGCCCCCCTCCTTGCTGCCCTCATATGAGAAAGCTCTAGAGCTTTGCTGTATTTGTTTCCGGACTCTGTGATATAAAAGAGGCTTCTTTATAACCAAAAATATGGCAGATGACAACTAGCCGTGGAAGCACGTCGTGCCGCATCTCGGCCGAAATATTGTTTGAGTCAGTCAATATGAATGTCTCACATTAGCGAACCTCACTTCCCTCGAAAGATAAATCGAAGTAAATGTCTAAGAACTATGTTGCCGCTTTCACTTTCGTCAAGATCATTTCGAAAAATTTTACGTGTTCGCCTGGTGTAATCACGCAGTTCCTCTAGACTATGAAAAAGCCGCACGTTACTACGCTCGCCTCTGCTGCGAGCCCAGTCAATCAAGTCAACAATATTGACATAAATTCCCCGCACAGCCTATTTAACGACGTTAACAGAATTTGAAGAAAGGTCTGGTGCACTTCTACTACCTTTTCGCAGTCAAAGCAAGTTCTTGGTAGGGGCTCAATTCTCACAGCCCGGCAAAGTGAATGCCAAGCGACTAGATCGTCCTCCGCTCCAAACCAGAGTTTGAACTCCTGCTTGAGAGCTTCCTGAAATCTTTGCCAAGCTTGATCAGATTCATCTCCACCTCTGTGCCAGCCATAGAATCTTTGTAAAGACGAGTATGATTCAGTTGGCGGTAAACTAGGATCATATACGAAGCCACTGAAAGACTGGAAAAATGTGTCCAATGGAGTCCTTGGCAGCTTAATATGCGCGGGCGAGTCTCGGAGATGCTGGTCGAGAGCATCCTGGCTGCCAAACGACCGATTGCAGGGATTGCAATCATACGATGGAGCATGCGCGGGCGAGTCCCGGAGATGCTGGTTGAGAGCATCCTGGCTGCCAAATGACCGGTTGCAGAGCTCGCACCACTTCATAACAGCAGCTTGCTTGAACGCACCTGAGAGGGCAAACGAGACATTTATTATTCCGAGCTACCCCGCAGTATGAGCCCAAGTATTGTATAGACGCAAGGGTGCCCAAATCGACGTGATCAATGTGCTCAGATTTCAGAGCGCGACAGGCTTTATTCCGGGACTGGCTAGGAGCTTGGTGCTCTGTACCATGTGCTTGGTTCTGGTTCTCGACAACGGGCGTAAGTGTGGAGCAGAGGATCCATCGTCGTGATAGACGTCATCTATACTGTGTGACTGGCTCATAGCGGATACGTGATAAGCCGACTCATGACCGGCCAATAAGGAGGCCACACACGACTAGAGTGTTGCGATATACCATGATATTTACCAGGAAGCCATTGGTTTGGGGACAACGCCTGAACAGTTGTGCCATCTTGGCATCTGCAGTCTCCAATTAGCGCCCGTATAAGAAGAAGAAGGATCAGTTGTTGGTAATAATCCAATAATGTTATCTAGCCATTTTGAGTGAATAATTGCTACTTAGTGCAGACCCAACCTTCTGGGGCATACTGCCCTACGGTCCCAATGACTCAACGCCTGGTGCAATCGATTATATCATCATGATATTTAAAGAACTATGGTTTGGGAAGCAGAAAGTCTAGACATAGGTCAGTTCTATTATCAGATCTATCATCACACGAATAAATCTGAATAGCCCTAAAAATGGTATGAAATGAGCAAATACGCAAAGACACGGTGCCTTCGTAAGGTTTATTTTGACTTATAATCACTTGAATGTAATCTGTCATCTTTATGAAAAAGCTGTGAGTCCCCCATTTCCGAAGTTGACTTTCTTCAATGCGTTGATGGACGTGAGGTCTTAAAGCCTCTAGAATGTTTGGTACGTATGCCCTTTGGAATGTGTGTTGCCTATACTCCGCTATAGCGGCGTTCGATTTCATGTATTCCATGATCATCATTGTTATGGTCTTTCTTTAGTAGGCTGAATTTATACATGATGAAAAGGAGCTATCGCGGGGTGTCGGTAGACCCTGGGGGTTAGCGTCATTGACCTGGGACAGAAAGTGAATCCTAAGTTCCTTATTGCATTAATCATGTACTCGTGTTTGCGGCGACAGATTTTCTTGGGGTGCTTTGCCGCTAGATGACTCCCACTTTCACAACTCGCAGATGCATTAGGGTGCGGGTTCAGCCACTTCAAGCCATGACCGTTGTTTCTCTTCTTCCCTTTTCGCCCGCCTATGCCAGCCGTATTATTGCAAGTTGTTCGACCTTCCGTTGCAGCTTATTTGAGAAGGCGTTCAGATCCATGCTTATTATGTGGAGGGGTGAGAGGTGTTTCGATCTTGTTTTCCTTTAACCGAGAGTGAGGCTCGGATCCGCTGTCTCTCTGGTTCCGAGATTGGACTTCACGAAATAGAAACTTATCGATGTGATATCGCTTAGCTTTTGGTGGAGGCTCGCTCACGGTGTCCGACAGCATGGGTGGTAAGTGACTTGCGAAGCTCCTCACTGCTTTGAACTCCACAAATTGCAAACAACTCCCGAATCTTCTGGGCTATCAGGCCCCCCAAAAAAAAGTCAAATGCATAACGAGAGATGAGAACAGAAGGGTCATTTGATCTCTTGGAAGTTAAACCGGACCTCTCTACTGGAAATCCCATTTTGAATGTTCTAAGCAGTGACGCCCTTCGAGGGCGGGGATATAAGCCAATCAAACCCACCCCAGTGGCTCACAAAATAGCACCATTCAGGCTAAAGCAAGAGTTCAGAGATTTCTCTTCTTTCGAGCGTCTATCTCATCTACCTCCTGGATGCTAAAATGCAACATTTTCATGCATCTCAAGGTGTCAGAGTTGCTGCAGAATCCATTTGAAACCCCCACTCAAAACCATCATGCTTCAGTAGATATCCAACAGCCCAGTATATATGCCTGACCATACAGGACCTTTGGAGACCGTCGGAATTCGCGCTTGAAGTTTTGAAAAAAGATCTTGAGGCCGCTCATGGAAAGTGGCCCGTCGTGTCGGCTGCTTTGAGGTTGATTTGATAAACAGCGAAATCATGGATGATGAAGCCCGATCACCGTTATGCTGATTTGTTGATGATGGAGATGGTGGTAAAATGGATTCAACGACAGCTGGTGAAAGAAAACCCGAATCAATCTTATGGCAAAAGTACGGGCGTTCATATACTGCCATTGGCTAAATAGATGGTGATTACTTTCTCTTCCTGAGCCCCACATGCGTCATGTGTATTTCCTAGTGCCCCCATTCTGGGCGCGCGCTGTACACGTATTTGCTCTGAAAATTGAGGGGGACGAAAGAGACGGAGGGCAAGTGAGAGCAACGCACCTCCAACCGAGAAAGATCTCGACAGTAACAACCACATTAAGAAATAGTCTGGAAACTTTTTCCCCCGACTTCCCAACATGCTGCGCGTTCATGCTTGTCATATTTTGTATCGTGCAGTTTAGATTTGACACCAAGCGAACAGCAGCAGCAGAGCTCGAACAACCCTTGATTTGGTTAAATTATTGCCGCATTTGTTGACCTCCATCTCTCCCTGTGCCGAAATACTTGTGAAATCAGCTCTGGATGGATAGCCTGCGGCGTTTGAAGAACAAATCACAAGCTCATCGTATTTGTCTGCGATAGTCATTGAAATTTTGCAATATGCCTTTGTTTCGAAATGTAATAGGATTTTGATCTGTAACGACCCGAAATCAGGCTGACCTAGCTAGTGGTTGGGATCTGCTTGGCGACCCTGTTTGGGATGACAGGGCTGGTTTGCTTAGATAGAGCAGATAGACTTCGCTCTCTCCTCTCTCTCTCCTTTTTTCCCCGTCCTTTTTGGTATGAATACTACTGCATTCATCATACTTCTTTTTGCATACGTATTCTATCACTAGTACGTACAGCATAGCGCAAAAAATTATTTCGGACAGGCAGGGACAACGTAGGTTAATGCTTCTCCAAAGTCGAGCAAAGAGTAGCCCAAGGCCAATAACATTGCACCAAATATAATGCCCAATCAGCGACATCTGAGAATTTTGAGGATGATGTTTTCTGTTTGAAATATGAAATCTTGCTCTCTCTGGAGCCGGGATCTGCTCCAAATTCTGTCATTGTGATCGAACACCGTTATGGCCCCGAGGTCGTTGGCAGTGACACCAACACAAAGCCAGGGCTTCTCCAGGACTCAATATCTTCGGTCCTAAAACTCTCAATTGAGTTCAATTTTCAAAATTCCGATGTCATTAATACAACATTGATCCATTGCCGATAACCCCAGTTTGTGGGGTGAAGATCACTCCATATGCTGAGCTCGGATTTCATTAGCCGTGATACACCCCAATACCCGGGGAATCAATAGCCGCCCAGCAATAGCCGTTTTGAAGATCATCGGCGTGATATGGGATAAAATGTATATTTAAATCATGGCCTGGACTCTTCAAATGAATTTGTTGAGTATTTGATGCTTTTCTCCCTCCAACCCCTTTACGTTGCCTAAATCCCCACATCAAAAAACACCACAAACCAAAATGGGAAAGCCAATCGTTCTCCATCTTGGCGATGACATTCGCTGGGGCCATGAGCTTTACAGCAAGTTCCAAGAGACATTCGATGTCCGTCGCTCATATAGCATGTCACGACCAGAATTCATCCGCGCACTGAAGGAGCGCCAGTTCGGCGACTTCTTCGCGATATACCGGCCCTTCTGGAACACCGGTGGTGAAATGGGAAACTGGGACGAAGAGCTGGCCTCACTGCTTCCCAGTTCCTGTAAGGTATTTGCCAGTGCGGGCGCTGGTTTCGACTGGGTTGATACTGCAGCTCTTGCAAAGCGCGGTATGTATCTGCGAACTTTAGAATTGAAGAAGAAAATGGTTGCTGATCTGGATTAGGAGTTATTTACTGTAATGCTGCAGCAGCTTGTACGGAGTCTGTTGCTGATGCGGCAATTTGGTTAATCATCTCCACATTCCGACTCTTTTCTTGGTCGCATGTTGCTGCACGGGCTGTGGATGCAGATGCATTCGTTGATGCTAATCGCAATCTTGCTATGGTCTCGCATAACCCCAATGGCCACACTTTGGGAATAATTGGCTTTGGACAGATTGGACGACGCACAGCAGAGAAGGCGTACCTGGCGATGAACATGAAGATCCATTACCATGACATTGTACAGATGCCTGCGCAGCTGGAGGCTGTGTCGAAAGCGACATACCACAAGGATATGGATAGTCTGCTTGCTGTTTCGGACTGTGTTATGGTTGCCACTCCATTCAGTGGCGAGACACTTCTCAATGCCTCGCTATTGGCCAAGATGAAAACCGGCGCGCGTCTTATCAACATTGCGCGTGGAAAGTTGCTCGACGAAAGTGCTTTGGTGGATGCGCTTAAGAGTGGGAAGCTTGCTGCTGCTGGTTTGGATGTGCACTTTGATGAACCGCGTGTTAGCCCGGAGCTTGCTAGTATGAAGAATGTGGAAATGATGGCTCACAATGCTGGTGCATCGGTCGACTCTCATATTGGATTCGAGAGGTTGGGTATGGAAAATATCTTCTCTTTCCACAAGACTGGAAAAGCTGTGACACCAGTGAACGCCCAGCTTGTCGCCAAAGCGACTGGAGCTAAGCTTTGATTCAAATGTCAATATTATGTGAGTGCATCGCCTATACTCTAGCGTCAATATGGAAGTAAAAATAGAAAGCATACACAAAACTTGCTGAATGCAAAAAAAAAAAAAGTCAATCAATTACATTATCATGTATGGATATCAATATAAAAAAGTAAACAAAAACCAATTCAAAGACAATACCAACCAAACTAATTCTTCAAAACAGCCTCAGGGGCCTGGACAGGCTTCGGCGGCACAGTGACCATCCCTGGATTGCTGGGCGAGAATACCTGAACCGGCGCATCATGCGGCGCAAGCGCAACCTTCTGCCCACAATTCGTGCAAAAGTGATGCGAGTCATGACACATCTGCATACAATAAGGCAAGAAAGCACAACAGATACCACCAAAGAGACAGCAACAGAGAGCCGCCATTCTGTGCACAGTTAGCATATCAGAACCTTGGAACATTGATATACAGCGTCAACTCACGAGGTCGAGCCTGTGCTCTCCTTATTCACTCTTGTCATGGCATTCTGGCAGCAGAATGGACAGCTGATCAGCTTGGGTTCATCGTACAGCTTCTCGAGGGGTACGAGTCGTGGGTCTACGGGGACCGGGGCCTGGGCCTGTTCGTTCATTGCTCGTTTTTCATCGTAGGTTGGGTATGTTGGTTGGGCGCGCGCGGCTTCAATTGAGTCCCCATTGTTGATTATGGCTGCTGGGGGCACGGCGACGGCCTCTTTTTGGGTACTGTGGAGAATTAGTATATAGTATATTTTTCTGGGCGCGAAACGTACTCTTCGTATGTTGGAGGTGATGCGGAAGGGATGACCGAGGGAGCTTCAGTAGATCTTGTTGCTTCTGCTGTGCTTTCCTCTGCAGCAAGTGGGTTTGTCTCTGCTGTAGTTGGTGCTGTGGTTTCCTTGTCTTGGACTGGACCGGCAGTAGCAGGCACTTGGGCCACTGTCTCTTTGTCGGAAGTGCTCATTGTTTAGATTTGAGTACACAATATCAAGGTGAAGACTGTTGCAAAAAAAGAGAAAAGAAAAAGAAAAAAAAAAAAGAGCTGGGGCAAGACTGTTTTTAAGTGAATTTTAACCCGGGGGCCGATTGAGGCTTAAAGCATTCATGCGGGTCAACGCTAAAAAGCGCAATCCAATGAACAAAGGCTCTGATGGACTTGAAAATGTTTGACTCATGGGGCTAAGAAGAATTCGACGATCGGACTGGTTAGGTTTTAGTGTTGGCCCCCGGGTTAAACGACTAGAGGCTCGGGCGTCCATTTAGCGACAAAGAGTCACCAGGCTATGCAGGGTCTAAACAAACCCAAGACTACTCTGCAACACGAGGCGCAGCCGAGGTGGTGCATGATATACGAGAGGTAAAAAGGTGGGGAAAGAATAATAAATATTTCCTGGGATGTGAATCGGGGTATCTGATTCTAGTGAGCAGGTCTAACCCATAAAGCTTTATAAATGCATCCATCATAGAGAGGGACCTCGAGAATCTGTACGGGGATAGCCAACAGTAGCCAAGACTTGCGCCAAGTGGTCTGGATTCTCGCGCAAAGAGTCCCACTCGCCTTCGGCCTTGACCATCAACGTGGCGGCGAGGATGGTGCCATTCAGCGAGAGAACGCCGGGGTCCGCAATGTCTTTTGCTGCTTCAGCGTCTATGGGGATGACGGCGGTCTCTTGCCTCCGCGGGCAAATCAGCATGGTTGAGCGGGTCATGGCGAGATTGTAGCTTATCGAGGAAGGTCCTTGTGAGGGGAGCGTCTCGGTGTCCTGCCCGGGTGCATGGCCGCGGGTGGCGGCTGCTGCGGCTTTATATAGGGTAATGTAGATGGAATGGAGGGTGTCCGCGGAGGGGTTGGGCGGCAGTGGGAGGGCGAAATGGGCAAAGGGGAGGCCGGGCAGGTGTTGGTATTTGGGTGACGGGGAGGGAGAGGCGGGTTGGAGGAGGTCGATCAGGGGGTACCAGGCATCCGAGCCCGGTTGGCGCATAGCTTCCACGGGAAGGAATTGCAGATGGCGATGGGGTTGACTGGCACCGCTGTCGTCGCCTGAGTTGAAGAACGCGAAGAGGCTCTTGGATCCATCATTGGTATTCCAAGCTTTGAGGCACTCATATGTTGCTTCTAGATCCGACTTATCGAGCAAATCTGTCTGTGCCTGCCAGTCCTTTGTCACAAGCAGGAAGTGATTCGGGATGACAGGGAACTTGTTGAGAATGAGGTTGTAGACGGGCTTCTCGGGTGGGAACTGGGCGATCAGAAGATCTGGGGAGGGATTCTCGAAGGGATCAGGCTTTGGCGATTTAGTCCCATTGTCTGGTTTGAGATTGGTGGGTTTCTTTGCGAGGGCCGGACAGTAGCGGAGTTGGTACTGTTTGGCTGTTAGCTAACATCGGACGACTCTTGGACACGGCCACTTACTGAGATTCCTGCAGCATTGATGATGGACAAGTGGGTTTGAGAGAACACAAGATGACCAGCATCTCGGGCAGCAGTAAAGCGCCTGGTAACCAACGCTGGCAAAGCTTCTGAAAGACCGAGTTGCATGGTGAGAGATGAGGGAGGGAAGTCCGGGGGCGGGGAGAAAGCGCAGTAACATTTGGTTACGTAGGGCAATGTAGATCCTCACGCAATACTTCTGAGTTAAGGACTTAAGTACTTTATTTCTATTACAGAGTAGATTCTACTTGTTTAATATTTGATATTTGATATTTTGTATTTACTATGCTCAGAGTAGTGAATAGTGATATTTAATTTTGTATTCATTATGGCCCGCCATTCACATCCTGTCCAGCAGGATGTCAGAGTCAAAGGAAATAAACAAAGCAGAATCATCTCATATCCCAAGGTATCATCCACAATCCGTGTTCAGACAAATCGCTCGTAAAGACGCTGCTATACGAAAGACATTGAAAATTACAAAACCCCCCGAGGGAAGAAGGGGGAAACAAAAGAAAAAAGGAATTCACAAAGGAATCTCGTTCAGGCCATTAATTCATTGATAGAGAGCTCATCATCATGATGGGACATTTCCGGCAATAGCATCGCCGGTTGTCCCATAATGTGAGGCAAAGGACCGTTCAGCCAAGGCCCACGCTCTTCTTCAGAGGCATTCAGCACACCTTCAGCACGCTTGAGGGTCTCGACGTCCAGATCGGTGATGTAGGCATCGCGGCCTGTGCTGTCAGAACCAGCAGGAAGCTGGAGACGAACTTCGAACTCATTGTTCAGCATCATTTCATCTTTCCAGAGGCGGCGTTGGCCATCGAAGACGCAGAGGACTCGCTTCTTGGTCTTCATTGTGCTGCTGGGGCAGCCCCAGGAGTTCGGGTAGTTGCCGCGGTTGTTGCGACGGCGGGTAGCGACAGCTCGAGGAGCTTTGTTCTTCGAGATTGCGTTGCCTGAGCCGATGATTGGACGGGATGCAGGGACGGTGCTTTTGGATTTCTTGATGCCGCGCCAACTTGCGGCATCGAGGTCATCTTCGTCGAGATCTTCGCAGTCATCATAATCGACGGGACCGTCGAAAAGCTGATGTTTCTCCATGGTCTTCTTGACCTCTTCGTCGCAAGCAACTTCTGCCAGGCGCTGCTGGTTGATGGCCTCTGAGGGCTCTTCCTGTTGAACCACACGGAGGACACAGTCGTCCAAGTGCTCGTAGAAGTCCTGGGCATTGCTGAAGGTTCCTGAACAGGTCGAACACTTTCCTGTAGCATCGGGGCTGTAATTTGTGCCCTTCTTGGGGCCGCCGGGGCTGCGCTTGCGGCAGTTTGGTGGTGTTTGTTCGACGCCGTGGACGGAGGTCAAGTGACGTTTGAACACGTCGGCGCGGTTAAAGCTCTTCTCGGCTGGTGATCCGGACCCGGGGCAGAAACCACACACCATGGTGCCCTTGTAGTGAGTCAAGGTGTGACGGTTCTTGTCGTATTTACGAGCGAATCCCTTGGTGTGGTATTCGCAAGTCAAAATCGGACACTTCTCTGGGCGTTCTGACATATGCGTCAACATGTGAGCCTTCAAGTCTTTGAAGACTCGACCACATTCAGGGTGTGGGCATCGCCCTTTTTCTTGGACATCATCATCGGCTTCCAGGCTGCTCAGTGTGGGACTGGATTGTGAGCGCCGGGACTGAATGGAGGAGATTGAGGACCGTCGGTCATAGACCGAGAGCGGCCGTGTGTTTGAGGGTTGTGGAACCATGAGGGGAGAGGGGCCAGCGTTTTGCACTGGGTATGAGCGCGGTGAGCGCTCTGGGATATCATTATAAGGAACAGGTGAAGTGGCAGGAGATTGTGGGAGGTAAATTGGCGGCACGTTAGAGTAAGAAGAGGTAGGGTGTTCGGGGTAAGCGATGGCAGGAGGGACGCCATGGTTTGGTTGCATTGGTTGAATCAATGAGGGATCTGGGTCGAGTCAGCATGTTCAATGGCTGCAATTGGACTCGAAAACATACCGACATAGGTGTCTGGAAACTTGTTCTGGTAAAGTGCGTCCATGTCGACTGCGCTTCCCATGTACTCATTGGGGAACATATCATTCATAACTGCAGCCTGTAGACCCAATCCGTGATTTGTGTTTACCCAGTTGTCGTGGAAAGTCTGAGCAGTGCCGGAGTATGGCGAGCCCATTGCCGAGGAGGATGCACTGGCAATAGAAGGTCCCGAGGCGGCAGATCCAGTAGGGATATGTGGCTCGTTTGAATGGGATGCAGACACTGAAGGAGGTGTAGTGGGCAAGGAAGAGAAATGGGCGGCTTTTTGGAGCTCTGCAGACTCGAAAGACTGGTTGTAGTAGGGATGGTGGAGACGGGCCAGATCGGTTTGTCCGTAGTGGGCTAGGTTATCCACGAGGTAAGAGAACATGCCCGGGTCTGCGGCCATGGGGTCATAGTAGGATTGTTTAACTCTAGCTTCGGCCATCTTTCTGGATTGAGGGAAGAGGGTGAAATCGTGGGACTCGAAGGTCGTCATATCGGGATATGCGCCTAAGAACAGACTAGTCAGTATCTTGTTCTTGATCTTTGTCCTGATGGACATACCGGTGATAAGGTTTATGGATGAGATCGCGGCCCGCTCGGCTAACCAAGATGCCACCCACGGAAGGCAACGTGCGCAATTGAAAGCCCGAAGAGGATGCAAGGAGGTGTATGGAGTACTGAATGTCGCAAGGGAGGCCGCATTCAAATCACTTGCGCAAGTATGTGATAATCAGAGTGCGGATCGAAGAGCGATGAGCAAAGAGCTAGACCGAGTCAATTCAATGACATGACAGGTCGGGGGGAGAGGAAGAGTATTATAGATGTACGAGTCGAAGAAGCATCTCAAATGGTGACGATGGGCCATACAGTAGTTAGTTATAGTCTAGAATTATAATATTTTGAAAAAAAAGGGAATTAAAATAAAATAAACATTTTACGGAATTTAAAAAAAAAAAAAAAATTGGAAAAAGAAAACGAAAATAGAAAATAGAAAAAAAACAAAGACAGAAAAAAGAATTTAGAAAATTAGAGATTCCAACACAATCAAAGTGAATGACGATTACCGTATTTTTGGCATGAACCACAGTGTCGGGGCTGTGAGCAGGGGGAGGAATTAGCGTGCGGCCTCATTCGGGCTATTATTATCTGAGTATTCGGAATAAACACATGGGATTCCTCGACTTACTCTGCATTAGTAAACCCCTAAAACCTGGAAAAGTACTCCGTAATCGTTTGTGTCATATCTCAGCTTAGCCACTGTCAGGCCCCCTGTGACCGTCAATAGTTTATCTTCTGGGTTCTGACAGCTCTACGAGATATCCACAATGCCCTACAAGGTACGAGTACCCAGGAGGTACCACTCCACGGTCTCTTCGGTATTTCTCCGGCAAACTCGTAAATACATTGCACTCTATCTGCGAAGATACAGGTCACACTGGTAAATCACGCTCGTGGGGATTCTATTGAATTAGGAGTGTCTAACCTTGCAATCGGCACAAAAAGCAATTATGAACACACTTGCAATACTAGAACTGTACTCCGTACTTATGCTCTAGTCGATCTACTCGTACTTTGCGCATCAGACGCGACATATGAGATTGTTGGAATAATGAATAGCGCCCTGGATTTGATGCGCTAACACTTGCTTTCCCATGTGTTGGAAATCTGTTATTTGTCGTCATCGGCAAGTCCGTTCTGCATAGCCGCAATGGCCTCCCCCAGAAACTCCCAATTAGGCTTGTCACCTCCCGTTTCGGGTATAACGAGAGTCAGCATTCGGTTACCCATGCATATTGTTTGTATTGATGAGTCTATGGCGGCAAACATCTTATTCATGCCAATTCCTATCCAACAATGGCGCTGTAGAAAAATAATCCAAAATGCGTACTCGTCAGAAGCCCATTCCGCTAGCCCGGGCCTATTATGCGCAACCATTCCTCTGGAAAGGCAATAGTGGGGGGTATTCATCAACTAAGCCCGGAGAGACAGTGATAGACACAGATCTCAAGATGCACCCTTTTACCAGTCGGATGGACCATGTCCTCCGGACTCCGTACTTGAACGGAGCAGAGGGGCGGGAAAGGGGGAAGGGAAAAAAAAAGATGGTGACGACGGAACCCATACCGAACCAAATACCAGCCAGCCCATGAGTGGTCGATCTCTGACGGGACCATCGACCGTCTCTCCCCACAGTCAACACTCCGCACCCACCGTGTGAACGGGAGAGTGATTGGCTCCCGTGGCCCAACCCAACGAGACACAAAATGATGAACCAACATCTCCCTTCCAATCAGAGCAACCAAGGCTCTTCCGAGGGCTCGATGGGCGTTCCTTAGGGCCCTCGGGTCGGTGGGTTCGTGCCTTTTCCATACTCGTACTATCCCTTCCTGGCTATCATGACGGGCGATCATTACACTGTATCTTTTTCCGACGCTACTCATAGTATTTCGTATCCGTAGTTACTCCGTACTGCTACTTAGTTAAGTAAAATTAGTTAGCTATCGAGGTACATAAGATCTTCTCCAGAGCCTCATGCTTTGGGACATTGCGATTTGGGCTGCTTCTCGCCCTAAGTCTTTGGAACTAACGCATTTACAGAGAATGGCACTGTTGCTATGTGCCCCTTTATCCCTTCAAACAGTGGATCTTGAAGAGATAATTCTGTCTACTCCATACCGATCATATCGGCTAGATTGCGGAGGATGAGTATACGAGGATCAATGGTACAAGAGCAGTATCGGAAGTGCAAATCCGCAGGGATAATAGTGCAGAACAACCGTGGAAAAGCAAAAAACCCAAGCAAAGTGGGTCGCAAGCAGTAGACGACGCTGAAAGATTCAGATTTTTTTCGGATGTGCCGCGCATACTGACATTTCCCTTTTTTGGGTCCGAGATCTGGATCTCGTTTTCCCAGTTTAGGATTTATTGACCCCGTACGGAGATATACTCCGTCCTCCGTAGCCACAAGTAACTGTCTGCTTCTTACGAGTACGGCCATAAAAAGAAAAAGATGGTTCCCACCGTGTATGTAAGCGGCTGTAATCTACTCTTAAAGTTGTATGCAAAGTCAGACCTCTTTATGGATTACTGAGCACTCTGCATGCCACATCGCGATACGATGTGCTCTATTGGCTCCGTACAGCCCTAGCCGGTGCAGGGGAGTGACAGGGCGAGCTGTCACTCGGAGCGCCCGGGGTCGGTGAGCACCAACGCGCCAGGAGGTGACTAGCGCCACACTTCCGATACCAAGCCACAGCCTTGCTCTGGCCTTGTCCAATGAGAACTGAGACATGATGTTGACAAGGCTCCTCATTGGAGTCTGCCCAGTCGGAAAGCGGGTCTCAACCCTGAGTTAGAGGCGCAGCCGTGTCTATTACACCGACTGGGAAGAATCGTTCGTATCTGTCGGCGCTCCCGGTCGCGTATCCCACTAGTTGACACTTATGTACAGTCTAAATTCTTGATGTCAAAACCGGGGCAATGAAGTCATCTCCCGCTTCTCGTATCTGCGTCAACAGGTTGACCGATTCTTTCACCCGGTTCAAGGATGTTGGCCTGGTTAAACTGGCGGTCGGTTCCCACTTTGCCCAGGTTTCATTGCCTGGGCATTTTTTTGTGACAGATACAGACTTCAGGAGTACTCGTACTACTTCTGGTTAGTTGGGTGCTAGGTCTCCCGTACGGGCCTGACGATCAAACATTTCACTCATGCTTAAATCAATTGGGAAAATTAGTGTCATTTTGACTATACTCGTATACTCGTACATGTTTATTTAACCGTGATTACTGTTCACCCATGGCAATTAGCTCACTATCTTCAAAGCATGTAAGATTCAATCTCTAACCTTCTGCACCATTGCATGATTCTCAACGTGTCAAACTGAACTCAAAACATGAAACTCACGGTTCATCACTGAGATTGGCCAGTGAGCGCCGGAAGCTAGCGTGAGGTTCTGCTCACACGTGTGTGTTGAAGGCGACAGTGCCCAATCGCTCGCATTGTTGTCCCGCTTTTGGCCCCTAACATGGAAACAAAACCATACCAGGAAAAAAACGAAGTAAGCAACGCTGACGATCCAGACTTTCTTTTCCAAATAGGTATATGATTAGGGTAGCCAAGAACTCCCCACCTCAGCCATCACCACGGCCCCGGAATGAGGCCTTGGCCATTCAGAGTGGTCAAGGGGCATATTGGCTCTGCGACCGGTATCTGACAGGAAGTGAGCGGGTCCGGCGACCCCGAGGCCATTTTCCTCAGGCCCGCAAAAATGATATTACAAATGTGTGGATGTAACATTCATGAGGCTTAGAATTCTGTGGATTGGCAAGTGGAGGGAATATGCATCGGCGCTTCCGTTTGGGAATTGCATTACAAAAGTAATTACTGGAGGTTGTGAAAACACATGGCCAAATTAAGAATGTTTGATCCGTGGGTGCATTGGTCGGAACCATGGATTACTCAACTTTCACTTACTTCCTACTTTGGACTTCACTTCGTGCTCAGATCACTTTGGGGCCAAAGAGAGTCTCCAGAGTGGCAAGATGCCAGAGCTTGGTATTTCCCCAGGTTGCGGCAGAGCTAAATCTAAGAATAACCCCTCAACTCAAGGAGCGACCACGTTATTTTTCTAAATATGTCTCTCTAACCGCCGGATCGTCATGAGAACTGCAGATCGAGCTCGTGAGCCTCCTTTGCTATTCATGGCGATACCAAGAGCGGCTCTAAGCCTTACAGAGATGGGAATGCGACCAACGGAAACCAAGATTTAATCCCTGTCACCCGCGTGGTGTTTCTAAAAACAGATGTGAAACAGGCCAGGGTGAAACATCCCCAGGGAGAGATCAACCTCTCCGTGGTGATCATACGGGGTACAAACTAACTACAGCATATCTTTAACTAACTTGTGTACTCTGTACACAAGAGTACAAGTAAACTGTACTCACTCCGACTCCTCTAGACCGGCCTAGTCGAGTCAGTCTGGGGATCCTGGATAGTGCGGGTACACCGCAGAAAAATTTAATCCTGAAAGATTTAACTGAATATATCTCACTTCGGTACGGAGTACATCTTCATATTATCCCGATGTTACGTTCTTGATTGAGTTGGCTGTTGGTAAAGTGGTCGGCGATTCCATAGTTCCATGGTCCCCATGGTCCCCGCTGATTGATCAAAAGTCACACCAGCATTTGAACTCGCTAAAATCTGCCATCTAATGCCCAACACGCGTGAGCGAAAACCCTCATTCCCATTCCGCTCTCCGCCTTTCTGCTTCTGGCCCCCGGCCCCCGTACCCCGTACCCCCGAAAGGAATAGAAATTTTCAGACCAATCCCCTTCCGATATGATCAGAAGCTTGAGCATGGATGTTAGCTCCCGTATATGCAGATAATTTGTCTTCTGACAATTTTTGGATCGCAACACGCGCTTCTCATAAATTCTCCTGATATTTGAGATGTTCCAGATATACTCCGTACGTTCAAGCAAGAAAATACT